CACGCTCTGCTTCTGCAACGCGCTTTTCTTCCGCCATGCGCTCGTCCTCTGCCTTTTTGGCTTCAGCCTGTCGCCGTTTTTCCGCCTCAACTTCGACCCTCTTCGCATCTGCCGAAACATCTACCACGGGTTTCTCGACTGATTCAGATGGCTCTGGTTTGATGTCACCATTGTTATGGGCAGAATCAACCTTGGCAGACTTCAGAAGTGCAGGCTCTGGCTTCTTCGACTCCACAGATTTGCGCGCTGGAACCTCCACGTTTCCATCCGCTTGAGGTCGACGATGTTTAGGTTTCTCGGCATCAGCTGTATCCTCGGATTTGCGATGATGACCATTAGGAACATTCGGAGACTTGTCATCAGCCAGAACACGCCTTTTCTTCTGCTTCCGAGACTCGGGTGAAAGTCGATCACTGTCTGCACCTCGTGAGCGAGATCGTTCGGGAGACGCTTCGGTTCGAATGCGTTTGAGGGAGGCGTTGGTATCTGGTGCAACTTCATTGCGCGATTTGGGAGCTTCTTCGCGGCCAGATAGAGAATCGGATGAAAAGAGACTTGGGCGCCGGTCACGCTCCTGAGGGCGGCGGCCGGCGATGAGCCGGCGTTTTCGAATCTCATCAGGGCGGATCGCACCACTAGACTCGCTGTCCCTGCGCACTGGAGCTGCAGATTTTGGTTTCGCAGAGTCAGGGTGGGTTGAGTCATGGTCAGAGTTGGCAAGCGCCTTCTCATTCGCGTCACGGTTCAACTTGGCGCGAGCACTGAGCAGTCCGGTCCGTTCCTTCTCGCGTCGCTTCTCCTTAATCTCCTTTATCTCCTTGAGGGAGTCGATATCTTTGGGATGGCGGGGTTTGCGGGTGGGACTATCATTGGATTTCTTTGGGCGGGGCACGGGGGACGATGAATCTCTTCGAGCAGATCGTTTTTCGTCCTTATCCTTGCGCGATTGGCGGGGCGAAGAAACAATTTTGCGGCCTTTGCTGCCTCCTGGATATTTCTCGTAGGCTGACTTGAGAATATCGTATTCGTCTTCCCAATTCTCACCTTGGCGGGATCGAGAGAGCTCGAAGTAAGTTCGGTCTTCATATAATCTACGGGTAGGATTGAAGCCTGGTTGGCTGAGGATGAGGTTGATGACGGCGGTGTTGCCTCGGCCTATCGCAGCCAACATCGGCGTGTTGTAACCGGGTTTGAGACCAGCGCCACGTAGCGGATTTGGATCGGCGTCCGCATTTCCCATGGCATACATCAACGATAGGACGTCGTGGTGACCTCCCTTTGCGGCAGCGATCAAAGATGCATTGTCCGCTTTTTGCAAAACGTTCAGAATGCTCACAACCCCCATCTCGTCGCCCTTGGCAGCAAAATTCATGAGATTCTCCGGGGTCGGTTGTGTCCATAATAGGTCATTTCGTGTCGCTTCGCTTCGGCCAGTTTTGCGACGACTAGCGGCGGCACTGCCTGCTGGTGGGGGACTCCGTGATTGACTAGCAGCAGATGCTCGTCGAGACGACGGGCCCTTGCTTTCGGACCCAACTCGCTCTTCCGATCGACGGCCTGGTCGTGCACTGGCCTTCGCATCCGCAAGCGCTTTCTTGATCTCATCATACTCGTCATCGTTCAAGTCGGTCGACACCAGCTCATATGGTTCATCTCCGGAGGCATTGACTGTGCGAGGGTTTGCGCCGGCTTCGAGCAAGACTTTGACCACATCCACATGACCATTTTCCACTGCGTCGATCAATGGTGTATCCTTATCGATGTTTTTGGTATTAATATCACATCCTGAATCCAACAGGAATTTCACAATCGAGGCCTCTCCATTGAGAGAGGCAATTTGCAAAGGCGTATTACCCGCATTATCGGGAACATTCAGATCTTCCGGGCGTTCGTTGAAACGCATAACCACTTGATCATGTTTTCGATCCGCACATGCTCTGGCGAGCGGAGTCCGACCACTCTTGTCGCGCAGCTTCTTTGGTCCCATATGTTTCGCGGGGGACGCCGAAGCCCCCACCCCAGAGCCCAGACGGCGTAAGTGAGCACTTGGTAGCGGAGAACCACTCGCCGACGACGATGTGGATTGTCGGTCTTCCGAAGTCTGTCGTGCGTACCCGGTAAGAAGGGGGGTAGGGGCTTTTTTCTTGGAGTGGATCTGAGAGCCCGACGCAGAACGTTGATGCGATGGGCGCGACGGGGAGAGAGAGCGGGTATTGGGGGGATGGGGAAGGTGAAGATGATTGACATGTTTGAGATCAACGTGCGAGCCACGGCGACGCTCGCCCTTTTCGTCCACGCTGTCACTGAAACTTCTCTTGCGATAGATTCGTGGCTTGTCTGTCTGGTTCAGACAGGCTTCATCCAGTACATTGCGTGGTACCGATAGAGGATCCTCGAATTTCTCGACCTTGACGACCGACGGGGGCGATCCAGCACGCTCCGAGGGACTGGGCGACCGGGAAACTGGATGCCTCCGGTCACCATTGATACGTGGTTTCTTTCGCTGAATGCTGTCAGCCCCTTCGACGGCCTGGCGTAGTGGATCATGGCGAATGTGTTTGCGTTTCTTTTCGGGGGACAGCGACTCTCTGCCGGACTGAATAATAGTTTCCGCCTCCGAATCCGCCTTTGGACTCGGGGGACCCTGTTCGTCGTCCTCCAATACCCCCGGATTCGATCCCAGACTGGCGCGTCGTGAAGGCGAAGTCGGCTTTCCAGGGGGTCCTGAGGCGTTCGCCTTCACGGCCGCAAGCGTATTGGCACCAACATCCAGGGTAGTGGGTAGTGAGACAGCCTCGACATCACTCATAGCGATAGCACTCGATGTGTGAGAATTCCGATCGTCATTTTGGGAGGTCGCGACCGGGTCCCGTCGGGGGTTGGCAACGCCAGCCAAAGCAGACGCTGGAGTGAGACGTGGGAAGACCGGCTCCCCAGTGAATTCCTCGATTTTTTGGAATTAGGAAAGCGTTGATGGTTGGGTGGCGATATATATATTATTAAGTTGAATTATACCACAACGAAAACGAGGAATGGGGGGAGAGAGGAGAGATCAGGCGAGGGAAAGATTGAAGGTTTTGAGGGAAGATTGGGGGGAAAGGAAGGGAAGAAGGGAAAACGGGAAGGAAAAGAATGGGGGGGGAAGTTGTTAGGGAACTTGGACTTGGCCACCTGTGGAGTTCAACGCATTTCGTCTTAACTCTACAAATTCTTCTCTTTTAGACCTTCAATTTTTTAACTTTCGAATAATACTATTACGGTCTTCATATTAAAATACCTAAAATCCAATCTTCGTCTGAATTCACTGCAAAAAGACCGTCTGCGGGCACGGCACGGACCCTCATCATTCCGGACGCAGCCAAACCAGCAGAGTCTCCACTATAGGTGGCGATCGTCTCGAGGCGACCACTCAGCTTTCGCCTCTTTATCGAGCACATGGGAGCTCGTCGTTTTACTCATACATACTGAAACTATACAATGGCCATTCATCACTCATATCTTGTAGGATCTGACTGAATCTAAGCATCTTCTTTCATGAAAGAAAGTTTGGCATAACAAAGCGGGATCGACGCCTTAATTCTCCACCTTTTTCAGCTGGGATGTGCTCAGCTATAGCTTATCATAGCTACTCCGTAGTCTATTGCCGATTATATGTCAATAGCCACCCAGGTTTAGCTTTGGGCCCGTCGAGGCTCTCTCCCTTGCCGCCACGCTATGCTGTCTAGCTGATGATCCTTCCGCCATGGACCCCAATCGAAAGCTTAGAAAGCCTCGAGCTTCCCCCTCCCGCTTCCTCGTATACGACAAGTCCCCGCTTGCTCTTAAGCTTAAAATCAAAGATTTAGAGTACTTGGGTCATCTGGGTAGTACACCGGTAGCGAGGTAATCCGCGCTATCTCAAGTTCGGGTACCATCGACCCCTAAAGTCGATATTAATGAGAGTCTGTAAGCGATATATATCCACGTGCACATGTGTATGTTCGTACAAGATGCCATATTTGCAAGAAGCCTTGACTCTCGATGATCAACGAATCTAGAGCTCTATCTCCAAGGTCAATTTGGTCTTAATGCAGTAAACACCCATGCTACTTCCTGCCCGATAGGTACCTCCGTATATGTATAATGTAGCTCTCCGCGTCACAATGCTGCCTCAGGCATTCGCCCCACCTCACCAGCATTTGAACCCTCCAATCCAAAAGATCACATATCCCCAAAACACCCACCATGGCGCCCAAAAACAACGCTAAGGGCGGTGACAAAGCCAAGCCTGCAAAGGGCAAGGGTAAGGATGCTGGTGACGATGCAGGAAAGGGAAAATTGAAGGCTGCGACGGCGATCAACGCCCGCCACATTCTGGTACGATTCTCTATATTTCTTCGATTGGATTGATAAATGCTGGAAAGATTCGCGTCTAATACTTTATTTGATCTGGCGTAGTGTGAGAAACACTCCAAGAAAGAAGAGGCACTGGAGAAGCTGCGTAATGGAGTCAAGTTTGATGAGGTTGCGCGCGAATTTTCAGAGGATAAGGCGAGACAAGGTGTGTTCAATCTTTCATTTTTACATGTTCCCTGAGGTTGTTGACTAGGACCTAATCTGTCTGTAGGTGGTTCACTGGGTTGGAAAGTCCGTGGAAGCCTGGATGCTGCGTTTGAGAAGGCGGCTTATGATCTGGAGCCCAGTACCACCGGCAATCCCAAGTATGCCGAGGTGAAGTCGGGCCACGGGTATCACATTATTATGGTCGAGGGCCGGAGATAGACTATTGATCATGACCTGGGAGATGTTACAGATTTAGCATTGCTACCTCGATGCTATCCATCAGTGGACCTCGAATAACGATTCATTTAAATGTGCTGATTGATTCGTATTGACTACCAAGCTCTTATAATGTTATTTTGTAAATTGATCAACTTCGTATATTGAGAATTTTCTAAAAAAACTCTACATTTACTTATCAATGCAAATGAACGCCTATAATCTAAGAAAAATTGTACACCCTACTGTGCCTTCCTGGCCGCTTCGATCTTTGCTTGTTCCTTAGCTTTCTTCTCCTGTCTTTGCACCACAGCCTCGGCCCCAATACCACCGAAGACCAAGGAAATTCCAAGCCACTGTCCACCGGACAAGGAATGTCCAAACCAGAACACACTCAGAAGCATGGTAAGCATCTTACGGGTTACTGTAACAGTGACAAGCAGCAGAGACGAGAAGTGCGACAGAGTATAAAAGATGAACAGTTGACCAACAGCGCCACATGCAGCAAAGCCAAGGACATTCTTCAGGGCCTCGGGATGACGCTGCAGGAATGAGACTGCAGACCACAGCTCTGTCCCAGTAGATGGGGGAATCGGGAACGGGAGCAGGTAATGCAGGATACCGCTTTGGGACAGGTGCGGCATAATCAGGAGATACGCAGTGGTGAGAATGGTCGACATCACATTCTGTGCGACCATCATCTGGGGCCCGGAGAACCGGGTGTACAGTTTGGGAGAGGTAAACACATGGTCTTGAGTGGTGTTGGTCAAGCCGTCGAGAAGGAGGTTGATGGACAGCAGAAAGATACCCCACATTGACGAACCAGAGTTATCCTTATCTGCGGCTGCAGCCACCTTCTTGTTCGTGCTAGGGTGATGCAGAGTGAACGTGGCTACGCCTAATGTAACCATGAGGACAACACCGTATTTATACAGCGGATACTTCTTGCGGAAGATCGTCAAGTGGAGGAGCATCACGGGGAGAAGCTTGCAGGACTTGGCGAGGATGAAGGTGAGGTAGTCGATATGCGCCAGGCTGGCGTACCCGAAGGGCGAAGCGAGCGAGGAAGAGATGCTGACCAGAAGTAATGGGAAGAGGATCCGACGTGTGGGGAAGATTGAGGGGACTTTTTGGCCCTTTGGCGTGGAGAACAGGAGGTAAGCGAAGCCGGTGATGGCGGCAAACGAGGACTGGATGGTGTTCAGCACTAGCGAGTATGTAAATCGTTCGGGTGCAGGTGATGGCTCGGCGGCTGTCGCGGGCACAGAGTAACTGGTTGTGGTGATTGCCTCTTGTAAGACACCCCATGAGAGGCTATTATCGTATTAGTTCTAGCAGTTCCACAGAGCCTCATATCACCATGCCCTTGCAAGGAACGTACAATGCGGCGTATATACCGAGGACACAAATGAGCAGTTGCATTAGACCAGGGGTCTCCGCGACAGTTTCCACTGCTGCTACAGCGGCCTTGGCGGGCGCACTTTCCGATACAACCGAAGAGACATTAGCGCTTCCATTGGTATGTTTTTCTTGTGCTTCGACCTCATTCCGCATCGATTGCGACGGGGTTCGCTGGAGCGGCGTCGTTTGCTTTTGCCGGCCCATTGTTCTGTAGTCGGGATTACAAGACTCAAGGGAAGGTCAGGCTAAATCCAGAGACTCGGCGGTATGAGCGCTAGCTTGAGTACCCAAGGGGATCGGAAAATATTTATTTATGAGGCCCTGGAGTGGAGCTAAAGAAAAAAAGATGATGCCATGTGTTCTTAGTTCACGCGCATCTTATCGGTAATCAGTGATCGCCAGGGGGCCCCACTTGCCCCCTGCAAATTAAACGTGATGAAATAGTATAGGAGCATTGAAAGGATCTTGATTCCAACTAAAGCATCACCAATATCAAAAGATAAAGCAGTAGATCAAAAGGAGAGCATGAACCATTCTCTCCCAGCCTTGTCCAATAAACTCTTCACGGAGGAAAGCGGTGGATCAACTCGATCTCCTTAGGTAGGCGGTGAAGACAGCTCCTCGATTTCTGCACAACTCTTTTCCGACGAATCCAATGCGTATCAAAAAGACGATCTCATTGCCCAATATGACATCCAAACAGCCGGAGGGCTCCGATTTGGAATCATCAGCCCTCACAAAACTTATTGCCTCCGCCTCCGCATCCGGAAACCCTCTCTCTGCAACCACAATCCAAGTCCTGCACAACCTCCAACACCAGCATCTATGGACATCTCTTCAAATTCACGACACTGATGCTTCGCCGGTTTCCACAGACCCAGTCCCTGAATCCCAAAATGACAAGTCCGGCGCCCCAACCTTGATTTCAGGTATCCCCCCAAACCGGATCTACACTCACCCTGACCAGCAGCTCTACATGCTTGGCAAGGGTATTCGCGAAGATGATCTTCCGCCAGAAAGGCTTTTCGTAATCCCAACTGCACAGGGCCAGTCATGGAGCTTGCGGCGTATGGCATCTGCGTTTGATGCAATGGCAGAGGCTAAGATTGTCGAGGATGGGGAAGGGCGGGCGGCGCCGGAGGTGGATGCTGAGAAGGCGCAGAAGCTGGATGAATACTATAAAAAGAGAGAGGAAGCTGTCGCTACGAAGGAATGGGGCGCTCAACGCTTATTGTTGGCGATGGTGGACAAGGGCATGGGTGGAGACGGGACTGTGGTGTACTATGTTGTGCAGGAGGGTGAGGTGAAACCTCGGCAGAACTAAGAGACCTATCACTTGCATCTTGGACATGGTTCGTTCAAACTCAACGGTATGTATCTTCCATTATTCCTTCGTCAATTGGTTGGACGTTATTTGCTCACAAATTATCTGCTAGAAGCGAAGGGTCGGCATCACATATATACGCCAGGATTATACAGGGTACAAACATCATGGGCCACCGGGTATAGTGTTTGCGTGAAAAGAAGAAAGACAAAGAAAGAAGCAACCATATATCTGAACAACATACAACATCCCCCAAGACAGGCCCAGACTGTAGCCTCAAAGTAGCAAGTTATCGTTCTTTTGAACCAGATCTTGCTCCTGTCGACAGCTGGTACAATACCTGTCATACCATTGCTTGACGCTGTCCGTGTTTTCGGCGAAGACGCGTCGGGCTTGCGCGTCTTTCTCGCCCTCGTCACTGCCACCACCAAGAAGAATTTCGACCTGACGACAACGCCGAAGCTCTTCACCAAGCCAGCGCTCCCATTCGGTCTGGATGACTTCCTTCTCGATGCCATTCACCACGCGCAATCCCACTAAAAGATTGTGTCGATAGGTTCCAAGGCGTTCACGAGTCTGCTGGAATCTTTTTGCAGCGCTCTTGGCCACTGCATCTCGGGGCCCCGAGGTGCTGAGGGATAGAGGAAGCTCTGCATGTCGGAGGGTATGCTCATGGAAAGCCCCAAAGCAATTGCTTGCATTCCCAGTATGAGCCCACATTGTCGTATTCGCGACCGCCTCATCGATGTCACGGATGTAGATGGCTTTGCTCATCACCATATCAGGCTGCACGCCAAGCTTAGCCATGAAGTTCCTTGCGTGTCGCTCATGCCACCAATCCCAAGTATCTCGGGAAGAGTAGAAACCATTCATGAGCACGCTACTGATCAACAGCACCAATATTATTTTGTGTGCACTCACGGTCTTCACTGACCAGCGAACGGCATCGATAGACCACATCATGAATAGTGATATGGTGCTTTCCAAGAAGGACAATGTTGTCTCGGTCATAAGTTGGGGCAAAGTGCGCTGGACTCGGGGCTTCCGGGGTTCTATTTTCAAATCGACTCCGACGCCATTGAAATGAGAAACGTTGTTCTGGCGTCCAACGTGACCGAAAATAGTGATAGCCTTCTTTGTGCGGCTATGTGCGCCCAAGCGTCGTACCTGGTCGCTCACCAGATCAACCAGATCCAAGGCATCCTCCTCTAGATCGTTACCCGCCCTCTTTTCGATCATATCTGGAAACAAACATTAGCAATTGATACCACTCTGATTGGGGGATGCAACCGACTTCTTAGACCGTAAGGGGACTTGAGCCACTCGACTTTGGTATAGATAGCAAGCTTGCTCTTGGATTTGGCAACAAAGGTGATTACAACCTTGCTGACCAGCCGGAAGTTTCGTCGGAATGGAAGATGCCATGGAGTTCGCTTGTCGGTAATCACATAGCACAAATGATCGTTGAGCACATCGATGATCTGGTAGTCGGAAATAATATTATCTTGGGTGTTCCCTATGAAACCGTTAGATGAGCAAAGATTCCAAGGATTTTAACGATAGATGAATTTACCAAGAATGCTTGTCGTCGCGATTTTGTACGTGAAGTCTCGCCGAAGATGTCGTGATTCATTGCTTGTCCAGGGGCCTTGCTTGATGTCTTCACGACAAGTCAGTATAGATAGTGAGCAAGTTCTTGAATAAAGCATGGCTTACCTCGTGCTTGTCTTTCATGAAGTAAGAGTTGCCATACCGCGCTCTTGTCTCCAAAGAGAATGTGGAATAATGCCTTGGGACTGACATCAAGTGTCTTCTCGGTCGTGAGGAAGAGGTCTCCTTGAGGAACATATTCCACAGGCTGGGTAGGAAGTCTGAATTTGGGAATATCTCTCCCACGCCCACCTTGACCCCTGTCTAGATCAATATCCTTGTCGATGTAAATGGGAGCGCGGAAGTCCTTGCCCATAGATGCAAGATGCCCCCCATTCCTAGCGTCGGATTCAACATCCTCCCAGCTGTCTGCGCTTGAAGTTCTCTTTGCAGTTCCGCTGTCCATTTTTATCAACTCCTTCAGGAGCTCCTCGAGGCTCAGTTGCTCAACAGCAATTGACCCTTGGATCAAAAAGTTCAAGCGTTTCTGAAGAAGCCTCAGTGGCTCGAGGAAAGTCTTAACGGTGACCCGACCAGGGGTGTCACTTCCAAGAGGGGGAATGGTATGAAGGAAAAGGAAATCGCAGTCTCTTCCTGTGGCAGCTGTGACTTCTTTGATGTTGTCTAGTCCAACACTTGTGGTCAACACAAGCCCGAAGTGATGACTGTAGAAATAGACGTTCCTAGTTGTGACATAGGCTCTGCCGGGGAATTCCTGCTGGTCATTGGGACTCCAGGTTGCCCTGAAAACCATAACTAGCGCCTCCTCTCTCTTGACATCGGGGAATAACAGCCGGAATTGAGCATCTTGAATCTTGAGTTGCTGTGGATAGATAGCCGGATACTGGGTCTGGGGAGTTTTCTTAACAGCACTCTGGGCAGCTTGTTGTATTTTAGCTGCAGCTTCTCCATCGAGGCTCACAGTCTGCCTGTGGCGGGGGCCAGACGGTGTATTGGTATCGTGTGACGTTATTGGAGGATCGATTTGCGCAGCAATTGTTCTGGTAGAGGAATCACTCATTGGGGATGTAGGCCGATCATGATCTCCGTTGACTTGCTGAGGCTTTTCCAGCTCAAACTTATTGATGAAGCCCCAATTAGAACTTCCCCAAAGGTTTGCCATCATACCACTAGGCATACCACCCGTGTTGTCCAACCGCCCTAGTCCAATGCCCCTTTCGCTGCTCACAACCACTGCAGCCTTGCTCATACTTGTTGGGGCAGGTGGGTTGGCGAGAGTTGGAGGGGCGAGGCTTGCTCCGGGCTCCTCTAGAGTGCTCATGCTGCGACCCCGGGTCCCGTCTCCGTCTTTCGCATTCACGAAATTGGCGCCATTATAAGGGAGAATATTATGGCTAGCCGAAATGAGACTAGCGATGCCACCCGCCGGGCCAGGAATTGAGGGTGAAGCTGGAGGAGCATTGTTTGACTTGCGATGAAGGTCCAGTTTCTGAATGATGTGTGCTCTCGTAGAGCCTTCGGCATCATGACCTGTAAGTCGCCGACCACCCACCTCGGTGCTAGCCCTGAATGCAATCCCATCTCGATCTGGCACTGGCAGGGTTGCGCTGCGATCCGCAGAGCTTGACTCGTCGTTGGGATGCGGTGTGAGGGAATCACTTGGATCTGCAGTAAACTCGGGAGCAGGAGGCTGTGAGATCGCAAACGCAGGGTCCTGCACAGTCATCTTTCCAGATACGGACAGATCTGTACTACTTGGATTGTCGAGGGCTTTTTGCTTAGCAGCCTCGAAGGCGCCAATCCACTCCATCAGCTCCCTTTGTGTCTCAGCTTGCAGGATTATGCTGCTATTTTTAGTCTTCACTTGAAAGCAGAACCGTCGTTCCTCCTGGAATGCAGGACGAACACTGCAAAGCAGCACGCCTATTCTTTCACTTTCTTCGACGCCACCAGTACGGGCTCCTTGGATAAGACATCCAAATATACCATTCTTCAAAAAGGCCCAGCGCCTCACCCATACCGTACGAGTGGGTTTGCCAGAGAGGGTCCGCAAGCCGAGCCAGCCCTGCTTTTCTGGCTTGGCTTCCTTGCTCATATTGAGAGATGAGAGGGGACGAGAGCCAAGGTAAGGCACAGTGGAAACGGAATAATCCTCTAATTCCCGGGAAGGTCTTGCAACAAGTTCAGCGGCTTCTTCGATCTGTTTTCTTGTCGAGAGGAGCTCTCGTTTGGAGGATCTATCACTCGCTTCCATCTCGTGAATCCATCCTTTGATACGGTCCATCTCATGCGCCCACTTGGAAAAGGTCGCAGCGTTGTTGTTGTGAAATCCTCGCACTTCTCGCCATTGGTCAAAGGAGACTCGAACAAGGAGTCGATCAAGTGCATTTCGAAGCTGGGGTCCTTGGACAGAGAAGTCCATGGAAGCTCTCAAATACGCCTTGCGGGCCTCGTGAAGCTGGAATGCTTCCTCCCTGAGAGTGGATGTATCCTTTGACTTCGATTGCGAGGCGTACCGTGCGTGCAGATAATCAAATTGCTTTTGTGCATGTTCAAGGGCGCGACGAGTATCCTATGCGAAGTCTACAGTTAGCCGCTGTGAACTGCAGGTAAACATGCGGGGGAAAAGATGAGTGGGTACTTTGAATTGCCGTAGATCTTCCTGGATGAAGGTCCGGATCGGCTCGGCGATTAATGACTCCATTTTCTTGATTGTTGCCACCAAGCCATGCCACAGGTCCTTCGAGCTCTCCCCATTCCTCCGCATCGCCAATAGAGTATAGTCATGGTCCACAACAGCTTCAGAGACCACCAAGGGGTGAGTGGAGTAAGACAGGAAACCGCCGACTACACTCTCTAGAGTCAGGACCTCAGAGGTGAGTTTAGTTGCGGCTCTAGCATATCCGTCAAGCCATTTCTCGATGAAGTCGATCTGGTCGCAGAAGTGGAGGGTGGTAGCGCGAAAGGTTGGCGAGTCGAGGGCAGCTTCTTTAAGACCAACAGGACTAGGTTTTTTAGGGCATGTTAGAATTGGCAATTCTTAGAAGGATGGGGGCCGCGTTCAGAACTCACACCACGCTCACAAGCTTCCCGACCTGGGGTAACGGGGTGTGTGATTGAGTCGACATCTAGTGCATGCCTCCGTCCATACACTTGACGCGAGCAAAATAAGCCACCAAGGGGGAAATAAAGAATAAAATCTAGTCTTCTCTTCACAGTGGAATCGAGTCTAGCAAACAAGAGATGCTGGAGAAACCTGGTGAGAGCTGCCCACGTGCAGGTCAGCGGATTTGAAGCCTCACAATGCTATGATCTAATTGGCTACGTCAGTCGGCGGAAGCTGGAGTACTCAAAGTGCCTTATTCCCCAGGTGTTAGTCAGGCGCCTATTCAGGTGGCTTGCCCAGAGCGGTGTGTGATTTTTTTTTCTGCCCATCGACTCTTGCCGCGAAACAGAAAAGTTGCTAGAGATTATTTTAGGATCCTTCATTGCCCAAAAAATGGAGCCCCCTTCAAAGAAAATGCGGAAGCTCATGGATGACGATAGCTCTGACTCTGGTGATGATGCTGGTGGCGTTCCCGTCAGCAAGTCGCCCGAGGCTGGCTTCAAGATCAACGAAGACTATGCCAAACGGTTCGAGTACAATAAGAAGCGGGAGGAGGTTGCAAAGTGTATGTTTGATCTACCGAAGTAATGAGTATCTTATTGTGGGAACTCAAACTAACTTGCACTTTCATTCCAGTGGAATCGAAATACGGCAAGAATACCACTCTAAGCAAACGCGGCTTTGAAATGGAAGAGGATGATGAGTCTTCCACCGACGAGGAGGAGGATGACATTGGAGAGCTCGCAACGGAGGCACTCGACGCAGAGATCATGGAAACTCTTAACGCTATCCGAAACAAGGACCCGCGTGTGTACGATAGCAACGTCACTTTCTACTCAAAATTCGACGAAGACGAGGCCAACGCAGCACCCAAGGAGAAGAAAGAGAAACCCATGACATTGCACGACTACCATCGCAAGAACCTGCTGAGCGGCGCTCCCACCGGGGAAGAAGATGCTCCAATGACCTTTGCGCAAGAACAAGCTGAGCTGAAGAATGCACTCGTCAAGGAGTTGCATGCTTCGGATGATGAGATGGAGGATGCGGACGACTTTCTGGTCCGCAAGTCTGCCCCAGAGCCAGTTGAAAAGAAGGAAGTAAAGTTGGACATTGAGGGTGCCGACAAGGACCCAGAGACCTTCCTCTCCAACTTCCTATCCGCTCGAGCATGGGTTCCTGAAGGTCGGCCAGAGCTCCACCCCTTCGACTCCGATGATGATGAGGAAGTCGACCGGGCCGATGTTCTTGAAGAGGCGTACAACTTCCGTTTCGAGGATCCTAACAAGCTCAACGAGGCGCTGGTTACCCACGCTCGTGATGCAACCAACAAACAATCCGTCCGAAGGGAAGAGAAGAGCTCTCGCAAAAAGATTCGCGAGGCTGAACGCCAGCGCAAGGAGGAGGAAGCCAAGCAGCGTGAAACCGATAAGAATCGACTGCGCAAGCTCAAGACCGAGGAATTGCAAAAGAAGATTGACCAAATCAAGGAAGTGGCTGGATTCAGAGCATCAGAACTCACCGACGATGACTGGATTCGCTTCCTCGATGGTGCCTGGGACGACAAGGAGTGGGAAAAAGAAATGGAACGGCGATTCGGCACAGACTACTACGCTGAGGGTGCTGCTTCCAGCGATAAGAAGCATCCCAAGAAGCCTGAGTGGGACGATGACCTCGATATCACTGATCTGATTCCAGACTACAAGGATGACGACGGAGAACAACCCACTTTAGAATTAGAGGAGGATAATGAAGACGAGGGCGAAGACGAGGCTCCAGCTTCCAAGAAGAGCAAAACCCAGGATAAGCGCGATCAAAAGAGGGAGGCTCGCAAGGAACGTTTGCGCATCCAGGAGGCTGTTGACCGCAATCTGGACCTGGACATTACCTTGCTTCCTGGTGCGACCAAGAAAAATGCGACCAAGTTCCGTTACCGTGAGACTTCGCCCCAGAGCTTTGGCTTGACAGCACGGGATATTCTCATGGCCGATGATACCCAGCTCAACCAGTTCGCTGGTCTCAAGAAGCTCGCCTCTTTCCGTGACGAGGAGAAGAAGGCCAAGGACCAAAGGAAGCTGGGCAAGAAGGCTCGTCTTCGCCAGTGGCGCAAGGATACTTTCGGCGATGAGGCTGGTCCTTCCTTTGACTTGGGTCCCAAGGTCAAGGAGACTGCGGATGAGGAGGCCGGTAATGACATGAAGGTCGATATCCGCGAGGGTGATGGACGCAAGAAGCGTAAGCGGTCCAAGAAGCACTAAGCAAAGTGCAGCCAAAAAAAGCATTTTCATTGTCCATAGTTATTATCTACATCAACGGGGTATGGAGTTTTGACATGATCCATAGTGATTCAATTCATGGTCTCATTGAGTTTTGCATCAATTGCCAGGTGTCCATATGCCGCTATTCGTATATCATTGAAGTCCAGCCCTTGAGTACTCACGCCCGTACTGCCTATATCCATTGGACTAGTGCATGCACAGTGGATATGTATGGATGCTGACTGTCTACTGTAGCTCCAGACGCGTGTCTACGGCTCTCCAACCTTGGAAGGCTTCAGGAGCACTGTCGGAGAGTTGAAGAGTGGAGATTTGTAGGTATATATTCCTGCGCATGTGACTGCTCAAGTACCTAAGAGCAGTACCATATGCTTCACTTCCAAGGCTAACCACGACCATACTATTACTACTACCCCTTGCCACTCTTGACGTTAGTTCATTGGACCAGTCCATTTATTTCTGCAGGCTTTTTTCCGACGACTCCTGAAAAAGCAAATTGTCCTTTGACCAGGGGCCAGTAGCACCAGTTTAGCAATGGCTCTTCAAAGCCAGGGCTGTAGTCTAAGATTCAAATTACGATGATGATATTCCAGCTGTCACTAAGGTTGGAGGCTAGAAGTTCAAGCTCTGGAAAAATAAAAAACCTCATGCAGCTTGGGGTTTCTGATATGCACATCCAGAGCTGCAGTGTACATGTACAGTGACGGGTCATAAGTATTTGCACCCCCTCGCCCCACACCCCCTGCTTATATAATATTCTGCCGGTCAAAAACCTTGGAAATTGTATGAATTCCTACCTAATATGGTGTATACCACCCTTGAGACTCAATAATTGCCTCGACACGGTGCGGCATAGTCTCCGAAAGATGGCTAAAATGGCTAAGATCAAGCTCATCCCAAGCCTGTTGCGCTGTCTCGACTAAGATTGCCTTTGTTTCGTTGTTATTCCTCATATGGATCAAATCAGGTCGAAGTTTATAAATTGCCGCTTTAAGTAATGCCCATAGGTTCTCAATAGGATTCAGATCCGGTGAATGAGGTGGCCACTCCATAAACTCGATATTCATCTCCTCTAAAGCTTCTCGTACAACGTAGGCAGTGTGTGTTGGTGCGTTATCATGCTGAAATATAGCGTCTTCATTCGCCATTAAAGTAGGTAAAATTCGACGATATAAATCCTCAATAACGAAGCGGTTAATACCTCCTCTTTCAGATTCAGGATCTCCAAAAAGCGGGATCAATCCAGTACGCCGCACAGCCCCTGAAAACGCTGCCCAAAACATCTACTTAACTTGCTTTCCACGCTAAGGTAGCCCTTAGACTTGGCCCTCTTTTGGTTAGTCTCTTGGACGAGTAAAAGTCCACTCCCGGCGGACACCAATTCCACGTTCAACCGTACACTCATCAGACCAGAAAACTCGGGCCCAATCCTCAGGCGTAAAGTGTCGATATCGGTAGGCCCATCGAAGTCGTTTCGTGGCATTCTCCTCAGTTAAGTATGGTCGCCAACTACAGCGCCACTTCCGGAGGTTCTCAGCGTTTAGAAGGCGTTGAATCGAACGAATTTTCACCTTATGGTCAACCTCAGCGAGTAGATCTTCACGTGTAATTCTTGGATTACCATGAATAGCCTCGAGAATTCGGTCTTTCTCTGCGTCAGAGAGCTTTTTTGGCCGACCAGAGCGTGCCTTAGAGACACCTTCTCGTCGTTCATGCTCCTTCTTAATTGTATATCGAATTGTAGATAGTGGGATATAGGGATAACGCTTTTGAATACGTTTATATCCCCATTTAATAGCGTGGAGCTCGCATATACGCTCACGTATGGCGGATGTAAGCTCCGCTGAGCGGGCCATGTTAGCTGAAGCTGATAGATATTAGGAGATATAGTGAATTAGACAAGAAAGGGGGTAGTTCTAATAATATTGAACGCGAGACTATACACGACTAATTTAGCGTGATTTCTGATACGCGAATTAGGAAGGCGGTACTAGCGGTGAGGGAGTGGGTCTTTAGGGGGGTGCAAAAACTTATGACCCGTCACTGTACATAGATAGCGTATCCGTAGTTCCCGGAACCCAGCAAGTGGATCCGTATTATCGGCGTACGGAGTACCTGGCCCTGTCTGGGTACATTGCACATGCGGCTCACCTCCACTTTAAACTTTGTACCCAGTACATAAAAATAGAGGAAAAAATGGCTCATAATGACATGAAAAATTTGATTGCACTTACCCAGGGGCTTATGTATATGGCGTATTTTGTATTGTGTAAAACCCTAGATACTCAAATGAAAAGCTTCAAAGATTTACAGTATCCATGCAGAGTAGCAGATGCATGTGAGGAAAATTTCATCAACCTTGGAAGACTGGCCCTGATGATACATGATAATTCGTATATCTCCGAGTCGAAGCCGATCTACTTTTGAATGATTCCAACTTTAATTTTTTTTTCTCAATCCAGGCTCTAGAACTAATCACCAACAGTGGATTCCTAATTTCCCCAGGAACAGAGATTTGGTTCGGGGGTATAAAATTCTACAGGTGGCAAGTGAGGTCGGGTCGCCTCCATCGGATACTCGGGGCAGGGAAAAAAGGAGTGTTGCCCCGGTTGTGAGTGGACCAGCGGATGGGGAAAGATACGCTCGTACCCAGACATGACGGTCCACCGGGCGCTTGGACGCTCACCGTTGCTCGGGCTACGTGCTTGGGAGTGGTCGATAGTTGTAGGTGAGGCTTCAGAAATTCAGGGAAATTGATCAGAGCTAAGTGAAAGAGGGCACTTAGCAGATATTGGTGATCTGAGTACAGACTTTCCCTTTTTTTTGTTGTGATTTTAAAGTGATCTATAGGGGTCCTTGTAACCAGTAAATTCATGCAGAGATTTTTTTTTTATTACAGGCCGATCGGGAGATATCGGCAAGGTGGCCGGCCATACAGGGAATTACGGTAATAAAATCCTGATTGAGCGTTAGTGTGCTGCGTGTCGCTTCTGCCCGTGTACGGCAGTATTTTTCTCCCTTCCGCCCCCTTCTCTCTCTTATTCTTTTTCTTCCCTTCCGTCTCCGAACCTTTCTCTCTTCTCCATCTCCTCTCTTTTTTTCGTTGTAGCATCTATTTTCTTGCACAACCTTCACAATGGCTCAGGGTGACGTTAACCAGGGCGATAAGTCCGTCTTCGGCATGCCCGTAAGTTGATTCCCCCCTGCTCCCCAGATGAGTTGGCATGGTGCTGTCGCACGCGTTTTGAATCGATGTCCTGGGCTCTTCGCCTTGGACTCAATTCAAGGGTATCAGTACAGCAAACCATCAACCAGTTCATCACAATGCATATCACTTGACGAAGAATAACTGGCTAACGTGTTTTTAATCCAGGGCTTCGTTGTCGACTTCTTGAGTATGTGTTCACTTTTCCAGATTTCAGCATCTGGCTGAGAACTGCCTATCTGTGCCATCTGCTTTCAATAATTGATACTAACTGATCTTACAGTGGGTGGTGTCTCCGCCGCTGTCTCCAAGACCGCTGCTGCCCCCATTGAGCGCATCAAGCTGCTCATCCAGAACCAGGTTGGTTACATCCCTTTCATAATAATTCATCGATTATCATGGATCGACCTCGAGAAGCATCAATCTCGAATCCAGGGATGATTACAATTGGATAACTGGTATCATCTACCGGAACTAGTTGTTTTGACACCTGGAGGCAAGAAAGAAAATTTTTTTCGTCGGTCCATGGCGGTCGGGAATTATGCCTTGTTTGTCCGACCGGTCATTAACCCGATGCTTTCCTTATAGGATGAGATGCTCAAGGCTGGCCGTCTTGACCGCAAGTACAACGGTATTGCCGACTGCTTCCGTCGCACTGCTGCCCAGGAGGGTATGGTCTCCCTGTGGCGTGGTAACACCGCCAACGTCATCCGTTACTTCCCCACCCAGGCCCTGAACTTCGCTTTCCGTGACACCTACAAGTCCATGTTCGCCTACAAGAAGGAGCGTGATGGATACTTCAAGTGGATGATGGGTAACCTTGCCTCCGGTGGTGCTGCCGGTGCCACTTCCCTCCTCTTCGTCTACTCCCTGGACTACGCCCGTACCCGTCTGGCCAACGACGCCAAGTCCGCCACCGGTAACGGTGACCGTCAGTTCAACGGTCTCGTTGACGTCTACCGCAAGACCCTCGCCTCCGACGGTATTGCCGGTCTCTACCGTGGTTTCGGTCCCTCCGTTCTCGGAATTGTTGTCTACCGTGGTCTGTACTTCGGAATGTACGACTCCATCAAGCCCGTTCTCCTGGTTGGTCCTCTTGAGGGCTCTTTCCTCGCTTCCTTCCTGCTCGGCTGGACTGTTACCACTGGTGCTGGTGTTGCTTCCTACCCTCTGGACACTGTCCGTCGTCGCATGATGATGACCTCTGGTGAGGCCGTCAAGTACTCCTCTTCCATGGATGCTGCCCGCCAGATCGTCGCCAAGGAGGGTGTCAAGTCTCTCTTCAAGGGTGCTGGTGCCAACATCCTGCGTGGTGTTGCCGGTGCCGGTGTCCTGTCCATCTACGACCAGGTCCAGCTCATCCTCTTCGGCAAGAAGTTCAAATAGATAACTCGCCCTCAAAAGCGGTTATTTTAATCACCTTGTAGTTATACTGGAGTCGGGGATGTCTTCCCTGCCCCCAGTGTAATCACTGGGCGCGGGAAGCTGAGGTTGTGGCAATGGCAAAAGATAGATGCGTCAAGAAATGGGTTCCGGGGGATCTTGAGCATAGAAATGGTGTGATTCTTCCTTTTTGGACCCGATGTACTTTACTGCCTGCAAGCTCTTTTTCTTTTCTTTCAAAATCTGTATTTTTTCAAACGTATCTGGCTTTTTTGTAAATTTTCCCATCTCGTAGAGAGTTCTCCTTGCGTAGTCCTTGCCCTGTCTGGGGAGATTTTCATGATGGCTTGTCCATGTGCCATCATTCCGGTGTTAGCTGCATGCTTTCCCCTAATGAGAGTGACCTTGGAACTGATTCTTTCCAGCATCCAAATCACAAGTCTCTATGATTGCATATGCAACGTGTCCCGAGTACCAGAGATACGTATTGGCCTTCCCACGGTACTTCAACATGTGAGAATTGCAAAGTATAGGCTTTGAATCAAGCAAACCTGGATACAGCTCCTGTGTAATAGCTTTTTCTTTCAAAGCTCCAAGCCAATTCTCAAGAAAGGGTTCTTAACTCCACAGCAAGCCCACCCTTGATGCGCCCCACAGTGGAAAGCGCATGACGTCTCGGGCGGCACTACAACAGGAGCTTTCTACAAGCTCCCTTCACCTCCTTCCTTAATCACCTCAACTCTACCCATAGACAAATAGCTGCAAGCCAAAATGTCTGATTCACCAGGTATTCCCACCTACACGTCCGCCCCTCTGAATTCAAACCAGAAGGAAGAAGACACCACCGCAGCCAAACCCCAGCCTCAACCCGCCACCGCAATCGAGTCCTCCATAACTACAGCTCCCCAACCTGCAACAACCTCAGCTACAGCCACCGCGCCCTCATACTCCCCCATATACGCAACATCCCAAAACCCCCCGCCACCACTGCCTGCCGCCGCAGCGAGCCTGCCAACTCCAACAGCAGCTCCTGTACCTCAACAATCAGGCAACCTCACCGCAACTCCAACAACCACAATCCCCTCCACGACCTCTCAATCCCCGCCAGCACCCCAAGCAGGTCCTTTCCCAACTCCCACGGGAGCAGGGGTTACATCGACAGCTCCTTCGTCAGTTCCCCCACCCCCTAAAGCAGGTGAAGCCATCACGCCTTCTCTGCACTCTACGCATCCACCCACCGGCACCTCATCTCAAACACCATTTACACAATCATACGCCTACCAGCGCCACCCGTCTGGATCACACGGAACAATTCCAAACTCCACTTCTTCTCCGTATTCGGCTGTGTACCGCAGCTCATCAGAGGGAGGCTCACGGCCACAAGGACTGCCCACGTACCAAAGCAATAGCAGCGGGGGCGGAGCGAACAATATCTTCCCCGACGATGAGGAGCCTGGATTCATGAATGTGGCAAAGGGGTGGATGCAAAGTGCCGGGGAGAAGTTAGCGGAGGTGGAGGCGGAAGTTTGGAAGCGAATTAATGATGCCCATGGGAAATAAGATGGAATTATGGAATTGAATTGGAAGAGGCACCAGTTCCTTTCTTGGCTCTGCTTGTCTTTCTTTTCGGGGTGGGCTTTGGGTCGGTTGCTATCTGTATCTTCTCTATGGGGTGTTTTCGGGGCACTGGATGGAGGTGAGATGAGGGTTTGGATGCCCTGGTATACTTGATTAACTTGAGCTACTACTGATATTCTTGGGATATGAACTTAGGGCTGTGGATCTGTTGAAGCTCTCTATGTACTTACTGGCGTTGTGAATTTATTTTTTATTAAGTTCGATCCATGAATTGATCGTCCGAATTATACTACACTCTACTATCTATCTTGTTATCGCCAGGGATCATTCTCTGAGCCTCGTGGCTTTTCTAAGATATCATAATTGCATCCCATATCCTAACATTGAATACACGGTCAGTGACATTGATGTGACTACGAAGGAAGACTTGGATATTTAGCTATTTGCAATGACTTGGCTCATGTTGATGAGAGACCTAGTCTCACTTGATTTAGGATATAAAGACATGCGAGCCTAAGCAATGTAGGCTCTTGAGAACGACCTAAACCAAGACAATGTATATACTTGTCGAGTTCCGAACAAGAATCCATAATCCACCGTACCCCATATCCCAACTCAGTCCCAACGTGAGTGTCCATAAACGAGAAAATCAGAATAAAACCGGAACCAAAAACGCACTCAGTGAAATCAGTAAAGATGACTGAGAGCACAACCACAAAACAGGAGCCAAAAACCAAACCAACATAGTGCGTTGCCAGTGCAAATCAGCCAAGACGACCAACAGCGCACCTGGTTTTGGTTGGAGAGATTCGACAATCTGTGTGCAATCGGTATGGAGCCCGGAAATACTCAAACAGGAAATTAGAGAGTTCAAATATTAAGTAATAAGAAAAAGCGAGCTCCACGGGGAAGGTTGAAGCCCGAGACTCGATGCGAAAGGAAACAAATGCCCACAAAGTTGCAATACCAAGAAAGTGAGCCCAGATGGAGGGGGGTATTCAGTACAGCCCAAAGAACTGTTTTCAAGGGTAAGACCATCTGGCTGCAACAGGAAATAACGCCGGAATCCACAAGAGAAATAAAAAATACAAAACTCCAACGCCGAATGGTATCCCACCATCAGCGTCATGTTGCAAGCGTTCCAGTATGGACGCCTCATTTTTCTGATGAGTCGTAACAGAAGTCAAAGTGGTCCGGACCAGCCTTGATGACCTCATTATGAATGAAGGGTGTATCCCATGGTAAAAGGAAAGTGAGAAACAGAAACGCCGAGCCATGAAGTGTAGAGCTTTACATAGAGCCCAGACGAAGAAGCGCCTCTACCGCAGCGCGTTCCTGGTGGTCAAAGGTGTGGGGAGTGGACCGAGCGATAGTGGATGGAGTGGGTCGGGCATTGGCGTTACCGAAAAGCCCAGGAAGAGGCTTTGCTCTAGCCGCAACATTGCGCACAAAGCCACCACCCCCAGTCATCGATCGAGCACGCAGTGCATCCGCACCAATCTGTGCCCAATCCTCTTCGTCGGTGACATCACCTTCATTCCACTCTTCGTCCTGCAGCTCGTCCGGCGCCTCGGAGGAAGAGCAGTACTCACGAACATCACCATCTAGCGACATCTTATCCGCCTCATGCTCAAGCATGTCGAGATCTTCGTACCGTGCACCGTAATCATCCGCCTCCGCATACGAAAACGCGATCGAATCATTACGAGCCTTGTTGACGGTATAATGATCCCGGCTATCACGACGGCTGTCCCAGGCTGAAGAGCCCTCGATCTGCAGTCCGCGCTGCTGGAAGGATTCGGCTACACTGGATGGAGGCGATGTCGCGTTAAAGGAGCGGTCGCGCGCGGGCTCGCCACGTCGACGCGCATCCCAACGTCCCCAACCGATCTTCTCGAACACAACATCGCCATCCACACTGGCTGTTTCCCCGTTTCCACGACCCTCCAACGCGGCCACGACTAGTCGACGTGCCTTGGCAGGTGGGATACGCGAAAACCCGGGCACCGACGTGGTCAGGTAGCCCATAACATGGCGAATAGCCAAGGGGCCCTGCTGCAGCAGGATCTCGGGCAGATGGTATTTAGCCAGCATGAGCGGGGTGATATCGCCGACGCTGTCTAGATCGCGGGAGGGCTGTGGTCGATCCTGGAAGTTCGCGTGCTCGACGGCATCATCCAGGTCGATGTCGGAGTCCAGCTGGGGTACGGTGGACAGCGGAGAGCCTGGAGAGAGGGCAGGGCGGTGTTTGAAGGCTTGAGGGTGAAGGGTGGGGGAGATAGAGTTGGGTGGCGTTGGAAGCATGGTAGGCTGTCCTGGGCGCGACTGGGTCTTGCCGTTCAGGCCAGCACGGGGCTGAGGGATATCAACAGAAGCGGTCTTGCCAGCAAGAGCCATAGCGATGCTGGAGTTGGACTGGAAAGCCATGATGGATGATGGAATGTGTCTGGGAGAGAGCGCACGCGCAGGGCATATACTAATGGTATGAGTCAGATTGGGCCGTTCCATACAATGCGACACCGCGCCATGGGATTGGTTTGGGGGTTTCAGTGGCGACAAGGGACGTTTCTATTTCCAGATGCATCTGCAGAAGAAAAAACAAAGAAGAACTTACCTCTCAAGAAAACAAAGAGTTGGTGGTTACGCACTAACACACGCAGGTACGCGAAGCTGCTTCCACGGAGTAGCGGGAGACGAGATGCGACGCGGTAAGGGAGGGGGGGTCTTTCGCGAAGGAGATAGATCACCACCAATCTACCAAAGTAGAATAAATTTGAAAAGTTGGAGGTTAGAGAAAAGAGAAGAGACGAGAGAAGGGGGAGTTAATTATTTGTGCGACTGTGAACTATACTGCCCCTCTTACACCTTGGAAAGGGAAAGTATGGGACTCCGCAGGTGCTGTCCAGGCGCAGCGCGTGGGCGGACTGATTGGCGCCTCGTGGATCTACTTACGCCCCGGGTGGTTCCGGACTTGGTCTATATTATGAACTATACAGTTATTGATTTCTTCGATGTCGATGTCATCTTGACATCTTCACGAACATGTTTGAAATCCCTGATCGGACCCAGGATCCTTTTCCTTTCTTACAGTAGTCGCAAATCATGCGAAAACCCCCGGACCTAAGGGGTCCAAGTGACCAAGGCAGAGAGAGATCGACCCCTCACGGTCTTATCAGTCACTAGTCCGGAAGCTGCAGGGCTGCAACCCCAAAATACATGGTGCGCCCGCAAGCAGCATATATCAACGAAAGTCACTCGGTGCTGAAAGTCAAGTCCGCGCACTGATAAGCCTCCCTCCCGGCACGTGGTGCGCCCAGTAGATACCAACCGTCGACTTGCACTTCACGTAACTCGGTACATTCGTCTAACTTTTCAAACCCTAATGCCTTCCCACACTCCTATTTTTCTGATCTACGAAACCGGCCATCAACCCCGCCAACCTCGCGCCCCATCGCACACTCCACTTTCACGGGCCTTGCATGGCCATCTGGACTCGACGACCGAGATTCCCTTGACGTCATGCCGGTACCAAAGACTTGGCGGGAGAGTACCCCCCTGTGCCCTAGGGTATCGAGCCCCGTAGGCCCCTTCACACGATCGAAAATCCCTCGACGCGTGTCCCAAAATGCGCCCTTAGCGCTGCCAATAGGAATTCCCACCATGCGCATCTGGTGGCTGGGATTTTGTGCTAACTTTGATCAGCCGTGGCGAGACTATGCTGCATTGTCCGGGTATGTTGCCCGGTTAACCGAAATAGTCCGAGGGAATGCCGGGTTACCATTGTAGGACATGTTGTGCACGCAGCCGGGGGAAATATACCTTGATTTCAACTTCTATTTCCAAGGTTTCTATTTTGGTTATCTAGGCATCAAAGGGGCCCTGGTCTAGTCCGGAATGACGCACTTTCGCTTCATGATGGTGGGGGTGCCGTGGGGTCTGATAACGCATCGGGGTGTATACTCTTCGGCATCCAGTCCGAGGTTTGATTTTTGATGAGTTTGTGTAGTGTCAAAACTCGCGAGATTGCCCCGCAGAACTGTTGGGAATTGCCCATTGGTCATGCGCTGATTCGCATAGAGGGTTGTAAGACCCCGCGGAAACGCATGTACAACTCAGAAACAGATCGTGGAATACGATGGAACAAAAGCAAGTGCATTGATCATCACTTGGCGGCACTTGAAGCAATATTTGAAATTCCATTGATCAATGAAAGAGCGTCTGTGCAGTTTGTGCAGGAGTCTATCCATCTCCAACCTTGCAAATGTCACCTGTTTCAGCCACTCAGTAAAACGTCCCATCCGATTTCCATTGTTCCCCACAAACAAACTCCCCACCTGCAGAAGTTCCCGCCAATCCAGGTACCGAATGCTGCAGATGGTCTCTCCAGAATCGGCCAATTCCTGAACGTACTTCCCTCTGGACATTGTAAACACAACCCTCCACTGCCACTTGGACCCCTTCAGAAGAGTTGCCATCTCCACTATGTATACATACCCAGTAGGTGAGGCAGACCGGACCGTTACTCGGGCTGCATGTCCAATCTCAGGATCTCGGTGAGTCTGCTCGGGTTTTCTAGGAACGCATAGCATTGTGTCCATATGGAATTAATCATATGGGGGCGCGGGTATCAGGGGCGGGGGCGGGGTGTTGTTGGGTTTAGTAGGAGTGCTGAGACCCCCAAGACTCTTTGAAAACTCCGCCTGAGTTTGCCAATTCGCTTTCTTTTAAGATCTGAGATTGTGCTTGCCTTGCCTTCTGGATAAATGGATTGAATTGAGCCGGCTCAAATGGTGGCTGAGATCAAGTCCTCCCACCGGATTATGCCTGATTCCCCGCTCAAAGCCACTGCAGATGCTGAGCTTATGGCCTGGTTTAACACTTTAGTCAAGGAGAATGTCCCGGATGATGATCTCGATACCTTAGTTACTCTATATGTCACGGAAACGCTCATGGACTTTAGTTTCCTTAACCTTAACTCTCGATAAACATCCGCTGACCCGGTCCACCAAGGAGATGGGATCTTCAGTTTGAACTTCTCGAGCCCGGTTGAATGCCATGTCTTTGGCGGATGCCATTTTCCCGGCGCGGGGTTGGGGTTTGAATATGCTTGCTAATTACCCTGACCACTTTCCTAAACGTTATAAGGAACATGGAGGACTCAAGAAGCAGTATGGATTGATAGGAAGATGATTTGCAAAGTTAATCAAAATGTTTAATATCATTAGTATATCCTGCTTCCTGGCAGCTACCGTAAATGCGGCGTTGAGTCCCGGCTCGATAGAGTCGGATCTCTCAATTCTTATTCATAATGACCTTCTAGGTAGCTACATTCCCTCTTGTCTCTTATAAGAAGGACCGATATTGACATGACTCATAGAAGGGAACAGCACACTGGCTGGATCTGGAGTTTTGCTTCTGGATCCAATGCCACTGCAGAAAGCCATTGAGACCTGCTATAGCCTTGGGGAGACTTTGTGGTCTTACAAAGCCGAGTTTTCGGACATCAAACATGACTTGCAGTATCTCAGTTATCAGGGCAAATATAGCGAGAACCAAAAATATTGGATCGCCCCTGTTCACAACACACCTTCAACAATCAATGCGAATGGAAAAGTCCAGAAAGCTTCTGTGAACACTCACCTCCCAGCACTCTGCACCCAAAGTGCCCCGTACTCCAACTCCGAAAGCCAAGATACGAGTTCGAGATGGCAAGTCTCTGTTCATTCTAATAATGAATACCTCACGGGGTAAGATATTCTAGTGTCGCTGTTGAACCATCATAACGTCAATACAGGTTTCGTGATCGAGTGAGCTTCCGCTTCCTCGGCATTCGATATGCTCCGCAGCCCAAACGCTGGACCCATTCCCAGCTTTATGAAGGAACAGGCAACGATGCTTCCGCCCTCGACTACGGATCTGAATGTCCACAGAGTTCCAGTGGAGCAGAGGACTGTTTCTTCCTGAACATCTGGACGCCATACCTTCCCAAATCCAGAAGTACACGAAAGGAAAAACTGAAGCCAGTCATGTTTTGGATTCACGGCGGTGCTTTTCAAACCGGTACTGGAAGCGATCCCACATCTGACGGAGGCAATTTAGCATCAAGAGGTGATGTAGTGATGGTCACCACGAACTACCGTCTGGGAAACCTGGGATTCTTAGCTCTAGATGATGGAACTACAAACGGGAACTACGGATTAGCGGACCAGATAATTGCACTTGAGTGGGTGCAACGCAACATTCGAGATTTCGGCGGTGATCCGGAACGAGTGACTATATTTGGACAGTCTGCTGGAGCAGGGTCAGTTCGAGCGCTCCTAGCCTCCCCAAAGTCCAGAGGATTGTTTGCCGGTGCCGTTATGTTGAGCAACCTAGGGGGCGTGGGTTATGGAACGACATACTCTGAGTACTACAGCATCGCCGAGGAGATGGAGGTCGTGGGGAACGATATTCTGAGCGAAACAAATTGCACAAATGCCCGCTCCAGGATTGAGTGTCTACGCAAACTTTCCGCATCAACGATTATCAATCTTAGCGCTAGTGCCAGATATCTCGTGGTCGACGGAGAGTACCTGCTGGCCCCAGAGCTGGGTTTAACGAGCCCCAAAACTACAGCAAATGTCCCATTAATGCTAGGCACAACCAGAGATGACGGAGCAGCGTTTATAGCTTATCCATCAGCCAACGAAACCATCCAAGAGTTCCTAGAAGCATCAGACCTCCCCTCAAACGTGGTTCCCAATCCGCTTTTCCCCATCCCATCGGGATCAAACAGTACCCTCGACATCTTCAACACTTCAGCTCGGATATGCACAGACGGTGTATTCCGCTGCATCGACCAAGCAACCGCATACGCAGGCCTCAAAAACCACATCTTCCCTTCCATATTCTTCTATGAGTTCAACCGCACCTACCAAATGCCAGGGTGGTCACCAAATCCGCCACTGTGTCAAGCACCCATCACATCAGAGTTCCCGTATGGTGATCCGAGCATGGAGTATTTCAAATGTCATTCCGGGGAGCTATACTATGTTTTCGGCAATATCCTGCGCGTGGGACTTCCGCTACGAGATGAATTTGACTTGCCGTTCGAGCAATACGTGCTTGATTCGTGGGCGAGCTTTGCCCGCTCTGCGGATCCGACGCCGGATTTGGGATTCTTGAAGGCAAGGGGTTATGTTAATACGACGAAGGAAGTTGAGAGGACGGGGTCTTGGGAGCGGTTTCAGAAGGGGAGTTATAAGATGAGGCGGTTGCAATGGCCGTCGGAGATGGTGGAATTGGATGAAAAGCCTCAGTGTCAAGCATTGAATTTGTCGTTGAATTATTATACTAGCTAAATGAGTGGTGAATTTCACCACCTTGGACCATTTGTTAATCAGTGGAAGCGAGCTCTGCGTTCATAGTGTCCACTTCAACGAAAAGTGATAACGATGTTCAGCAGTATCCCATTCGTATCTAGGTTTCACCTACTTTGTGATTGTGGATGTGATGTACGGATGAACATGTTCGGGTAGTACGAGGTGGCGAAAGGGAATCTGCAACACTCGAAAGCCGGAAATGGCTACCAGCATCCAAGGTTGGCACTTGTGAATCTGGAATACGAGGAAAAATACTGATGAATCATGAATAATTCATCACCTTAAACTGACCGAGCAATTCTTGAAGTAACTGATACACCGGAGCTTAAAAATCAAGTGTAACCTCATACACACCTAGCTCCCTTCCATCGTATCATTTCGTAAACATGGGACTCCCATCTGTTCAACAAGCTATCGTCGTCATAGGACCGCGGGAAGCAAAGCTCGTCGGCGACCGACCAATCCCGGCTCTCCGGGAACACCATATTCTCGTCAAAGTTGTATGTGTTGCTTTAAATCCTGCGGATTGGAAACACATCGACCTCCTCTCAGCCCCTGGAGCCATACCCGGTTGCGACTATTCCGGCATCGTTGAAGAAGTCGGCAAAGACGTAACTCGATTCACCAAGGGTGACCATATCTGCGGCGTTGTTCATGGAGGAAATGCCCTTCAGCTTGAAGACGGTGCCTTTGCCGAATACATCGTCGTGAAGGAGAACCTCCAGATCCATATCCCCAAGAATCTCAGCTTTCAGCAAGCGGCTACCATCGGCGTGGGTATCACTACCGTTGGTCTATCGCTTTATCATAACTTGAAGTTGAATCTTCCCACCGACACCATTGCTGATCCAGTCCCGATTCTCATTTATGGCGGCTCTAGTGCCACTGGGTCATTGGCGATTCAATTTGCTAAGCTTTCTGGATATCTCGTGATGACTACCTGTTCACCACACAACTTTGATTTTGTGAAAAGTCTTGGGGCAGATATGGTCTGTAATTACAAAGATCCTAGAGCTGCAGAGGAGATTCGGAAAGTCACTGGTGATAAGCTGAAGATCGTACTTGATACCATCTCGCTCGAGTCAAGTGCGAAGTTTTGTGCAGAGGCGATCTCATCCGAGGGGGGTGTTTATACTTCTCTTCTTCCGGTTACGGTACCTCGCAGTGATGTTAAGCCTGAGTTAGTTCTAGCCTATACTGCTTTTGGGGAGCCTTTTGTATTTGGTCCGCAGTCATATGCTGCATCTCCCGAGGATGAAGCTTTCTCTGCGTGGTGGTGGCTTCTTGCTGAGAAGTTTCTGGTGGACGGTAAGATCAAGGTACACCCCCTGTCAGTGCGTGATGGTGGTTTAGAGAATGTCTTGGAGGGGTTGGACCTTCTGAGGAAGGATCAGGTGAGTGGCCAAAAGTTAGTTTACAATGTTTCTGCCGCTTCCTGAGTGATGCCATGGAGCACGATGTCGATGAATATCTGAAAATCCAACCCCATAAAAATGTTTGTCATAGCTATTAAGTGGCATGTCGTGTCACTAAAATTAAGCTTGAAATAATCATTCTATGCTCTTGCTTTCAATACGCTCTCGAAGCTGACGCTGTTTCGTTAAGATTCGATCTATCAACTAGGTATTCATCTTGATTTGCAGCAAAGAAACATCTATCCAATCAGAAAGCGGTCCACTTACACTAGCTCTGAGATTAGAGAAGGGCCGTTCATAGATTATAAATCGACTGACTGGTGGGGCAAAAGGTGGAGTAGAGGTACTACTTCGAGGAGGTTCAAGCCATGGGGAATTAGACGAGTTACGGGAAACGCCACAATCACGGAGCAAAGCATGTATGGTTGAGTGCTTTGGGAAAGAAACAAAGTTTACACACGGCAAGGAAGAGGCTCTTCTGGTCGAAGGGCAACAGACTTGGGATCTAAACAGGAAGTAAGTCCGGGCATTGCTTGCCATTGCCAAGAAATGAAGACTGCACTGCAGGTCATGTGACCCGTTCTAGGGTTTTTGTGCCGGACATAAACCTGAATAGACTATAGTGGGTCCAACCATGAAGAATTTGTGCCCACGATCCCACTCTCTCGGCTTAAAATTTGGAGTCGGCTTGATATTTGGCCCGATTCCAGTGCTTGATGACATATGTGCTTATCAATTGGCTAGTAAATCTGTGTCTTAAAAGTTTAGAAATGATCAGCAACATGAGCCCGAGAAATTGCTTCTAACTCCATAAGAATTGTGAAAGCACACTCTAAAACGCCTTAGTGTTCCGATACAATTGCAACGGTAAAGTTAAAAGATATTTAATATTCAACAAAAACACCAACAAACACCATGTCGCAAGTTCCTCGATTTGAGAGCGCCGATGTCGACCCTAGCCCCTTAGGCAAGCCTCTCACTTTCACCTTTTCGGGTCGGACTGCCCCCAACCGATTCTTGACAGGTGCTATGAGTGAACGTCTTGCGTCTTTCACTTTAGCTGATGTCGAAAATCGGGGTGTTCCTACCCCTGAATTAGTCAATTTGTACAAGAACCGAGGCACTGCTGGAGTTGGCCTCAACCTAACCGGCAATGTGATGATTGACCCTGGCCATTTGGAGGCAGCTGGAAACCCAATCATCCCCCGGGACGCGCCTTTCTCTGGTGAGCGATTTGAACGTTTCCAGGAGCTCGCAACTGGCGCCAAGGCCCAAGGAAGTCTCATCGTCGCTCAAGTTGGTCACCCAGGCCGTCAAACACCTGAATACCTTCAGCCAAACACCATTAGCGCCAGTGCTGTGCCAATGAAGGCTGCTAACCTCGGTATGACGTTTGCTACTCCTCGGGCTGCGACTGAAGAGGATATTGCTGGCGTTATTGAGGGTTTCGCTCATGCCGCCGAGTACCTTGATAAGGCAGGCTTTGATGGCCTGGAGCTGCACGGTGCTCATGGGTATCTCCTTAGCCAGTTCTTGTCACCCACTACCAATCACAGAACCGATCGGTACGGTGGTAGCCTGGAGAATCGGATGAGATTGATTGTGGAGGTCAGAGCCGCAATCGCCAAAAGAGTGCGCCCTGATTTTATCGTCGGTATCAAGATCAACAGTGTTGAATTCCAGGAGAAGGGCTTCCAGCCCGAAGAGGCCAAGGAGCTTTGCCGGACTCTTGAGGATAACAAATTTGACTTTGTTGAGTTGTCAGGTGGAACCTATGAGAACTGGCCTCTGTCTGACGCTAAGCGGGCGTCAACCGTCGGACGTGAAGCTGTAAGTCTATCGTCCTGTTTGATTGATTGTTAGATGACTAACATGCGCCAAAGTTCTTCTTGCAATTTGCAAAGCTTATTGTTCCTGGTCTGACCAAGACTAAGACCTATGTCACTGGAGGAATGAAAACCGTTGAAGGCATGGTCAAGGCGCTGGACACTGTTGACGGAGTCGGTCTTGGTCGTGCTCTATGCCAGGAACCAAGACTCTGCAAGGATATTCTGTCTGGAAAGGTCAAGGGGGCTATGATGCAGAAATTGGACATGCAGAATTTCTTTGTGACCGCAGCAGCAAGTGGTCTGCAGATTAAGCAGCTGGGGCAGAACCTCGAGCCTATTGACCTGACCGTTGAAGAGAACACTGCTAAAATCTTCGGTGCCTTGGGTCAATGGAAGGCGGCACAGCAGGGAAATCCTGACTTGTACCAGTTCCCCATTGTGCCTGATTACATTACCCCATACATTGCCACCGAGGTTTAGAAAGACCACCACAGCAAAAAACTGTCATAGAGTTTGCGTACATAGATTTGAACTATAGAAAGCGACGTTGATTTTCACAATCAACATCGGTCAAGAGGTTATCTCTACGTTTTTCAACGAATTTCCTATTAAATTAAGGACGAATTGGACACGAATCGTTTGCTGGCTCTACCCAAGTGTCTGCAAATCATAATACCTACATGTCTTAATATCTAGAAATATCATATTTTGTATTTTGTTCAAAATCTCGCGGGAACAGTCCATTATTTCTAAGGCTTGCTGCCAGCAAAACCAGAAATTCAAGTCCCCGGATCTCACATCCCTCAAAGCCAATATCATGAGTCACAGATGTCCATGGCTGCGCGGATAGGTACTTTGTAATTCGAAATATTGGCTAGACAGCCAACATCTGATTTCTCTATATTGGTAATTCCGATTCTGATCTTTCTACCAGCTCAAAATCAGGTCAAAATACCATATTAGTTATCCGACCTCCAGGCCACTAATTATCTCTTATGACAGAGTGATTATCATTACACAATCTTTTGGTGTTCTAATCTAGGTAACGGAGCTCGAATTAGTTAGTGGCATCAGCTACCATAGTATTCGAACCTTGAATCTACATTCGGCAGCGGCTGCCTGCCCTCAAAACATACCTATCATTTCAAAATTCCGACGCAAATTTTTCCATTCTTCAAAAGAATTCCAATTTTCTTCGCAATCAAGTACCAACCTTTAACATCTTATGACCTACATAAGAATTGCCTGATCACTTCTGAAAATGTCGAAACTATGTTTTAAGACCAAGAATCAAAAACAGTCCCTTTTCACCACGACAGTCCTCCACAATACGACTCATGCCAGCCAAGCCAAAATATACTCACCTGTGTCATTGAGAATGAGCATACCTACCGAGCATTACATCAACGGTTTAATGATCTAGGCAAACGGATGAAAAAATTCGAAAAGATTACTCCAAAGTCAGCCGACGGTAACCACGTTCTATCTTCGAAAGTATTTTTAGAGTTAGCTGGGTTTTATACAGAGGTTTCTCTAATAGCTACGGAGTTAGCAAGTGTTGTTAAAGAACGCACTATTCAAAACACCGAGCTATATACCACTATATCAAGACTTAGTGTTAGTGAGTTCAACCGCACCCATGCTTCTTTGAAGCAGGGTCCAAACGGTCAGATACGACATAAGCTAGCCGAGAAATTCGAGAGAATTAAAAATGCCCCTACAAAGGCACCCAGGAGCTTTTGGAGGAGGCTTCTCAAGCATCTAGCTCGGGTTTGATGGTAAAGTGGAATGTGAGATTAGGGTCTCAAGAATGATCATGTTGTAACAAGACTACTGAATTGGTGTTTATCTTGCTTTATACTGTTTTGAGGAGCCATATGTGGATTTTGTATTTGCTGGGCATGTGCATTATTTCAATATGAATAGTTGTTTGAATCTCTAATACTACTCTTTTCAAACACTTCTAAGGTGGTCGATTTGAGACTTTGGCTAGCTCGGATTGGGATGAGTATCTCAGCTTAGGCAGAGTATTGCTTGATCTGCAGTTCTGATCAGCATCGTGATTGACCACTAAGCTTCGGGGGTCTACCAAGTAGGTACGCGTGGCTCAATGCTTATTCCGAGGTCCTCGGCAGCTTTCGCACAGCAAACGATAAATTCCGAATAACGCAATGACGCACATGTTAAAGTACTTAGATGGTTCAGATTTCTCAGCTCGGAGCACATTGCTTCTTCAAGCAAATGTTCCGATGAGTGTCTGATTCAGAAACATTGCGCTCAAATTCCAGTCGACTTGGCTGTATCAGCTTGGGTCACCGTTGTTTCGGACATGATGATCAGAGACCCAAGGGGATTTTGAAACCATGAAAGTTGTTCGAGTTTCGAGGCCGTGTTGAGCGAATATCCGCATTTGTACATATACCCTTTTCCAAGATTGAAGGTTCCAAGGTTACCTCATACATGTTCCGTGAAAGTGCAAGTCTGAGTCCAAATATTAGATTTCCACCAATCGGGATATACGACTGCGCCCCACTAGGCCCATCGATATCGATGAAAGCTTTTTTGAATTTTCTGGTACAATGGTAACCTGGTCTATATTGCAATGATTACCATCTGAATTACAATTTTCCTGCCATACCATATTAGCTTATATCGTGGTGTCAAACTAGTGAGATCTATAGATTCGACCTAACTCGGATTTTGCGGAAGTCTAGTCTCACGTCAGCCTAGGTCACGTTAACTAAATACGATGATGATGATGACATTCTATTAACCTAATGCTACCTAGCTAGTCATCGCCGTGGTAATGATAGATATCAACCTACTACTGTAATTATTTTACTCTATAAATCAAGTAGGGCTTCAGATCTGAGAAATCAATTTCCCCACCCCAGCCCTATTGCAATAAGAATTCGGATGTGCCTAGGCCATATTGCATTCAAGAAGACCTTTTCATGATGTCGGAAGTCCCTGAGAACCAACCTGTGAAATTCACTATCACTCACTATCGCCAACAACAACACTCACATGAGGCATTCATCAATTGGATCATTCAAGAGCATCTGCCTCTCGCTTTACCCGTCTTTGAAAAACATGGGATTATCGAATACAGCCTAGTGAGTACTTCTCGCTATGGCCTTCCCCTGACAACATCTAATAGGTAACCTAGTTCGTTACGCCGCCTTCTCTCAACAATGCACTTAAGCAAGATATTGAGGGGTTCCGGCCCACCTGGGACTTTGCTCAATTCGACTGCTTTATTGAATACACTCTTCCAAATGTGGATATTATCATGAAGGTAATGACAGATCCGGATTGGCAGGTCGCAGTGCAAGACCAGGATAAGTGGGTGGATATCCCGAAAGCCCTGGTTTCGGTGGGTTATAGCACTGGAAATCTACTGAATAAGGACCGTGTCATGTAGTTGTCCGAGTACATGAATATGGGAGAGTGAGGCGTGGGATGAATATTGCTTTGCAGGAAAGATAGGAAATGGACACGGGATATTACTTTGAGTCGTGTCTTCTTACCCCGCTCCATAGGCACAATAATAATGATTAGGCAGCCAACATATTGTATTCCCACTAAACACTATGGATCTCTCCAGTATGAGCAATGTTATATATGTTTGTTCTTTCCCTTTGTAAATTGATTCGAGTATTTGTTTAGTCTCTTTATGATGAAATATTAGAGCTAAACTATGGAAGGTAATTACTTGTAGTCAGCAAGTTGATCAGCCGGCGCTAAAGATGCATGATCTCCAAAGCCGATTCTTCCTCATCAACATGAGCCTGTCTATCGCTCAAATGCAACAAGACCCTTTCAGACCTCCCTTATGTCCTGCGGTTCATGTCACTACTCTGTGTAGGTGACTGCTACAGAGAACGGAAGGTATGTGGGATTGATGAATGATCGAAGGGAGCTACATGAGGCCTGCAAATTTGGGGGCCAGGGCCGGGGCTTCAGAGAAAGCACCTTTTCAGGAACCAGGTGAGCCCAAGAAAGCAGGTAGGGGCAAGGGAAATTCGCGAAGAGCTGATGAGGATTAACAGCAAGAACAATTCACGGGCAGGAGGGCACGAAAAAGCGAGGTGATGGGATGGGGGCAATGGGGGTCCTATATGACCACCCACCACACCCGCGCTAGACCTAAACCGTAAGGATCTAGTTCAAAAATTTTCAAACTCCACCACAGCAGTCCGATATGGTGTAGTGGCTAACATCGTCGTCTCTCACACGACAGCCGGGGGGTTCGATTCCCCCTATCGGAGTTACTTTTTGCTTTCTGTGCATCTCATCTCTCTTGAAGAGATTACGTTTTTATTGAACGATCAATGGTTCGGGGTAGAGAACACCGACGTGGGACAGCCCTGGAGGAAAGCCACATGGAAGGGGTAACTTGAATTTTTTTTAAACAATTGATTGCACATGGAATTTATCCTCATTGAACTTTTAAACTAAACAAAGAAAGTGAATTAAAAGTGTTCCCTGTATATTCATATGTTGGATGCAATGGCTCATTTATATGACGTGAGGCTCTGCCCTACATGGCCAAGGCCTAGAAAATCTATTTATGATGACATTTTCAGCTGAATATAATATTCCTTAATAATAATTAATCTATTCGATTTTCTAGCGTATTCGAATTCGGCGAATGCTCCGGCCGAGAACCAGGGGTGCGTAGTCTAGTCCCAGACAACTGCGTAGACATCCGAGGCATTGTGGGAGAATCAGGCGAGGGTTCACTGCGGAGACCCATTCTAGAAATGTCATTGCGCGATTGATACGATCGCTTACACCGGACCTTTTCTCCACTCAATCCCTCTGTGGCTGATAGGGTACCACTAGCCGCGGCCATTTTCCTGCCCTGGTCCTTCGCTTAGACAAAATCGCCTATTACTGCCACTTGTTGCACGAGGGCTCATTAGAAACATACAAAAGTACGGAACGTGACGCGGCAGATAGAGTGCTAAGATTTCGGTAAGAGATCTATCCAGAGGGAAAAAAAAACCTTGGACGCTTTGACCGTGCGATGGTTCCATTGGATTGGTGGCCCAGGACTATGGTTCTAGGCGACTCCGGCTCCACTCGATCGATCTATAGGTTTCTAACCGCCACCCGAGTCTTATGATTCTCTGGTTGGTTCCCTCCACTTGAAAATACCCCATCCTATTGCGGATGTTGGACGCGATCCGATGAAACCGGTACTTTGGTTTTTTTTCTCCCATCTTATATATGCTAGGGCCCTGAAAATGCCCGGTCTGGCTTTTGATCCTTTTACCTCCCGGTATATCCATCATGGGTCTTAGTGATCGCTACCCAGCCTATGGAGGGCGCGGTCCTGATGACTTGCGTCTGGGACTCGGCCTCGGCGCCGTCGCTACCATTTTTATGGCAATGCGTGTCTATGTGAGACTTCGAGTAAACAAATTCGGTACTACAGCTTTGATCTGGTCTCTTGTGGCTTGGGTATGAATTCAATCGCTTTTATACTGCCGATCACCAGACTAACCCCACCTAGTTCCTCACTGCCATCACACAAACTTTCGGTGTGATCTCCATTCTCCACGGACTCGGAAATAGGATCACAATTGTCGAGGAGACCGGCCAATTGGGCAATTACCTTCTGTTCACATGGATCACCGTCTTCTTTTTCAACATGGCCATCCCCATTGGAAAGGTTGCCGTGGCAGCGTTTTTGATTGAGATGAACGCACAAGGCAGTACGTCACCACGTCCCCCATCTTATCAGGATCCACGATCTCCGTGGACTACGACCGTTGGAAACCTTACTGACTATGCCTTAAGACCGCAGAATCCGCCAAAGTCTGGTCGCCGTCGCCGTGCTCAACATTGTTATCAATATCCCCCAGGTCTTACTCGCCTGGTTCCAATGTAGCCCGCCCAAGGCATTATGGGATCCCAACCGCCAGGACCTGTGCGACCACAGAACAAGTGTACACTACACCTACTTCGTCGGTGCGGTAGCCGCAATCTCCGACTTCTACCTCGCCATCATCCCCATCACAATGCTCGCTCCCCTACGAATCGACCGCAAGCTCAAATGGGGCTTGAGTTTCCTAATGGGCTGTGGTGTTTTCGCCGGAGCCGCAGCTATCGTCCGAACATGGGCAGCAAGTTTCATCATGAGCGATGACCCTTCATGTGAGTGGCGCCATCTCCCCCTTTCATGTAAGACATACTAATATAGAACAGACGGTGTCGGCATTTTATTCCGCTGGGGTGAAGTCGAGGAATGGGTTGTCCTCATTTCGATGTCCATCCCGCCAGTGTGGCCTCTATTCCGTCCCTTCACGAGACGGTTCATCAAGTCTACTGGACACTCGCGCAGTCCGCACCAGAACTATCTTTATAATCAGTATGACTCCAAGCGAGCAGAGCTCAACTCGCAGGCTGAGCCGCCTATCATCACCACTACTATTTCAATTTCTTCCACCAAGGGCGTGTCTGCAGCTGCTGAGCCTGTGGGTGCGTCGTCGTCGAGTGGTTCGATTTCTCGATATGAAGAGGAAGAACCTGAGATGCCTCACACTGTTCTGAGTCGCAATGGCGATCCAGAGGGTTGGGTGGAATTGTCTCATTATAAAAACCATCACGCTCCGTGAGAGGTGATTTACTTGCACTTACAGTGCGTTTTTCTTAGTATCTCAAAATATATAATTCACAAATAATAAAACATTCGAATAAGTGCTTCTTGATACACGTAGGTAAATTCCTTGGGATACAATACAGAATGTCTTTCCTCGATGCTAACATATTGGTTTTCGATATTCCATCAAGCCACCTAGACAGTAGTTAGCCTTAGAATGTGACAGTCTATGACAAGCATTCGCCAAGAGATTCTGAATTGAGCCAAGGTAATTGCGTCCAAGATCATCGCATGACGGGTTCTGGGCGTGTTTGATGTTTTGGATTGGTTTGCATGGGATGTTTCGTTTGTCAAAGGCACGACATCTCCAAGGAAGGCGCGGTTTCGAGCATCTAACCCCTCCCCCTTTTTTTTTTTTTTTTTTTTTTTTTTTTCGAATACCAACCCTTCTCTTCTTTTATATCCTTTCTATCATTCCTATCCTTGCAAGCCGCAATATCTCGAGTCTTTGAAAACCAATAGAGACAAAGCAGATGAAAATATGCAAATTAGCCAGGGTATTATCAACTCAGGGCACCGACCTCAGAAGAGCCACACTTATAAACTCATGTATAGAAAAAGAATTTCTCCCAGGAATCTTGCCGTTTCTTACAACCAGCCTTCATACTCTCCTCAAAAGCCCGAGCAATAATTCTATAGACTCAGCTACACGTAGACCCAGAAGTCGGACTTTCACCTTTCGTCGACAGGCATCTTTCAATTGGCGGGAATTTTTGGCATTGAACTTATGTTTCCTTGTAGCCTTGGGTCAAATGACATGGATATACTTTCAATACATGGTACGGGCCTTAATGAATGTACTCGACACATAGGTAGAAGGATATAGATCGTCTAGGTGGTACTCGGTCAAGTTGGACTTATGCCAGGGTCCACTCATAATGAACATGGTAGATACCAAACGGGGCATCAAAATTGGACAAGACAGTACAAGTACAGCAATCACGACATCTACGATTACTCTACGGCACAGAGGGAACGTTTTAACGTGTTCAGTCAGACATGCTCTTTATTTCCAGGAGACCGCGAGAGAAAACAGGATCAGAGACGCCGTAGGGTTGTTCGGGTCAAAGAGGTGAGGGAGATCAAAATATGTAGAAAGGAAAAAGAAACTCCCGTTTCGTCTTACAGACAAAACGGAAGCTGGATTGCCCTGTCTCGTCCTCTTCTCTCTCGCTCAATGCTCTCAGGAATGTCCTCCTCATGCATAAACACCCGTTCTTCTCTCCGCTAGCCCCGTCTGGTCGTCATGATAAAAAAGGTGGAAGTGTGGATGTGGGAAACAACAGAAAGGAAACGTAAACAAGAATCGCCGGGACCAAGCTCCGATTTTTTTGATGTCATCTCATTTTTGCCCTGCTAAGCATTTAAGCAAACTCAAAACGACCCCCGAAACACATTAAGCCCTGGGTGACATGTTTACTCCTCATCAGACTCCTCCTCGTCAACGGTGGTCTTGGCAATACGGTCAAGATCACGCTGGCCGGACTGGGTGATGCGGCGGCCACCCTTGTCCTCGTCGTGCTCAAGGACACCAATCTTCTCGAGAGCCTGGAGAGCCTTGCGGTCAACGGAGCCGGAGGCATCAACGTGGTGGGCGGGGCGGGAACCGCGGTTCTTGGTGGAACCGTGGACCTTGCGGAGACGGCCGACACCGACGGTCTTGCGCATGTAGATGTGACGGGCGACAGCGGCGGCGCGGATGTAGAACCTTGAAGAATCATGTTAGTTTCACTTGAGAAGCCCGTTGGGAGGTAAGTCGGTCGTACCAGTCAGCGTCCTGGGGGGAAGCTCGTTGGAGGCGGAGGTCTTGACAGTGTCGACCCAGCCGGGGATGGGGAGCTTTCCCTGACGCTTCAGGAAAGCGGAGTAGGCAGCAATGAACTTCTGCGCCTGTATGAGAGAAAATAAATATGTTAGCGTCGTTGATTCCTCGAGTGTGGTCCGGTCTTGGCGAAAAGGGCGCAAAATTGCATATTTGTGTTGGGTTCGTTTCCATTGGCAGGTTGTTCTGAATCCATTTCTTGTCGCAGAAGCAGAGTTTTATCATGCTTGTATGGCCATTGAAGTCCAATGTATCCGTTGTAGAATGTGAATGCTGATCAAGATCAACATTCAGTCCACTCAAGGCACACTTGAAACTTCAATGCCACCCTTTCTCTCAGCAGCAGACTGCCCTCCCATATCCATTCCAATATTTCCAGGCGATAGGCCTGCTGCCGCTGCGAATAGCCTCCTTTTGATGAACCAAGACCTCCGGAAACGAACTCAGACACATATATGCACGGCGAAGACCTGGCGGACGAGGGGCTGATCGGAGTGATCAGAGAGGACACTTACGTCCACATCGCGAACGGTAACACCACCCATTTTGGCGACTTGTTGAGGGCGTAGGGGTTGAGAGAGTCGTAGGGCGGGAAGTCGAGGTGGGCAGGGTCGAAGTCGAAGAGTCCAAAATTTCGAGACACACAAACTCTTGCCCCGGTTGGGTTGCGCTGGCGTCTGTGTGGTTCGCTTAGCCTGTTTGGGTTTAGCCGTACCCTAAGTGTGTGCACCTCAGGCACTGATCACATGACTCAGCGTGACCGAATTGCATTTTTTTTTTTGCCTGAAGGCATTAAGGCATAAAGGCACCAAGGCACAAAATATCATCTCATACACAGCCTTAAGATCTTACTCTCATTTGTTTATGCTTCAATATCCTAGGGACATATAATAAGGGTATTTAAAATATTCATTAATCATTCATTTCCTAATAGAACATATCTGCTGGTTCGTTTCTCATAAAACAGTAGAATCAAAAAACAAGAACGCAAGAATCCTTCACCAGATGCCTCTGGCCCTGTCTCGTTCTCCTGTCCTATTCTAATCATAACGCCATAAAACCATGAAAAGAGCCATGCGAATCTAAAAATTACAGAGTGGGAACTCTCTTGATTCCCGCGTACCGCGCATGGAGTTCGTCAATGAAGTGATCATGTCGAATACCAGGGGGTCGGCACCGGTTGAACTCAGCAACCGCATCCTTGACAGGATAATCCAGCTGCTCAATCAAGTAGCACACAATGAGGAAGCCAGTTCGGTTGTAGCCATAGTGGCAGTGGACACCAATCAGTGGACGCGGCAAGGACGGATCCTCTCGCTTTTCCATCTGGTCGTCAATCTCCTTCTGCAACCGGTCAACCAGAGCAATAAAGTCTCGAGTCTCATCGGGAGTCGGAGGAAGCTTTGAGACGGTAGGGTGTTTGCAGTAATGAATACCGCCCTTTTCCATCTGTGCTGGGCTGTACACTGGACTCTCGTGGCTGATGTCGATGACAGCGTAAATCTTGTCGCGGTACTCCGCAGAGAATTTGACCGGATTGTGGTGTTCATCAACCTCTCGCAGCATCTTCATCGCTCGGAAAGTATTGGCAATAGGCGCTGAGACCGGGGCAACCTTCTGCCATTTGGCCAGGTTCTTCACATCCCATTTACCCGAGGTATTCAGGTGTTGCAATTGCCATCCCAGTCCTAGACGCTTGTCAATATTTGAAGACAAAAATCCCTGAATGATGCCAGCCAAGGTACGGTAGGTCGCTCGGTCGTAAAGAAGAGCATGCGATGCGGGGGCCGGCAGAATGGCCGACTTGACCACTCTCTTGCGCCCATCGCCAGAGGAAGGGTTTGACTTTTCATTATCAATCACTACCTGGACGACAGGAGTTTCTTGTTGAGGAATGTTTGGTGGTCCGGACATTTGGTCATGGACTCGTGAAGCATCCGGAATCGTACTGCTTCCAGTGGTATCGATAGTAGTGTGAGCTGAAGCGTTGCCAAAATATTTCAGAAGGTTCTGAATCTCCACCGGCTTTGTCACTGCATCTGCTTCTCCTGCCACGAGCAGAATTGGCATGTGAACACCAGCCCACACCTTCTCTCCTGGCATTCCCCCAATGGCTTCATCACCCTTGTAGGTGGGAAGCGAGCCCCACGCCATTCGGCGCCAAACAGGTGTCCGGCTTTGCTTGTTGAAACGGACTTGAAGATCTCGTGTCTCTGCATCGGCATCATCGCCGACCATTCTCATAACGCTGGCACTCTCGATACCACCACGTCGGTCCCAGCAACGCCACAAATCAAAGATCGGACTCGGGATGTGAAGCAGGCGGCGGGCAATTGCGGTCTCATGAGGGGACGGAGGCGACGCTCGAGGACACACGGCGACTAATCCAATGATATGCTCCTTGAGAGGGGTTCCAATGGGCGAGGTGGACGAGGCGAGTAGAGCAGACAATGAGCATCCCAAGCTATGGCCGACCAAAATCACGTCTTGATCAGGGTCCCGTTGTTGCTCAATGGCGACAGACAGCAACTCAGCTAGTGCCTCCACGGTGTATGCATCCCAGTTGGTTGGCTCAAACTTAGACAGACCGCAACCAGGCAAATCGATACCAAAGCAAGATCCGACATTCGAAAGACTAGTGAGAAGGTGGTGGAATTGTGCGAGCGATCCACCGAGCCCGTGTACAAACACAAGTAAAGGAATTGGGGATGGTTTGGTCGGGAGGCGGTCCAGGTGCGGGTGCCGACAAAAGAAAGTTCGAATTCCAGGGTAAGTTGCCACGGAGGTGGTGTACTTTTGGTAAGAAGTAAACTTCTTCAAGATTCCAGGGTCGGTTTTGAAGGCTAAATTCAACTTAGGCATGATCTCGAGGACAGGAAAGGAATTTTGACTTACCATCGCAGGTCTTTTTCTTAGGCTGACATGGGTTCCCTTCGGCTACGCGAGAGGGGAGGATAGCATGGCGCAAAGATCCGTTGCTATCATACTCCTCATCTTCATAGTCATCGTCCGACGAGGTGAGTGTCTTCGAAGACGACTTGGACAGGGTTTTGCGAATTGAGGTCCGCTGCGAGCGAGGATTTTTCGCTGAGCGGCGCCTGAAAGAGGAAAAAATACCACAGCCAGCCATGGTTATCACACAGGTAATGAGAAACACGACTTGGCCCCAATTCACAGTATCATTGCGGTAGAGGTTGCGAAGGGAGTTTGCGACAGAGGTGAAAGAGGCTTGTTGGGCCGCGATACGTGCGGAATTGCAGAGCTGTACGAATGCCTCAAGGCCCGATCGATTGGTGGTTTGGGAGGATAACGATTGGAAGAGCGTGGCCAAAAATTTGGGCGAGTCATTGTTCCCCATGGCGCCTGGTCGGGTTTATACGTATCAGAAATCCCAGCAAGGAGTAACGAGATAGATCCTCCCCAGGTTCTGGACCCCCGGGGATCTCACTGCCAGGCCACGCGACGACACAACAGTTCCTCCTTGGATACGCCGGATGTTTCGGGACCCAAAATCCAGCAATGCGACGCCAATGAGAGGGATGCGATCGACAACGTTGAACAGAGAAAGTGAAGAAAGGGAAAAAAGCAATTAGACTCGGCCAGTCAAAAGTCAGAACATCGCCCGTGGGGGGAAACAACGTGACTCAGAGGATCCACTTGGCAGCGGATGACGCGGTGGCGGTGAGTGCAGTGCAAATAGGGGCTCAGATTAGGGGAAATCATCGGTTCTTCTAGAAAGATGGAACCATGGAAGACGGAGTCCATAAAACACTAATGTATAAAGCCCAGCCACGATGGAGGTTGATTGGATCATATGGTAAATATGATCGGGATCTAGCATAAATATGGACCGAGACTATACTAAGATCGAACTATCCCTGCTAGGGGGGATCCACATCGCTGCATGGCTTCGATGTGAGGATCTTGTTTGTTTTTCGGCCATATCATATCGCGGCAATAAGGTGCGACATACCTCACGCAGTCGCACACCGCAAATTTGTGTGGATGTATCACCTTTCTGGCCCTTTGTGAGCCTACGATGTATGCCTGCTGAGCTGCTATTACCAGGTATTCTGTAATATCAACGTACCCGGTTGAACAGGGATGACGTGAAACAAATTTTGATTCAAACAGAGGAGGCCTTTCCGGCAATGTACAGGGGGGTTAACATACCGGGCAGTTCTTCATTGTATGCATCTTCATAATATACCGGACCAAAGGACATAACGCGGAATAATGCCACGTCTAAAAGGTGACAGAGTAATCCGATCCCTCTCCACTGAATTATTGGCCAGGCGAAGAGAGCCCACTTTTGCCCCCTCGTGGTGAGCTATGGTTGCCTACTCCTGAAGCTGGGCCATGACCATCCTCAAAAGGTGGCAAAAATACCCTGCTCCCCCATGTAAACCTTCAATATAGTTTGCGGTTCCTTACTTGATGTGAAGAGCTTGCGGAACGCTTGAGTTACCAGCCGGGCTGCACGGCTCCAAGTGTAACATGACCAATCGGAAGCTCAGCATCCCCGTCATGCGCGGAGCTGTTGTCCACTCGTAGCGAGTTCAACCCTTTCACAAATCATGATTCCCACAGCCGCCAGCTGAGCCAATCACCCCGGGAAGGGTGCATTGTGCGTCGATGTGGACCAATGAGTTATAGGAGAGATTTTGAAATCCAAGGTTCAAATTTATCTATAATTGTATCCAAAACTAGAATAGGTCTGTCATGGCACCGTGCGAAGCGTCGCCCACCAAGCGCGCATACTTGGCCAACACACCCCGAGTAATATGTGGCACCAGTGGGGTCCACTGCAGCCGGCGCTCCTGAAGTTCCTCATCAGACACGGCCATAGACAGCTCATTAGTTTCAGCGTCAATGGTAATCACATCTCCATCCTTAACAAGCCCAATGGGACCACCGACGGCAGCCTCGGGTGTAATATGGCCCACAATGAATCCATGGCTGGCACCGGAGTAACGGCCATCAGTAATAAGCGCAATATTATTTAGTTTAGCGCCCATGAGTGCAGCACTGGCTTTGAGCTGCTCGGGCATGCCAGGTCCACCCTTGGGACCTTCATAGCGGACAATCAAAACCAAGTTCTCGCCACGGGGAATACGTCCCTCGCTCAGAGCGTCATTGAGCTCGTGCTCTTTGTTGAAAACGCGGGCTTTGCCTGTAAACCGGAGACCCTCCTTGCCGGTAATCTTGGCGACTGCACCACCGGGAGCAAGGTTGCCACGCAAGATCTGAAGATGGCCTGTCGCCTTGATAGGATTCGACAATGGGCGGATCAGGGTCTGATCCTGTGGAAGCGAGGGCCAAGATGCTACATTTTCGGCAAGAGTTTTGCCAGTCACTGTGGGGATATCACCGTCCAATAGACCCGCGGCGATCAGCAGCTTCTGCACGGATGGAATACCTCCAATCTCGTACAAATCAGCCATATAGTACTTTCCGCTGGGTGACAAGTCGGCAATGAAGGGGATCTTGTCGCTGACGCGCTGGATGTCGTCCAGTGTCAAGTCAATGTCCGCTGTGCGGGCCATAGCCAGGAAATGGAGAACGCCGTTGGTGCTACCACCGAGCGCCATGGTCATCACTAGAGCATTGTCGAAGGCTCGCTTTGTGAGCAAGTCGCGTGGTCGGATGTTCTTCTCCATGCAAACCTTAATAGCATCGGCCACACGCACACACTCCCGCATTTTGGAGGGCGATGAGGCAGGGGTGGACGAAGATCCTGGCAAAGACAGACCCATAGATTCAATAGCAGTGGCCATAGTGTTTGCCGTGAACATTCCGCCACATGCACCGGCACTTGGGCAAGCGTGCCTCTCAAGGTCATCCATGATCTCATCCTTGGTCTTACTGGTGTCACCGCCGTCGTCAGGCTGGCGGAGGGTATCGTATGCGTACGCGCCGGCCGCCTCAAAACACGTTGAGACATTTATGGGCTTCCGGAGGCACTCTGAGTATCCGATGTTGATTGTGCCCCCGTAAATCATGATCGAAGGGCGGTTATGGCGCGCCATTGCCATGACCACACCAGGCATGTTCTTGTCACAACCAGGAATAGCGATACAGGCGTCGTGACCCTGGGCACAAGTAACGGTTTCCACGCTATCCGCAATAATCTCTCTAGTCTGCAGCGAGAATCTCATGCCTGAGGGGAAAAGAATTGTCAGTATGGCAGCCTATACAAGGACTCCACTGATAGCTCCCATGCTTACCATCATTGCCCATAGTTATCGCATCTGAAACACCAATTGTGTTGTACTGCCACCCAAGCATGCCCTTCTCCATCACAGCCTTCTTCACAGTTTTCCCCAAATCCATCAAATGCATATTGCATGGATTTCCCTCCCACCAAACCGACGCGATGCCCACATGAGGCGCTTTAGCCATTGCCTCCTTATCTGGGACACCAGCGGCAAAAAGCATAGCCTGGAGCACGTCAGTCATCATCCATTAATCTATTTGAGCTTGACACGAACCCTTGCGCCCGGAAAATCATGACCATTGGTAATAGTCGATGACCACCGGTTGAGTGCAGGAGAGCCATCCGGGTGTTTGGCGTCCGGAGGAAGACAAGGGAAATTGATATATCTTGATTCCGACATGGTGGTTTCGGAGGAGTCCATAGTGATTCTGAAGTTGACAGAAGAAAGGAAAGCAACGGGAGAACTGGAAGGACATGTTATTTAGGCGTTGTGCTGCATATGTGGGGTTCGGATATCTGTCCAACCCCGCATTGAGCCGGAGTGACCACTCATTGTTGATGGATTTCAGATCTCGGAGTTGCGCCTATTCCCTCGTTTCCGTTGTGGGAAGGGCCGAGTCCCATTTGATGTCTAATAAAGTGATACTATTGAAACTGACTACCTAGGTGTCCGAAAATTGTCCAATGGAACCTTCGGGTGAAAATATGTTTCCCCGAACATGACAACATGCATCTCATGAAAGGCTTTCTATGTATCAATACAAGAATTGGAGCAACAAGACCTCTAGATTGGAAACAACTCAGACACATTGACAAATTACTACTGCCGCATGGGCACTGACCATGGGACAAACTCCGTACCAGTTACTTGATTCAAGTAAACGTCATCACCCGAGCCAGAGGTGAATCAGCTGACGGAATGTCAGATTCCAACATTTGAAACCCCACATTTCTTATGAGCAGCACCTAACTTGACATCTTACTTGGCAAGATTTCTTATTGAATATCATATACATTCAGACATTAAAATGGGTACAGATATCCTTGTGGCCCAGATGATTGGCACGCTCGGCTGCGGCTTCACAGCAGGTAAAGTTTCACTTCCACGGAGAAAAGAATGGATCAGAACTTACATTCTCGGCATAGGTGGTGTAATGACTCTCTCTATTTTGACCATCCCCAACCTCACCCTCCCAGCTCGTCAACCGGCCTCAGTCACCATCCCTTCGCAACAAGGACCGGGCACCCCAATTCCACACCTCGCACATCAATGGCTCGACACCTATGAGAGGGGAAAGAGAACATTTCCGGTCATTGCCTTGGGTGCGTCAGTTGCGAATGGATATCTTGCCTGGGCCTTAAGAGACGTGGCGGCACCGGAGTCAGGTATCGTGAGTGGAAGTTGGAGCGGATATTACATCACGGCCATCACTACGACAATGGGATTCGTTGTTTGGACCTTGACGGCAATGAGGAGAACTAACAACCGGCTGACGGCGATTGCGACGCGGGATGATGCCGCGACTGCGGAGGGGACGAAGGGGATGGTTGTGAGTGACCAGGAGAAGGTGAAACGAGCGAAGGAGGATGCTGAGGTTCCCGAACTGTTGAAGAGGTGGGCCAATTTGAACCTGTGTAGAGCTATGTTTCCGTTGACCGGGGCTATTATTGGGCTATATGGGGTTGCGAAAATGTAGAGAGATCAGTTGAGAAGAAGCTGCCAAGAGGTTCCGTTCTCGAACCCCGGGATTCCGCTCTTGGCACGTTCTCGTGTTTAACGGTATAATGTAAGACCCCAGGAGCCAATGAGAACCGCTGCTTTGACATCGTGCCTAGTGTGACGAGCGCTTGATCACTCCACTCTTTGACATCAATGTCACCCTAAGTCCAGGGAGTACAGGGCAACCTTGTCCCTGAGATACTTGTTCATGTACCTGAACCATGATAGATAGTGTTGTAACTGTGAGCCTTAGACTACTGAAGTTTCGCCAATGTACTCTCAAGTGGTACCTCCGCCTGTCAGATCTACCATACACGTGCTGCCTACAGCTGCTGTGCTCCCCCACAAAGTTGTTTACATCCTTCATCTTTCTTTCCTTGATCTTATTTCTCTTCCTTAACCCTCTCCCCCATTCTCTTCCATAGCCACTGTCGGATTTCTAACAAGAAATCATTGCTCGCGTTCAAGTCACATCTTTCGCAACAATGAAATTGGTCTTCTCGACCCTGCTGGCTACGGCCACTGTGGTTCTCGCCGGCCTGGCAACCATTTCTGAGCCTGCCCTTTCCGATATTGCGAAAGCCCAGGCAACAACTCTGCCCGAGGTCACGAACTCCAACGTACAGGGTCTTGTCTTCAACCGATTCTTCCAGGTTTGGTTGGAGAACATTGTAAGTTGCGACTTTGGACACTCAGAACACACTCATCACTGATAAACCGCAGGACTACGAGGACTCGGCCGCGGACAAGAGCCAGGAGTGGCTCGCCTCGCAGGGTATTTTGCTGTAAGCTATAAGGCACCCCTCTTTTTTTAACTTTTTACCTGACTGAACTTTGTGTCCAGTACCAACTTCTTCGCTGTTGCCCATCCTTCGCAACCCAACTACTGCGCTTCAGCTGGTGGTGACACTTTTGGCATGGACCACGACAACTTCTGCCAGGTCCCTGCCAATGTTTCCACCATTGCTGACTTGCTTGACACCAAGTCCGTCTCATGGGCCGAGTATCAGGTAAAGATTCACAAACTATTACACTTTGTTGCTTCACTACTAACCAGGTTTCTTAGGAGCATATGCCCTACCCTGGCTTCCAGGGGTTCAACTATTCGAACCAGCAGACCTACTTGCCGGACTATGTTCGCAAGCACAACCCACTAGTTCTCTACGACTCTGTCGCTTCAAACGATACGCGTATCCGTCAGATCAAAAACTTTACCGACTTTGACAATGATCTCAAGAACAAGAAGCTTCCACAGTATGCATTCGTCACACCAAACATGACCAATGATGCGCACGATACCAACATTACCTTTGGTGGGTCATGGGAGCGAAAGTGGATGGAGCCTCTGTTGAAGAACGACTACTTCATGGAGAAGACTGTCATCCTTCTCACATTCGATGAGGACAAGGCCGTCAACAACTTTTATCCCAAGAACAACCGTATCTTCAGTGTTCTGGTCGGTGGTGCCATCCCAGACCATCTCAAAGGCACGAAAGATGATACTTTCTACACCCATTACTCCACAATTGCTTCCTTGTCTGCGAATTGGGGTCTTCCTTCTCTGGGTCGCTGGGACTGTGGAGCCAATATATTTGAGCTGGTGGCCAACAAGACCGGCTATGTTAATTACGATGTCACCATCGACCGTCTGCATCTTAACAATACCTACCCTGGTCCCCTTTCGGCCAACGTTTACTCCAAATTCTCGGCTGACTGGCCTAACCCCACCACTGAGGGCAACTGCTCAGCTGGCCATGGTATCTTGGACCATGTCAAGAAGACCTACAATGGGACCAAACCCAGTCACAACTACACCTTCCCCTTCCCGTGGGATGAAAAGACGAGCTACAATGTCAATGTCACCGCCACCCGCATGTTGAACGGCAAGACAGTCAACTTGACTTCTTCCAATGATTCGACTTCGGGCAGTGGCTCCAAAAAGAACGGGGTGGCTGGTACTGTGGTTTTCTCCGGCTCAATTACTCTTGCCGGAGCCCTTATGGCTGCCTTTGCCTGCTTTATGTAGGCCGTTCGCTTTCATCGGCTTTTGGGCTTTACGCCCAGCTCACCAGACTAGTCAGTGTTGCTGGCTGTAATCCGCCGAGATTTTGTGCCTGGTTGAGCCAAAATGATTGCGTTTTATTTTATCAGGCTCCAAACATTTGTTGTTGCGCGCGTGATGACGCAAAGAGACAGATCGTCATTTAGTTTCCTAGCACTACGGGCTATGATCATGATATCTCAATGATTAGCTATGACTCAATAATGGAATCATGAATTTATCAATGGACTTAGACATTCGTAGGTTTTCATCATTTGATTGAAATATTTCAACGAATGTCACTATTTCGACTTGATGAGAATGGTCTTTGTCTGGAGGAAGTTCTCAAGGCTATACAGCAGACCCTGCGGGCCATTACCACTCATCTTGTAACCACTAAATGCACCATCCTTTGTATAGCTTGGGGTAGTGCAATTGACTGCGACCGTGCCCGCCTGCAGAGCCTTGGACAGACGAATTGCACGATCAATGTCCTTGGTAAAGACCGATGCATAGAGCCCAAACTCCGTGTCGTTAGCCTTCTTAATAACCTCTTCCTCCGTCTGGAAGGATTGAAGAGCCACAACAGGTCCAAAGACCTCCTCCTTCATGACTCGCGAGCTCTCCTCCAATCCCTCAAAGACAGTAGGCTTCACAAAGAATCCATCGTTCGCATCCCCGCCCAGAGTAAGCTTACCCTCCTTCTCACCGATAGCAAGATACTCCTTAATACGGTTGTATTGCAGATAATCAATTTGCGGACCATGCTGTGTAGTAGGATCAAGCGGATCACCCATCTTGACGCTAGCGAATGCCTCCAGGAAATGTTTTGTGAACTCCTCCTTGACGGACTCGTGCACGTAGACGCGCGAGTTAGCAACACACACTTGTCCGCTGTTAAACTGGATACCGAACATGCACTGATGAGCAGCAGATTGTAGGTCCGCATCTTCGAAGACAATGGCAGGTGACTTGCCGCCCAGCTCCACGTGGACAGGCTTCAGGTTAGACTTCGCTGCAGCGGCGTGGATCTTCTTGCCCGTCATCGAGGACCCAGTGAAGCTGATTGCGCGAACTTTCATATGCTCGGCAATGGTTGAGCCGGTCGGCGTACCGTAGCCGGAGAGAACATTGATGACACCTGGTGGGAAGCCGACCTTCTCAATCAATTTGGCCATATAGAGTGACTAGAAAATGTTGGCATGAGAAATTTGTATAGACCAGAGAGACGTCGATGCGCAAGGCAGAAAACTCACAGTCAATGGGGCCTTCTCACTGCTCTTCAGCACCACAGTGTTACCAGCAGCTAGAGCAGGTGCCATCTTTCCAGCAAAGCTCGCCAATGGGAAGTTCCACGGGATAATCAGCCCAGCCACGCCGTATGGTTCCTTAACAGTCATTGAAAAGGTTCCAGGTGTGTTGGTACTAGCCGTACCCTGTACAGTCCAGGCGTAATCGGCGAGATATCTGAATTGCTCTGCGGCCATTGCTCCATCCGGGAAAATCGAGATCGGGCGACCGGTGCTCAGCGTCTCGAGCTTGGCTAGCTCTGGGATAGCTTCCTGGATGAGATCGGACAGTTTACGTAGGTATTCCCCGCGTTGATCCACGCCGAGATCTCTCCAGGCGGGGAATGCTGCTTCGGCGGCGTCTACAGCGTCATTGACATCTTTGACATCCGCTTCCTGGACTGTGGTTTTGCTGTCAATACTCATCAGGATTCAGTATGGGATATTTGTACCTTTTGCAACGACATCTTGAGTATAAGGGTATATGATGTCAAACGTCTTGCCGCTTGAAGAGTTGCGAAACTGGTGAGAGAGTCAGTCTAGAGTCACTCGTGAAATGGGACGCCTGATATATGTTTCTTCTTGTGTAGGTGCAGAGCGTACTTCGCCGTTAATGAACAACCGAGTCTCGATCGGTTGCAATTCCTGAATAGTTTCAGCCATGTTTGATTGATGAGAATAATCACAAAATCAGTTTTATAATGGATATATAGAGAAGAGAAGGAAGAAAAAGAGACTAGGTTAGATTGAGGGGTAGGTAGCTATTTGTATTTAATATCTTTGTCGATCTTCAACGCAGCGTTGTACTTGTGGACCGAGCTTTACAAGATTCAACCAGCAGTTTTCTTTGGGGCAGCTGCCTTTTGCTCTGCTACAATTCATTGGTTGATCTGTATCTGTGCTTTCACACTGTACCCAAACGCAATCCGGAACAATGGGGGCCGTAGCCCCACCCTTTCGCTTTGATTGGAATCATCGTGTTATGTGGCTGCTTAGGCGTCCTATCCCAGTAAGACAGACATGTCGAGCTCCGTAGTACAACCGCCTTTATGCGCACTAGACTCCTACAAGTGGCACGTGATGCAGGTGTGACAAAAGTCTAACTACGATAGGAATAGTAATATCGGGTAATTTGATACATTCGTGGCATTATCGTAGAAGATATTGAAGTCGCTCTTTTATACAGTACAATATGATTCTTTACTCCGCGATTCCCCGCTGCTTCATACCCTGCAGATTCAGCGTATCCTGGTCTCCGGGGCGGTTCTCAGAATCAATCTTGATATTGTCTTCGGGGCCACCAGGTCCCTTAAAGTGTTCAGCCTTAGGAAGTCTAATAAGGAAAGCCATGTTAGTATTGGTTCGCCTGGACTTCATTTCGACTGTCTTACCTGCCGCGGTCATCGCGAGTACCGCCCTCATCCTCTGGAACCTTGCGGTGGTCACTGCCTGAGGCAGTAGCACCAGGGCCATACTTAAGACTAGCACCGGCATCCTCGAAGCGTTTGTTGGCCATCTCGTCGACGCCAGACTCGAGAGCTGTAGTTTTGAGGGTTAATCTCAGTCACATAGTTCGTGGAATAATGCTGGTAACTTACTTGAGTCGCTCTTCTTTCCAAGGCCCTGCTTGGCCTGGTAGGAGTTAAGATCCTTCTCGGCGTCGAATGCAGCCTTGCGCAAGTCTTCAAAGTGAGCGGCCATTTTGGAGAAAATATATCGGAGTTGTATAATAAATGGTTTGTGAGCTGAAAGGGACGGAGTTTAATGACAATTTAAATCGATGTATTTGGAAAAAAAATTATAGAGAGAAAGAGGCACTCGAAATATTTATACTTGGGAGCCATAACCTTGGGCAACAGTTGCATCATAGAGATATCATAGGTATGTCACCTTTTTCTACAGTGGGAACATGGTTAATAGTTAGCCGGATGCAGTGAACATAAAGGTCACCAACTCCCCAAAAAACAAGGTAGGAGCTATGATATCGACGAGACCATTAGTGACTTCATGGTCTCCACTTCCAATTGGGGTCAAAATTAGGGTTCAGACCTAGGGCTTCCGCCGGCCCGGGTCAACTATACCCCGTGATCCCGGGCCCGCTGAGGGGGATCGCGGGCAAGCTTAATAGTGAAAGAGCGTTGAACCCGAGAGTTGTTGACGCGTCATTCCAGGTCATCCAGTGAGCCTTTGTATGGATAATAATTGAATTTGAGATTTCTTATTCTCTCCAGCGGTGCATGTGGCGTTCGGCTGGCCTAGATTTCTCCGATAAACCTCTACGCAACCACAAACACCATGTCCCAGCTGATCGAGGTGCCTGGTGAGGCGAGCCCATTGGGATACCAGAATGTGGTCAACACCTTGGTAATGGCTGCCAGCTCGAATCAGCAGCAGGTTAAGACGGGCACTGCGCAGCTACAGAACTGGCAGAGACAAGGTTCATACCATTCCATGCTTCAGGTATCTTCAATCTTCCGATTGGTATCATGATCCACAAAAAATTGACAGGTGTATCCATAGGACGTTTTCTGTGACCATTCATTACCAACCGAAGTTCGATACCTCGCGATTATTCAGTTGAAAAACGGAATCGACAAATACTGGCGAAAGACGGCACCCAAGTGCGTTCCCCCAACGGCCTATCCATGGCATGATCCGAATGAAACCTACTGACCCCCATGGAAGCGCGATCGCGAAGGATGAAAAGGATAAGATTAAGACTACTGCTATACAAGCAGGTATAGCTGAACCTGCCCGCCCCCTCGCCCTTCAAAATGCCTTGATGATCGCCAAGATCCTCCGCTATGAATTTCCTCAGGACTGGTATAGTCTTTTCCAACTCGGCTTCTTGTCATAATTGTGATTAACTGTAACAGGCCGGATGCGATTACGACTGTGATTACCTTCCTCCGATCCTCGACCCAACCCGATGCAACTCCGATCCAGCTCCCCCGGACCCTCCTTATTCTCTTGCAAATCATCAAAGAACTGTCCACCGCGCGCTTACAAAGAACCCGAGCACAACTCCAGTCCGTTTCGCCAGAGATGTTCCATGTGCTGGGGAGCATCTATGTGGACAAGGTTAACACCTGGGTATCCATTTTGGAACACGGGGGTGGCGATGAAGCATCATTGTTGAATGCGATCGAACAAAGTTTGGTCTCCTTGAAGGTTCTCCGACGGCTCATTATTGCCGGATTCGAGCACCCTGGCCGCGATCAAGAGGTCCAAAATTTCTGGACATTGTCGTATAACCATTTTGTGAAATTTCTTTCCTTTGTGAACGAGTCTGGCAAGCTGCCGGAGCTTGTCGAAACAGGAATACAGAAGCACATCTTACAGCTTTCTAAGCTCCATGTTGAAATGGCCCAAACTCATGCAGCATCTTTCGCACACTTTGCACACAGCATTGAGCTCGTTAACACCTATTGGACCTTGCTTCAAAAGCTTAGTGAGGTCTATGTCAGTCTTGGGGCCGATGCTGAAACCGAAGGGCAATCCCTGCCCGAGAAGACGGGCCTCAGGGCTTTGCTTTTGATCAGAGCGTGCGCAAAGATGGCTTTCAATCCAGTGCACACTTTCAAATATCAAACCCCAGAAGACAAGGAGGAGCGAAAGCAGGCCGTTGAACGGATTAAGACCGAACTTTTCACTGATAAATTCGTCTTGGATACTATGGAGTTGCTTGTCACACAATTCTTCAGGTTCCGGAACATTGATTTCGAGGAATGGGAAGCGGAACCTGAGCAGTGGGAGAAGCGGGAGGAAACTAGCAGTGAGGCATGGGAGTTTTCTATCCGCTCATGCTCAGAGAAGCTGCTCCTCGACCTCGTCATTCACTTCAAGAGTTTGCTGATTGATCGATTATTGGATGTATTCCATTCGTTCGCACGTAAGTGACATCACAAGGCCCTTGGGTAACACACTCTAACCATCTTTCTAGGGACCGACAACCGCAATGTGATTTTAAAGGACTCTTTATACTCTGCTATTGGCTTAGCTGCAGCCAGTCTTGAGCAGCATTTAGATTTCAACACATTCCTCGAAGCGACGGTTGTTCCTGAAGTCCAAATTCAGGATCCGGAGTACAGGCTTCTGAGAAGACGAATCCCCATGGTTCTTGGGCAATGGGTACCAATTCAGTACGAGAAACTGAACATCGATGCCATTTACCAGATCTTCCAACATTTGCTGAACAAGGATGATCCGTTGAATGACTTGGTGGTCCGAATTACTGCTGGCCGACAACTCAGCAATATCATTGAACCCTTTGAGTTCACCCCAGCGGCTTTCATCCCATACGCGCCAGCCATTTTGGGAAGCCTCATGTCTCTTGTCCAGGAGGTTGAAATTTCCGAAACTAAAATGGGTCTGTTGGAGACTGTGCGAGTAGTGGTCGTGAAGATGGAAAGCCATGTAAGTCCCATGCATTTCCTGACTGGTTCTAGTCTAACGAAGATTATAGATTGCCCCCTTCTCGGACGCAATTCTATCGCTCCTCCCGCCTTTATGGGAAGAATCCGGAGATGAGCACCTGATGAAACAGGCCATTCTCACCCTTCTTTCGTCCTTGATCCATTCGTTAAAACAAGAGTCCGCGCGATATCACTCGCTCATTCTCCCACTTATCCAAGGATCCGTCAACCCTGAATCCGTGAGTCTTCCTACGAAAGGCGAAAAACGCGTCAAACCAAACGAGCTCTTGCCATTCTGACATAATTGATCTATAGGAAACATTCATGTACCTTCTGGACGAGGCATTGGAGCTATGGGCCGCTATCATCATGCAAACACCCTCGCCCGCGTCCCCAGAGATCCTCGCCCTCATGCCCGCTATCTTCCCCATCATCGAACAAGGAACAGACAGCACGGCCCAGGCCCTCAGCATCGTCGAATCCTACATCTTCCTCGCACCCCAAGAGGTTCTCCGTGACGGAGTCCGCGACGCCCTCTTGACCTCCTTGAAGGAAACCCTTTCCTACACAACAAAGATGCGCACCGGGGTAGTCCCCCGCCTCGTCGACATGATGATCCGCGGCGCTGAAACCGTCGACGGCGGCAGCGAAACAACATACAGCATCATCTCACGCTCCCTCCTCGAGACCTCATTCCTCCCATCCCTTCTCGAAGGCCTATACACTGCCTACGAGTCCAGCCAAACCTCTGGACCAAACCGAAAATCATCCAACGTCGTCGGTGTCATCGAAACAGATTACCTATCCGTTCTCGCAAGACTTGCCCTGGGAAGCCCCACTATCTTCGCATCAGCCGTCGCGGCCGCAACAAACTCCACGGAAGAACAATCCCTGAACTGGATTCTGGCCGAATGGTTCTCGCACTATGATAATATCGGTAGCGCGAACCAGAAGAAGTTGCATGCTCTCGCTCTTACGCAGCTTCTTTCTCTTCAGGGTCAAGCTGGCCCTTCTGGCCTTTCACCTCCGCCCCCTTTCATCCTTAAGCACCTCCAATCATACCTTACTATGTGGACTGATATCATCAACGAGCTATCGGAGGGTGGATCGGACCCGAATGCTGATTACCTTGTCTACTGGAACGCGGCGAAGGGGTCTGAGACTGCGAACCCGGAAAACTCGGAGGAGGTTGAGACGCCTGAGAACGTTCGCCGAAGTGAATGGCAGGCTACCGATGCCATTCACCGGTTCCCCATCCGCGACTTTGTGCGCCAGCGTTTAGAGCAGGTTATTCTTGCTTGTGGTGGTGCGCAGCGTTTCCAGGAGGAGTGGTTGGTTAATGTTGATGGGGAGGTTGTATCGGCATTCGGTGCTTTGGGACTTCTTTGATTTGGATGCTTTCATATGAACTTTGATTGCATTCTACCTAAATTCTTTTTTGTTCTATTGCGCTATTGCATATCCTACCTGCGACTTGAGAACTGCATGAACTCCATGTTCCCTGAGCTTCTTAGCAACATACCCAAATATACAATTTATTCTGTAGTTTGAATATCTTACTAAACTGCATTAGTCTTTTCTCTTTCGATATACGGAGTAGTTTTCTAAGAATACCTCTAATGATCGATGAGCAAGCTTGCAAGGGTTTTAAGAGAGAAAAGCAATGGGTTTATAAAAAGACTGGTCAATCCAGTAGTATCCTAAACATACACCAAAACACCTATAGGCTGATTTGCTTGCACCATGCAAGCTTCCAAACTCCAGCAGCCTATTGAAAAAGGTCCCAAGAATGAGAACCGAGCAAAGAAAGAGACCCCCAAGTTAGAAATAAGGAATAAAAAGTTATGAATTACAAATATGCTTCACCACTAGCATTGGCGAGGGAACTGGCGGCTGGTGACAGGGTTAGGGAAGACTCCTCCAGCAATCTGCTGCTGCATGTCCCATTCGGGGGCACCTTCAGTCTTCCAGGTCCAGTAAAGCCAACCGGATCCCTTCTCAAAGGCATCAAGCTGAGCCTCAATGAATTGGCGTATATTGTCGCGATCAGCCTGGGGGAGGGCTGCCACAGTTCCAACAGACTTGCCATCACAGCTACCGATCACGTTGCTGCCCATGTAGGTTCCGTCATAACGGGCACCAATACCCTTGCCATTGAGATACTTAGCACAATCAGTCATGGCACCAGTCCATTCACCAACAATTGTCCACTTGTCAGAGTGCAGGACGTGCTGGTCGACGAAGTTGCAGACATTGTTGGCGTGGCCCTTGGCGTCCATAGCAAGCAGGCTGCTATCAAAGACTTCGTAGTGATGAGTGTCCATCATGACATACCAGACACCAGTGTCCACGCTCATGAATTTGTTCCACGATTCTGTGGGCATGAATCCATCGTGAAGGACCACAGTGGTATCCTGGCTAGACTCACGTACAACACCCCAAGCATCATAGTAATATTGCTTCAGGCCATCCTCGACGACGCCACCAGGGATGCTGGGCTCATTAAGGGCCTCGATGGCGGTGACGACATCGGTATCACCCTGGTACCGCTTAGCCAGCGCTCGCAGAGCACTCTTAGTGTTGAGCACGTTGTTGGGGGTCTGCTGCCATCCAACGGAGCCTCGCTTGCCACTGTTGTCAAACCCATTTTGGGAACCAGGGGCTTTTGAAAAATTAGCATCGAATTTCCACAATGGAGACGATTGAGTTTGATTGACTTACCCCCGTGAAGATCAACCATGATCTTAATACCGGCCGCACGAGCCCAGGTGACTGCACGGTCAAGGTACTCCAGCTGGCCATCGGCATATGGGTCGCCATCCAAACGCTCTAAAGCCCAGTAGCCGACAGGAATTCGAACATGGTTCATACCCGTGGCTGCGATCTGGTTGAAATCATCTTGGGTGATGAAGGTGCTCCAGTGCTTCGACAGAACAGTGCGGCATTGTTCCGTACCGAGGACGGTGCAGAGAGACCATTCATCAACGGCAGCATCTCCGACATTATCAAAGATTGAAGGAGTGATCCAAGGCTCCAAAACCAACCAACCACCGAGGTTGACACCACGGACCTTGGTATCGGTACCGTAGCCAAAGAGAGGGCTCCTGCCAATAAGGTTAGCCCAAGAAGATCATAAAGCTAACACATGATAGATCTGGGGCTATCAGCACTCACACTTCCATAGCGGCCTTGCTCAATTTGGTGGCGTGGCCGAGTTTAGAGGCCTCGCCCAGTGCAGCCAAAAAGGCCAACACAAGCGTCTTCTTCGATACAGACATTCTGAAGTTCCTTTGATAAAGTTAATCTAGAATCCAGGAGACTGGGCTTCAGGAATGAAATGGAATAAGAATTGTGTCAAAGGGCATGGTGATCGGCTGCTATAAGTAAATTCCATGTCGATAATTGTGCTTGGAAGTGACCGGATGCAGCCCCATGGCCTGGGAACGGAAAAAGTTGAGGGCTTTAAAGGAGGCACACGACGCACCTTCAACTGTTTGTTTGTAGATCTTTTCTTGACGCAGCGCTTGTCAACCTTTGACAGATCTCTGACAGCTTCCGGGATAGGTTGAATCTGGCCGAAAACAGACAACAGCGGGTCCAGGTATTGCGGGGTCTGGGGTTGATATATGGGACAATGGCCTTCAAACTGGGCTTGGGTGACAGCAGCCTAGCTCACTCCGGTCATTTGTTAGCCCTTCTGGTGGGGATTCAAAACCTGACAGGTGTGTTCATCTCACAGAGTTGGATCTTGGGAGCACTCGCGGCCGGTCAAGAGATGGGGCAGGTCACAGCAGATACCGGGGAAGTGAAAGGTGGATCTAGAGAAAGGCATTGTTCGAGTCAAGTTTGGTCTTGACCCCAAGTGTTGCTGTTAGAGTTGCGTGTCTGTTTGGGCAGGAGCTCCCCACTCCAGCGTCATGAAGGCTCCTCCTACTTCAATTACCTAGCACCATACTCCAGCGCTACTACGATAGAATTACCACTGAGCTCTGTTAATGGCCTATTTGGAGAGCATCGTAATCCTGTCCAAATTTGACACATTCTCTAAATGACCAGTCAATTTCATCAAGCTCACGCCATGATGATCCTCTGAAATCGTACAGCATCGAGCGCTGCCGTTTGCGGCGAGTGGCAAGACCGCGCCCCGACAGAGATCGGACCGGCCACGTGTGACTTCGAAGAATGTGAATGGAAGCTCTTGAGACAGGTTCCATTGGACATCGAGACTGAGTATGAGCTATTGCTTTGAATTCGAGTACTTGATAGGTTGTAAGGCCCCTTTTTGAGGTTACTCGAGATGGTTCACGGGTATTCCCAAGCCGCCGGTTTTCAATTTGGCGCTCAACACAATTGCATTTTGCCTGAAGCTACTGAGCCACGGAACCACGAGACACAAGCCTAGTGTATCAGGTCGAACCCATGGGTGACTCGGATACATCCGCAAGACCGCATTTCCGTTCCCGGCGACCTTGAACATCTGTTGATTGTTCTGACCCACAATTTGTGATTCTGACAGGATTTGAGACTGTGACCTTGGTTCAAGGGTAAAGACTCCGTATATGATCGACCCTTCAATCTGCATTTCCGACCTGGGGCAGCAAAGCAGGAGTCCATGGAGGGGACTGCAGCTGCAGCGTAGGAATTGCGATCTTGTCTGTAACGCTAAGATCGCAGGGAATGTGGGCTAGGAATGCAGGTCAGAAGGGCAGGAATGCACGTGTCCTACATTACTCCACTTGTGACCTGGACTAGGTTCCAATTGGGCGGGAATGTATGAATGTCAGTATCGAGGGCGTTCAACGTCTCGGCAGAGGATGCAAGGAGTAAGACATGTTTCCATAGTCTAGCCAGGCACGATCAATGACTTCGATTTCCTGACGATCTTTATTGCCGGCGGTTCTCCTGTTCAGTATTGCTATGAGTGTGAGGAAGACAATGGAATAGATTTCGCCAGGCTGTTTTGAAAGCGGCATGGCCTTGAATGATGGCCCTGGATCGTCAACTGGTTCCTCAAATGTGTGATTATCTTGCATATTTGAATCAGCCTGTGAGACAGTCAGGTGAAACAGAGTGCATCCGGAGTCATTTTTCCCTGTCCTAGAAGATAGTAGCCTCGGCCTCAAACAAACTGTCATCAGCTGCCGAATCACAAGAGTCCACCTCATAATCTGGTGTAGCTCGATCGTCTTTTGCTAGTCCCGACTTCTGTTGCGGTACGATCATGTTGGTATTTGCCTTGAAAATGACCATCGCGGACTGTGAACCAACTATGCATTTGTGCACGTCTTGTTGGTCGAGGCCGGAAAGAATGATCAAATCACTGAATTTCAAACGAGGTCGCAGGCTGTGGTGTCGCTAGGACGGCTGAAGCTCTGTGATAACTACAGTTGCGAGGGCATGAAGAGCTCTTGGTCAGGAGCATTAGTGACCCCTTGCAGGGGGGCCTCCTTGGCAGGGAATTCGGCAGCCGGCGTTTTTCAGCTTTGGGAAAAATGAGAATTTCATTCGCTTTGAGGATGAATACAAGTGGAAAGGACACAAGAGACGCGAAAAAAAGGACATTGTTCACTGTGGGTCTTTTGGGGTTAACAAGAATAGCTACGTGCAACAGTGACAGTACATGATATGATGTCAAATGGGATAACCTCTTCTTCTCCAAGCGATCGGTCAAGCCGATACAGTTGATGAAAAAAGGATTCGCGTCGATCGGGGGTAGTGTGAGCCCGATGACACTGTGCGACCGACATGCGCAAGCACAGAGGTCGGTCGCGAGGTCCAAAAATGAGAATAATCAATGTGTTTCCCGTAGGAAACTTTCAGAGATTAAACTGAAAAGAACAGATACTACACTTGATCTAAGCCAATTGGCAAAGAGAGCTGGAAAAGAAAAAAGAAAAGAGGAAATGGAGGAGAGCGGGAGGAGATATTTATACCCTGGGGTCCCGCGCTAGTGCGAGCCTCGCGTGTGTGAGCCAATCAAACGAAGCAAAAGATGAGTCAGATGATGACTCATCAAAGAGCTCATTGATGACATAATCACAGACTGCCTGCCTCGACTCCTTCACCGCCATTCGAACACCCGGGCGATATATTCTGGTTATTGCTCATAGGTCACATGACTCTATCTCTCTATCCTTATCATCACAATACATCACGTCCTCTCAACTTATGTCACATCAACAAATCTTATGCTTTGGGCTGATTCTATTTACAGCGTATACTTTCACAACTAGGAAGAGTGGGCTTTGATGCTACTAGCAAATATTTACAGCAACTCTTCGACTCATCCATAGCTTTTACCTAGACGTATAATCAACCTTTGGCTTCTGCCCAGGAAGTTTATTACCTACCAAGAATGACTTTAAAATTCCCCTCTTCAAGTGCCCTCACGCCTTTTGTTCTCAACAACTTGTGTTCCATATCGACAACCCCTTTCAACCCTGTTTCTTTCTCCCACCTCGCCTTACCTACTGCACACCATCCACGATTTCCATGGATTCTGTGCGATGAGGCAGACTGCCACGAGATCAAAGAGCCATTTAAACAGCAACATCTATTGATAAAAAAGCCATTGAAACCCCCAAATATTTGATTCGGGTCCCAAAGTTGATGAAGATTCGAACGATAACGAATACACTGAGAGTTTCTCCTTCTCCAACTACCCCGCTTAGAAACCCCAACAGGTCAACGCGGGGAAATGAATATGGAAATTGAGAGCTCCGGTACAGAAATGGAAAATATCCATATGCCAGCGGAGCTGTGGAGCCGTTGGCCAACCCCCCAATCGCACAGGACCGATCGTCACGCCAAGTCCGAATGAGGGGGGAGAAGGCCAGCCTTCGTATTCTTATTTTCGGTGCTCAGCCGCTCCCACGACTCGATGATACCTCGAGGTGCGACATGGCATGGCGTGCTGTCTATTCGTTCCTGAATGTGGTTAGTATGAGGAATTCCCGGTCTTGGGAGCGGATTTCAGGGTCTCACGGACAGGATCCGTGCGGCTGCAAGGAGCTCTACGCACGATCCATCAGTATTACATAGAATGCCGAGAGTCCCGGGCTCGGCAAACTGCCAGTCATGATGTTACTAATGTGTTGTCTCTGAAGGATGGAAACCTTGTCAAAAAAAATGCAAGTCCAGCGCATTGTGATCGCCCCGATAATTCTCCACAAAGCACACGACCGAGAAAGACCGAAATCCGGTCCAGGGACTAACTTCACTGGTCTATGATTGTAAAACTGATCGAACCACGGAAATATCTGCTTTTATGTCTTCATAACTATCCTCGCACGAATTCATCGTACAATACAATAATGAATCTACAGATGTGATTGGCCACTCTATAGTTAGTTCCATACTCCACCATCAATTACGCCAAGCAGGTGCTCCCTGCAATCGGCCCACGGTAGGGTACTAAGCCTGTTGTTTGCCCAGACTGAATGATCCTGCCCCTGTGCGCCCTCCCTGCGGGGATTGCCGACCCTATGTGGAGATCATACTTCAGCAAGACTGGGCAGTGTCTAGCAATTATACTAGTCCAGGCTGACTTGCATCTCTTAGCGGTCTTGGGGCCCTCTTTTTGCCTTTTTAACTAGACCACAGCAAGTATGGTTAGATAGCTCGGTGTTTCGGCTCTGTCCAGTCCGTTATGTAGTGTACATAAAGCCAAGGATCTTCGCCGAGGTGGTTGTTCCCTGTTGTGTAGACACCATTGTGGCCTTCCAGTCCCACACGTTCCAGGCCAGCTTAGTTGTCCAAGACGATGCATTTGCTGTGGAGTACCGTATTCTCTCTGTTGGCTGGCAGTAGTCTTGCCCTACCAGGGAGTCATGATAAAGTATTCACAGTCAAGCAGGCCCGCGCCGCTGGGTATGTTCTCAAGGAACCACCATTGACAACCCCTTGGACGGACAAAGTAGGCACTGATCCGTGGCCTGAGTATCCGCGGCCACAGATGCAGCGATCGCAATGGCAGAATTTGAATGGAGTATGGCAGTATGAGAACGCATCTAGTCTCGCTGCCGTTCAAAATCCGCCTTTTGGACAAGACCTTGCACAGGATGTCCTTGTTCCATCTTGCTTGGAGAGTGGTTTGTCAGGTGGGTGCATTATTTTTGATTGATTTTGGCTTGCTGTATGAAATTAACAAACCTTTGCAGGGGTCCAGGGTGAGTATATGATATACTCGTGGTTCTCAACCTCATTCAAGGTGCCATCAGACTGGAAGGGTCAGAGTATCTTGCTCAACTTTGGAGCAGTAGACTATGAAGCTACAATTTTTGTCAATGGACAAAAAGCCGGCTTCCATCGTGGTGGATATTTCCGTTTCACGTTGGACGTTACCGCGTTCCTGAAACCAGGACAAGAAAATGAACTGTGAGTAGCTTCAGAGCTCAATTGGGACGGTGCTGACTTGGTATAGACTTGTCTTTGTGCACGACCCCACAGATGATGGGGATTATGTTATTCCCATTGGAAAGCAAACTCACAGACCGAGCCATATTTTCTACACTCCCTGTAGTGGAATTTGGCAAAGCGTCTGGATCGAGGCTGCACCACAGAATCATGTCTCACGGCTAGACATCGATGGAAACATGGAAGGCCAAGGTATGTGATCCACCTATTCAGATGATGTTCGATCGTTAACAGTCCTCAGTCAATATGACCGTGCACACTTCCTCTGTCAATACCACAACCAGTGTTCAAGTTGTTGTGCATGATGGCGACAATGTTGTTGCGACTTATAGAGGTCCGACAAACCAGCCTTTCCAGTTTAACGTCGACTCCCCGAAACTGTGGTCTCCGAACTCGCCCAATCTGTACAACATCACCGTCACATTGGGCAAAGACCAGGTCCAAAGTTACACGGGATTCCGCACCATTTCCAGGGGCACCGTCGACGGTGTCGTTCGGCCGCTATTGAACGGCGAGTTTATATTCATGTTCGGCACTCTCGACCAAGGCTTTTGGCCGGATGGTATTTACACACCTCCTACCAAGGAGGCTATGGTCTACGATCTCCAAATGCTAAAAAAGCTCGGCTTCAACATGGTCCGCAAGCATGTAAGTACAACGGTAAAAATTCGAGAGCGTGGCATTGACACATTGTAGATCAAAGTTGAGCCTGAGCTTTTTTATCGTGCTTGTGATGAGCTAGGGCTGCTTGTTATCCAGGACATGCCTTCCCTGCGACCGATTCAAAGCAGGAAGCTGTCTGACTGTACCTCCCAGACCATTTTGCCGAATGCAGCACAGCAGGCTGAATTCTCGCGCCAGCTGGAGGTCCTGGTCAATCAGCACAAGAGCTTCCCTAGTATTGCAACTTGGGTTAGTTGCTCAAATTGATTTTCTCTATCCGTGCTGATGGATTATAGGTTATCTACAATGAAGGCTGGGGACAGCTGACGGACTACTACCCCGAATTTGAGTTGACCGACCGGGTCAGACAGCTAGATCCAACACGGCTAGTGGATTCGACAACCGGTTGGTACGACCATGGAGCAGGAGACTTTAGCGTGAGGAACCCCCATGAAACTTCCAGAGTCCTCGCTCACTGTAACAGGATAACCACCACTACGCCAACCCACAATGTGGAACCCCATTCTACTCCACCTCCTCCAGCCCTTACGACGACACCCGAATCGGTTTCCAGGGAGAATTTGGCGGGATAGGCAACAACGTCTCCATTGAACAGTAAGTCACCCTGGTAATCTCTAGCCGAAACCTTGCTCACAATTTCAGTCTCTGGAACAACCAAGACGCAATCAACACTATCAACCAGACCTACGAAATTGACATTACCCTCGACGCCTGGAACTACCGTAGTCATTTCCTCCTCAGCGAATTGCAGGACCAGGTGCGCCTTTTCTCCTGCAGCGGTGGCGTTTGGACACAGACCACCGACGTAGAAGGCGAAGTCAACGGACTGATGACCTACGATCGACGCTTATCTCGCGTTGATGAGGACCAATGGAAAGCCGACATCCAGGGTCTGTATGATGCAGCTGCGGCACGCAGCAACGGCACCATGTCTGCGTGAGCGGGGCGATTGTAGCTTAGCCGAGCTCCAGATGATATCCATAGCAAATCCATCACAGCTAACCTATTACGAATCGAATTAAAGTTTTCTCCGGCATAATTACCAACTCGGCAATATTGCCGGACTTGTCAGGATGCATCCAAATATCTCAATTATATTATTCTGTACGGAGTAGATGAGAAAGACTGATCACATCCACGGATTCAAAATTGACTTTCTGATACATCTTATCACAGTTTCAAGCCATGTGGAAAGCCACATGCGGGCGTCCAGCTGTCATATTCTTCACAAAGTCAATTAGATTACTTGGCACGGCAATCCCACGGATCATAGCGCCTCCGTTGTGTCACAGAACGCGGGGGGGAAACATGAAACAACAGCGGCGAGCATGCTGAGCGTCTAGACCGCGGTTTTCTAAGTGATCAACACAGGCATTGCTGATCGTCTAACGCGCGTGTTTTAGAAACGGACGTAGCGCGTCTCAGCCTAATTAAAGGGACAAAACATGACATCAACCGGAGAACACGCTTGATGTATCCAAGCACCAAGTTGAAAAAAAGAACAAAAGCTCTCAACTGGTTCAGAAGGTCGGCTAACTGCGAGATCGGTCCCCCTTTATTTCCCCCCTTGTTAAAGAAAATTTCCCGTGTCCGTACTCGCGTCCAACCGGAAGGCATCCATTTGATCAGGCAATAAGCCTCCACTCGAATCCACCGTGATCGCGAATCAGGCCACGCCATCACGCGATCCAACTGGATCGATTTGCGCCAGGAAGAACAGGTGAGGAGATTTAGTAATGCAAATGACCTCGTGCTATGATTTATGCATGTCTTCGCGTGAAATTTGCGGGACCCACTCAAGCCGAACCGTTCGGCGGTTTTTCTGGAAGCCACTTTCAACGATCTTACTTTTGTTCTATGCTTTCCCTGGGGTCCAAGCGGGAATGGCGTTTTGATGTCATTGGCATTTCATTTAAGCCGAGTTTCATCCAACCTGGAACACTGCCTTTGCCGATCATCCTTTCTTGCAGATGAACCGGAAAAGCTATTGCCTATTCAGTGTAGAGAAAAAAAATCCATCGCGCCCCGAACCGTCGGCTCCGAGTCTAAGTGGAACTCGTCTCGGTTGGAAGCCGTTGGGGACCACAGCGGAGCTCCGGCTACGTCTTCACGTTTAACTTGGAAGCCTGTTTTAGCTGCATCGGGATCTGCGGGACAATTTGAGTTTTGGGTTTTCGTTGGGATCAAGACTAATTACACGTGTTTTAGCTCGACACGCAACCCTTGACCCTGAAGAAAGTGTCCTTCTAGAAGACTCGGGTTCAGAGTGAAGAGGCTGCGGATATTGTATCGGACACGAGTATTGCTGGTTCTCTGCGTTTCTCGTGTGGAGGCTTGTCTCGAATTCGACTATGACAGGATGGCGGTCCATAGTTTCGACGCCGTAACGCCAGTGGAGGGCAAAGGAGATTGCAGGGGATCAGGCCATACTTGCCGAAGCCTTGTTCTGTGGCCGGATTTTTCAACCAGGGATTTTTTACATCATCTGATTCGATGATGCATGCATCTATGTGACCTCCATCTGGAGATGAGCTGTCGTCTCAAATCGGGTCTTTTCGCTATTCTTGGTAAGAGGTCCGCTCCACTTTTTTTTTGTCTTCTTTTTTTCTGTTTTTTTTTTCGATTGCTAGGGCCCCTTTCTGGGATCTTGAATCGTGATGTCTACTGGGGGTCTGATCGGATGGTTTGTCCGTTGGGGGGTATAAAAGATCTGGTTGTCCTGCCCATGCGGATGCCACGAGGAGCCCCGGTTTTTTCTTTCTATATATTTGACCTTTTTCTGCTAAAGAAGAACCCTAAAAACTTATTCAACTGAACTAGATTGAGTATCTTGATCCTATCAGACCATCATGCCTTGCGATTATGGGGTAGATTTAGGCTTTGAGCCGGAACATATTGACCGCAAATCACTATATGTCAGCTTGGAAGAGCGCATCAAGTATTTGCATCACTTCCTTGAGTGGTCTTCTGGTATGTATTGGTCTGTCCTACTTCATGTTCCATATCCATATGCTAATCTACTTCTTGTATAGAGGATGTCGAACATCTCCAAAGTGGAGCCAAATACCTCAAGCAACTTATTCCCGCCGTCGTCAACATGGTGTATAAAAAGCTCCTCAAATATGACATCACGTCGCGTGCCTTCCACACCCGCACCACCGCAAGTGAAGAAGAGCCTACTGATGACTACCTCACCGAAGAGACCCCACAAATCCAACGGCGCAAGATGTTCCTGCGCTGGTACCTCATCAAGCTGTGCCAGGACCCTACCAGCATGGATTTCTGGCGATACCTAAACAAAGTCGGGTGAGTAATGACACCTTACCTCTGTATAGAACATACCTCTAACGCCGTATGCAGCCAAATGCATTCCGGTCAAGAACGCCTAGCCCCCCTCAACATCGAATACATCCACCTCGGCGTCTGCCTAGGTTACATTTCAGACATCTTCATCGAAGCCCTAATGTGCCACCCTCAACTCTCCAATCGTCGCAAAATCGGCCTCATCCGCGCCCTCAACAAAATCATCTGGATCCAAAACGACCTCTTCGCCAAATGGCACCTTCGCGACGGCGAGGAATTCGCCGACGAAATCTCCATTTACAGCTTCGGGTCCAATAATAAGGAGGGATACTTGAGTGGGAAGCGCATTATTGGCAGTAGCTCGGAAAGCTCCGTGGATGATGACCAATCCAGTATTGCGAGCAGTGTAGCGCCGTCCACGCAAAGTGGCGCCCACTCTACTCAAACGACCGGATCGTCGCGGACACCGGAGGGAGCGACTAAAAGCTCAGCATGTCCATTTGCAGAATTCGCGAAGAACAATTCTTCGACCGAGACTAAGATCTGGGCGAATTGAAAATGATGAATTAAAGCATTGGCATTTCTGGTGCGGGATTGGGAATTTGGGGCGCATGGAACATAATGCATTTGGCGGCGGTGTTTGCTTTTTTCTCTGTTTCAAAATCGAACTCGAATCTCGACTTCTTTCTCTTCAATCTTTTCTTCCATTCCTTCTATTTATTAAGTCGTATTCGAATCCCTTTCCACGGACATCTTCCGATTCTTCGGTCGCGCTTAACTAACCTTGTCCACATTTTCGACATCTCGGGACTTGTCCCCCACTCGGCTCATCTTCAAGGCAGTTCGCACCCCGTATATCCATTCTGGTCCGTGGATCCCCGCGAACCAATTTATATGTCCGGCGGCCTTATCGGATTTCCAGAAAACAACGTCAACGGAGATAAATCTCGATTTCCGAATTCCAGTGGGCTATTGATTTTCAGAGCTGCCATCTGCTCCACCAACCCCTCCAACTCCACACTCGATCCGGCAAGATCTGCTCTGCCCAGGCCGTTGAACCACCCTTGCACCACAACCATTCAATAGCTCTTAAACTCTTGTCCCCCAGGCTAAAAAAAGGGGGCTTTTTGAACTGTTTCCTGTATTCATCAACAGCCCTCAGTCCACAATTCACCATGTCTGGTATCGCTTCCAAGCCTGTGACGCCACTCATCATTAACGGTGAGTCGGTTGTCACCGACATCAAATTCGAGGTCATTGCGCCTGCTACTGGGGACTTGTCCGGCTACTGTGCGGGCGCCTCGGTTGACGATGCGCAACGCGCTGTTGATATGGCACAGGCTGCGTTCCCGGCCTGGGCCAAGACGCAGGCATATGACCGACGCGATATCTTGCTGCGGGCTGCGGAGATCATGGATTCACGCAAGGAGGAGCTGATTGCGTACCAGCGCGAGGAAACCGGCGCGGGCCGGCCCTTCTGTGAACACACCTTCAACTTGGGCGTTAGCTTCATTAAGGATTTTGCGGGTCGTATCTCGACTATCGAGGGTATCGTGCCCAATGTCACTCGACAAGGTGAAGGCGCGATGGTTTACAAGGAGCCATATGGTGTGGTTTTGTCAATTGCGCCCTGGTAAGATTGGATTATCTCTCTCTTTGCATTCCAAGTTTGACCTGGCTTGGCTTGATCGTTGGCCCAGATGCCAATTTTCACCTGCCACGTTCCGTTGTGTAACGCGCCGCTAATCAGGATCCATCACTACAGGAACGCACCTTTTATCCTCGGTACCCGTGCAGTAGCCCTGCCCCTTGCGGCTGGAAACACAGTCGTTCTCAAGGGCTCTGAGCTTTCACCTAAATGCTTCTGGGCTCTGGGTGATATCTTCCGTCAAGCTGGTCTGCCAGCTGGATGCTTGAATGTCATCTACCACCAGGTTGCCGATGCCGCCGCAGTGACAAATTCGCTGATTGCTCACCCCGCCGTGCGCAAGGTTAACTTCACCGGTAGCACCATGGTCGGCTCGATTATCGCATCCACGGCGGGTAAATATATTAAGCCTGTGCTTCTTGAGCTAGGTGGCAAGGCATCAGCCATTGTGCTGGATGACGCGGAGTTGGATAAGGCCGCGATGAACTGCGCCGTTGGATCGTTCATGCACGTATGTTGGAAACTTCTCGATCTTTTTTGATTTCGTATAGGACCATCACTAACGATCGTCAGTCCGGTCAAATCTGCATGTCAACCGAGCGCATCGTAGTCCAGCGCGGCATCGCCGACGAATTTAAGATCAAACTCGCCGAAACAGCCGAGAAGCTTTTCGGCAAACAAGCACCCGCCCTGTGTCTCGTCAACGCCGCGGCCGTCGCAAAGAACAAGCGACTCGTCTCGGACGCCGTCTCTCGCGGCGCGAACGTTCTGTTCGGTGACGCCAATGCCAACGAGGCCCTCAGCACCAACATGCGGCCCGTCATCGTCGCCGACGTCAGCAAGGAAATGGACCTGTATGCGACCGAATCATTCGGACCGACTGTCTCGCTGATGGTCGTCGACACCGAGGAAGAAGCCGTGGCACTCGCCAACGACACCGAGTACGGCCTCACAGCTGCCGTCTTCACAGCCAACCTGTTCCGCGGGTTGCGCGTCGCAAAGCAAATCGAGTCTGGGTAAGTTTTGAGTTCTTCTGAGTTCCGATCCGTAGCATGAGAATCCCCCCTGCTGACATGATCGTCTCTAGTGCCGTCCACATCAACGCGCTAACCGTTCACGACGAACCTGTGTTGCCCCACGGTGGATGGAAGAGCAGTGGCTTCGGTCGCTTTGGTGGCGTTGGGGGTTATGATGAGTTCCTGCAGACCAAGACCGTGACTTGGACCGAGTAAGCGGGGTTTCCTGGCTGGTCCGGATACGAGATATGATGCATCGCTGCCACTTGGTGGTAATGGTTCGATTCAATTAGCGGGCGCTGAGCTGCCTTAGCTCTGTCTTTGGGAATGGGGAAATGAGAAATGGACTGGACTGGTCACTCGCTGACGCTGGTGCTGATGCTTAGGCGACCAGGGATGGATACCCAATTGGATTGCAGATAGTGAATTTCAATATCACACGATCATTTCTACAGTATCTCTATTACTCCGCTAGACTGAGTGTGGTTCATAATTTGGTATGGTAGATGGCATCCATGGTTTAATGCTGCAATTACGGAGCACTCAACAATGGAGTGATGGACATAGCCGCAGCCTTATTTCGGGGCGTTGTTGCAGCCTCGCAGACCTATCCATTTGTGGACTGGGTTCAAATCCTTCCAGGCGCTGGATCCTTTTCACGGATCGGTCGGATGATGGCCGAGACCTATGTTTTCGCCTCATCACAAATCAGTGACCAATCTTTCAAGCTGAATAGGGCCGGATCCATTGCCGTGGCGTTTCTCGATACCCCCCATCGATCCGGGATTCGCGGTGTGGCCGAGAAGGCTTGGCAAGGCTTTGTGGACAGTGTAACCCTGGAATCCTCATTAGCGTGATCCTGAGCATCAACAAAGAAGGCAACGCCATACCCCGATCGGGGCAGGCCTCCGGACATCCGGCCCCGTAAGACCCTACAATTTCCCTGGATTAGCATCGACAGCGAACAGCAGAAACGCAACTTTCATGTCGTGGGTATGTGGTAGTCGGATCTACTGATCCATTTTGAGATAAAAATCACCATCCCGTTCTATCGCAAGGCTTCTCCTCAGTTCCAAAGTTTAGCCAAAACAACGGATCCACCGCCAGTTCAGGAACAGGAAATAACCGTAGCCACAGCGAATCAGCGGTGCCACACTCTGAGACAATCCAAATTTCCCAAAGTTTGCTTGTGTTTTGGTGGCTGTACTGAGTACCATACCGTCATCCGTCCTCAGTACCTCGCTTCGAATCCCCCTCCCCCCTGATCAACGGTTGATCACTTCCATGGTAAACACGGTTCCCGATGAACCGGTGGGATCGGCGATTTAAGACGTTATGATGGGTTCATGGGCTGTGGAGGTTCACCCGCGTCTGTGCGATAGAACTGGTGTCTCTGTGTTTGTTTTCACCTTCAGGGTCATGGGTAATCCAGGGTCTTGGTGGTATTGGGGTCCGCCGAGGATGATTGGTGGGGTGGAAAGCGGTGGCGCTAGTGGACTACATTTTGCGATGGGCTCATTTGCGGTTATTCTCCGGGCTATGTGCGCTGTTTACTTTCTCGCCGCACATCATATTTCGTGATTGGGCTCGGACTTGCCTACACCCGCATAACCTCCGTGTATGCAGTGTGCCCTGATCACAACTTCTGGATCCTGTGCAAACCTTCCACACACAGGATCCTTGGTCCCTGGTGTTAGCGGCGCGCCGTCGCTTTTAGTTTGGCTCGGCAGCCTGGAGGTTTTTTTTTATTTTCTTTTCTTTTACATTCCAATTCCAGTGTCTCTTGAAGGAATGATACAAAGTTATTATGAGTATTAAACTAAGAAAGCCAAGGAGGCCCCCAAATCAAAATAAAACCACCGAGAAAACAGGTTCATTTCCGACAGCCTTACAGTAAGGTACCGTACACGAGCTAAGCCACGAGCCACCTGCATGCCCCACGAGGATACCGTTTTCCCCTGTCCTCTCCATTTTGTTGTGAATCGGTCATTCCCCGGTCATAGTCATGAATATGAGAGGTCTGACTGGATCCTGGGAACATGAAGAGACCGTCTTACTTTCGATCTATAATTATCGCACTGCGCCCCGAAGCCTTAGTACCTCGCTTGGAAAGACGCTCGATGGTGTCTCCACTATGACCGCAGAACTGGGGTCCTGGTTGGCCCGCATGCTTGGCTTTGGGCCCTGATGGGGCTCTGAAATGTCTCTACTCCACTTGCTCAGGGACGCTTTGGCCTAGGGCCCTCCTCCTTCCAGAAAATGTAGCTCTAATCTCCTTTCCCGCTTCCTTTTCTTCTTCTCCTCTCCCACACTCATTCATTCTTTTTCCTCTTTCCAAAGTCACTCTTTCGCACTTTGAAGTCATTCTTTATATACTCCAACTCAGTCATTCTTTTCCAGAATATATTCAAAATGCGTTTCACCACTGCTACCGTCTTGTCGACCCTCGCGGCCTTCGCTGCTGCTTACACCCAGCCCGACTACACCAAGTCTCCTCAGGGTAACCCCATTGCCTACCCTTCTCTGAATGAGCAGGTTCCCGAGGGTGCTCCCTTCAAGATCCAGTGGGACCCTACTCTTGGTGACAAGATCTCTCTGGTCCTCCTCCGCGGCCCCAGCTCCAACGTTGTCCCTCTCGAGACCATCGTTGAGAACATCGACAACACCGGTTCCTACATGTGGACCCCCAGCACTAGCCTGACCGTTGACACCACCCACTACGGTATCCTGCTGGTCGTTGAGGGCACTGGCGCCTACCAGTGGTCCACCCAGTTCGGTATCGCTGCCGCCGCTGGCTCCAACTCTGCCACCGCTGGCTCCAGCTCTGCCACCGTCGTCACCGTCATCGACGACAAGACCACCACCATCTGCCCCGAGACTGAGACCCAGGCTACCGCCACTCCCTCCGTCTCCGCCCAGCCTACCTCCTGGTCCACCGCTGTTGAGTCCATTGAGATCACCACCACCATCTGCCCGGAGACTGAGACCGGTGTCGCTACCACCATGCCCATGCCCACCGGCTCTTTGACCCGCCGCCCCACCAAGCCCTCCACCTCCCCCGTCAGCACCTCCGTTGGTGCCTCGGCCACCACCTCCGCTACCCCCTCGGCCACCCCCGCCTACAACGCCGCTGGCCAGAACACTATCAGCTTCGGCGCTGTCGTTGCTGCCATGTTCGCCGTCATGGCCTTCTAAATGTCATGATATACCCCGGGTTCGGAGGTTTCTTTCACTTTTATCTTTCTCAGCTTTCACTAAAAACGATTGCTTGATCTTATCGATACACTTGATATGAACCTCTTTTTGAAAGCTTTTTTACTTTTGCCCTTAATTTCTCTCTGCTGGCCTTGTCTTTTTTGATACCATGTTCGTCTTGTCTGTATTTCATGGGAATTCAAGTCAGCTATGCTTGTAATGTCGAGTTTCATGCCTTGATGTCTACTCTGGGTTGATTCTGGGTAGGCTTGTACTGTAAATGAATTGGATTTTACTTTGTTCATAAATTTTTCCATTTAGTAGCCTGTTTCGCGTTTGTAGATCACCGTATAAGGTGGTGGGGTCCTCGGGCGGGTTCCAAGGTTGTGCGACTTACCCCGGATTTTGTCCAGGGTTCGGCGTTTCACAGTCAAACATTTGTAGTTAAATGTAACCCCATGGCAGTCTGGATCTTAATACTTCTAGTCCGCTATGCAGAGCCTCATGACTGTATAGAGAACTCCATCATTTCTACTTTTCTACTTTTTTTCTACTCCTATTCCCACCTCACCTTCGCATCTCCTACTTCACATCCTTAGTCTATACCTCAACCACGGACATTTCAAAGTCTCGGTCATCGAAATCATGTCTATCTATGACCTTGTCAAAAAGTGCACTCCCTATTCCACATCTCTTCATGCTAATGTATTTTATCTTCAGCTCGCGAAGGTATAGCTCCACGGTCGCGATTGAAGCCTCGGACTCCCAAGATACTCGTGCGACCCAGGTCCCTGCAAGAACATGTCTGGCGAATTAGACCATTGTACCTGATTATTCATTAGCCAGTCATGTTATAGAATAAAACGGATTGCGCTGGTTCCTTAGAGATGCGCTAAGAGATGATAAGAATCTCACATCCGGCCCGCTCGATTCATGGAATGTGGTGGAGAGCCCCTTACTTCCAAGGTTAAGAAGTATGTATCGAGATGCCTTGCACTACGTCATCTTGAGAAGAAATGCACCTAGGCTAGCTTAGTTCAGAATCCCTACAATACATTCTATGTGCAGGAACTACGGACATAGTAAATCTGTTCAAACACAGGACGATAGCCTTCGATTCGACTCTATATAATTATCCTTCTCGTGTGATTTTACATCAAACGATTGCCCTTTGTTTAGCACGCAAGGCGATGATGTTAGCTTGGTATTGGCGATAGATAATCCCCGGAGACGTCCTTTCAAAGAAACTGCCACCAGTAGAAGCTTGCTGAACGTGTTCCACTGACCACAAAATGCAAAGTTGCTCCCTGGATATCCGATACTAGCACCGACGCAGCTGTATGCGGAGATGACCTCGAAAATCACGTTGAAGGTGGAGAATTCCACTGGTTGGATCTTGTAGTGATCTGATTCGGCGATTGTGATGAGTAAAATGGCGAAGGATATCCACCAGATGTCGTGGCTGAATTGGGAACGTAGTTGTTGGTAAAGGAATCGGCTGCGCGCGAGTCTTGAGGGGGTTGGGGTGGTTTGTGAAGGCGGGTGAACTTGGTTTGACTCTTCGAGGGAGGATATAGTCGTGGGTTTTTCTGTGTTGGTTGTGCTTCTGGTTTGTATTAGAACAATGTCATAGATTCATAGGGTGGGAGTTAGCATACCCAATGGCTGCGGATACTGGAAAAGCAGAAAGATACTGTGAGGAGTTGTTAGACTTGATCTCTGTCATTTTGGCTTGATTCGTGTGAGTCCTACCATCATAAAGGCTAGGTGCTGTTAGTAAAATGTCCATTCAAGGTAGTTTCTGGATGTCAGACCTACCGTATAGCATAAGCAGTCCTTGAGGCAATCCGTCAAATTCCACGATAGAGAATCCACCACCACGTATAGCTATGAACTTCGTCAGCAGGGTCAAAAAACTGTGCTTATGGGAACGTACACAAAGACTGGAAAAGACCATCTAACACTCGGTACTTGGCGGGTAAAGCCCCGATCTCCAGATCACGGATCGATGCAAGCTCAAAGGCTCCCCACATAATCGCATTGAGAACGATGACTGAGCCAAACAAGAACCATGTGTGCCAAGTAGGATAAAGCGAAGAGCAGACCTAGCCACACTTAGTTTTGATTCCCATATTCCTCAAAGGAGACTCACATTTTGAGACTGGACAAGAGCAAAGTCCAAAGTGTGGCGCCATGTCTGCCAAGTCGAAATATCTGGCATCATCTTCCTCATAGTCCAAATGGATAACCGGAGTAAACAAGGGAACAACGTATTCCCAGCAAGAATCAAAGTTCCACAAATAAGAAGCGGAGCAGCTCTGTCCGGGTCTGGTCAGCAGTTTGCATGCCAAGAATGATGGCAGGTTGGACTCACTCTCTCTGGAAAGGAATCATATTAGTATCGATTAGAGACATGCCATTATTCGCAAGTGCCGATGTAGCAAGAAAAGCACCCGTCCAAAATGGGGATATTCCATCAGTCAGAGAAACCTCTGGGCTATAGATCTGTAACCAGAGGCCGACTGCCAGGCATCCAAGAGACAAGAAGGCAAGGAAGTAGAATATTATAAGTGCAGCAAGGAGTATGCGCGCTCTGTACTCTATTCCCTCTGGGTCCGTGTAGTCAATTGAGACGTCCAAGTTCAGTTGCTCTTTCGTGCGTTGTATTATGCCCGTGAGCCTGGCAAGCATGCGTGAAATGCGTCTTTTGGTGTTTAAGACATTATCGTTTTCATCGATAGGGACAAAGCTTTGGACTGGCTCTGGTTGTGTGAGGTCGGTAACTACAATGCAGTTATCGGCCATGTATGGTCCATCTGGTTCGATGGGTGATGAAATGTCGGTCGGTGCCTCCAACACTGCAATGGTTACTTCCGGTGAAGTTTTGCCTTTGTCAGATGCATCCTCTTGTTTTTCTGGAAGTGGCTTTTCCGGTATATCCAGGGTTGGAATATAAGCTTCTTCCTCTGCTTTTGTTTCATTATTTTGTTTGTTTTTCAGGACCGAGCCTAGCCTCCAAGAGCGCGTGAAAGAGAGGACACCGAGGATAGGAATAGCATGGCCCAAGATAAACAGTATAAACAGTATAGCTTGTTGAACAGTGTTCATCATAGAAAGGTCGATCTGTAAACCAGGTTAGCTATCGATTAGGATATTGATCGGCGGTGTACACGTACCACGGTCAACCCAGTGCCAGTCATTGCACTGAAGCTCATGAATGCCGCGTCAGCATATTGAAACCCGGGGATCTTCCTGGATGTATAGATTATGACACTGCCGATCGCAGAGGTAACAATAAAATAGACATAATGCAAAGTAACAGAGTCCCAGCGCAGAAAAGAGGATATTTTCGGCATACTCTGAAGAATTAATGTCGCTGCCGTGACCGATCCCAGGGCTGGGGTTTCCCACATCCATATAATAAAATTGGCATAACAAGATTTTCCCAGCCCAAGAGCGCCCTCCGTTGGCTCGGCATTGTCTACAACCTACTAATTACCACATGGGACCCTTTTCTTCAGGGAAAGGAATGTTGGTGTGGTATTCTCCCACCTTGGTTTTCGCTCTTTTGCGGTCTGGATCTAGATATCCTGTGGTATCTGGACGCAGGGCTCAGTGAGAAAGGTGCGACCGCTTATCAGAACTTCAGCCTGGTACATGTGAAAGTAAAACTTGGCATATTCCAAGGGATCGGAACGAGCGGCTAAATTCCCTGCATGCAAGGCTGAGGTATGTGGAATTGATGCAACAATGCCCGGAAAATCTCCGGTCTTCAGCAGTCTAGATGCTGATAAGAGCTCTTCGATCACCTGGCAAAGGGCGAAATGAGATGATGTTGAAACAGGTATGGGTTGTGATGTATAGTCATGGAGGCTCCCATAAGCTTCCATTTCCAGATCATGATCTCAGCAATCAAGGCATCTGGCAGTCGCTATATTGTCAGATAATTGGCACCGATGTGCAACGTAGTATTAGCCCTGGATTCTTTTCCTACTATGGCCTGCTGCACTGTAATAAGCCAGACCTCTTGTCTCCGGATGACAGGTCCAGATGTTCGCTGATTGTAGTTGGGGGAGTACTCATGATGCAGAATTGCTAATTGAAATATTGGAAGTGCAATTCTTGAGCACTTGAAGGCTCATGTGCCTTTATTCAACTGGTGGTGTAGAGGTGTAGGTGGGTCATGGACACAGCTGAGCATTGGCCAATGGCCTGGCGCTAGGCTTAATTTGGGGGTTCAACTCCCGGATTGGGATCTACTTGAGCCAGCATCTATTTGGCCTGTCCAGGTGGGTTCAACTGGTTCAAAGTGATCTTATGGGCTTCAGGGCAAAATCAATTCAAAGCCTTAGAGATCCCATCAATCCAGGCGCCCCAGATATCTGAAATCAAAATCTTCAGATTAACATTTTTGAGTTTGACACAGCATTACTCTGCCGAGATCCATATATATCCTGCTTCCCACCCCACCATTTCTCCTGCAACAACCTTCCAAGGTTGGAACGTTCAGTGTTCGCAACATGTGCCAGGGTTGAAAAGCCTCACCACATTATACACCCTAATGCGAAAATTAACTATGTAGGTAGACCTATGATCAAAATGCTATTGACCTCTGACACTCAGGAAAACCGGTGCTGTTTGAATAAAAAGGCAAAATAAGGCTAAAATCCCCTATCGCAAACTCTCTTTGCATGCTTGGCATGCGCAACGCCATAACCTTAACACTAGTGTGCAGTCCCAGAAGAATCGTAAATGACCATGGCGGTGGAAGTGTGTGTCCCATATGCAAATACCGCCGAGACTATAAAGTGCAGTGTGACCAGCCATCGTGCAAGAAATGTCGCAGGGCTAGCGAGGAATGTATCTATCTCGGACACAACGACCCACAAGGGGTATTCTCGAACCCTAGAGGTACTACAGTCCAGAAGCGACTAGGTAAAGATGTTTTAATTTCAGGTTTAATACGTTTTCTTTCCATGTTACTGCCGTCATCAAGGGGCTCCTGACAAAAACCTAGATGCAAAATGGTACCTCTAGAGACATCTGTAGGGTGGTCTTAATTTATCTCGACCAGTGTGGTCTGCTATTTGGAAACGAGTGAGTTAGTCACCTTGGCAATGCTCAAGATGTTGTCTGCCATTTCTCCAACCCCGAGCTTAGCTCCTTATCGGGGTAGATAAGAGGTCCCACCGAAATCGGATCACTTTGCAGAGTCATCTATCATCCATCCATACTCTGCATTGGCTTAGGCGTCCCAGCATGGCTTCAATCTGGAGAGGGTTGTCCAGAATAGGTCCACGCGTGACAGCCGTTGGGCCCAGATCCCTCCGGCGTTTTGGGACATCCGTTAACAATCGCGTCACGACCAACGCGTCTGGTGAGTTCTCGAACTTGTCCATCGAATTTCAATTTCAAGACTTTGACTAACGTGAGTGTCAGAAGCACCCTCAGATAGCAGAATAATCGTCATCTCTGGTCCGTCGGGCGTCGGCAAGGGGACTCTGATCTAGAAGCTCTTCGACGCGCATCCCGACACCTTCGCATTTACCGTATCCCATACAACGCGCGCGCCGCGACCCTGTGAAATCGAAGGCACAAATTACTTTTTCGTCAACTCTTCCAAATTCGCCGATCTAGTTTCCCAAGGCGCCTTTGTCGAACACGCAAAATTTGGTGGAAATCAATATGGCACGAGCCAACAAACAATCTCGGATCAAATAGCCAAAGGGCGAGTGGTTGTGCTGGACATTGAAATGGACGGCGTGAAACAGATGAAGGCGAACCCAAGTATTGATGCTCGCTATATCTTTATCAGTCCGCCAAATTTTGAGGCTCTAGCGAAACGTCTTCGAGGACGCGGTACTGAGAAGGATGAGGCTATCCAGAAGAGGCTTGCCCAAGCCAAGGCTGAACTTGATTATGCTCAAACGGGCGCTCATGACAAGATCATTGTCAATGATGATCTACAGGTGGCGTGCAAAGAGCTTGAGGACTTTATTTTCCTGACAGGTAGCTGATTGCATAACCCTGCGGACCCATGGTAACGAAAATGGGCCTGCTCCACCAGTTCTCAAAGCATGAGCATCTCTTCATCAAATTGAAGGACTGTCCCCCATTCGTCCATATTCTGCATTGCACATTGCGGATAACGATGGCTGGCCACTAGCCAGTGAGTACCGTTCTCGAGCAAAGATGAGAATTATTCCTGATTGTTTTACTAGACAGGTCACCCAGTATCTCCGATGAGAGTCGATATTATTTCATGGTACAAAAATGACAAAGTTCTTACGTAAGATGAGCGATGATTATCAATACAAGCTGTCGCCAGATTGATAACAGGCCATAGACCCGAAGTTGATTGGTAAAGGCTTACTAATTGTCCAGAGGGCAATCCTTCTCTAGTGTACGCATCTCAATCGGTTACTGGTAGTGTTGATGTGATTTGTACTCAAAGCACTGCTAGTCGGTTTCGCTTGGCTAGCGTCCCTCCCCTTTAAATAGTCGTCCTACGCCAGGTTCCCTCTACCAGAATTGACATCGTTTTTCTTCGCAACGAAGAGCTCAATACTTCATCTACTCTTGAACACTACAATTTTGAGCAACCAGCCATCTTGTCGTTGAAATGACATCCCGCCCCAGTATATTCCTCGTTGGAGCTGGATACATCGGCCTGAATGCCCTTGATCAGCTTCTCGCCGCGGAATATCTAGTAACGGTCCTGACCAGACATCCTGAGCAGGCCTCAGCCCTCGAGGGTCGTGGTGTCAGCACCGTTCTAGGCTCCCTGAGCGATTTGGAATTACTTACAGCTCAAGTAGAGAAACACCCGATCACCATCAACACGGCGTCTTGCGACGATCTGCCCAGTGTGCAAGCGATATTAACCGGCATACGGCAAAGAGTCACCGCAGGTATCCCGGCTATCTATATACACACCAGTGGGACAGGCGCACTCGAGGACGGCGCATCGGGCATGTACAAAAACGAGAAGATATACTACGACAACCGACCAGAAGACATAGAAGCCATCCCGTCTACATCTATGCACCGTCATGTCGATATTCCAATCGCCGAAGCAGCGCGTGAATTCGGAGACCGAGCGAAGATTGCGGTGATCCTCCCGCCCCTGGTGTATGGGTCCAACCCTATGCACAAGCGACATTCAATTGTCCTGCCTAAATTGATACAGTTTGCCTTGAAACATGGATTTACCGGGTATGTGGGTGAGGGTCTCAATACATGGAGCCTTGTACATGTCAAAGATCTTGCCCGTGCATATTCAACGCTGCTTGCATACATTGAGAGATCCTCACCGGCGGTTCTTCTAGAGAATCCTTATTTCTTTGCTGAAAATGGTTCCGAGGCCTCAATGCTTGACATTGCAACGCATGTCAGCCAGGTCTTACACGAGGCAGGTAGATTGGAGAGCCCCGAGGCTCATGCCTTTGCTGAGTCTGACTATGTCGATGTTTTTGGCCCTTTCACAGAAAGAGGATTTGGTTGTAACTCAAGATCTCGCTCTGTCAGACTGCAGGCGCTGGGCTGGAAGCCAACAGAGAAAGACATTTGGACATGTCTCCGAGAAGATGATGCTCCAGCTTTGTTGATGGATTAGGAACTTGAGATCTATTGCCAGGATGAGCGAGCTTGGTCGACATCATGTGATTTACTATAGCTGTGAGTAAGTGACTCACTTTTGAGTGATTTCAACGAGAAGTAAATTCTACATAAAAAGGATACTAAGTAATTCTAGAGAATGATGCCCCCGAACGCAAACAAGTTAGCCAAATTCTAGCATTTGGGCAAATATTCCCCGGAAAGGGCCACCCAGACACCACAGCGTATGCAATTACAACCCCGACGACTGATATCTTTAACACATCCAGCCCCTAAATCTGGTTTCCTAGCAGTCAAATACCTACCGAGATAATCGGTGTAACCTTCGGGAACCCAACCCAGCAACTCGAGACGCCATACAAGATATCGTGCCCAACGTTGACAGCTTTGCGGTGGGATTGCCTTAGCCTGTTCCACGACTTCAGAGTAATGACTAGTCCAAACTCTGCCAATGCATTTATTGGAATATACACTGTCGCTGTCAAATCGCTTATCATGATCAATTGCGTATGTATAAACAGAATCTCCGCATACAGAATGGAATCGTGTACAGCGTGAGAAGCCTGGATGGCGGAGAACAACCATCCAATGGGCTGGGTTGCCATGAGGGTTATCGCAAATTGCGAGGTAGATTTCGTAGTAAGAGGAACCTGACATGCTGATCAACAAGGATTGAAGTGGATGATCGGTACTGTTGAATATGACGCTAAACATAGGGTTATTATAGCTTTACTTTTTTCAGCTTTTCCTGATGAAACGAATGTACATTCAAAGTGATTGTTTTGCTGCCATATACGATGTGGAAGGGTTTCAAATTGAAGCGAGATACTCTAAGACGCCTACCTTTGTCCACACGAAGACCTTGTTGTATATAGATTAAAAATGCGACAGTATTTTCCTTTCATACATGGATTTATAATGAGTAATTGTCTCGAAAGTTGACCTATGCCGTCTTTATTTCCTTAGATCACGCTAGAATAGTCACGACTACCAATCCAAAATCATAAAGAGAATAGGGGTTGATGGGACAGTAAGTATAAGCTAGCCATAGCGAAAGGGAATAAATGGCAGCTTCAATCAAGATGTTCTACTCAGCTATGTGAGACAGGAATCTCGAATCTCCAACTGGACTAAAGGGCACATGGACGAGGACAAACATGATTAAAATCAAGAGAAATAAAGGAAGTTTTAGACTAAACTTCGCCAGTCATGATGGGCAAGCTTATCGCTTTCCACTCCGAAATTTCGATCTCGTGGTCAAAGGTCCACACAACGCCTAATAATCCATGAAACAGGTCGTTCGTAAAATCATACATTCTGACGTCTCCGAATCTTGCAAGGCCATCCATAAGGAGTGGCCAGGAAACGAGTGCCAAACTGCCATTCTTTGCTGGGATCGACCATTTCAACATCGTAGTCTCGCAATACGGTGGTGAGGACTTTGGATAGCTCAAACTGAGCCAGGTTGCGCCCGGGGCATTGATTGTATCCGGTTCCCCACTGTAACCATAGTTAGCCTAGTCAAAATATTCAAAAGTCTGCTTATACATACGTGAATCAAAAATGCATCCATCTTCTTGATGTCACCTTGAAGCCAGCGATCGGGGTTGTAGCACTCGCTGTCTTCGCCGAAGATTTCCGTGTTGCGGTGGATGACCCAGGGGTTCAAACTCACAATGACCTGAGGCTTCTTGTTAGCGCTAGTCCAATGACAGAATGGGGGAAGGGGTTCTTACCCCCTCAGGGAAATATTGTCCAGCAATTGTCATTCCTCCTTTAGGAACAATTCGGGGAAGATTGTGGGCGACGCCGGGGTGGATTCTGTACGCTTCTTTCAACTTTTATCGCTATTAGCATGCTGGGTTCTCTTCTAGCCATCTCTCGGTGACGTGTTTCGATACTCACACAAGCCTGGAAGAAAGGCAGCTTGGCTGCCTCGCTATTCTGAATCATGGAAGAGAGCTCTCCACGTGCTTGGGCGGCATCGATTTCTTCTCGTACACGCTTCATGTACTGGGGGTTCTTGAGCAAATAGTAGATCACAGCTTGTGCAGTTGCGCTGATCGTCTCTGCACCGGCGCCAATGTTCGCGACAGCCGCCGCGAAGATATCTTTCTCGCTAAGGCGATCCGGGTGGGAAGCACGAACATCAAGCCAGCGCTGCATCATGTCATACCGAATCTCCGGATTCTTCTTGCGGTTGTCAACTGCAATGAGACAAGTGTCGAAAATGTGCGAGCTGGGTTGTAGACCGAGTCGACTAAAGAGGGGGTTTCCCAAGGTGAGGTAGTGAAACCAGACATAATTACCCACTACGGCAATATAGTAGACTAAATGGCCAGTGTTGGCAATGGCGTTCCGAATATCGGTGCCTGATTCGACAAAACCGAAAGATTTAGAGAAAGTCACTTCGCCGAGGACATCGAAGGCAAAGAAGCTGAACCAATCGTGGAACTGGACCGTGCTACCCGTGTCGCTTAGCTCGTCGAAGCGGGTCTTGAACAACTGAAGCACGGAGTCAATATACGGCTCCATTTTTGTGATATTGGTGAGCGAGAACCCTGCCGAGAGGCTACGAGTCTTTTGGATGTGGCGCGATGGGTCGAGCTCGGACATTTGGTTGACGTAGTGGTAATCTGGAAGGCTGAACATGGAGTAGAATGTGCCCTGTCGAGCATGAGTGATTGGACCCAATAAAGATGATGCATTCGACCTGTCAACGTACCTTTGCAATTTGTGCCTGAAGAACCTGTTTGACTGCATCGGGATGAGAGATGCTGACTTCATTCTCCGCAATGCGAACAAAGTGGCCTGCAATATGAGAATGTATTCCTCTGCATTGGATCTATGGCATCATACCGTGCTTCTTGTGGAGATTGAGAATCGCCTCTTCACTATGTCCTTTCACCAGGTGATAAACTCGCCAAAGACTGGAAAACGAGGCCAGGAATGGACCCGGGACGCTCTTGATGGAGGTCCCATACTTCCTCGAGAGTACACAGATCACAAGCGCCACAGCGAGGAAAGATAATGCATGATACCTGTCAAACGATGCTATCAACGCAGGCATTACTATCATGTTCAGCTTATTCGATGGAGATTCCATGATGGCTGCAGGGTAATCCAGGGGGTTCATCAAAAGTTCAAACAAGAGGCAAGAAAATGGATCGAAAGAGGGGGGATTGGTCCTAGGAGCCCATCTGAACGTGATCAGAGTGGCCCCTCGGCCCCTCCCGTGTTAGCGACGTGGAGCTGTAAATTACCATTCGCAGGAGTCTAAACGGTGCACAAAGTACAGAAGGCGTGTGAGTGAAACGACTAGGTGTTGATCGACCATGTCTGAGTGGGGCCGGATATGACAGCCCACTTAGACCTCCCGCCTCAACAAAGTTGACAGGTAAACTATAATCTATTCGAGACCAATTGTCTGCTTACTGGGTGTGATTTTGTCCCAATACCCCAGACTCACGGGCTCGATGCAATCAAAAGCAACCAGAGAGTTGTACAGGTCTCGTTACATTCGCCGTTAGAATTCCTGGTGGTTGGCTAGTGTCACTAGGGTTAGTGCAACCGGGCGGACTACCATAAGCAATTAAATCAACTAGCTCTAGGCCGTCTGGACCAAGCCTACTGCATCCTGCGACCCGAAATCACGGTCTTTTGTAATTGACACGTTCTATTTTGTCTATCACCCCCCATTCAAGACATGCTAGCGTTTCGCCGATCAGAAGCAGGATCACCATGACCCGTGCGAAATCTGGATTTTCTAAGATTCCATGATTACGTTCACATTCTATCGTTCTCCACAGAGACAAGGCTTATATGCTACTCAAACCACTAATACTAAGCATTTCCACATTCACCAGCATGATTTTGGCCTACAAAAGGAAATTCTCAAACGGGTTTAAAAGTGCCAAGTGCATCGAACAGGGGGGACCGGGACTTATTTCCTAATTGTGGGCGAGTCTCCAGTTTTATTAATTAAACGCATATGAGTGGGACCAAACGTCGTGCAGCTCCGCGGGACACAAAGACAAGTTCCGCGCACGAGGCTGACGGGCCAAGCAACTTTGACGTGTGAGCTAGTCGGCCAGCCTTACCAGATTAGGACAATGTGGCTGAACAAAGACGTTAAGGGTGCAGAAGGATCGATTTATTTTATTATTCGCCTCGGCGTACTTAGTCTCTCGATTTATTCATAAACGCCCCTTTGAAGTCGAACGAGACTCGAAGTATCATCAACAAGCACAGTGATGGCTTCAACATATTCCGCTGCCTATTTGGCAGAGGACCGCAGGAAACCAGCTTTGATTGGGATCACGTTTGTGACGGCTCTTTCGTTTACTGTCGTTATGGTGCGACTTTACGCACGGAGGTTCTTGATCCATGAATTGGGCTGGGATGACCTTTTTATTCTACTTGCCCAGGTATGCCGCTATCCACCAACGAGATTCTCTCCACAGCTAATATATTGAAGTTGACCAGTTGGGCCACAATGGGCCTGTGCATGATGATTCTTCGTTATGGCTCTGGTCGACACTTAGCAGCATTGGTCAGTCACCCAGAAGAGCTTGTCAAAATGTATAAATGGCTTGTCGCTACGCAGATGGTGTACATGTTCAATTTATGGCTTTGTCGAGTGTCAGGCCTAGCCTTCTATGCTCGGCTCAACCCAATGCCTCGATTTATCCTTTACCTCCGACTCTCCTTCGCCTTCGTCACTGCTGTTTATGTCGCACAGACACTCATTATTGCTCTACAGTGTGTGCCTCTTGCCGCACTGTGGGGAGCCGCGGAAGGCAAATGCATGGGCTCGGCAATAACCTTCATTTCCACGGGCGCTCTTACAATAGCCTGTGACTCATTGATTCTCCTTCTTCCGATCAAAATTGTTCTATCATTACAAGCAAAGTTGGCAAGAAAGCTCGCGCTATTGGGTATTCTCTGCTTTGGAATCTTGTGAGTATTTACTAGCTGTACACCAATCATCATCGCTGCATTTTGCTAATCTATTGTTTTCTAGTGCCGTTGTGTGAGTACTTATTTGAATGCGTATCGAATTTCCAGCTAATACAAAATACAGAACATCAGCACTTCGATTATACTCAATGATTGTGTCAGTCAACCATGCTGATGATGCCACATGGTTCTTCTCACCTGTCATTGCTTGGACCTGCGCAGAGGTCAGCGCAGGCATTATTGCGCTCTCCCTACCAGCATTACGAGCCATATTCGGATTTGTTAAGGAACGGCGCTCGACGAAGGACCAGAGCTATTCCAATGGCTCAGAGGGAATCACTCTCGAATCAGTTCCTCGGACCTTCAAGCCACGATTATTTAGAGGATCCGATACTTATGAGAATACGGTCGAGGTGGATTGTGCAAGAACTCCCAGCCGAGAAGCGCTATGGGATGGAAGAGCTGATCAGAAGATTAGAGTCACAGACACTGTTGATATAGATGTTCGAGAGTAGCTGTGGGGTAGATAGTCATCATGTCAAAACAGGTCCAGGGGTTGACGCCCAATGCGCAGATAAGCATGATATCCGTGCTCCTTCAATTTCGGATTCATATGAACAGGATAAATAATGATCCGATCTTTAGAAGCCCAGCGGCCCCACCTCACCTTATCATGGATCTACACCCCGGCCCGCCACCCGTCCCGCACCATTACACACCAACAGCATGAATATCTCTGGAAACAGTAAATGGACCAACATGACTGATCAACTTGGAATGCAAAGGAATTGAACTGAAGGACGAAGCTTGAGTTGCCGGTAATTTGTATTGGGAGCAATGCTAAACTAAGTTCAGGAAAGCTATTCTGAGTCCCATAATTGCTAATTAACAACAATGATAAAATCACTCAATACAATGGCCCGAGCCATTGAATATCTTGGAAATTTATGCTTGGAGTTCACGTATTCCAATTTCCCATACCATATCAGCATGTCACCAATATCAATAATCCAGTCAATCTTCCAATCTCAAACCATTCCTCCGCTTCACATCCACCACTTCTCTTCTTAACAGGTCCCTTCCCATTCACTTAGCTTTCCTCCAACCCCGAATTTTAATTCAATTTGTCACCTCCTTGCATAAAACCGCAAACTCTCCACCATGGCTCCTCTCACTAAGAGTCAAGCTCCTCACCAGCTCCGATACAAGACCGAGCAACGCGAAGTCCTCCACTGGATGTTCAAAACTGCTTCCAGCCTTCGCAAAAATGATTCTTCCTCCACAGTGGACGCGATTCTGGAAAGCCCAGCATTAGAGCCCACATGCATAGACATTCAGACACTCGCGACTTTCATCGGGGAACGCCTCCACCCGGTCCCAGACAAGATCCTGAGAAGCTTTGACAGGGTCATTACCGACAGAAAAGATACCTGCCGCGACTACGAAAGATCAACGGCCAACAACACCGACCCGCTCATCAAGCAGCATAACAATATGCATCGGCGGTGGGTGGTGGGCCTTGCAATCGCTTTCGACTCACTTGGAGGAAAAGAATGGCGCGCCAGGCAGGGAGTTTCATCTGTCATATCCAAGACAGGTTTTGAAGAATATCTTTTCACCAATCGGTTCTCAGCTCTGGATCTAGATGAAGCATTTGAGGAAGGAAATCACTGCTCCTCAGCAACTCAGAACAGTCTCGCCACTACCTCAAGTGGTAAATCATGTGCCTCGAAAAGTGATGTCCAAATAGGTTCAACAAGTCAAAGTCTGTCAAGACCAAGAAACCAAGGCAGTATCGACAATGAAGATGAGGGGCCCAGGCTTTGGTGATCTGCACCTTGTTACCACTGCCGGACAACTCTGGTCATGGAAGGCAGCACGCAAAAAGAAAAAGAAAAAAAGCTCGACATACAAAGATGATTAGGGTTGACTGATAGTATCGTGCTACCTGTACTAGGACTTGCTTCATGCTCACGGGGCTAGATCAAGGGGCTTCAACAATATGAATTGGCAGCTACCTATGCCATCACCTGTCGCTTATGCGAGTATGCTAAAAGGGGCCCTTCCTTTTCTTTGTTGATATTCATCTGGCCATACAAAACTTCTTTCTTTTCTTTAAATGGTTCAGCGTTAAATCTGTTATAATAGGCTACCTACCTTAGATCAATTGACCGATTTGCGGCGAGACTAGAAAAGATCCCTCGAAGTTTAGGTTAAAGTAAATTTCTATCATCTCCACCAGCTGCAGTACACTACCAGGTCACTCACTGTGTCTGACTAGCTGGAAAGATACTTGACTATATTCCCATTCAACGAAATCCGTAAATCGACGATCACTAAGATATACTACACAAGACACAAGATGAAGATTTCAATATCTTTTTATCTTCTCAGAATAGCAGTATCTGCTTCAAATTTGGATCATTTCACTAATCACATATATATTGATCTTTGCTTACATTTTCCTAGTGAGAATCCAGAGTTTGGGAAATGAATGATTAAGATATAAGGAGGATTTAATATCAACTTCACTTTGAGTCTAGGAGCTCCAAGCGTCACTAGACTATCAAGCCCATGTTGCTGAATCACTTGATAGAGTTTTAAATACAATTCAGTTCCACTTTGGTTTTCAGTCTTTTCTACCTACGCGTGCACCCTTATGTATACCAAGTGGAAAGTATTTCGCATCCTCTCAATCCAGAACGCCTGGATCCTCATCGTCACAGTATGAGCAAGAACATTATGTTGAGATAGGTATTCATGAAAAGACATATATTTGCGCTCTGAATTGGTCGCTTGAGTCCAGATATCATTCTTTGCAAATTCAGCGGAATTACCAATCCAGACAGTCCACCAACTATATCCGATTTGATGATTTGGAATGTAGCAAGGTGTTGCTCGACTTTTTCGGCTAAAATATTCGTGGCTTGGGCTCCGTTAACATGTTCTATGATTATCACGAATGAGTTGTCTATCTCGAAGGCGCCGTAAAGTGTTAGGAAGGGCACTTTGGTTGCGCTGCGGATGTAGTGTAGTGCTGCGGCTTCATTTTGAGTCGTCATTTTTTAAGAGGGAGATTTTGGTTCCTACTCGGACGTTGATTTGGCATTCCCTTGGTCAGAGATAATCGTGGATTTGAAGCTCTTATGGTGGTCGTAGGCGCTTTCGGAGTATTGAGCCTTGGAACTCTGTGGGAGATCAATAACTCTAGGGTTGTAGCTTGGAATCACGGTCTCTTCATGTACGGCGCTTTCTGTCATGATTGATATGGGCATAGTCCTTCACTTGAGCAATGTGGGACTTATATTGTATAGCTTGGTCAGATCACAATCGCTTGGGGGGGTAAAGATCACGAGGCGCGGTGGCGGGGACCCCTCGGAATGCGCTTGCAAATCGCACTTATAAGGGTCATGATTGGACTTGAACTGGTGCTTGCTCTAGAGAAATCGAATGAGCAGCTAATTTAAGCCCCAAGAATCTTGCTCTCAAGTCATGTCCGTTCATCAAGTTGGGTCGATTTCTCTGTAGATGTAAACTCCAGTATCTAACCCTGATTGGCCAGGCTATCGGTGATCAGACCCACCACGTGACACCGATAAGTCGATAAGGATTTTTCCGTAGCAACCGCATCTGCATTTCTCTCCAACTACGATCTCCATTTTATTGCACATTGTACTGCTGGCAGTGCTCAATCTCACATATTCACCCACATATACATCTCCATCATGGCCCAGGGTACTTTGAAGAAGAACAAGCCCTCCACTGCGACGGCAAAGCGGTAAGTTTTGAATCCTCTCTTTCCTCCCAACAAGAAAAAGAAAAAAAATCCCCCGGAGATATGAAGTGCAAAAAGCAGTCTTTGCTAACCACCCTATTCATGTAGATCCTCGCTTCTTGCTTCTAAAACCAAGCCTGGTCCCAGACAGATTGCCCCCAAGAAGGCTGGGCTTGTGAAGGCCGCGAAGTTGAACAAGGTATGTGGGGTTCGCATGCGATTCATTTTCGGCGACGGTGTTAACTCATGTCGTATAGAAACTTACCTCCGGTCTCGTTGGCAAAACTGAACGCAGTCTCGCGACTAAGGCGGGTCACTTGGAGATGTTGGCTGGAGGAAAGAAGGACAGACTGAACAAGGAGAAGGAGAAGAACAAGAACGCGAGGAAATAATTGGCCGCAAAGTCCAGGTGTTCAGTTCTCGTTCTTTTTTCCATCGCATGTCTTCCATAGCGATGATTCATGAAATCGATACCCCGTTCGTGGCTTTCTAGAGAAAAGTTGGAGACAAGTTCATGGAAAATAGTAATTTTATTCACTCAAACTCGAGGCGAGATGACGGGTAAATATGTAACAAGAAGTCCAAAGTTCATGTACAGAAGCCAAAACAGGCCGCAGATGTTGAGATCAACATGATTTTGAGGTTAGAGCGGCATTCATCAATCGTAAACTGGTAGATAGGGTGCAATGTGCAGTGATCCAACCAAGGCGCAAATGGAACCAAATAAGAAACCAAACCAAAGAGATAAGAAAAGTAGATCCAATAATAAACAAAGAAAAGAAAAAGGAAAAAAGGGTATCTATTATGTCCAACTCCAGTCCCGTCGCACCTTGGCAAGCCAAGTGGTCTCCCATTAAAGCTTGGAGACCTTATTTGGTACGCCTGCTTGCTCAATCAAGTCCCGACCATGGTTCATCCAGTTCAAGAAGCCCTGGTCCGTTGGGTCATGGGGGAAGTCATCCCACACTGCGTTCTCCGAGTCTGCGTAAGAAGACCAAATACCCTTGGGCACCTCGGTCGTAGACCACGACGGCAGCTTCGCTAGAACGCAGGTGTAGTAGACATACAGGATGCGGCAAAGCAGTTCGACACGGTCAACGTAGTGTTGCTGGCTAGGATCGGGGCTTTGACCTCCGTCACCCAGTCGCTTCCACCAGGAGCAACGCCATCGCAGCGAAAGGAGGATGTGACCTAATTCACCCAGGAAGCGAATGTGGGTCTCGTGAGAGATCTGCTTCCACTTGATGTTGTAAAAGTCACGCTCTAGCTTGCGGAAGCCTTCAACTTCGAGCATGCGGCACACGATGCGAGATAACTGTGCTGCGAGAAGGATGTCTCGTCGGTCGTCGGGGTTGTTGATGTCCATGTCCCGTTCTTGGCCGTTAGCATCGAGGGGAACAATGGTGTACTTCGCACGGCTAGGCATGTTGTTCCATTGGGAGAGCAAGTTCTAGGAAAAGGAAATGTTAGCTTGATCAAGATGATTGCTAGGCGCTGCCAACTTACGTAGGCTTGGTTCATTGGGTCGCAGTCCTTGACGCAGGACAACCAGTTCTTGGACTTGTCCTTCGACTCGACGATCCGGCGATCGATGAATTCAAGGAAGGTAGACTTCGAGTTCCCGTTATACTCGCTCAGACCCTTCAGGAAACGGTAGGTCTCTCCAAGGTCGAGAACATACAGAGAGCCCCATGCCTGACTAGCACGGATGTTGAACCGTCCCTGGCGTTCGCCGAGGAATGACAGGAGCTGGCTCATGTCAAACTCCGATGGGATTTCCATGCGGACGGTGCCACTTCCATCCAAGGCCGGATGGTTGATAGCTCGCTGAGAGATATAATTGCAGGTTCCAAATTCAACAATGCTGGAGAAGCATGCACGTGCACACGGCTGCTCGTGTAGTGTAGGGCGGCAGGCATCACAAGGCGCGCTTCCATCGCACTTGCGCTTGTTCAATCGACATTGGACACAAGTATCCTTATTCTTGCGGCGTAGACCAGCGTTGGCTCGGCCGACCATACTCAGAGGGCCCTTGCGGCGGGCGCCCCTTGGAGGAGAGACAAAGTCTGCAGATGCAATGGAGCCACCTTGTCCATCTTCCTGGACAATCTGAAGAGGCTTGGCCGGACCCTGGTCCATGGAGCCCGGGGCACTTCGGTTCTTGCGCTTCCGAACCGTGGCCACGGATTGCATGGCAAGAGGCATAGGCCGGCCTGAAGAGCGCTGGTTTGTAGTCGAGGAGTTCCTCGATCGCGAGGGAACAGCGCCCATCAGTTCCGATGGGGACTCACTGACCATGAAAGCTGTAGTCTTCGACCCAGACTGTGAGTTCTCGGGGGAGCCAGTGTCTGGCGTGGCGATTTTCCACTGATTGGAATCATCCACCTGGTGCTCCACAAACGTGGGAGGTTCCTCGCTCGTTGCAGAGTACGAGCACTCATAAATTCCAGACACATCTCCCGAAACCGAGGAACTCTCAGATTTGTAATGAAACCCGTCATGTCCGGTCTGACCGCGTTTCTGCGATGCCATCAAAGACGGGGGCGTCATTTGAGAGACCGGCAACTGCGACTCCAGGTTATTAAGCCAGCGTGACTCGAGGGATCTGATCGAAGGCTGCTGGAACTCGCGCAGTGATTGATCCTTGCCGTTATTCTGGGTATCAATCGACAGCGGAATCGCGCCTTGCCCTGGAATATTCTCCATTGAAATCCCATGGGGAATCTCCCACTGTTCTGGGATCAAAGGGAAAGATTGTGGCATCTGCTGGAACATCATAGCCTCAGCCGGTGCATCCGGGAACCCCTGGCCTTGGGGAATTTCACCCATATCCTCCACAATCACTGCAGCATTCGAGGGGTTCGGGGCTTTGCCGTATGGGTACATGAGAGGCGTCTCGAGCGGCATCCCAGCCGCAACCGGGTTGAAAAGCTGGAAATGAGGCCACGTTTCTTCGGCGTGAAAGTGGTCATCGGCCGAGGAGGGCAGCGTCCGAGGACTCACAGTGCCACTCCCAGAGCCCTCACCGGCCCTATCGTAGTTGAAGTTCTCGGTCACATCTCGCTTTCTAGATATTGCATCACGATCAGTACATGTCTCGCGGTCGACCGGGCGAGGAATACGAACCGGTTATCCGGGCGCTGTCGATCGCCTGAGCGATCCAGCAACGAGCCAGTTAGCGGATCATGGAAAGCGCCCAGATCCGCGACGTCAGCGCACTGGCTGGAGTCCTGGCTTGTGTCCCACTCGGGAGGTTGTTCGTAACCCAAATGTTCCCACGACGCGACTGAGAAAGCCCCGTCGGTTTGCCAATTATCAAGAATTTTGGGGTCGATCCCCGCAGCCGTTCCAGCGCTTCCACAGTCCATACAGGATCAACCGGAAGGATGATGGGTGTCGGAGCCGACCAGTCCGAAGAGCAAAAGTCTCAAAAAGCTTCTTTTTGAGACCTTTGCAGAAGCAGTTGAGTCGTCGATAGAGGAAGGGTCGGTCGCGAAAAGCAACAGACCAGTATGCGCGCGATGAGTCGTTGGGGGCGATGAAGATGGAAGTAGTCGAGGGGAAAGAAGAAGGCTGACGGGGTTCCCCACCTAGAAAGTTTTGCGTGCTGCGATCGTCTCTAGCGTGTATCAGCACAGACCGCCCGTTGCTGCTCTCCTGCAAGGTTTTTTTTATTTTTATTTCTAAATCTCTTCGGTTGCATTTGGAATCATCTATTTTCAGTCTACTTCTGTTCAATAATCTGTGGCATCTATTGTGTGTCGATATGCAAAAAAAAAATAAAAAAATTCTAAGTACGGGACGATCGCACGAGGTGGACTGATACGCGAATCTAGGGACCCGTGGGACTGCGGTTGGAACAGGCACAAGCTTATTACATCAGTGCCCACCTGTACGTGGGATTCTGTAGCACTGAGAATGGTACCTGGTTATGTCAATCGATGCAAACTAAAATTTTAACTATTAAATCATGGCATCCTGGAATGTACATACCATCTGTAGCCCTAGACATCTGTCTCGCACAACCCGGTAGAACAGATGAATCAAAATTCCCTTAAAACCTTGGAATAGAGTCATTTGCCAAGTATAAATCTCTGCACTGAATTGGCTCACCGCAGACTCTATCCGGTCGGACACCAACACCGCACCCCGCCACCTGGACAGCTTCACCGCGACCGGTCTCGGTGACCAGACCGGTAAATGCCAATGATGGCTCAATGCTTACCCAGTACATTCATTATAAGTTTGGGGTACCCCAACTACGCGGGGATGAGCATTTGCAATTTTTCCCTTTTGTATCTAAAAAGGTCTTGAAAATATCACAATTATATCCCAAAATCCCGACTCAAACAAAATACCAAACTGCCCCACTTTGCCTGCAAAAAAGTCACGATGCATATCCTGGTAAGTTCAAGGAATTGACAACACCCTTTTCCTTCTGTTTGTTTTTTTTCAATATTTTCTTCTTTGCCTCCTTGGTTCCGTCATGGGACATCATGGATCGCACAATGAGTATAGAAAAAAGAACCGCAAAAGCAAAAATAATCCACCGAAACTACATCCCGCAGATCTAGTCCACACACTAGTCGCCTGGGTATTCCTACTATTACCTTTGATTTGTCCCAACTTATCGGATAAGCCCTCAATCCAAATTGACTCATATCAATAGCTTGTCAACGACGATGGCCCCCCAAATTCCCGTGTATCACCCTACGTCAGGCCCCTCGTGAACGCCCTCCAAGCATCAGGCCACCAAGTCTCAGTCGCAATCCCAGCAGCCTCCCGCTCCTGGATCGGCAAAGCCCATATTATCGAAGCCTCCCTAACCGCCAGCTACGTACACCCTGATTCCTTCCGGGAAGACGGCACCTGGGATGAAACCCCCACTCCACAAGATGACTCCGACTGGGTGGTTATCCAAAACGGCACCCCAGCCAGCTGCGCCCAGCTAGGTTTGTACAACCTGTTTACCGACCGACCGCCCGTAGACCTCGTGATCTCGGGCCCCAATCATGGTCGCAATGCGTCTACTATCTACAATTTGTCGTCGGGCACCGTGGGCGGGGCCCTGGAGGCTGTTTTCTGCGGGAAGCGCGGGATCGCTATTTCGTTCGGTAGTAAGGATCCGCAGACCGATGTGGTCATTGCTGCCGCGGCGCGCTTGGCGGTTCGCCTTGTTGATCATCTGTATGCGGTCTGGGATGAGCGGGTGGAGTTGTATAATATCAATATTCCTATGCGCGAGGATGTTGAGAGGAGACCTGTGTTGTATACCCGGACGCTGCCGTATTATTGGTCGCGGGGGTGTCTGTATGCCGAGACTGGGGCGGAGAAGAAGTTGACCAATGGGTTGACCAATGGGTTGACCAATGGGTTGACCAATGGTGGTCATTGCAATGGGGTTAATGGGCATACTGAGAAGCAACCCAGACAGCGCACTTTCAAGTGGTCGGCTGATCTGTCGGATATGAAGAAGAGGTTGCAGGAGAGTGAAGAGGGTACCGATGCGCATACCGTGTTGGATGGGTCTACTAGGTATGATGCTCTTGTTCCTTTTGTTTCACCTTTTTTTTCTTTTTTGTTCTTTATATTCTTACTGACTATCACAGTGTGACGGCTCTGCGGGCCAACTTCTGGCATGTCCCCGGTCTTGAGGGGCCTTTGACCCTGGACTCATAATCCTATCATATCGGTCTGGTCAGCCCGGTAATGCATAATGCATATCATGATTCATTGTTAGCGTTTCGTCTTCCTCGGGCGCAGTGCCTTTCAATCGCATTTGAGAGCTTCATTGATCACGTCGAGGTACTAGACCAGATACCCCTAGGCGTCTTTGTACATATCTATACATCAGGAATGAAATGTATACACCGTGAAACATCATTGATATTGAACTAAGGTAGTCTAAGCAAACGCAAGAATGCGCTGGTAAAACTTGGGAATAAACTAGGTAGAAAGTGGGGTGTATCATAAACAGGTCAAAGGATCACGCAATGGAAGATCCTAGATTGCACGAGCAACTTCACCAGCGCCGCTCTCAACAGTGGATGCCTGCTCCGCACGCATCTTGCCCTTTCCAACGCCACCCTCACCAACGCCCATGCGGCGAGCCACGTAGCGTTGCGCAACGACTCCAGCCGCCAGCGAAAGAGTCTCCTCGATCCACTCCGCAACCCACTCGCGAGGGTCGACACCACCGCTCTCGATGATCTCGGCAATAGCTTCGGGCACTTCAGCGTGCGCCACCTGCGCATCCTCACCATCGAGGTTTTCGGCAGCCGGTGCAGACGCATCAAGCCACTCAATCCACTTGGCAGGAATGGGCTGAGAGATGGTGTGGAAAGCAATGCCGTGCACAGGGTCATGGAGATATAGCGCGAAGGAGATCTCCTCGTCAGCTTCCGGAAGCTCGACGGCACCAGAGGCAGTCTCCTTCTCCCCTGAAGCACCAGCCTGGAAGAGGTCCGCCGACACAGACTGACGAATAGCCTGGATAGCGAGGAAGATATCACTGCTGCGGACCGGGTTTGACTCGCTCAGTACCTCACTGGCCTGCTTGGCTGCCCCCTCAATGCCACCCCGGGTCGAGAAGTACTCCGTCGCATAGCCTTCGGCGCTGGCGCGCGCCAGCTTGGACCCCTCGATAGTTCCAGGAACGGCGTTGATGGTGCGTGGGTTACCAGGCATCACGGTCCGCCACCAAGGCCCGTCGTTCCAGCCAGCACTGGAGATATAGCCACCAACATCGAGACTGCGCTTCGGGGCGGACTCTTGGCCCCGCTGGATGACGAGAAGGTCTCCACCCTCGACTTGGGCCATGACTCGTGAGAACACGGCGTATACAAGTGGGTCAACGCCCGGGTATCCGGAAAAGTCGTGAGTCACATGGATCTGAAGACGTTCATGCGATGAGATGGGAGGGGCGAGGGTGTGGATGAGGTTTGTGAAGGTCGGGATAGCCATGTTGCGAATCTCGCCACCTGCAGGAGGGCCGGGTCAATAGTGAACAAAAACGGAGACCTAGTTAACATTAATCACATACCGAAGTCGCGAAGAGCACCAACATTGCCCTTTACTTGTTGGGCCCAGCGCTGTGCTTCCTCGTTGTTTTGGATTTCCTTCACAGCAGCTTCAGCCTGCTTCATAGCCGCGCTGGCCGTTGCAAAAATTCCTCCCCACCATCCACCACCCTGCTCCTGCTGTGGTTGTTCCTTCTCATGTTGCGGTTGCGGTGCAGTGTTTTCGTCTACCTTCGGCTCCTGCTTCAATCCCGTGTGAGACGAACGACTGGTCTCCTCTGACTGACGAGGGGCCTTCTCTTCGGTCCGCTCGATGGTCGCGCTGGGGCGAGGCGACCGTGTTGATGACCGTGGCTTATCTGCAGATAGGCGTGGCGTACCCGGACCACTGCTGGGTCGCTGGATAGAAAGGTTGTCGAGCTCAGCAAGGACGTCTTCCTGTGACTTGGCGTTGTCGGCGGGGGCTGTAGGCTTGGCAGATTTGGGCTGGTCAACGCCTAGATTATCGAGGTCGAACTGAGCCAAAAGCTCATCATTGGTGGGTTTTGCACCCTTCGGAGGCATGGTGTCTGTTTGGGCCCTGAAGTGGTGGTTCAGGAGAGGTGACGACACTGGTGGGAGCTCCCGAAGGGTGTGGAGTCACTGTGCCAAGACCACGACTCACCTTCCGCCTTCACTGACATAGTGGCTGCACAGATGATGGGCCCATTTTTAAGCCACATGATTCACAACCTTCACTCGAGATATGCTCAGATATGTCTGTAGGCCGTTTCGTAATTTTAAGGATGTCTGTGGTGGCTGTATATTCCGGCGGCTATGAACGGTATACCATAGAACCTTCTAGGGTTTGGCGCCACAGAATGTACAGCAACATCGTCAGCCCTAGACGTCAACTGGTGCAACAGAAACAACTAGGGTAACCCTAGTCTATTAAGTAAAAACACGAAACTTGAGTATCGTCCTATCGGGTGGCATACCAGCCAATGGCAGTGGCGGTGAGGGTGATGTTAGTGGGCGGCGCGCCCATCCGTCATGGCAGAATTCTGGTATCACCAGCCCAAGGATTACTCATACTGACCCGACACTATGGTTCTCATACCCAGACGATGATCATGTCTCCATTTTCTCTCCCCAAAAATCTTTGTTTCATCGATAGCCCTAGAGCTGCTTAGTATAACCCGCCAATCAGGTCAAGACCTGGATAAGACATAGTAGATCCCGCCAATCATGAGCTTGAAGGGCCGGATACCCGACAGTTAGGTGAATATAAAGATTTGGGTACAACCTTCTAGTTCATTCCGCATGCATTCCAATCAAATTTAGATTGCTGGCTTCCGTGGTAGCGTGTGCCGCCGGAAAGCTGGGGAAATTCATTCGCGCACTTTTTTATGCGTGATTACATAGCTGGCGCATCCGAGGCTTAAAACTCACATTAACCTACGGTCTATGACATTATAGGCTCAAATCTTTTCCGGAAAAATCAACCAATGATGAGTACATAAGTCTCCCTTGCATGATGTCTCGTGGATGACTCTCCCCTATCCTCGGATGCTTACTTCATAGACATACGCGCCGAATCGTCAGTCTAGACCCAAAGTCAATCTACATATTTCTCATTGGACGTGTAGCGAATCCATCCTGTTCCGCTGTGTTCCTGAAGCTGGGAGAAGTATCCGCGGATCCCCTCAATCGATCGTATCCTCGTTCTTGAGGCACAAAGGACCCACCTGCACTCCATCCAACGCCGGCCTGTCATTGGTGGCAACTCATGCCGAAGTTTGACAGGGCCGCACTGGAATTCTATATATGTCGAAGTCAACAACCAAGTAGCTCAATTTAGTCCTATAATTCTACCTTTACACTGTCATGACCGGGAAACATCCCAAACAATTCAACCCGGATGGGTTAACCGCTCAAAATGATGAGCCTGGGAATCAACCAGAGCGACATAGTGCCCCTACAATCTCCAAACGCCCTCTAATTGTGGAAACCAGATCAACACGGGTCACCAAGTCAACACCATCGTTGGGAAACTCAGGGAACTCTAGTTCAAAAGTTGCAATCCCCCGTCAGAGTACGGGTTATACCCCTCGTTACAACCGCAGAGTCCCACGGGCTTGCGAGTCGTGTAGACAACGAAAAACAAAATGCAGTGGTGACACCCCAGTATGTCGACAATGTCGCGAGCTGCGGGTTCAATGTCAGTATCCTGTGGGATGGAGAGATAAAATGAAAAAGTGTGGACTCCATGATTATCAATAAATATAGGCTAAACAATGGAACTAATTTAAAATTATAGGGAACTCGACAGGCTTTCTGCAGAAGTGCAAGACTATGAGAACTTTCTGGAGGATTTACGAGCGAGCGCCGAGTCTCGAACGGCGGATTGGGTCCTAAGCTTATTGGAAAAGGTGGGTTTTTCTTATTTCTCTACTTTAGAACTCCTAGCACGGGACTAATGCTGTCACAGTATGGCCTCAAAGGGGATCGTCGAGAACGAAATCAATTCTTGATGCCTACTCCCCAGAATGAGATCGAACCTGACGAACCATCTCCCCTTTCATCAATCGGGTCTCTGGAGGCCATTGACCGATTAGAGGAGGATCCCAATCGGTCGGAAGACACCCGCGCAACGGGTGTGATGGGCAAAAGCTCGGAAATCTCCTGGATGCAACGCGTTCAGAGGGAAGCAGAGCAACGAGCGCGAGGGAATCCCGGTACCTTAGAAACGAATCCAACTGACGACGAAGAAAAGGAAGCCTTTTCCCTCCATGCTCTGAACTATCATCTCGACGACCTGGATATCTCCGTCCCCGAACCAGTTCAGCTGTACGCCATGCCCCCTCGACAATTAGCCGACCGACTCTTTGACGATTATTTTCAAAAGACACACCCCTTCTTTCCCATTCTCAGCAAACAACTTTTCCGTGGACAGTATCAAGCTTTTCTCGACACCTCCTCTCAACCCGACCCTGTCCGACCCGGCGACAAATGGCTCGCCGTGCTAAATATAATTTTTGCGATTGGCGCCAAACATGCACACCTCACCAATGCAGCGTGGCGTGGCGAGGATAACGATCACTTGGTATATCTCACTCGAGCCAGACTTCTCAGCATGAACAGCGACGTTCTGTTCAGTCATCCCGATCTTCAACAAGTCCAAGTCGAAGGACTGATTGCATTCTACCTACTGGCATCAGACCAGATCAACAGGTGTGTGTCCTTTACCACAGAACATTTGAAGCGACTCAAATTAATCAATATAATCCGTATAGAGCATGGAGAATATCTGCTTTGGCCATACGGTCGGCAATCACTCTCGGCATCAACCTCAGAATCACGAGCACCAAAACCCCCAGCATCACCAAAGAGGCCCGCTACCGGGTATGGTGGTGTTTATACAGTTTCGAGCATATGTTAGGCATTATGACTGGCCGGTCCATCTATAGTCTTGACGGAGGATACGCCACCCCGTTACCGCTCCCTTTCGAAGAAGAACAATTACAAGAGAACCCGGCAGCTGCCGAGGTTTTGAACAACCCGACCCTACGAGATGCATTGGTTGGCAATGTGATGGCGAGCTCATGGATCCGTCCGACCGGCAGCAAAGACGACACGCACAAAACTCGATTACGCGACCAATCGTGGCTGAAGAACTTGCCCGTCAACTTCGGACTCTGTTATCTTTACTACAGTGATTTGACGGTCGTTACACAGGAGATACTCAATAAAGTTTACACGACAACTGCAGTGATGCTTCCGTGGTCGGATATCGAAAGCCGACTCGATGATCTGAGATTTCGCATCGATTTATGGAAATCGAGTTTGCCCGCCTCTCTCGACTTTACACAAGAAGAGACTGACGGTAGCCCGGATCATCTTCGCTGTAAATTGTTTTTAGCATTTCATTATTACAGCGCCAGGATTACTTTGGGTCGACCATGTCTCTGTCGACGTGACGCACGACAACAGAACGCACCGCAAACATTCAGCCACACGATGGCGTTGATCGCCTTGGAATCGGCCAACGGGATGCTAGACTTGATCCCAGACAAGCCCGACGTTGTCCAGTTGTATCAAGTCTGCCCCTGGTGGTGCGTACTCCGATACCTCATGCAATCTGCCACGGTCTTCCTCCTCGAACTATCATTTGGGTGCGTCCACAACCCAGAGGAGGAACAGAAGTACGTCTCGTTGACAAAGAAGTCCATCCGCTGGTTCTTCGCCATGTCCGAGCACAGCATCGGTTCGCGACGTGCTTGGCAGATTTGTGACTCCAGCTTCCGAAACTTAGCCGGCGGCATGAAATACAATACCGATGACCTCCCAGGTCAACCAGAGCAGGAACGTACGACGACAGAGACCACACCATCCTTCCAAACCGATTCAAGCCATAATGTTCCTTCCGGCGACTTTTTTACTCTACCAACAGAAGACCTTCATCTATTCGGTTCTCACCCCATCCCCGACGGAGACACCTTCCCGAGCTCTTTCAACTACCCAACACCAGATCTCATGTCCTCGGTACATGGGAATACTGATATGACTGATGATTCCTACTTTCCATACGACCCTCTCAGCGGAGAATTTATCAGGTCCTTCTTTCCTTCGTCGGAGGAAGAAACCAAAAACTAAGACTAACGCCGGAGCGAGTCTTGATATCCCTTTTTTCATGGCGTTCTCCTTTTTCAGCATGACCGGGCCCGATCGAAAAATGATATCGTGGTCGACTGCACCGCTTAGCGTATCAGCATTTCAGGATAAAAGGCATTGCATCTATCAAAAAAATTCATAATCTCTACAGTTGGCAATAGCATGAGAAACGAATAATTTTTGGTATTAATGAGTTTTGATCAAGCACAAATAGGTAAGTCTCATTTTCAAGTCTGGGTTCTCAAGTTGTGAATAGAGTAGTGGCAACATTGTATTATCCATAAGTATATAAGGCAATATCAACATTTCTAGTTGTGTTCCACTAGTTCCAGAATTTCCTTTCAACGCCAATTCAATGGCTTGTCTCCTTTGTTTTGAAAAATATATCTTAGGAACTCTTCAAGGCCAGCTCGATAAGTTTATTGACCAGTGTTTGGTCATTAGGTCAAAGAGGAAGATAGACATGGATTAGTGTGATAGATAATTGTATTGGTGTATGCAATGTGCAGTGATAAAGGTACGGGGAATGCATGGTGGATGCTGGAACTTGGAAGAGATGGAAGGTTGGGACTAAAGAAAGAAGAGCAAGAGGAACAGAAAAAGATGACGACATATATCCCCATTGGGTGGGGCCCTGAGATGCTCCAGGATCACTCCATCTCACCTAGGATAAAACTTGATATTCAGAATCGACCAATCACGAAAAACATCATAACAACTGCAAGATCACGCATGCCAAGATCGACTAACCACACAAAGCACTACAACAAAATGATGATGCCATTCAGGGTCGATCCGTTACCCAAAAGGCTGTCAACGTGATCACCTTTTGAACAGTGTTTGATAGCCGTATACTTCAGAGCTCTGACAGAATTTGAGTCGTCGGTTCTCCAGATATTGTAACCACCGGGTAAGACTATTTGGATATGTTTATTTTTGTTGTTCATTGTCCATTATTTTTGTTTTGGAAATTGGTGACAGAAAACACGATTGATATCAGAACGGGTACCTTGCGATAGTGTATAGATCGAAGTGGAGACCTCGGGTAACAGGATGATGACTAATGGATCTACTCGCCTCTCGGTCTTCAGCCTTAAGGGACTTCCCTTTCAGGGCAATATGTGGCATCGGCGATATTCTCCAAGTATTCACGTCTAAACTAAGGCAGAGACACAAGATGTGTCAATTCAAATTAATTTTGTATCTCAGGTATGAATCCCTCCATTTGGCACCCGCGTGGCGACCCCACCTACCGTGACCTACACAGTACATCACGCTACTGCTAACGGGTTACTCATAAGCTGAACGGTCGATCCTAGATCGCGATTGGGTACTATAGCGCTGAAATAATCATTAAATAAACAGATTCTACCCAGATATAACTCAGCTTCCTTGATACACAGTGTGACCAAGTGGACGGGAGCGGAACGCAGCCATGCATCCGACTCCCGCGGCAGTACAACTTATCGGGCCCGATCCCGCAGCGGGACCACGCGGGGTTGGCGATAACATCAAGCATAAATAGGCGCCATCTTGCTTCCACGTTATACGCGCAAACAACTGCAACTTGGAAATATTTTCTGGGCTTCAGTAATTCATCGTCGAAATTGAAAGTGTATTTCCCCCCAAATTGCATAGGTGAGCTCCACCGGTTTCTTGTTCAAGATCCCTTAATCCAATCTACTACTTGAGCTACTTTGAACAATCAGAATCTCAATCTAACATGATATCAGATCACATCTAGCCACACATTATCCATCATGCGTCTCCCCTACGTTCCCGATCCACCACCCACCACCACCGACGACGAAGCCAGAATCCTAGCAAGCGTCCAAGCCCGCCGAGCCCCAAACCCCCTCCTGCCCCTCGACCTCGCACTCCTTCACTCCTTTCCGGTAACAGAAGGCTGGAATTCATTTATCGGTGCTATTCGCACCCGAACAAGTCTATCGACCGTGGTCCGCGAACTAGCCATCTGCCGCGTTGCGGTTGTCAATGGCGCCTTATTTGAATGGGAGCAACATGCACCATTGCTGCAACAAGGTGGACTGAGCCAAGAAGCGCTAGAATTGGTTGGAGATGCACAGGCGGATTTCTCAGATGAGGTTTCATTGAGCTTATTGAGTGAGGAGCAGAGGGCCGTTTTGAGATATACGGATGCTATGACGAAGACTGTCACTGTATCGGATGGAGTGTTCGGGGAATTGAAGGGGATTTTTAATGATCAGGAGGTTGTTGAGATTACGGCGACTGTTGCGGCTTACAATTGTGTTAGTCGGTTTCTGGTCGCGTTGGATGTTGGTGAGAAGAACTAAGAACACAAGGGAAAATACTTTCTGGATGTATATTGTGCCTACCTCGGGGGTCCACTTCCGAATGCAGGAGCTGATTTCTCCCAAAAGTTTTCTATACCCCTAACAATCGGAAAGCCAATATTTGTATATCTACCTGGTTGTCAAAGATATTCCAATGTTTCCTTTAGAATTTCTGATTTCATACTAGGCACCTCCGAGGTCTGTGCTGTCTGACCTGAAGTACTGTACATAACCGTTACGCTAACGTCTCCCAAGGTTCCAAGGTTATAAGTGCCGGTCGATAGAATGCATCTACGTAGCTGTGAAGCTAAGAAGCACATGTTGTATAAAATGTGTTAACGTGAGGGAAGTAGCATCTGATTTTGATTGGCAATATTAAATGGGATAGAAAGTCATGAATGTGATGTGTGGTCGCCAAAAATGGACATCCTATATTGGCGGTCTGTGCTCAGTTGAGACACGCGACGATCGGGTTAAGGGGCTAACAAAGGGATTTAGAGAAAACAGGCACGAAACCGACTCAGTTCAGCAGTAACTCTACCTTTTTTAATTTCTTTTGTTTTTTTATGTATGCATTTCTCTCCAAAGTGTCTCATTCGTTTGCTTAGAATCTATTGCTCGAGGTAGTGATAGGGTAGTGTTGAAAAACCGTTGCGGCGGAAGGGGTACCACGTCAGAAGAAGGAATCTCGTAAAAAAAATTTGCTCCGATTGGCGATACCTTGAAGCAAGTAATCTATAGGTAAATAAAATGCTTGAAGGACCCGAGTGATCCCTCTTAGAGCATGGTGCCGATCTACTATGGTAGCTAAAAATCCTTTTTTCCGTGGAGCCGAAAAAGCCCGGTCCAGCGCTCGCGGCGACAAGGTCACAATAGACGTATGGATATTATGCTAGATATGAATAGGCTTTGATCTGACTGTTATTGGGACATTCCAGTAGTTTCCTGACCAGGGGCCATATTCAGTTCATCTGACGTCGCGGCTTGCAGTAAAGTGGCCTAGTAGATAGCTGGCGTGTGATTGGTCGAGGAGAAGAACAGTGGACCCGGTAAGTTGTAATGGTCACTACAAACTAAACCACGCTCAATCTCTTTTCTTTGCCTTCTGCACTGTTTCCTTTCCCATGCTTTACTTCATCGTGCTGCGAGTTTAAATTAATTCGAGCTTGTGTCTCGATCTCTGTAACTTTCCTTCTATATCCCCCCGCTATCTTTTATTTCTCTCCCCCCCTTCTTCTCCCCACGGAGAATCTTTTTTTTTTCTTCTTTACTACCGCCTGGACCTGCAACCACTACTGCATCGCGGCATTGCTTGTTTTCAATATCTGGATCCCTGTTTGGCTGTCACTTGATTCCTGTGTTTTCTTACTTTCTCTTTCGTCTCGGGGGTTGTGGCCGCGTAGGTGAAAAGCCTCGTTATCCGCCCAGCCTTCGATTCAAGTACACATCCCTGGCAGCCGGTCTCACCACCAAGCGCCGTCTGCCGGTCTCACACCCAGTCAATTCCTTTCTGATCAGGATCAAGGAAGTCATTTCAACTCATTAGATTTGACTTCTGCCTTATGGTATGTTCTTGTCGCGTGCGCGCGCTCTTTTCCTTCGATTTTCCTTTTTTTCTTCCCTGTATCTGCCAAATACACTTCCGGGTCAGATCCTGATCCACACAATTTGCCGCGACCGTGTCTGCATCTACTCTTTACCCTTGTTTCTGTGTCCATGATATGCTTAAGTCAGTTTCGTATGGTACCCTCTGGTATTCTACATTACTTTTACTGTTCTCGCGACGCGACTTTTCTGTTTTATTCGTTGCTCTCGCGATACCTCCCCTGTTCTGGAGGGTTCCCGCATTGCGCTGCGATTACTCTATTGGAGGCTTGGCACCACAAGCGAAACCAGGCTAACCCATCTATACAGATACCTGCGCCATACATTCCTAGATCTTCACGGGTAAATTCCGTGTGTAATCTGCCTGGCACTTATTTTCTTTTTCTCGGACTGCTGAACTTCTAATTTCTATTTCTGCTATCTGCTCAAAATGGCCCCCATCCCGCGGGCCGATTTTGATATGGATAACCCGTCATCTGACGTGGGTGACAGCCAGGATCAAGATTCTCCGCTGCGCCGTCAATTCTCTGAACCATTCCGTCCACAGTCCACCTCTACTCAAATTTCACAGTCTCCTGAGCTAGTGGCGCGGAAAATAAAATGCGACTGGTGCGGGAAACTGTTGGAACTTCCTGAAGATGACTCGATCTCCGAGGAAGATTTGCTGAATTTTCACATTGCTTCAACCCACCCGAATTCTCACTCATTCGAATATGAGGAGGGTGAAGATGGCGAGGATGGAGTCGATGCCGATGAGCTTGAACTGGATGAAGAAGAAACCTTGAACGACGCGTCTCAGTTTGAAGAAAATGAAGATGCATACCAAGTTGAAGAGGGCGATGACGTCGAGGGCGTTGATGAAGCTGAAGATGCTGAAGATGCCGAAGACGTGGAAATGACGGAACAGGCTGAGCTGGCAGAAGCTGAAGATGCGGAGCCTAGCGAAGGAAATGAACAAGAGCAAGGAACCCCCCTCGCGTCTGCGGTCAACGGTGATAACAGTGAGGTCGACACCTCCAAAACCTCCAGCGTCAGCTTTCAAGTTGCACCCCAGGCCCAAGGAAAGCTGGATACGCTTGAATGGCTCTCAAATCCCAGAGGTGCATTTCCAGAGGACTTCCGCCGACGTCTGGCTACATGGCAAGAGTCAGATATCAAGAATCGCCTACCCAAAGTTTGGAACGTCCATAAACCTGAGATATTCTCAGATACTTATGATCAAGATATGGCTAAAGTTGAAGCTACTTGGCAACACGTCTTTGGCGACAAACCTAAGAAGAAGGATGCATTGGAGCCACTGGCACGACCAGTTCCTTACAAAAACTCACAAGTTTCCAAGGGTCAGTTCCTCGAAATCAGCTCATTCGACGAACTGATAGAAACTCTTCGGAAGCCGGAGCTTCTTACACCCGATGAGCTATATGCAGCCACTGAAGCTGTTGCGGCCGCAATGAAGACATGGCAGGATGAATACATTGCTCTTGATAAACTTTACATTCGAACCCACCGACACTTCCGGGCCCCACTTCCCAGCGATGCAAAGCGAGAGCAAAACGTCGGTCACAAAAAGCGAACAGGGCAACCGCTTGCCCGGGTCGCCGAGCATGAACGCGACTTCGAGGACCGGAAGGAATCAATGCTATACGGGTACAAGCACAATTTCTTTGGTCACAACTTGAGCAATGCAGTTAGCTGGGTTCCCCAGAACCCATTCGTCCAAGGCGGGTTTGTCCCCACCCCCGCGCAAGCTCGAAAAATGGCCACAAAAGTTGCCCCTGATGATCGCAACCCCGATGGCTGGACACCCCTCCTGCGGGATGGCGTGGAGTTTGTTCCCAAGCTATGGGAGCTCCGACGAGAGCCGGTGGTGAAAGTGACGCGCAAGCGTAAAGCTGTGGATACTGAGCCGGCCAAGGTCGAGGAGGCTGAGGACACGCAGAATGAGTCTGAAATCGCAGAGGAGAGTGAAGAGGACGCCCGCCCTGTGAAGCGACGAACTCGGGGCCGTGGTGGTCGTCGTACCACACTCGATACTTATCAACCCCCCGAGGCTCCAACCTCGGCCCCCCGTGGTCGTGGCGGTTCCCGGGCTCGTGGCCGTGGCCGTGGCCGAGGAACTGGCCGAACTACATCATCCCGCACATCCCTCGACGCCCCCCAGTCTGCAGCATTTGCTTCCCCAACCTCTTATCGCGGCCGCGGCCGTCGGGGCGCGAGTATTGTGAGCTCGACTACCCAGGCACACTCAGTGGAGGAGACTCCTACGTCTCTGCCTAATATCTCTCCCATGCCAGAGGCAACTCCACCACCGAAGGCCAATGCATCTACGAAGCGAGATGCCACAGCCGAAGAGATGGAGGAGGCCCGACGACTAAAGATCGCCAACTCCAAGAACCCCAAGCGCACGAAGGCCATGCTGGATCATTGGGAACGATTCAACCGCGAGGGTCGGATTCGCAATCCGAAACGGTCAAAGGCGCAAATAGAGTCAGACCGACAAGACGACCCTATCAAGTCAGACGCTCTGCCTCGAGCTCCTGGCCGGCGCCGGAAGTCTCCATCTTTGGCTCCCATCCCGAACGGCAACTTGGCCCCGAAGGCCCCGGTTGGGCCCCCCATGACAAGTCACTTGGGCCCTGGGCCTACGCTACCGCCGCTTGGGATGCCGCAGTATGCGCCTCCTAATCCCTACGCTCAACCACCACCCAATGTGCCGATAGGGCAGCAGTTGCCCCCGCAATATGCACCGTTTCCCTATGTCCCCTATGCCATGAGTCACATGCAGGGTCCTCCCCCGGGCCCTCATTCAGCTCCTCATCCAGGTCTTCATCCAGGCCCTCATCCCGGCCCACACCCTGGTTCCCATCCTGGCCCGCATGATCATCACCACCATCGCCGTGCTGTTTGATTGTGGCACTTGAGGAAGGGCGAAGGCTTTCAATATTCTCACTTACACGGTTAAATGATTGCTTGTGTGTGTAACGTGGGAGAGACCAAGATGACCAAAGTCCACGCCTGCTGTGGTAGCAGTGCAGTCATCCTAATCCACTCAAGAGACATCCATGCAGCAGTCTCAACTTCCAACATTCCATCTTCATTTTACTGCCTTTGGTAATGGACTGGCCTCACGATGACATCTCACTGGACAGATGCAGGTGTCTTCCGTCCTCAGACATAACATATCTATGACCTTGGTCTTTCTTTTCATCTTTGTTTGTGTCATTTTATGCTGGGAAGTTTGCGGGTCGGCGTTCTGGAAAGGGTTTCCGGGGTTCTGGTTGGGGTTTTAAAGCACAAAAAGGACCTGTACATTTTAATGGGTAGCTGCTTGTCTGTGATCTGGTCTGGTCTCAGCAGCTAGCAAGGCGTGTATTCTACTGGATTTCTGTGTATGATAGGGCATTGAGCATATTGACAATATTATCGCCTAAGGCACCGAACCTGTCACGTGTAGATTCTAATGTGACTGCCGACCGCCTAAGGGCAGTTTGCTCCATCTTCAGCTCAACGTCTTCGTTAACCACTCCTCATCTCGCATTGTCTCAGCTTCCGTTCTCTCTTTCAATATTTTTCTCTCGAATACTTATTCTCGCACGAAAAGGTTGTCACAATGGGAAAGAAGAGACGTGGTCCCTCATTGGAAGAACTCCTAGCTCGCCCTTGGTGCTACTACTGTGAGCGTGACTTTGATGACCTGAAGATTCTGACCTTGCATCAAAAAGCCAAGCACTTCAAGTGTGAGCGATGTGGTCGCCGACTGAATACCGCTGGTGGTAAGCTTACATTCTTACAAGAGGCTCTTAAGTGAACGCGACACTGACGTGACGTAACGTCATCCAGGATTGTCGGTGCACATGAGCCAAGTCCACAAGGAACAACTCACAGAAATCGAAAATGCGCTACCCAACCGTGCAGGTCTTGATTATGAGATTTTCGGCATGGAAGGAATCCCCGAAGATGTTCTGCAGGCCCACCACCAGCGTGTGGCCACTCAGTTCCAACAGGCCGAAGTTGAGCGACAAGTGGCCACAGGCAACCCTCCTGCAGGAGGTGCCGCAGGTGGCCCAGCAACCAAGAAACCTAAGCTGGAAGCTGTGTCAGACCTCAAGAAACGATTGGCAGAACATCGGGCGAAACGTGCAGATGGAGCTGCTGGTGGTAGCAGTGGAGAAGCAACCCCTGTAGGTGCTGGATTGACCCCATCTGCTTCAACACCGGGCACTTATGTAAGTTACGCTTTACTGGACTGAATTGATGCCAGAACTAACATGACCCTAGGGACAATCCCCTATTGCACCTGCGCCTGCCGCATCGCCCATTTCTACACAAATTCCTGCACAGCAGTACACCTACCCTGAACCTTATTCTCTGCATGGAGCCCCTCCTCCTGCTGCCCCCTATCACCAGATCGCCAGTCCAGGATTTCAACCCTTTTCCCCTGCCACCATACAGCCAGGCCCTGGGTCTATGGGTTATAATGCGCCTGGATACTCCCCTCAACCGTTTCCTGGCCCGCCTGGTTATAGCGCTCCTTCTCCTGCTTACCCCTCACAACAATCTACACCGACTGAAAATACCCCTCCTCGCTCTGGCAGCTTGCCAATTCCCTCCGGTCTTCCACAACGCCCGGCCTTTGCCGCCCCGCCGGTCAATGCACAGCAGATGCAACAGATGCACATGGGCCACCCGATTCCTCAGCCACCGGTGCCCGGATATTCCAATGGCGATGCTTCTCGGGCAACCCCGCCAGTCCCATCCGTTAACGATAGTGCGGGCGTCACGAACGACGTGACCGAAAAACCGGCAGACGGAACCGAGAAACCCAGTAAGAAGGACAAAGCGAAACAGACACGCATGATTTATTCGGATCAAATGATCAGCCCGGAAGAAAAGATGGCTGAAATCCCTCGTTACGCATTCTCGCGCGATCGATTCAAGCAGGAAACAGTACTAGGCGAGATCCCCGATGCGACGGTTACGGGAACGATCCGCGATCAGGATACAGTGGTCGACCCGGCTCATTAGGCGTCTCAATTTCGATCCCGCGATGAGACATGATGATGTTTAAGGGACGGACAACGAATTCCAGCTAAGTTCGACACATACTCTAGCGACACATGAGCATTTCCATTAGGCTGGCTTTCTTCTGTTACCTGCCCTGATCCATCAGTAGTTCTGGCGAACACCCCTTCCAACCAATCAAGGGAAAAACAAGTGTTTCCCTAGCGCGATATGTTTGATGATCCTTCCCGTGAGTCCTGTCGCTTCACAGGCCTTTCCCGCTAATCAGGGTCCGTCCTAGCGGGTTGGCTATGAAGGATTTGACTGTACGTCCCTACCCTGACTGTTTCTCCCTCCCCTTGTTCCTTCATGGCTCCATGCTGTAGGGGCTTCACAATTTTTGCCTTTTAGGCTTGACGATGCCATTGCACTCGGATGTAAGTTTTTTCTTTTATTTCTCCTTAGCGTTTCAGGTAGGAAATGAACCAATTTCAAAATGTCGTACAAATATCTACATAAAGTACGAAAGACCCGAGTAGCCTATAATCCTTCATCGAACCATTGCTGGACCAAAATCCAAGTTAATTGACTGAGTGGAGTATCTCGCTAGAAACCATAAAGAAAGTAACAGCAATCACCTCACATCACATCCTACGAGTACAAGCATCTCGGAAGCCCAAATGGATGCATGCATTCAAAACCGCAGACCCACTCATCATACGATGTCCGCAACCCGAAGCTGCGACACTTGCAAGCAAGGAATCTAAGCCCTCTTCTCCTTCATTGCAAGACCAAAGACAACAACACCGTATGTAGCCAACAACGAAAGTCCAACAGGAACAGCCTTTCCACCCGTCTTAATCGCACGGGGAATCGAGCTTCCACCCAAAACAGTTGAGGCAAGCAGACCGAGCTCCTCGCCGTATGCCTGGCCTTCGCGAAGCTGGTAGTATGAGAAAGCGTAGATCGCACCTACGGAGAGACCGGCTGCGATTGAGGGGATGGAGCCTGTGCGGGCGTAACCGATTGTGCCGCCGAGGGAGGTTAGGAAGGAGAGGGCTAGGGCGGAGGTTGTGGGAGATTGGTTAGACTGGTATCTGTTAGTGAATCGTATGCCTTTTGAATTGGATGGGATTGGGGATTTACCATTTTGAGGGTGTTGTTTTGGGTTACTGGTGGAATGTTGGTGTTTGGATGGGGTAGATGTAGCTTTGGCCAGTGAGCGGGTGGTGTTAGTCAGATGACGTGAGATGGATATGGGCCGATCTGGAACTATAGAACTATCTTTTGGTTCCGCGCTTTAGTGGTATGTGGAATCAGTTGATCCAATTTATCTATGCATATGCTGTATCAAGTATGTATAAACAAAATAGTATTCATGCATTCGTATCAATCTTTTGTGCAATCTGTATACATTAACGTTCTATCATGACTTGGTAGACTCACCTAGAGTCGTTGCCTGGTGATCTATCCTCGTAGCCAAATTATTTAGTCCGTAGCTTTCAGAGCTTCATGGAAATGCATCTTAATCTGTGATCATCATTCAGCATGCTCGTCAACATCCAACTCAGTCTTAATCAGTCCTAGCAGCCTTCACACCATTCTCCCTCGACACATCCAGGGCCCCATACCCACCAGTAGCAGCTTCTTGTTCGTCCTGCTCAGTCTCTTCCTCAACCTCCTCTCGACTGGGACCCTCCTGCTCCACAATCCAAAAAGCAGGAACAACACTCCACAGCGCTAACGCGCTCAACAACCACCATGGGATAATCACATACCCCCTCTTCACGCCATAAGAGAAGGCAGAGCCAATGATCGCGGGACCCGCCGCACGACCCAAGGCACTGACACTCGTACTGACTCCATTTAACGTACCAAGGACAGACATGCTCGAAGCCGAGTTCGTGAGCAGGATTGTCGAGCAAGGAATACCGAAAACTGTTGTGCTAAGTTTGGCGAGCATGATTAGGAGCACGGCTGGGAGCTTGAAGGGCTTTGGGACCAGAACTGTGAAAGGCGTGAGGAAGAAGATGATTGGCTGGGCGATGGCGGCCATTTTAAAGCAGCGGAGGATACCGAGGTGCTGGGCGATTGGTGGGAAGGCGAGGAATTGAATGACCATGCCAACTACACCGATGATAGTATAGTATATGCCGATTGTTTGAGAATCTGAGATGGGTAAGTTTATGGGGTGATGAGGTATACAGTGCTCTACTCACCGACACCGAATCCACCTGCAAACTTGAATGGTAGTTGTACATCTGGGTTATTGTCGAAGTCTTGAACAGGGTAGTTGAGGAAAACGGGGAATACGGCATCGAATGCCATTCCAAGTCCGGAGATCAGTGTGTATGAGGTAAGGATCAAACAGGACTGTGGCGTGAAGACCTGTGACCAGCTAGGCCGTGCAACGGGCTTCGCCTCCTTTGGTTTGCGAGGAAGCAAAGTGGCTCGTTCCTCATCCGAGGCCTTCGCTTCTGTACTCCGCTTATTCCGCGAAGTACATGGCCGAGTCAGTGCCTTTCCAAGCTCAAGACCATAATCGCGCTGATGTTTCCGGGTGATGTGTGTTTCCTGCATGAACAGTCAGCATTGACAACAATCTTCATCCCAGATTTCATTCTCACCCGCAAGAACAGAATGCCATTAAAAATCCCAACGACAAAGAAACAAGCCGCGACAAGATTCGGCAACGCAAACGGATACTTCTTCAAAAACTCTGAGCCTCCAAAAAGCCCTGGGAATTTTTCTGCTGGCCGCGCCAAGGCACCCCCGAATGCCGGTCCGAAAATACTGCCGATCGTCCATACCAGCGGCATGATACTAAAGGCCTGCGGCTGGAGCTCGCGCTCAGGCACGATCTCTGCAACCATCGTCCGGATGATGCCCACGTTTCCATTCATCAGGCCAGTCAGCGCGCGTGTCACAAGGACCATGGTCAAGGACGAGGACATGCCCAACAGAATAGACAGTATCATGGTGCAGAATAAGCCGCTGACAATTACCGGCTTGCGGCCAATATAATCGGATAACGCGCCCCAAGGGACGGCCATTATAGCCTGACTCACGGAGGCGACCGCTGAGGCGATACCGGCCCATTTGGCGACTTCGGGTTTGGGGACGCCGACATGTTGGATGAGTTCCGGCTGTCGAGGCGTTAGTGAGTGATCACTTCCAGGGGCGTGGCTATATAAGGCGAATGCTGTGGAAGACTGGACTCGACTCGAAACACGACTTCGCGTGAACCAGACGCGTTTTGGACGGACTTACAAGGTATGGAAGAATAGACGTGAAGACAACTGTGTCACACCATACATTTAGCAGATATTTTTCATGGAGTCGCTATACTCCGGGGAATCCAGAACCATGCACATACTGGGCTCAGCGAATCGACATATGGCTATAAGACCGTTAATAAACAAACCGCTGCCGAGATCCGGGGGAAAAATAAAAACATACCCAAAATCGCAAGCTGCTTGACCGGCAGACGGGGTTTCTGCATCCTTTTCTATTACCTCGGTACCGACACCGGAAGACGAACCAACTCTATCCTCTAAAACAACCAGAGAAAAAAGATGAGCTGAGAGAAGAAACGAGGAGTGAGCAACCCGATCTTTCGGATCGTTAATCCGCAGATCGGCACGACTGTAGAGGTCCGAGCCGCTAATGCCCCGCTAACGGACTTGTCGCCGCTATGTCCAATCGCGGTAGTTCATGTCGGTGAGACGCCGGATCACGCGTACAATTCTTGTGCTTTTATGTGCAGTGGCCATTGGTGCAATCGTTGATATCGTGGTGGGTCTTGTACGCATTTCTAATCACATTGGGGCTTTAGGTGTGATTCGGCATTTGTTCCGCGATGTACTTGTATACTTGTGACTTCAGCGGTCGAGAGGCTGGACATCTCGTGCATGTGCTGGATGATAAGAGATATATGAGGTAAGATTTGGGTTCAAATTTTCAACTGCTAGTATGTAACATCCCGAAAAGGAAATATCGGTATAGGGACAGGTATCAAAAACTATCATATAACCGCTGAAATGGACTCAGACAACAGGGCCTATCAAACCCAAAGATAAAAAAAAAACAGAATATAAGTTGCAACTCGGCTGCACCTAGTAATCGTCCTCTTCGACGGGCACGACGTCATCCAGCTGCGGATTGAGCTTCTGTCCAATTTCGATACTCTCTCTCATAATCCCACGCGCAACGCTAGCGTCAACGCCCATGTCTTCCTTGATGAGCCGAGTAGCAAGCTCAGGCACAATAACAGATTGTGCATACCCGGCTACGCCCACCTTGGCGACGAGAGCGTCATCTTTGGCTAGTCGACGTAACCTCACACCAAAGCGCTCCATGACCACATATAGCCTGTAACATCTCATTAGATATTTGGGATTGAAAATAGCAAAGGGACTTCTCACATTTTCTGGGCACCTTTCGTCCCATAGTATCCACAAGAGATCGTCTCGATACCATCGTCGTTTAAGGTAAGGCGAAGACTTTTTCCAGCTTGCTGAGCACTCTCGAGGATATTGCGATAGTAAGATGGTTGTTGCGGATCCAGATACTGGTCCATATCAGGGAAATGCTTCTCTAAGCGCTGCTCGAAGGTATCCCAGTTGATCTCGGGGTACCCTTGTGCCTCCCATTCCTTCGTAGCAGTATCTTGCTTATGTGAAGTACAGAAGCGTTGTTGTTCCCGGAGGCGCTGATTTGGCTGGGCCTGGAACTGTCTGAGAATCTCCGGATCCACTTCGGCATTACACATGGGACATAGTGCCTTGTGTGGTGGGTCTGGCGATGCCCTATCGGCATCTGACTCAAAGCCTGCTTCGTGCTGCAGAGCCTCCATTATAGATGACGACGGGGAGCTGAGGGGAGTGGAAAGTGTAGAATCAGATGAAAGGTCGTAAGCATTGAGTTGGGCATCCCGGGAAGAAGTACCAAGCGAGGATGTAGGAAAAGGGTCCGGTTGAAGAACTGGAGGCATTTTAAATTCTGGTGACGGCCTCCCCTTCTTCACATTAGTGCTGGGCTTTGACTTCCGCGGACTGGGCGTATCGATATGCATGGGAACTTTGAAGCCCACCTCCGGTTCTGATTCAGACGATGAATCTCGCTTTTTGCTTTTGCCATTCTTAGTTGATGACTGTGCAGAGCCGGTCTTGGATTTTCGTGCAGTTTTCCCTGGCGTTGTAATTGAACGCGCGCTTGAGGTGGGAATGCTGGAAAAAGACGTCGATTTTGATTTCGACCCATAACCGGTCTGTCTCGCCCGCTTATAACTCGACTGCGACGAAAGTGAGAAGTATGGGTTGTCATCATCATCATCAGCAGTCATTATACTCGAGGTCCGTCCTAACGGCTTCCTTATAGATGTATTTCGGTTGGTAGAGCTGCAATTGCTGCCGAGTGACGAAGACCCATTGCTGACGCCGGCTGCAAGTTTTTCCCCCAACACTTGTCTCTTTGTATCGTCTTTGGGACGCTGGGGTGCGTCAGAGTCACTTGATTCTGCATCGGTGGTGCTGAGGGGCTCTGCCTCTATTGAAGGTTCGCGAACGTTGCGTGGCGTCTCGATTTCGGGTTTGGGTGGAGTAGGGAGCTTGTTGTCTTGTGTATCTGGTTTGTTGTAACTTGACAATAGGTGCCTACTCAAATGGGCAGTCCTTGTAAGTCGATTCGAGGCATAACTAGCATCTCGTTGGGGCCTCATTATATGAAGGGACGGTGGGAGTGCGGAGTGCGGAGTTCGGAGGAAGAAAGGAGATGTGTGGTTTATGCTCCGACCAGTGCGCAACCTAGAATTGCGAATGTATTCGGTAAAAATCCCGGAGAATCCCAAAGATTACGAGCTCTTATCAACCTGGGGATTGGGCAGGTAATGAAGAACAAGACAAGAACAAAGAAGGAAACGCGTGACGCGACTGGACGTGCCTAGGTGGGCGCCCCACTTTGATTCCGTTCTATACACCGGCCTAAAACTATACACTTGCGCCTGTATAAACAATGCTCTGACAACCAAAAAAAAAAAAAAAAACAGCTCTAAAGCTATGGTCTTTGAAATGAATATAATAGGAAAAAGTTAGAGCAATCATTACTCAAATGTCATGGAGATTCCCCCGTCATGGTCATCGGCCCAGGCATTATGTTCCAGCGCCATGGCCCCGACCGCACTGCTTCCAACATTGTTGTTAGGCAGGCTGACGGTAGATCGTAATTCTGGTCGAGTAAGGGTATCGAATGAGTACTGGGGTGGCGGGTCATGGAACGAAGTATCAAAGGTCATTTCGAGTTCATCTTCCTTGTGCGACGCAGATTCATGCGGAGGATGAGACACTGTGTTCAACCGAGGCTCCGATGCTGTTCGGGTGACGGGGGGTGCTTCAACAGTCTCGGCCTTGTGTTCTTCGTCCTTTGGCGTCGCGGGCTGAGCGGGTTCCGGGCGGGGGTTCAAATCGAGCTTCATTGGAGGTAAGGTGGATTCCAGCTGCTTGACTTCGATGGCCTCGGAAGCCAGCTCGGCTCGAATAGCCTCTATATCAAATAGTACAGTACCCGGAGCACTGCTAGGCTCAGTCGAGGCACGCAGCGGAGAATTGCGGTCGACGTCATATGTCTCCCATGCCTTTTTCTCCGCCATTTTGCCCCGTTTGAAAAGGCCAAAGCGCTTTTTCTCTGGTTTCTGCTCGGCTTCTCGACGAGCCTCGTCGATTTCGCGAATCAACTCTCTCTGTCGCTCGGCATGACTATCTGGATCAGGGTCCTCAATCTCGGCGAATTCGTCCTCAAGAACCTCGAAGCCAACCTCCCTTAAAATACGAGGCATGGCAGCTCGATAGTCCATGTGACCGTTCACAAGCTCGGTAAGATTGAAATTCTCAATCCCCGGAATGCCTTCAATGGGCGCGAGACCAGAAACACGCATGATACCACCACTGGTGGCCCGGAAGAGGTACCCAAGAATCCAGTCGTTGTTAGAGTATCCGTTCACAAATCGACCCGACACGACACTGCGGGCTTTCAGATATTCATCCTTACTGGCCACGATTGGAGATCCAAACAGATACACGTTCTGAATGAGTCCATGGGCACCCTTGTCCGAAAGTTCCTTGAGACAAGAGAAGATGACTCGTGCACCCAACGAGAAACCAAGTAGCGTAATGGGCCGGTTTCCAAGGTTCCGGTCCTGCAAAGAATCCGCCATGATCAAGCCTGCGTAGTGAGCGCGAGCCAAAGAGACGTTCCAGGGATTATCGATGAGATAGGCGAGTTTTGTAAGAACAAGCGGTAGTTGTAAAGAGGCCATCAGAGCCATCAGAACAGTACTACCGAGTACTTGCTGGAGGCCTGTGGCCAATGCCTGGAAGGGTCAAAAGAAATTAGCACTCAACTAATAAATTTGAGGGCTTAGGTCCTAGATCAGACTCACCTCTGTTGCAAGAATGTTAATTGTGTCACCCATACTGCGAAGCATCTCAGGTTCCCAGAGAACGGAATAAATATCACCCATAATCGGATCGACAGTACTGTATGGGAGTCGGACATCATCGACCTTGCCAGTCATCCAGCCAGAGACAGTCACAATAAGATTAAGCTTCTTATTGTTGTGAAGAGGACGGTATTCAAATGTCTGGACTGCTCCTGTACGTCGATGTGAAGCCTTCAGACCAATGACGCTGCCACCCAAACTGGCACCGGAGGCAATCAAAGCGGTACCGCCAGCACCTCCCAAGAACGCACTGGTTCCAGAGATGCCCACGGTAGTCAACCCTGCAGCAAGGCCAGCTCCAATCACTGGAGCCAGCAGTCCAGCGGACAAGCCGATGACCAGCCCACCACCAACTGTCGCTAAGCCCATCAGCATATACTTGCGCTTTTGCGACATCACTCGGCGTTTCTCCATGTGCTCGGATTCATCCCAATTTTCTTTCTCTGCTTGTTCTTGCATTTCCAGAGCATCGGTCACTCGCTTCTCAAATCGAGAGATCTGTAGCCACGTCACCTCCATGGCTGCTCCAACTCTTTCCAACAAAGTCCGTGACCGGGCATCGTAGGCGGAGTCTGCAATAAGCACGAGGAATAGATCACATAGAACTGTCCAACGAAGATCAATGTCAATTCGATCGGAGGTCGGCATTTGAGATGGTGTTTGAACTTCTGGGACCATCCCCTCGCCTTCATGTGTCTCATATGGAGGTGGGGAGCCGGGCTCAGAAGAATTGGCAGTCTCGGTAGAAAATCTGTTTCGAGGATCTATTTTGGAGGTGGGAGATGAAACTGAAGAGGTTGAAGGTCGTGTATCACTCTCGGCCATTGGATTTTTGACCCGTGCATTTTGCATGAGAGGCCTGATAAGGTCCTCAGGTTGGACGCCATGTCCAGCAAGCTGTTCGATCATGATCTGCTCGGCCGTGTTGATATCCATATGGGCATATAATCTCCCCATCATTGCTTGTCCCCACTTTCTCATGTTATCGCGGGCCTTTTGTAGTGCTTTGCGTGTGCCCTTGGTGGTGGGCATCTCAGCCAGCTCAGAGTTCATTTTATGTATTGCCAGTCTGACCACACCAACATACGCAATTTTTTGAGTTTCGTTAAGGAAATCCTTTGTGGCTTGCAGTTGACTCATGGTATCACGAAGTTCCTCGCCTTCAAGGCCAGCCTGGTTGCCTCCAGTCTCTCGGAAAAGGTAGCTTGTGTCTTCATCCATACTGGTGGCAGACTGAGCATCTTCGTCCAGCTGGACTCGAGTATATCCTTTTCCAGCGCCACCTAGCCCTTGGTAAACAGCTTCATCGTCCTCCGCTTGAGCACCGCGTGCGATCAATCTTCCATAGTCATCATAGTAGTCGAATTCTCCCAGGGCTGGCATGGCTTGCCAATCCTCAGGTTCCTCTTCATCGTCGCTTTCAGTATTTGCCTCCACGGGTTGGGCCAAACGCATGTGTGACCATTCTGAAATCTCAGCAGTCCTGGACTTGGATGCTGACGTTCGAGATGGAGCTGACTCAGTTGGAGCTCCCGTATCAGACTTCTGCACGGGCGTAGTGTTAGGCTGAGTTTCCACCTTGGTGTCCGACAGTGCTGGTTGTTCCACCACATCGATACTTCCAGTTCCAGTTTCAGCCCCAGCCTTGGTTTCCGGTACTGGCTCGGCCAATTTTTCTGCATTTGTGTCTTGTTTTGGCTGTATATCGGGTTTTGTGTTCGAAGTATCGGTTGAGGGCTGCACCGCTTGAGCTTCAGGGCGATCGTCTGTATTCTCGGGCGAGCCGTCGGGGAGCCGTTCTGGCGTCGAGCGCGTTCGAATGGGGAGGCCAAAATCATCGAATTCTCCCGTCTCTTTTGAGTCCTGCCCATTTTTCTGCGTTTTTTCTTTGACTTCCTCGGGAGGGTTTATGTTCTCTTTTGCACCGGCGTCTGTGGCATCTTCGGACGCGCCCGCAGCGGGCAGCGGCGGGTTCGACGGAGAGGTTGCAGGGGGCGTAGACTGGCCGTCGGTGCCGCTGACAGTGAAACCTGCAGGCATTATCTCACATAGACCAGAGGCCCTTTTGAGCTTGGAGTTCAGTGAGGGGGCGTGCAGGCTTTTAAGATCCTGATTCGTGGTGTTGCTGCTTCCTCGCACGTTCCTTGTACGAACTCAAGCGGTCACCCATTCGGACCGAAGCTCGAACTCCTGCGACTCTTGGATATTCTCAATTTCACTTCGCCCTGTTCCCGATATTAGACCCAGTGGTGGTCATCCGACTGGGGAATCTCCGCAGATGACGATCGTTGACCACGCGGAAAAAAGGAGGTCGCGAGGGGCGGAGAGCATGCGGCGGGGAATGACACCACTGACGTACCACCTTGAATCTTGAGGGCGGTTCAGTGCTCAGAACTGAAAGAGACAATGTCAAATCAACAACCAAAGAAGCCTTGGAAATGTTAATTGCAGATGTCAAATGTCAAAATCTACGTCAAAGTCAAGGTTGGGGGATTATACGGAAGCGGAAATGTCTAGCTTGTGGAATGCTGTAGGACAGCCTTTGAACCAACTATAGAACTGGCCTAAATGAAAACAGCAATATAGCTTCAAGATTGTGTTATCGACTAAGACATTCTTATCGGATCTAATGAGAGTTTGAAGGAGTGGTACTGTCACGTACATACCCAGGTCTCTACTTATCCTGGGCATACTAAGCTACCCCAGGGCTTGACTGTCAGGTGTATACGGTTGCTGTGTCCAATGTGAAGGTGAGCAGGGAGCTTATAGACCCACAGAGCCACCTTTTTCATCTAAAGTTACCATAGTAGTGTATATCTGAGCTTGAATGAGGTGTGCGCGTGAATGTAAATGTGGCTGCTGCACTTGGCGGGCGTAGATGCCCACGGCCCACGGGTCATAACTAGAGGCTCATTCATCTGGAGCCAAGGGTTGATTGAAGCGTTTCCCATGGATTTCGCATATTGACTTGTTGACTTGACATATGCGAGGTCGCATGCTACTTATTCTCTGAGATAGACATGGTCAATGAGTTGTCCACTAATGTGTTCAATACACAGCCCTGGAGCCTACAGCATCAACCCAGGACCAGCCTCTATGGATTTGCAGACATTTTCTCAAAGAAGCCAATTTCCTGGCTCAGCCCTGAAATATTCTGCAGACTAGAGGCTCACAATGAAGGTGCTGACTGAATACGAGCATACGGGCGAACAATGCGTCGATCCTCCCGGTTGATCGAGGCAGTGCTTTTTGCCCGGGTTTCACGGGGAAGTGAAGCACGCTTACCCACTAGTGCTGAATATGCTCAAGATCGGCTAGTTTGTCTCTTTTCAGAACAAAGCAGACCAACCAGAGGCCATGCAGACGTTCATGGCGTCAGACAGAGCCGAGCCTTGCTTTGCTGACGGGCGTCGAGTCACTTGATAGGCATAGGAGTTGCGGCTCAACCCCAGGGTCTAATAGGTCCAGTAGATCCAACACGACGGGAATGCACATCATACTTGGCTGTGGCAACTTGTCCTGAAATAATCCATCAACTCCTCACTCTTCTCACCTCCACTCCACTAACGCCATTTCCTCTACCACCACCCCGTTTGATCTGAGACAGATTGGAATATCCGATACTGCTATTTGTCATGACCATGGTCCAGGGTAAGATATATGACTCTAATTTTGAAAGCTTCCCCACCTTGTGATGGCACTAACCCGGGAACTCTAATGACAGGTGCCGAGGCATCAATCATTCGGATCGCGGGGGCGGGGTTTCGACTCTCCTTACTCCTTAACGCGGCAGCATGTCAACTGGCACAGTCAAGAATCGAGATCCACAGCATCGCAAAAGGCATATCACTTTTTGCTCTGACGCTGAAAGATGTGGCACAGAAACTGGACGCGGCAAACCTTGAACTATCTCCCGAAGTGACAGGCAAGGCCTGGGAGATTGCATACCAAGGCCAGGTAATGTTCGTCGAAATCGAACGCATGTTGGAGAAACTACAAGGCACCGATGCCGATGATGAACTGAGAAGACTACCGATGCAAGAACGGCTGAAATGGTGTTTTAGAAAACAACATGTCACATATCTATTGGCGTCCCTCGAATCTCTGAAGCTCAGTCTGATAGTCATCACACGAATCCTGCAACTGGCAAACGCTATTCAATCAAATCCTGAGCTGGCAGGCTTAGACGCTGTCATGGCAGTCGACATGATCGCTCAAGAAAAGGCAGAAACTCAGAACATGATCATTGTTCGATATTGGTCCACAAAACGCTTGGATCGCTTGTGGGATTTGGTGGAACAGGAGGCTATGGATGCCGCTAACGATCCGACGAGCCAAAGGATCAATTTTAATTACTCGTCCAACACAACACCAGCAAAGCTGCCAATCGCGGCGACGACAAACTGTGGCATTACCAAGCTTCCGGTGATAACTTTTGGAGATATCGATATTGGATTGAGTGATGTTGAGCGCTCTCCAAAGGAAATGGTGCATCTCTCGGAGAGGGCGATGAATCAGCTTTTATTGCTCTGGGCTCCACCGATGAGTTTGGAACTGCAAGATGCCAGCATAATATCTCGCGGTGTTGAGCCTAGTCGGCCTCAAGTGTATGTCTCCTCTGATAGCGAGGAAGATATCGAAAATCAATATTCTGAAGGCCCTGGCGTTCGTGGGTATTACTTGGAAGGAAATACCACAGACTGGCGAAAGCCTCAGTCACAGCAAGCCCGATACGAGGCTGCTCGTTTGCGCCACCAGTACTCCGACTATCAGGCTCATGTGGAAAGCGAAGCCGAGACCCAAGAAGGTCTACATCGGCAGGACTCCACTAGAAAGTCGCGGTCAGCGCCGCCAAGCGAAGAAGGCGAGCAGATACCTCTGCCACGCTCGTCACCAGGGTCTGGCAACATGAACATCGGACGCAGTCATTCTAACGGTTTTTCATCTGGATATGTACCCCGCCCATATCATAATCCAGATCCCAAGCATGTGGCCTTTACAAGTGGAAGCTTTCCACCGCCGGATCAAACTACTCCTCGTTCTCGGGCATCGTCGTACCTTCAACTAGCTCCACCACACATCCCAGGAAACTCTCCACAAATACAACGAAGCCCGTCTAACCAAGAATATTATGGGAGCGCCCCAAGATCTATTCCGGTAAATCCGAGCCGCACAAACCCACCTACTTCTATGCCTGGTCATTCACCCCGAGGTACTCCTCCAAGCCCGTCCGAGCCCCCGTGGCCGAGGTCACAGGGATACAATAACGGTATATCCAAGCCTCGGCATCCCTACCCACTTTCATCATCCTCCCCTGAGGCTGGCTTCCAAGCGCCTCCTCGTTCAAACCAGCGGTCTCCGAATCACTCCCGTCGATCCTCTCGGGAGGAGACTAAGGACCGCAACAAGGATCTGAAGCGCAGCGCGACTAAGGGATTGGTAGGAATCGGTGCCATTGCCGGGTTTATGGATGCATTGGAAGCGTTCCAGATTCTTTAAGCTATCTTGAATTTTATAACCTCCTACAGATAGTGCCATGTCGCTTTTGATTGGACGGCTCATATTATGGATCCCCTGTGGTTCATGGATTTCGGAAATCGGGAAGCTAGCGTTCTCTTCCCAACTTCCACGTTTATGTATTAGGTATCTCAGCATAGTACGTACTGTACAGTTATTAGTCGATCTGTTTATTTATTCTAGGGATTTCATAAGGCATGAACAATTCTTTCATATTCTGTGTGAAGCAAAAGGGTATTTGGGGCTGAGTCTCGAAACTAGAAATAGGCTTGGCTTCTCAAAGGAGAAATCAAATCCGAGTACGTCGGTGTTTACGGATAGCGTACTTCCCATAGATATCAAGAACCTTACCACGGAAAAAAAAGAAATAAATAATCTGAATAATATATTTTTTTGCAGTTGGTGCTTTTAGCCTATTCTCTTTCGGTTCCATTTAACCATCGGACTGGATGTTCGGTCCGATCTATCGTTGTCAGACCGGAACTTCCGTTCTCACCGAGACTCCGACTTTTAAGGGTCTTGTACTCCATCCGTGTTACCCTTTGGGACTGACATGCTGGGTTGTGGGCTGGCTATGGGGTGAATGGCTGAGTTTTCATTAGAAATACTGGGTCTACAACCGTGCATTTGTTCTTATAACCAGTGGTTTCCCTGTGGGGGCTTGGTTTCTCTTCTCTCTCTATTTTTCTATCCTGGCACCGACCAGCATATGCATCTTTACTACTAATATGTATCGTCTACTTGACGTTTCTTAAGGTATTCACCTGGGCATCTGCCATTCTATCTTGAGTTCCGCAGGGTATCTGCCTCCAAGATCGGTGTTCTTCTCAGGGTCAAATTAATGTAAGTGTGATTTATATTGACAATTATTCTTTGTCTCGCCACCATCTATTTCCATCTCCGATTACCCCACAATTGATACATGTTTGTACATGGGTTGCTGACTGTTTTCAAGAAACAATACGTCTAGGTATCTACACTCGAGGAAATGCAGACCACTCCAACCAAATCAAAATTCAGGGAGAGGTGGCATACCAAAGATACTTCCATCAGGAAGCCACCCATCTAGCTCCATACCTGCCCCAGGAATTTGTTGAGATGCGAGTCTCTGTGGATCAAATGAAAATTGAGGCGGAAGTGATGCTGCCTGCTGGGGATATCCACCTAGGGGAGGCTGGAAAAATGTGTTTTGATGACTCACGTCCATAGGCCACATTCCCGCACTGCTCATAGCGACATATCCATTCTCGATACCCGGTGCCATGTGCGATACACCCGGCGCCATGGGAAAAGCAGAGTCCGTGTGTACAGCCGGATCATGTGAAGCCATCTGTGCTGCAGTCGTCCTTTCAGTGGGATTTGTTGAGTCACCCACCACCCTGGTTCTATCTGGGGAAGAGCCTGAGTATCGTTTCTCTAAACGTTCATACCAGTCCCTGCTCTTGACTGCTATCACGTGGTACCACCGAGTGGGAATCTTATATTTACCACCGCCGCTCGCCTCGCCGAGTTTATTGGACATCGCATCGAGGTAATAGCTAACATTCACGGTTTCAGGTGTGATGACTTCGCCCAGGGCACTAGTTCGCACCGAGAAATGGATCTTCAATAACGAGGTCATTGCCATTGTGAAACGCGTGTACATCAGGTTTGGGAACCGGCGCATCGTTTCTGCACTGCATGTCAAGAGGGCATCTAGGAGCTCGTGTGCTGCGTTCATCCATTTCACAGTGATATCGATACGGGTGACGCTCATCGGGGTAACTCTTTGTGAGTTGCCATCTTCTTCTAAATTTGGGAGCGTGAAATCTCGTCGCTTAACGGCGTCAGGATCTCGGTAGCCTGCACCTACGCTGAGTTCGTACATTGCGAGGATGGTGGATCGATATTCAAGGATCATGGGCACTGTGAACACTGAAGTTGAGCGAGACCTCTCAAATGAAGCCTGGAATGAAAGATTTATCATCTTACCTGTGAGCATCTTATTGGGGGTGTTCTTTCTCCATACTTCCATTTGCTTATCGAACCACCGCAGCACGGCTTGCACACGGGATTCAGTCAATGTGGACAAGGAGCTGGTGTCGTCAAGACCAAATGAGGACAGGGATTCATCAGTGATCCGTTGGAGTTCAAACCACACAGCCAGACGTTGATCTGTCTGGTGAGGTGAATTTTTCAACATGAATACGCACTCCTCCATCCAATTGTTGAACTGAAGCAAATTTGGGCGACGAGTCTTCATCCCAACACTGCTTTCAAAGTCAGATATGTAAGTGATGCTTTGAGCTTCGAGTCACTCACGTCGAAGATAGATGGTAGCATCCAAGGATAGCTCTAGCCTGTTCCGCCATAAGCTCATCGTGAGGCCCCGATTTTTTGCGATCGGGTTTTTTCTGCGTGACACGCCGCTTCGTCGCAAGTCCGATCTCCAATGCCATCGTTGAGGCAATGTGCGCGTACTGGTAAAACTGCAGCTTCAAAGGCGAGCCAGGCGGGAAGTAAAAGATCATCATCAGCAAGAGCGCCTGCACTAGCTCTAGCGATTTTTCGCCCTCGATAAAGAACCGGTCTGCATACAGGCGGACCAGCTCACGGTTGAGAACGCTTGCTAGATCTGTATCGATGGAGATTGCCGCTGCAGAAATTACAGAAAGGAAGAGTACTGGCGCTGCTTGTCGCAGCTGTGCTGCGGTAGTAGTTGGTGGAAGTATGACCAGTGGGAAAATTGTTGACAGTTCATGAATGAAGAAGGCGACCAATTGCTCTGCGTCTTCATGAGAAATGATGCCACGATCGACAACATCGTCATCGCGGGGTCTGCTGGGCACAGAGAGAAAATTGGCATGCAACCCAGACAGAGTCAGTGGCGCCGAGAGCGATCCACTTCCATGCATCCCAGGGTGTGGTGTGTCGATGAATTCGGCAGAGTAGTCCATGAACCGGGCAGACTCAGAGGTCCCCCCGGCGGACTCCGGGATGGAGCCCAGGGCACAGTGATAATCCATATCGCCAGACTCGTTATCCTGAGAATTATCGCTGGCATCAGAAGATTCGGGCTCGCTTTCTTCGCGAATCTTATCTTTGATCAAAGTGCGCATCACGCGCATCTCTTTCTCCAATTGAGCGACCCGGGAGTCAGTCCGTTTACGAGGCCGCCGCCTTTGCGGTGCTACAAAGGTACAAACCTTGTTGCCTTTGGCACATCGTTGGCATTGGTTTGGTGTGGTTGGATTGGGAAGACAGCGAACTTTGAGATTTCTGCAAGATTCACAGGATCGGTTGAGCGGCTGCTGCGGTGCAGATTGGGCTGGACTTGTTTCACCATGAGGAGTGGTGGAGTATTCGGACATTTTGACACAGTAGGGCGTGAAAGGAAAGGGAGAGGGGAAAACAGGAGAGAGAAGAGGAACTAGAGCCGAAGAATTGCAATGCCGAGCAAACAAGGGTAAAGAGTCACGATCCAAACTGATTTATTCGGCCGCAGAATTTCGACCCATCCTAACGAACACAGGTAATGAATTTGTCGAAGAGGGCATATGTACACCATCTGCCACGTCAGTAAAAAGAAAATGACACACTTTGAACCGGCGATCGACGGTAATCTTCACAAGGGATCATAGATGTCGCAGATCTCAGCGGCCCGGCCTCTTCTGCGCAGAAGACGAGAATAATAACGAGAGCCGAGCAGATTCCAGTCGGTCTTGGCTACAAGCATGTGCACAATTGCATCCGATGGCCAAAGCTTAAACCGGAAAATGTTAGGTAAGTTGACAATATGTGTGGTGAGGAACAGCTGCTCTGTGTCCACTTTGATGCGATCCACTTGAACTGTCACCCTTTGGGCTCTGAGAGGCTCTGTATGGGGTAGCGAGGTGTGGCAATGTCTCAGCTCAAAATGCCAGGGTCCAACGGGCCGTTGCTAGATTAGGGAGGAACAGGCACCAGCCGACATTACTATGAATCCGAGATGGAGTTGCGAATGAGAAGTTGACAGCGGAGAGGAACCCTAAAGACAAACCTGACGAATCAGGCCCATTGATCTCCACACACCCCACTAGACACATTGATGGGATTGGTTAGAAACTCTCCAGAATGACGGCTCCGGCCGATTACCCCATTGAGTCAACGCTCGCTGTTGGCTGCCTTATCAGCAGGGGACTTGGGCATCGGGATATCCGACCTAGAATGACATGAGACTTCGGGATATTCACTATTGACCGTTGTATACCGAACATTGAAAGGTTAACATTGTATAGATCTGAACTGGGGATAAGCTCGGCATATTCGGAATTCACCGTGAGGATAGCTGAAATTCCAGTATATAAATCTGGTACACAAACTGATAATTTTTCGATTTAAATTCTTGCCATCAGCCTAATTCTCTATACTACAGGGATATAATGAGTGTGACGCACTTGATAGACAAAATCAATGCCATGGCCGAGACGCTCCCAAGTCTGGAAGAGTCAGAACGTCGCCAACTGTTACAAGCATGTGACAAACTCAAGAATAAATTTGAGTCCCCCTTTGAATTGGCTTCTCGTCTTGTGTTCTCGGTATGCCGTGTGCGCTTCTATATGCTTGGGGGCTTACCAAGATCTGACGGTGCAGATAGGGCCATCAAGCAATAGCCCTGAGATTAGGAATTGACCTCAAATTGTTCGACGTGATAGCCGCCCAAGCCGGACAATGCGATGCATCAGTCAATGTTTCTAAGCTCGCGGAGGAGACAGGTGCAGAGCCACTGCTCATTGGTAAGTTTCTGGCACTCCAAATAATACCCACCAGGTCAAATTGACAATTGTAGTGCGCATAATGCGATTCCTGGCTGCCATGTCCGTGGTCAAGGAAGTATGTCCTGGATCATACATTTCAACACCGTTAGCTGCTGCGCTAGTATCAAGTTCCCCTTTGTCGGCTGCCATGATCCACGGGTGAGTATACTTCCTAGATTGTGATTCTGCTTCAACATTTTTAACATAGAAACATAGCACACATTTCATGACTGTGTTGTCAAGATTGCCTGAATACTTTCGTACCCAAAGATGGGAAAGCCCCAATGATGCCTTCAATGGGCCATTCCAGTTCGCCATCGATTCGCCCCACTACTTCGAATTTTTGAACTCCAGCCCATACTACCAGCAAGCATTCAACACCACCATGACCATGTCCTTTCGCCGTCGTGGTAAAGATTGGTTCGACATTTTTCCGGTTGCCGATCGATTGCGCGTACCAGGAGACGCTGATCCGCTACTGGTAGACATTGGTGGTGGCCAAGGGGAGGATCTCAAGAAATTCAAAGCCCGATTTCCGACCCTGCCAGGAAAGCTCTTTCTACAAGACCTACCGGCAGTGGTGCAAGGAGCCCAAGACCTGCCTGCAGGAATCGAGGTACAAAACCATGATTTTTTCCTGGAACAACCAGTGAAAAATGCCAAGGTCTATTTTATGCGGACCGTTCTGCATGACTGGCCTGATAAACAGGCAGGCCAGATTTTGAGCCGTGCGCGCGATGCGATGGATCTTGATTCTATCTTGCTGATCAGCGAAACCATGCTACCCGAGTCCGGTGCGCTCCTATCATCTGTTATATCCGATATGCAGATGATGGGCTCGTTTGCGTCGATGGAGCGGACAGAAGCACAGTGGCGGGCGCTACTTGAACAGAATGGGCTGGAACTGGTTCACACCTGGTTACCGAATGAATGTGATGGAAGTGCCGAGTCTTTAGCAGAGCAGCCGGCTCTTTTTGAGGCTCGAAAGGGGTAAAAGAACAAAAAAACCATGTATGAGTTAAGTAGAACGTCGCGACGATAATGCACTATGGCGGTGTATAGATCATGTCTGGCGTCGAAAAGTCTTGGCGGACGGGAACTAAGACAGCTTGCGCGGTCTGAGTCTAAAATGTTGGAATTAGGAGGCCGCGTATGCACTCTATAACTTGGGTCAGACTAGACGAAATTGCATTTCTCTATACGGATTGTACCAAGACTACATAGTCTACTTGATACAAGCAAACCAGACCAACAGTCAATACGATGTACTCCATCTTAAAATAAAGAACGCCATCACCAACTATAAATAATAACTCTCCTTATGCCAAGACAGCCTCGTACTCCGTACGCGTTGCCGGAATCGGTCGAGAGTAACAAGCCTCTCCGATGTGGGTCCAGGTGATGTGGCGGACCACGCAGACTCTGCTTTCTCTACCACGGAAACGCCGGCTCTACAGCCACCATTGGCGATAGCGAATACGAATCCTGTTGGGAGTCGTCGTCATCTCAGGAACCGTGACCATTAGTTCAAGCCGATTCTGATTCTGATCAAATAGATTGTAGAGGTACCAATTCCTCTGCAAGTAACATGGCAATCATCGTCTTAAGATCCGAAACGAACGGTTTAAAAACATAAACGAGCGGGCCATCTCCGAAATCCCGAGCCAATCCAAGCTCGTACATCTGATACGTAGGGACGGAAAAGTCGGTCGATCGATTAATCAATCTCCACTCCCCACGCTGGAATTGGCAACTGGCCACACGAGATTACGATAGGCCGGCTTTCTCTGTTCTTTAATCCACTCCGCCCTTGGCTCGTTGACTCCACGTCTTTCTCCTGACCTTCTCTTTCTTCTCTGTACATATTCGTTCGTTGTGGTGTATATACCCTCCTCCGACATCCTTGGCCTTATTGTCACGCCCCCCTTTTTGTTGCGCGCCGGACTCCCGCACAACCCGCCGAACGCCGAAGCCCTCTTGTACCACGTCGGGTGCTGTTGTATATATCGGGGCATGAAGTGGGAGGCTGCGGGGAACTTTTAATACATTGATATCCGAGTGATGCGGTTCCCTGTCCCGAGTCTACTGGGCCTCTTTGGAGTACTGTCAGCCACTGCAGTCTCCTTAGTCCATGGAGAAGGAGAAGGAGAAGATCAAGGCCTGGAAACCCAGGACCAGCCGCCTCATTTCTTGAGCGTGCGGCCAAGTCTTGCCAAGCTCTATGACAGCGAATTGAACATCCCGACGAAGAAATATTTCAGTAAGTCCAATTCCATGCAATCGCAATGATTTTCCCTGAGCATTGGGTCCAATCTTGGAATTTTGACTGACTCGCTATGATTTTAGCGGAATCAAGGTATGCTTTGACATGAAAAGTGGAGAGTGGAAAGATAGATCGAATGCATACTAACTTTGCTTTTTGGTATTAGCTTCCACCATCACTATGATGGCCGGTATGTATCTGCAACACCTTTTATCTTCTCTCCTTGCATGCGCTGACGTCGAGTCCAGATTTGCAAACTCAACCTTACCCGCAGACAAAGTCACCCCATATTTATCAAACCTGATTCAGACTTACCTAAACACTATGAACTCAATTGGCGCTGAGACATGGATTATGCATGGATCCCTCCTCTCATGGTGGTGGAACCAGAAGGTATGCAAAGGGTGGCATGTGGGGTCTACCTGCATATGCTAATGATCTGCAGATCTTCCCCTGGGACAACGATTTAGATGTTCAGGTTTCGGAACCGACAATCCACTTCCTGGCTGACTATTATAACTTTACCGATCACCATTTCGACATCCCTGGCGTTGAGGGCGGCCGCACCTACCTTCTCGAAATAAACCCCAACTATCTCGTCAAGAGCACCAAGGACAAATTGAACGTGATTGACGGGCGATGGATTGATAAAACATCTGGACTTTTTATCGATATCACAGCCGTTCGCCCGGATGACGAAAAGCGAAAGCGTGGCTATCCCGAGGCGCTTATGTGTAAGGATAGACACCACTATGATGAAAGCGACATATTCCCTCTCCGAGACAGCTATTACGAGGATGTCGCCGTCAAGATTCCCTACGCTTATGCCGCACTGCTCGCCGAGGAATATGGAGCCACGTCGATGACCAAGACCGACTTCCAAGGACATCATTTCAGCGACGAAAGCAAGCTTTGGGAAAAGTACACACTTAAGGTGAAGCGTTTTCTTCGACGAGGCTGGCGCGGTATTGATTTACCCAAGCGGTCTGGTACCGACTCTCTTATCCGCATGGATGATGTTTGAAATGCTTTTTCTGCATATTTCTTTTTGATCTCCGTGATATTCATGGAAACCCGATTTTACATTTTTGCATTTTCCTGGCGTTGAATATCCGTTTGGACTTGAACATAATCTGTTTGGCATTGTACTGATATCGATTTGCATGTACATATTATTCTGATGAGCATCGGTGTTTCCAAACTTCATGGATGAGCTTCTACTGCGACGAGCTTTTATATTTATGAATCAATAGCACGTTACTGAACCTTTTTGACCTTGTCCAACCTTATGCGTTAGCCCTAAAACTTCACCAATCACGGAAGTTTCTATAAAAAGTGCCAGGCTGTCGGGGTTAACGCGCATTTCCCAAATAGGGCAATGAAAGCCCATACCCCGGGCTGACTCACCCCCAGTCACATGGTGGGCCCCTCAAGTGTTTGCGCTTACTCAAGACTTCGGCGCTATTGGAAATTCTTCTTATCTGATGGAGGAATTTGGCAGGCGAGCTCTGACTCTCCTGCATCATGTCATTCCACTCGACTTCTGAAGGAGGTAACCACTCCTCCAGCGATAATTCTCCGAATGGGGTACCACCTGCAGTCCCCGCCACCGCCCCGCGCCCGTCAATCGATTCCGCGAGCTCACGAAGCTGTGTAACCTGCCGCCGTCGCAAGGTTCGCTGTAACAAGCGATCGCCCTGCTCCAATTGTGTCAAGACAAATGTCGAATGTGTCTTCCCTCCACCAGGTCGCGCCCCACGCAAATCCAAGCGCCCGCCCGATGCGGAGCTTCTTTCTCGCCTCCGACGTCTGGAGGGTGTTATCCAGCATTTGAGTGATAAAACTGGCGAGGCAGGCTCAGTTTCGAGTCTATCACCGATACAGACAGCTTCTTCTACTCTTCCGTCTGCTGCCCCTACCAACACGACCGCCAATACGTCACCACCTGCATCTATAAATCCTAAAACCTCCGTCGATTTCAAAGCTCAGAACGGTGTTTGTCCGTTTGAGGATAATGACCCCAAGAAGCTTGCTCCAGGCAAATTTGAGAATGAGTTTGGAAGACTGGTCATTGAAGAGGGTCGGAGCCGATATGTGAGCAATCGACTGTGGGCCAGCCTTGGAGATGAGGTATTTTTTTCTTCTCTACTCCCTATCTTTCGAAGCTTGGACAACCTGCTAACGACCTCAGGTCGAGGAACTTCAAGATATTCTCGATCATTCCTCGTCCGAAGAGGAGGATTTTCCATCCCCTGATACCTCCCATTCGGGTTCTCAGGATGGCTTTCTCTTTGGTTACCATTCCCTAGCACACTCCCTGCGAGAGTATCATCCACCGCTACCCAAGGTCTCAAAGTTTTGGGAAATTTACAATGAGAACGTTGCTCCCTTAATCACCATTCTTCATAAACCGACCGTCAGAGGCCTCTTGATTGAAGCGGCGCAGCACCCCGAAGCCTTGGATAAGAACTCGGAGGCCCTGGTATTTTCCATATATCTATCCGCCATTGTTAGTTCAAAGCCTGAGGATTGTCTGGCAAAACTCGGAGAAGATCGAAAATCAGCCGTCAAACGGTATCGATTCGCTGTTGAACAAGCCTTGGCGAGGGCTGGCTTCCTCAACACGCAGAGTTTGGTACTTTTGCAGGCAGCAATTCTGTTTCTGATATGTATACGCCGAGAAGATGACTCCAAGTTTGTTTGGTCCATGGATGCTATCGTTCTTCGATTGGCTCAGGGGTTGGGTCTCCACCGAGATGGTACCAACTTCGCATTGAAGCCGTTTGAGACCGAAATGCGTCGTCGCCTGTGGTGGCATATCTGCCTTATGGATATTCGGTCCTCTGAAGATCATGGGACCGATCCGCTCATTCATGAGAGTATGTATGACACTCGGCTACCGTTGAACATCAACGATGATGATCTCTACCCCGAAATGACAGAGACACCTACGGAGCGAGAGTGTTGCACTGATATGACTTTTCTTCTCATTCGTTGTGAAATCACAAGTGCTTTGCGACGAGCAAACTATACTTGCCCCGGCAGTCGATTTCGTATGGGTGACCCCGGTCCATCTACGGAGCGTTGCGAACGGATGATCCAGATAATCAACAATCGGGTTGAGGAAAGGTACATCAAGCACTGTGACATGAACATCCCTCTTCATTGGGCAGCTGCAACTGTCGCACGACTTATTTTGGCCAAGTTGTGGCTGATTGTCCACCATCCCATGACCCGGAAAGATCGCTCTACCAACGTATCCCAAACAACTCGTGAGAGCTTGTTCCTGACTGCCATCGAGGTCCTCGAGTTCGGGCGTCTTCTCGAAACTGACCCCAAAACAGCCAAGTGGGGGTGGCTATTCCGAACCAACATGCAATGGCATGGAGTCGCATTCGTTCTATCAGAAGTATGCGTCCGACCCATTTGTCCTGTCACAGACCGGGCCTGGAATGCCATTCACGCTCTTTACTCTGATTGGACCATATATGGTTCACATAAAAAAGGTATGCTTTGGCGCCCATTGGATGCTTTGATGAAACGCGCCGCCGCTACTCGAGCCAAAAAGCAAGAAGAGCTGCGAGAAAAATTTGGACCAAATCCTCAGCCATCATTTAACACGACTCCTGATTTTGCAACTACACACCATCACACCCTCCCGCAAATTCACATGCCTCTGGACTCACCATCCATTTCCCCTGGTGCCTCAAGACAGCTCTCGATGGCTAATGATACTGGGAGCATCGATCTCAGCAATGGGCCATGGGGTGCATTGCGGAGCATCTTCCCTGATACCAATATCTTAGCTCCGGCCACTGCCGATAATCCACCAATGGCAGATCCTGTTACTGCAAACATCCTGCCTACAGGATTGTCATTCAATTCTCCCATGGGCATGAGCAACGAATTCATGACCCAAGACAATATCACCGAACCAGCTCCCTTGAATTGGGAAGAATGGGACAGTGTCATGCGAGAATTCCAGATGGATGTCGAAAATGACACCACGACCGCAGGAAACGTTTCCAGTGTCACCGGATGGTTTGCATAGTTCAAGTCAATTTGGACTTTCTTTTCTCTTTGGCCCTGGGCGTGTTTTTCTTGACACATTGTGCTTCTGTTTATCATACCCTCGGCGTATTTATGACGATTTGATGACCACTGTCACTTATGGCTTATAGTTGAGCTACCATTGATTCCCTCCACTCAAATGTATGATACCACTCTTCTCTCCTACTAATGGTCCATGACCGATCAACAGATAATTACAAGTTACACAACTCGGTTATGATCTTTCAGCTACCCAAAATTAGAAATACCATTCACAACACTTTCAGTTTAGGAACAAATATAGTTGCTAAAGACTACCAAGTAACGCGACTGCTAGACGCCGAGGTCAGTGGATATACGCTGCTGCGACCACGCACATCAACGGAAACCATTGAAATGCGCCTGATTCACACTTATGTCACACTATTACGTTTTAATTTTTCGTTTTCGACGAATACCAACCTCAAAACATAGTAATTCTCTTAGTATACAAGAGTCGACTGTTCAAATGTCAGATAAACTCCTTGGTGGGCCTATCTCACACGTGACCCTCGATAACGAAGCTCCAAGCTGGCATCATTGATATCCGGTTGATCTCCCATCCCCCACGCCATTGTTTCTCCTAGAAATCTCAATTTCCCGGGAAACGAAGCTGCACTTTGTGTTTCAAAACCGGAGTATTTCTAAACGTCAAAATCAATACTAAACCTCATTCACCCTTCAATTCCACAACGATGCCTGCCAAACGACACGCGGCCTCAACGGCCTCCGCACCGGTACCTTCTACAACCTCAACTCTTTCTTCTGGCCCTGCGACCCTGAAAACCAATTCCTCGGTCCTCGATATTGCCAGCCATGTCTGGCAGCAGTACCTCGCCAATACTGCGCAGCGCACATTGCTCCTCGACGCCTTCATGGCCTTCCTAGTTCTAGTCGGCGGACTGCAGTTCGTATACTGCGTCCTGGCAGGAAACTACGTATGTCGCCCCTACAAAAAACAAATATTCAGCCCATCCATTTCAAGCCCATATGCCACTCAAACCTTCTCCCCACGCATTATAGACCCCAGGACAACATTTCATTCAAGGTTCCATACTAACTTATATCTAGCCCTTCAACGCCTTCCTGAGTGGTTTCAGCGCCGCAGTAGGCCAATTCGTCCTCACAGCCTCCCTCCGCATGCAGACTAGTGGCTCCGGCTCGGCGTCATCGAAGCCTAGTTCGAAGGGGAAGAATGCTCGTTTCGCGGATGAGGATACCGAGGAGGATAGTGGTATTTCGCACGAGCGCGCGTTTGCGGATTATATCTTTGGATCGCTCATTCTACACTTCTTCTGCATCAACTTCATCAACTGAGCGAGCAACTTGCTGGTTATTATGGAAGATGCTTTGGGCTGGGCTGCTCCTTGATGGAGATTAGCCGGCTGGATAAAACTATGAACCGTGACAGATGTTCTTTGTTTTCTTGTGAGGGCTCGTTGTGAGTTTCTTTGAAAACGAATTTTTGTCATCTTGTTATGTCGGTTGACTTGAACTTTGGTTGAAATTGCATGTTTCTTTGTATAAAATATCAATGCAGCGAGTTATGTTTAAGATCTTGAGCATTTCGTAGTGTTTACTTCTGTGGCGTAGAGGTAGGTATCTGGGTATCTTGTTGGGTTGATATGGATGCGGGCATTTGCATAGCTTTAGAATGCTTTTGATATTGTACAATGTTTAGGTTGCCAATGCTAATGTTCAGTGGAAGACTAGAACGTCCGACCTGGTCTTCTGGGAATTTGAGGCTTTTTCACAACACTGCCCCCAGAACCTCCACCATTGGCGCCAGGCCGAGACGATGATGAGGATGAGGAAACGAGACCTCCGGCCTTTCCAGGTTTCTTAACGACTGGGCGTCGCACGGCGGTTTTTCCACCGGCTTCGATCTCCCCTCTGCGTCGAGTGGGATCATTACGTTCCTCTTCACGCTTCTTCTGAGCAGCGGCGCGCTCACGATCCTTCGCCATCTGTTCTTCGATTTCCATTCGCTTGTTGAATTCCAGCTCAGTGACCCGTCGGTCACGCTGAGAGTAACCCTTCTCCTTGACGGAGTAAAAGACACCACCGAGTTCAGCGAGCCACTAGATTCAAAAGAGTCAACTGATGTCCCAAAACCGAGCAGGAGAAGTGCGGAATACAACTTACATGTGGGTCCACAGCTGTTACAGTGGACATGTACTCCTTGGCGGTCAAGATCAACTCGTGGTAGACGACGTACTCTGGAACATAACCAAGACCGTACAGAGCACTCGTCGGGTGCAACGCCATGGTCACGCTGGTACGGAGGTTAATGAACTCTCCGATACCCTTCACGCGCGCGGCTTGGTGGTAGAAGCCTGAACAGATACATTTTCGGATGACATCCCAGTCTGTCCCACAGCTGACAAGAGTCATCTTTTGCTGTATCATGATATCGTATAATTGGTCGCGGACTTCCTTTGCACGTCGGAGCGTTTTCCCGTGGAGAAAGTGTCTGACACACCATCCATCAGAAAAGCCGTTCGACTTCCACTGTGTGTAGACATGAAGCAGGGTAAGATGGTCTGACTCTGGAACAAAGAACTTCTCACGGGCAGAGTCGGACTCCTCCTGTCGCTCCTTTGGACGATAGAAGACATTTGGGACCGAAAGCATAGAGACAATGGTCAGCATCTCCTCACTACAGCCGTATTCTTCCGAGGACATGATGAGAAGCTTGGCAAGAGGAGGGTCCATAGGGAACGGCGTCATACGACGACCTAAATGGGTCAAATCGCCCAGGTTATCTAGGGCCCCGAGGGACCAAAGCTCGAAAAGAGATGTGGAAATTGTTTCTTGTGGCGGAGGGTCCATGAAGTCAAAATCTAGAAGATCCTTGACTCCTAGCGACTTCAACAACAGCACAGTGTTGGAAAGGCTTGTGCGTTGGATCTCAGGAATTGTCGCAATGTACAGCTCGTTCTTGTATGCGGTTTCAGTGTACAAGCGGTACGCTTTTCCTGGGCCTGTTCGCCCAGCTCGTCCAGATCGCTGGTTTGCATTGGCTTGGGAGATTGGTGTAATCTGTAGGGTGTCCATACCCATACGTGGATTATACACCTTGAGCTTCGAGTATCCCGAATCCACTACAAACATGATACCATCGACTGTCAAACTAGTCTCCGCAATGTTTGTGGCCACAATCACCTTGCGAACTCCCGCCTCCGCCCTCTCGAAGATTCTTGCCTGTTGCTCTGCTGGCATCTGACTGTATATAGGCAGGATACTGAGCGGCGGGGGATCATTCAGTAGCTTTAACCGCTCCTCGACCAGTTCACACGTTGCTTCAATATCCTCTTGACCTGTCATGAAAACCAGGATATCACCTTGGCCCTGGGAAACGTGGATGGCCAAGACCTGCTTGACTGCACTATCAACGTAATCCTCACAGGGCGTGCGTGAGAAGTGGGTATCGACTGGGAAAGTTCGTCCGGGGATAATAAATTCGGGTGCTCCACCGTAGAAACGCGAAAACCGTTCTGCATTCATGGTAGCGGATGTCACAATCAGCTTGAGGTCTCTGCGCCGAACCAAAACCTTTTTCAAAAGCCCCATCAAGACGTCGGTATTCAACGCACGCTCGTGAGCCTCGTCCATGATAATGCACGAATATTTATCAAGATCCGACTGGGTTAAGGACTCTCGCAAGAGCACACCGTCCGTCATATCTATTTCAATAATGTCAGAAGTTGTGCTTCAAAAACAAAATCATGATCCAAGGAGACTCACATTTAATCATTGTTTGGTCACTGGTGCAGTCCTCAAAGCGAATGGCATATCCAACGAGTCCACCAAGATCAACCTCCATTTCCTCGCTAACACGTTTAGCGACACTCATAGCCGCCACGCGACGAGGCTGCGTGCAACCAATCATGCCAAACTTCGAATAACCGTCCTCGTGAAGGAATTGTGTTAACTGCGTAGTCTTTCCAGATCCAGTTTCACCAACCACAATAACAACCTGGTTATCCCGAATTACTCGCAGGAGATCCTCGCGCACTGCAAATGCGGGGAGGTACTCTCGTTGCTCGCGCAGAGTCTTGCTCTTGCTGAACGAGCTAGCACCCCCCTTCTCTTTCTTCAGATGCTTTGCGAATTTGTTTCCTCCACCCTTGTAGACCTCCTCCACGGGCATGGCAACAGCACTATCGCCCTCGTCTTCCTTGACGCCCATCAGGTTTCCCAAAGCTGTACCGGCCATGTTCGTAGCTTCCTGGGCCTGCTTTTGTCGTTCGCGCTGCTGTCGGCGTTCCCGAACTACCTTACTTCCCTTCCGACTAAACACCGCCATGTCACTCTGCGGGTCTCGAACAGCGGATATAGGTTCCAGCTGCTGGGTGAAAATAGTACGGCCATCGAGGAATGGGGGTCGAAGGTCGTGAACTAGCAGGTGAACTCGAGTTGCCTCTTCATCGTCGGGCATGAAGTCACTCTCCATGTTCCGTCTTTGCGCGATACCCGATGTGAGCATGCGGTTCGTCTCCCAGTCGTCATTTTCCTTGCGCCTGGCATCTCGTATCTGGTGTGGGAGGTGCGAGTCGTTTTTTTGCCTTTTGGCCGGCGGGCCCATATCGTCGCGAGCCATTTCAAGGTGAGGTACCCGATTGCCGGGTCAGATCAGCTTGAAGATGAACTGAGAGGGTGTCGCGAGAGAACGAATTCAATGGTGATGAATCTCGGGGTCGGAATATCAGACAAATGGTGCAAACCGTTATCAGTCACGTGACCTAACATGCAGTTCCAAATCGCGTGATATTTTGGTATTAGGTTGGCGATTTTCTAGAAATTTAGTGGGACTGAATACGATCATTTTGAATAAAGAGACTAAGCCAGGGCCCAGATGCTACTTGGTTGTCGGTTTCGTGGCGTAATTAGAGAGTAGTCACTTTATCTTAGTCTAGCCCTCCAAACATCACAGAGCGGCCCCGCATCGTCATCTCGACTTTTGAGCTCCCTGTGCCGCATTGCTTGAAACTCCCACATCGCCGCCATGTCGAGCCAACAGCAGATTGACCCAAAAAAGCAACAGGGTATGACGCTACCTGACAATCGCCCTGCTCCAACTGCATGCTAATCTATTTCCGCCGTCTCAGAGCTGCAGGCCCAGTACACGAACTTTAAGAACACCCTTCAACAATTAGCACAGAAGATTGGCGATATCGAGCAGGAGGCTGAAGAGCACAAGTCAGTTTTCATGTGACATATCTCATTTTCCAATTCTCCGAGGCTGGAATCACACTGTGCAACAAGGGACAGTGGTCGGCCTCAGAGTGAGGATCGGGTTTGGTCTAATGGATGCTAACTCGACACTTTTTGATCATAGGCTTGTGATTGACACCTTGAAGCCTCTCCCCCAAGAGCGCAAATGCTTTCGCATGGTGAACGGAGTGCTAGTCGAGCGCACAGTTGAAGAGGTTCTCCCAACGCTCCAGACCAACTCGGACGGACTGCAACAGGTTTTGGAGGATATGCTGAAGCAATACAAGTCCAAGCAAACCGAGTTGGACAGCTGGAAGGTGAGTCTATCTGACTTTTCCTCGCCCACATTGCATCATGGCTCTCATAGAGTCATGGCACGGAGGCCCAAATCTATGCATGGTACTGACCTTCTCTCGTTTCAAATTACAGAAAAAGAACAACATTCAGGTCGTGCAGCCTTAAATGGGGTTGTCTCATGTAAGATTTGATTGCCGATCTTCTCTAGGCTGGACCAACCACCCACTTATCTGTGAGGGAGCAAGAGATACTGGCGTTAATGGGAATGACACAAAATTAGAATCTAGCATGGTTTCATTTGATCATGACGGAATGAAAATTAAAACGTGACACAATTTCTACAAAAATAAACCTAACAAGCCTTGTTATGAGCTTAGACTAGCCTGTCGAAGACTAGAACCTTGGTAAGAAATGTACCTAAGCAGCAACGGTCCCCGTGGACTGCGATGGAGAAACTTCAATTGTATTCCCCGAACCATGAAGTCTATTACTCAACTAAGACGCCAGATTATTCGTCCCCATACCACTAGATCCATTCTACAGTATAAGAGGGATACTTGCTTGTAGACCTGGAATTACCTGCGCTTCGTCATACAAGAGTCAAGGGTATTGAAATATTCCTAGTTATGCTGTATCTATTATCTATCAGAGACTCAGCGCTTTGCAGCAAAGGCCATACAACTCCACGTACAGTAAGAATATGTTCTTTAATATTCTCTCAGCATTGGACCTATTCTGGATGCCAGAGAATTTACCTTATGATATAAGATGAGGAACCCAAATTGATGGCTTCTCATCTGATGAGCAGACATATTGGAACTCTGGAAACCCGCACGCTCATTCTCTAGCGATTTGCGAAAATAGCTCAACGGTACAAAACCTGAGTATCGACCGAGCCAGTTGGCTATAATGATCGGTGGGTTATGGGGGAGCTGAAGTGGAAAAGAAATGTTATCGAGTATGGCCTAAACCCCGATGTATCTATCCTGCATGCATAGATCCTTGTGCCTTTTCTGGCATCAACGGTACCTCCAAGGTTCTGTAACATTCCATGGATTCTTGGTCCAGACACAACTGAGGTATATATATAGAGTTTCAAAATCTCATTACTTCTGCAGGGCCAATGCAAGCCTGAGTGCCTGAAGACTGAGTCAAATTCTCGGGTCTTCGCGTTGGGCCCGAAGAAACGTAGCCCATGCAAGAGAGTCAATCATGCCGTCATGCCGTCATGCCAGGTCATAGTATGGCAGTGTTTGAATAGTAGAATGGCAGATTTCAGAATCTATCTTGAATCTATCTATATCTTAGGTGATAATTTATGGTCTTTTAGATGCCCTGAGATATAGGGAATGTATGAAAATTACAATGTATTACAGTAATGTATCTCCATTTGGGCCAATGTTGGTGATATAAACATGTAAATAACAGTAAATACAACCCTCCCGCGATCGGACGAGATTGCGACCGGGAGCTCATGGAAGCTCTCCTCTCTTTCTACCCTCCATCACCTCTGGAAGCGATTCTCAACTTATCAATATATCGCAGTGAGGAGCTGGCTCTATCATACCTCTTACCGTGACTTTGGTGGTCGATGATCTGATCTAAAGCTTGCATCTACATTGTAAGTACGGAGTAGCCAACCCGAAGGCGTCCTTCGATCAGGGAGTTCTGGTTCGCCAATTGACCTCAGGCTGGACGGGGACCCTCTTCCATTCGCGCGCTCTGACCTTAAAAACCAAAAACCCCAGACGAATCGGAACAAATCAGAGTTGAAATCCAGTTCGTTGGATCTTCTCTTTACCCGAAAAAGGTAGCTCCCCTTGCCCCCGTCTTAGTCCCCTTGCGCAACGTGCGACCGTCGGACAGTTGGGCTCCTCCCCCAAAATCCGACCCACTCTCGACGCTTCCCGTGTTGCATCCCGCGTCACGATCCAGCTGGCTTTCGCGAAGCGCGCATAATTGTTATTTGTACTGCAGTGACCGGTGCAACGCGATCGCGCTCCGCTGGAAGGCTCGAACCCTTTTCGTCTCCTGATCCTTTCCCTTTTCGGCACACGAGGCTAATCGGGTGTCATTGCGCGCGTCGTCAGTATAGGAAGCCACCGCGCATTATTGCCAAATCCCCCGCTTGGCTGACACTCTTTGCTGTGAAGCGGTTCGTACCCAGCCAATACCCACTCCCCTTCTTCCGATCTTGCGATTCTTGTTGGGCTGTCTGCATCGGAATCGGTCGCGCGCCAGGCACTCGGATCTGACGTGGTTTTGCCAGCAGAGCGACACACCCCCCAGTCTTTGTCGCCCAAACCTAGGACCCACACATTTTCCAAACCACTCATAATCATGTCGTCGGCCTCGCCATCCAAGGAGCCGGAAGTTGACCCCGAGGTTCAATCGGGCGAAGAGCAGGACCAAATGGACAAAGACCAGCACGACCCTTCGATGCAGGGACAAGGCGAGTTCGAAGTGAAAGAACAAGATCGGTGGCTTCCGATTGCAAATGGTTAGTTGCGTCTGCGTGCAGCCTCTTCTGTTGTTCTGATTTGCGCGTACCTTACTGCTGGCCAGTGCCGCCGGTTACTTTTGCTCTTCCCCGCCTTTCACTTTGCCCTTTCACAAACCCACCCGACTTGTCTTTACCTCTCGGGCTTTTGTTTTCTCAATCATGATGCCTTGACTTACTACATCGGATGATACCACTCACTACGGTCATCTATGTTCTTTTGGTCTCAGCTTGTCGCATTTTCTATCCATCTAGACTTGATCTCAACTTCAAGCTGATAATGATTAATTCTGACTTTATATCATTCTAGTTGCCCGTATTATGAAGTTGGCTTTGCCAGAAAATGCCAAGATCGCAAAGGAAGCTAAGGAATGCATGCAAGAGTGTGTGAGCGAGTTTATCTCCTTTATCACTAGCGAAGGTGGGTGTTCTTATTCCATGTGCTCACTTGTTTGACCAGTCATTGATCATTTATACAGCATCTGAGAAATGCCAGCAGGAGAAGCGTAAGACCGTCAACGGCGAGGATATTTTGTTTGCCATGACTTCTCTCGGTTTTGAGAACTACGCGGAAGCCCTTAAGATTTATCTTTCCAAGTATCGCGAGGTATGCTTTGCAGTATCCGCATCCGTTTAATGTGCATTCATTAATTCATATTCTAGACTCAGTCCGCGCGTGGTGAGAACCAGGGCCGACCAACTAGCAGCGGCTATGGCGCTGGCGGTGCCGCCCAGGGTCGCCCAGCCGGATTTCCTGAAGCTGCAGAGGGTGGTAACAACATCCTGAACCCTGGATTGGACCCATCAGAGGACGCTGCTGCGTATGGGTACCCTCCCATGGTGGGCCAGCCTCATAATGGAGCGGGCGGCGACACGTACTAGTGGCATTGATGAATGCCTTCGATCCATGTTGTCCTTATGGGTCCAAGAAACGACAGCGTTGGCGGTGTGCAGGCGTCCTTGAATTCTTCTCCAGGGTCTATTGGTACCCTGCAACTGGTCTCTTACTTGGGGTTACTTTATAAAGAACTTGTAGGGATGTTCCCTCAAAGCTTCGGGTGTCATTGAATCGAATACACTGTGCATGGAAGAAGGGGCTCTGGATCGGATTTTCTCGTATGGGTTTGATTGTTTTTGTCATAGTTTATCTTCTGTTCTGTTCTACCATGACGACATGAAGGATCCTTCCATTGAGGGTTTTTCGCCTGATGCTTTTTTGGAGTTATGCTGGGAATTTATAGGTGGAAATATGAAGTCGGCAACCTTGTACTTATGATGTCTTCTTCCAAGTCCCTTGGGGCCGAACAAACCCTGCGGTTATACTTCTCGCCAATCCCCGATAAGCCCTGCGTGCCATGATTGGCCATTTGCTTGCATATGGGCCCAATCCCACGCTACTGTAGATGTTTGATACACTATGTGTCTGTCAAGGCCCCCCTTATACTTGCCCCCTGGTATATGCTTCTTTGAAGCTTCTCTACCTCGTCTAGGGTTTCTCCAACTTTTTTTTCTATCTGTTACATAATCCGGCCGCCCACACAAAGTTCTCCGCATCCACGTGAGCTCCACCGGACCCGATCCCGCAGTCCTCGCTTTCCCGAACTTTTTCGCTTTCTCTGTCGCATAGATTGTTTCTTACCCTCGGCAATCGTGTTCTCGCCTCATAATGCCCTGAAACCGTCGACGTGGGCTTTTTTTCTCTAGAGAAGAATGCGGAGTTGTGGCCGATCTGCACCTAGGATGATGCCGATGGTCCTTCTACCATGTCCTCCGTCAACGATAACGCCTCTTCACCCGGGAGCGGCGATGGGGTGAGCAAGCGCAAACAGGGTAAGGATCCCAAGACCCCTTGACTAGTCTACGGAGGAACGCACAATATACTTCAATTTGTCTACTACCAACTTTAGAATGCTTTCGACTTCCAGATTGGACCTCGGATAATCAAGTAGATCATGAATTCGCTGACCGGTGACTCAAAATGCTTAGGCTCGGCGGCGTGCGTTCACTGTCACCGGCGCAAAGTCCGTTGTGATGCTCGAGTCGTCGGAACCCCCTGTACCAACTGTCGCACCTCTGGCAAAACCGACTGCCGTATCCACGAGAAGAAAAAACGTCTCGCAGTGCGTTCAATTCTTGATCCCGTTCCGATCCGATCTCGGCCTCTGCCGACATCTGATCATGCCGCCAACTCTATAACTTCAACCGGCACACCGCTGCCGCCAAGCTTTCCAACTGCATTTGGGGGTGGCTCTGCGCTTGCAGGCAATTCCCCGCAGCAAACCTTCTTGTCCAATGCCGCAGAGCCATTTCATCAAGGCCCGGATCTGTCACACGCCCAGGAGGCGCACACGGAGATGGAGCAACATCTTGTGAAATTGATTGATGAAGAAGAGTCCGGTCGAAGAGAAATCCAACGCGGCGTGCGTGCTTTCTACGTCGGCCATGAACATTCCAACATGTCATTCTTGATTCGCCAGCAGCGGGATCAGGACGACGATGTATACCATTTTGCCAGCAATGAAATTCCACGGCGCCAGATGAAGACCGGGCATGACCAGCTTCTCATGGATGCGCTCACTCTCCCTGAGCCAGCTTTGGCGGATGAATTGGTGCAATCGTATTTTACCTACGTCAATCCGGGATACCCAATTGTCGATGAGGATCTTTTCATGACGCAGTACCGAAATCGAGATCCTGCAGATCCTCCTCCAATTTTGTTGCTTCAGGCCATCTTGTTAGTTGGAGCCCATGTCACTCGCGGCAAGGCAGAACGCGATGCACTGAAAGAGATCTTTTTCCGCCGGACCAAATATTTGTTCGACAATCGCATTGAGCGAAACCGAGATATTCTGGTGCAAACAGCGCTGCTGTTGACTTGGCATTCCGATAGCGCCGACGATGATGTCGCCGCAGATGCCCACTTTTGGGTTGGCGTAGCTGCCCGGATCGCCACCGGCCTAGGAATGCATCGCAACCCGGTCTCGAGCCGTTTTGTCACCCGAGACAGGCGAATGTGGAGAAGAGTATGGTTTATCTTGGTCCAGTTCGATGTGATGGTATCTCTTTCATATGGTCGACCACAAGCTATGTAAGTCATTCGAATTTGACATTGACTGAAGGTGATACTGATATACTTCTCAAGAAACCTGGATGACTCTGATGTCTCACCCCTGACGCCTGCTGACTTTGAAAACTGTGGACCTCGTGTACAAGCCGAATTTGTCATTCACTTCACAGCGCTGTGCACTATGATTTCGTACCTCATACGGGATCGGTTCGGCCTTCGAGCTAGTGATGAGCGACGCAAAGCCGTTTTACAAGAGGCCGATGAATCTCTAGCGAATTGGTCGTTGAAGCTGCCTGACAATCTGCGTCTTCGAGCGTCGGATATGGACCCCTGGTCAGCCATGTTGCACCTCACCTATAACAACTTCCTCATTTTACTTCATCGGCCACATCCAAGAGCATCGGCGTATTCCGACGACTACGGTCCTCACGACGCAGAAATCTGTAGCGCCGCTGCTGGAGTTATTGCTTCCATCTTTGAGGAGCTCCGGCTTAATGATCGCTTGAAATTCTTATGGTACACTGGTGTCCATACCCTGTTCACGGCCATGATTCAAGTCCGTGTGGAACTTCGGTTCTCTAATCCAGTTCTTGCCATTAATGCATTGCGCCGTTTCGATTCCGCATCTTATTCGTTGCGAGAATTGGCCCAGTATTGGGTTCACGCAGGCACTATTTTGCGGCTCTTTGAAGATTCTAAGCGTCTTCAAGAGGATTTGCGCCTAGCAACTACCGACCGATCCAAGTCATATAACGCTGTTCCGCCTGTGAATAAAATGCCCATCACGGTATCCGAGGCTGCCGCAGCCATGCAAGCCGTGCATACTCCACGGCCCCTCTCCTTTGGCGTACCGACTCCAGAGTCCTCGCACACTCCAATGCAAGGCACACTGTCACCGCAGCCCGCCCCGCAGTTCGACAATTGGATTACCGCTCCTCTTCGACTCAATGTTGGTCCTATGGACAGAAATGATCCCTACGCAGCCAACATGCAGGTAGACCAAATGGATCAAACTCGTGATTATCCAGACTGGAGACAACTATTCTCATTTACCGATTCTGACCTCGCGGTGCCCATGGCTGGTGAGGGACTCCTCGAATTGGAAGACGAATGGCGGCAGATCTACTGGCAGGATACACCAATGGCAGATCTCATCCAAGATGGTAGTTGGCTTCCTGGGTAGCCTCTTACTCTCCGCAGCAGTGCCTGCAATTTTAAAGGATTCTGCGAGCACACAACTTACACCGCCCTTCCTCCACGAACTGCCTATTGAGCACGCTCACACTCCCTTTTACCTCCTCCCTCTTTTCTCCCTATCACCACGAACCCGTGACCTGACGACGAGATGAGATACGCAAGGCACGGATGACCGCAAGATTTACAAAAGCTTGATCACGATATCATGTCGTACACGATTACGTACAGCTTCTTTTCGATAGATTTATACACAATTGTTATTTAATTGGAAGACCTTAACAGGATTGACATTTGTTACCATTTCTTATAGCTTTACAGGGTTGACCTGCGGGTATATGTATGATACATATCGGAATGATTTACTCACCTTCCAGGATGATTCTATGCAGTGTACATAATAGTAATTCTCACGAAAATAGAAGATGAGATAAGGTCGCATCGTGCCTCAGCCAAATACGAACCGCTTCCAATTATCCGCGAGCTGTTGTACACCCCTCCGCAACTCCCAGCCCCGGACCTCACATACCTGACGAGCCACCTGCTCCAGTAAATCGTCCATTGACGGCCCAGCAGTGTGGAGATCACTCTCAATCAGAATACGGTCCTCCGGCAGCATCTTGACCACATCAACAACCTTCCCAGTCCCTGGCCCAGAGAAGTTAATCAGGCACGAGAAAGAGAAGTAAACATCAGATGGATTCGTCTTGTTCAAAAACTGCCGGAGTTGCTCAACGGGCCCAGAGTAAGAATGCATACAAATGCGCGGAGGAAACGGCAGTGGCGAGGACTCATGCATATCTTCGGCATCCTCATCTCCCGAGAGAGCCCCCTCCGCATCCCGACGTCTCTCTCGATCCCGTCGTGACATGAGCACCTTTTCATGTCCGGCCCATAGACCTTTCAATGTATCAAACACGGCTCCGTGTGCTTGTACACTGTGCACCGAGACCGCACGCTGCATCTCCCCGGCAAGCCGGAGCTGGGATTTCAGCACTGTTTTCTGATGCTCCATTTTCACCTTATACGGGGAGAGTCGTCGGTTCTCTCGAGATCCAGGCGTGAGCTGGTCATCGCGATTGTCTAGTCCCTCTGTTGTCCAGGGACTGGGGAGCCGAAACGATTTGTCCAGACCTATTTCCCCAACGAGGGCATAGGGAAACGATTCCAGTCTCTCCCTCGTCTCGGTGATAAGCTCAGAAAGGGGCTTTGGAGTTGGTAAGAATTTCAAAAATTCTGGATCCTCGGCTGGCGATGGTGTCAGGACTGCTGTATAATGGGCTTCTTTCTGCTCTGAAGATAGCTCTTGCGAGTTTATATTTGTCGTTTGGGTGTCATCTAGGATCTGGTGCGAGAACCATGGATGCCATCCAAAACATGGAATTATTCGGTCTGCTACCTCGGATGATTCGTGTTGTTTATTGATAGATTGGGTTATTTGATGCACCAGGTCTTGGTCTTCTGCTCGTGTGGCCATGACGGTCAGTGAGTGGGCCTTCATGTGTGGAATCATGGCGGTCGAGGCCATTGTGTCGGTGGGGTGGCAATGAGCATCGTGGATGCCGATATCCCAGGGGAACTCATGATCGGTTGACATGGTGCAGTGTAGGGAAGAGGGTAGTGTAGATCGAATGTTAAAGTTATTCTGAAATTGGCTCGGGATGACGTAAGTGGGGAATATCACATGCTATTTCTCCGCATTTTCATCCGTCGAGAAACAGTCGTGACTTCCTCTCCAGCTTTGACTTCAGTACCAGGGGGGTACGTATATCTGGATATTTGGATACCTACTGTAGGCTCATACCTGGGTAGGTATACAATGTACATATTGCCCCGGGAGCGTACTCTATACGGGTCAGCATTATGCATATATGCATATGCGTGTAGTTTAGACTAAGGTTATAAAGGCAGCTGCAACCCCCCCAGTGGTTCGTTCCTTCCGAACTCGTATTTTCCCTCCGGGGGAGTCCATACCATGTGCGGTTCCGTCTCATCACTTTTGGCGTTGCCGCTCCTATGTCTCATATCGATCCCCCTCATCTTCTCGGCATGGCTGACTCTCTCCATCGCCTTATTCACCCTTCTCTTGCGAGTGTCCGTGGTCTACCTTGAGGTAGGCTATGCGCTGATCGTCAACTTCTTTACACTTCCAGCCTCTGCCAACTCGTCTTCGTTTTTAACCTTTGCCCCCTCCGAATCACCAACGCCAGCAGCTGGCAATTCTCGAAGAAACTCGGCACATGGATTGACACAGCCTCACCGAACCAATGATGCTCTCTCATCACTTGGGTTAAATGGATTCCAAGATGACCATTCTACGCGTAAGAGCAAGAAAAGCTACGCTCGCAGTATGATCAAAGCGCATGATCTACCTACTGCACCATTGCCTGCGAATTTCATCGGTTTCCCCGTCAGCGGTGATAAGAGGCGGGATTTCGAAGGAGTGGGCGGTTGGCGCTCATACCCGGATGTTTCATCTCGAGCCTCAAAGCCACGCAGCATCCATTCTGGACAAGAAAAGCCTCTGAGCTCGTCATCCTCATCAACACATAGCCTCGCCGGCGAAATCGGCGTGGGTGAGGATATCGATGCTGATGAGCGTGCCTGGCTATCTCTAAACCATCGCCTGGAACTACCCTCTCGAGTCGTGACATTTGGACCAGGCTCCACGGCTCCTTCAAACGTGACAAGCCCTGTATATGGAGATTCTGTGAATGTCTCGTCCAATGCCCTTACGCCTTTGTTTTCGGCTGGCTCCTACGATGACCATGTACATTACCCAAGCGGGCGTAGGCACCATCATCGTTCTCATACCACTTCTGCTCTTACAACGTCTGATCTTCGTACGGGAAGCGGTCTTGCCTTGTCCTTATCTACAAGACCGGATCAATCGAGTCGTCCTGTTTCGCCTTCATCAATGCGACGTGCTCCTTATATGACTCCACAATCGTTTTCACCTTCACAAACACGACCGTCGATGCGCTCGCTTCCGGCTAGTAGTGCACCACATACCACAGGGCATATTTTGGCGGGCAGTAGTCATGGTGCTGGGGGTTACTTTGCCTTGTCACGACCTGGTGGAATGCCGGTGCCAAACTTTTCGACGGTCGTCAGTCCAAGCTCTAGTGGGCGTACCACGCCGGGTACGGAGGACTACAACTCGTCATCGCAGTTGACTCGCTTTATTGCGCATTATCCCACTAGCGTGAGACATCGAAGACGGAGTATCTCGGGTCCTCATGCGAGACGGCTTTCTATGGGCGACCGGCAGGCATGATAGCGTTACACTTGGATGAATCTGCTAACTCTGAATTCAAAGAATCAAGTACTACATAAGGGCCTAGGCAGAGTTGTATAAAGAAGATATCGTTTGAGATCTATGTCTAGAGAGAAGATGTACATACAATATGGAAATAAGCAACAGTGAACCGAAGTACCCACGCCAAATTATAAACTCCAAGCTGGGATCCTGGAATCCCAGCCCGCGCTCCAAATCTTAATATTCATCGAACATCATTAACGGGCATTTCACGGCAGAAAGACGCGTCGTGTCGTCAATGATGAAAATTTTGGTTCATGAAGAGGCCCTCTCCCGCTTATTAACATCCTCCATCTCCGATAAAACCACTCGGTTAAACTCTTCCCATCCGTCCAAGTACAAATGGTGTCCAGCTTTACTGATGACAACGACCTTTGCAGAGCCTTGGTCTTTCTGTCGTTCCTCTGGTGTAGCATCGGCCAGAACACGACGCTTCTCTTCTTCCAGACGAGCCGCAGCGGCATGGCCGCCCGATACGTCCATCCAGTCGTGATCACCGTACATTAAGACGACGGGCAGTCCATTTTCGCGTCGTGGCGCGGGGGTTTCAGTTGAAGCAGGGGCGGGTTCAGTGACTGGCGCATCAGCCGGGGTAGAGGTTTTAGCCCCGACTTTGGAAAAAATGGAGCATGAAGAAGATTCAGTAGTCGTTGATGTGGGAAGCGAGTTGCCAGAATTGATCATTTGTCGGCCCACGCCCTGGATACGGTGGATAAGAGGGCTGCGTGCGAATGCACCTGGCGCAAGAATGTATGCTAGTGCATACTCGCCACTTCCTCGAAGACTGAAAATCGAGTAAGAATAGTCATGCAGCGCTTTAGATTCCTCGGCAGGGAGGTGCGAAAAGCGGCGGGAGGTCCAACCGGACACGATTCGTGGTCCGAAAGGACCTGTCCAGCGTACAATGCTGAAGGGGGAGATGTTGGCTTCCCACAAGTATGCAAACCACTTGGGAAGAACCCGACGGGGTGGTTGATTCGTGGCCGCGGATTGCACTTCAGGGTTCCGACCTGTGATAAAGCTGCCTTCGCTGGTCTTTGGCACAGAGGCTGGCGTTGCAGTGATATCCCGTTGGTCCTGGGTCAGTTCGTTCGGGAGCGTGGAATCTGACGGCTCAGCTACGTCTGCAGTGACCGCATATGGGTCCTCGGGAATGCCAACAGGGGATGCGAGAATGAGCTTGTTGAGGTGGCCCGGGTACTTGAGGGCGTATGCGACGGCCATGTAACCACCCAAGCTGTGGCCGAGCAAGGTGAATCGATCAATCTTGCGCTTAATACGCCATTCTTCCAGGGCATCGACGAACCACGCTTCGGCTTCCCGAATAGCTTCTTCGCGCTCCTTGGCTTTAATCTTGAATGGCGGACGCGTGCTTCGACCCATGCCTAGCATGTCCAGCGCATGGAGCTGCCATCCCTTCAACCGGCTCAGTGGCTCGAAATTCTTGTAAAAGAAACCAAGTCCAGCACCATATCCATGCAGCATGACCAAATGCTGGTCAGCCTCTTCCCCAACCCTCTCTACCGAGAACTCGTTGAGGGCCCGATCTTTCCCGCTGAGCTCCACCATGCTGGAGCTCCACCGGCGGGGCCCATAGGGGTCATCTTGAGATTGCGTTGAAATCTCGCCTTGCTGGTTATGGTCTGCAGATTGCAGGCTGGCCGAGGAGCTTCCATTAGGGAAGTCTGATGTGTTACCAGTCTGGAGGTGGGTGGGGGGTTGGCGATGTAGATAAGGGAGGTAGGACAGAACCTTGTGTTCAGCTGCCGCCGCAGGTAGACGAGCCCACTAGAAAACCGAAAGGCACTTTAGCGAATCTCTCCAGGAGGGGTTGTTCTGGTAGACCACATACCCATTGGCTGAAGCCTTCTCTGTATCCCAACGGGAAGAATGCTGGGCTCGCAGCTTTCGCCCCAGCAGCAGCGCCAGCGGCATGTGGGAGGCGCTCGCGGCTCTGTGAGGGCGAGCCACGATTGCCATGCTCGCGGACATCTGCCTGCGACGTGTTAAGTGATTCGGACGCCATTGAGGAGGACTTGCGCCGCCCTATCGAGCACGTGGCAAAAAGTGCAGGGCGTGTTGTATAGACCCTCTGCGCTAACAGGGGAAGTCGTGTGAAGTTGTTTATACGAGTGCCAGACCGACAGGTGATTTCTGTCACTGGAAGAAATCGAGCCACGATGCGCATGGACAGAAGTGAGAAGAAGCCAGAAAGAAAAGGCGCAACCTTGGAACCCGGAGACAAATCGGTGTCGCCGCTTAACCCCGACAAGGCAACAAGTCAATACGCAATTAACCCCAGAAACCGGGATTCCGACCCGAGCCAAAATGGAAGTTGAGTTTTGTGTGGCAAGTTGATAAACAGATCTCAATCTGTATCCATATACCTCGGTATAGGTGGAGTATACAAGGGAAAGGCGGAAGGAGAAAAAGCAATGATGTCGCGATCTGCGGATACCCAGATTCCCTTTCCACTCCCGCCTTCTCCTCCCTCAAACACTTGCGATGACGAACGTATTGGGCCGCGTCGGCCGTTGATTCTAGGAAGTTCGCAGTGTCTTGTGTGTTTATTTCCATCATGACAACTTCCTTGGACCAGCTCGTCAAGGGCGCTCCAGTGCCTGAAGCCCGCGCCCCAACACCCGAGCCATTGACTTCTACACATGCTTCTTCCTCGCCACGGCCCTCAACCCCAGATCCACTAGCCTCTCTCCCCTCTTCGCCACCCCAGATCTACTTAAATCTTTTGATTCTCGAAGCGTCGCTCCGCGCACAGTACCTAGCTCTGCGCGAACGCCGCCGCCAAAACACGTTCTTCCTGCTACTCCTAGCAGCTTGGATTGCCTACTTTGTATATGCACTGTTCCTCCGCCCTCGAGAAGATGGCCGCGGAGTGGGTGGCTCGGTATATTGGGTAGTGGAGATGGGAGAAAAGGTCGCCCTGCTTGGTGGGGTGGTGACCGCGTTGTTAGTATGGGGAACAGGGCAGTGGGAACGTGGAATACGCTGGCCACGACGATGGCTTGCTGTTGCCAACCGCGGCCTACGCAACATGAATACTAAGATCATCGTGATACGTGGGCCTTGGTGGCAAGAACTGCTGTCCTACGTCTCATTCTTGTTCCCTTTCTCTGCACCCTTCTTCCCCTCACCTACTGGGAACTTTCATTTTGTTGAACGCCATCCCTCTGAAAAGCGCGGTAGTCGGCAGCACTACCAGCAATACTACAACGGTGGTGACAGCGAGTCAGGCTTAGTGGAGGAAGACCTCAGTGCTGGTGGTGACTATATCCGCCTTTTGCTACTGCCTAAATCGTTCTCCCCGGAATTCCGTGAGAATTGGGACGACTATCGCACCGATTTTTGGGAGAAAGAGAATGAGCGCCGAACTCAACTCCGTCATAAGTTGCGCGAGCGCGAGCGCCAGCTTGCTCAGGCCGAAGGTGGATGGTTTTGGCGAATTGGACTGGGCTGGCGCGCTTCGCAGCGCCGCCGTCTAGTCGCAGCGACCCTGCACCGGTCTCTTGATGCAGAACCCAAAATACGACACCAACATCAATCATCCGTCTCGTCGCGACTCAACCAGGACCACCGCGCATCTTCTCGCCGCCCTGAATCTACCCATTCCCGCACCTCGTCTTGCAGCCCCACTCCCGAGGACCGACCACCGTCCCGCTCTGGATCCGGTCGTCCCCGCCGCGGAAGCACCACCCCATCTATATCTGGCGCTGAGCAAAGCCCTCAGCAGCGGAAGCGAAAGGGCTCCAGGGCATCACGGCGTGGCCCATCGCCTCTCACACAGGCACAGGCCCGAGAGGGCGTGCGGATGCCATCGTTCTCTTCTGACGATTCGGGTATCACACCTATGACTGAGATTGAAAAAGACATTATACCAACTTCTGTATCTTAATTGAACCATGCTGTCTAGATTACGAGAAGCCGACTATGATATGTTTATACTTTGAATTCGGGGGGTTTTTTTTTTGCTGTCTCGAAACAGCGTTTTCCTCAGATCTAGAGTTCTATGCCAACTAATACACCAAGATAAACAGGCTCCAGAGGAGATAGGTAATTAGCCAACAGTACGGTCTAACGTGCATCTCATGATCAGGATCGCTTGAGTCATCTGATCAGAAACCCTCCCCCCCCCCCCCTTCGCCCGGAATGGCCATATTACGATCGTAGCCCATGAGCCCTTATGTCTGGGATCTTGATATCCCTGGTAACTAGGCTTCGACAAAGCACTCGTCCAATCTTCTATCCAAAGTCGGTTGAAAGGCGCTGGAGATATCCTTTACGTGAAAAGTTATTCTTGTCGATTCCTGAAAGAAAGAATTCAGCTTGTCCCTCTCTGCATCCACTTTATATCACATCATAAAGAATTTGAACAAAGCAAAAGGGCCATCGAACCGGCTTTTACCCAACAGACATTCCGAGATGATCCTTGGTGGCTTACATATGGTCAAGGATCGAGAACAAAGAGAGTTTTCCACCGACTGAATCATCCATGGATGCAAGATGTGCTATGACTCTTGTTGAAAATGCTGGATTGATTATATTATACACGTGTGAGACTGGACTTCAAACCACATCTTGCTATATCCCACATGTCCAACATGGACTGGGTTCAATTAGCCCAATATCCCTTTTTCGACCATCGCAAGTCCCCATCAGCCACACAGTGTGATGGCATCGCTCAGTCCCTAACTGGTGCCACGAACATCGTCCCAGTTAACAGTTTGAATACAAGGACCTATTCTGTCATCTGCAACGATTGTTCAACACTGCCGTTAGACCGCATCGTGGTCTTCCGAGAAGCAAACTCCAAGACTGAGCCCCTTGACTATATAGTCAAACTTGCAAAGGAGACTTATGGTCCTTTGGCGCCTGAACCCACATTTTACGATAGATTGGAGAGCACAAATCCTCCACTTTCTATCTACACTATGCCGTGTCAGCCTGGTATATCTCTTCTCAGTGCTCTACGCTGTCAAGTCAAGCTCTCACGGCAGCAAAAGGCCAAACAGGTTAGCTTTATTCGGGACGTAGCAAGGTATCAACCCTATCTGATTCATACAATTTTGTAATTTGAGACTGATCAATTTTCTAGATTCTTTGCTCTCTCCTGGTCGAACAATCAGATCATGGATCCCCCCGAACTACTCTATATCCGCCAAGCAGGCATCCGCCACCAACTCCGCCTATTCAAACAATTAGCACCCTTAGTCCTCCCGGTCCACTTGATCGATGAACTGATTCAGGTTTTACCTACCCTTTTCAGTGCCGAGTATCCCTCGGTCTTGACAAACGGGAACCTTTCCCTAACAAATATCGGCGTGGACGAGGCAACCTATGAAATATCAAATATCGTCGACTGGTCTCTAGTCAAGGTTCTGCCCTTCGGAATGGATCTGGATGTTTTGTTCTTGGTGACAGGATACATGGGGTCGAGGAACTGGAGAGATTACGAGTGTAAGCAATTCATGCTGGATTGCTTCTGGGATGAGTTTTGGGCGAGTGTGGAACCATCCGTTGATCGGGGAAGGGACAGGATCATTGCAGAAAAGGCTGCGCTGATAGGGGCGCTTTTGAGATATGGCTTAACTAGACGGGAGGATGGGGCTTCGGATAGTGAGGTTTCGGTTTCTGATCGGGATACTGCCTTGTTGAGGGCGTGGTTTGGGGTTACTGCATAGGGCTTTCAGCATTAGACTTTCCTTGTTGGTTCTTAGTAGACTAGTCTGTAGAAAGGTTTGGGTAAATTTTGGAGCTATCAATTCCTAGGTGGGGCTTTATCGTATTTGTTGCTTGATGGTTTGAATGGCTTATTGGGGCTCGTGGCTTGGGTGTGGCAGGTCAATCAATAGAAAGGGTCAAAGTTCTGGTTGTATTAGACATTGAAATGCATATATTCTTTAAGAAATTGATTCGTAAATCCCCTAGTCTGTCGACTCCATACTCCATACAAAGAGAACTATGATATCACCCCAATGCAACGACTAGAAAACATGCTCATAAGAAGGACCAGATGGCCCAGAATTTCCTGATAATACACCCATCCTAGGGCTTAGATTCGGTATACGTTGTCGTCATCCTCGACGAACCTATTCAAGTGGATTAGTCAAAGTTAACACATGTACTGATAGGGTAACTCACATCATCAGGTTCTCATCATTCATTTTCTGCAGAGCCTGAATAGCCTCGGGCCGTGGGAAAGCATGCGCAGCGCCACGGCTAGGTGATGTACGAATGGCTGTATTGACCTCGTTGATCAACTCGTCAACATTGGTCATGTCTCCATCAGTGAAGACACGAGTACCCATGAGAGGACCCAGAATTTGGCGGAAGAATGCATAGCGGTCAGGTGTGATGGGGTGGTCCGAGGAGGTGGACTGGGAGTTGTCGGTTTGCGACTGCACAAGCTGTGAGGCGGGATGGGAGGACGCCACAGACATCTGTGACTCGGTCTGCTGAGTGCGCGTCGCTTGGCTGCGAGAAGCACGGGGGCTAGCCGTGTGGAGACTCTGGCTCTCTTCCGCACCCGCAGTGCTGGCATCACCACGGGATCTGGTGGTGCGGGCTGGGGTGGCAGATGTCTGACCACGGTAAGGTGTCTCGTCATCGTCATCAAGCTCAGAGTCGCTCTCATCGTCGGAATCCTCGTCAAAGGTCTGCACCTTGCGGCGCTTACGGCGCCCATCGTCTTGCAACTCCTTGAACATGGCAAAGCGCAAGATGGCCTCGGCATTCTTAGCATCCTTCTCATCGACTCGGTTCGACAGGCGGGCCTTAGCGTGGGCGGTAGCCAAACGAATCAAGGTCTCAAGAGTACGAGGTGTGATGGGTGAGGTGCGACGCTGGTTGTTGGAGAGGTCGTCATTTCGGAGGGCGGAGTATACGGCGATAATGTGATCGGCAGCGCCCTTGGATAGCACAGGTTTGACTCGGGATTTGGCGTACTGGATGTACTTCTTAATGAAGGGGATGCTGATGATTTCCACGTTCTTGTTACGATTGCGGCCATTTGTAGGAATCATGCCACCGTGAAGCATGACGTTGAACTTTTCGAAGACCTCTGTGGGTTGATTGGCATCTTGACGGTCTTCGATTCCCACACCCAGAGTCTGATTGAGCTGCTCACGAACAGGGGCGCCTTCTTCCGTTCCGGGCTGGCGGTATCTGTGCATGCGGAGGACGTGCTCTGAAATGGTGCGGTCCTTGGCATCTTCGATGTCATCGGTCACAATGAAGAGCAAATCAAAACGAGAAAGAAGGGAGTCGGGCAGGGCAATGTTCTTGTGGGGGTCCTTGTGTACGTCATACTGGCCGTAGACCGGGTTGGCAGCAGCCAGGACACTGCATCGCGCATTCAGACTCGTGTGAATACCGGCCTTAGCGATGGTGACGGTCTGCTGTTCCATAACTTCGTGAATGGCCACACGGTCGACATCGCTCATCTTGTCGAACTCATCAATACAAACCACTCCACGATCACCCAGAACCATGGCTCCGGCCTCCAACCGGCGCTCTCCAGTCTCCTTATCGGAGGTGACGGCTGCAGTCAGACCGACACCAGATGAACCCCGACCAGTTGTGGCGATGGCCAACGGAGCAGTGTTGAGTACGAAACGAAGGAGCTGGGACTTGGCTGTCGAGGGATCACCAACCATAAGAATGTTGATGTCACCACGCAAGTGAGTGCCATTGTCCAAGTTCTTCTCCATACCACTAAGCAGCATGAGCAAAATGGCTTTCTTGATGTAGTCATGTCCGTGAATACTGGGTGCCAGAGATTGTGACAGCAATTCAAAAACATTCTTCTTCTTCGCAATCTTGTTGATGTTTCGAATGTCCGTGTCTGTAATGGTGGCCTGGGCGATACCTCCACCGGACTTGGATGAAAGTTGAATGATGTTGTTGGCCATCACAACTGTGCGGAATGTCGACGAGCCGGAGCTAGCATTGCGGTTTCCGAGAGACCGGTAAATTCCCACCAGCTGGATTCTGTCTCCTGGTTTGGCCTTGTCAACTAGATCGTCATCCAGAATAACGTCAACGCTGCGGGGTAGCTGGCCGGCCGGAGCCCGTTCGGGCATTTCTTGGATCGAGATAGACTGGTGGTCCATGTAGGTCGAGTAGCCGTATTCGGTGATAAGCTAGGCATACTTGTTAGACCAGCTATTATTGACTCTCGACCACAGATTTTCTACTCACGGGATTCTTATCTTCGTCCTCCTGAGGGTAGACATTTAAGCTTGTGGCACCGCTGGCGGTCATAGTCTGGTCCCGATACTTTCTGGCCAAAAAGCGATCCTTCTTCTCGCTGTAGTGAACACTCTGAATCACCTTGGGCCGGACCAAGGAACATTTCGTCACAATTCCTTCCAGGGAAACCATGCGGTTCAAGTGCTGGGATCCCAGTGTGCGTGGGTTGCAAGAAAATTCTCCAAAAGCACCAACATATGCGCAGTAGTAGTTCTGTTGGAAAGACCCGTTAGCAACCAAAAAAAACCCTGTCTTTATATCTCAGACACATACTACTTCATCCGCAGTTTCCTTGGCTGGCCTACCGGGCAAGGTCTTCACCACTTCTTTCAAGGCCCGGTCGAAGGCTTCCGAGTATTCAAAAGGGGAGGTGAGAAGCCTGTTTAAAAACAAGTTAGAAATTCGTAGGCGATACAATGAGTGGACTTGATATACTGACCCCTCGGCAAGCTCCCGGTTGTGTGCTCGGAGCTCATCAACGCTAACCTACGGGTTCATCAGTATTTCATCCCACAATTCCAGGGAGAAAATCAACGCACCGTCAAACGGCGCATTCCTCGATTCAGCATCACCACAATATCTGCTCGATAGCTAATTGAAACAGTCAGAATATTCACATATCATTTTCGTTTCGATTAACGGACCTGCGCGCCCGTGCATCGCCTAGATAAAAAAACCAAAATGTCAGCTCAAAGCTCCAGAATAATCCAGTATTCCGATGATACTTACTGGGATCAAGGAATTCAATGGCAGCACGCACGCGATCCTGCGCGGCCTCATCTCGTAATTGAACGCCTTCCATGGTGTCAGGGGGGTGTCTGGTGTGGTTGTGTGAAGCACCCGAGTCGAGGAGGTTGGAAGGGAAAGATGGGAAGTGCGTGGATCCCGATCGGGTAAAATTGAAACGCGTGAACAACACTGGCACGCGTTCGCGTTCGCTTATGTCATCGGCGCGGGGCCGTCCTAGTTATCCATGGGTTCCTTAATTGTTTCTACTATACGAAGTAGTTCATCAAAATAACCTAGCTCTTAAGGTTTAAGGTATTTTTTAAAGGTCTGCATCTAATCAATTATAACTATCTAGGTAAATACATGGAAATGTTCCAATATTGGGATGGGTTTGCAACTGATTGTATGCAAAAATGGGGTGTTGTACATTGGATCTATACAAATGGTGTAGTATACATGAACAGGCTCAAAATCAAGGAATAAATATATACATGAGAGAAAGGTTGTCCAGATACCTCTTCTCTGGGTGTTTCATACCGGCGATGTGGTCGTATGAGACCATTCTGAGGACTCGGGCCGTTAGAAGTCAGTCTCGGGCCGGTTGAAAAGATTCAGTGGTTTGCCCTGCGATCGGGTGCTGTTAGATGGCCGTTTTCTCAAGACGCCTGGTCTCGTTGCCTTCATAGATTTGCCTGTGTAGCGGTCTTGGCTTTGCAAGTCAAGTAAATTTGCCGGAGAGAGAATACCGTCCCACCCTTCTTGGCTGAGTGCTGCACGCTCGTGGTATTGTTTGACAACGTCTGTTTTTTGATTGTGCTCGTCTGGTGTCTGCGCGGACTTGTTGGTAACTTCTTGTTGCTTATCATCGTTCACATCGATCTGCTCGACCCATTCGACTATTTCAACCTCATCCACCTTACCCTGGTGGACGAAAGTTGCACGTTTGGTCCGACCCCCAGGCCCAAGGACACCACCAGGGGCGGAGCCTAAAGCAGAGGGCAACGGCGCCTTATCATGATCTGGTTGCTCTCCACGCTGTCGAAGAACAACACCCTGGATCCTGTCGCGCAGGTAAGGCATTTTGATGATGGCATCAAGCGTCCTCGGTGCTGTATTAGACAATTTGTCGAGCTCATGACTGCCTTTCACAATGGTTGCGCTCCGAATGCGTTCCCAGGCAGCAGCAAGGTGAATAATCATATTGTATGTGGGCTGCATGTAATCTGGAGACACGTGCTTCCAGTACTTTGCCGCCTCCTTCCCGAGGTAACGGCCAGACTGTAGGGGTGTGCGCTTGTCCTCAATCAGGGATAAAGTCCTCGGGGTCCCGCAAGGCTTCAGCGATTGGCCTCGGATAAGTCGATTCCATCCAGGCCAGTGAGGCATGAAGTAATCCTCAAATATCCGGAATGCTTCGAGTATGTGATCGAACTTAACGGAAACCGCAAGCATCTGCACAAGGGTGGACCGATTGAAGGTTGACAATTCAAAGCCAGCTGCCTCGACCTCGGCCACGACTTCAACCATTTGTTCGGGCTTGTGCTGGTGAGCCAACGACTGCAAGAAAAGAGAAAGGGTTCGAGAAAGTATGAAGCGGCGTGAATGGATGATCTGATTATTTTGCTTGTCGGATGGATCGTTGGGAACAATTTCACTCTGATCATGAGCAGAGGAATCAGAGATGGCACCTGGAATCGATGCCGAAGGCTTGAAGATATCAAGAACTTTTACTCGGCTAGCTGTCTTGATTGCACTTGAAAAGGCAAGTTGCCAACACTCACCCACTTCTTTGTACTGTTCGGCGTTGAGATGCGCAGACATCATAGCATTTACAAGGCGAAGTGGAGCAGAGAAAGAGCCTGAACCTTGTGCGCTCGTAGGTGCCATGCTAGACAACTGTCGCTGGTAAAGTTCACGGGCCATAGATATCGCACCAGTTGCGCCGTACTCCTGGATAAGGTACTCATAATGCCAGGTACCAAAAGCCTTTGCTAGAGACTCCGTTCGACCTTTGGATGAATGAAGCATGCTTGCGAGCGCAGTTGTATCACATCGGGATATTGACTCGATAAGCAGTATCTCGAGAGTCTTAATGCGCTTCTCAGCATTAGCAGTTTTTTCATCTTTTCGGTCTTTTCGGTTAGGTCTCTTCGTCCAGTGGTCGGGTGGTATTTCTGCTTCAAGGTTCAAAAGACTGGACTCCAAACCGGAATGATTGAATCGCTCAAGCATCTCACGAAATATGACCTTGACCATCGTAAATTGTCGGGTTTTGATATATCCAAGAATTAGGATAGCATAGTGAAGCTCCGTCGCTTGCAAGACCCCTCGCTTGTGGTTTCGCCTTAGGGCCATGCGCGCCTGATCAGGTTCGCTCACCAAAACCAGGCGGAGCAGGTCAGTCGCATACGTTATCTCATCTGGCCGTAACCCAGCTTCTCGCATAAGAGAGCACACTCGAAAGAAGGAGTGGTGGTCAATCCTGAACGCATATTGCATCAGAAGTGCGTTCCACATCCGCATTGGGGAACCCTCCACATTGAGCTTTAAGCACGTTGTCGCAAGCTTTTCGGCTAAGTCCAGACGGCCGTTGCTGATGTATGCTTGAGCAACTGTGCTGAGCATCGCCATTGTGACGGTTACCCGCTGCTTCTCTGCCTCGCGGAGCAGCGCGCGAACACCACCAACATCTCCTTTATTAGCACATACTCCCATCATGATGCCAAATGTGTGGGAGTCGGGTCGCATTTTAGCCCGAATCATTTTGGAAAAATGATAGAAGGCGCCTGCCGAATCATCGTTGTTTGCATATGCGGTGATGAGGATATTCCAACACACCGTGTTTGGCTTAAGATGAAACTCCTCTGCCAGCCTTCGGAATTGATTGACGGTCCCCGGAACATCTCCCACACTCGCGTGGGCATATAAAAGTGGAGTCACCAGTCGGCGGCTCTTTGGCTTGCCATAATCTGCCACAAGCTTGTCAAATATAATGTTGACTTGGGACACATTTCCAGAACGACCGAAGAGATTCAAGACGTCTCTGTAGGTCTGCATTGATGGTTTCCCATGAAAGTGAGCGACTTCACCAAGGAAATACTGGATACTCTCGGTCAATTCGAATTTGACGAGAAGTTCCAATTGACGGTTCCAAAGCTTTTTCGAAAGGCGCTGTTTTGGATCGCGATCAAGGAAGGCCCGCAATTCTTGGTAGAAGATGATTGATCGGGCAAAATCCAATTGCTTCGTTGATGATTGAAGGGATTCCATGATGTTGACATGGTGTTGCAGAGTCATGATTTTCAAATCATCAGACACCTGTATGAGAGGGATCAGAATATTCATCGAAGTACCTGTGAGCAACTCAGAGGATTTTGAAATGCGTGTTAAAAATGATTGCACAATGTCTCGGCGGAGAGATCCTTGAGCAGTGACCTCACTTGCTTCGTCTTTAGCATAGACTGCCAACGCAAGTACGTATTCAGGGAGTTTCGGGTTCAGCGAAGCGGGTGATAGGATTTCTTGTTTTTCTTTTCTTTTCCCGTGAAAAGACTTCCACTGGGAATGAAAGGTCCATATCTTCTCTGCGTTGGCCCAGTCACGACGGTTCACGAAGTATGAAAATGCCAATGTAAAACAAAAATCGGCATTTTCCCTTGCAACGGCCATTTCACAGATTCGCACCAGATTCTCGGGCTTTCCGCAACGAAGCTGGGATTGGATGATCTGGTGAAAATGGTCATGGGTACATTCTTCCAGTGGCAGATCTTGGAAAAGATTCCATGCCCGCTCCGCATCTGCGGCTTTCTCTGACAAGCTGAAAAAGGCACAAAGTGAAGCACGAGCATTCAAGGGACGCCCAGCTGCGAGGTAGAGCACCCAGGCCCTGTCGGGTGAAGAATCCTTTTCTGGCGATTTCAGAAATTTCATAAGATCATCAAATGACCTTTTGTCTTGGATGCTAACATCTTTTATATCCTGTGGCAAAGGTAGCCGGTGTGCCTTTGGCTCCTCTTGAGGGTGTTGCTGAAGACTGGAGGCTGCAGGATTTACCACTTTCGCCGTTATGGGTTCGATGCTCGCATCTGCCATGTCCTGCTGCAAAGGTCGCTCGCGTGATTTGGGCTCATAATGAGGATTTTGCTGAAGACTTGAGGCTTCCGAGGCATATGTCCTTCGGGGGTTGGCGAGTGTCCTTTTCCTCCGACGCAATCCCGGTCTCCTGGGCAGACGAGATGCCCGAAGAGCCACAAATTCTTGTGTCTTCTGGGGATATAGAAAGTCAAGGAACGGGGAGACGGTTTCGTTTGCGCTTAAACTTCGATATGGAGGATTGGGAACGGACGACAAGTGCTGACCCGGTGGCTGCGTGAGGGCTAGAAACCAGTGGGCGGCGTCTCTTCCTGAGGTATTGTACTTCCAGAAGTGATGACACAAAGACCTTCTGGTTCGTATGGCGCCATTAGGATCTCGAAAGAAACGCCGACCCGCGGTCTCCAAGCCGCTGGCAGCACGTTCGAGCATTACCCCCGATCGTCGCTGCTTCGAACACTGAAATCACCGATATTGATATACAGCCTGCATCATATTGTACCCGAGTTACCTATTGGTTCAAAATGGAAGTCAGTCGCCAATTCTGCTGAGGTTTTTCTTTAGATGCGAGCGATCAAACAAGCTGTTTGGAAAGCATCTTGACCTACCCGGATAAAAAGAGAACGCGAGCCACTCTGCAGGAAGGTTTCGGGTCTTGGCCTTCGCGTACTGTAGCCAATGGTGACACTATGTAGAGGCCGCTGATTGCCGAATACCAGCCTACCAGTGAAGGGAATGGAGGGAAAGCAGAGAAGTTGAAGCTTCGGCAACAAAAGATTTGGCGTTGGAAAAAGCCGGGCATGTTGGCCCATAATCCTCTTTTGCCCACCGCCTTCGTCGCAACCCACCAACCTGTCTTCCATTTGGTGGCTGATTATCTCCCCAACCAGATTGCCACGACAAAAGAAATGGAGATCACTGACTATATCTTCAAGGAGCGAGAGGAGGTGCTCCTTGTTGGGGATTACAATGCCTATCGGGCCCATGCCACTCGGAAGTTGCACAAACTCCGCAAGAAGCTGGGTCAGGCCACTGCCAAAGGCCGCAAGTACACTGCTAAACCAGCTGTGACCCCTGAGAACGTTGGAGACAATGTGGCGTATGAGATTCTATTTACTTCCATTTCCTTTGCATGATACTGACTCCTTTCGCTGTACATAGATATGTGCACCTTTTGCTTCTCGGGTCCGAACGAGCATGGGCGCAAGCCATGCATATGAAATCGACACACTCTGCAGACCCATCGGCCAAGGGAATCTCTGGTGCTGCTCGACGTCATATCATTTCACGGCTGAACAAGGCGACTGGCTACGCACAGCACCTTGTCTCCCTACTCCATGAGCAATCGGTCTCTTGTGCCAGTGACATCGACGTTCTTGAGGCTCGTGCTTACCTTGCCACAATCTCCGGTGCTTTGTGCTTGGAAAAGCGTAAATGGGAACAATGTCTTCATGACTATGCTATCGCAAGAGTTATCTACACGGCTCTTGGACAGCAAGTCAAAAAAGATGCCTTCCGAGACCTTCTTACCGGAACTGTTGACCCGAGCCTGCGCTACGCCGCCTATCAAATGAAACTCCCCCGCTCTAAACCTACCTCGTCTCTAGCGATTGAATTTTTCCCCTCCAACTCCGAGATTCGATCCGAGGTGGAGAAGTTCGACCCCTCTTGCCTTGCCGAGGAAGCAGCAGGAACACGGCGAACCGCCGAAGGTGAGGTACAGAAACTACCCGAGTCTGTTACCTGGAGATCCCGTACAGTACCTTTGGAGGATGCATCGATCTCCCAAGCATTGGCCGCAGCCTCCGCTGCGGAAGCTCTGCTCGCTACTTGGTTGACTGAGGCAGGGCGATCTGCCACAGCCAAGGACCAAGCTGCTGCGTACGACAATGTGATCATTGCCAGCCAGGATGCGGTTGATGCGACCAAGACCGCCATTGATGATCTAGCCAGTGAAGGTGTGGATGCTGGAGACAAGAGAATGCAGGCTTTGCAGATTACTCGCACTTCGGTCAACTATAGTTTGATCGGATGGCGAGTTGGCCGTAATCGCGTGCTGTGCGGTGGAAAGGATGGCCTGACTTTTGAGGATGAGCAGGTCTCTGCCAACAAGAAAACCTCGAAGCAGAATAGCGGCAATGGCAAGAAGCTGAACCGAATCCGTGAACGGGTGGTGCTATATGACTCGACCCTGCAAAGCTTGGATTTCATCCTCGAGTTGCCCGGTGTTGCCGCCGATTCGGCCTTTGTTCAGGATCTCGAAGCAAAGCGAAGCTACTTCCGCGCTCTCAGGTATGGCTTCCACCTGTGACATCTTTCATTGAGTATTCTTGACTAACTTACCTTTCGTTCAGATGCCTGGCCTTGGGACGCTCTCATGCCGTTCTTGGCAAGCCTACTGAAGCGTTAGCACTCTTTGCGCACGCCTTTGATCTTGTCCGGTCTGAGACGTCACTATCCTCTATTGATTCCGAGGGGCCTCCACGGCTGAACGTTTCTCGGGTACAAGTGAGTGCCTTGACGACTACCCTCCAGGAATTGGTTGCCCAGTATCGTGGTCTTGCAACACTGGAGCGATTCGATACCAACTCTGGCGCATCCCAACAACGACCTCTGGTTGAGCGCCTGCAACAGTTTGCGCCGGAAACTGACCTGAAGAACTTGGTTCCATACCCGCCGCAGATGCAGCCTGTTCCTGTGAAGCCCCTCTTCTTGGATGTGGCATGGAACTACATCGATTACCCACGCAGCACGAACGCGACTGCGAACCCAGACTCGGCGCAAGCAGCTGCTCCTGCGCCCGAAGAGAAGACGAGTCGGGGTTGGTTTGGCTTCGGTCGGTCATAAAATCCACACCCATATTCATAGTCAACCTCATTTCTTGCAAATTTCACCCATCATACATATCCGTATTTCCGTATATCAGGGGGTCCCCTTATCGTGCACGTGCCACTCAAGCCCTGATTCCGCGGCCAATCAGCGGCAACGGAATAAAAGTAGCCGAGTCAGGCTATGGTTGAATCTGATGACCATAAGTCAAAGATCATGCATTTGCATTAAAATTACGGAGCGTAATACTCTTCCTAATAGTATTGCACGTCTGTTGCGGAGTAGGAAATGCCGATGTTTGTTGGAATTTTGCTGGGGAACAGCTGTGATAGGATCTACTCCGTACTGCGAGGTAAAAAAAAAAAAAAAAAAAAAAAAAGATTTTTCCAAGGTTCTTACTTGCATATGGGAGTAAAGAGTATTATGAGGCGACAAGATGATTCGAAAAGATAGGGCAATAATAGGACTGCGAAGTGCATCAGATCAATGTACAAAGTACAATATATTAATCAATAATCATGCCATAGCAACCATGAGATGTGGGACAGCGCGCGCATCCGGGCCCCGGAGTGGAAATTGGCGGCATTATTGGCGTTCCCGCCCCTGACCAATTTCGATTTCGATTCTTCCCCTCTCCACTCCTTCAGTCTCCGAAGTGTGCGCGGGATTCCTCTTTTCTTTTTGATCTTAAGAAAATCCGAAGAAAAGGTCCCTTCTCCAGTGACCTTGTGAGACATCATGGTCAATATCACTGGGAGCTTCATCTCGCCTTCGGCGGACGCGACGGTCTCTCCCCAATTCATCGCGTCGGCGGGACTCTTGGCCTCTGTCCTCGATGGCTTCACTGTCTGGAAGCTGCTAGGAACTCTGTTTATTGCCGCTGTCATTTACGATCAGTGTAAGTGCGCTTGCGCTCCGATCTCTTCAAAATCCTTTTATTCTACTCTTTTTTGGTGAAAACCACTAACAACCCCTTTTCCAGTCAAATACCACTACTACAAGGGTTCAATTATCGGTCCTGCATACAAAATTCCCTTCATGGGCCCATTCTTGGAGTCTGTCAACCCCAAGTTCACTGAATACAAGGCCAAATGGGACAGCGGCGAGCTGAGTTGTGTTTCTGTCTTCCACAAGTAAGCAGCCCCGAACAGAATATATAGATGGATCTCCGACATGCAACGAGCATATCATGCAGAGCATCTAGGAAATACTTTTCCGGCACAGTACTGACAATTGCCCCTAGGTTCGTTGTAATTGCATCAACTCGTGACATGTCCCGGAAAATCTTCAACTCGCCGGCATACGTGAAGCCTTGCGTCGTAGATGCTGCACACAAGCTTCTCGGTAAGGACAACTGGGTGTTTCTGGATGGTAAGGCGCACGTTGATTACCGTAAGGGTCTCAATGGTCTGTTCACCCGCCAGGCTCTGAGCATGTACCTCCCCCGCGTTGAGGAGGTCCTCAACGACTCTTTTAAGCGCTTCCTGAATAAGTCCGCAGCTCTGAAGCACGAGCCTACTCCCTGGATGCCCGACTTCCGTGAGCTCATGACCGCTCTTTCTTGTCGCACTTTTGTCGGCTATTATATGTCCGATGAGATCGTCCAGAAGGTCGCCGATGACTACTACTTGATCACTGCGGCGCTGGAGTTGGTCAACTTCCCTATTATTCTACCCTACACCAAGACCTGGTATGGCAAGCGGGCTGCTGATATGGTCATGGCTGAGTTCGCCAAGTGCTCCGCTAAGAGCCGTGCCCGCATGGCTGCTGGTGGTGAGGTTTCGTGTATCATGGACGCCTGGGTCAAGGCCCAGCAGGACTCTGCCGCGTACCGTGAGAAGATCGCCAAGGGTATCCAAGTTGACGACTCGGAGAAGCCTCCTCAGGTCTTGCGTGACTTCAGCGACCACGAGATTGCCCAGACTATCTTCACCTTCCTTTTCGCCTCGCAGGATGCTACCAGCGCCGCCGCTACTTGGTTGTTCCAGCTCATGGCCGACCGCCCAGAAGTCTTGGATAAGGTCCGCGAGGAGAACCTCCGTGTCCGCAACGGTGACCGCAGCGTTCCGGTCTCTATGGAGATTCTGGATGAAATGCCCTACACTCGTGCCGTTGTCAAGGAGACCTTGCGTTACCGTCCCCCCGTCATCATGGTCCCCTACCTTGTCAAGAAGGATTTCCCCATCACCGACAAGATTACTGTCTCCAAGGGCTCCATGATCATTCCATCTGTTTGGCCGGCCACCCACGACGAGGAGGCCTACCCCAACGCTGACTCGTTCGATCCGGACCGTTGGATCACCGGTGATGCTGAGGCACAGACCAAGAACTGGTTGGTCTTTGGTACAGGACCCCACTACTGTCTGGGACAGACCTACGCCCAACTGTCGCTTATGGCCATGATTGGCAAGGCCAGTATCGAAATGGACTGGGAGCACACCCCTACTCCTCTGTCTGAGGACATCAAGGTGTTTGCCACCATCTTCCCCCAGGTATGTTTTCTCTTCAATTCTTCTGCCATTTGGTTACCTCCGGTTTCTAACGGTTATCTTTAGGACGACTGCCTTCTCACTTTCCGCCCTCGCGCTTAACTTATGAGTTCCTTGAAAGTAAATCCAAAAGCCATGAAGCTGGAACCACGCCCCCACCTCTGGATAGAAGGGCTAGGTCATCCAGCTTGGCCTTTCTGTCCTGGAGATAGAGGGGCCATTTCACTTCACCCTTTCTTTTCTCAATTTCGGCTTGGCGGTTAGGTAGCACCAAGGGTGGAACAAAAAAGCCCAAGTTGTCTTACACTCAACTGCCAGGTGAGAGGGCGCCTGGAACCCTATACCCAGTCCTCGTACCATGCGCATTCCTGGGCTTTCCCGTTTCCATCTCCTACGATTGGAGCAACCCTACAGCCACTCACATAGAATAATATTAATCCACTTTTTGTATTCTTTTACAATTGTAATATGTATAGCTCTGAAAGCGCCAACCCACCTAGCCCCATGCTGCCCATCTGAGTTCAATCAACCACGTTGATTACTTATGCCTCAAATGGGCGTTGCATATCCACATCGCCATTTCGCAGACTCTCTCTATTCATAAAGAAATGACGAAGGATTCCTTTCTTCCTCGCAAGCATCACACGCCCCTCTTGAGCTTCCCCCTTCTGATAAACACCAAACCGCCGAATATCATCCTCATCCAAAAACTCCCAGTCAAGATGTTCATCCGATATAGTGATTGGAACTCCTTCGGCAACCTCCGCGATGAACGTGTAGCTAGCTATCCACGACTCTTTGTGCCAAAAGGCCGTTCTGTACACAAGTGGGAAGACGGCGTCAGGTGAGATGTGCACCCCCGCCTCCTCATACGTCTCTCGAAGCGCAGTTTGCAAGATAGAATCGTCTTTTCCAGGCTCATGCCCTCCCCCAGGTACCTCCCAGCTCCCGCCCCATGAGCCATCATGTCCTCGTTGTATTAGTAGAACCTGTGGCTTGGCTGGGTTGGTTGTTTGATGGAAGACGATGAAGCTAGCGGTAAAGCGGCCAACGTTGGGGTTATTTTCTTGGAGGACGGTGATGGGAACATCGACTTCTTCGAGTTTTAACACAAGGGGCTCTGTTACTGAACCATTGGAGAGGGATGTCATGGTTAATGAAATGAAGCAGCTGTGTAGGACGTTGTCTTTAGGTATAGAACGTGTTGACAACCCCCCTTCTCCTAGTTGGGTAATTTGACACCTGAGCACTTGACACCTAAGCAATATGGCAAACTAAAAATCAGGTTGCAAGATCAGGTTGCTAGATCAGATTGCTTAGTGCCAACCTGATTTACTAGGTGTCTAGTATTTCTTGTTACAGATGGCCAATAAAGACTATTTGAACTCTAGAAGACTTTCGTTATGGCGTTTGATGGTGCCTTTTCAGTCAGAACAGTGTCTATCACATCGGGAAGACGTTTCATTAAACCATAACTTCTTCCACGGCATACTGAAAGTCAAATAATGCCTCGGGCGTGATATATCCAACGGCTCATAAATCACACGATTAACGGGCCATCCCCCCACGTTCGCTCTGAAACTCAAAATAGAAACTGAATTTCAAAGCGCCCATCATTGCAACAGTAATATGCACAGACCAACAGAATAAAGAGGTTGAATGCCATAGAGTACATGTGTGCACTACTGTAGTGATGTCCCAACAAAGCAGGCGGTGACAGCCGGCACTGACATCATCCGTCGTAAACCATCCAGATCCCCATAAGTTCGCCGACCTCGGGATACTCAACATAAAAAGGACAATGGCAGCTTTACCATCTGCGATGTGGCGCTCAATCGCCACAATCTCCTCCACAGCTATCAAAGCTCCGGCCCGTCAAAACATCTCCAAGGCCTTCCAAAGAGCATCTCTCCCCGCAACCAGCCGAGGAATCACTTCCCTATCGTCGAGACGCGGTAACATTGCGCTCACGAGTGAATTGAGCCGCAAGAACCAAAGCCAGGACTCATCACGTCTGTTTGGTCAAATCCGATGGAGCAGCGATGAACCTGGAAGCTTGCGGCAGTGGGGATTTGAAGATGTATGTGATCTAACCTCGCCATGATTAACCGAGGTTCTGAGAGCTATTGCATGCATCTTTACGAGAAACCTGAGTTCTAATATATTTCATGACTAGATAAATACTGCTCTTCCTAGCACCAATGTCTCTTCCCCCACCCACACCCCCATCCTAATCGACGTTCGTGAACCCGCTGAGCTAAACGCTACCGGAATCATCCCTACGGCTATCTGTATCCCGCTCGCGTCTCAGCCCGATGCGCTCTACCTTACTGCTGATGAATTCGAGACCCGCTTTGGGTTCCCCAAGCCGTCTGTGAGCGATGATCAAAAGATGGTGTTTTACTGCAAGGCTGGTGTAAGGGCTCGGGCTGCTGCGCAGTTGGCCGTGCAGGCGGGGTACGATCCCGAGTCTATTGGAGTTTATGATGGTAGTTGGTTAGATTGGAAGGATAAGGGTGGAAAAGTAGAGGTCTGGGAGGGCGGTGATTTTTGATTAGTGCTTCTGGTACTATGGAAACTACGAAAATGGATAGGAGGAAGTACATACTGGTGCCTCGAAATTAAGTCAGGGAAGACTACAACTATTAATGGATATTAGAATAGGCAGGTGAATTCTAAATAACTTTCATTAAAAAAGCAACTACAAGTCAAAAGAGATATCTGTAGACCAGGTTCCTTATCTTCCCATGTCATTCATGTACAGGCGACCTTTTCTTTTTACCTAGTCGTGGTCGTTCCATGATATGTCCACATCATAATCAAAAACACAAGAACTTTTTCGCTTTTTAGACGTCATAGTCATATATAGCACTGAATTTTGTGCCAACATTCTCATAAGACATACCACATCAAGTCCGATAAACCTTTCAACTAGAGGCGGTGAGGGTCAGGAGGTAGCAACGTTCACGCGAGAAAAGGCCAGCCAGAAAGATGAGATGGGAACGTTTGAATATCCAATGATGGGATGTTCTCGAAACACCTTTTAAGCTGGAAGCTATAAGCCTCACGCTCATGGAATGTCGAAAACGGGCTTGAGCTTCTTGACCAGACCCCACTCCTCCATAGTGACCTCGGCACGGTAGAACTCCTTGAGAGTGTCGATACTGGCACGGGAGATGACAGAGTACAATTGGTCCTTCTCCTCAAGCTGGCGGCCGTACATGGGCTGGTTGGGGCCCTCGACCTTGACGGCAACCGAGGGCTGACCCTTCTTACAGACAGGGATAGCCTTGTGGTCGCGCTCAATGGATGTCCTGTGTTAAAAGGCTGGTTAGCATGTGAATGATAGCGGTCCATTAGAGATTATAGCTTACACTCGGCCAATGTTAATGATTTCCTTTTTACCGTCGGCGTTAGTTCGCACAGCGGCCAGCGGGGTGTGCATTCGCAAGCTACCCTCGAGAACATCGATACCAATGACAATGGGATCCTTCTTGTTGAAGACAGCAACAGGGCTGATCACGCAGGGGAAGACAGCAAGCAACTTGCTCTCCTCCTTGCGCTGTTCAGTCAGCTCCGCCATGTGCTTGGTGAAGTCGTCGAACAGGTGGTAAATAATGTCGGCAGTAAAGATCTTAACGCCGACCTCAGCAGCGTAGGCAGCAGCGTCCTTGTCAACCCGAACGTCGAAGCACAGCATGACTGCGTACTCCTTGGCCTTCTCCAACATAGTTCCAGCCATCATGACATCACGCTTAAAGACAGGACCAATAGAGATGTTGGCCACGGGAATCTTCGAGACCTTCAAGAACTCCAGAAGGGCCTCCAGAGAACCAAGAGTGGAAGCCTGGACAGTGACACCACGGTTATCCGTGGAGACGCGGCTGAGGAGGTTCTCAAGATCAGACATGATCTCGTCCTCCAGATCCTCCTCGTCATCATCAGGGCCCACAACCATTAGACGGGAACCAGCAATAGCGTTCTCCAGGTCGTTGGCAGCGATCTTGACACCCAAAGCAGCCTTAACCTCCTTGTTGTGAACGTACTGAGACTTCAGACGGAGTTCTTTGAGTGGTGCCGGTGTTAACAGTGCTCGAATATTGGTTGTGATAGCACCATTCAGACCGCACAAAACGATTCGGTCACCCTCACGCAGGATACCGTTGGACAAAACAACGTCAATTGTGGTACCAAGACCTTCAATGACCTTGACTTCCAGAACAGTACACTCGACCTCAGACAAGTACATCAGGGAGTTGGTCATACGCTCCTGGGAGAGAGTTGTGAGAAGCTTCAGCATGTCAGGAATACCCTCACCAGTGTGGGCGGAGGTGGGAACAAGGGACACGTTCCGGGCCATGGACTTGTTCTCGAAGAAGAGTTCGGAGTTGAAACCCTGCTCGGCGAAGGCGAGCTTGGTGGCTTCCAAGCGGGTGCGGAACTCGTTCTGGACACCCTTGTTCTGCATCGACAAACTGTCCTCGAAACCGTTGTTGTCAATCTTCTTCCAGCCGTACAGACGATCGATCTTGTTGAGGGCTACAATGAAAGGAGTCTTGCGGTCACGCAGCAAGCGCATGGATTCCAAAGTCTGGGGCTCCAATCCGTGCATGATATCGACAACCAGAATGGCAATGTTGCAAAGGGAAGAACCTCTTGAACGCAGATTGGAGAAAGACTCGTGACCAGGGGTATCGATGATCAAGAGACCAGGGACCTTGAACTCGAACTTGCCATCCTTGTTCACAACAGCAGTCTTCTGCTTCAAGGCATCGACGGGGAAGTAAGTAGCACCGATTTGCTGGGTAATACCACCAGCTTCACCCTCCTGCACATTGGTTTGACGAATCTTATCCAGCAGCTTGGTCTTACCAGTATCGACGTGACCAAGAATACAGCAAATAGGAGAGCGCAGGTTGTCCTTAGAGCGGGCCGCAAGAGCCTCCTCGTGCAGCTTCTGTCGCCGATCAGCAGCCTCGGCCTTCCTCTGGGCAATGGCTCTTTGGTTAGCAGACTGCTCCTCATCCTCGGAGGAAGAGTCATCATCGGAATCTTCATCGGAGTCTTCGTCAGAATCTTCCTCCTCACCATCCTCTTCTTGCTCTTCCTTCTTCTCCTCGGTAGCGCCGTTAACCGCGGGCTTCTTCTCCTCCTCGTCATCAGTAGGAGCGTCCCAGCTGTCCTTCACGTCGTCATCATCCTCGGCAGCCTTCTCCCAGTCATCAACGGCATCATCGTCTTCGGCAGGAGCCTTAGCAGCAGCGGCCGCGGCTTCAGCCTTGGCCTTCTCCTCAGCCTCCTTTTTCCGGCGTGCATCCTCAGCTTCACGCTGGAGGCGTGCACGTTCGGCAGCAGCTTCAAGATCGACCTCCTCTTGCTTCTTGCCACCCTTTTTCTTGCGGTTTTCGTAGACAGGGCGCTTCTTGTCGGCACCACCTTCCTCAAGACCAGCAACCTTGCCAACACCGGCCGCAAGCATCTGCTGCATGCGCCTCTCATTGCGCTCCTTGGCTTCCTTCTGAGCCTTGGTAAGAAGTTTGCCCTCCTTGCGCAGCTGCTCCTTCTTCTCACGCTCACGCTCCTTCTTCAAGGCACGAGCGGCCTCGCGCTTAGCTTCTTCTTCAGCATCTAAGCGCGCCTGCTCTTCCGCGGCCTTCTTCTCTTCCGCGGCGATACGCTCTTCCTCCTCACGCTGCTGGCGAAGCAGCTCCTGCTGCTTCTGAAGAGCAGCAAGGTGGGGCGGAAGCTTCTTCTTCTTGCCTCCAGTCTCGACAGCAGGAGCCGGAGCGGCCTCTTCTTTCTTGGTTTCAGCGGCGGCCTTAGCGGCCTCGGCCTTTTCCTGGGCAGGGGTAGACTTCTTCTTCAAGGCAGCCTGAAAAACAGATACAATGTTAGTTAGGGAAAAAGCAGTAGGCAAATGCCGAGATCCGTGTAAAACATACCTGCTCCTTCTTCCTTTGCTTCTCACGCTCCTTCTTCTCCTTCTCCTTCTCTTTCTTGGACTTGACGCGGAATTCTCCCTCTTCGGGCTCGGCAGCTGGAGCTGGGGCCTTGATGGGCTTCTTAGGCTTGCCAGCAAATACATCATCCTCATCGAAATTGCCCTCCTCGGGCTGCTTGCTAGCAAGATCGACTGCAGGTTCGGCGGCAGTATCGGCAGCATCCTCGCCCTCAACAAAGTCGTTGACAGGCTTGCCCTTCTTCTTCTTCTTCTCCTTATTCTTCCGCAAGGCAGCCATCAGGCCACCAGCGGCAGGAGCTTCTTCGCCAGCCTCAGCACCATCCTCAGTCTGGTCGTTGGTGGGGGTATCAACGGTAGGGGCCGCCTCGCCGAGCTCAGCCTCCCAGTCCTCGTCCTGGCGCTTGTTTCCCTTCTTCTTGGGAGCCATCGTGTCGAATGTTATGTAATTTTTCAGGTTTGATCTTTTTTACGTTCGTCGGGTTTCGGATCGGAGGGCGATCGGAAGGACGTAGTGGGCGCACAAACGGAGCTAACCGTTCACTTGCGGGATGTAGCCGTTGAATATGGCGTCGCGACCACGTAAATTAGGAAGGGAACTGTGGAAAAAGTGTTCCTGTTCCTCTGAAACCCAAATCCCCAGAAAAGAAAGGCGAAATTTGGTGGACCGAGGGGGAGAGTTGGGAAGAGAAAAAGAATTTCGGGAAATAATCACTTTTGGTGGGGAAACAGTGCAATCTGTCTAACGTTGCCACTCAATCGAGTCTTGAAAGTATACAGGCATAGCAATGATTATGCACTGTTATATGATTCAATTTTACGATATTAAGATCCACCTTCCATCATTACATGTATCTCATTCCTATTGAAATTTCACTAATATTCAAATTCGATGCTCTGTGGCTAGGGTGCTCTGCTTTATCAAATCTCCATGAGACAATGCTCATCGGACCACCGGAATCAAATTGTGATATCGAGCGTTTTTCGCAGCCAGGAAATGATTGCTTCGGAAGACGGATGCCCTACAACCGGAAGAGCAAGTCGGTTGAAAAGTTCCCTGGCAGAATTGGAGTCCAGCGATGTAATGATATTTTCAAGGAAATCCGGTCCACGGTGTGACAGACGATTCAGGATGTCACCATCAATATGAGAAGCAGTCAGATCGTGGGGATTTCTTCGTCGCAGCTGTTTAGGAGCAGACGGACAAATACTGTCGACCTTGTAACAGATGTTTTGCAAGAATCTCAACATTTTCAGCTCATCTGCGTTGGGCAAAACAAATCGGTAGATGGAGCCAAGGACGGTGAATCCATACAGACTGCTATCTGTCTTGTTACCGGGGACAAAACGCAATATCGACTCATGGAGCTTGGCTTCCGCCATAGTGCTGGAGGAATTCATTTTGTTGACCGTGTCGCGGCTCCATTGATCCTCGTCAAGCGTGGTAGCACAGACTCGACCACCGCGGTGGCTCATGTAGATAACAGGGTTGTCATCATGAGAAATCAAATGAGTCAATCCATCGCGTTCAATGCGATCCCATCTGCGGGCCACCAGTACAGAACTCTCATTGAGACCCGGTTGATTAACAATCTCAAACACTAGCCATGAATGTCGCGCACTCAACGTAAATATGAAATTTCCATGAATGGAAATGGAAACCACGGCGGAGGGGAGTTCTATTGGGGCCGTTTTATGCCACGTTGTAGATGCTGCCTTGGATGCCATCGGGATCAGGAAGTTCCCTGCCCCAATTATGAGGCTATCTTCGTAGGCCGCCAGTGCATGGATTGGCCCTTGCATGATTCGGGTAAACTGAGTCATGCACTTGATGTTGTATGGTTCGGATGAGTCTCGTCGGGGAGCAAGTAGAATGAGCCTACCCTGCTGGGGGTCGTTATGGTATAATGCCGGCATGGACGTGCCAATGGCGACCATGTAGTAGGTTTTCCCATCTCTTTCAAACGTCCAGTCTAAGATGCAAGAGACTGTCTCCCCACGGGCCGACTCAGGTCTCCAAACATGGTGGTCGGAATTATTGTGGACCACTGAGCTCTGTGAATCTGGATCCACAAATTCGATGAAAGATTTAACAGTCTTGGTGAGGGGATCTTCAGGGTCCTCCACACTTGAAATATTGTATGACACAATTAGAGCCTGAAGAATGGTCGAATATGCCATCTTCTGGGGTTTTCCAGGCAAACCAATGCGACGTGGAACCATCTTAGCTTCTTGGCTCAGAGAGCATACCAGAAGCTGTCGGTCTGCGAAGCATAGTAAATTTCCCAGGGGAGCTCCTGACTCTGGGTTGTGTGGATCGACAAGGTCAAAGCCATGTATAGAAATAGGGAAGTATGCAGGCTATGATGAACGTTAGGTCTTGAATAATGATGGAGTCTAGATTAAACTCACATTGCTCTGGTTTGTGATCCAGACTCGTCGAATGGAATACTCGGAGGGAATACAGTCTGAACTGTACGACACATGCCATAACTCATCCCCACATGTAAGCAAGGCGAACGCGCCATTCGTCTTGAGTCGAATAGACGTTGTTCCGATGCGTTTTGCCTCCTTCTGTTGTAGTCCTGTATGCAGTTTTTGTGAGCAAATTACCTCAAACATATTACACGAGATCCAACAGACGGAAAGGACATACCAATCAAGTTGTTGGCATTGAAATCCACTTCAAATGAGACAAGCATCCCGCTTCGCAATCCGCAGAGTAGAAACGCGCGTAAGAAGCCATTTGCCGAAGTAGTCCGGATGGTCACGAAGCTTTCAACGACCGTGGACAAGTCGGCATTATCTTCAAGGGCAACAGAAGTCTCAAACAAGAAGACGATGTTCTTTTCCTCAATCACGAAAACGTCAATCGTGCCATCAGGGTTGCCCACGAAGAGAAACGTCATGTCGCCAAACGTTTGCAGAGAAAGGCAAATGGGCTCTTTGGCAATAGTGACAGGCTCACCAACGTCTAAGCGGACTTCATCACCACCGGTGACAACTATTTTAGTCATGTAAAGGCATGCTTGGTCTTCATACCGCACAGCAGTAATCACTGCTGATTTTGGACCATCGACGGCCACTGTAAGGATAGTCACCTGGTCTTTGTGCGACACGCGCGTATTCAAAGCAACGTTGTGGAGAGCGAAGAGATGAGTTGCTTCTTCGGTGACTTGAATGAGAATACCATCAGGGGTGCAACCTGCAGCCAACGTTTGTCTACTATCCAGTCCTGTCTGTTCTTCTTCAAGGGCGATGATTGATTCCTCCATACCCTGGTTCAGGTAAAGAAGCAAGGTTGAAAGAGGATCAGAAAGCAGTATGTAAACACCACCGTTCACATTTTCAGGTAAAGTCCACATGTCTCGGATACTCGAAAAATCATCAAGCGGCACATTGAAGCCCTGTTGGGCCTCAAAGCCCCATCGAAACTCATGAAGCGCACCACGACTCGCCGTAGAATCAGAGCAAGCAAAGAGACGATTGCTAGCAATACCGCCATAGGGAGTACTTTGGGTCACTGGGCAGACCATGGTGGCATCCCGGACTGGGGCCCAGTTGAAGAATCTTTGCACACACCTCGGGCCGGCTCGAGCTTCTTGTACAAATAGTCCGCCATCGCCAGTGCTGCCAGATGCCAGGATGAAGTCACCGCCTTGGGAGCCCATGTCAAGGACATCAAACGCCATATCGACATCACAGTGGATCTGACCCAAGGAGGTTTGAGTTTCTAAATCTCCCTCATTGCCGAACTCTAGAAGATAAATCCAGCCATCCTCGCGGCAAAGATAAATTCCATCGTGGCTCTGACTGTACAGCCAGTTGCGGGCTGGTCTTGCCCAGCGAGTCCACATCGATGCGGCGCTGATGTCTGGATTGGGAGCGAGAAAGGGGTACCTTGTAGGACGGGTTTCGCCATCAAAAGAATATACTGCCATGGAGGTGGTGGTAAGGACCAAAAAAGATGATTCCTTGGTCAGCGGAACAATCATGGTCGGTAACCTGTGCTGCTTGCGAAGTTTGAAGTCGTATATCTCTGGCTCACTAGCACTGAGACGTTCGTTGTCTTTCCATACATACGTCACAGCATCAGTGACACCGTCCAGTTGTACGATCAGAAGTAGCATTATGTTCTTATCGTCGGCAGTCTTGGGGTAGAGAAATTCCATGAACATGATGGTTCCATCAATTCGATAGAATTTTTCCTGCATAGCAAGTGTCAATGGTTGATTACTCAAGGCTGGAAACGATAGCTAAGTACCTCTTCGATGGGATCCAGTGTCCCGTTAGCCATTTGCGATTGGGCTTCATGGGGAGGTTTAAGTCGCATGATTCCGAAGAAATCTTTCGGTGCACATACTGCGACGGCGCGAGACCTAAATCATAATTAGCCTGCCACATGGTAAAATAGAGTGAAATTCTTACTTTGGATCAACAGCAATTTGTTTACCAAATCGCATTTCCAAGCTCACATTGACCGGGAATGGGCGACAAAAAGTGACGAATTCATTTGGCTTCGACGGGGAACAATAGACGAAATGCAACTCTTTCATGTCCACGGCAAGTACAAGGATCTGTGATGGACCATCATATGCAGCCTCAGATTGTATTTGTGATTCCAGGGGGAGCTCCGTGCTCACATTAAGAACCTTTGCTGCACCGATCGAGCCTTGAAAATCCGTCTTCTCAGCCACATCCTCGAGATAGCCTGCAGATATTGCTTCTTTGATCTGGACTCGCTTCTCTCCAACAAACACAACATCATTGTGATTCTTGTTTCTCAGACGCGCTGGTAAAATCCATTTGATCACTGGACAGGCAAGGATGGTTTGGGTGAGAATTCCCGGTACTTCAAGCTCATTGGAGGAGGGAGATGGACGCGTTGTAGATGCACTGGCCATGTTGTGGATGTTGAAATATCGAATGGCGATTATCCGAGGTGTTCCTTTTCAAAAGACTGTATCTGCGGGGGCAATAAGGGTAGAAAATAGTAGAGGAAGCTGTAAGGAATGATGTGATGGCAGAACAGATAGGTAGCAGACAGGCGAATAGACCCTGGGTAGAATCTCTATTCGATGCTTCACTTATATCACTGGCTTGATCTAATGATCACGTGTCATTCGGGGAGGAAAGGCAAAGGATATCAAGATGAGCCTGAGGCTTTTCACTCTGGCCAAATGTTTTTAAACGAAATGAATGTATGTTTCTTGTTGATTGAGATTGGGAAGCTATGACAGTTGATTTGTCCCAGCATTGAATCAGACCGTTCAATTAATCATTTGTCTCACAAGTGTCATATACTGCTTGCCCTGGAGACCCTATATTGGTTAAAGTTAACATACGAAATTGCGTTAGATAGGAGGGTTTCAATCAGAGCATGAGACCTACAGCTTTGACGCTAATGATCGAGGATCAACGCAATGTTTTCAATGAAAAGCAACATCAAGCAGACTCAAATCAGTACATAGCACTCAATGGTACCCATGAGATTTAGTAGATGTAGCTTAATATAGCTTTGAGGCATACAGTAGCTCTAGATCGTCAAGAGCTACTTCGTCCTGCGGGGTGATTGTCCGATCGCTGCGGGACCCAAGGTCAAGGCAGCTGAGAACAAATCGGATCCCTGTATGTGCTGCTAACTTTTTGCTCTTGTCTTTATCCGGCCAACTGTATTGCAGAATCACTTGGATGTGGGATCGAAGTGGATGTTTTCTCAGGATCCAAAGGGCAAGTGGAGGAATCACGTTGGTGTTGGTGCCTCAGGCATATAAGCGGGATCGCTCCACCTGATGTGCATATCAGCCTCCTGTCCTTTTTCCATCACTCATGCAAGTTCACTGTTGATTTCAACAAATATCAAGATATCTTGTCCTCCGGGCAATATCGAAGGCCTTTTAGTCACAAGATCTGCACATTTGCTGTGTCGTTCAAAGAAGTCGTGACCTATAAGGGCCAGTCATCAAACCTTCAGGTCAAATGCATATCGAGCTGGCCCGGATGGCCTGAATATCGTTTGCCAATTCCATCACAAACTTTGCCTGCTTCTCCAGCCTCCTCTCTTGTCCTTGGTTAAGTGCTTTAGCTTGCGCCTTGTGAGTGACATAGATTTCGGCAATGGCCCTATCCGGCGTTGAGCTGCGCAATGAGAGCTCGACAGAGGATTCCATCTCCCTTGGTAGCGAAAAGACATCAGAGACGTCAAGCGAGATATCTGAACGACTATTGGAGACGCAGCTGAAAGAGAAAGCCCGATCGGAGAAAGCAGAGGCAATCCGCCAAGCCTGTTGCGCTCATGACATGAAGGCGATTGTCCACCACGCTGTAAGCGAAGGTGGACTTTTGGAGGATGAGCTCCGACGACAAGCGTGTAAGAGTCAAATAAATTGTCGGGTATACAAAGGCTAACGTCTTCTAATAGGGCCTATTCTTCTGCAACTCGACAAGGGTATACAAAATGACAACCTGAAACCGTCAGATGAACTCCCACCACATACCGATGAGGAACAGGTCCAATTGGACGTGAATCGGTCATTTGTCTATTATCCGAAAAATCTTCCTGCAGAGGATATGGCGGAAAAGAAGGCGCAGTTGTCAACCTTAATCACCCAAATCCTTCGAAACTACCCCATGCTTTGTTATTTCCAGGGGTATCATGATATCGTGCAAGTCTTTTTCTTGGTTCTAGGAAACCAACAAGCAGCATCAGTCATGGCACATATATCCCTTTTTCGTATCAGAGATTATATGCTCCGAACATTATCACCGGCTATCAAACATCTGCAGCTCATACCTGCCATCATTGAAGCTGCCGACCCGGCTTTGCGACAACACCTCTCCCACATTCAACCTTTCTTTGCCCTTGCCGCCACGCTCACTCTTTATGCGCATGATATTCAAGAATATAGCGATATTGCCCGCCTTTACGATTTTCTATTAGCAAAAGAGCCGGTAGTATCGATCTACTTATTTGCCGCAATCATCCTGTCCCGAAAAAAAGAACTCTTGAATATTCCTCTGGATGAGCCGGAAATGCTTCATTTCACTCTTTCCAAGCTTCCACAGCCACTGGACCTAGATAGCCACATCTTGCATGCAGAGAAGCTCTTCAATGACCACCCTCCTGAGTCTTTGCCGCATGGAATATGGAGAAGCATCTCGAGATACAGTGTGCTCAAGACATCAAGGGTCTCGTCCCCAGACTATACTGTCAGGGAGGCAGTGAGGCTGTTTGAGAAACAAAACCGGCAGCTTTATCGTGAGGAGCTTCGAAAGAAAGCCATGGATTTCACGTGGAAGCATCGGCGGGCGGTCGGATCTGTCGCATTGGCTGTTTTGGTCGGTGCAGCATCATTCTATATCCGCAGGAAAGGACTGGACACTTCTATTTGGTCTTATGTTAGACAAGTCCAAGCTTTTTTTGATTGATTCAATTTTGTTATGATACTAGAATAATAAAAGCAATGTACTCGAGTTTGTTTGAATATTGGATTCGTTGGACATGTAAAACATTAACTGTTCTGATAAGACGAGTTTCACGGAGACATGTGGGCTGCTTGAAAGAATTTCTAACTTTCAAATTTTTTAATTCATATTCTTGTTGAATGTTTCACCTAGATATCTCTCTTTCCATCAGGATAGAGTTCGGGATATTAAAAATATCAAGCTGCTGTGAGATGAGTGATACTGGCTCAGGTTCATGAAATTGGTGCCCGGATACGAATGACTAGGATGTGTATTTATATAGTGAGTATCCTCTTGGGTTGAAATTTTTGTCAGGCATCTATGTTTCATCTCCAATGACTTTGAAAGTTAGTAGCACATCAATTCCAATTTCAAGTACCCGATAATCAATGTAAATTGCACAGAAAAGTAGCACCCTGAGTGGTGGTTGTAGGTAGGCTTTTTGACCACGTGTGGCTGCAAAGTGTGGCGCTGTCCCGGGGGAAGCTGATGTGTACACTTCCAACTCTCCGATAACAATCATCTTCTACAACTCAACACATCCACCATGGCGAACAGGGGCTATGATGTCGTAGTTGATGTAGATGCAGAGGTAGGTCTGATACTACACCACGTGAATGTCAATCTTCTCACACATCCCAGGGCGACCTCGGCCATACCGACCTGCAAGAGGACCTTGAATTCCATTCGTCCAGTGAGTGCTAAACCACCTGTGATAGAAACCACTGAATACCTTTAGTAACCGTCTTTTCCTCACAAATAGACTTCGAAAGTGACCAACGCACCGCCAAAGCCCAAGCCGACTCATCCCCGTTCCTGGGTGGTTCCTCCTCCCGTGGCCGCGACCGATCCCCTGGCGGGACACCTACCAAACACAGCTGGTGGTCAATTCACTACTACGAGCGATTCTTCGATGTCGACACGAATGAGGTCTTCCGCCGCTGCATGGCGACGCTGTACCCGCGTTCAAACTTCCTGGACGTCCTCGAGGGAAACGCGGACCTCTACGGCCCCATCTGGATCGCGACGACGGTCGTCGTGATCCTGTTTCTCACCGGTACCATCTCGCAATGGCTGTCTAATAACGACGACAAACACTTTGAGTACGACTTTAGATTGCTGTCAGGTGCTGCAGGTCTAATCTACGGGTATACTGGTGTCTTGCCCATTGCCCTTTGGGGAGCTCTGCGCTGGTTCGGGAGCTCGACAGCTGATCTGATTGAGTGCTGGGCTTTGTATGGTTATTCGAATCTGGTATGGATTGGCGTTGCGCTGGTTAGTTGGAGTCCACTTACGGCGCTGAACTGGGCGCTTGTGGGTGTTGGCTTTGCGTGGACGGCTTTCTTCTTGCTGCGCAACCTCTACCCGGTGCTGAATGCTACTGATGCCAAGGCGAGCAAGATCCTACTTATCTTGGTTGTCTTGTTGCATGCCGGTTTGGCTATTGCGATTAAGATTCTCTTCTTTGCGTGAGTTCCCCACATCCATGAGGACGTTCTGTCTGGATTTATGATGGCATCTTTGCTAATTTGACCTATAGCCATGCGAGCCCCGTTTCTAAGAAGAACAAGGACACGGGCAGTGACGATAATAACGACAATACGCGCCGCATGATGTTCTAAGCTTAAAATTGATGGTGCGATCTTCCGGTGAGATTGAAGAATGTCTGTCTTGCTCGCATCGCGTACTTGTTTTCTCTATTTCCTTTGCACGGTACACAGATAGGCCATGCATGTATTGTATTTTACACAGGCCATTGTATGGCTGATCAAATCCAATGAGCATTCCCCCAAGAGAACACTCGTAGGTGCTGTGGCCGTCTAGTATATCTCGTTCTCCAAGTCGTGAACCGTCATATCGAGAGAATCACGCATTTGATTGAGTGCGGGGCGAGAGCGCGAAACTACTCTAGAACCCCTCAAGACATTGAGAGACCATGATGTCCTTCATAAAATGACCTCAATGAGCCCCGCACTACGCCTAATCTAATCAATCTAATCGACAATGAAACGGCTTTTGCGCTGCAAAATTTTGAATATTTGAACTTTTACTTCAATTCATGGATTGCGACTTGGACCTCGAGAGGAGCCAACTAACATAAGTAGTACCGTGGCTGTGATTGTTTCATCATTTCTAACGCCATGTAAAAACCTCTCCGTGTCGCATCCCAGCCAAAACCCAGACCTGGAATCGGCACCACAGCACCCCGAGCACAACACCGATCGATAAGCGAATCGTCTATTTGAGCTTCTTCTTGGGGCGGAGCTGGTTGGTGTGACCGCACTTCTTCTTGCGGCAGTTGGTGGCACGAGGAGGGAGACGAGCCTATAGTTTCTATGTTAGTGTCTGGTTCTGATCTTAATCCGGAGGTCGAACTGTTGTTGCCGATGTCGAAGGAATGATCGCATGATGCAGTATTCCAAGTCGATGCATGGAACCGGGAATTTTCAGGTGGATTGGGATTCACGTACGTAGCACTTGCGGCAGATGGACTTCTCGCAGTTGTACTTGGAGGCAAGGGCCTTCAGGGAAGGCTCAATGATACCACCACGCAGACGGAGGACAAGGTGAAGGGTAGACTCCTATAGAGTGAAACCAAGTCAGTCACGGTTCCAGATGTGTCGCACAAGTCCTTTCGCAAACGCATCAAACATCGACCGGTAATCCTTCTCTTTCGTATCCTAGAATATATTTGTCGTGATGCATGTGAAAGTGTCGGTCGGAATTCAGATCCACATTGGATACAGCCCCCACCCAAACCGGTCGATATCGAGTACGAATGAAATGACTTGTCGATCCAGATAATGAATTTGCCTCATACCTTCTGGATGTTGTAGTCGCTCAGGGTGCGGCCATCCTCGAGCTGCTTGCCAGCGAAGATCAGACGCTGCTGGTCCGGGGGGATACCCTCCTTGTCCTGGATCTTGGTCTTGACGTTGTCGATGGTGTCGCTCGACTCGACGTCGAGGGTAATGGTCTTACCCGTCAGGGTCTTGACGAAACTATATCCAGCCGCATTAGTGGCTTGTCCTTAACGTTGTGCGGATTCTTGCTTCTTCGTTGGTGGGTTCGTTGAAGGTTGCGGATTCGCGGGTTCTCGGAAGTTCAGGATGACCTACATCTGCACTAGAAGCAGGGGAAAAGGACATGTTAGCTCATCTTGTTCACAAAGACGTCGGGAATGCGTATTAACGAATTTCAGGTCACGTACTGGTTGCGAGTTTTCGTTGGTGTCGGCGGTCGGTCGCTGTGTTCGAGGCGGAGGAGGCGATTACAATTTGAGGATATCTCGCTTAGGGGAGGTGGGCCAACCATACTTACCCTAAGCCCTAACATCAGCACCCGCGGATTGCCGCTTTGAGACATCTCACGTGACTTACAGCGCCTTCCCTGTTTAAGATGTCTCGCGTCATTTTCATTGGATGATGTATTCCCTGTACATTTCATGTGCTTGACCAACTTCTTAATCTCGAGATTGATCCACTAGGAATATCAAGGAACTTGATATGTTATTACCAGTAACTGGATATACTATCAATTGAGGTATCCTCGCACCATTACTCACCCCCAACATCCAGCCCCATTAGCTGTTCATCTAGTTCATCTAAATCATCTAGTTCATCCATCTCTTCCCCGCTACTTCCATGTAGCTCTTCCTCAGAATTTGACTCCTCTTCACTCTCGGATTCCGATCTCTCTTCACTGTAGGATTCTGATCCATATCCTGTATACTCTGAGCACCCCTGGTGCTCCTGCCCATGCCCAAGCCGCCATTCAGCAGCTGATACCGCTCGGACAAGCGTATGTAATGAGACGGCTGCTAGTTTAGCCGCTACCTCATAAAAGGAGCGTGCTTCTTCGGGAAGCGCTGACACCCATCGGTATCGACGGTACCATATGCCTGGTCTGGCAACTATCTCCCCCTCTTGGTCTGGAACAATGGGTACTGAGAGCATACCTTCCATGGATCTTCGTAGAAGATCGTCAAGCTCTTTTTCCTCGTTATCAGTATAAGCAGACTGCTCTGCACCGAGATCATGCCTTGAAGGAGTCTCTGTCTCTGTCTGTGTTTCCGATACGGGGAACATGTCGGCAACCACGTTGGGGTCCTTCGTGGTATCCAACCAGTCTTTCTCGTACCAGTCCATGTACTGATCTAACTGGTGAGGTTCCATCCTTGATACATCCGATGCGGACACTTGGATAGCTTTTTCTACCCCAATCCTCCCCTCGGAATGTTTTTGGGATTCATACTGCTGCTGAGCTCGCACCCATTCCTGCCAGTCGATGCCCTGAGCGGTGGGCTCCATGGCTGTGACCGGATTCCTTGGTATATTATCAAACGGGAAAAGCAATTTGGTGGCTATGACAATTAGGACAACCATCTGGATCTCAGGCAGCTGAAGCGATTCTATACGCTTGTCGTCGTTGAGGTACTCTGGGTATTCGAAAGTGAAACCAAGGAGCCTTTGTATCACCTTGGTCATCTCATACACATCAACTGTTTCAAAGTTAGTTTTCTCAAAGCTGCGTTAAGGTCATAATTGCATACTTGGAACAGCCAATCTTTTGATGTGCCGATGAAAGATGATAGGGGAGTTAATGGGAGGTAGCTCCATTCCAAACTTGCGTTGGTAGCGAAGCGCTATATCTCTGATCGTTCGATGCAAAGCCTCCACTTTTGGTATTTTCTATTGGAGAGTTAAGCAAAATGAAAGCAGGGCTGCATATATGGCGGTAATAAATGACTTACATTAACAGTAAGAATCTCAGTAAACTCTGGAGGAAGCTGCTTCTTGATCTCCCGAGGTACAACCTTTAACGCTCGGATATAAGGAATATCCTGGCGTAAAATCAATCTGTTGAGCGGGAGCAGGTGGTTAGTATAAGCCAATGCCCGGAACGTTCAAGATGACAGCTGCCGTCATACGCAAACAGTGTATGAGCAGGTTACATACTTGTGAAAGTCAGCAACACAGAATGGAAGCTGCATAATAAGTGCTGCTAGATAACACAGAGCCACAGTCTCGGGCATGCGAGGCCAAATATGATACGTGGGCCTAATGGTGGCGCTCGATTCATCGTCGTCTTTCTGCGAGGCCTGTGAGCTGAAAATCTCGGGTTCACTATCAATATCCTCGTCTTCTGTAGACTCGGTGATCTTCAAAGCGTAGTCCTGGAGCTTGAGAGCCCAGAGATCATGAACAATACCCTATTAGATCTGTCAGCCTTTTTCTAAAAAGGTTGCGTACATCCCTGCGGAAGATTTACCTCAAACTGCTCTGGGAACCCATGTTCGTGGACCAGAGCATAGCATTGTTTCCACAGGATTATCTGATAAGCTTGCAGGAGCAGGGTTTGTGCCTTTCGACCACGAGCAGCTGATATGGTATTAACACTGAGGCTATTTCACGGAGGAATGAAACATACTCTTTCTCGATTTTTCCTCCTTCTCCCTCTTCACTCGGTTGATTCTACCCAGTTTTCCGAAATCATCTGCGTCTTCTTCAATTTGCCGCCCCTAATGGAAATCTTTAGAATGAGATATCCCTTTGCGTGGACATGGATTGGCGACACGTTTCGTGCATACCTCTTGCAAATGTCCGCGACGACAGAACCAGAGGCCATTGTCGACATAGTATCTTCGCTCACGGCATGACTCTTGGCCACAAACCCCTCGGGTGACATAGTCCATGCCGAGGCAACGGGGTCATGCTGGTTGGGGGATGTTGAGTTTACGGTTCGGAACGTAGTTTTTTTTCTGCCTTTTCCAGCGACCGCCGGTTCTGTAATCACCGACATGCGGTGTTGAAACTCCCGTTTATATTGAACAGCCTGGTTTCAAGGGCCCCGAATATGGATCTGAGACTACGAGAAGTACGAGGATTTTTTTTTTCTATATATCTCTAGGGAAGCAATTACAGAAATTGGTAACAAGATTTACTAAGTTTAATTGTTCGTCATACTGTCATGAGATGCTAAGACTCAGAGATGATCATCGGACAACACGTACTATGCCAACCAAAGCAATTCTTCTCGTCGTTTAAGCCTACATTCCAAGGCCTATATTGGGAAAGCGGATCCGAGAAGCGATAAGACACAATAGACGTCCGGTCAATTGGCCAACGGACCGTATCCTTCATCGAACCATGGAAGCTGAGATTTTGATGTGAAGGGAGGTGGGGCATGTGCCCGATTTTTTTTAACGTAAAGGTTGACATAACATGTGAAAGATCCAAGAGTATGGCGCTTAATTACCCTTGGGAGCCTCCTTGGCATCAATGCAGGCCTCCTCACCCATGGCAGTCTGAACGATGACGTCTGTAGATGGTTTGTTAGCGAGACTTGCTCTCAATTGGACGTAATAAGAAAGATCCCTAGTAGGATATAGTGTGTACTTACTGACGTCCTTGCTGTCATCGTTGAACAAGTCCATCAGCTTCTTCTTCAGCTCAGTCTCCTCGGGGACCTTGACGTCGTCCTTGAGATCACCATCATCGGTCAGCATGGAGAGGAAACCATCCTCAGAAATGTCCAACTAAATATAGTGTCAGTAGAGACTCGAATACAACCTCAATTTGCTGGCGAACTCACAAGCTGGTACTCGCGGCGGTTGACGATGGGGACGTCCATGTTGTGGGTGGAGGGAGACAGATCCTCAAGCTTCTTGCCGGTGAAGATATCGGTGGCGACCATGTGGACCTTGGCGTGACCGTGCTTGCCAGTCTTGGAGGTGGACATCTCAATGATCTTGCAAGGGCGACCCTTAATGACGACGTGACCGTTCTTGCGCAGAGCGGAACACTGCATAGGGAAGGTGGTCGAGGCACCGGCATCAGCCGACTCGAAGGTAACGTCAAGCTAGAGAAGTATGTTAATTCTGTACGTGAAAATGCCATTCAAAAGAGATGTTTCCGCGCCGGGCTCGATAGGGGGCTTGTGGTGCGCCCTTGAAAAGAGGGGAGAGAGCCTCTAGATGCGGGGCTCTCGCACGCACAGTGAGCGAGTGGCTTGGAAGGTTGCAGGGTTGGGGGCAAGAGGGGAGAAAAGACGCATAGACAATTCCGTACCTCTTCAGCAGACATGGTGAATGAATGAGAGTTAGATGAGGAGTATAGAAAAACAAGAGATGGGGGTGAAGAGAAGGGAGAAAAGAGGAGTTTTCTTCGAGAAGAAAAAGACAGAAAAAAGGCTTTGTGGTGGGGGGCTTGGTCGCTACCCTGTTTTGGGTTTAGCGTCCCCGGGGCGCTGTTTGGCTTCACGATTACTGGATGTACTCCATTACTTGTACACATCTACCTTTGACCTAATTCTAGGTAGACCGCCCATTTCTGGCTTGCGTTTCAAAGCCTTTAAAATGTGGCGTGACCGCATTGCAGGCCAATCGACCCTCTCCGGAGTAAATCGTAATCCTCCCTCCTTACCCCGGCGTTCTTCGTCTCAGCTCTCCCGCGACCCCTACAACGCCCGTCCCGGCATTACCCCGACAACCTCCTCGACCTCATTGCTCGTGTCTCCGAATGACTCAACCGCCTCGCTCCCAGGAACCGCACGTCCACCTAATGGCACGGGATTCAGGCAGACAAGTGCCCAGCGACCGCGTCCGGCGGTGATCCCCGATCCGCTAGAAGTATTGAATGGAATCATTCGGAAAGAGAAACAGGGCAAAGGGGCTCTGCAGCTCCCCGCAAATTCAGAAACACGGCCACAAGAGTTAGTGAAGGCCATTGACTTTGAGGGATTGAGCTTGGAAGAATTCGTGGCGAAAGCAACCCCGAAGCCGACCAGAAAGTCCCCTGGTAGTGATGTCAATGCGCAAACGATTCAACAGTTCGAGCAGGAACGGGATAAGTTTCAGGATCTCCATACCGCTATAAGCGGCTGTGACGATGTCTCCAAGTCAGTGGAGTTGTACCTGAATGACTTCCAAAATGAGTTAGGAGCCGTGTCCGCGGAGATTGAGACATTGCAAACCCGCTCTACCCAGCTAAATGCGATGCTGGAGAATCGGAGAAATGTGGAACGGCTACTTGGACCAGCGGTGGAGGAGATTAGCATCTCACCAAAAGCTGTTCGTGCGATTGTTGAAGGTCCTATGGATGAGAACTGGGTGCGTGCCCTGAATGAAATTGACGCTCGGACCACCGGCATCGAAGCCAAAGCGTCTTCCTCAACCGGTTTTAAAGCAATAGAGGATGTACGGCCACTCTTAATCGATGTGAAGAACAAGGTAAACCCCCATAAAAGGCTCATGATACAGGCTTTGTATTGACAAATATAGGCGATCGAACGAATTCGAGACTATCTGGTGTCGCAAATCCGGGCAATGCGATCGCCAAACATCAATGCGCAAATCATCCAGCAACAGCGATTGGTGAAATTCAGGGATCTTTATACCTACTTGTCAAAGGTGCATCCAACTCTTGGTGGGGAAATTTGCCAGGCGTACATCAACACCATGCGCTGGTACTATACGTCCAATTTTACTCGCTATCTCCAGGCTCTCGAGAAGATCAAGATCTATCCGAGTGATCGCAATGAAGTACTTGGAGGTGAATCTTCTACACACAGAACAGGTAAGACCAGCAATCACATTGTCTCTCGAACAATCTTAATGATCCATAGGAGGTATCCTACCGGGCGGCCGAGCTGGCTCTGCCGCACACGACCCATTTTCTCTAGGTCGACGGATTGATGTTCTTCGAAATGGGAACCAACCTGCCATCTCCTCCTACATTGCCGAGGAAGATCACTCCTATCATGGGATCGAACTGCCCTTCCGGAACTTCAACGTTGCCCTGGTCGACAACGTATCTGCAGAGTACTCTTTCCTCACTGAATTTTTTTCTCCTTTGACATTCCATGAAATTTCGCGCAAGGCCGGGGAAATCTTCGAACCGGTGTTCACCCTTGGCCGAAACCTGACGAAGAAACTCATTGAAAATACAAATGATTCGTTGGGTGTCTTGATGTGTGTCCGTCTGAACCAACACTCGGCTTTTGAATTCCAGCGGCGTAAGGTTCCCGTTGCAGACTCATATGTGAATGGAATCAACATGCAGCTATGGCCGCGCTTTCAGGTTATCATGGATCTTCATGGCGAGTCACTCAGACGAGTTGGTTCCAACACTGGACGAAGTGCGATGTCCGCTCTCTCCATCGCAGGCGGAGACGATTTGAAACAATCATCTGCACCGCACTTTCTGACCCAGCGGTTTGGCCAGCTCCTTCATGGAATCTTGGTGCTCAGCAGTGATGCAGGGGATGACGAGCCTGTGTCAAATAGCCTGGCTCGGCTACGCTCCGAGTTCGATTCCCTCTTGGCGAAGCTGAGTCGAAATGGCACCGACGCAAAGCGCAGAGAGCGATTTCTTTACAACAATTATTCATTGATCTTAACCATTATTAGTGTACGTTTTCTCCCTTATCTCGTTTTCACTAGATGCTTATTGAATCCCAGGATACCCAAGGAAAACTAGCGACCGATCAGAGAATGGTGAGTTGTTGTATATCCACTAATTGATCTACTGAGCTCGACTGACGGCCCTTTAGCATTTGGACGAGATGCTGAAAAGCTGCAACAAGCGTTGACTGCATAGCGACTTGCCCTAACATAAATTCCCACTAGTTCTGTATGAGCGCTTTCATGTATTTGAACATAAGCATCTAATCCACTTTATAATTTTTCTCGAACTTTGTCGTTTTCATGTTGTGCCGCATAAGATGTATGGCGTGACTAAGTCGTAATGTTGCTGGTGGACTCGGAGTGCTGATCGGCAAGATCTCCGCTCCGCGGGGCCTCTCCCTTATCTGCAATTGCCGGTTGTTGCACCTCACCTCTATTTTCCTTCGCAAAAATGCTGGCGCGTGGAATTGCAAAGCGCAGCCCGGTGCTTCATCGCTGCTTTTCCAGCGCACAGGCTCGTCCTGCTGATTTTACCCATGCAGTGAGTTCCGCCCAGCTGTTCTTCGCGCAACACCATCGAGAACAGCCGAGAAGCTTCGAGTTCCCCAATTAACGTGGTATAGGTCATCGGCGCTGGCGTTGTTGGACTTGCAGTTGCGCGCCAGCTAGCAGCACACGAAGGCACCTCGACAATTCTCCTGGAGCGCCATGATGCACCGGGAACGGAGACAAGCAGTCGCAACTCCGAGGTGAGCATCTGCGGTGTTTCATTACTAGACAATAACTAGTGTGACCTCAATTGTGGATGACATAGCTAACAACCGTTTTTTTATTTTTTTTTTATCAATATAGGTTATCCATGCAGGCCTCTACTATCCCGCCGACTCCCTCAAAACAAAGCTCTGCATCCGGGGTCGCAATATGATGTATGACCTTTGCTCGAAACACGACATCCCCCACCGCAATACAAAGAAATGGATTGTCGCCCAAACAGAAGAACAATGGGAATACACTCTGCGAGTACATGAACACGCTCAATCCTTAAGCGATGCACCAACCCGGCTCATCGGGGCTGAGGAAGCAGCCCGTCGCGAGCCAGATGTCAAAGCCGATGCAGGCATCGTCGAGAGCCCAACAACCGGCATCGTAGATAGTCATGCCTTGATGATCTATCTACATGGAGACTTCGAGAACAACGGCGGTGATTGCGCATTCAAGACACGTGTGGCGAACGTCGAGTACATCCCTGGCGAGGGATACAAAATCACTGCTGTTTCAGATGAAGACGGCTCCATCACTTCCATCACTGCAGAGACGCTTATAAACAGCGCTGGCCATGGCGCGTGCGCTATTAACAATCTGATTCTCCCGAAAGAGCGCCATCGAACCCCGGCCTATGCAAAGGGTACATATTTCTCCTACACCGCATCCCGACCGCGCACTTCTGTTCTGGTCTACCCTGCGACATTACCCGGCCATGGTGGTCTAGGCACTCATCTTACACTGGATATGGGCGGCCGAATCCGTTTTGGACCGGATGTGGAGTGGGTCGATGATCCAAACGATCTGAAGCCTAGTCCCGCGCGCATGGAGCAAGCTATTCCGGAGATCCTGTCTTACATGCCTGGTGTGGACCCTTCGGCTATTGCGTTGGACTACTGTGGTATTAGACCTAAGTTGAGTCGTGGTGGTGGAGTGAACATTGGAAAGACGTTCCAGGATTTCATCATCCAGGAAGAAGAAGGATTTCCTGGTTTTGTCAATCTGCTGGGTATTGAGAGTCCGGGTCTAACGAGCTCGCTGGCCATTGGAGAGATGGTTGATGGCATCCTTTATCGGTAAGTATGCATGATATGCATACTACATCGTCTCCAGATTCAATTGCCTCTAGAAGTGCAGGGCAGGGGTTGTGAGCGCCGTGGAAAAAAGCGATGCTCATACCTAGTATATAGACAATGCAAGTAATTACTGAACTTTGTGCCAGTATCCAAAACAAGCCGTGTCTCTGTTATGAAGGGTTGTATAGCCCTCAAGTTGCTGAGTAGAAGTATTGAAGATAGACAGTAATACCCATATACCTAGACGGGCTTGGAACCACTGAAGTATGATAGCCAAGGCGATTTCAGCCCATTGTAGCAGCCAGCTCCTCGAATACTTTCCCAAGCCTCTGATCTTCAAGCCAAGAAGTAACACCCTAACGCCAGGTGAATCCATGAAAAGAAATGACTCTCCGCATAAAGTCTTTCCCGTCACTGTATCATGTAGTTCGGGAATTCCAGATGTCGGAAACCATTACCCACAAAAACCGGGGTAATAAGCCCGAGTCCTTACAAGTACGTATTCAAGGCATAGCTTCTGCATATCCTGGTTCACGGCCTCTTTCTACCATTCTGCCCATTATGCACATTCTCGGCCTTGCAAACGGAACGCTTAATGGCAACTCGGAGATCCTTCTCAAAGCCGCCTTAATAGCTGCCGAGAAGGCCGACTCGTCCATTACAACTTCATGGATCCATGTCCCCTCCGTCTCTGTGCCCCGAAACCCAAGACCTTTAGAGGGCGCACAAGATGTCAGCATGGGAACAATTGGCCAGACCGGAGTCGATGGTGACACGGTCCTAGACGACCGCAGAGATGTACTCAATGCAATTCTGACAGCCGATGCTCTGATCTTCGCAACACCCATCTACAGCCACCAACCAGCAGGTACCCTCAAGGCGTTGGCCGATCGAATCCTTGGCCCATTCACCGATGCCGCGTTTGTGCAACGAGTACTTGATCACCAGAAGGCAGGCGAACAGATCTACCAACATATCAAGGTTGATAGCCGCATTCTAAAACCTAGAATCGCTGCTTTCATTGCCGTGGGCGGGTCCCCCTTCAAGGAGCAGGTCACCATGGCACTGCCTACTTTGCACCAATTCGTCTACTCTCTCCATGCAAAGGTGGTAGACCAGCACGTATTCCAAGGCTATGGCCGTCCAGGATCGGTCTTATTGCGTGGAGGAGAAGCGGTTATCAGAGCCGAGGAGCTGGGTCGAAATGTGGCGAGCCAAATTGGCAAGACTTTTGATGAAGCGGAATACTTTGGACCGAAAGATCCTGCCAGCTGCCCATACTGCCACATGTCTAAGGTCGAGATCGACTATACTGAGGATAATGATGTTGGTTGCATTACCTGCGGAGCTCGGGGAAGGCTTGTTATTGGAGAGAATGGACGGATCCAGCCTGTTTGGGAGGCTGACTCCACAACAAGCTGTATCACGTTCAAGGGCAAGCTTCAGCACCTTGATGATCTTCGCGATGCTGCCATGCAGGAGGGACCGGCGATGGATGCTGACTCAATTAAGGAGGAGCGAGAGCGGTGGGCTCAAGTCAATATCGCCAAAGTCCCACTCACGAGCCATTCCAGAGATATTTTGCAACAGAATTAAAGCGGGGGCGAGGGCTGTTTCACGCACCCTATTTGGAATCAACCTTTTACCCAGAATGGTCTGCGACATAGATAACCTACCAAGAAGCAGCGTTTGATGTATACTACTTCATCAGTAAAGATGTCTTTGATTTGAAGTGTGCGATTTGGCAACACATACTTCTTCATTCGGATAAATCAAATAGATCGCATGATGTGATGTCAGGTGGTGAAAATGAAACAAGTAATATACACAAAGAACCACAGCGGTAGACATCCAGAAAATCATACATGGCTAAACAGAGTTCATTCCACATCCATCAAAACATCACTCATGATATGAAGCACATACGAGAACTTCTTGACACTCCACTTCCCCGAGTCCTTGAGAAGACTCGCGAAATCGAGCAAAATTCTCCGAGCAGATTGGTAACCCCCTTGCAAAGGCACGCCGCGAAGGTAAATGGTAGCACCATTACGAATGAAGTTTATGGCAGGATTATCCGTCGGTGAGAATGATTGGCTGCCCCTGGGTTCCATAAAGCTGGTGAATCCTTCTGTTCCAACCTGCTGCCAGTCGATGTCATCCATCAAATCAATAGATCCGACGCTGGATGCCGTGTTTGCGGAATCGGGCACCATAAATGTATATAGACCTAATACCAGGGCGGCAGAGAAGATAGCAAAGACTGAATGGAAGGTTGGATGGTCGGATGCTTTGCGGTTGATCATAGCTTTATAGATGTGCGCTGCATGTAGACATGCTCGTCTAGCAGCGGGGGTCTGCGACCACTCCGCAATATCATCGAGTGCTTTTCGTGCTGGCATTGGTCCGGCTCGACCGGCTGCGAACTCGAAGATCTGAAGATCAGCCGTCAGGGTCATGCACATGTGGTGCCACATGACGAGAGAGTTTGGATTGAGTTGAAGGAGGGATTCGCCGTATTCTGTTGATATTTGTGATTGGAGGGATGGAAGACATCGGGATCGGCCGTCCATTGCGTAGGTGTGACAGGGGGCGAAGGGATAGCTGGCACGATTGGAAAGTAGGCGATGGTAGGCTTCTGATTGGCGTAGTTGGACCATTGCAAGCACGGCTTGGATACTAAATTCGTCCGTAGGGCCTTCTAGGGTGGGGATGTTGATGTTTTCTGACGGCGCCAGCACCGTGGACATGAGGATTCTTTTGCCACCGCGGATGAGCTGAGTCCAGCGCATTGATGAGTGTGCGCGGAAAAGAGCTTCATTGCAGGGCATGATGATTTGTATTGAGTCGGGGGTAACAATTGGACTTGTTGAAAGTAGGGACGAATACCAGGAATCTAAAAGAAGAAGACCAATAATAACTCTTTTTAAAAAGGAATTAGTAGTTATAACAAGAAAAAGGGATGCTACTTTACCTCTTAGTAGATTCAACTTTGCTCCAGGCTTTCCATCGCATATCAATGTCAGGTACGCCTTCAAAAAGGCTCATGTCAAGTATTTGGCCCTCGGTTGCAGCAAAGAGGCCATGTCGTTGTGTAATCTACAAGGGTGAGTATTATTGCAACAACAAGAGTATCCCCATCGCAAGTTTTACATACCGACATAAGGTTGACATACAGCATTTGGCACTGTTCCAAATGGGACTTTTCCTAGAAATAATCAGCGGCGATACAGATGAACGTAGGTTTAGAGGGACTCACTCCGGTTAAAACAGCCAAGTTCAAGAATAGTAAAGCAGTAGCGAAAATGGACATGGTGCTAGCTGGACTCTCCACGCCCATAGTGCATTTAGCAAGCTCGGAAGTGATCTTCTCAAGCACATGCTGGAAAAGAAAAGGTCAGTAGGCTCCATACCAAACATGGATCATGTAAACCAACCGTAAAATTCCGTAAAACAAACGTAGATGTGCCCTTAGTCCCCAGAAGCATCATTCCAATGAGGCACATTACATAGAGGAGGGGCAGACGGGTTTTCTTTGCAGAAAAAGTCGGGAGGTGAACAAACGGTACAAGCGGATGAAATGTGCGGAAGAAAAGGTCTAATGCCATATCCAATACCTCTGCCGGAGGGAAATGAGGGAATGGAGTCGAACTCGAGCCAGACATAGCAGGGGAAGCACCATCATTTCTTGGCGACTGCATTTGGGGAAAGGCAAATGACGTTTGGGCAAATGCTGCCTGAAGAGAGCGTCTACAGTCCTCATCAACCCCATAACGTGACCCTTGAAGTAGATGAGTATCGTTGAGAGGACCCGGAGATTTAACAGAGAAGACGTTGTCGACGTTGGTGTACACAATATCACGCCAAAGGCTGTTCATCAGCCGACCAGTATAATTCGGCGGTGCAAGCCAGCACCGCTGTACCTTGGCAAATCTTTCGTTGGGAATATTGTCACTTCCAGCCTTGCCGCTGTCAACTGGATGTCGATTTTGTTGATCTGGTGTCATCACCATACTGTCTCCCATCATAGGAAAATGACCCAAATCCAGCGATCCATGATTGGAGCCTCCATCTGTGCGAGGCTCGAGCCATAATTGCAGCATATCATTGGGTACATCCTCGAGCCCTGCACCACTTTGCTGCATAGTTTGATCTGCAGGAGTCACCTCGTTCCAGCCAAAGTACGGCTGTTGTTCATCAAGCAACATGGGGTGAAGATCGGCATCGGCTCGGCCATGCTGCGCCGATATATTCGCGAGAAAGTCTAATGGTGAATGAGGTATTCCCGGAGTGGAAAGTGACATATCGCGCGGAATTGGAACATTGGAAAGTTGGTGCGCATCAGCACCAGTGGTGGGTAACAAACGCGTTCCATTCTCTATACCAGGGCCAGTTATCATCGGCGAGGCCCCGGATACAGCGGAAGAGTATTGATTTGGTATCTGGTTTGCCGCTAAATCTTTCGCTTTGGTCCCGGCAGCCGCGCCTGCTTGATTGTGGCCTTTCGCATGGCGGCTCAGGACATCACTGTTTATATTCGTCAGATTACCGCTACATCATATATTGCGGTCGTTCGATGGAATCATTTCGCGTATCACAAAATCTTACCTTCGAGAAAAGCTTTTATGACAGACATTGCACTCATAGGGACGCTCTTTGGTGTCTGGATTGACGCGTCAGAATAGAATTAAATTTCATGCGGTCCGGGAACACTGACGTGACCGCTCATGGCGTTTAAAATGCTCAGTCTTCTTGAACCGGCGGTCACAGATGGTGCACTTTCGAAGGACCATGACGGAGCTTGCAGATTAACTATACATCACAGAAGGCACATGTTCGTCTCTCATTGCAAGAGCAAGGGTGAGCAAAATAAGAAACTTAGCTCACAAGTTGGGACGGAAGAGGGGGAACCTTAGTCAGCTCTTGGGGTTGAGCCGATCGCAGCTCAAAAGTGACGACTCTCCTTTTCTATTCTATTGGGTCATTCAAGTGGTGGCTAATTCTACCGAGGATGTGCCGCGAGGCATAACCAATCAAGGGACGATGGCATAAACATAGGATGTGGCTTGGGCCCCTAGTGTCCAAGCTGCTGGGAATTCCCCGTGGGGTGAGAAAGGCCCCGGACAGTGCTCCGAGCCCTAAGGCCATTTAACCGCACACCATTACTGGTCCACAAAGTAATATTTTATTTCAGCAAAGAGAGGAAATAGATTGGAGTTGAAACGTTTGCAGAAATTATACAATATAGCCAGTATATCTTGCAACTCTGTGGGAATATCTGCATCGTGAGAAAGGAATGCTGAGTCAGCTGGCCTTATAACGATGCCATTGGCTGCACGCCGCAGTATACCGGCAATTGACAGCAGGCCCCGAATGCCGGTCCATGACATCAGGAGGCTGAAGTTGACTAGGTCGAGCCGAGACAAACAAGATGCATAAGCATGATACATTCTTAGGGACCAACCGCCTCCGCCAGGAGATTGTCATCATAGAATGTCTCGATGTGCTGCTTGCGAGCCTCCTTGTCTTCTTTGACCCGTTTAAGAATCTTCTGGATATTCGGGTACGAGGAGAATTTGTCCTGAGCAAGTTTGATTAGCGATAATCTATGCCTCGATTGGTAAAACTTACTGGCAATGCATCCCACACCTTCGGGTCAGTTCCTTGGTCTTTGAAGGTGCCACAGCCGCTTCGCGCATACTCCGTGAACAAGAATGTACGGCTGCTTTCCACCATGATAGTCATTTGATCTTGGATCATCAGTATTACAGTTGCGGTTATCAAGTATGAGGAAGCGGTAGCTCACCTTCCAGAATTTTTCGAGGTTCATTCACCTGATTCCTCATCTCATATACGTACGCCTCGTTGAAGTTTCCGTGGGGTGTATGACTGATCTCTACACTGCCACCACCGGGGAGGAAGTCATCCGAGCGACCAAGCCCGTTCCCATAAAGAGAGGCCAAGAACTCCGTAGCTGAGTTACGATGGAAGTATGGCAGGCGGAAGGTGTTGGATGCGACATCCCAGCGGGGACCAAACCACAAGAAATCCGCCAAGGGGGTCACGGGGTCACGAGACGCGGCTGTTAAAACGCAGTTGACAGATGGATCGGTATGGTCGATGGATGTTGCATTCTGGGATGAAAACTTCGTCAAGTCGTACTGATATGATTATCTAGTGTCAGTCTGATTCCAAGATCCAGAAGCTGAATATGCAACTCACCTTATAAGGCACAACATTTCCATGCCAGGCCACCAGATCGAAGGGGCTGTGATCCTGTGCAATGGCATTGTACAATCCGTTTGCTTTATTCACAATAGACCAATTTTCGTGAAGGTTTTCATCGATGTAGGCAACAGGATGCAAGAAGTCACGCGGATTAGCCAGTCCGTGGCCTCCTAGTGGCCCCAAGTCTGGCAACTCCCATCTCGAACCCCAGATCTCTGTGATATAACCACGAGCAGAATCATGACCAGGTCCTAGTCGGACTGCAAAGCGGATACCACGAGGAACCACACAGATTTCACCAGGTTGCAAGAACAATTTCCCTAGTTCGGTCTGAATATCCAAATTACCCAGTTGGGCAACGATAAGGAAGTCGCCGTCTGTGTTGCAAAATGCGCGGTGGTCCATATCTGTGTTAATCATAAAGACGTAGAGAGCAATTCCCTCGCGCAAATTAGGGTCTCCACTTCCACCCAGCGTGTGTAATCCGTCAACGAAGTCGATTTTCTCATCATCCTTTGGCAGGGGAAATGGAGCCCATTCACCTTGTTCTGCCAATGTCTTCACTTTGGGGTTCAGAGTCAAAAAACAATTCTCGATATCGGCTTTGTGAGGTATGTTGGCCGTGTAGCCATCTATATCATATTAGCATGTATAGCCAACTTTACGTGCCTAGAGACATACTGTGAGCTGCAGCTGGCCGTACCCGGTACATGTAAGTACTGAAGTTGGCATGACGAGGAGCTGCGAAGGCTGAGTAGGTTATTCCCTCCGTGTATAACCCAAACCGAGCTTCCTGAGGGTTGTTTTGGCCTGCTGGTAGAGTTCCCGGAATCACTTCGGATTGGTGACGGTTACCAAATCCGGCCATGTATTCGTAGGGATCGTTGTCTCTTGTTGGCTTGCGAGTCATAGTGTCTGTGTAGTGGAAGACCTTCTGCAGGTCTTTGACCGGCTTTCTTTGCTGGACTGGCGGAGCAGTCATTTTGCGAATGATATACAAGAGTATAAGCTGTAAGCTTCAAGTTAAAAGTCAACAATGAAGAAAAGACAAAGCCTTGATTAAGAATGTGTTTTATTTCAGCATTGTGAGACATGGAGACCCATGTGGCGTCCACATCTTGCAGGACCCACATTGGCCCCATTCACCTATCGAGATCTCGGGTCAGGTTTGAGCTTGATCGGAACCGCTGTTTTGCAGCATGGGTCCTTTGCGGGGCCATGTGAATGTGGAGCAATTTCACTACCATGGCAATGATCTTGAAGAAGTAGAGAATGACGAAGTTAGTATGACATGTCTTGCTACTAGAACGTAGAATCTGTTCCCGAACACAATTTTTATAGTTGCAATGCTTTAGAAACTGTTAATCATTTGTACTTAAAATAGTAGTAATATCTCTCTATGTTTGATGCTAGCCATGGATAGAATTCAATGGGGAATGTTCTAGGGCGCCTTTATGATGATCTCAATGAATTGCCAGAACATCATCCACCATCCGCGATGAAGCGCCCAAGTAGTTCACTGGGTCACAAAGTTCACTCAAACGCTGTTGGTTCATCTTGGCCATAACTTCTTCCTTCTCAAGAAGGCATTCGAGCAAGGTCCTTCCCTTCTCAATGCTTTCCCGACAGGCTTCATACACAATATCATGCGCCCTCTGGCGACCCACGTATGGTGCCATACCCATCATGACAGCCTCAGCCACGATTAATCCCTTGGTGGAGTGGAGGTTTTCCAGCATCTGCTTGCTATTGACGGAAAGTCCAGAAAGTGCAAAATGTGTTTGAGACAAGGCTCCAACAGCGAGAACAAAGCTCTCTGGTACAGCGACCCATTCCAAGTGCCAAGGACCCGAGGCACGTTCAAAGTCAGCCACCATCCCATCAAGAACAAGACCCGCGTTTGAGCGAAGAACCTTAGACGCGGCCAGAATAACTTCGCTAGAAATCGGATTGCGCTTTTGAGGCATGGTTGACGATGCTCCTCTATGTGGCACGAAAGGTTCAGCCACTTCACTAAGCTCATTCGAGGACATGATAATGATATCCAGGGCTAGCTTTCCCATAGAACCACCCACTAGGGCAAGGAAATTGGTAATCTCAGCCACACCGTCGCGTGCTACATGCCAAGTAATCGAAGGATCGGTCAGATCAAGCTCTTTTGCCAATGCTTTGCGTACGCGAAGGCCATCGTCGCCATTTCCTAGAGATGCAAGCGAGCCTGCCGCACCGCCGAACTGCACCATCAAAGTCCGATCTCGAAGCTGTTCCAGTCTCTCCAGGTGTCGCTTAAAACCAGAAAGCCACACAGCGCATTTGTATCCAAAGGTCACGGGTAGCGCATGCTGCAAGTGTGTTCGCCCTGCCATAGGGGTATCCTTGTACTTCTCCGATAGTTCGCGCAGAGATTTGATAACGTCCTTCAAAAGTCTCTCGACAATGTCCAAGCCTTCTTTCATTTGTAGCACGCTGGCCAGGTCCATGATGTCCTGCGTCGTGGCACCCCAGTGCACATACTTGCCAGCCTCCTCGCCACATATATCCGATAGCTGACGGACGAGCGGTAGAATTGGGTAGCCGACAATTTCAGTTTCGTGACGCAGCCGCTCGAAATCGAGGTTTGATTCTTGTACTCGCTGGGTCACCAGAGCCCCAATTTCAGATGGAATCACGCCACAATGAGACTGCGCTCGAGCCAATGCAGCTTCTGCATCTACACAGCGGCGGATGTATGCTTCATCATCGAAGACCTGTTGTGCAAAATATTAGTCTCATATATTGGATGTTCTGTCCATTAATTACCTTGCGAATCTCATCAGTCCCGAACAAAGTACGAAATATGCTCGAATCAATTGCACTGACGGAGCCAATTGACCTCCGTCCATTGGTAGTAGAGAATCTACTAGAGACAGAACTGACGAACGAAGGGGTCGCCCGTGATACAGGGCGCGCGAGACGTAGATAGATAGACATGATGCTAGATGGCGTTCGTCCAGCTAAAAAATTTCCAATTACAAAAGAACCAGCCTTGTCAAGATATTCCCCCCAAGTGCCAGGTGGTTCGGCCCACTGGATATGGGGGGCTTGGTGGTGGTCATTGTCAAGCCAGCTGCCCCACATGCCTGTATGTGGGGTCGATGGGCCAAGGCATCTTTAAGGCATCGACATTGAAATCCGTTATTAATAGATTAAATACCATAAACCAACAGCTTACAATGATGAAACACAAGGGCATAATAATTCAAGGAGAGAAGCCGAGTTGTGCCTAATTTAGCTTGCGTTACCAACTTCGGGAATACATGAAAGGAACGTTGTGAATGGCCCCATAACGCCCTAGATTAGCAGTGATTTGGATCTGTTGTAGGAAGTTTTAAGTTTGTTTTCAATTGAAGCATTTACGTAGATACGTTTATAGTTGTTCAAGGCTTACTCGCGAATAAAGAGAGATGCTACCCCCATACCGGTACTAATACTCCAACGTTAGAGAAGAACGGAACGCCTAGAACCAGAATGATCTTACCTAGCACACATGCTCACGATGCCCATCTCTTTGTCTTGTCTTCGGAGCTCAGAAAGAAGTGTAGCAACTTGCCTGGCCCCAGTCGCCCCAACTGGGTGTCCAAGAGCAATGGCACCACCGTTCGGGTTAACCTTGCTCATGTCTAGACCAAGCTTTTGGATGCAGTAAATCGACTGGCTTGCAAACGCTTCATTCATTTCCACAATATCAATGTCCTTATTTTCGATTCCGAGATACTTATAAAGATTCTGGATAGCGAAAATGGGCCCAATCCCCATTTCATCGGGTGCACAGCCAGCAACTTGGGTGCCGGCAAACCGGGCAATTGGCTTCAAGCCTTGGGCATCGGCCCAAGAGCGGCGAGCGAGTATGGTGCTCGAAGCACCATCGGAGATCTGTGAGCTGGAAACATGTAAGTTTTTATGATATGATATTACTGCCTTTGGGGATGCGACTTACGAGTTTCCAGCAGTGCTGAATCCATTCTCTAGCACAGGACTCAGCGTCGCCAACTTCTCTGCAGTCACGTTTGTACGAACACCCTCATCACGTTCAACGACCGTCATTGTCTCCTCATCAATACCTGGGCTAATTGATCTGACCATGATAGGAACGATCTCGTCCGTAAACCTGCCAGATCGCTGCGCTTCAGTCGCACGTCGTTGACTCTCCGCCGCGAACTCATCCTGCTCACGTCGACCAATGCCATACCGCGACGCGACATTTTCGGATGTTTGCAGCATGGGCAATAAACAATCTGGAGCATCCTTGATAGGTGACTCCTTTAGCGTAGGCGATACATCCACAGGTATCCCACGCGTCGAGTAATTCCGCGACATACTCTCCACACCACCACCAAGCCCGACATCGATCTGCCCTGCCAAAATTGAATGTGAGATATGTGTGATCGCCTGTAGACTGCTCGAACACTGTCTGTTGACTGTGTGGAAAGTCGTGGAGTTTGGAAACCCCGCAGCATTGAGGGCCATGCGCCCGGTCTTTGCGAAACCCAGCTCCGCAAGAACATTGCCAATCATGGCATCGTTGACTTGGCCCGGATCAATGTTCGCTCGCTTCACGGCTGCTTGCATTACCTAAAGAGTTTTCAGCTGAGATGCGAAAAAGACCAACAAAAAGTTGACTTACAGGCATCAGGATTTCTTCAGGGTACGCATCCTTGAATCCGCCCTTGAATGCCCGTGCGATGGGGCTTCGCACTGCGGAAAGCACGACCACATCGTTTGGACTCTTCTTGAGAATCTCTCCCGCTGTCCTTCGAAGCATATTTGAGGTTTGTCCACGTCAATTACAGTAAGCGGGCACGCAAGCTTCTTGAAGAGAAACTGGGGTATGCAGGATTGTGGATGTGGATCAGGTTGCTCCGAAAGTGGTGGGGCGCTTCGCGATGATCGTTGTCGCTTTACATCGCATTACATGGGTTTCCCGGCGGGGTGATGGAAGGTCGGGGGTTATTTTGTCAATAGTTTTCAATACATCATTGAAATTTAGCGTCATTGCCGCGGTTCTTAGTCACATCAACAGAGGACCCTGTACCCAAACGCACTCTTATTTGTGACTTGGTTTTCATGACGTCACAAGATATGGAGAAGTTTTCCTTCACACTTCACAGGTTATCTCATTCCCCATAATTCCTGTATCCCGCTTGATTCATCATCTCCAAATCCTCCCTCTCCTCAATGTCGTGGGACTTTGAGAGGATATCGCTCGGATGAAAGTAGTTGAACAAAAGACAACAAATCACCATCAACGTTGTATCAAAGACATACACATAAACCTCTTTGCTCTGCAGGTACCCGGAGTTCCCTTGAATGTATTCAGCCACGCGATAAATTGATCGAACTAAGATCAGTGCACTACCAGAATACAAGACCCTCATATACTGTGTCCAAGGAATTCGTGTCTTCACCAGTAGGTGCATTGGAGTCATGAGCATGCGGCGATGAAAGATGATCGAGACAAGGATGAAAACTCCAAAGGAAATGACCTGGACGAAAAGGCCCGCGACGATGATATTCTCGCCTAGGCTCACACTGGATGTGGTTTTGGCTGTAGCGAGCATGCCACCTCCTGTATCGCGATACTCGAATTAGTCCATTTCTCAGAAGTAACTAGCGATAAAGACCCTACCGCTACTTTGCATAAGGAATGACAAGACATCGCCCGTCACAAATATCTTTGTCAGCCATGATGGCCGTATGAGGGAGTTTGATTCGCCGTTCAAGAGGCGGATCACTCGTCCAAGGATCATATAGATTGACGCGGCGAAGAAAGAGGGGGCCAGGAGAAGAAAAAGCTCTTGGAGCACGTAGGGCATAGTTGTCCAGTCGGGGGTCTGTTTTGCACTGTAGTATCTCGCTGCATAGCCAACGGTCTCGACTGCAGGTGTACATCTGTTAGCTACCACATCGACGTAGATTTTGTTTAGTAGGCAACTTACAAATCACACCAATGACAAATGGGATAAAAAACCAGCTTCGCTTTCGAATCACCTGCCAAATGTGATATGCCGCTGAAAGCCCAAAAATAACTGCAAACGCGACAGCTGCGCTAGATGATGGGTCATAGTTGTAGAGCTTATAAGTCATTGTAAAGGAAACACATGAAACAACAGAAAGAAGACAAATTGACAGAGAATTGAAAATCTAGGAAAAGGAAGGACTGGACAATGGAGAACGATCTTTGAAAAAGTGCTTCTGTTTAATAGGAAAAAATATTGTCATGTTTACTGTTATGGAGATCATTCTTCATTTGGTAAACTAGCTAGCGTGAAACACTGCTCGCTTTTTCCAGGCAGCGATCAAATTGAATGTGGGCTTAAGCAGTCGAAAATAGCTGAACTGACCAAGCTCCTGGAGCTAGACTCTTTCTAGGACAAGTATACGAGATCTGGAACGAATGGAAGATTTTTCATCTGCAAACCATTGAGCCGTGGATACCACACGTAGATAAAGTTACGAGTACGAACGAGGCGATGGATGCAGCGATTGGCCACAGATTCGACGCCCCACATGGACCTTTCCCAACTCGGACAAAGACACGAGAACGAGATATTCGTGATAGAGATGCATCGTGGATACACGTACTCCTGAACTAGGCGGCAAAAATAGAAGATTAGTTCCACTTGCAGAAATAATCTATATAATTAGTCTTGTTCTCCCCAGGGCCTAGGACTTTCATTGCACATCATCCGCTTCTGCTTCTAGCAAACCAAGTCAATACTCCTGTTCAATTGACTACGATCATCTATTTTCCTATTTAATTTACTAAAGCGGTTCTCGGTAATCAATCACGATGAACTTTACATTTTACTACTATACCCCTTCAGCTGCGGCGGCGGCTATTTTTGTCGTGTTATTTGGGCTGAGTACCCTTCTACACTTCTACCAACTTGTGCGGACACGAACATGGTTCATGATTCCATTTTTGATTGGAGGAATTCGTGAGTTCCATATGCCTCTCTGGTCCTTTGTTTGTCGTTCTAACATTTGAGAACTGTTATAGTCGAGACTATCGGTTACATTGGTCGTTTACTATCCTCGCGCGAGTCACCTGATTTCACCAAAGGCCCCTATGTCATGCAAAGTGCCTTGATTTTGATCGCGCCCGCATTTTTGGCCGCAAGCATCTATATGACTCTTGGTCGGATCATCGTCATGACTGATGCAGAGCGATGCTCGGTTATCAAGCTTAAATGGTTGACCAAGCTCTTTGTGACCGGTGACGTTTTGTCTTTCTTGATGCAAGCCTCAGGTAGGTACTCGGTCCAAAGGGATGGCCATGTAAAGCAGTGTGCTAACAAGATAATAGGAGCGGGTCTCATGGTTGCGAATTCCAGCAGTCCAAGTACTGGTGAGCACGTCATCATTGGTGGTCTCTTCGTGCAGATTATCTTCTTTGGCTTTTTCACAATCACTGCTGTTGTGTTCCAGGCTCGGATGGCCAAAAGCCCCACTAGTCGCTCGATTGAGCTGGGAAATATCTGGCCTCGGCACATGACCGCCCTCTATGTTTCCAGCATTTTGATTTTGATTCGCTCGGTGGTTCGTGTGGTGGAATATCTCCAAGGATATAGCGGGTACTTGATGAAGCACGAAGTTTTCATCTATGTGTTCGATGCACTGTTGATGTTTTCAGTGATGATGGTTCTTCAGTATTCGCACCCCAGTGAGATCAACTGCTTGCTGGGCCGGGGCGAAAAGTATTCGGAAAAAATGATCAAGACACGGCAGTTCGTTCCTCGCTCAGCACTTGAGCTCGGTGAAGACCAAGTGTAGAGAATTGTTGCTTCTTCAGCGCATTTGAGTTCGTGATAGGTCTTTTTGTGATAGTTTCTTCTGTTAATGTATCTCAACTTGGAAAAGCTTGGTCTCAATTTCCACCCATCTCGGCTTCTCCAAGGTCGTTATATCTCGGAAGGGCAGGGCCCTACCTTAGTAAGTTTGTGGGTAGATACCCAATTATACAAGGAGTGTAGAAAGGTATGCAGGGTGACTGAAATGAAGAATGTCAGTCAGGAAAAATATCCACTTAGAACCCTCTTGTTAGGTGCTGATTCTCATTTCATTCTGTAGCCGAGGGGAGAACTTGTCGAGTCGCCCATTCAATGTGAGGTTGCCATTCAGGTTCCAATATTTGAGTGATATCCTTTGAAACCTCACGGCCCCAAGAGCCTATGGACCAGTTATCCCGTGCCATATGTAGAAAGACACAGTAATGGGCCAGAATGACCAATGCGAGAGGTTTCTTGGCTTTGAGATCATCGAAATATTCTTGTGAGGCTCGGATAGCCCAACCAGCAGCCATGGTCATTGAAGTAGGCTCGGCGTAGGTGAAAGCAGCAAGATCACGCAAGGATTTGATCGTTTGCATATATGCTACGGAGTTGATGTTACTATCAGTTGGGCTGCACTTGACTTGTAGTTGCTCAAGTCGATCCAGCGCAGCAAGAACGTGCTCGGGAATATCAACCTCAGGGGCTGTCATATCGAAGAGTGGTGCAAAGTTGCTTTCCTTCAAAAAGCCTGACTCTGCATCTAGCACTGTCTGAACTCCTCGTGCCAATATGAAGGCATCAGTAAGGGAATTCAAGCCCGGCATGTCTTCTTGAGTGCCCATGTTGAGAGCACTTGCTAGGCTAAACGCAAATGCTAGACCGGCGAAAATCATCATAGCTTTCGCATTGGATTGGCTAATGTTGCGCAGCTGATCGGAGAACATAATCAAGGCCGTGTTTTTGTGTGCTATGGCGACGTCTAGCCACATCACATGCCTTCCATCCTTACGCAAATGCGAAAGATGCAGGGCTGAAAGGGCCAAGATCCCGTGCATGAGAAATGGTGCATTTAGAGCTTCTTCAAGTACCGGCATTTCCCAGACTTGTCTAGTCTTTTCGCTCCGAGCAGCGAATTTGTGTGTGTGATTGATCCATTGGATTATGAGTTCTAGCTGCGTCATGTCCAACGAAGGCAAGTTGGGAATTGAACTCAGACTACCGGATAAATTCGAAGTCCATATATCCGAGTGGAAAACTTGAGATTCAGAGCTCGGCAATGTTTGAGTATCTGGTGGTGATTGAGCTTTCTTCCGAGATTTTCGGGTGCTCTCAGCAAAAAAGTGAGGGCCCAGTCCGGGATAGACACATGTTTCACGTCTCTGGGTGCAGTTGCTACATATTGGGCGTAGCTCATCGCACTGTAAGAATCATTAGTATGAGAAGGAGATGGGGATGAGATAATCTCGAACCTTAACGCGTCTAGTCTTGCAAGTCATGCAGCCATGTCGGGATTTAGTATGTCCCCGACGATGGTGCATCGTGCCCGGTGTCCCATATAAAAGGGAATATTGTTGTGCTAGCAAAGAAGCTGTGCGTATGCTGGTATTCTCAACAATCAAGGTTGGAAGGCATAGGCCGCATGGTGCTGGGAGGCAGCAATAAGATCAGATCCACATTTCAGCAATACCCGGATGCGGCGAGAAACACGAGTACGAGACCCCTCGCCGTATTTGCGACTCTCTGATTGGTGGATATCAAGTCACCCCACATCATTATGCGAGACGCGAGATCCACAGCCCTGCCCCAGCCCCCAAAAGCCACTCCAAGTGGCATTTAGATAATTTTACTGGGAATGTAAATATTGCGCCAAAAATAATATGCCCACCTCTATCATAGTAGGAATGGCTACCATTGGGAAAGGCATAGCCTGATTGAGTAAAGCATGTCGGATCTTGTCTCGTACATGAAAAGCGAGACCAACAGAACACTACAAAATCAGTGGGACACCTCACTAGTCCACGTCTGGGGGATCGTGGTGTTCCTAATCAAGAGTGGAGATCTAATCGGGTACATACTCGGGTATTTACTGGCTCACATTACGCTACCCAGTAATGAAGGTGATGCTAATGTAATGCCCACTGAAACGGCGCCTTTTCTTACCTATATCGCGGCTTAAGAAGGGTAATATTCTGTATGCTAGTCTGGGTTGTGAGAGGCCATATGTTATTTTACAAACAGAGAACTAGGTACAGAATTATTCTGCCTAAAGTGCAATTGCCGCGCTTTTTTAGACATGGGCTACTGAGGTGTTCAACTAAATTTATGGTGTTCAATGATTGATCTCCATGAATCATCCTCCTTCAAGAGATTTACTCTGCGACAATACCAGCTGCTTCACAACTCATATCTGCGCCTGAGCAGCAATTCTCACCAGCTATATGACTCAAATTTTCAAAGATCCAGCGCCAGGGCTCACACCATTACCCTCAGAAGCTTCGTTCTTCGCACTCATCTCCCAACCGCGTCCGCGATACCGAGCTGGCCAAACGCCCGATTTTCCAGGGGCCATGATACCATTCGGATCCAAACAGTCCTTGATTTTCTCGTTGAACTTCAAAAGAGCCCCATCATTCCAATTATAGGTGCCAGCAATTTGATCCATGAATGCAAGATGTGTACGATACTCGCCATATCCCTTCTTCGCCGCATCATCAATCATAGCTCGAAGACTCGCTCGTGCATTGCTTCGCATAACTGGATCGTCTCGGTTGAAGACGATTTCAACAATCAGATGCATTTCACGCAACCCCACAACGAATGTTGGGAATAAGTCCAGGTCAAACTCTTCACAACGCCGACGCGCGATATCCCACAGGGCCGTTGCATCTTCCCCTCGGACAGGTGAGACGGGACTAAAGGCTACATGTCCACCGTTTGCGTGCCAGTTGACCCAACGCAGCTCTTCGATCTCAGGAACTCCTGACGCGACACGGTCACGCGCCCAGAAATAGTCATCTGCGGGGAGAGTGGATGGGTCGATACGACGGGCACCGGGGATCTTCATGAATTCCTTTTCGATAATATCCAGCTTGTACTTGCGAATTTCTGGCGGACCATAAGACATGCCATAATACAGCCATGCGCAGTCACCGTGGGAAAGTTTCTTGGCGACATCGTGGATAATTTTATCAGGGACGCGACCTTTGCCGTTGTAGTAATGGCTTCGCGGCTTTCCCTCAAGGCCAACCTGGAGACTGACATGCCGAAGCTGAGCAACATTTTCGAGGATCATGGCGATACGCAGGGGGCGAATGATTTCAATCTGTGATATACGTTATTGAGTGATAATTAAGTCATTTTGGTCTGACTTACCAGCTGGGTTAGGTCTTCTTCCTTGGGAAATGTATAGAGCTAGAATCAAATGTAAGCGAATTTCTTCTCATAGTCGCGTACCAAAGGTGGCAAACATACATAGGCTTCATGGCCCCCAGGATTGGGCATCAAACCAAATCCCATCTTTGTCACGATTCCCAAATTTGACTGAGAAAACAGGCCACTATTTGAGATATCAGTATACGCATTCAACTTCGGCCAGAAGACGTACATACTCTGGAGTAGGTCCAAAGCCAGGAGCGAATAATTGCCAACTGTTGTTTCCCGGCAGAGCTCCCATGCCAGTCCTGATTACCTCGCCAGTCGGAAGAACAACTTCCATGCCAGAATGCATTCCCCAGTGATCTCCGTAAGGCGTATAACCGACACCACGGTCGACGGCATTTCCCAACACGGATCCACCTCCAATATCGGGGACATCGATCCAAAGATGTTTGTATCCACGCGCTTGGATCTCTTCATACAACGCAAAGTATGTGACACCCGGCTCTACAAGACATGTGCAGTCGTCGGGGTTTATGTCGAGAATTCGGTTCATTCGCCTTCCAAGATCGATCACGACTGCACCGCGGACTCGAGGGGCCGCACCGCCGTAGCCGTCTTTTGGGGAGTTTGTCAGTGTTTCGACCCATACCAGTGGAATTTGTAAAACAGCAGAAAACGTACAGTTCCGACCAATCGAGATTGGTGAAATTGGGATTTGATGCTCATTCGCCCATCGAACAATTGTCTGTACCTCTGCTGTACTACTAGGATAGGCTACAGCAGAGGCAACGAGGTCATCTTCTTCCGCCACATGCATTCCATCATGAGTGTTTGGATCTATTATGCGGCTTGCTTGCTTAGTACTTGATCTAGCATTATTAGTATTAAGCGTGCCATTTGCGCTTACTCTCGATGTACCTGATGAAAAATGAGTTAATTGGATATGCCTCTGAATTGATATCTGCGACTACATACCACCCGTCAACCAGTTTTGTTACCAATTCAACATTCTCTTGACCAATTTGGCCCCGAAGGTCTTTGATTGCCTGATGAAATGCAGAGCTACTGACACCCTGAGGCAATGCTATCTGTGTCCGGTTGCTCTGAGGCTTAGTAGCGATTTCAAAAATCCCAGTTTTAGCTTTCTGGGCCCGATCAAGCAATCTTTCTGGAATCCCGTTGTGTTTCTCGGAGAGGAGGGGCGGCGGGGAAACATTTTGCTTAGCAGTCATGGCGTATATGTTTGCTCCAAGATTAGGGATCTCTAGTCTGAGGTGACTAAAAACATGTATCCTTTGTAAGTTTCTATACCCTTCTCTTTATAGCACGCACGGAGGGGTAATTCCGATATTGAACACGTTGGCACATTGCAGATCTTGCGAGTGACTGACATGATTGGAGAACAGATAGCTCATGGCAAGCAGAAAGCGGAGAAATTTCACTTCTTCGCGCAGTGTGGAGAAGTAGACCAATACACTTCTGATAACCCCAGGGCTCTTTCCTAACCCCGCTATTACCCACCTAAACCCCACCTCTAGGGCCTTGTATATCAATTACTTAGTAGGGTCAAACGGTTGGCCCTTTCTACTACAAGGCTGCTTTATAGCCATGCAGTTCAAGCACTTTAATGTTGAGCGTTTTTGATAAAAATCATCAGTATATATGCTATTTGACAATCCTTTTACGATGATCACAATGCGCTTCATGTATTCCTCATGCACAACATTTGAATCGCTCTAAAAATTGTAGATCCTTTTTTTGTGCCGTGTCGACTCTTTTGAGACTAGACTGGCTTCCCAATCTAGTTGCAAGGCTGTGAAAGTCAAATTCGAATTGAGGACAGTCAAATGCAGGTATGTGCTCCTTAAGTAAGCGTTCTATACATGTTACCAATAGATTTGCTACATTGGTAGCTACCATGGGATGAACGCGTCTTCCCGTCCGACTTCACCGCCATGAGCAATGAGCAAATCAACCACCTGCTGATATTTCTGAAGATTTGCTTCAAAGAGTAGCATATGCTCCGTACGCCATCCACTCCCATACTCATGAATATACTTCCCTTGATTAGCGATTCGCGCAGCGAATATCGCGCGATCTAATGGTGTATGATTTGTCCCATCCCTCGCATTGACATTAGCGCCATTAACAAGTAACTTCTCAGTCACATCGAGGTGGCCGTTCCGTACTGCAGCATGGAGTGCAGTGCGACCTCCGATGGCAGACATCTTATTAATGTCAGCTCCCATTTCAATCAGAAATTCGACGATATCGGTCGCACCCGCCCATGAAGCACAATAAAGAGGACCTCCCTGAGGATGTCCATAATGATCTTCATGCACTTCGTTGGGGTCCGCGCCATGAGCGACCAATAATTTGACAATGGCGAGATAGTCTACGGGGTTGCCGGATATCTGGGTTGCTTGATAGCCGGCCCCATCAAAATACCACCCAGGACCTGGCTGTTCGCACATATAATCAGGGATATGATATTCACTCTCTCTCAGGGGCTCGCCAACGCCCGCTCGTGCAGCATACTGCAGGGGGCTCATCCCTCTTCCATCCCCTTCACTTGCTTTCGTCCCCATCTCGAGAAGCATCTTCACAACGGTATATTGCCCGCCTCGAGCCGCTTCCATCAATGGTGTTTGGGCTGCAAGGTCCATACAGTCACTCTCCATACAGTCTATATCTGCACCAAGTGATATGAGCAATCTCATGATGTCTTCATGCCCTTCAAAGGCGGCATAGTGCAAAGGCGTCAGGCCATCTCTGTCTTCTCGGTGGAGAGAATCCCGCAGGTTGGCCCCTTGGTCAAGCAGCCACTGAACCATCATTGAGTGCCCTGACTGGGCTGCATAGCTCAGAGGGGTCCGCTTTTCAGAACACTTTGCATCGAGTTTCGCTCCAAACTTGACCAGATACTGAGCAAATTCGAGTTGGCCGCCTTGTGCTGCCCAGCTGAGTGGGGTGCGGCCGTGGTAGTCGTCTTTTTTATTCATATCTGGCTTGAGACCGAGGGACACCTCATGATCTAGAAGCATTTGCCATATTCCAAAGTCCCCATTCTCAGCTGCGTAGGTCCATACTGTGCGGGAATCGGAATCGGTCTCGTCTCCCGCTGCTCCCAGTTTCAGAAGGGTTTGCACGCCTGATATTACGCCATATTTAGCGCACAGGGGCAGTGCAGAGCCATCATTTATAGATAAATTATTCTGAAAAAGACACTCCCCAAGGACAGTTTTCAGACGGCGGTTTGTCTGGAGAAGAGAGGCGATATCCCGATCTTTTTTCAGAAATGTGGCGATATGAAGAATTAACTCGTTAGGCAATCGAAGCATCGACATCGGACACATGAAGGAATGAAACTGAAACTGAATCTTTTTGCCAGGTTTTTTGCGCACGTTTCGGAATCTGGGTAGTACGATTGCCTAGCTTTCTGAACATTTTGGCATTTGAAGATCTCTATCACTATTGTTGCCTAGAGGTCCAACGTTGAGTCATCTCCATATCAAGGCCCCACTTCAAAGGTTTTTCTTTTTATTTTTTTTTTATTTTTTATACGCAGTCGTTTGTTGACTTCTCAGGTGAAAGACGAAAAGCAAAAATGGGAGGATGTTCTAAGTTCAAAGAAGCGTCCGAGATTGGATGACTCTTCTTCCTACTATCCTTTCCCTCTCCTCTAGACGAAGTCGTATAGCAAATGCCCTGAAAGCCTCTGTGGAAGAGTAACCTCAGTTCTTCTATAGTTCTCGCGGACCAATACGAAAAACTCTGGCCACTGGTAACGCCAAAAACACCGTCGGTGCGGCACCGCGGCAGCAATCGGGTCCTTATAGTCGCATGAGCACATGAAGTTCCAAGTGTCATTCAAGGAGGGAAAATTTCCATGTGTGAGGTCAGAAACGTTCGAACTTTGCGAGATGAGCCTAGATAGGCGTAGAAATTGCAGGCTGTGATTAGCATTCGTTCGACGACGTAGCCGAAATTCTATTTTCTGACCCAACTGGCCTCCACCACGTAGACCCCGTTCCAAGGCCTTATATCGCAGATAAATCACTGAGCAGAATATGTTGGATGACTTCTTAACAAGGATTCAATGACTCTTTTAGACCGCCTTTCACAGAGAGATTGGCAACCATGGACGAGAGAAAACCGATAGTCCTTGACACTTATTACGCCTGAAATTCCATCAAGGATATTTGGCCCGAAGAATCTCCCAGAGCAATTACATTCCCCTTAATCACTGAGCACGTAGGCCGAGAGTTGAGAGGAAGTCTTAATACCTTACTCCCGTTTAGGACTATCCACTGGCCATCCAGTACAAATAGCTTCATATTCGATAGAGAAGGTGAACTGGGGGCATGATGGCTAATGCTTGAATGGATATCAAAGTCGGTTTTAAAATAATTGAATATTCTCTGCGGCTAACCAGAGAACACATCATCGGGTTTTCGAACGTCAATGACAGACTCCTCTACAGTCATTGAAGCTATCAATCCGATTTGTCTCATAAATCAACTCATGAAAATTGCGCGTCAACGGCGTTAATCAATCAAAGCGGAAGGGCAATGCCTCATGCGATGGATAGCATGTACGTACTACTCAATGTCCAATAGATCCTGGAGTAACCCGGCGGCCCGGCCCGCGGCTTTAAGAGCCCCGTAGCCAGTAATGCTAACTTTACCACCCAAGTCGCATAGATCGACCCCTAGTTCAATGATTGAAGAAAATCAGGCACCAAAGATTGTGAGAGATATTCTCCTATTTAAAGTCAAGTATCGAAGCGCTGTGCCTATACATATGCTATTATACATGTGTGAAGTATAAAGGACCTAAAATCATTCGTGAATGCTTCGATTTTGGTTTAGTGGTCATTGTGGAGGACTCCGCCACCGACTTCGTAATTATTGTTCGTCAATCATAGATATTCAATGATTAAACAATTCATCATGATCTTCCTGCAGCCAAAGAAACACCTCTGGAAAGCAGTGGTCAATAGATCTATAAAGGCCTTGGCGGTGCCAAGGTAAAGTTCGAACAGGAGTAATGAAAAACCTAGATCTGTAGCAAGATCAATGCAGAACGAGTGGGGGACTTCCCATGATCTTCGCTGCTACACCGAATGGGGCAGATCTGACGTTAAATCCAACTTTTATTGAACTAATCTAATTCTCCGGGTCGCACGGGGAATTTTGTAAGTGCCGACAGATTCCTAGAAGGTGTCGGGAGGACCAGGAATGGCATTGCCGCCAAACAGAGTGAGATCCCGACAATTGCAATTTTGCTGCCGAAATGAGTCCCGGGTGTAAATTACGTGTTATATTACCGTCAATACAACGCATATTTCACATTCCGTTGGTTGGAGCAGGATGCGTAATTTTCAATCCCATCACAATAAATTTTGTCAGTAGAAAAGGTCGGATGATAACTTTTTTTTTGTTAGTATATGGGGATCGTGTGACATCCCACATAATCTTCCCACCTCCACATCCTCAAAAGTCCCCCAAATTTTTCCACCCCGCAAAGATGCAAGTGGTTTTGTTGCCTCCTGACTAGAATCGGGTAATGATGTGGGGTCGGCTTCCGATGGCGGCAAAGGGCTTAGGGAGCAACGCCGCGACGCACTCCGAGATGTGGGGAAAGAAGGCGGTGGCCACCCCGGGCAGGCCCGGGTAAGCGTTTTTTCGGCTTCTCTGGATCAGTGACTAGCCGAAAAATTGCGGGTTGGGGCACTGGGGTAGATAGCTTCGCGATGCTGTTCTTTTTTTCTTTTCTCTCTCCTTCTGCTGGATCAGAAAGACCTTCTCCCAGACATTTCAAGGTAGTCGAGACATCATGTCGCGGCCTCTCGCCCCTGTGATGTCGGTGTTCCGCCCCATCTGGCGGCGGAACTTCTCTGCTTCCACCTCCAAGAGCGCCATTAACAAGCTGTGCGCCTCCGCCAATGAAGCCGTTAAGGAGATGAAGGGCTCATCAACCGTCCTGGTTGGTGGATTCGGTTTTGCTGGTGTTCCTCTCACTTTGATCAACGCTGTCCGGGACCGCCCGGAGGTTAAGGACCTGACCGTTGTCTCGAACAACGCTGGTATGCCTGGTGTTGGTCTTGGTAAGTGCAATTGGAAACTCGATTAGGTTCGTGAGGGCTGTAGCTGATTGTGTTTATCTTCTTTTAGGTCAATTGCTCGAGACCAAGCAAATCAGCAAGATGATTGCTTCGTTTATTGGCGAGAACAAGTTGTTCGAAAAGATGTACCTTGGTGGCGATCTGGCTCTGGAGCTCACTCCCCAGGGTACCATCGCTGAGAAGTGCGCCGCAGCTGCTGCTGGCGTTCCGGCTTTCTACACTCCCGCGGCTTTCGGCACTATTGGTGAGTCCACGTCAAGTATACGGGTTTACAGGCGAAATAGGCTGACTAGGGCTAAAATAGTGCAAACTGGTGAACTTCCCGTTCGGTATAATAAGGATGGCTCTGTGGCAGAAATGTCCAAGCCTAAGGAGACTCGTGTTTTTAACGGCAAGGAATTCATCCTGGAAGAATCTATTTTTGGTGACTACGCTCTGGTTAAGGCCTACAAGGCCGACCGTCTGGGCAACTGTCAGTTCCGCATGTCTCAGAACAACTTCAACGAGTCTATGGGCAAGAACGCCAAGTACACTATCGTTGAGGCTGACCACATTGTTGAGGTTGGTGAGATCTCTCCCGAGAACATCCACCTCCAGGGTATCTACGTCGATGCTGTCATCCAGAGCACCGAGGAGAAGCAGTTCGACAAGATTGTTTACGCCAAGGACCCCAGCGAGATGCTCGCCGGTGGTAACAGTGAGGCCACTGCCCGCCGTGAGCGCATTGTCAAGCGTGCCGCCAAGGAATTCAAGGACGGCATGTACGTTAACCTCGGTATTGGTGTTCCTCTGCTCGCTCCCGCCTACCTGCCCCCTGGTGTCGAGGTCGTCCTGCAAGCTGAGAACGGTATCCTTGGTCTCGGTGACTACCCCAAGCCCGGCCAGGAGGACCCTGACCTGATCAACCCCGGCAAGGAGACCGTCACTCTGAACCCCGGTGCTTCCCTCTTCGGCTCCCATGAGTCCTTCGGCATGATCCGCGCTGGTAAGATCGACCTCACCATGCTGGGTGCCCTCCAGGTTAGCCAGTACGGTGATCTCGCCAACTTCATGCTTCCCGGAAAGGTTAAGGGTGTCGGTGGTGCCATGGACTTGGTCGCCAATCCCGAGAAGACCAAGGTCGTCGTCACTATGGAGCACACTGACAAGAAGGGCAACCCCAAGATTCTGCCTGGTAAGTTTTTGTTCACTTCCTGTCTTGAAGCCACAGCTAACATTTTCCAGACTGCACCTTCCCTCTGACCGGTCCTCGCTGCGTTTCCACCATCATCACCGACCTCGCCGTCTTCGACTGCAGCCCCACCGAGGGCCTGACCCTGATTGAGCACGCTGAGGGTGTCACTGTTGAGGAGATCACCAGCAAGACCGCTGCTCCCTTCAAGGTCTCCCCCGACCTGAAGCCCATGCAGCTGTAAAATGCATTTGAATATACACATTAGAATTGGGTCTGGAACCGGTGTCATGTTTTATTTGCGACTGTCAATACTCTTAGTGGTAGTTTGAAAATCGAATTTTTTTATTTTTTTTTTATCATTTCCTAGTGAGTGCTTAGGGAGTCCTCCAGGGCTACCATGATGTAATATTCTTAGTCTAATATAGAATGAGTAAATGGCCATCTGGAATGGCAAAGAATGGCATGCACTTAAATTAAACCATAGTGATTGAGAATGTTGGCTGAAACTTCCGTTGGAGAGGCAGCCGCACTAGATGTAATTTTCGTCATTTTCATAGAACTTATATTCTGTGTAAAGGCTACAGAATAAACAAACCTTCTCCTGGAGGCAATTTCAATAAGGTTCCTCAATTTGCTCCCTGCGAAAAGCTACAAATGATTTAGTCTGTGTTGCATGTCCCTCAAGGCGTGAGCTTATGTGGGGTCGAACCCACCTGCAGATCAAGCAGTGGGGCTCCCCACAAGCAGTTTGCGACGAAAGTGGTGCTAATTGGAGAACTTTGTATCGCAATTTCTAAGTATTCAGCGAAAACCTTTCAATGTCAGTTGTTCAACAGTGATGGTAGCTGCAATGTTGTCCTTTGGTTTACCACGCTTATCGACTCTGGGGAGGACAGCTCCACTGCTCGGTCGCTTAAGGTTACAATGTACAATTCGTGGAATTGCTACAGGAGCCAAAGCTGTGGAGACAAAAAAGCTACCACTCACAGGTGTGCGCGTACTGGATATGAGTCGGGTCCTCGCAGGGGTACGTTTCAAAGTCGAAAGACTGTCTGTAAGCGAGAAGTTGGACTGATACTTAACAGCCATACTGCACACAAATTCTGGGTGATTTGGGGTACGTACGAAATCAGATCTTGAAAAGGGGAAAAGCTGATAAGTTCCTTCACATAGAGCGGAGATAATTAAGATTGAACACCCTGTTCGAGGCGACGATACCCGTGCCTGGGGCCCGCCCTTTGCAGCATACACCGACGGTCGTGCTGGCAATGGCGAAAGCGCATATTACCTTTCTGTATGTACCTAGTCAGTCGGTTGACTTTAAACAATGTACTGAATCTACCAGGTCAATCGTAACAAAAAATCACTCGGTCTCTCTTTCGCCCACCCAGAAGGTGTCGAGATCCTCCACCAGCTCGTGCGAGAGTGTGACGTGGTAGTAGAGAACTATCTCCCTGGCTCTCTCAAAAAATACAATCTTGACTACGAAGCTTTGCGCCAGATAAACCCGCGCCTTATTTATACCAGTATCACGGGATATGGCCAGACAGGTCCTTACAGCAACCGACCAGGCTTTGATGTGATGGTAGAGGCGGAGTTTGGGCTCATGCATTTGACTGGTACTCGGGATGGACCACCTGTGAAAGTCGGAGTTGCCGTTACAGACTTGACGACAGGTCTTTATGCATGCAACTCCATCATGGCGGCTTTGCTGGCACGGGCGAATACGGGAGAGGGACAGCACCTTGATGTGTGCTTGAGTGATTGTCAGGTGGCAACGCTTGCTAATATGGGAGAGTCGGTATTGATTAGTGGGAAGAAGGATTCTGGGAGGTGGGGGACTGCTCATCGTAAGGGAAATCTTGTCTTTCGGTTCTCTGGTCAAGATACTTATGAATGATTAGCATCCGTGGTTCCTTACCAAGCATTCAAGACAGCTGATGCAGATATCTTTGTCGGAGGCGCCAACGACCGTCTATTCGGAATTCTGTGCGACAAACTTGGTAGGGCGGAGTGGAAGACCGACCCACGATTTATCAGCAACAGCGATCGTGTCCATAATCGATCAGAGCTCGAGTCACTGATTGAGGTTGAGTTGATGAGGGAAACAACGCAGGTGTGGCAGGATCGTTTCGAGGGAAGCGGGCTGCCCTTTGCGGTGGTGAATGATGTTCAAGGAACGATGAATCATGAGCACGGTAAGTTCCTACAAGTGTTCTGTTAACAAAGCTAATACTTGTTTGAAAAGTACGTGCTCGTGGAATGGTTCAATCTATTGACCATCCTGCTTGTGGACCAATCAAGGTTATTAGCCCTCCCGTTAAGTACTCGAATGCCGAGCCTAGTATTCGAAGCCCACCGCCACTGCTAGGCGAACATACCGAGGAGCTGCTGAAGGGCATTGGGTTTGACGTCTCTCGAATTGGGGAGCTAAAGAAGAAGGGGGTCGTTGCATAGCTGGCATTATGTACGAATATGTATGATACATCTAGAGGTTTTTGCGAAAATAGACGGACGACTCGATTGAAATGTAAAGTATGAAGCCTCGAGTAGATGTATAGTAGAAGCCGCTCCGCCCAATCGTCTCATCAATTCCTCTGTACCTGGGAAGATAGATTTTGTTGATACTCGCGGAAGACAAAATGTATTCTCGGATCCGGGCGCGGACATCTCGGATCCGGCGAGGGTATCATATAGTATAAAGGCAAACACTTCACTATTCACTTATCCAAACCAAGTTCTCGCTTTCATATAAATCCAATCCTACATTTCAGGTGTCAAGACTACTTTCACGTATATACAAAAATGCGAGTTCTTGTTATTGGCGCAAGTGGCCGTACAGGCAAGCTGGTCCTCGACGAACTCCAGTATCGAGGTACGCTCCCGGCAATTCAATGTCAATTTGTGAAAACATCAGCTGAAAGAGATTCCAGGACATCAAATCACTGTGTTGGTTCGAAATCCAGCAGCGTTGGAAGGGTATCAAGTAGATGTCGTCAAAGGTATGGAAAGAAAAGCTGTACCTACATGTCACTCGACTAATCAGTCGAATGATAGGCACACCAACCAACATGTCCGATATGAGGGCAGCGTTTAATAAAAATACCCCAGAAGTTGTCATCGTAACCCTGAGCGCACCTCGAGCCAGCGACAGCCCCTTCGCCGCACCGATCTCCCCGCCACGCCTGATGGCCGATTGCAATGCCAATGTGGTGGCAGCCATGAAGGAATTTGGGGTTCCCAAAGTCGTTATTCTCCAAGCGTTCGGAGTTGGCGCATCATGGTCCAACATGCCATTTATGCTACGGTTGCTGATGGGCAAGTCCAACATGCGACATCAGTACGAGGACCACAACCATACCGACCGTGAAGTCCGTGCAAGCGGAGTGAGTTTCGTTCTTGTCCGACCATCTCGGCTAGTGGACAGCGATGTGCTGGAAGTCCATGAGTGGCCGGAAGACGGGAAAGGCGTTTCGTTGATGGCGAGTGCTGGTCGGAAAAGCGTGGCTCATTTCTTGGTCGACGCGGCGACCGAGTCCAAGTGGGACAACACGGCGCCGGTGATCACAAACTAGATCCGATGGACAGACTATTTGTATTAGATTCGTGATTTAATTTTTGTTCTGTATCTTCAGTAAATCAATGTCACTCCGAAACATGCGCACTCCCGATCTCCAAACAGGAAAAGCGTGGAAAAGCCAGGTCCAACGCGGGCTGGATGCTTGGCGCCGCTTATACTCTTCAGCCTTGTCAGATTGCTTCGATCCCTTTATGTCTAGCCAGCAATGGAATCTCAATCTCGGAAAAGACCACGGCCTGTAGTATCGTGTCTGCGATGTCGAGAGAAGAAGCTGAAATGCGACCGGGTGGCGCCCTGTCAGAATTGTGTTCGTGGGGGGTTCGAGGCCCAATGCACTTACCACCAACAACCCGATTCCGTTGGTCCACAGCCAAAACCAAAGCGAGCAAAATTAGCCGAAGCCAATGCAACAGACCGGACGCTGTCAATGGGCCCGAGTATCGGCATCATTGAGGATCTGCAGCAGCGGGTTCTGAAGTTGGAGTCTCTCCACGCGGTTAGACCTCGCGCTGATAACTTCAGTCCCATTAGAGATGCATCGGTTCAAGATTCATGGTATGGCAATTCTAATACATTGTTTATTTTTTCGCCTTTTTCTTCAATGACTGATGAGGATAGGCCACGACCAGAGATCTTTCAGTCGAGCTCATCGTACTTAGGAACTTTGGTGGTCAAGGGATCTCGATCGAGATATCATGGACAGAATGACAGGATCACTCTTTTGAATCAGGTTTGTCTTCATTGCAATGCAAGAGCTTACATGCACTGACAATCTCAAGTTTGCAGAAGCCAAAACCTTCATAAATCAATCCTTGAATGACCCCAGTCTGGTTGGACTAGCCAAAGAGGTTCAATTCCTACAGAACAAATCCCAGACTCCAAAGGATTCTCCAGAGTCACTCTCGGGTATAGACAGCTTTCCTGAGCTCCAGAGTCTTCTGGGCTCATTGCCTGCAAAACCTGTTTGTGACCAGCTCCTTGCTGTTTATATCAAGAATCTGGAGAAGAACCTTAGAATTCTGCATATTCCCTCTTTTCGGGCATGCTACGGCTCCTTCTGGGCCAATTCGGATCATGATGCATCTTTTCTGTCCATGTTCCTTCCTCTTCTCTCTGTGGTGTTGTCCATCTCGGTCATCATAGACACCACGCCCCCCTCGCCGGAGTATTCCCCGTCATGGGAGTATCTAAAGCAACATGCAGTCGGTGCAGTTCAGGCTTGGATGCAAAAGCTTCCACGGAAGCCAAGAACTGATATTTCAACACTCCAGGTCAGGGCGCTTCTCTTACTGGCTCGCCAGCTAAGACTGGTCTCGGCCGACGAACTCTGGAAGGAAAGTGGCTCCCTCGTACGCTCTGCAATGGTAATGGGGCTCCATATCAACTTATCACAATCCAAGAGTCTGTCCCCCTTTCAGGCCGAGTGTCGACGTCGATTATGGATTTCGATTGTGGAAATGGACCTACAGGCATCTATTAGTGCAGGGATGCCTGTGATGACACCGGCACTTGACTTCTCCCCTCTGACACCTTCCAACCTCAACGACGTCGACTTTGATGAATCAACCACTGAAATCCCGCCATCAAGGCCTAGGGATGAGGAAACAGACTCTCTTGCACTAATCACCTTGGCCCAATCTCTTGCACAGCGTATAAGGACCATGAACTTGGTTCAGCATACAAATCCTCAGGAAAGCTTGGAAGAACGCTTCCAACAAGGCGAACAGATCCAAGAGGCTTTACAGAGAATTCCGACTCCGCTCAAATTATACAATTCTGACACCAGTGACCTTGCTTTTGCTTTGAATCGCGTCATTTTAGATGTTTATATCCGCCGTTCACTTCTTTCGCTTTACAGACCTGTCCTTGCCTGTCACACACATGATGATTCCTCTTTCCTTGAAATCCAACGTGCTTGTCTTGATTCATCCATCGCAATTCTTTCATATCAAGACATTTTTGATCCAAACATTGTTGATCTTGACATCCACAATATCAACTCATTTTGGAACATGTTTCAAACCTTTTGTCAAAATGATATCATTCTGGCAGCTCTCAGTGTTTGTGAATATCTGAAGCTCCTCAGCCAACAAGCCTCTATTCACTCTTCCTTCAGTGATTCCACTTTCGAAAGAAACAATCAACAAAATCACGACAATACCATCCACGACAATTCTACCAATCACTCGCTGTCACACAACAAAGCAAGTTTGATTCGTTTGGTTGAGAACACAATCGATAATTTAACTCGCCGTATCGGTGAAAAAGGAACCAACATGAAGGACATCCTTCTCTTATCAGTCGTCCTCCAATCTGTCCGCGCTCGTGGCCCCGCAGAACAAAAAGACCGCCGCATGTCGCAAGGAGCAAAGAAAGCCCTATCCGCGTGTCGGCAGAACCTTTTATCTGCGGCCAGCGAGAATATCTTTCCTTATTATTGCAATGGCCCAGACCCGCTATCAGACTACGAGGTATTTTGAACTCCAGATGCATATGCCCTCTTGCTAACTCTCTCTAGTCTACACATGCAATGTTGCCATCCCACGTCTCGGCTCAGTCGCGTCAACCCTCCCCTTCCATGCCTGATCTCCTGCAACAATCTGCCTCCCTCGCCGCGGAATTTGATACTTTTCAGAGCGATCTTTTAGCCTTTGATGAAGGATCGTTCATTTGGAATATTTGATTGGTAGTCCATTTCCTGATACAATGACAAAGACGAGTCTGCGAAACGAAAACAAAATAAGAACAAACATCAAAGGCAGCGTGGAGGCATAATCTGTCGGGAGATGGAATAGCGAAGCTGAAGGTCCAAGAAGGGCGATATATGGCCATATTGGTGACCGATCATCATCGCCCAACAGTTCATGACCCACGGATGGGAGATTGTCACCGTGGTAAATGGTCAATGGCATGTTATGGCATGCAGGGTAGAGGCGCAATCTGCAGGGCCATTGTCTACAGCGATGAGGAAGCATCGAGTGCACAATTGATTAGGTAGCAGTGCACTGAAGGACCCGAGCGCTGGTCCGTGTGCACTTTTAGGCAATTGAGTACTGTCGTATAATATCAATGCAAACTTTACTACATTATGCATCCTAGGTTCTATATTAGAGTCGCGTATGATGCGGTTCATTCAAGTATCAGCGATAAATATCTGCAAAGAGCCACTCAATACGCCTGTGCAAGTTCGCTCCATGTCATTTTGAGTAGTACTGCGTCATATCATGCCGAAGCATATCCAATCCCTGTATTCCAGGTTAACAAGCGATGCAGAATGCCGAGACAAATGGAACTCACCAAAACGATACTCTTCGCTGTTTCCTCATCCGTCTCACCCTTGACACAAAGCTGGAAAAACTCATCATACTCGCGAGCCTTGGTCGGATCTTGATCATATAGCCGTCTGAAATTCTCACGGGATATGGGATCGATTATCTCAGCCCAGATGCGTTTGCGGATTTCACTGTACTTATCAAGGATGGTCTCATCTGCTAGGCCCTTGTGAATACCCATCAATGAATCGAAGAGACTGCCAACATCGGCAATGCCGCCTGTTAGACCGAGTCCACCGCTAAGGTCTGGGTCAGTATGGTATTGCACTAGCTTGATTGGGTAATGGTCTTTACAATGGGTTACAGAGATGCGCTGCATCTGCTGCAAGCAGGATCCTTCCGACTCTGAAGCTTGGCGCGCATCGCTGTTGCAGCTTATACGGACTGATGTTGGTAATTCGATATTGGTCAGGTTTAGGGTTTCCAGGTAAGAGTGTCTCGTAGATTTGGGGCTGTCGAGCAATGTATTCTTCTTTGCTCAGCCCGGGTTTATCGCCGTATGTGACGCGCCAGAGGCCATCTGTGGTGACTCGGGCTGCCATATACCAATACTCAGGGTGGACGACGAAATTGCTGTCCCAGTATCCGAAGCGGTCGAAGTCATAGTAAACCTGATCCCATGTTTAGTAACGAATATGTTTCAAGTCGTGAAAATGTGTCTTACGTTGGTTGCGATAATTTGCGCATTCAGCGTTTCCCCTGGGTATTCGGGCCCAAACAGCTCTCGGCGCACGGTACTACTAGCCCCATCGCATCCAATGACATAGTCTGCCTCGGACCGTTGAAGGCCATTTGGTGTTTCAGTTTCGACCCACGCCTGTCCCTCCTCCTGACCGAGACGCACGACTCGATGGGACCATTTGACTTGCGCTGTTGGTTGCTGCCGGATGTGTTCGTAAAGTAACTCTCCCAGTCGATCCAATGGAAGCACAACCATCTTATTCGGGTAATCATCAGGAAGTACAGCATGGTTCATGCCAGCGATAAAGGTGCCATCAAATTGCCGCCAAGCAAATCCAGCAGGTTGAAACCCTCGTGTCTTGATATCTTCGAGGACCCCAGCTCTTCCCAACTCGTATACTGCTGGACTTGCATAGTGAGCTGCTCGGGGCTGTTTGTCAATTTCCGAGCCGGCATCTAGTAGTTCGACTTCGATCCGTTGTTTGGCGAGTAAGAGACCGAGGATAAGACCTGACGGCCCAGCTCCGACTATGATCACCTAGAGCGAGTAAAGTAAGTTACAGTAATTCAACTCGGGCAAATGTATAGTACCTTCTTGATCACCATGACTTTGAATTTTGCTCAATTGAGAAGGGGTAGGAACATCGCGTGAAATGCTAATGATCTTACTCAAGACATTTAACAGGGTCAAGGATGACCCCTCGAGTGGAGTCAGGAAGCCCACCCCCGCCGTGGGGCTAGTCTTGGACTGCCTGCCATTGCTACGAAAAGTAGTAGGATTATACTTTGAGTGGACCGGTGACATTGCGGGGGAAGACTGAGTGGGGGCACTCATCCGGGGGGAATCCCGAGAACCGCTGCACCCATTAACATAAGTGCAGTCCATCAAGCGAAACAGTCTTTTTAGCTTTCAATTTTGAGTTTCTTTCCTAGCTTCACCAAAGAAATTGCTGTTGAAAATTCGCTGAAGGTGCACCGTCCCAGGAACAGCTGGTTAGGGGAGGTGTGGGCACACTGCCTTCGAAGCATTCTTCTTGGTCGTCATGCAATCCCCAGTAAAGCAGTTGAGAAGACCGGGGGTATTTCTCTCGGCACTCATCTAGACCGAGTGATATAGAAGATCGATATTGTTCGACAGGCAATGCTTCTGGCCCGTGTGTGATTCTATCCTCGGTATTGTCGACTTTTCTCTTTGTACCTCGAGAATGCTTGGTATTGGGAGGAGAAACAACAGCCTCATTAGGGTTCAGGTTGCTTGAATCGTCAAATTTCCAGCCTGTGCAGACATGCTGCCATTTCCGAATGTTCTCTGCAGTATCTAGAGGATACTGCGCCCAATGATCGATGCCCTTCTTTTCTATCCTTGCCAAAGGTGCATATGACGTTGCAGTGTCTTTTCTACAGCTTGCATCCGCAGGAAATAAAGCCTTGAGCTGGCTATCTGGAACATCAGACAACACTTTGAAAAGGGCATTCTCAGTAACTTGAAGTCGGTGCTCCAGTGTTTCGACATAACCTTTTGCAGGACCTCTTAAATTCAACTTAGTATATATCTTTGATATCCACAAATTGTTGCTCCTACCTTTTCAAGTGCTCGGGCCATTCACATGGTCGATTGTATTCGAGACACTGCCCACATACCGGTCTATATAGTGAAGTTAGTTATAATATTGGAAATATTTTTCCATCCCTCACTTTTCGCCACTACACTATATTGAAGGTAAGTACCATGTTAATTACTGAAAAATAAAGGCACACCTTTTGTTTCCTTGATCGACAGGCGGTACATGCCGTGGTGGCTCTTGACGGTCCTTTCTGAGACTTGGGCATGTTGCTTGCGGGTAAAGATGGGCGCAAGAGATAGAGAGAGAAAAGTGTATATGTTCAAGAACTAATGACATTACCATGAGTCATTCTCCAAAAGTATAAGGGACCTTAGAGAAGAAATCGCAAGTCAGTGAGTGAGAGAGGAAGCTAGGTGAAGTGCGGGGGATGGAATCGCCTGAAAGTTCTGCCGACCGCCGCTCCGCGTTAGGAAGGAACTCCATCTACTCTATATCGCGAGTATTTATAGTACATTCTCGCCCAGATGTTCTTTCCTATACCTGGAATCTTTTTGAGTCATACACTTATCATATCCATTACTCTTTCTTGCACATCCATCAAGTTCGACTCTTTCCTCTTTTGGCCCGATACACCAACCTGCTTTATTGGAGTTTCTTCTATTCTCCGTAATGCCTGCCTCTTATCAGATCGCATCCATTCCAGGTGATGGTATTGGCCCAGAGGTTGTCAGTGCAACAATTCAAGTTGTTGAAAAATTGGCCAAGACACTTCAAACCTTTCAGATTGATTTCACCCATATCCCATGGGGTACCAACTACTACAAAGAGCATGGACGATATCTCTCGGAAGATGCCCTGAGCACCCTGCGAAAATACGATGCTGGACTCTTCGGCGCAGTGGGAGATCCAGGTATGGAGTCTGGTTATAACGATATCCATGATCAAGCTTTGATTCTTACACATTCTAGGTGTACCGGATCACATTTCTCTATGGGGTCTTCTACTTGCCATTCGTGGTCCTCTGCAGCTGTATGCCAACGTTCGGCCCGTACGTACATTCCCAGGAACAAAGTGCCCCCTCAACACTGCAACCGGTGGTATTGATTGGATGCTGGTACGTGAGAACTCCGAAGGCGAGTATTCAGGCCAGGGAGGCCGCTCGCATATTGGGCAGCCATGGGAAGCCGCGACAGAAGTAGCCATATTCACACGAGTTGGAATCGAACGCATTATTCGGTTTGCCTTTGAAACTGCACAGTCTCGGCCTCGAAAGCACCTGACAGTCGTTACAAAGAGCAACTCCATGCGCAATGGAATGGTCCTCTGGGACGAAGTCGCAGCTTCTGTTGCTAAGGACTTCCCTGATGTCACTTGGGATAAGATGCTCGTGGATGCAATGACAGTCCGAATGGTTTGGAAACCGGAGTCTATCGACACAATTGTGGGCACCAATTTGCATATGGATGTTCTCTCGGATCTAGCTGCTGCGTTGGCTGGTTCTATTGGTATCGCTCCTTCTAGTAATCTGGATCCAACTCGCAAGAATCCATCTCTATTTGAGCCAGTTCACGGGAGTGCCTTCGATATCATTGGAAAGGGAATCGCCAATCCCGTTGGAACATTTTGGTCAGCCGCGGAGATGCTCACTTGGTTGGGAGAGAAGGATGCCTCGGCTAAGTTGATGCAGTGTGTTGAGAACGTCTGCGCCGCTGGTATTTTGACGCCTGACTTGGGTGGAACCTCGAATACCCAAGACGTGGTCGATGCAGTATGTGCTGAGATTGAGAAATTGAAGGCTTGACTTTAGGTCTTAGAATGGCACCGTCTTAGCAATCCCTTCATTAAGGTCGGGGTTATGTGGTACCTCCGAAGAAGAATCATTGAAAACAAACTTTAGTCAAATTTGCCAGATACAAAGAAGAAGCGACACGGAGATCTCAAAGAGTCGGCCAGCTGAAGGTGGCTCTAAGAAACGTTAATGCTTTGCTTAAAGCTAGGCGAGTAGATAATCGAAACAATCCAGACTATCGTTCACCTTGCGACTGGTTTTTTTTTTTTTTTTTTGTTTAATCGCACTTGAGATAGCTTTGACTTCAGCGGTGTTCAGAGCTGCTAGGTTTTTTCGCTAGACTTGCATGCCCAACAAGTAGGAAAAATGTTCAACTGTCAACTGTACAATGCCGATGCCGGCCGACTTAAATTGCTTAGTAATATCTGCTCCAACCCCGTTCTTCTCAAGGAGCAAAACTCTATAGCAGTGATTCATGCATATCTCTTGGCCATCGCGATGTCCAGCTCAGCATGGAGCCTCCTGAATATGCACCTGGAACGTCGGAGATTGGCTCCTTGACGGCCCACTCCAATGAAGACAGCCAGTTCGTCGGCAGCTCCAGTGGCGTCTACTTCATCAACACTGTCAAACGAGCATTTTCAAATGGACATGACGAATCTGGGTCCCGAGAGACCGAGTTCCCCACTGCAGAAGATACTCTTGTTGGTGTGGATGATTCATCGCAGCAGAAGCGCCGACGCACAGAGTCCAGAAACGAGTCAGCCTCATTTGGAGGCGAGCCTTCTGTGTCGTGGAAATATGATCCAGCTCTCGCCTCCTCTCTGGGCACTGCACCTCCTCCAGATGTGGCAAAAGAGTTCATGATGTCGTACTTCAAAGTATGGCACCCGCTGTTTCCGTTTCTGCACGGTCCTACCTTCCTGCAGGCCATGGAGAAATTGTACTCCAACAGTCCCATGCCTAATGACCCGGTTGATGACTCAACTTCGGAGCATAGAGCTACCTGCTGGACAATCATTCTGCAGTGTATATTCAATCTAGGGAGTCTCTTGCATCCTGATCTCCAACTCCCGAATTCCTGCAAAATCCAGTCACCTAGTTGCATGACACCCCTCCTCTCGATATTGGCATCCCGACATGATATAGTCTCGTTGCAGGCGTTGCTAGCTATTCAGGTTTACCTTGTTGCAACTATGTCTCTCCGACTGGCGTCCACGTTTGGAGGATGTATTCTGCGCTCAATGCTCCATGCAGGGTTACATCGTTGTCCATTTCGTTACAGTCAGCTCTCGTCGCATGACCGACAGCTGAGGAAGCGTATTTTCTGGTGTGCGTATGCGATAGACCGGTACCTGAGCCAAGCACTCGGTTTACCGCTCGGGATCCAAGACTTGGATGTTGATGTCTGTCTGCCAGCGGCTCCTGAAATGCACTCCCCGCGACTTATCAGGGATCTGAGCATGCACCCTGCGAATTTGGATTACCGCGGGACGACCGTTGCTCAGTCACCTTCTCTCGTGCTGAGCCCTAGCCAACAGCAAACGGCGGATCACCGAAAGAAAGAAAGTGTCTTAGCCAGCTATGTCGATTCTGGGACCCTTACCGGTCGCGCACTGGAACTATTTCATAAATCCATTTTGGTCCGCTCTGTACGACGCAGCTCAGTACTATTCTTGGTAACTGATGTGCATAAGTGGTGGAATAGCTTGCCGCTTGAGCTGCAAGGAAAAGTGCCAGGCTGCGAAAAGGAAATCCAAGGGAAAGGTGGCAATGATGACCCCTTTGACTTTGGTCCCTTTTTCACTGTGCTCTATCAGCACTTGATTTTGATCATCCACCGACCATCTTTATCTTTGAATCCATCAACTGCGGAATTTTGCTCGGGGCTACAAACATGCATTGGTGCCGCGCGAGGAATTCTTGCGGCGCTAAAAACCCATTTGGATAGTCGACAGGCTTTTTTTTGGCCTGGCTTTTTATCTGCTGCCTGGATGTCGGGCTTGGTCCTCGCGTTTGCTTGTCAGTTGAAGCAATATGTTCTTTCAAAAGGTCTACAGTGAGTCCATTGTTACACTGGGCTTTGTCGCACAAATGCTGATTGCTTGTAGGGAAATCGATGACTGTGCGGCATTTCTTCGTCACATGTCCAGTCAGTGGGAAACTGCTAGACCATGCCACCATGCCTTAACTTTACTGTCCAGCAAGATTAAACAAATGGGCAATGAGCAACGAAGCGTTGCCAATTCTCATGCATACGTGGTGAGGACACCAGACAAAAATGACAGCTCTGTTGATCCTGTTGATCGGGAAGGATATCAAGTGAAGCATATGAATCCAGCTGAGGGCCATCACACAGAAGCTGGCTATGCAAGTGTCATTCCCGAGCCACGGCCTGAAATCAACCCAATGCCTTCCAGATATAATGAGTCGGAAAATGACTGTACTCCAGCCGAGGATCTAGGCTTTCAAAATGAGGATGCCGGTTATCTGGCCGGAGGATCTAGCTTTGATTTGAACATGGTTGACCTCCTAGACGGAGCGGACTTCAATTCCCTATTCGACCTGATCGGTCAACAATATCCCAGCTTCTAGAAATCATCTAGATGTACATATTTCTTTGGCTTTAAAGATCACGAAAAACAACAAGATAAAACGTACAATTCATGGTGAATATATTTCCATTTTGTGCTTTCTCAGTTGCGATTACTCCATTGTATGCAAATACCACCAGGGCTGGCACTTATCAAGGCACCTGCTTAGGCCTCTGAGTATACTTCAGTTTATTTACATCTCTCTGCCCCCTTTCATCTAAGAAGAGAACTGTCTATAGGCTTGTATAATAGCCTCCCACCCACCTGGATGATACTCCTCAGTGGGATTAGACTCGTCATCAAGAATCATAATATCTGTCTTCCGCGTGCTAACTGAGTACCAAACCAGGTTCTCGGGACCATTAGCCACACGCATCATATTCGTCTGACACGACCCATCACACTGGGTACTATAGTCACCGGTCCACTCTCCATTGAAGAAAGCCCATGCCGCACTATTGTAGAGGAACACATCTTTTCCACCATCAACATTGGTAGCAAGCGAGGTACGACACTTCTGATCGCCACCATCGCACCACGAAAAGTCTAGATCACCATATGCTGATTCTGCGGTCCACGGTGCAGGTGCAATTTGTGTCGCACCGTCACCTTGCATATAGGGTGATTCGGTTTGCAGCATACCAGCATACACATTCTGCGCAGAGTGGAAGTTATAATTGTAAAGCCAGTTGTGCTCAGATCCAGTACCGGTTAGCCAGGTACCCTTCGTGGCCTCTACGAGAACCCCACGACCGGTCGAGATGACAGTGTACGAGGATCCACCATCTAGATTGTGGTCTGCGGTCCATGCCCAGAAGTTCTCGATGTATGCAGATGACGAGGTCGTAAGGTGCATTGCCATGAATGCTGCCATGCACTTTGAAGTATCTTGCTGATCGCAGTCATCCTTGATACTCGTCTCTGCAGTACCGCCGACAGTCACCAAGGTGTTCCAAAGTCCCACGTCACCGGGGTTTGTACCCGCGGCGTTGACTTCAAGGATGATCGCCCCGGGTAAAACCTCCGCGACGCTGAACCGGATATTCTGGATCTCGATGATTCCTTCGTCACCCGTTTGTCCAACCTGTACAACAGCCTTGGGATTTGAGGCATCTTTGAAAACATCTCCCACACCGGAGATCACGGCCCAAGCTTCACCCATAATTCGCGAGCCGATAGGGATCTTCAGTGTATCTTCGACGTGATACACTCCGTACGGGAAATACGTGATCTTGCAGTTGGCTGCGTTCTCAGCTAAGATAGCGTTCAGCGAGTCGACGTCGTTGGTTGATCCATCGCCTTTCACGGGATAATCTCCCACGTTTTTGACGTTAACAATCTGATCAGAGGCGTAATCGGCGTATGTAGGTTGGCTGCGCGTGAAGTATTTTCCACCAGAGAGAAGGACTTCGGAACGAGAGGTCGTGAGGCTCGTGCTGGTCTGGTACTGACCCGGGGTCACATTACCCCACATCCAGGTATCGATGGTATCTGTAGCACCAAGTTTCTCGTTGTTGTTGCTGTCGACTGCTATAGGATTGGAGGTGTCGTGTGCCAGATTTTGGATAAGCAGTTGACTGTTGCGGTTGCCGCTATCGTTGGAGGAGTCGTGGAATTTGATGACGGTGCCCGAATTGGTAGATTTGGAATCCAGTAACACCATGCTTCCAAGTCCGTTGCTACTCATGTCAATGCCTAGTCCGACAGTATCGAATGTGGCACCTTGGAGAAGTACGGTGTGACCGCCAGATGCCTCAAAGGCAGTCGTGCAGTACTTGAAATAGATGTTTTTGAAGTTGACTTGTTGGTTGGAGTTCTTGATACCAATCTTACCACCTTGTGTTCTGGACATCAGTCACCGCAATTGTTGAGCCTCCACTGATATTTATGCCAGTGTGTCCAGTTGAGCTTGAAGGCATGTTGATCTTGACGTTCGTCAAACCAGACCCTTGCGCCACACCCACTGCAATGCGGTAATTGTTGTATCTGCGCTCAGGGCCGTTGTATCGATCACCACGTTGCGGAGAAGGGTCATGAAGCTTGTCTCAGCGGCGCCATTCCCACTATCGTATCCATTGATCAAGGTATCACCATCAAAGTCAGAGGAGGCCTTCAGCACTGGCGGATTCAGCGGATCTCCCGTGATGACCGTTCCGACACGTAGGTCCAAAGCACTGCCCAGCTGGTAGGTTCCTCCTGGGAGGAAGACTTCGGCCGGATACCTAGTCACACCTTGACCTTTTCGACTGCCGCCTGATCCGTCGTCATTGATTGCATGCTGAATGGCGCTCGTCTGGTCTCCAGAACCGTCTGTGACGGCAGAGTAGTCCTGCACATTGCGCCAGACGGGGTAGTTTGCATTCGATACTTCGGGGGCGTAGCCACGAGCATTGCCTGTGTGGTCTTGATCCAAAAGCCAGTATGTCGTAGGGGAGGAGACAATGGGTCCAGTGCAGGTATCTCTGAGTAAGGGTCAGATTATTGCATGGTAATGCAGCGTTGAAGACACTTACCTCTCTGAGGAAGGAAGTGCTGCCGCTGAGGCTGTGGCTAATATGCTTGTCATGGCGGCCCAGGAACAAAGATTCCGCATGATTTTGGTCTCTGTGTATACAAGCTATGTCCAATAGAAAGGGCTGTACAATTGAAACGTTTTGAATTATAATGAAAGAGAGTACGGAGTAGGACGTATAGATTTGACTGTCGTTTTATTTATGCAGCCCACGCGTATATTACCGCACCACTGGGACTTAGTATCCAGGTCAGCAATAGCTGAGCCATCTCCCATTTGGGTTAGGTGGATGGTACCTGACGGCGATCGCCGGTGGGGCCAAGACATGATCAATGATGGAGCAGATGCCCGACACTAGGATCCCCTTTTGGAAGTTGGGTTTGCTGATTTCTTATGATCAGGATCATTCATGCATGTTGACGCTATTTTGGGGGGCAGAGCAACGTGGTTCTTACTGGAGATTGGTAACTGAACACCACAAAAGCAGTGGAACACTTCACTAGCCCATGTCTGCACTAGCGCGGTAACTGCAATTTGGGCAAGATGCCACTGTACCTGGTAAACCAGGTAAACCAGGTATATATCAGAGAGCATACAGTGACCTCTCTAAATCGAGGCCAGCATACAAAACAGCGCTTCATCTGAGTCGCGATTTAGGTAAGAAAAGGTGCCGTCTCAGTGGCCATCGCTGAGGTCCTAGTCATCTTCACGCCCCCGGGTAGCCCAATGTAAACAATCATGTATCTGGATATGTACTCAATAAGATGGCTACTCCGAATTGCAATTACCGCGCTGTTTCAGGTGTGGGCTAGAGTGTCCGAGTAATTTTGTGGTGTTCGATTATCGATCACCTTCTTACAGTAGGTTTTCCCTTTCTCCAAACCCTAATCGGCGCTAATTTCGGGGGTCAACAGATGCAGACACACACGTCAATTAACTAACGAATGACTGAAGCAAAGCGGGCTCTTGACCATCTCATTCTTATCAAAGCGTACCCTTGAACCCGAGCACAGGAAACCGAGACAGCACAAGATCCCCATCCGCGAGAAAGGTATACTCTATGTTACACTCGTGTAGCGGTAAAACAAATACGTGGAGACCTGGTAAAATGAAAGAGAAATTGGGGGATAGGAAGAGAAAAACGTCACAACTCCCTCCCAGAAAAAATAAAAGGGATAAATCGAAAAATGCCACATCCGGCGCCCAAAGAGAACTTTTACCGACCCCCCAATACAGTACCAGTCCCTCTGTACGTGCTTTTCACCCGATTCCCGGCAATGATCGGAAGTGTGTGTACTAGGTAGATAGGAAAGAAAGAGGAAGAAAGAGAGAATCAACGTGTCGCGTTCCTAGACACCAGTAGGTGACACTGCCTAACACAAAAAAAAGAAACTTTTCAAACCGAGGGATATCAGGATCGGATGGGACAGAGGGAAAAGAGCCAAAACAGGGTGTTAATGTAAAAAAGAAAGAGACAAGAAAGTAAAAAGGTCATCAAAACGTGCATCCAGGTTTCCGAGAGGCGGTATGTGAGTTGGGTATCCAATCACAGCCGTCATTGATGCGTTCGACCGTTGCGAGAGACGTCCCTTAGGACTTGTTCTCCTCCGAGGAAGCCTCCTTGGGGGCCTCCTGGGGCTTGGTCTCGGCAGCCGACTCACCCTCGGTACCCTTGTTCTTCATATACTCATCATAGACGTTAATGGCCTCATCGACCTTGGCGCGAAGAGCATCCTCCTCGTCGAGCCTGAAATAAAAAATATTAGCACATGGTAGGAATAAAGTGAGACAGGGGAGAAACTTACAGTCCAAGGAGCTCAGTGTTATCCATCTCCAAGAGCATACCAGTGATCTTACCAGCAAGCTCTGGCTGCTGGGCCTGGATCTTGGGGTAGAGAGCCTCACCAAGCATCTGCTTCTGCTGGTTAGGGGGAGCAGCGGCGAAGACCTGGTGGTTGATACCGGAGGCGTTAGAGGCCTCTTGGGCGGGCTGACCGGCAGGAGCGGGCTGACCACGGCCACGACCCATCTGAGGACCACCACGGCCAAAGCCAGCACCACCACGCATGTTACCCATGGGCATTCCGGGGACCTGACCACGGCCACCCGCGCCACGACCGAACTGGCCCTGCATGGGGTAACCCATACCGTTGGGAACACCGCCGGGAACTTGCATACCCATGGGCATACCCTGGAAGTTAGGGGGAGGAGCCATACCGCGGCCACCCTGCTGACCGGGGAAACCAGCAGGGTACTGGCCGGGACGTCCACCAGGGATTCCCATAACCATGCCGGGCTGGGGAGGGAAGGGCATACCACCACGCTGAGCACCGGGAATGAAGCCCTGCTGGCCGGGGCCGTAGTAGACGGCAGCGGGCTGCATGTAAGGCTGGGGCATACCAGCGGCAGCAGCAGCCTGCTGCTGACGGATGGTGTTGCGGGCCTGGATGCTGGCCTCGAGCTGGCTGCGGCGGACATCCTTGCGCTGGGCGAGGGCGACGTAAAGGGGCTTTCCGTTGACCATGCGCTGGTTCATCTCAGTGACAGCCTTGGAGGCCTCATCGGGGCTGCTGAAGCAGACGAAACCGAAGCCCTTGCTCTTGCCAAGGAGCTTCTTCTCGCCCTTCTCGCCCTCCTCCTCAGTTTCCTTAGTCTTCTCCTCAGACTTCTCCTCAGTCTTCTCTTCAGTCTCCTCCTTCTTCTCCTCGGTCTTCTCCTCCTTGGCCTCGGTCTCCTGATCGGCCTCCTTCTCCTCGGAGTCGGGGCTGGGAGAGCGGTCGGTCAGGCTGTCGCGCATGACCTTGGCAGAGGTGATGGTTCCGTAGGAGGCGAAGAGCTCGCGGAGCTTCTCGTCATCAACATCATCAGTCAGGTTCTTGACGTAGAGGTTGACACCCTGGTACTTGGAGGCCTTCTCAAGACGGGCGGCCTCGTACTGCTTGCGGAGCTCCTCCTCACGCTCGTGCTTCTTCTGGGCACGACCAACGTAGAGCTTCTGGCTCTTGATGTCCTTCTCGTTCATCTCGTCGACGGCGGCCTGCGCAGCCTCGTGGGTGGAGTAGTTGACGAAACCGAAACCACGGCTCTTGCCGTCCTGGTCGTGGCTGAGGGTGGCGGAGGTGATCTCACCGAACTTCTCGAACATGATGCGGAACTCCTCATCAGGGATCTCGGTGTCAAGGTTCTTGACGTAGATGTTGGTGAAGTTGGCCTTCATCTCCTCGAACTTGCTCTGGCGGTCCTTCTTGGAGATGTGGTGGCCGACGAAGACCTTCTTGTCGTTCAGAAGCATGCCGTTAACGTGCTTGATGGCGTTGTTGGCAGCCTCGGCGGTCTCGTAGTGGACGAAACCGTAACCCTTGGAGTTGGCGAACTCATCCTGGGCGACCTTGCAGGACAGAATGTTACCGAAGGCAGCAAAGGTGTCGTGCAGGGCCTTGTTGTCAATGGCGTTGTCCAGGTTCTTGATGAAAACGTTGCCCTGGCCAGTCTTGCGCAGAGCAGGGTCACGCTGGGACCACATGATACGGCAGGGCTTGCCCTTGATCAGGGTGTAGTTCAGGTCCTCCAGAGCACGCTCACCATCGGCGGTGTTGTTGTAGTTGACGTAGGCATAACCGAGCGAACGGCGAGTGACGGCGTCACGGCAGACACGGATGGAGGCAACCTGGCCAATGGAAGAGAACAGCTCGTAGAGCATAGCCTCAGTCACAGAGGGGTCGAGCTCACCAACGTAGAGCGAAGCGGAGTGAGGCTGAGCATTGGCACCCTCGCCGGCGGTCTCGACGGCGGCGGCAGCGGCGGGAGCACCGTTAGCCTCGGGGGTGGTGCCGTTGGCATTGCTGTCAGCGACAGGGGGGTAGTAGTGGCTTCGGCAGACATGTTGACTGATTTTCTTTTTTACTGATAAAGATTTAGCAGTTGTTCACCAGGATCCGGATGTGCGGAAATGTTCAGGTGCTCTTTCATCGTTGCACGACATTCCCAAATTCTCTCTATGTGGCAAAGCCAGATTGCCAAGATGAGAGTAATGAGGATGGGGGCAGGGGATTTGAACAGAGAAGTTGCCCTATAAGGAGCACCGTGCTCATTAAGTGAAATGTGTTTGTGTTCTTAAGACACGATTCACAATAGTGACCAGCGCCGCGACAAGTAGGAAACGAGGCAGTTCAGAACGAAAACACCTGCAATTCAGGGCAGTGCGCGGGGGAACGTGGACAAGAGGGATGTTTCGAGGGGCGCGACCAACCTGGAAGAACGGGTGAAAGAAGTTCGACACACCGCACAATGGAGGGGGAGATAAGATAGGGATTTGAATTTTCGAGGGTTTTCTGGGTTTTTTTTGGAGTTTTTTTATGGCTTTCGATAAGAGGTTCGAAAGGAAAAAAGGTTCCCTAAGAAAAAGAGGAGGGGAAAGGCAGACGAGGGTTGGAGAGGAAGAAAATTAATGTGAAGGCGGTTTTTTTCCAGAAAACTCAGTCCGTAACTGAGTGCCCCCACTTGGCCTGATGGGGAAGGCGGTGCGTGCTCATATTGTTTTTTTTCTTTTACTGGATCAGGTGATTAGCCACATCACTCTCTACTTGGAGTTCCTTTACAGTTGAATAATGCTATTTCTCATTCGGACACTCCTGAGGACAAAGGGGGAGGTAATTCAAAGCAGTGCCGTTCATAACAAATTTCTCTAAATCTACCAACACAACCCGGGAGATACGGAAGATAGAGAGGAGATACGCGGATTTGTTGTGTCCACAATTCGCATTCCTTACCCTCGGTAGATCCTCTTTCCGCAGCCAATGAGCTGCCCCATGTTTGGTCAACGCCAATGATATGCAGAGAACGTACACAAAAGCACATACAGGTGTAATATTATGGAATGAAACCAGAAAAAGAAAATAAAATTCAAAAGTAAAGCCCAGAATAAACGACTTAGCTCAAATCAAATCCGGCTCCCGAACTCACCGCATATAACAGCTTTGTTCGGAGCCTCTCAGCATTCGAGTACCGTGGCAACTTCAGCAAGTTCACACACGTACTTGTACTTGGCAATCGCTCCTGGTCATCACTTGAGTCTCGGATACTGAATCGCGGGTGGAGATGGCTGAATCCAAGCAGCGGAGCTCGGGGAGTAGATGTCACAAACCGCAACACCTTCTGCTTTTCGTCGGTGTTCATCTCGTGCAGCACCTTCCAGAATAATTGAATGGTCGGGTGCTCCTGGTTATCATCACCGATGACATATACTCCGCCATACTGCGTGTTGCGTCGCAGATCTTCCACGTCGATGTCACCTGTCTCCCCACTGACTAGAGTCTGCAGTTCAGACTGGTTGAACATAGACAGCCAAGAGGGTTGGATGATCTGTCCTAATCCTTGAAGGAAGGCGTTGGTTTGCTGCGCTGGTTGCGCCTGTAGGCGGTATCGTGCGATATAGGAGATGTAAACCAAGCGATTTTGGTTCGTGACAGGAATGTTCGAGCCATCCGGTCTCAGCTCTTTTGTGACCATACGATCGTTTGATCCCGGCATCGGAATGGTATCAGTGACGGTAAAGTCGAGAGCGAAGTCCTCAACTTCGCCAGAGTAGTTCTTAAGTTTCAACAGACCCTGGTACAGGCCTGCATCAAGGTCCTTCAAATCATTGATATTGGCCCGGTAGGAGGACTCTTTCAAGGCAGATCCACTGCCACCAGTCAACGCCCATTTCAGGAGGAAGAAAGGCGCAAAATTAACGTCAACAAGGATTCCTTCATACAGACATTTACCAATGATACGTCCAAGGAACTCGTATCGGCGGAGCAGCTCTCGGATGTTTCCTGTCCATTCCGCGCTCTGCTCCGTCACCTGGTTCTCTCGCATCAGTTCTTTACACTGTTCAACAGCGGTGGGATTGGGATACAAAAGATGCTGATCGTTCTCTGCAAACATGTTGAAGCCATCCTCGGTCTTGAATGCTTCACTCGTGATGCTGGTCAGAAACTCCTTTGTAACGCCACCACCATCAATACCCGCTTCCATGGATCCGAAACGGTCAATGAAACTGATTTGGATCGGTTCTTTCAGACCGTCACCCAATTGGTAAAATTGGCCCAATGCATCATCAAAGATATGCTCTCGTCGAATCTCTGCCTGATGTCGGGCAAGAACGTCCTGCACACCTTGCTGATGACCATTTATCATTGCAATCTGGGCGACGGATACGCGCCAAGCATCAGGTTCCACAAATCCATTTCGGCGGCGATATTGGTCATGGTGGATAAATTCACGGAATATTTGGACTCTGGTGGCGAAGGGAATGAAGAACGGCATGTTTCGAAGAATCTCTAGCCTGGGTGCAATAGCCGCCAGAATTCGTCCACGAGCAGCTCGCTGCTGGTTTCTTCTCAATGCTTCAAATCGAATGTTCTGCTGAGCACGACCAGTTCCTGCCAACCCGGATGGCTCGTTGGATCGATCAGTCTCCTCGTTCACAAGATCAACGTCCTCCGAATCATCGGCCTGTGTTTGAAATTCGTGCCTTTTCTCTTCTTCCGCGACAACAGAGGATATGAACCCTTCCATGTCGAAGCGACTGGTCATAAGCCAATGGTCCTTGGGTAGGAATTTTCGACGAGAACTATCAAGACACCTGTAATTAGTATCACATAGATCATCGGAGTGCGATTTACGATTCCCACTTACTCTCGTTCATGTAACATCCGAAGCAAGCCTGTTACCAGCCCTTTGAAGTACTCAAGCGGAATTCCAGTGACGCCGGGGAGGTAGGTCGTTTGGCTTTTTGCTTCCAGTTCCTTTGTGCTCGGGAAAGGATTAGAATTAGAGGTTTGACCAGTGTTGCTGAAGTAACTGCTCAAGCTGACTGCAGTGGGTCGAAGCTCTGGCTCACTCAAATCGACAGCATTCCAGTAAAGAGTGAACGCCAAGTTTTTGAGAAAAACTGTCATGTCCTTGACATCTTCCAAAGGTAAGGCACTCTCCCTTGTCCATGAAATTTTGTCATCATCTGAAGATGTGAAGGAAGATGTGCTAGAGAAGAACTCGTCGTCATCCATGACTTTCAAAACAAATGTATAAAGTTCAAGGAAAAGGAGTATGGTAGTCCACTCTTGATCCCGATGGTTCTGGGATAGCTGGGCAGGCTCTTTGGTGTCCTCGTATGATTGCAGTAACGGAAGCACTTTGGTGGAGTCACTGCTAATTACTTGAAAGACGCGACTGGATCTAGATGCTTGCCAGAAATATTTGATCGCAGGCACCTTTGCATCCGGTTGGCCGGACATGTGCTGCCCTGACGGAGCCGAGCCCAGATACAGCCACATTCGAATATCATCTCCCCGGCGAGGGAAGATCCTCAGCAAATTCAATGCGTATGTAGCAAGAACCTGGGCTTCCTTTGATGCATCAGACTCGCTGCTCGTCATTTCGGACTGTGTCAAACGGGATGATCGAATAGGAGAAAGAAGTCCAGTAACGCTACTTTGGTTCACAAGGCCCGTGAGTTGCTCCTTGATGAACGGGTGTAATGGTCGCACGCCTGTTGACGAGTCCAATTCACTTGGATCTTCCGCCTCCAGGCCTTGCATGAGATAAGTCGCCGTGGATGTGAGCAGATCAGAAATCACACTCACAAACTCCAGCTCCGGTGGTCGAACATGGGCATCGCTACCCAAAGCATATCGATGAAAGAAGATCAAGTATGAAAACAACCAAGTGCGAGCCTGCATGTCATCCAAGGTGCGAGAACCCTTGGCAGTTGATTTGAGCCTAGACGAAACAGCTAGTGCAAGCATGCGATAGTTAATCTGGTTGGCCAAATCATCCAGCTTCCCCAAATATCTCTCAAGGTCTGGTATGGTGAGAAACGAGGTAGCAAAGGATTCGTATGCCGACATGGTTTCCGAAGTAATGGGCCTTAAAAGAGCCAGGACAGCGTCCTTAATACTTTTATGACTGAGAGTAAACCTTTGTGAGACGGACGAATCCGTATTTGACAGATTGATTGTCAAGAAAGCCATAGCATCGTAATAGCTATCGGCACTAACAGCCATTTGCTTAGGGATCAGTTCGGCGAGGAAAACCGCTCCTCGGAGTAAAGGCTCGATAGCAGTGGAAGGACCACTAGAAGTCGATGCAGAGTTCAACGCACGCAGCACAGCTAGAGCCAGTCGTTTGAGGAGCTTAGTCCATTCGCCTTCAGTAGCAATCGTAGGTAAAGTTCGCAAGGTCTGTTCGAATGCATCGACAAAATATACCAGTCGCGAGACATCATCCTGCCTCCTCGCTGATATAAACTGGACCAGAAGCCGAAGCTGGCCCAGACATTGATCTGCTGTGGCATACGGTGCAGGGCGACGTGAGGAGAATGCCAAATTCTCCGAGCCACCTTCAGCTACAAAAGCGACACCCATGGCATCTGCCATAGCCCGCTCGTTGGTATCCCACTCCGATCTCCACGCATTATGTGTAGTCCTCCTGCTGCTGTGGCCCCGCCACACTCGCTGGATGACCCGGACTGCATTCTGTTTATCTCTGTCCCGCTGTCTTTGCATCCGCTCTTGCTGTGCAATGGCAACAGCACTTTGTGGGTTCGAGGCATGCGGAGCCTGTCGGGAAGGAGAATTTCCGGGGAATGCAGCGAAAGGATTGTTGGTGCGGCCACTTAGATTCACCTGCCGTGGACGACGAGAGCTTCCGGTAAAGGACTGAAACATCGTGAGGGCCTGGTTACCGGGAGGCAAAGGAAGGTTTTGGGGGGCCGGTCTTTTCAAATCAAGTCGCTTTAGATGCAGGGAAAGAGGATAGATGCAAGCCCATCTCGCAACGCTGGGCAATGAATGCGAATGAAGAACTATGACATACGCGGGCTACGATACGTGAGCGCATAGCGACCTTATCGGTGGTATGCGCACGGCACACGCACTTATCATGGCCCACGGACGGCCGAGGACTGCGAAAACGACGCTATTTCCACGCACCAGGCAAAGTTCTTTTGCGGCACCGTTTATGCTGTACATGAATGGATTGATGTAGAGAAAGTGTAGGGAATTCACATATAATTGATCAAATCCAATTATTTTGCAGGTATCTTCTATAAAACGGTCCAGAATGCTTAATATATGCATTCCAGCTCTTCGTCCCAAAAGCCTGGTGGCCGGGACATGCATAACGTCGACATCCACTGACGCTTCATGCTGATAGGCCTGATCAGGGCCCGTGTTCATTCAAGTATGCTGTACATATAATACATAGAGATGCGATCGGCCAGCGAGCAGCAGAGGGGTAGATCAGGAGGAGGGCCGTCGGAGGGGAATTGGTGGGCGACAAGCTGTATTTCTTGCCTAGGCAGCAGCCTACAGGAATAGTTAGAAATTTGCAATGTATAATCCGTAGGAAGAATATATGTACTCACCGTCGGATATAATGGTATGCTTCAAATACGGCTATTGACTGGGCCGAGAAGAGTCCTCTTGGCTCTGCTTTTCGGCAGTCTCGCGAGCAACGACTTCCTCTGCATTCTTGTCACCCCAGATATTGATGTAGTCCTGGCCCTTCAGGCTATCAACCACGGTGACCGTGCGGCCATTACGAGTGATCTGTTTGACGAATTGATCACGTTTGGGTTCCACTTTTTTCGAGACAAAGGGAGTGAGCTGTCTTCTGGTCAGTGGTTATACAATAAAATGGCTTAAATATGGTTGCACAAACATCAAATTCCTCCAAATCATCAGGAACCACGTAGGTCCGAACCTTCTTCCAGTCGATCACGTAGTTGCCCTTCTTGTCGAACTGACCCATCGATCCAGTCCGCGTACCCTTGTAGTAGCCGCCATTGACCTGCTTCGTCGTAAAGCGCAGGCGCGCCATCATGGTAGGTGAAGGCTTAAACATATTGGCGGAGGTTATCAAATTGAGGACGAGACAAGGAGGGCAACAATGGGAAGCAGTTGGAGTTGAGAAATCCTAGGTCCGGGCGGTCAGACCGCGCCAATCTCCACGCCGAGAACTTTTTTTCGCTGCCAAAAAAAAGTTGAACGGACCACTCAAACCAAACCCTTTCCTAACCAACACAGGAACTTGGTCCTTCTTGTACAACCCTGTACAGAACCGAGGCTCCTTTATTTGCGTTTTGCGATTTTTCCGTTCCATCGCAAACATGCCTCGCCAGCAAACCAATCTGCGGGGTCCGAAAGACCGGGGTGCTTCCAAAGGCAGACCAGCACCGAAGCGCAAGAGCGGCCGTGCCATTAATGCTCTCTCTATCGCTGAGAAACAAATTCCTACCAAGCTCGGTGTACGCCGGAATCGTTTAGGTTTTTACGATGATGGCTCCGAACGCAAATTCAGCAACAACCGTGATGAAGACGAGGACGGCGAAGACGAAGACGGGGACGTGCCAAACTACAAGCGCCGCAGATTTAACACTGCTCCCGACGATGGCAGCCTCAATGGTGGCAGTGATAGCGAGGGTCATGAGTGGAAATTGGGACAGGTGGACAGCGATGACGATGAGTCTCTAAACAGTGACGAAGCTCTTGGAGAAAGCGACGAAGAAAGATTTGAGGGGTATACATTCCGCGGAAGCTCTAGCAGCAAAACCCAACCAAAGCCGAAACAATCTACAAAGAAGCGTGCCGAGATCAGTCTATCCGAGGACGTTGATGCATCCGAGTCCGAGGATGAAGATGAAGCTGAAGATGAAGACGACGATGACCTTGGTGAAGATGCCGTGGATCTTCTGACTGCCTGGGATATGAACACTGCGGAGGAGGAGGCTGAAGCCAAGAAAGCTGCCGCAAAATCTAAAAAGGCGGCAGCCGATGACAGTGAAGAGGATTCAGGCTCAGAGGCAGACAGCGAAGAGGACCAAAGTGACGATACTGGGCTATCTTTATCTGATGACGAGGAATTTGATGGACAGAACGACGGCTTGAGTAAACTTCAAGACTTCGTCAATTCCATGGAGACGGGACGTCGTTCGAAATCCACACAAAAATCACAAGAACAGAGCAAGCCGTCTGAATATGGCTTGACTTCCACAAAGAAGTTGACTGTCGCCGATCTTCTGCCCTCGATCACGGACTCCCGCCTCAAGAGCTCTTTGAAGCATGTCGAAGCTACCCCTCAAACATCCAAGGCTGGCATCCCGGGCAAGCTAGATGCTCCCTTGGCCAAACGCCAGCAAGATAAACTCGACCGTACTGCAGCTTACGAAAAGAGTAAAGAGACTTTGGATCGCTGGATCGACACTGTCAAGCACAACCGCAGAGCCGACCATCTTATGTTCCCTCTACCCGACCCGAATAGCGAGCAAGTCCACCGCATGGACATAGCAAAGCCGACGAACGATCTGGAAAGCACTATCCAGAGCATTCTCGTGGAGAGTGGATTGGCCGAAACCAACGGCAAGTCCGCTGAGGAGCAAGTCCAAGGCTTCGAGGATATCCAAGCCCGCACATTGCCTATTGAAGAGATTCAAGCCCGTCGCGCTGAGTTACGGAAGCGACGTGATTTGCTTTTCCGCGAAGAAGTGCGTGCCAAGCGAATTAAGAAGATAAAAAGTAAATCTTACCGCCGTGTTCACCGCAAGGAACGTGAGCGTCTTGAGCAGCAAGAGAAACAAGCACTTTTGGAAGCTGGCGTGGACTTAGATGCGATGGATGTCGAGAAGAATGAGCGGATGCGAGCTGAAGCCCGCATGGGCTCCAAACACCGCGACAGCAAGTGGGCTAAGAGCTTGAAAGAGACTGGCCGTACTGCCTGGGATGAAGATGCCCGTAACAATGCGGCCGACTTGGCTCTCCGTGAAGAGGAGCTCCGGAGACGAATTGAAGGAAAGAGTGTCTCTCGCGGTGACGACGCTTATCTAGAATCATCTAGCTCAGAGTCAGAGGATGACGATCCCTGGGCTTCCGATGCTTCTGACGTGGAGAAGCGCAAGATACAGAAGAAGCTGCGTGCTTTGGACAAGGAAGAAACTACTGAGATTCCCAAGGGCCCGCATTCCAACCTTTTCGAAATGAAGTTCATGAAAAATGCGGATGCGGCTCGCAAAGAGGCGAACGATGCAGAACTCAGACGCCTCAATCGTGAGCTGCATGGCGAGGATTCACAGTCAGAGGCTGAGTCAGAAGTTGGGCGACGGAAGTTCGGCCAGTCTGAAACGACCGGAACTCAGTCGAAGCCGAAGCCATTGCCAAAGAACGAATTCGAGGAGAGGCCTGACTCTGATGATGAGGACCAAGATGTTGACATTGCGGTCGATCGTCCTGTAAAGTCAAAGCCCGCCGCCTCTGCCCCGAAGGCCACCGCCAAGCCCTCTCCCAAGATGTTCAGTCAACCACCAAAGGAGGCTGTTGAAGAAGAGAACCCGTGGCTGGTTCAAACTGAGCGCACCAACCGCCGCCGGACTGGTACAGATGCTCAAGAGTCTATGGATATCACAATCGACGACGAGCAGCCACAAGCCCCGCAAGCACCTGCTTCATCTAAGAAGAGCAAAGTAGCGAAGGCAGCTCCTGCCAAGAAACGTTCTCGTGACGAACAAGACAGCGACGAGGAAGAGAATGTCCCTGTCCTGCTGAAGAACCACGACTTGGTTGCGAGAGCTTTTGCTGGCGACGAGGTCGTCCAAGATTTCGAGCAGGAAAAAATGGACACCATTGGCGAAGAAGGCGACAAGGTTGTGGACAACACTCTGGAAGGGTGGGGCAGCTGGGCCGGCGACGGTGTCAGCAAGAAGGCGCAGAAGAACAAGAGGCGCTTCTTGACCACCGAGCAAGGTGTGAAGCCCGAGAAACGCAAGGATGCCAAGCTCTCTCGTGTGATTATCAACGAGAAGCGGGTGAAGAAGGTACGTGCTCTCTTTTCAAAACTACATTTACATCTGCTGACCTTTTCCCAGAATGTCAAGTACATGGCAAGCCAACTGCCTCACGAGTACGAGACGAAAGCACAGTACGAACGCTCACTGCGTATGCCTCTGGGTCCAGAGTGGTCTACAAAGGAAACCTACCAGAGTGGAACCAAGCCTCGTGTCATGATCAAGCAGGGCATCATCAAGCCCATGGAGAAGCCCATGATTTGATGATTCAACGATTGACAACTGGGCATGTTTCGCCTAATGTATATTTTTTATCTGGCCTGTCCTTCATAAGTTGGAGTGACATTCTGCATTGCTATTCTTCAGTCAAAAATACCACATAGATAGTGTTGATTCCAATTACAAAAGCTTTTTGAGGACTCGAGTATGACATTTCTACCAGATGGTAAAACAAGTCCGTAGAGCCTTGAAACTGGACTGCTAACTCTAGGTACCTAGCGGAAACTTCCTTAGATATAATTTTTACTCGTTCTTCAGGGCTCTGGGCAAATTGTAGCTGGACTTGCGCAGCTCTTGAGTGAGCTATTGACTAGAGGCTGGAGTGACAATGTTGGATAGTTAACTAAGTTATGACATTGGTGCCTCCCGATTCAGGCCTCAATACTCGGCATCACCTACAAACATTCTCATGGCTTTTTGTTATGTACCTCAACAGAAACTTAAAGGCTCTTTGATCTCAGTTTATCTGACTTCAGAATATGATAGGCTTTTTTGGGTAGAGTAGATATCTAGCTTGCTTGGCAAACGGCGGGGCGTTCGACCTCGGGAGCCCATTGATATATACCTGCATCCTCCACTTCCGCTTCCTTGGACTTAAAACTTTAAGATTCTAACTTTGGATCCAAATTTCAAAAATTGACTTGGCTTTTCTTTAATTTAGGCCTGCACCTATTTATATCATATCTCATCAATTCATTACAAAACCAGCGCCCCAGAGAAAGCCCAGTAGAAATCAAAGATGTCAAGTCGAACGCAAGCCATAGACCAGCTCATTCTTGCTTCGTTTCATTCAGTCTTATCTTGTGCCAGCTCTCTAGTCTGGTCGTCGGTGCCAGCCAAAGGAAGATCCAGATCAACAACCCACGGCGCATTCTTCGGGCGGTAGGAGAGAGTACAAATACTGGCATTTACAAAAAGCGTTTCCTTCCCGAATTCGAGCGGCTTCTCACCACTTTCTGAGGTCATATCATAAAACACTCCGCGGTTCTCCAGCATTTCCTTTTCATTTGTAGCAATAGGCTCCTGCTTGACACCGCCATCGGCGAGAGTATCCCACATACCGCGCACCGCGCCCCAACCTTCGTGGATATGTCCGAAGAGGTAGATGCGGGGACGGGCACGCTCGGCCGCACGGAGAAGATGCGTACAGCCCACATGGGTGTCTGTCGCAGTTCCATGTCGGTCAATGACTTGACCCGTGCCCACTAGATCGAGAATCCCAGCCGGTGGACCGTGTGTTAGCATAATATCGATGTTTGGGTGGTCAGGGACCGGGTTGGCAGGTGGGACTGAGTTGGTGCCTGGGACCGGAGGGTTATAGCGGTCTTCGCTGCGAGGGTAGCCAAAAGCCCAGCTACAGAACTCAGGTTGGTATGGCGAGGCGTAGACGGTAAGCTTTGCGCCATTGGATAAGATGAATGAGTGTACGCCTTCTTCGAGATAGCGAATACCGGCATCTCGGGCTGACTGGTTGGTCCAGAGGTCCTTCACGCGACGGACGTAGGCCTTCATGTCCTCGGTGGGAGGAACAGCCCCAGTGCGGATTGTTTGCATAAGTGTTTGTTCGTCATTTTCGAGCACTGGTGGTGCGACGCCGAGGCGAATTGGTTTGCGATGCCGTTTGTAGCCGAAGGTCGTGAAGTGTTCTTCGTCAAGAGTGATATCGTGATTGCCGGCGATAACGAGCTTCAGTTCAGCGTCTGCAGCCTTGAGCATCGAGACCGTGGCCTCGTACTCGATACTGTAGCCAACTTTGGTAAGATCGCCGGCATGGAGAAGGACGTCGGCTTTTGGGAGCGGGTCTCGGAACGCGTGCTCCTTGTCGTCGGCGGGGAGAGGCACGTTCGTGTGGGTATCGGAGATCATGCAAATGCGGGTTTTAACCCGCGCAGGCAAGGCCATTATGGGAAAATGGACTTTGGATGAATTGGATAGGTATTATGAAGGTTGGATTAAAAAGGGAAGAAGTGAAAGATGAGATCAAACGTTTACGATGCGGCTTTGATATGGTTCGCGGGGGAAGACGTCAGGTCTCCGCTTCGCAGCCCGCTCTTGCCCCATCAGATATCAGATAGTGATTATTGCTACGAATGGAAAATTTGGAAATGGACTAAGAGGAAAAGTGAAGAAGAAAAAAAATAACGTAAACAGGAAATCATTCCTATAGAATGGACGGCTCAGAGCTCTACAGACATCACATCCGTGGATGCCCAGATCATGAAAGTTTTCTGGTAAACATAGCTCAAACTCCGATAACCACCCGTGCAACGACAACCCATGCGGCGCCCAACCGTATGGTTTTCCCTTTTGTTTTTTCGTTTACTTGCGGATAGCCTTCTGGTAGAAAGCCAACTCCTCACCCTCAAGGATGTAACCGTCGACACGGCCGGACTGACCGGGGCGGGAGGCAACAACAGCGTAAAGGCGACCGGACTCGAACTGGCGCTCGATGGCACCCTCAACCTTGCCCTGGTCGGCGTAGCGAGCAGCCTGCTTCTTGGTGACAGACTTGCTCTTCTTCTCCTCGGGCTCGTCGGTCTTAGCCTGGCGGCGACGGCCGATGCTCTGGCCGTAGTGGGCCTCGTACCATTGACGGAAAGGAGCAGCGTCAATCTGGACAACGGCGGACTTGGTCAGGGTGTTGGTGCGGACCAGCTCGTTGTTGGAGGGGTGGAAAGAGACACCGAGGACACGGGTCTTGCGGGCAACACCCTCGGAGCCCCAGGAGAAGTTACCGGACTCGAGACGGAGGGCACGGAACTTCTGGTTACCACCACGGGTGCGGACCAGGTGGATGCGCTTGGTACCAATACGAGTGTTGGCGGGCTGGCGACCCTTCTCGAAAGCTCTGTTGGAAGATATCAAGTCAGAATTCGGTGTTCAAAATTATAATCCGTTCTGGCGTTTGTGTATTCATCAGTGCCACACAGGCACACTAATGGGTCACAGTTGCTCTCAATTTCCGTGCCCACAAAACATGGGAAGGAAAATGTCCAGTTGAATTAACAGGTGCACCGTACCTCTTCTTGCGGTAGTAAGAGCGCTTGGCACCGGTGGCGCTGCGCTTGTGGCGAGAATCACGAGAGATACCCATATTTGCGGTTGATGAGGGGGTCTGTTAATCACAAAAGAAAAATTAGAACTCGGGTCCTTTGATATGTGTGCTTCCAAAATCCTTTCTCCGACACTTCTGGTTCGTCTCGAGCGTAATACAAGGTCCAATTCGAATGATAGGAACGTGTGTCGATGTGTTGAAAGGGTTGTCAAGGACGAGTGAAGGCGATCTCGAAATGGAATAATTCCCGATGGATTTTCTCGAATGGTACCCGATTGTCGACTCGAACGAAGCAGAAGGAGAGAGAAAGAGAAAGCGATGCGATCAGGAGGGAAACTCACCTCTAGTTCTGCAGCCCTTCACCAAAAGCAGAACGGTTGTCGATGGGGTGTCGTTGGAAGTTACGGTCGTGGAGTCCGTCGAATTTCGCAAGGCGCACTGTGTCGCTCGCTTGTGCGGTTGCCCTAACTGACACTAGTCTGTAAACGGACTAGCCTGTAATTAGATAATCACGGATACTCAGATCCCGTGACTCGAGGGGCGAGACTGCTGACTCATCTTATCTCTCCCGCTTTTCGCTCTTCACGTACAACACAGGTTCACCGGAATCAATCGTTCGATCAGTGGCCAAGAATCGATGTAATCTAGAATGATTTATTTGTTTAATTAATCAAGATATTAATTTCTCAGCAATTTTCATGCACACTCCTACTTGCTCTTCTCGCCTTTCTTCGCCCGCTCCTCCTTGACAAACTCCGCGATGCGCTGGAAACACCCAAACCCTTCCACAAAGCAAGAAGCCATCCACTTACACCATAATCCCGACAAGAGCGGAACTCCATGTGGCTTCAGCTTGAGGACGGCCAAAAGAGCTGACTCGAAAAGATGAATCCCCACCACGGCCGGGAACAGTAGCGGTTGGATATTGTAGACCCAATGCGCAAAGTCTGGAACATACTTGTAACCGAGGTTTTCGTAGACGAATGAGCCCGGTAGCAGATTGCTACGCTGGAAGCAGCTCACGTAGGTGAAGAGACACAGAGCAAATACCACAGTCTGGACAACTCCCCGTGGAGCTCGGTACTCGGTCAGCGTGATGTCGGAGCGGCCCAGGCGCTGCAGGCTGTCCTTATGCAGTGCGACCAGACGGCCGCGAGATTCACTGAAGTCTTTCATAGCAGGGTCGATGGGAACACTGTAACGGGCGCCATTGGCGCGGATTACAAGGTTGGAGAGGGTGAGGTCTTCGATCTGGGCACCGCGTGCTTCGCGAGCGCTGATCTTGTTGAATGCTTGTAGGTAGAGCTGGAGGGAGTCGCCATGATCGGCGTTCATGTGCTTGATAATAAAATCTTTGGACATGGCGGCAGGTGGTGTCGGATATGTTGATACCACGGAATAGATCGCGGAGACCTGAGAACAAAGGCAGTTGATGGTTTTCGACAACCTCCGTGAATGAGGGAGCGTATGTCGATCCGTGCCAAGCCCGAGCCTCGGCCCCATCTGCCCGCTCTCCATGTGCAGCCGTGCATTATCACTCGGCAAAGTTCGAAATTCTCTGGGCGTGAATTGAACTTAGGAAAGGAAGGAACGGTAATCATTCGTCGAGAATGTCATGACCAATGATTTTGCTAGGGCATGGACAATTAATTGATACTCGTCCCATAATATATATCAATATTTCAAATTTTAACCCGTTTGAAGCTACGATCAACGATTTTAGCTCAAGTCAAAAAGTAAATGGTATAACCAGGGCTTTTTGTAGAGAGTTCCGTCCACGGAAATTGGTTGAAATAACTGCCTACAATTGTCGAAGGGCTTTTTTTTTTTTTTTTACCGGTGAGATCCAGGCTATGGATCGTGAGTGTGTGCATGTTTTGTTCGCGCCTGAGGCTGCAAAAGTCACAACATTTGAGTGGCAATTAGCCTTGTGTCTAGACCCCAATTTCTGGCAACTAAAGGGAAAAAAGTCTAGGCCAGACTCATCATCACTTTCCTTTCATCTGAGAAAGGCAGAAATACAGTCGTGGCGGGAATCGGATCCAACATGCCGAGACGAACGCCACCGAGGGTTTTGTGGGCCTATCGAACCATGTATTGAATTGCAGTATAGAAGTTGACATTCAAGGAGAGGAAAGCCCTAGAAGAGACAAGAGAATCTGGACAGGCGTAAGCCTTCCAAGGTTCCAGATGGCTAGTGTTGACTGCAAGTGCTGCACAAAATTTGATAATCAACAGGGATTCCTTGTGTCATTGCCTGTCCAGTAAGCCAGGTAGATTCACTGACATAAATATGTGATTCGAATGAACAAAATACATGTTCCACACGTAGCCCGTAGTATCAGGAAGGTTTTCATGTAGGCTTATCAAGTTTTGAATTAACTGGGGAGGAAAATATGTACATTTAGTAAATACAGGGTCCGATATACTAGTACTGAAATCCCTGCGCCATACCAATCACCATGAGGTCCAGAATAGTCAGAAAGAGAACAGGGATTAGACCACCAAGTCGGGGTTCTATGAAATGAAAGAAAAAGGGGTAAAAAGCTGCAGAAATAAGGACGGAATATCGATCGTGACAATCATGAGCATCCACGAGGTGACGGAAACTCTGAATCAACAGAGTCAAGAAGGGTCCACTCGAGAGGAAAGTGATTTTCGAAGTAGGAGCACTAGAATCGTGCCATTTACGCACTGTGGCAAAAGTGATCAACTCCTAATCTCGGTTGAGCATGGTTCATTGTAGGAAGGGAAGGAAGGGGTAGAGGGCAAGTAACAACTTACATCAGAGCAAGGGTCAGATCACCGTGGATGCGGGCCTTGAGCTCCACTTCGATCTCCAGATTCAATTCAATCTTCAACTTCATGCCTTCTTCCTCATCGAGGTCCTCTTTCTTCTCTTCAATCACGTTGAAGTCCCCGTCCGGTACGCCATTGGCGGACTGCCCATTGTATGGCTGCATGGCCCTCCGGGGTTGCATAACGTCCTCATCGTCGGAATATTCATCGGAGTATTCGTCCGAGTAGTCATCTTCGTCCGAGTATTCGTCGAGCTCATCTTGTTGCTTTGCCTTTTGTTGTTGCGGCCGACGGCGACGCTGAAGCTGATTGTTCTGAGCGGGACGGTTCTGGTCATCGTCGTCCGAGTAATCATCGGCGCTATCATAGTCTTCGCCAGACTCAACGTCGTCCGGAACTTGAAACTGCTTCTGCTTCTCTTGAGGCTTTTCGGCGGTGGCCATAGTGAAGACGATGGGCCAGGTATTCGGTGGAGAAGGGCGATGTGATCCAGGTGTATATAGTTAGGGATCGAAGTAAAATACCAAGAATGAACCAAAATAGGAAATCAACAGGAATAAAAACGAAGAGGAAGCAGCAAGCGGTGATATGGGTTGAATAGAAGAGTGATCGGAGTAAATCAACTCGAGAGGGATAATGACGTTAGCGGCTGCGCATCTCACTGTGATAGAGATGAAAATGGTACTCCGTCATAAATGCAATTTTCCAAGACCAGAACCACTCGCGTCATGCGAGATTGTACACTGTCCCACTCACGGGCGTGTCCATAATGTCGGTGGGTTCCAGGGATCGACCCCCGGCCGAGACAAATTTGACGCCTGGTTAACCCACTCCTCGGTACTATACTTAGTTGTTCAACGGCCCCTGGCTGGACCCGTGGCAACAATGGTCTTCATGTGGTCGGAACCAGACAAGCAAGCCATGACAGCTGGTACAACTGTGGCTGAACACGTATTTGGTGGCATACAATTGGTACACCCTTGAAAAAAAAGCAGGGTTGAACCACACGTTGCGTCATATGCCAACTTCCCTCTTATTTGCGAAGACGGGCGGAAATCGGCAACGGTCTTACGTCTACTTAATTTATAAAAGTGGAGCCACCGAGGGGCTGCCAGTGCCAAAATTGTCCGAGGTCATTGATGATTGGTGCATCCGATGCAAGTGGAGTTCCAGTTCCTTTTTCTAGGTGATAATTTTCAGTTCCAATGACCCTCGTTTCACACACCAGGGCAGCCATCAGTGCCCTAGAATATTTCCGATCTTAGTGCTGATCATCTTGCAGTGCTAGATTCTGATTGCCCCCGGACCTCGTAGTTGGTGACTTGCTCCATACGGAGGCGTTCCAGGTCCTCATCCCTGTCAGCCCCAACGTCATACTTCCCCCCCCCCACATTATCGCAACCACGAACCCGCCTTTCCATGGACTCCCCTGGTATCGAACAATTGGAGCGTCGTACCCCTTCCGTACGGGTCGCAGCCCAGACTTTTACCTCCCTGACGTCGGAGGCGGCGGGAAACTCGCTCATCAGCACCGGTTTTGTGCAGTGAGGTGGCTCCATATAAATGACAAGCGTACAAGCATTGTCCCGTGTCGTTTCCCACATACATCATACCTCATAGGGTCAATCTATCCTAGTTCCTCTGTAATCCTGCAGCCCACTTCCCTCGCACCAGTGACGCTTTGTCCCTCATAACCCACATCTTCCGCGACTGATCTCTTCATATTCGCCCCCTCATCCCCTCTTTTGTCCTTTTTTTCTTTCCACCATGGCCGATCAAGATCCTCAATCTCAAAACCCGGAGTCAGCATCTACTCCCACCAAGCAAAAGCGCTCTCCTCCCAAGCTAGGCAAGAAGTCTCCAGCCAAGCAAGAACAAACCCCGCCTGCGTCAGAGCAAGAACACGAAGAAGAGAAAGACGAGTCCAAGGAAGAAGGCACTGAGAACCAGGAAGAGCAAAAACGTGAACCTGAACCTGAACCTCACAAGCAAGAGCCCGATTCAGACGAAGAAAACAACGACCAGAAGCAAGAAGACAAGCCTGCACCTGAACCTGAACCTGCTCCGGAACCTCAGCCAGAACGTCCTCGTCGTCGACGTCCTCGCCCTAAACAAGAATCAGACGTTGAGTCAGTCCCGCGTAACGATATGGATGCCCAACAACCGCAGCAGCGCCAGCGCACCCGTCGCTCACGCCAGCCTCAGCAACAACAGCAAGATGGCGGTCCACTCGGCAACCTCGGTGGCGTAGGCGGTGTCGACCAAGCCGGTCAGCTAGTCCAGAACACGGCAGGCAATGCCCTAAATGGTGTGACAGGGTCAGCAGGCAAGGCTGTCGGCGGAGTCCTTGGCGGAGGCCAAGAAAAGAAAGATGACGGCGGCAAGGACGAGCAGCTGCGTCTGCGACTAGATCTCAATCTGGATATTGAGATTCAACTTAAGGCGAAGATCCACGGTGATTTAACCATCGGATTATTGTCAGTATTACCCTCTTATATTTCACCCCCTCTTTCTTCGTATTAACACATGTGTTGCCTTCGTCATTGTCTCGGAATACTCGATTTCTATTTTTACCAGTTCTTTCACTGACTAACGTTTTAGGAATTGATTTGTCCCGACTATAGCTCCTAGAGAAGCATTCCATATGCTTCGCTCTGCTGCTTTAGTTCCACATCATGCTTTTTATCCAATTTTGATTTATTCCCGCAACGAAACGACTCTTACGCTTCTGGTGACGCAAGGTGCAGGGTTTGCTTGACTTGACCTGGCTTGTTCTGTGCTTTTTATTCTATTTTCTTATAACCTGGTATTCTCGGGACTTTCCATTCCCTGGATCTGGTCTGTGTGCCTCATGTTGAATGTACAGTATAATTATTCTTCCCAAGTATAGTGACTGGATTCGGCGAATGGGATAATGAAAACTCTACGGAGTACACGGTTCACATTTGGTCTTGGTCTTGATCTAATTGTAGATCCTGTGTTTCTTTTGGCTGTAAAATGCTTGAACCTTGTGCAACTGTTCATCTAGTACTGGTGGTTGGGTCAGACAAACAGGGGTTTCGCTGTGGTACCTAGAGAGTCTAGCCTGGTGACACTGACACACTGGATTCTGCGGACTTTTATTACGATTCTCGTTAACGAAAAACCATTTCTCAAATGTAGACCTCGGGTATACTTTTACACAGTAGTGTCAGCCCAATCTATCGAATTCGTAAATAACAAACACCACAGTAGCTCCAGCGTTAATGTTAAAACAGCACACGCCGAAATAAAACACAAGAGAATTCACCAACTGAGTCTACACTCCTTTCCCTTTATCCAATTGATTCACCTTTATATCTCCCTCCAAAAACAACAACTATCTCACAAGAAAAGTCTACGGCAGTCTTCCCTGCCTGATACAGGTACCACAAAAAATGAAATGAATTAGGAGACCCCTGGATCCAAAGCCACTTTACAGCCCAGCAATCACCATCAATCCATAGCCGATGGTCACGATGACCACAAAGGACATTAGACTGGATGGAATACCACGGGAGAGGAAGTGGCGGACATGGAGATACCGCTGGCCCGTTTGAGGGACTTCGGTCATGATCGCAGCTGGTGAGAGAAAATAATCAGTATCATTATGATTCATAGTGAAGCCTGTGGGTCTTACTCATGTTGGGGAACCCGCTCGTGGGCAATCCCATCGCGACAGAGCACATCAGAGCACTCGCCATGACAAGCAAGTTCGGGTGGGGATCCTCCATGCTAACGCCGATCTGGCGAACGAGGGGCAAAATGATCAATGCGGCAACGGTATGCGAGATGAATGTGGCGATGACCAATATGAGAGCGCAGAATACGAGGAGGACACTATACAGGCTGAGATGCTCGACACGAGCCGTGATACCAGAGGCGATTGTGTGCAATAGACCGGACGATGTAACCGCCTTGCCCAGGCAAAGACCTCCTGCTGCGAGGATGATGATGGTCCAGAGGAAATTGTTGAAGTCTTCTTTGTTGAGAATACCGGTACCGAAGAAAAGCACAAGGGGAATGATCGCGATGACACCCATATCGCCAAAGATGTGCTCGAGCTGGTGGCTTACGCACCAGAGTCCAATGGTTCCAAGGGTCACTGCACTGATGAAGTACTGAATACCGGTGAAACGGTCCTTCACAGGGCGCATGGGTACGATATTCTGGTTGCGACCAGGATGGAACGTCACCAACAGTAGGCCCCAGATCAACAGAATGGAGATTATGCACACGGGTAGCGAGATGAAGAACCAGGTACCCCAGCTGATGCTAGGGTACATGTTCTGCAAGGCGATGATATTCTGCGGAGATGCAATTGGTGAGGCCGCTCCGCCGACATTTGCTGCCAAGGCAATGCCTAGTACGAGAGATTTGGCGAAGTTCGACTCTGGTGGCAGGTTACGCAGAAGAGGTTGAATTATAGAGTAACAGAGCACGGGGGATGCAACGTTACTGATCCACATACTCAAAAACATACTCACGAACATGTTGGTCAATAGGACGACATGAGGTTTCGACCCGGCCTTGCTGAGCACAAACATGGCCATGCGTCGAGCAATGTCATATTTGGATAGCGCTGCAGCAATGGTAAATCCACCCAGAAGAAGCATGATCACCGGGGTCCACATCGCCCCAAAGACTACGCTGGTTGCCTCCTTAGGCCCCAATCGCTTGTGGGGCTTGTCATCAGATCGCATGATGCCAAGGATCACAACCAAAAAGGGAATCAACAAAGATGTAACAAAGAGAGGAATGGCCTGGAGTGAAAAACAAAGATAATCAGCAACGAGAATCATTTACAGGTAAGTGGGAAAGGTAGGCTCACCTCGGTAGACCACAAAATGCTAACGAGTACTAGCATCGCTAGACAATTCTGTTGCTCAGGCGTATCCATGATCCGCAAAGAAAGCAGGGCGCCAAAGACAGCAAAGCTCAGAACTAGTGTTCCAAAACTCAAGCTGCAGAACCACAAAGGGAATTGAATCCGCCCAAGTGGGGTTGAAACCTCTGTTGTGAGAATCTCTTGCTTATCACCTTGCCGCCGCGCAGTTTCAGGATCTTCATCAGTTCCAAGCAGGGTTTGACGGATACCGACATTGAGGGCCTGGCCACGACGTTCAATGGCAATCATCTCACGCCATACAGTGTTTCGCTCCCACACCAACTGTTCACGTAGATGCAGACGCAGCTCGCGACTGGCTAGAGAACGATTGCCTCTGGTGACTATCTCGGCGTACACACCTTCAATTTTGTCGATATAAGCGTCTACAGTTGCCATCGTCTCTTCAGTGAATGGCAATGCTTGAGAGACGACGGAGTTCAGATACTCTCGGCGCATATTGCGGAACAAGGTCTTATCGTATTTTTTCAGAGCCTTGGAGAATCCGGTCTTGTTCAACTCGATAAAGGACCGGAGCTCACAGAGGGAAACATAGGCCTCGACGAGCCGTTTCTTCAGCGCTACCCCATTATTGTAGAGATCAAGAAAAGCTTGGTCGCCTAATTCTGAGCCAGGAAGTCCCCGACTGCTGGCCTGTCCGAAAAATGCAGAATCCGCCATGTCACCCGGTTGTGCATCTGTCGTAGACTCCCCATCTGTCGACTGCGGTCTGTGTCGCAAATTCCCCAATGAGGCAGACTGTGCATCATCGCTGTCCCCATCTTCATCGCTGATAGCGCTGGAGCGACGCCTTTGACCGGGGCCGTTGCGAGAGAAACTGCTTCTATCACGACGAGAAGTAGCCTTGATGACAGTCTCACTGACAGGATCCATGTTAACCCCGTCTGTGTCATTCAGGTAGACGATGGCATCCCGCATTAATTGATCGGTGAGTTGAAAGATCTCCACCTGCTTTTGCTCAAAAAAAGTATAGATCTTTTCCAGCTCCGCATCCAGGGCACGCTTGAAGATTCCATCCGGGTTGGTAATCTGAGCGCCCAGTAAGGGTGCAGATTCGACATCCGGACCACCTGGGGCATCAGAACGGTTGACTTGTTTTTCGAGTGTATAGATTCTAGATGAAGAGTTTCCGAATCAGCAATCCATGCATCGCGATCATGCATCTACCCAAGCCTTGTGCAATGTAACACCCGCACATAATGTGCAGTTGCTATACACGCGACTCTAGAAACAAGTACCATCTCCATTCTTCTCGTTTGAAGCATCAAGGCAGAATCGGCTTTTCAACTCACAGTTTCTTGAGATTGCTGTATGCAATGTAATGAGAGCTCCAGTCAGGCACCGCATTGAACTGAATGCTATGCGAGAACTTCATCTTGTCTGCAGCCTCAGGATTGAGAGCAGTGTTGCTCCGACTCGCTTTTTGTGCCCGGCGTCGGAGGGCCTCCGACCAGAACCTTAGTGGGGTGGAACGGATACCCTTAGGGCGCTTTGCAGACGAAGGTGACTTTTCCCACGCAAAGTCCTGCCCAATCCCAAGCCCCGCTGACGGCCGTGCGCTGGTAGTGGGCTCAAATGGCGGCGAGGTGGGCTCGGTTGATCGATGGAGAGCGGATGCGGAATCCTGGACTCGGTCTCCAGACTGACGAGTGACGTTATAATCGGCGAGCTCGAAAGATTCGCGACTCGCGGAGGAAGCCACTGTCGCAGTGGGTATGTAAATATTCTCGGGTAAGGGCAATTGCGCAGTGAGAGGGACCCGCTTGAATGAGATGGGGAGGTATAGCGGGGCGCCAGGCAAATCGAGGTGCTGGTCAGCTGGGGGTCCGCTTGCGTGGGTTGCACTGGTGGTCAGGCTGGCAGCAAGTAGTGCACAGCAGGCGGAGCTGGGACAAAGCTGCGCGTATTATCCTCCGATATACGCCTGACTGGGATACCGTCGTTCGCATAGAATATTTTTGGACCTGGACGTTCCGCGATGATCTCAGGAACCGTTGCTTGCTCAATCGGGGATGACCTGTCATGCGCTGAGGTAAGCGGCGGGAGCCTATCAGCCGGTGGATATAACAAGCAGGGTCCCGGAGGATCCAAAATTAAGGAAATAGCATGGGTGGATAGGGCAAAAACATCAGTGGATGAGATGGGAAATATGGTAGATTTGATTTGGTAGGGAAGTGCCTACACATCTGGTGGTGTCAAAAAAGTATACAAAATATTGGATCACGTCAAATCAATGCGGGCAAACTAGATATACATGTACAAATGCTGAAAAGAAAGTGCTGGATAAAGATCCTTCCGTTAACCCGATTAACCAAAGAAAAAATACAAGGCAAAGTAATGATTCTTTTAATGAATCGATTACCGGCGGCGAGGTCCAATGCCCAGGTTTGCACGACCCGCAATACCAATCTTGTGCTGTCCGTCTCTGCGTTCCCACACGCCACTGCGGCCCTCTGCAACAGCGACCAGCTCATTGGCGACACGGTGGGCCAGCTGAGCATCCCGTCGCTTGGCTGACGCATCAATAATCCACTTGATTGCGGCGCGGCGACGTTGGCGCAGAGTCAGCGGGTGTGGCATCTGCAAGGCTGCACCACCACCAGCAATACCCTTCATTAGGCGAATGCGGAAGAGAGGTGCAACCGAGTCGACAATCAAGGTGAGGTAAAGGACAGGGTCAAGAGGGAGCTGAGAGCTAGGAGGACCACTAAGTAGGGGGTGGCGGGGGTTGATGTTAGGAGGAGGTGCGGTGCGGAGGTGGTCAAGAATAATTGACATGTTCTGACCATCATGTCAGTAACTGAATTTCCACAGCCCACGCGGGGGTGCATTCGATAGCAAATGACGTACCTTCTGTGCTCGTGCCAATTTACCATCCTGCATCAGCATCTTGGTGAATTGATCCTGCATCGAATCGTAGCGTTTCCGGAAATTGTGTGTCTTAGTCGGGGCCTCAGGCTTCTCAAAGATCAAGCCAGGAATCCGCTCTGCGGCCTGACTGTTGACCTGATCGATCATGCTGGCAAGCATAGCAACCGAGGCGTCATTGCTGGATTCAAAGCCTTGCGTCTCCGGCGAGAGGGTGCGAGCGGAGGTTGAAAATGAACGAGAGCCACGGGGTTTCTTAAATTGGTCCTGCATGACCTTGGGCATGTGTTTCCGGGCCTGCTCATCGCGGGAGAGGATCTGCTCCACGGGAGTTCCTTGCTCCAACTCTGGGCTTGAGGGCGTTCCGTCACAGCTCTTCTCTTTCTCCATGATTCTCGAAGTCTCAGCGGCCTCTTCGGTAACTGAAGGCAGTGGGTCCTGTGTAGGGAATTTCTGTTCATCGGGTTGAATGTTCTTCGAACCATTGTTGGACGAGTTCCATCTTTTCTGGACAGGAGCGGACTGCTCAGCACGGAATCTGAGAGATAAAGCAGCGGTGCGGGGTGCAATAGAGGACACGGTCGACTGGCGGAGGGCAGTGGCAGCCCTGTGGGCGGCAAAAAGGTTGAGTCGAGGAGGCATTATGTGAAATTAAGTTCCTGTTCCAAGGCAATGCGGTGGTCAAGATGAATGATGAAATCTTGGCCAAGTTCGAAGCGGTCTGCAATTCTGCAATTTTCCACACTGATTAGTCACTCCTGCCGCGCCCATCAAGATTGACGACAAGATCGAACTATATTCATAAAGCTCACGGATTGTTTTGCTTACATAGTGACTTTTTGAGAATCCTTCATCTTCCTAGAAGTGTGCTGAAATTCTCTTGCGCACTGTGGCATACAGCACAGGCGTGGCTCACCGGACGCATACAGCTGAGGCAACAAATCTAAAGAAAGGTGGAATTTCTGCCATACTACATCATTGAAATTGTTGCAATTCGAAGATGGAAGCTATCGGATCGAACAAATGAAAGACTGTGGGAAGTTGCACCTACCTTGGTAGTCGACAAGAATCACTCTCCCAAGGTTGACGACTTTTGATCATCATGTTCTCCAAACTACCCTCGGAGATCATCGTTCATGTCACAATATATCTTCCCACCATCACCGATATAGCAAACCTGGCACAAACATGTCAACGACTTCACAAAATTGTCAACACAGAAGAATCAGCAATATTTCGATCATTTGTTCAAAATCAATTTCCATCTACCTATACCCCATCTTTTTGGAAAGATGCCGCTCGAGTCCTTACTGCTCGATCACGGGCCTTGGACAGACTTGGAATCATTGGCCGGTTCGTCATCCCGCCAGCTACCACAATACGAATTGGGCTCAATGAACCAATGCGACTCGACAATCCTACGCTTGGATACAGACCTGCCATTGATTCGTATGAAATCTGGAATGGCGACCGATGGGCTGAACGAAGAGAAGTGCTTGCTTGGGGTGCAGGCCACCAGATAGTCATGCGAATTAAACAGTCTGGATCTCGCCCGAAAGAGCAATGGGTTTCATTTAACGACGTGAAAGAAGCGAGCAGCTACGATGATATCTGCGGATTACATGTTCTTCAGTCAGAATTTGGCAAAACCACTGGTGTCGAACACATGATCTTTGGCCGAATGCGAGGCGGTCTTGTGCACGTTGCCCTTTCTGTCGACAATGCAACTCATGAGTATAAGCGAAAATTCATGACTAGTGGAGATTTACTCGAGAGGACAGATATGGAAGATCATACTTTGGCTGCCCATTTCGATAATGGGTCTGTTGCTTTGTACCAACTCGAAAATGATCACAAAGAGGTTGAGCCATTTGCGTGGGTCATGGTGGGCTCTGAAGTAGATCGGTCACGAAGCCGGTACTCGAAGCTTTTATCATCATCAAGAATCGCGGTGGCTACTGGCCAAATCGAAAATTCCTTATCTATCAACACGATGTCCCCTGATGGCATATGCCTCGATCGAGAAATCGGCTTAAATTCACTTGATTCTGGCGATCAAGTCGGCAGATCTGTACATGCAAATGTTACTGCCATCGCTCCTCTCAATAGTCATCCCTACGCCGGCTCACCAGGAGATGTGTTTCTAGCAACATGGGGAGACCGCACAATAAGGTATCTTTGCAACAAAAAGACTAATAATTCGGAAACGAAAATTAATCTTCTTCATATCCTAGGCTTCACGATCTCCGTTCACCAAATTCATATGAAGCAACATATCAAGATACAACCGACAGCAACCTTATCTACAGCGTACAACCATTCGGCCACGATCGCTTTCTGGCCGGGGCCGCCGGTAACGCAATCCTTAAAATATTTGATCTTCGCATGAGCAATGCCTACAGCCACTTGGACGCACATTTCCCACCAACCAAATCCCAAATTTCACCTAAACCAGCGAAAAGGAATGGTGCTCAATACCCTCGCAAGGATTTCTCGATGTTCCTATCTTCCCAGATTCCTTCTGCTGCACCTCGAAGCTCCCGAGCGAACAGACGTCGGCCCTACCGTGGCCCGATTTACACACTGTCTACACCATCTCCATCGTCGCCGACAGTATATGCTGGAATCGTCGATGCTGTGGTACGGTTAGATTTTGCGTCGACTGATGATTTGACGGGGCCATCGCGCGATTGGTACGAGTATAATTTAGATCTTGGGGTGGAGACAGGTCAACCCTCTGTTCCTGTCGAGACGGACAATGTGTTTAGAATGGCAGGGTATGAACGCCCAGACCCAGGTGATTTTACTACAACTTCCAAGCTGAGGCATCAGCATGGGTTCTGGTATCCGGAACAGAGGTATCTCAACAATGGGACAGGAGCTGGTTGGGATAGGCGGTGGGAGCCTCTTGAGAAGCCCGGTGCCTGGAGAAGGAGAGATAATTGCAAATAAAAGCAAGAGCTCACAAAACACCTAGAATAGCTAAGAAGCGATTGGCAAGAATTGTGAAAAACCCCGAGAAAAAGTAAAGCTTGAAACTTTTGTGGTATTTAGAAGAGCAAATATCTAAGCAAATGATAATAACAGTGAAACCGCCATAGCTCCGTATGCGCCATGCTGAGTGAAAGGGGTAAGATGGAGGAGATAATTGTTATCGATGAGCCTTTAAAAGGAGGAGCCAAAGTGAAGAATATTCAAAGCTACACAGCACCTATTAGGCCAAAGAAAAAAAAGTCTACTTCCAACAGAGGCAAGTCAAGCGAATCGCTATGCAAGCTGAAATTGTTGACACTGTTCAGACAACAAGAGCAAAAGGTGCCAATTGGGGAAGTAGTGGCGAGGGATGACGATAATCATCTAGTCGTCAAACTTGAAGGACTTTCCTCCAGAGATGTCGATCGGGCCGCCGCGGTAGGAACCGCGCTTCTTCTTGTTCTTCTCCTTGGTGAAACCCTTTCCACGGGTGACCGACAGATCCGCGTAGGCGCGATCGGCATAGGCGTAAGACATGTATTCATTCTTAGGGCCGTCGAAAGGAAGGGCGCTCAAGGCAGCAAGTGGGGTGGGACGAGCTCCAGTGTGTTTCTTTGCGGAGCCGTTTGCAGGAACGGGGCTGGCACTCGACGAGGAGTTTCGCACGTTGTCGAGAGCCTTGTTGTTAACGGCAGAAGGAGAAGCAGCGATGGTGGCACTGGAATCAGAAGAGGTAGAGACGGTGACACCTCCAGCCTCTTCGTCATCAGAGCTATCGTCCGATGAGGAGCTGGATGAGCTCGAGTCAGAAGATTCGGGAAGGGGGGTCTTCTTTGCCTGCTTGAGAGCCTTAGCATCTTGCTTCTTGGCAGGCTCCTTCTCCGACTCGGAATCAGAGCCAGAGTCAGAGTCAGAGTCAGATTCACTGGAGTCACTGGAGTCGGAGCTGGAATCAGAGGACGAAGAGGATGATTCAGACTCAGATTCAGAAGAAGATTCATCCTTCTTAGTGGTCTTGGCCTTCTTAGCCTTGGGGGCATCGCTTTCGGAATCAGAACCAGAGCTCGAATCAGAAGATGACTCGTCGCTGGATTCAGCCTTGCGCTTCACACCCGCGGACTTCTTGGCAGCAGGAGCAGGGGTAGGGGCGGCCTCATCCTCCTCCTCGTCGTCGGCGTCACTCTCAGAAGAAGAAGAAGATGATGATGATGATGAAGGAGAGGGTGAGCGAGCCTTCTGGTCCTTCACAGCTTTGGGCGCATCCTCCATCTCAACGTCCGAATCGCTAGAATCGCTATCCGAGTCAGAGCTGGAATCAGCGCTGCTATCGCTGTCACTATCGGAGCTGGAGCTTGAAAAGTCACTCTTCTCCCAAGCCCGGAAAATTTCCAGCAAAGACGGAGCGTTCTTTGCGTCGGTCTTGCCGATTGTCTTCTTCAATTCCTTTTCGAATGCGGTGTTGGTGGTAACAAAGCCATTGCTGGACAGGAAAGAAGAAATAGATGCGAGAAGTCGCGGGGGAGCGGCAGTGGTGCTCTTCTGGACGTCAGTCTGTCAATCAAAAAATTATCGTCAGTACAGTTCTGCCAAGGTGGAGTTAGGCATTGTAGCTTTACCTTCTTGACAGAAGTCGTCTTTTGCTCCGTTTTCTTAGACATGGTCGCAGTGGATATGGGCTCTAGTATCCGTAGGCTCGCAATTGCTGGAGTGATCGGGAGGCAAGAGGGCCAGGGAGTAGGAAAATTCAACTGTATATAGAAGTCGCCATCCAGGAACAGAAAAAAAAAGTCTGGAAGTATAGTAAAGGCGGTGAGGTAAACAAGGCTTTTCATTTGAGGAGAGTAGCAAAATATTACTGTCAGCAAAACTCTCAGCCCACACGTGACTTTGGTCGGTACAGTACAATGTGGGTAATAATGGACTAACCGTTGGAGGGCTATACCTTGGGGGGCGGCTGACTACGAAAAATTATGAAATGGAAACAACATCGTGTAGATTGGGTCTGAAGATGAGCTGCATGTGCTATTTATGAATTTCATAAAAGCCATGGCAGTTACATAAAAGTGTACATAGTAACTAAACGCTAAGATAATGTTGAAATTTTGCATATTATTGGAAGGTCGAGTACGCTCCACCTTTGCGACAGCATCATGTGATCTCTGACGTTCACATGGGTCATTCAGCTGCCTCAGACACCCTAACGGTCACCCTGCTCGACAGTGTAGATCAGTAGAAATTAGTAAAATTGGACGAGAAGGCGTCCAACGAATGAAATAGTGAAGGGAGGGAGTCTTTTCCGAAACAATTTTCTATTTTGATTTTGATTTTTATTCTGTTCATGATGGGTATTCCTCTTGTTGGCAGACATAACAATATACAATCGTTGCTCCCGGATCAACTGAATACTCCGCTCCCACGAGCTCTCCGCCTTAGCCGCAACCCCAAACAGACCGATGAGCTAATGCATTCTGACTGCCAACGGCCATCTGGCATTGCCACGAATTACCTCGCTACTGGTCTTCATTCTTCTTCTTCGTCTGCGGCATTTGCCTTTCTTCGAACTTCCAAAAGTCACTCTAGATCTAAGCAGCGGAGTCGTGTGGGACTCCGTCCTCATTTGGCCTGCCCGAACACATCGCACCCCAACCATGATCCCTTGATTTCGCCAATTCTATCCAGTGATTCTGCTGTCGCATGAACGAAGTGATGATGAATGGTCGAGACCGCCCACGGCCACCACCCTCTGGTGACCCTCGGCGCGGGGGCGATGCCCGCAGTGGCTCCGGAGACGGCTCCTTGAGCAGGGCAGAGAAATTCGAGGACGAGAAGAGACGCATCATTCAAAGTTGCTACTCGAAGAAAGATAATGATGGAACCTGTGCGTAAACCTTCCAATGCCCCGTGGTAACTTGTCAGAAAGTCCCCAGCTTTCCCGCAGCTAGGGGATGGCATTCTGGAGTGGACCGGAGATATTCTACATGGACGTGATCAATTTAATTTCAAGGGCTTATTACTGATTGGTGTTTGACATAGTGGTCGAGTCTTATATCACACACGTCCGAATCACCGAGGATGCATCGCACCCTTCGGCCCCTTCTCCGCCCAACTCAGCTCCCGAGAACAAGAAACCCCGTGTCATTATCGTTTCAGTACGAAGGTCGGGTAGAGTCCGGATGCATAAGGCCCGGGAAAATAGTGACGGCACGTTCTCTATTGGCAAAACATGGATGCTCGACGATTTATCTGCAATCCAATCTTACACTGCCCTGGTACCGAAGACACCGATCGAGCAACAGCATAAGGAATGGGCTTCAAATGTTGGGTTCGTGGTTACTGTGGGAAAACCCTACTACTGGCATGCCCGCAGTGCCAAAGAGAAAGAATTCTTCATTGGCAGCCTGGTGAAAATCTACAAGAAGTATACAGGGGGCAAAGTCCCAAATCTGATTGGATTTGAGGAGAAGCAACGACAAGCGCTTGTAGGTGGAGCTACGCCAGGACCATCAGGGCCCTCCGCGCCACCTTCACGAGGTGCCGCCTTGGGACCACCTCCAGAGTCGATAACATCTCAACCCGCACCACCATATGGAAATCGTGAACCCAGTAGAGAGGGAGCTCGCGACTTAAGGCGGAAGCCATCTGAGGATCCTACTCTTCGGTCTCAAAAGAGCCGCGAACAGATGTCTCGTCCGTCAACTGGGAATAAGCCAGCTCCGTCCCCTTTCGGTCCACCATCTAACCCACCGCCTGCTGTTCCCCCGCCGCGAAAAGAGCCGGAAAATAGAGAGCCGCCGGTGAAATTCCCCTTGCAAGATGACTCCCGGCCATCGTCATCTCGCGGGGAAGGCCGTCCTCCGAGGACCCCAACATCCGAGCTTGTAGCCCAATCTGCTGAAACTCTGTCACTGAGCCAAAAGCGAAGCGTCGATGGACTGCGACCGACTACGCCAGGATCATTTTCAAATGAAGCTCGAGGGATACCCCCAAGTCCTGGTAGCAGTCTGGGTCAGCAGTATACACCATATCGGGATACTGACAAGACGCCAAACCTCGAACCGCTCCCACAGCCTGTTCAGAATAAGATTATAAACGAAGAAGCCCAGACCGCACCTCCAGCCGACGAATTTCCAGCGAAAGACGAAACTCCATCTTCACCACTCTCTGTAGACCCCGCAGTAGCAGCGGCCGTGGTCCAATTCTCCCAACCACCCGAAGAGGATGCACAAGAACAGCAGCCGTCAATTGCATCGGAGGCAGCCGAGGACGATGGCGAGGAACATCGGCCTGGCTTGGGTCCTATGGTGAAAAAGAAGGGACCGAAGGAGCTTGCAGGTGTTCTTCGAAAGGCCGCAAATGCATATGGGGCTTTCAAGCCACGACCTGGAGGTGCTGGCGAGCGTCTCCTGGCAGCGGCGAAGAAACAGCAAGCAGAACAGGAAGCGGATGGTATCACAGGTGTTTTCCCAGCTCCATCCCTCAGCAAGTCGGCAAGTGAGGCCCCGAAGAGCCCAGTAGATGAACCCACAGACAGGGAACTCATGGTGTCGGCACCAACCCCCGAGGCTCCCACTGTTACTACACCCACAGTTGAAATTACTCAGCCTGAGGTCGAGGTGACCTCACCCCCACCTGAAACAATTCCCCTTCCGGAGAAAAGCCAAGATTCTTTGGTTGATATTGTAAACATCGATGAACGTTCAAGATCGCCATCTCCAGCTGCTCGGGGTCGCCGCCGGAGACGGGAAGATCATACTGTCAAATACTGCCAGGCTCTCGGGATCGACCCAAGTGTACTCGATGGGCGTGGAATTGACTTTGATGATATCTTAACTGACCTTGGGTGGAATGGACGCCTCAATGACGAACAGAAGATTGAGGATTTGGAAGCCGATGTTCGCCGCGAGATTGGTCGTGTTGAAGCTACCAGCTGGCTTGGTAATCTTGAACAACAGGAAGGGAAAGTGGAACAGCTGGCTGTTCTCATCGACAAGACAATTGAAGAGTGTGAGGAGCTGGAGGGTCTTCTGACACTATACTCTCACGAATTGAACGTAAGTAGTTTCGTACCTCACATGCTGAATCTGCTCATTATGGATACTAATCTCGCTGCTAGACTCTGCATGACGATGTGTCGTATATTGAAGCTCAATCACAAGGTTTGCAAGTGCAGACAGCAAACCAGAAGCTTTTGCAGAACGAGCTTCAGAATCTTCTGAAGACATTGTCAATCTCCACATCCGAGCTTCGGCCGCTCAAGGAGGCCTCTCTGAATAATCCCGATGGATTGAAGGATACCGAGAATGCCCTCTCCACACTGTACAAGGCGATGCTCATGATTGATGCTGAGATCGGGCAAAACAGAAAGCGTTTAGTCGATGCCAGCGTCGGGGTGTATGCCAACACAGAGATTGGCCAAATGCGGGCAATCAAAGAGAAGAAGGAAGAATATCACACCGCTGCCGTGATGTTCCTGCAACAGCGCCTCAAGCCATTCATGGCTCTGGCTTTTAAGACCGCGGAACAAAAACGTGCAGATGTGATGACCGCCACTGTTAGGGATCCTATGAAGCTGGACAGTGATGCTCGACAGCAATTCCGAGCTGAGGTGTGGAGATACAATCCTCTGATGCTGTTTACCAAGGAAGTGAGCATGTCGGAGTGGCATGCGTTGGTGAACCTTTATGAGCACCAGTCTAAGCCATCATACCAAAGCGATTTTCGTGATAATAACGCGATCTGGAAGAAAACAGCTCGCAAGACTACTGGAGAGGAGCAAGAGCTTCTCTTCACCCACCAAGAAAAAGAAAAGGAAGCCGAGGGTATCACTATGGCGGCTCGCAAACTTACCGTACGACGAGGTAAAACCGTTCGCGCCGCGGCAGGGTTTCGATTGGCTTCTGGTGAAAAGGCAGAGAAAAAACAGGGCAGGGTCGAGCCATGTGAAGCATTTGCAGGGACGCTACGCGAAACACTGAACACGATCACTGATGAACAAAATTTTGTGGTCGAATTCTTCCACCTGAATTCCTTGGTGAACGTTGATTTCTCTGACTTGGTGGCAGCTGCTGAGCCAGAAGGTCGGCAATGTCCTGACTTTTCGGTCAAGCAGTCGCATGATCCAGATCGTGACATGGCCAAGCGCGTTGAGCATATTATGGATGAGATTTTTTCGTTCTGGCCGAACGACATGCAAAGCATGGTGGACTGGGCCATTAGCTCAGATCCCCTGCAAGGCATTGGCATCCTCTTTGCTCTGGAGTCGGCCATGACGGATCTTGACGACACCAATCAAGAGTTCATTCTCCACTCGCTCCAGAAAGTGCACTCTCGTCTGATGGGACTCTACAATCGATTTGTGGATGAACAGATCCGAGGTATTGAGGATACCAAAGTAAAGATCAACAAGCGCAAGGGTGTCATTTCGTTTATGCGAGTCTTCCCGCACTTTTCCAACGCTGTTGAGAATATGCTGTCTCATCCAGGCGGTGAATTCTGCGACATTCGAATTAGTGTCAATGACGCCTATGACCGCATCAACCGGGCGATGTGGGAGTCCTTGAAGTTCATTGCCAAGGAAGCCCCCGGTCAACCTCCTGGCGTGTCTGCCACTGCCGGAGACCCTGAAGACAAGGAAGTACTCAACTACCACATTCTACTTATCGAAAATATGAACCATTACGTTGAAGAGGTTGATGTGCACACCTTGCCGGTGCTCGAACGCTGGATGTCCCGGGCGCACCAAGACTTTGACGAGCATATGAAGCTATATTTGGATGCGGTGATCCATCGACCCCTGGGCAAGCTACTCGATTTTATTCAATCCCTGGAGACCCTGCAGGCATCCGGTAACAGCTCCGACATCGCAACACGGGCCAGCCATTCCCGCATGGTCGCCAAGAAGGTCCTGGCTTCCTACGATGCGAAAGAAGTCAAGCGTGGCGTGGAGTTGCTCAAAAAGCGTGTAGAAAAACACTTTGGCGACGCCGATGATCCTGGCCTTAGCCGCAGCTTAGTGCTGAAGGTGCTACGGGAATGTGAGCAACGTTATGAGGCAGCCTACGACCGGACTCGACACATCATTGATACCGTGTACGAAGGACAATTGGAGCTGGAATGGCGAAAGGAGGATGTGGTGGCTATGTTCCGGAAATGAGCGAATGTCAATTCAATGTGTTAATTTCTTATGACTCTCTGCGACGCAACGCATGAGCCTGGGTTTCACGGCGTTGACTTGTAGAAAATCCCGTGGTTCTTTTCCAGTTTAAATTTCTTTATGGTTCGGACGATCTTCCTCGTTGATTGGCGCGGTGAGACCCCGACCCACTGGTTCGAGGCCGATGTTCATTTTAACACTTAGCAACTCAGGGGCACGCTCTGGTCTGTGCTTGGCTCTCGAGATCGAGGATCGCATCTTTTATCTTATTATAATTTTATTGTCTTTGCGATGTGCAGTGCTCGATAATTGCAATATTACCCTTCCTATAGGCGGATTTCTCTTCTCAATGGCTTTCCACCACTGGGGAGAGCTCCATCGTATTTCGGGGAAAGATATGCTTGCCGTCAGTGGCTTATGCTTCAACCACGGGATCATACAGGGGGCAAAAGAGTAGGAAAAGAAGGGAGATGTTAATGAAATCAAAAGAAAACATGCTTGTTTCATCAGGATCAGAAAACGTAGCTATCCTTCAGCTGAAACTTATATAGAACAAATTGACTTTGCTATCTCAGCGGTGTGGGGAGCGCAGACCTTAAGATTTGGTTCTTTGATCGTCCCCTTCGCCCAATTCCTCCTTTCGTATTCTTTTTTTGGTTCCCTTTCCCCATCCTTTAATCTTCTTTTCTTCATCCTTACTTCTTGACTGTCCTTTTTTAATCAGTACGTTTTCTTTTCTAACGGTGAGTCCGCCCCCAAGCCCCTGTTTCCCCACTGTTCTCGCCAATGGACTCCACCGCGCGAAAGTTCCTCGCAAGGGGGGCACGGATACCCCAATCGCGCGACTCTGTCGAAACTCCGAGGTTGCCACCTGCATCTGTATAGCCAGAGTTTGTGCCTAGGCCCCTGCCTCGCTACTTTCCGAATGAGGAATCCTTGCCCCCCGAGAACCGCCATTGTGCAGACCTCCTGCCCTAGCATCTGCCTAACCTCGAATCTTGAAACCGTTTAGCTGTCGCATTCCTCGCCCACGCGCATTCCTCTCCTTTCCTTCCCCGCGGACCCGACAACTTGGAACATTTTACCGCATGTTGCGTGCCATTGAGACAACCGATCATTCCCCCTCGTGACTTGGATCCCTACATTCTTTGCCCCAGAATTCTTTCGATCGGATCGTCGACTATAACGTGCGGGGGCAATTTGTCCCAATTAAACTTCAGACCAGCGCGTCTGCTGAACTCACATTACCGCAGCTATGCCCTGGCGGCCGCTGCCTCGAATTGCCTTCGCGGTGGCCATATACCCCTTCCAACCTTCCTCCCCCGCAGACCTGCCTCTTGAATTAGGCGATGAATTGTATATTATTGAACAGGGAGGATTGGATGGAGAATGGTGTCGAGGATATTTGGTTGCGCCGCCGTCCTTGTTGGCGGGGTTAACGAGCACCAAGGGTCAGACCCTCGAGGCTCGTGTATTTTCCGGCATCTTCCCACGAAACTGCGTTGAGATCCGGGAAGTTCTGGGTGATGGTGAAGGATACAAGGCCCTCCTTAATGGAAATGGCGATCGCAAGAGTATCGATCGATTGACACTGCCAGGATTGGATCTCGAGGGACAGTCGCGGAGTAGCGTGGCATATTCGATGGCCGAGTCCCAACTGGGTGAAGTGTCGGATGTGGTACTTGCAAAGAAGGGCAAGCCCGCACAAATTGTGATCCATAAGACAGACGAGCTTGACCACGCCAGTCCGCGATCCATTCAGACCGATGGAATTGGTTCAATTCCTCACACACCGGTGAATTTTGCGCCCCGGGATCCCGATGCGCCCAAGCCTGCAGCGCCTGTGCCTATGTTGAAAATTGGCGATGAGACACCAACTTCCTTGACAGAACCCTTGGTGGACGAAATCGCGTCTTGCCTCCGCGAATGGCATTCCACCAACTTGCACGAGCTCTTACTGGCCCAGCAGTATGATGTATTGGATGAGATGTCCACAATTGTACAGGAGCTGGATTTTGCAAGACGCCAATTACTTCATAATGTCTTGACTAGCCAGGAGAAGGAGATGTTGCGGGATGAAACGGTCTGGAAACTCGTTAAAGCGAACAAGATGCTTAGTGGAGACATTATTGTTCGCGACCCAGACCAGAGAGGCCGATTATTGACAGGCGAGGATTCTGCTATTCAACTAGCAAAGCTGCAGTCTGAAATGGCTATGCTGGAGAGCAGGCCTACCACCGCCTCGGACACCACTGCTCTGCACCACATGCTCTTGGAAATCAATGCGGTGTCTGGAAACATTCCTGGGCCCGTGTCTTTGGCGATCCAGCTTTACTCCCGGTCTGACTCCGGGGTATTTAGTCCACTTTCTGAGACATTTAGTTTGGACATTCCGTCCCCCGAGAAGTTTGTCAGCCTGACCCAGAGCAACAAACTAAAGACCTTGTTTACTGAACTAGCGGCCACGGATATCGGAGACGGCTCTGTAAATGGGCGTCAGCTTTACCTTGCCACATCAGTTCGTGCTGCAGAAGTACGCTCAACAGCTGACAGTACCCCTGCCTCGCGACCCTCCATGTCGAGAGAGAGCCCTTCCACTCCCAAAACAAATACATCTGCAGGCATACAGCCCTCAGTGAAGGGAAGCTTGCGAACGCGGCGCAGTATGATGTGGTCTCCGAAGGCCCGGGGTCCCAACGATGGTGTAACACCGAAGACCACTGCCCAAGGAATCCCACGTTCGTCGAGCAGTTCATCGAGTGTAAAGGAACCACCAGCCCCTCAGCCCACGACGACAAAAGAATCATCAGCCATTCGGACCATTGGCGTTGGTATTTTGGAGATTTCGCCCATTCTTCGACAAGATCGAGATGCTGAACAGGTGATCAATATTTGGTCGCCTTCCCGTGATGGCGATGAAGGTGAAGGAAACGCCGATGGGTTTGATAAACTACTCCATGTGCTTCTGCCTAGCCACACTGGTCGTTATGTGCGCTCTGATTATGCTGCACGCCTACATGTCCATCTCCACCCCTTCGCCAGCACTGATCCTGAAACCCTTGTTCGTGAAAACCCCACAATTCTGCACGATGTTGTCCAGACAAGGCGCATCGGATTCTCCAAGGCCCCCACCAAACCACGCTCCGATATCTACATCACTCTCTCGCAGGCTGTGTTCCCAACAGATGCTCTCCTCTCTCATCCTACCGCTGGTCAAATTCCTCTGCAAACAAACACCGGTCTGCATAATCTTCAGCTCACCTTGGAGGTGCGCGATGTCAACGGAGCTCGCATCGATCGCTGTGTGTTCCCTTCTTCAGCGAACGCGTCACACACGGCATGGCGAACTACCATCGCGGCACGGGGCTCGCCTTGGAACCAGACAATCCGTCTAAAGATCCCGACTGAACAGATTCCTGGATCGCACATCATCATGAGCGTTGCAGATGCACCGGAGTTCCCATTTGCTCTTTCCTGGATGCCCCTCTGGGACCAAAAAGCCTTTATTCGCGATGGAAGCCATTCATTACTGCTTCATGCCTATGATAAGCAAACTTCAAGCATGGAGAATGGAAAAGGCGCTTACTTGAGCCTTCCGTGGAGCGCACTTGGCAAAAACGAATCTGCCAAGGATGAAGCACTTACAGGTCCATTGGCAACTCTGCGCCTCGAGACACATCTGTGTAGTACTGAATACTCACAGGATCAGGTCATATTGAGTCTGCTGAACTGGAAGGAACGCCCAGTCGATGAGGTGCTGGACACGCTGAAGCGATTGCTCTTCGTCCCCGAGATTGAAATTGTCAAGCAGCTGCGTGGCGTTTTCAATGCACTTTTCGGAATATTGGTAGAAAATGCCGGTAACGAGGAATACGAAGATTTGATTTTCCACAATCTAGTCACAGTACTAGGGATTGTTCACGATCGACGATTTAACCTGAGTCCTCTAGTGGACCAGTATGCCGATGAACAATTTGACTTCCCCTTTGCCACGCCATGCCTTATTCGAAGCTACCTACGACTACTGAATGCCCCCACAGAGCCAAAGCAGTCCCGCAACCTCCGCGCTGCTTTCAAGGTTGGCCGCCACTTGCTGAAGTTCATCATTAATGCTCGTGAACAACAAAAAGCCAAGGAGGAGGGCATTGGCATTACTTCAGTGCAGTCCACTTTTAACCGAGATCTACACACGATCTTCAAGTCAATGGAGAAGTTGATGAAGAATTCCAATCCGGCATTGGTCGGCAGTAAGACATTGATCGTCCAGCACTTCCACTCCTGGTTGCCTGAGCTTTCTAAGGTCTTTGGCCGTGACGAAATGATTATGATTGCGTTGAGTTTTATGGATTCCTGCAAAGATGTGACGGGCATGCTAGTATTGTACAAGCTGGTGCTGATCCAAAGTTATACCCAATTTGAAATCTTCTCATCTGGTGAAGAGAGGCAAACTCTGATCTCCAGCTGCGTCGGTTGGTTGAAGCCGTATTGGGGCTCTGGTGCGGGTGTTTCCGACCAATACCGGGACCAGGTGCGACTGAGCAGTGCGATTGTCGCTCAACTGCTCACTCAACCAGATGCACAACTGTATGACTTTATGCCAAGCGTTGTCGCCTCTTACTGCGCTATTGTTACAGAGGGGGTGGATGATACCGAATACCTCTCCCTTCTCTTCAGCAAGTCCTTCCCCTTCCAAGTCAAGCTGTCCAAGACACCCCAGAAATTCGATGAATCTTTGGTGGAGCTTTCTGCTATTATGGCAGCTCTTTCTAAGATTGTCTCGCCTAAGACACCCAACCTGAAAGAATTGGAGCTCGCAACCTTTATAGCGCAGGCTTTCGAGGCACACAATTCCATCATCGATTGTGAGGCATACCCCGAAAGTTGGTTTAGTATTCATGTCTACAACCACCGTGCCGCCATCAAGGGTCTTGAACACCTGGCCCTGCTCTTAATTGAAAAGTTTCTTCCCGCTCCCGATGATGCTGATACCTTTGACACGAAGCTTTGGGAGTCATTCTTCACCACGTTATTGAAGGTTATTTCTAGTGACGCCCTCGCCCTTGAGACCTTCCCCGAGCAGAAGCGGCGAGCTGTATGGAAGATTGCCGGTGATGTTCGTGAGCAAGGTGCAGACTTGCTGCATTCAACCTGGGAAGCTATCGGTTGGGAGACTACCGACGATGAAAGAGAACGTTACAACCTGAAGCGTATGGGTGGCTACCAAGTTCAGTACGTTCCGAATTTGGTACCCCCGATCATCGGATTGTGTCTTAGTGTGCACGAGGGCCTGCGTCACGTTGCTGTTCATATTCTCCGGACCATGATCTTGAGTGAGTGGGACCTCAACCAGGATATTTCTATAATCGAAACGGAAATTATCTCGAGCCTGGATTCTCTCTTCAAGTCCAAGCACATGAGTGAGAGTGTTAGCCAGAAAATATTCATTGGTGAACTGCTTGATCTCTTTGAGGCAGATGCCGAATCTGATGAGGATTTGTTCAACGCCGTCAAGGGCCTTATCTCAACTGTGGATGAGCTTCTCGACCTCTTGGTGGCCTCTCAGGGCAGTGCTGCAATTCAGAGTTTGCATGCCCTAAAGCTTATGGAGTACATGAAGGATATGGGGCGCGAGGATATCTTCATTCGATACGTGCATGAGCTCGCCGATGGTCAAGCTGCTGCTGGCAATTTCACAGAAGCTGGACTGGCGCTTCAATTCCACGCCGATCTTTACGAATGGGATGCTGTAAAACTCCTGCCCGAGACAATGACCCCGGCTTTCCCTGCGCAAACTGCATTTGAACGCAAGGAGTCTTTGTATTTTTCAATCATTCAACACTTCGAGAACGCTATGGCGTGGGCACCTGCTCTAACTTGCTACAAGGAATTATCTGCCCAGTATGAAGCTGCGACAATGGACTTCGCCAAGCTCTCCCGGGCCCAGAGTTCTATGGCCCGTATCTATGACTTTGTTGCCAAGGGTACTAAGCAGTTCCCGCGCTATTTCCGCGTTGTTTACAAGGGTCTTGGGTTTCCTCCTAGCCTGCGTGACAAAGAATTCATCTTCGAAGGATCGCCGACAGAACGTATGGCTTCGTTTGTTGACCGTATGCAGCGTGAAAACCCTACAGCACAGATCATGTCTTCAGGCGATATTCCTGATTACGAGGGTCAATTTCTCCAGATTAGCGGTGTCACTGCTCATCGCGAAGTTGCTCATCCCGTTTATCAGAGGTCTAAGATTCCTCTTTCTGTTCGAGATCATCTTTTGATATCCAACCCCATCAGATTCGCCGCCACTTCACGAAGGCACACCTCCAGCCCAGATGTGCGGGAGCAATTCGTTGAGAAGCTGATATTCACCACTGCGGAACAATTCCCCAATATTCTTCGGCGAAGCGAAATCATTGCAGTCGAAGAAATTGCCTTGTCTCCCTTGCAGACCGCCATCGAGCGTACATGCCGCAAGACCCAGGAATTGCATCTATTGGAACGTCGTGCTACATCGGGCGAGGATAATGGTCTGTCGAATCTCACAGAAGCGTTGGAGCAATTGCTGGATTCACGATCTTCATCTTCTAACTGTGTTGCCTCGTACCGTGGGTTCCTGCGCGGCGCGCAAGGTGCAAAGGACAAGCTCGACGAGGCAGATGAAGATGACCTGAACGAAGAGGAGGACGAGGAAGAGGAATTCCCGGAGACCATGGACCCAATGGAGAATGCGCTTGCTGTTGCATTAATTGATCATGCTCTGGGAATCAAACATGCGTTGACCCTCTACCAACGTCCTGCCCAGCAAGCAACCCAGGCGGAGCTTCTCCGACGCTTCGAGAATGTGTTCGAACCCGAACTGGCTTCTCTTGCTTCATCACCACCGGACATGCATAGCCCAACCCCAACTCAGACAGCCCGCCAATCCTTCAACTCGGGAAGCCGCCGAAACCAAAATGGTCAGAGGTCACTCAGTCCAGAGCAGGAGCTCATTCGGGCTTCACGGACCAACGGTCACACTCACAAACGATCAGAGCGTCAATCCGTCAGCCACCGGATCAGTATCATGAACCCCTTTAAGCGTCACGGCGCCTCAAACTCCATTTTTACCCTCCAGCAGGCAGAATCTAAAGCTCAAAATACCTCGGCTGAGCAGGATGATGTCGATGACGACGCAGCAACAATCCACAGTCGAACAACCACCCATTCGCGAGGTGGAAAGAGTGACAAACGCCGAAGCTGGTTCGGTGGCGACAAAAAGCACGGCTCTTCTCCTTCAATTGCCGGAGCGGTTGATGAGAACGGAACCGCCTTGAAGAACAGACCCTCCCGTAGTGCCTCCCGCGACACCGCCGCCCAATCTCAGGACGGCCGTAGTCGTGCAGGTTCACAACATCGTGGCCCTACTTCCAGCGGCACCACAGGCACAACATCTGATCGGCCTGCTCCTGCTGCGAGTGGCGGCTGGTCCACACTCCCCCCTACACGTGATTACTCCCGCCCTGTGACACGCGATAGTACCCACGGTCCTCGCGAGTTGTCAGTGAATTCCAACGGAAGCGGTACCGGGACTACCACGCGTGTCTCAACCACCTCTGCCGGACCTAACGCCGGTGTACGCGACTCCGTCTTTCGCCGATTCAGTCTCCTTAAGGGTGTCGGGCGCAAAACCAGCCGCATGGACTTCAAAGCCAACGGCACCTTGCAAGAGGAGTGATTGCCATTCCTTTCGTCGATCTTTAGATCTTTACTCTTTTTTCTATCTACTGTTTAACTCTTCTCGATGTGACTTACTACTCCCTACTACTTCCTGATCTACCTCAATTCTTCACTTTGTCCATTCATTCTTATTCCCATTTTCTCACCTGTGGACCGGGGAAAGTTCTTTGTCAGTTTTGGTGTTATGAGATAGATACCACTTGTTTTACTCCTATCTCCGCATAGTCTATACGGCTTTTGATTTTGATTTTTGTACACTATTAACTACCCTTGAATGCTAAGCATATTCGTGTTTAAGAATTGATTTTTGAAGTCAGAATTGTGTTCCTCCACATACCTCGGGACTGATTTTCCGATAGGGAGTGTCTTATTGGTTTAAGTATTAACCCCACTGAGTACCATAGATCCGCCCTCCAAGTGTTTGACTTGACGAGCTCCAAATCCAAATTTCTGTGGTATCATTAACCTCGAATGTCAATATCAGGATCGCTGCATGTGAGCCTTTCGCCATGGGGTCGACAAAAACCTCAACTACGCGGAAATATGTGACGACTGCTTGCGACACATGCAGAGAGAGCAAAGTGAAGGTCGGAACCCATTTTCCATTGCGTGATGACAGCAAGGAAATATCATTAAAAGTAGCATGAGATTCTGACTTCAATAGTGTGATGGGATTCGGCCTGCCTGCTCAAATTGCCAGCATAAAATGAGGCCTTGTCACTACAAACTTGAAGATAAACGAAAGTAAGCTTCCCCCTCCCATTCAAAGCGATCTCGTTAAGAATTCACTAGGATATCGTGGAAATCAGTGGTGAATCTGCTTGCCAGCCGAGTCAATGAGCTCACTCAATTCATTATCGACCAGGAGTTCACACCACCACCAGCGCTTGTTGACAACGAAGCAATATTCAGGAATGTATTGGACAGCTTAGGAATTCAACATATCCAAAAGTCCTTGAATGGAGCTGAAAGGAAGAAGGAATTTGATAAGCAGACCAACCTTGCAGACTCCGATCAAATCTACTCAAACGATGGCGCTGACACCCAGAGCCTGGATATTGAAGAGTTGGATCCGGACATGAACTTGCTCATGGAACCTTTCATAATTTTGGAAGATAACCATCCATGCGATGCTCATTCCGATGTCTTGACTGCACAAAGCGCCTCTGATGATTTCATTCAGCCCTTTTGGGATGGAGCCTCGTCTGCCCTGGACGAGGAGCGCAGCAAAGATCGTGGCTCTTTACCACAGCAATCTGGCCTTAGGCCCAGCGTCAATGATTTAAGGGAACCCGAAAATGTCCCAAATTCCGAGATCAGTGGAAATGATGGCACAGAAGATATCGTTGACAGACTATCCGACCGCATGGGCAGTCTTCAAATTGGATCAGATGGACAGGTTAGATACTACGGTCCCACGTCTCATTTCAATCTTCTACGGATGCCCACTCCTGATAATTTGACAATTCATCGCACAATCCGGAAGGATGGTCAAGACCACCTCAATCGCATGGGACTCGACAAAGAAGTTCCCCGGAGTATGGAGGAGCACTTGATCAATTTATACTTCACGTGGCATAGCCCATCCGTTGACGTGGTGAACCGAGATATGTACGAGATGGCAAAGCGACAGTGGCAGGAGCAAAAGGAAGAGACGTCTTCTTATTCCGAGGCTCTCACAAATGCTATGTGAGTACCTCAAATGATATGAGGGATCTGAACACATGAGTCTGACGGCATCCAGGTGCTGCCTTGGGGCTGCGTTCGAGCCCCGATACCACCCGAACTTCATTACATATCCCAGGTCCCTATCCGACTTCTTTGCAGATCGAGCGAAGACGCTTCTTGATATTGAGCTCGATTCTCCCACTATGGCCACTGTGCAGGCGATGGTTGTTCTTAGTGGGCATGATATTGGCTGTAAACGTGATGCTCGGGGGTGGCTATATAGCGGTAAGTCATACTCCGGGGCATTGAACGACAATAGTTCAGGACTTACATGACTATATTCAGGAATGGCAATGCGTCTAGCTTTTGATCTGGGGTTGCACATTGACATGTCGCCTTATGTCGCGAATGGATCCATCAGCGAGGTTGAAGCTGATGTGCGACGCATGGTATTCTGGGGCGCTTATACATTGGACCAGTAAGTCCCCACGTGATCTCCATTCAAGGAATCATCCCTAAATCATGTTGCTTCCAGCCGCTGGGGTTTCCTTCTAGGACGCCCATTCAGGATAAACCTCGAAGATGTCACTGTCCAGAAGCCTGGTCTTGACTTTAGGCAGGACCAGGCCCAACGGTGGTATCCATATGGACTCCCTCATCCTACCGAATTCCCTCATGGTCTGTCAATAGCCAACTCTGCTTCATCACTAAATCTGCATCGCATTGCACTCTGTGAAATAATGACACCACTGGGTCATGTTCTGTATGGATCTTCAAAGATCTCCAGAGAATCACTTCAGAAGCTGAATGTGGAGACTACTGATAGGCTGTTGCACTGGAAAGCCAATTTACCAGAATTCCTACAAATCAATATCAATGAGTCCACATCCCCTCATCTACCGCATGTGTTACTGCTCCAGTAAGCTCTACACTCTCACATTGCCACGCCAGATCTAATAAATATCTAGTCTATACTACCATCAAGCGGTAATCCATGCTCACCGACCATGGATGTCAAAAAGCTCAATCCAACCCCAGCCCCAGCAAGGCGCCGGTCACGTCCACGCAAGACAAATGTGCGTGGAATCAGGTACCGCAATAGCCAAAATCCTTCAAATCTATGAGAAATTCTATACATTCCGCCGCATGAACATCCAGGTCGTGTCAATCACCTGCTCAGCTGCACTGATGCTCATTTTCGCCAAAGCCCTTCACCGCAGTACTCACGACGACGAAGAAAATGTAGCAAATCTGAACATCTGCTTCCGCGCACTGGAGGAATGTGGATCGGCCTGGGAAAGTGCTAAGCGTGCACAAAATTTTCTTCTCCATATGCAAGGGCTCTGGGATATCCAAATTCGGCCTTACCGGGCTGGTAAGCGGGTAGGATCCCAATTCATGGGTGGTTCAGGCTTGCATGAGGATTTCTTGCAGTCTAAGCGATCACGAACTTCATCTAAACCCCTGTTGAGTGGCAATCCTGGGCGCTTGTGGGGTGGCGATATCCCTGATATTGACTCTGATTCTGGGGAACTTGAATGTTTGTGGGCTGCTACGATGAGGGCTATGCCAACTTCACAATAGATATTGTTTGAACTTGCACAGATTGAGACAAAGCAATGAAGAATCACCTTGCCCTGCACCAAACGCTCTTCAAGAAACTGTCGTGCCTCGTAGCCGAGGCTCAGTAGTCTGCTCAAGCCATCGGCCGTCTTGTGCTTGCTGCAAGGGTGCAGATACCGGCCACGACAAGCCCGCTGACAAGTTACCTAGAGGAGGTGCGGTAGCCCCTGAGAATTAAACAGTGGATGTCATCTATTCACTTCGAAACAGAAAATAAAGATATGAAAATATGAAACTGATTGAAGTAGTTCATTCAATTATAAAAATGAAATATCTGACCTGGAAAGCCAGGCATGACCTGCATCCATCAATTCAGTAACCGAATCAATGTCTTCAGTGCCAGGGAGGGTTTGGTCCACTTGAAACCCTTTCTGGGACATCACCCAAGACAAGCATTTATAACTCTCTCGGACTTTTGAAAAGTCAAAAGCAAAGTCCGAAGAGCCGACCAAGGGCATCGTCGGTACCAAAGAGTCTCGATCATATATGACGACCAAGGATACGAGCTTCCACCCATCGTCCGTCTTTTGAAGGCGGGATATAAATCGACCGTTGGACACGCAGTCAAATTCCTTGTCTTCTAGACGTATACGTAGCTGTATAGTACAGACAGATTCTGAGAAGGCTTTTTGGCCAACAATTTGGATCTCTACCGGCATGATCGTGTGGAGAGCCTTGGTTTCGCATTTGACCATGGCTTGCGAGCCCGAGACAAAGCCGTCAATATCGCCATTGAGCCTGTTTCATATCATCAGAGGAAATTCAGCAGTAGGAATCTTGTTGCAGAACAGAGAGGGAAAAGCCATACCAGCTGATTTTGACATTTGTTTGCGTGGGGTCCGGATGCCAGCATTGACGTAACTTTTCCCATTGCAAGGTGTCCCTGTAGTAGCGCTCCTGAACCAGGAGGGATTGGATTTGAAATTGAGTTATAAGTGTATCGTCACTCATTTTGTCTCGACCTAGAAAGGATCCAAAATTCAGGTAAGGCTATAGATGAGGCACGAAGTGTCAGGTGCACAAAAGAAGCCAAAGAATGCACGGATCTTATGTATCAATTTGTCGAATATAAGCGTGACTCATGTGGCACCAAATTTGAAGACTGAATGCAAATCTGTCTCACATGCCGAGTAATTTCCCCTTCAAAAGTCCTCGGTCCTGGTATTTAGCGTTGATCCCAGTTGTGGGAAGTGAAATTATAGGAAATCATGATTTGTAGTCCCACATCCGATATTAGCGCCCCACAACCTGGGATGACACGACGGAGATACGGATCATCAATTACAAAATGGGGTCTGTGCAATCTGGAGATTTCGAAACTTAAAAAATAGCGACAGTCCAATGGTGCCTAACATGGTTCTGTGAATGGTGGATACCTTCTCGTGTACACGGAGTATGTGGAACCCTAAGTGGGACGTTGGGATGGTCTCAATTGGAGCGCATATTTAGAATTATCATAAAAGCCGAAGTCAACTTTAGAGAACGTTATGTATGAACAAATTCTAGTGTCTATTTTAATAATCAGTTTGAGATTTTATGTTAGCATTCCAAGCCATGGCCATACTTGAAAAGAGGGAGCTCTGTATCGAAGGGGACGTCTTCCTTGCTCTTCTCCACTGCCTTCATACTGCTAGGAAGGTCAAATGGAAGCTTGCCTTCGGGATAGGTTTTGCCAAAGATGACATCAAAGAATGCACTCTCACTGCTACCATAGTTCACCAGCAAAGCGGTTGCTTGGTCTGCGATTCCAGGAATGACGGCCGGACGATCAAGGTACACATCCACAATGCAAGTGGGGACAGTGGAAAAGATCCTTGATATCGAGCTTGTTCCTCCGCGGAGAATGCTAAAGTGCCGGCATGGAAAAACGATTCGAAGCCACCAGTGCGAGGCTCGTAAGGGCATTGGAGGCGCAAGAACGCTATTTCTGCTTCTTCCACGGAAGTCAATTCGAAGCCCCACTCCTTGACAGCTTCCTCACTGATACCCTCCACGTAGACCTTCCTGCCAGTATGATCCTGATTTTGGAGAGGGAGAATGCTCTTAGAATTTTTCAAAAGAGTGAATGCTCATCTTTGAGCTTGTTCTCCCTCCTCTTTCCATTTAGGCTGTCCAACGATCTTTGCGGCCTCTTCGACGTCAACAAATGGGTTCTCGAAAAGACCAAGAAGGAATTTCTCCCGCAAGATACGACCGACCGATTGATCAATTCGAGATTCGGGAATCAACTTGTCTTCCACCAATTGAATGATCAAATCAGTACGCGTCTCTCCTCCGAACTGGTCACATCCAGCATCAAGGATCTTTTTTGTACGCTCGAGCTCAGTCAAGCCCTCACAGCCCCAAGCTCTAGCAGGCATATTTTGTCCCATAATGGCGGTATCTGTGATCAGGCCCCAATCGGTACAAACAATACCGTCAAAACCGAGCTTCTCCCGCAAGAGACCGGTCATAACAGCCTTGTTGAACGCAAAGCCAACTTCCTCCCACTCGGTGCCTATCGGCATACCATAGTATGGCATCATAAAGCGCGTACCAGCCTCAATGGCCTTTCGGAAGGGCTTGAGATGATACTCGATATTATCTCCGGGATAAATCTGCTCACGTCCATAGGCAAAATGAGGATCTTCACCATTCATTTGTGGACCGCCACCAGGGAAATGCTTGGTCATAGTAGAGACACTGGTAGAGGTGATATCCTTGCCGCCTTGAAACCCACGAATATAAGCTTGAACAAGTTCTCCGGACAGATCAGAATCTTCACCGAAGGTAGCGCAGATGCGAGCCCATCGATACTCCGTCGATAAATCGACCTGGGGGTGAAGAGATACACGCAAACCCAAGCGATGTATTCCTGTCTAGCGATATCGGCAAATCGCTCGACAAGAGCGGCATCCCGAAGAGCGGCAAAGCCCAAAGGTTCGGGCCATAAGCTCAGAGAGCCGGCACTGAATGCAGTTCCCACGTTCTGCGTGAAATGATTGCGGGGGTCGGTGGAAATCGTAATAGGTATTCCCAGGCGTGTCTGCTTGAGAGCATGTACTTGCAGGGCATTTTGCCATTTAGCGACGTGGGTTGGATCTTGAACTGGTCCGAGAAGGTTGAAATGGGACATGAATTTCTCTGACAATAGTTGTTTGGTGTCTTCAATCCCAAACATCGGGTGAGCTGGGGCAAGGGATCCCTCGGGCCCGGGAAGGAGCATGTTGTGAAAGAGTTGACCGGCCTTCTCAGCTAGAGCCATGCGGCTCAGAAGATCCGCTACCCGCTCATCTATCGACTTCGAGCTGTCCCGGTAGAGAGGCTGGGCCTCTGTTGTGGAAGAGCTCATCTTGCAAGATTATTACCGATGTATCCAGGTATCCAGTGATGGGAGAGAAGATAAAGAGATGCCTGGGTGGAACGAATAGCGAGTCTCTGTAATTGAAGGATCGTTATATGGCCAGATTCTGTGGATGTGTATGCGCGTCCGCATTAGTTGGATTTCACATCACAACCCCACAATCCCGAAGATTAGCCGACCATGATCTCCCACACTTGCCGGGTACGCCGGGAAGGAGGTTGGAGCAGCCCCGCGCGTTTGATTGGATCCCCACCCCCCACTTATGCACTCGGCCCTTTGTATTGATATATCCGCCGTACACCAATGCAGCTAATGGTGGGTTAGGAAACCGGCCACATGGGGGAAAATCTGGGGAAGTATGGGGAAGAAGGATTGAAATTGGGGAATAATACGCGAGGGATGGCGCGCAAGGGCGTTTTGCCAGAGTGTCTCGTCCTTGCGCCATTTTGGCGAGACTGTTATTTTACATATCAACATCTGCTGTCCCCATCTTGATCTTTTTTCATCTTTATTGAGTCCTTTGTTTGACCAATTCTAGGCTCGCAGGATGTGATATTCACTGGTCTTTGTGTCTTGTTTCTCGACATGGCCAATAAGTCTGAGATAGATGTTTCTGCAGCAGATTCGCCTGGCGAGTCATATGACTCGATAACCGGACCCGTGAAAGACGCCTTCAAGTTATACAAGAAGGCTATTCTATGGTCCCTGCTATATCTCTAGGGCCAATTATGGAATGCTATGATGTAATCTTACTCAGTAGCTTTTATGGGCTCAATAAATTTGCAGACAAGTGGGTTGAAAGTCTTCGGATATACGTTAACACGGCTGACAATGACACTGCAGGTACGGTACAGCTGGTATAGATGGCACGAAGGTAATCTCAGCGGCTTGGCAATCCGGTATAAGTTGTGGAATGCTGGTAAGTGCTCAAAAAACATACACATTCCGCTCTGAAAGTATACTCGTACTCCGGCAGGCTGGTTGTATCGTCGGTCTTACTCTGAACAGCATGCTTGCTGAGCGACTTGGGTACAAAATAACACTCATTGGGTCTTTGGTTTTGACCTGTGTCTTTATTTGCTTGAAATTCTTTGCGGAAAACATTGCAACTATCGAAGGGGGCGCGATTCTCATTGGAATTCCTCTGGTCTGCCTACTCCTACCCCAATATCCCCTCGTTTTATCAAGCTAACTCGACACATAGGGGCGTCTTCCAAACTCTTCCCCTCACCCATATTGCGGAGGTCCTTCCTCTTTGTCTGCGTGGATATATGACAACCAGCATTGACCTCTGTATGGTGACGGGGCAACTGATAGCCGCGGCAGTCGTTCGTGCCTTTTCTACTCGGACAGATGAATGGTCTTATCGATTGCCATTGGGTCTGCAATGGGCGTGGCCACTACCAATCATCATATTTACTTTTTTCGTACCTGAATCCCCTTGGTGGTTGGTGCGCCGTGGGCGTGTGGAAGACGCTAAGAAATCACTTAGTCGATTGACATCCCCGACCTGTGGTATTCCAATTGATACTGATCGGGAAATCTCGATTATTCAAGCCACTAATGAACAAGAAATATTCCTGTCCCATGGTGCTGGCCTGACAGACTGCTTCAAAAGAGTCAATATTCGTCGGACTGAAATCGTCATAGTTGCTTGGATGATCCAGACACTTTGTGGATTCGGCCTGGTTTCTTACGCAGTGGTATTCTGGCCTGAGTCAAACCAATAGCTTTTCTTTCAACATTGGGATCTTCGGTCTTGGTTGTTAAGGCACACTCGGTGCGTTTTCCCTTCCCGAGGTCGAACCTGGATTAATTCCAAAGATGGTCGGTCTGAACCTGGTATTCTCCGAGTACAAACTAATTAATGCCGGTTCTTCTAGGATCATGGTTCTTTCTAGATTGGATCGGACGCCGCACTCTCTACCTCGCCGGACTCACAGGAATGTTCGTGACCTTGGCTGTGATCGGCGCCTTGGGAGCTTGCAAGCAAGGGAGCGGTGTCAGCTGGGCTATCGGATGCCTACTGCTCGTACTAGCGCTAATATACGATATCACTGTTGGCCCGGTTTGCTTCGCCATTGTTTCGGAGGTGCCTGCCACTCGCTTGAAGATGATGTCCATGGGAATCACCCGTAACTTCTACAATTTGGTTAGATACTACCAACCTCAATGAATGGCTCAAGTTACTGACGATGTTGGGTTAGTTTTTCATCATCACTAACATCCTCGTTCCTCGGATGATCAGCGCGCAGTCTTGGAACTGGGGTGCTAAGGCCGGATTCTTTTGGGCTGGATCATGCGTGATATTGGCTACGTGGACATATTTCCGCCTTCATGGTGAGTTGACCTTCCCTCATCGTGAATGTACATGACTTAATGAAGAAACGCAGAAACTGCCGGAAGGTCATTCGCCGAGATCGATCTTCTCTTCGAGCATCAAGTCCCCGCTCGGGACTTCGCAAAGACAGACGTCAGTCAATTCTCATTTGAGTTAGACAATGTTAAGGAAGTTCAAACAGAGCAAGTTGAGAGTGTCTGAAGACTGTCTGAAAGGCTCGAAAGAGTTGAATCGCCAGTACCTGGCTCAACGCCTGTGGACGGATAAACCAACATGGAAATTCTAAGGTTCAAGTTGTGTCTGACGTGTTAGATAGTGTTGGCGTTTCATAGACCTGCACCAAGACCGGAATAGGAGGGAAAGAAAATATTAGTTACAGTAGAGGTAAAGAATGATCAGTAATATACATGATTCTTGTCCAGAAGATACATCGCTCGGGCGTTGGGATCGGTCTCCGCTCAAAAGTGAAAACCAATGGCCGGTGGCCGTCGATACTCAACGCTCCAATCCCCATCATCAGTCATGCGTGAGGAGGCTCCAGTCTGCGCCTCACCATATCGAACCTTCATCCAGCCAACCTCATCCAACGTACAGCCGTACACTGGCTCGTGTCCATCGCCTGGCCCCCCTCCTGCAGCCAACTCTTCGGGGTCCCACTCTGGGGGCCACCTCCCATTGATCAGAATGACAAATCCAGTGGTATTATACGCTTCCAAGTCCTCGGTCGGTATATCCAGCACAGACTGTAACGCCTCCTCGTCAACCATGATACACAGCCGATATCGGGCCGAGTACGCGCACTCTGCACGTTTATATGGCACCCCTTGCTCCGTCTCGCAAGCCACCCTCGCCCACTCCTTGAAAGCGTCCCGTATTTGATCAGGCGTGGCCCCGTCAAAGCGGCGCGCGTCTTCCATCACAACAGGCCGAAAGGAATCCAACATGTCGAGTCCATCGTCGCTTTCCAGTTCTGTGCGGACACTGCCCATGAACCGATCAAGGAATTTCGTCCAGTCCGCGTCGCTCTTGTAGGTGGTTCGGTACATGGTGATACCCCAGTAACGGAACCCGTCCGTCTCCAGATTTCTCTCAATGAGGTCAGCCATGTTCTCGCACATTGGACGCCATGGGGTTCTCTTGGAGTCTTCGATGACCATGGTTGCTGATGTGGACGAAAATGGCCGAGGTAGTGATTCCCCCCTGACCCGGGGAAATCGTTGAGTCCTTGGCTTAGTGCCCGGATATGGTATTTTCTCTAACTGTGAGGCAGAGACGGCTTGTCTAGTGTAGCACGTAGATAAAGATGCAATGCTAGAGAGTGTTCTTGTAGGGGTGCTGAATGGGTTTGTTGAGCTTCCGAGAAATACTCGGGAAGAGAATGAGAACGACATTGAATCATCCGTAGCTTGCCGAGGAATTTAAAGAATTAAATCCAGATATAGAGACCGGGAAATCGCGATTCGAATCCACGCTTGTGCGCTAGCCACTTACATACTGTGATACTTGGCGCGTTTGATGTCCTGGCCTTGGAGCCTCTCATATTCTAGTTGTAATTACTTTGCCCCACGTCGTTTCCGGAAGTACGGAAGCTGTATATCCGAACGGCATATCCGATCGTCGCTGTTTGATTGCGGGAACAAGATGGCCATAACTTAATTTCGAAGTGAAGTGAATGCGGGGAAATGCTCTTTATTTCATCTTTTCTCAAGATCTCCACTGTGAAAGGTGAATAGTCGTCTTCGAAGGGTCATGGATACATACAAAATACGGCCAAGTGTGCACGTGTGAGACAAGACCACTGGCATTGCAAATCCCTCAGGATACAATAGCATACCTTAAGCCTCATCAAAAAGGCGTACCCGTGATTCAACAGCCGTTTACATGTCCCATGTACCGGCTGCGAGCGGAGCGAAAGGCGGGGTATGGGGTACGGCGCCGGCTTCTAGCGCCAAGCTCTGGGGCCTCGTTCTCTTCAACTTCCAGCACCCTATCAATATCAGCATGGCCACAACGAAACACTGGCTTCTGTTCAACTGCTCATGAGATATAATTCACAGCAGCCATAACTGTCTCTCATCCACCACGCTCCAGGCAGCTGAATGGTCTCAATTCAGCCACATTCTGCCCACTTCGCGACAGAGCATATGCACCATCAGCTTTCTCACGATAGGACCACAGTGTCGCATCCTTGTGACGCTGAGCAGAGAGTGCCTTGATGTCTGGAGACCAGAGTAACGAGGTAGGCAATCGGCCTAAGAAGCCCCAACAGCGTAATTTCCAATGCAGAATCTGTACGCGAAGCTTCACCAAAAGCGAACATTTGCTCCGTCACGTTCGATCACACACAAAAGAGAAGCCATTTAAATGTCCCGATTGCGGCAACCGTTACAGCAGACAGTAAGGCAAGCCATGAGTAAGCGCATATTTGTGTAGCTGACATTTTCCTCAATGAAGTGATATCTTGATACGACATCGACGTGACGTGCGCTGTAAGGTTCCCGCCAATGCTAGCGAGCCAGCGACTGAATTCAATGAGCCGACACCGATCGTCAATACACCGGCAACCAGACCTGACATCACTGCGCCAAGATTAGGCCCAAGGAGCCCAGTCTCCCAGCAAACAGATAACACACATATTTTTGATTTTAATTTGCCCAGAATTGAAGTTTGTCCACAAGCCCCAATTGGTCATAAAAATGCGCCAGAGCCAAGAATAGAACAAATTTGTCCAAGCGATCTGGGACCAACTTTTCCACCCGGTCCAAATATGATGAATGATGACTTTGCAGCATGGATATTCGGCTCGGAACTCTACTGTGGTGAATATGGAATGGACGTTTGTCTATCGGGCTCTGATTTGATGGCAGAAGAGACAAATGGGGATATGATGGATCCAGAGCTCTTACAACTTCAGCATGTGAGCTCTTTGTGGTTTACTAACGTCTGGAAGCCATTGTCGAGCGAGACCCCCCATTCAGTCACTGAAGGCCCGATGCAAGGTGGAAGTGCAACACTCGATGAACAGTATCGGCAGAGCATACGAAAAAAGCTACATATTTCTTCATATGAGCCCACAATACCCTCGGCAGATACGTTGAATATGTGTATCCACTATTATTTTATCAAGACACAACCGGTGTTTCCGATCGTTCATCGGGCCACTTTCACGCCATGCAAAGCAAAGGCGAATATCATAGTCGTGATGTGCGCCTTTGGGATTCTATTCACTGGCTCTGATCATGGTTTGCAGCAGGGCCTTCATTTTTTCGGACGAATACAAAAGGCTTCACTACAAACCTGGGAGAATTCTGTGGGCAAAAGTCGAGAGATGATAGTCTCAATAATTTACGGTGCATCACTGGCCCAAGTATTTGGAATGCTATCAGGTAGCGCAAAAACACTGCTCAATGTCGACGCGTTCCATGGACCACCAATAGCATGGGCTAGGAATTTGAAACTTGACCAACCAACGGTCGAGATCCTCATTGAGCCCGACATAGAAGGCACGCTACTCGAGGAACGGTGGCGAAGCTGGGCCCGTCGTCAAGAGATCATTCGCGTGATACATGCGCTATACATCGTTGACGCCGAACTTTCCAGCCTTTTACACCATGAGCCCATACAAAACTTTGAATCCTACACTTTCTCCCCCACATGCTCAGAGGCTGTGTTTATGGCGCCGAACTCCATCGACTGGAAGAATAAACACCTAGCAGAGACTCACCAACTAAGGGGCCAGTCATGCTCGTTTGATGGTCGAATTCTGTTATCTGACCCGGATAGCCTTCGGAAAATCCCCGTACATAGCCGATTTACTGCCTATGCCGTGCTAGAAGGTATCAGCATGCGAGTCATTTCATCGCGAAAATCCTTCATTCAGCAAGTCTCAGCCAGGGCGTTTGATCAATTCCTCACTGCATTTTATACCCGATTCCTGGACCGTCGAGAACAGCAACCAAGACATGACCCCCTTCAATTGGATATTCTGTGGCATCTTGTGTACATGGAAACATCTGCAGACTTCAACCTCCTGGAAAAGGCCATCGGTCGTGAAGGCTCACGGCTAGACCCGGCCGAGCTTTCAACCATCATTGCCTGGGCAACTTCTCAAGATGCCGATCGATCAATACTCCATGCATCAATGATTCAGAAACATGTTCAAGCCATGAGTGTTGTCTCAGAATTTGCGATTCACGTTCCTCGCGCCCTCTTCTGGGCAGGTCTAGCGCTTATCTGCTATATGCGCTTTGGGTCCAAACCTTATACTTCACCGCACTCTTCGCCTCCAACCAGCCATCGGTTCCCAGAGTTTGCCTTGCTTGCCATGGATGACTTGATGCCTATTACTGGGATAGGTGAGCATGGCTTTGATGGTGCTTTCTCCCAAAAAACCCTCCTCTTCTCAATTATTGACCTACTTGACCGCATTGGGCACTGGGAGCTTGCTCGCAAATTTGCTAGTATCCTAAGGGCTGCCACTGTGTTTGTATCCGATAATCATGATATCCGAGTTTAGCAATCTTTTGTCTTATTTCTATAAACAGAAATACAATTTCGACTCGTATATATTGTCACCAATAGAAGGACTATCGGGTATTTAATTCAGATCTAGAAGAATTAAACAAACTTGCTCCCGTTCAAGCTCCATGTCATCAATCTAGTCTCGGAAAATTCTCGGAGACCAGAAAGGGCATTATTGCGCCCCCATCCACTTCCTTTAACGCCTCCAATTGGGAAGGTAGCTAAGTGTGTGAGTTAGCGACCGTGCAAATCCATCCAAGAGAGTTTACTTACGCTCGTCATGCGGTGTCATATTGTTGGTATGAACTTGACCAAAATCAAGTTCCTGTGTCATCATCCAAGCTCGATTGAAGTCTTTGGTGTGTATGGCAGCATTCAGGCCATATTTGCTATCATTGGCCAGTTCAACTGCGTGTTGATCATCGCGAGCAATAAACAACGCAGCGGAAGGGCCGAATGACTCTTCATTCCAAAGGAGCATGTCTTTTGTGAGACCCAGCAGGATTGTTGGGTGGAGCTTGGCAGGGCCCATCATGTCTGGCTTGCCCACAAGGAAAGTCGCTCCCTTCTCCTTTGCATCGAGGAGCTTTTCTTGGCATGATTCAACAATCCGGGGGCTGACACCATCGGTGATGGTGAATGATTCTGCCTCTTTGATCAGAAGCTGTTGGAATTCCGCAGCAACGCTCTCAAGGACGACGATCCGCTCTGTCGAGAAGCAAAGCTGTCCGTGATGAAGAAAAGCTATTATAGCTGTCAATATACTGCTCATAAATTCACCGCAGCTGAAGAAATGAGATCGCATACCTCCAGCAATACAACGTTTAGCAGCAGCAGCTAGATCCGCATCATCGAGCACAATGGCGGGTCCCTTTCCACCCAGCTCCATGAATATCGGCTTGAGGTGCTTCGCACAGACCTGGCCAACAATCCGTCCTACTGTTGCACTTCCAACAAATTCGACCTTGCGAATAGCGGGGTGCGCAATAACAGCCTCGGTCACCTCGGCAGCCTTCTCTCTGCTCGCCTGGATCACATTTACGACACCTTTGGGAAGACCCGCCTCTTCAAAGATTTTGACGAGCAAATGATGCAGCTTAGGACAATTTTCTGAGGCTTTGAACACCACGGAACATCCAGCTGCAACAGCGGTCGCAATGTTCCTCGCACCCAGAATGATGGGTGAGTTCCAGCTAAGACTCTGCGTTAGCGGCACAATATTACGGAGAGAATTAGTGATAAATACGGAGCAATGACTAAAACTGGTCCAATAGGCACTGTAAAAGCGAGCGGCAAGATACCAGATGACTCGCTCTGTGGTATCTCACCCTTCAACGAGGTAATACAGGCAGCAGTTTCTTGAATCAAGCCAATGGCCAGCTGGACATTTTTCTTGCCCCATAGCTCGGCCGCACTGGTTTCCGCAACTTGAGTAGCAATTAGCTCGTCTGCGTGACTTTGAAGTAAATCGGCGTATCTCAATAGGAGATCCCGGCGATCTTTGGCAGAAGTCTTTTTCCAAGTCTTGAAAGCCACGGCCGCAGCATCGGCTGCGGCTTCGGCGGTTTCAGCGTTGGCGGACTCGGCGAGGTACACGTCTTTTTTTGCGCGTAGCTATAGACTGGGAATCTGTCGTTTGGTGATCCGGCTGTTTCCACGCCCCCAATGAGCAAGGGGACAATGGGAAGATTTTCAGTGGGTTGAGACATGTTAAAAAGTGGATTGTTATCTCGGGTTAGGGATCTTGATTTCTAAGTGATATCGAATTCAAGTTCTTTTGAGTCAAATTATCTGTATCTTAGCTCTGTAAGTATACGTCCAGTGATTGGGGGAGAGACCGGAAAAGCCGGTAGCGTGGGGCCAAGCGACGTCTGGAAGGGCGACGTGGGACGCTGGGTTGGTGGAGCTCGCGGGGACGATGTATTGTCTTCGTGGGTCCTTGTCACGTCGTTATGGAAAGCCGGGGCCCCATGCTACGGTTCAGTGGAGACCTCGGGAGGTCTGGGGACGTAAACTATCTGATAGAGTCTAGTGTCTATCAACCAAAATGTTGACTGAATGGGAATAATATGCCTCAGATATAATCTTAAGTATAACCTCATCTCCGATCCGTATCACCACGCTGCAAACTTGAGCATTGCCCTAGTCTCTCTTCTTTTACATTTTACATTCTTCTATATCCCGAACAGGAGGTTTGAGATGGATTCCTGGACGTTTCACACCATTCGCCATGGTGACCCCGAATACGAAAAAGCACGATGCGCCGCAGTCTGGAATGGTCGAGTTCCAGATCGATACCCCGAACTGATCACTTACTATGAAAATGATACCCACGTTCAAGCAATCGTCCGTTACGCGAAGGAAAAGAAAATGAGCATCGGAACCAAGTCAGGAGGCCATTCCTGGACAGCCTCCTTTCTTCGCGATGGGGGTATCATGGTCGACCTTGCGAAAATGAACAACTTCACATTTGACGTGAAAGCCCGTACTGCAATTGCTCAACCTGCAGTGTATGGTTCGGACCTCAATGCTGCCCTTGTTCCGCACAACCTCATGTTTCCTGGTGGACATTGTCCGACTGTTGGACTGGGAGGCTTTCTGCTACAGGGAGGCTTCGGGTGGAACTCTCGCAAATGGGGTGTCGCATGCGAAAGTGTCATGGCGATAGACGTGGTCACAGCGGATGGACAGCTTATCCGTGCAAGCCCAACTGAGAACTCTGACTACTATTGGGCTAGTCGTGGTGCTGGGTGTGGATACTTTGGTCTTGTCACGCGCTTCTATCTTAAGCTATACACTCTTCCTTAGGGAATCATGACTGCACGGTATATCTTCGAAACAACCCACCTGGACGAGGTTCTTGCTGCTATCGATGCTGTCTCAGAGTCAGTTTCCCCGGATCTTGAAATCGGGCTTTTTGTCGCGCGCGATCAGGATGGTATCATGGGTCGACCGACACTTGCAATCACGGCTGATGCGCTTTCCGACACGGAAGAAGAGGCTTGGACCGCTCTCGATCTTCTACATGACCTACCCGTGATGAAGAAAGCCATCAAGTCAGCTCCATTTGTTAGTTGCACGTTGCGAGAAATGCTTAAGCGATTCGATGATATTCTCGACAACCGCGGAAGACGATACGAAGCCAATAACCTCTGGACGGATCTACCTGTCATAGATCTGCTCCCCAATTTCCACAAGATTATTGAGGCGCTTCCTTCGGCGCCCTCCCATCTCTACATGATGTGGTGGCTCCCGGTTAAACGTCGTCCGGAGATGGCGTTCTCTATGCAGGCGCGTCTATATGTCGCTCTCTATGCGATCTCTACGGATCCGGGACAGGATACTAAGAATTCCAGTTATGTGATTTCTTCTTTGGAGGAGATGGGACATCTGCGAAAAGGAATTCAACTCGCCGATGAGAACCTACCGGGTCACCCTGGAAAGTTTATGCGTACGCAGAACTATGTCAGGTTGAAAAAGTTGCGCCAAAAATACGATCCAGAAGGTCGGTTCTATAGCTATATTCGAGTACCACGCGAGTTCGAAGCTGCTGAGCTGCTCTCTCTTCACTGTGAATGAGAATCCAGTCCTATCCATATAGATACAGACAATCGAGTCTGTTGTAACTTAGTTGGTTTTGAACAGTGAAATTGGTGCCACAACAACAGTTCCTTCCAACATGCATTATATTCTGATGATTTTAGTTGGAGCCGACAACATTTACTGGCCATTCCATCAGAGCTAATAAATCTTTATCACCGACCTCAGCCACAAGGACATTAATCTTCATGATCTCAGCACCAAAATTCTTCCCGAGATACCAGAGATCATCCAGTAACACAAGCAGCAAATATAGATGGGCAAGAATGGTAAAAGACAGACCAGTGAGCACTTCCGGTCTATTATTAGAATCAAGTGAAGAGATGAAAGTTTCCTGGACAAGGTGTGGCCACGATGTAATAGCTGCGTCCTCCATTTCGATTTGGATGTCGCGATCAGATGAAATTGCTTCGATATGTTGAAGCTCAAGCACGTATATGACTCGCATATACATCTGCTCAACGACATCAATTGCTTGATTTTGTGCTGCAAATAAGTCACCAAGTTGATGAGAATCATCTGACTCAGGGCCAAGACAATCACCGACCTCAAGCATCGTTGCTTCCAGGGTATTCAAAAATTCTTTGAGACTTGAAATTGCTTGACGTGCTCCCAGCGCGAATACGGAAAGATTTTCCGATCGTGTATAACCTTGTGATGCAGTTGTGGGCACATGATCTGGACCGAGTAGCTTCCAGTCTTCGTTGGCATTGTTAAATAACAAGAGTGGTCTCAATCGACCCAATTTGAGCGTCCTCCAAGAGTGCCGCGCAATGGAGCTGGCGCCGCGCAGAAGTCGGAGCCATTCTAAACGAGGCCCACCAAAGCGATGAGAGGGGTCCGGGAAGATGCATTCCCTATAGGATTTTTGTGATACCTGTGTAGAAGGATCTAAATTCTCAATCCGCAGCGAGCCGAATGCAAAGGCGACGATCAACATTGATCCAGCAAATAACACCTCCGCGCTAGTTTCTTCAATAGCATTCAATTTCTCTTGGAGACCCTGTAGTCCCTTTTGGTGATGCTCAACTAAATGTTGAAGCCTAACAGCATCCGATGTATCAGGCATTTGATGGTCCGGTTTTTGAGTCGTCAAGATATCCAAACCAGCCAGTGCCAGAAGTAAATGCATGAGAAAAGCGTTTTTGGAAGCCAATTCAGGAATCACACGTTCCCATACCGGAATTTTGCGGGGTTGTAGAGTTAGATTCTTAGAGGTATACAAGATGTAGTGCTGTAGAAGGTTCAGGTCATGCATGTTCATATCTCTGGCGCCGAGATTGGAATCGGCTACCCGGGATTCAGGCACATTGAAATCTAGCGGATAGATGGCACCCTCGGGGATGCTTGGCGGCGCCCTCGGTTCAACTGTATCATGGCGCATTAGAGGGCGACGGGTTCGAAGCTGTCTTCGTGCCTGGTCACGTGTTTCTTGTGGGTGTGGAAAGGTGCATTCATCTCCCCTGACGGAGCAGGCACCACAGATTGGTCGTTCTTCGTCACACTGTCGCTATCAGTCCTTGTTGACGGGAGCGGTATTGTTCTCGAGGTACCTTGACACGGCGATTCTTGCACGGGAAGCAGCCATTTCTTGATTTGGTGTGGCTGATCCGATGCTTCGGACGCCTAGGCACATTCGACATTGGACAGCAAGGTTGGGCCCTTTGGATGCTTGACCTGGCGTAATCGATACTCTTACATGTGCAATAGGTGTTTTCGCATGGTATGATGCGAGGCAATGGCCAAGGAATTCGATTGCGCCCGGGGTTTGTGAAGAATGTAAGCCGAGGTGATGTGGCTGGAAAGTGCGGGTCCAGCTGGTTGAAGTTCTACCGCGGCTCTGTCTCTAATTTGTCCATGGTACTACTATCTTCGAGATACCTATTTAATGCATCAATTTTTTTTCGAATATTCCTTGTCACTGTGTCCTTTCTGTATAGGAGCGGAGGGAGACAATACTTTATCTTGTAGCTGATAAGGTTCGATCGTAGCCAGCTATTGTCAGTTCTCACTTAGTTACTATGAAGATATATCACTTCCAAAAGGTATTTATACGGTCTATTGATAAGCAGACATTTAGCTCGCCATGCTCAAAAAGAATGCTAGAACAGGTAGAGATAAACGAGGAAAATCTATCCCAGAGTCGTTCAAAATCCGGGATTCTAGGGCAAGGGTCCCCTGTGTACAGATCCTTCCTCCGTCGCCACAAGTTGAAGCTCGCTATCTCTCTTCCTACCCTGGGCTATGAAGCAACCTGGATAAACAATGATCAACACTATGCCAGTTAACGACATGAGACACGCGTCAAAAATATACAAGAGATACTCTCTTCGCATAATGAATCCATTGTTCCCTTCAACAAACTCGACGACTCGAAATACCGATCGCACTAGAATGAGAAGACATGCGATATAAAGCACCCACATCACAGCCTCCCATGTCATACGTGTTTCGGGGCCATTCGACTGTGCGCTTGAGACATGGATGTACCGTGGCTGCTTCCTGAGACGCCAGTGGAACACGGCGGAGACGATAACGAAGAATCCAAAGAAGAGCAGCTGAACCACTAGGCCCCCAACGACAATGTTGGCTCCAGTGTTCATAGCGGAGGTTGATCCAGCTGCCATATAGCCACCACCTGTTGACAGTCAATACCTCGATCAATGGATACAGCAAAGACCAAGCGCCTGGGATGTCATACCTCCACATTGCAAAAGAAAAGATATTACATCGCCGATAACAAATATTTTCGTAAGAAAGCGAACGGGAACGATAGATTGGTCTTCGGCGCCGAGGTTGACCACAATCCGACCGAGTGTCATGTATATAGAAGCAGCGAAAAGTGGGGGAGCGACCAGAATGAGCATGGTTTGAACGATGTATGGCCCAAGCGCCATTGTATCAAAGTGAGAGAAGATGCGAGCAATATAACCGGCGCATTCAACTGTTCCCGTGTTAGTTATTTGAAGGTGAATCGGAAGCTTGGATCTCACATAACAAGCCCACAATGAAGGGGATGAAGAAGTAGGTGCGATTTTGAATCAGTCGAACCAAGTGAAGGATAGAAAGAATAAGGAAAATTCCAGCAAATATTGCGGCTGCTGGGATGGATGGTGTATACCGATAAAGAGCGAAATCGATTCCGCCATCACTACTGGTGGAAGACATGGTAGACGACTTGGAGAAGTGAAAAGAGGGACAATTAGATATTGAATTTGAGATTATTGCAGCGAGTGGTCTTATATTTCATTAGTGTCCACACTTTCATCCGCGGTGAAAATTGAATATATACGAGAATGCGAGAATCCCAGAGTGCGAGAATACGAGAATGCGAGAATGCGAGTGCTAAGAACAACCTTATTTGCCGCAGTGGGGCCGATGCAGGGCAGATGCACCATGGATCTCCAAAAATATCTTCTACCTTGAACAATCCACTTCATGCCATTACAGAGCCTCCAAACGTGGAAAAAGCCTTTTTCAGCAAACCCTAGATTCAAGTCGGATGTTGGAAAATCTAAGTGGATACACACGGCGCATTTCTAGGGGGCCTGCTCAGCCACTCTGAAAATGTACTCTACGTCACGCCTGCAAACCTTACAACGGGGCAGACTCACATTTTTAAGCTATTTCGCTATCATACTGTCCTTTTTAGCTCACCAAAGTGCTATACGCAGTGACATCGAACTGCATGGCCACACAGATGCCGTCATTTGGATTAGCTTCAGCGCGGACGGTCTATTAGTCGCGTCTATAAAATAAGGGAAACGTCAGGTAGCGTTATATAAGCAAAAATAGCAGAAAATTCCGGTAAAATTGAAGGATAAATAAAGAACTTAAAGAGCACGTAAGGACGCTGTTATCTAATAGAATGTTATAATGTTGCCTGTTGTTTTTCTTAATCCGATTTCTTGGTGCTCACAGAAAATGGACAAAAAGCAGCGACCCCCTGATGATTTTGGGAAAAGTAGCTGGGAACCTAGAGTCCAGCTTCCTTGTCTGTTCCTTCTGGCTCTTGTCGGCCAGCTGCAACTGTAGTGTTTCCTGATAGCTGATTTTGGAATCTGGAAAGAATGTTTCCATAAACCACATGAAAGTGCCAACCAAGAACACAATGATTCGTGCAAAAATTGGATTGGTTGGCTGAATCCGATGCACTTTCAGTGTTTGCGGAAGACTGAGAGTGATCGGAATAGACCGTCCTAGTGATCGAAGTGCAGAAGGGAAGAAGCGATCGGCGAACTGATCAAATAGTGCCTCTGCAATCATATGACCTTTTTCGGTTGTTGCCATGTGTTTGTTTTCAAAGCCTTCATAGTATTTGTACATGCCATCCCAACCTCGTGGAAAGTCTTCATGGGCTGAGAGGGGCTTCCACTCTTCAAGGGGCCTGTGTGGAACCTCGACTAAGAAGAGGTGAGCCATCTCTTTCCAGAAGATATGGGCTGCAAACATTTGCTTTTCGGTAAAGCCAGGAAGTGCAGTCTTAAACGAAGACGGTATACTGAGATTGCCGTGAAGCAGAGAACGTATGTGAAATCGGACGTATGCGAGAAATTACCGGGATATTTCTTAGCGTAGTATGCATGTCGCTTGTTGATCGTATCCACGGATTTCCGGGTTTCTGGATGGTGCGGTCCATGATACCACCAGACAGAATTATGGTATTGCGTCTCGTAGACGCGATCTGTCGCATGGTGAAGTACTTTTCCTCCATCATTACGCCATACTGCCTCGGATCCCCACTCCGAAGCAATGAAATGCGAGAACGTAGTGGCATAAATGAGATTTTGGATGAAATCACCACCCCCAGTGTATTCAATAGACAGTCTCCAGATTTTCACGTAGTCTTTGTATGGAGCGGACGACTCAATTGTCTTTTTCACCCACTTATAAGGCTTCTTTTCAGCCTCGGTTTCAAAAGCCATTGTAAGTATAAAGTACAAGTCTCAGTAGGATATAAGGTGAGATGAGGTATGATGAGGGATCGAGGGTATTCGGAAGAAAGTGGAAAAGTAGAGATGAAGGCTTAAATGCCACAAGATGATCTGCTTGGCTTTCAGGTTTATATGGCTACCAGGCTGGGTGATTAACCAGTTTAATGAGAGGGTTTGACTAAGCGGAATATCTAAGCCGTCGCCGATCAAGGCATTTCGATGGACATGTGGCCTGGGGCTGGCTACGAGTCTCTAAGCGGAAGCGGGCAGACAATCCTTATGGTGACGAGGTTATGCATACTTTCCTGGAAAAGGACGCACAGCCACTGAAGCCTGGTGAGAAGGTGGAAATGGATTTCAATATTCAACAGGCTGCTACCCTGTTTCGTCAGGGCGAGACTATTCGGGTTGTTGTCCAAGGTAGAGACTTCAATGATTATAGCCCCAATTGCGAAGTGCCACGGGCTGGGACTGGTTGCAATGTTGGTCAACATACCGTCTTCATGGAAGGTACTTTTTGTTGAATTGCCAATCGTCCCATTTAAATACAGCTGATTGCTATATCTATGAATGAAATGTGGAGAATTGCTTGAGAACAGTTCCCAGGGGCTCTATCTTATCAGCTTGCGGGGTTCAACGTGTAGCCATGAATGTCGGTTCCAATGACCGACCGCGTTCCGGAATAAATTACACACATCCTTCCTTTAGCGATTGTCTAGCAAAAGCGCATCATTGACAGTTTTTACATCATGAAGCTGTATGTGCAAAATGTACATAATATACCGCTTACGTGTGGGGCAACGAGCATGACTCAACTTGGGATACCCCGCGGCTACACCTACCGAATGGTCGGATGCCCATACCGACGCTGAAGACATCTATCTCCGATATCGCGACTCACAATTCTAATCGCATTCCTGTTTCAATTGCTATAACTCACATTAAACTTCACGTACATACGCTCGTACATTCACGTATACGCAAAGACAACATCCTTCACCATGGCAGCAGAAAAGACACTCGCATTCATTGGATGCGGTAGGTGACACTCTATCCCAATCGCAGACCAGGATCGACCGACTGACAAAAACCAGGAAACATGGGAGGCGCAATTCTCAATGGAGTTCTCGACGCTGCATTCAAATCTTCCGGCTCGGAGCAACAATCGCGACCAATTTCGAAATTCATAGCGTGCACCAAGAGTGCAGGATCTGCCGAACGTATTCAAGCAGCCCTTCCAGAAGAATTTAAATCTTACGTGAAAGTGGTCTCATCGAAAATTGTTGAGAGCATGCAAGAAGGCAACGTCGTTGTTCTTGGATTCAAGCCATTCATGGCTGATGACGTTCTCAGTATGAAGGGCGTAAAGGAGGCACTTGTTGGCAAGCTTGTGATCAGCCTATTAGCCGGACAGACACCGCAAAACCTCGCTCAAATTATTGAGAATTCAGATTCCAGATCAATGACGCCTCCGGTGGTGGTTCAGGTCATTCCGAATATGGGTGCAGAGTTCCGCCAGTCAATGACCATTATTCGAACACCTGAGACTCCACTCCTAACTGAGATGAAAGATACAGTGGAATGGATCTTCAACCAGGTTGGCTGGATTAAGTACCTCCCTGAAAACCAAATGGACGTGGGCTCTGTGCTTGTAGGCGCAGCTTTGGCGACCCTGACGGTGCCGATCGAAGGAATTCTGGATGGCTGCGTGGCTGAAGGTATTAAGCGTCCTGATGCGATGGAAATGGTCTTGCGGGGTATTCGGGGATTATCAGCTGCACTAGAGGCAGGCATACACCCTGCTGTTCTGCGCGAAAGTATTTCCTCTCCACGGGGATGTACGATTCAAGCACTTCTGTCGCTTGAGAGGGCCGGGAGCAGGGCTGACTACGCCGACGCAATTATCAAGGGAACTCAACATTTGAAGAAATGAGTTAAAGTGTAAAGGTTCATGCAGATAGTTAAAAGTTAAGATATTTGAGAGACTAAAATGGACCAAGGAGAATACAACCAGTGTATAGAGATGACGATGCGCCCCCAGGGCGGTTTAAATGACATCAAGATTCCGAGGTTTTCACGCGAAATAAATCCAAATAATGTTTGGTTGAGCCTATCCCCATATGTCACCGTCATCCTTGACCAAATCATCCTCATTCAAGGCTTGAAGGTTGGTTCCTCGCTCTTCGCGCTTCCGTTGACGTCTAGTCACGGTTCTTCCTGGCGTGAACGGGGTTACGGGAGTAAAAGGCATGTAAGGGCTGTAAGGGGTGGGCATGCCAGTGATGGGCCCGTTCTTTTTGGCGGGCCGTTCTAAGAAGGTCGTCTTCGTTGCTGGCGCACTCTGTTGGGGATAGGCCTGGCGGAATGGCAACGACGATGATGACGACGGAGAATGTGCAGAAGTAGCCAGACTCAGTGGAGCAGGAGCACGCGCACGGGTGGTCGGAGGGGCCATGACCGGTCCGATTGCTGGTGCTGCCCGGGGGGCAATTGGAGGGGGTCCTGGGGTATAGAATCGTGGAGACATCGGGGGATGTTCTTGGCCATAGGACTGACTCGCTTGGGCATTTGGCGAGGGCAAAGGAGATGAAATCCCCAACTTTCGGATGGGAAACTTTGGAGACTTCAGCTTTCCCGCATCGAGATCGGAAGAGGTGGCTGATTTCGAGCTGAATAACTTGGACAGTCGATTGGAATATTTGGGGGATTTTGGTGGTACCGGTGGTGCTGAAACAGAAACTTGTGAAGCTGCACGATCGGTAAAGGGATTGCTGTACTGGCTGTCTGGAGATGGAGCCAGCGAATCCGAATCCCTCAAAGAAGCCACATTGATGCCAGCTGCCTTCTGCGCATCGTGTTCCATGACCGCTGCGTATAATCTTTCCATCTCATCCTCGGCCCTCTGCCGATCGGACGCAACAACAGACTCATCCACAGTGACCATACTGCCGTTGATTGACGGTTGTGAAGGTCGGCCTGCTCTAGGAATGCTGCCCCAAGAAGTAAAGGCACTTGACCTGGTCGGACTAGGAAGGTTCTGTGTGACTGGAGTAATAGGACTTGGATCGATGCTGACTGGAGGCCTCACTGGCTTCAGCATCTCCATCTGCAACGAATACTGGGATGACTGAACGGTCCGACGCAGTCGCCGCCCAACGAACAAGACCAAGGCTAGAAGAAAAGCAACAAATACCACGTAGGATGCAACGATGCTCCCAATCTGAATGGCTAGTAGAGGTTTATCGAGAGCAGGACGGGCTTCCGCACTTCTTGGGATCTGGAGATGTGCTTCTACCGCGGCCACTGGACTAATATGCACAACCACGAGAAAAACCAGAAAAGGGGAGAACGAGGAAACCGGAGGAGTCATCGCCAGTTCCTGTGACGGGGAAGTGCAGCGGGGAAAAGAAAAAGGGCACAATTTTAAGTGCCGGTGCAGTCAGATCGACATGTCGCCGCGTGGGAATGGCGAATCTGAAGTGAGCGAGGATCACATCGTGAGGAAGTGATGGGGCGGCAGGAGAGGGGCATGAAACTTTGTGAGCCATCGGGTGTGACGAGGTGAAGAGCAGTTTCGGGCCTGCAGGTGAAACTGCAATGAGATACAACCTGTCGTTGGTCGTCAATACGCGCTGTCATGCGTGATTGTCACTCGGTGGGGACCAATCAGCGGTCATAGATGAGTGTGATTGGAAGTGATCAAGTGTGGATCAGCAGTCTCCACTACGGTCTTGGCACCATTCAGCGGGAGTATACTTCCATAAGTTGTATACAGACTCTAGGATCCACGCTTGTCAACAAGATAACTAATGGCAGCTTCACGTTTACATCAACATAGAAAGGCTGCTCCTTCCTCTTGTACAGTCCTTGCGCTGCGTTCCTTCCAATGTTCCTCACACCATCAAATCTCAACATGGCTCTCCTCTCTTGCGTTAATTTCATACGCCTCCACATATTCTCATCATTCAAATCTACTTCATTCAAATGGGCCATAACATATCATCAATCAATGGTGTCAAGTCCGACAACTTCTATGAGCAGGGCAATGGGATCAATGAAATCTGGGTGGACGACCTCGAAGTGATCTCACGATTGCCGTTCGGCGATTCAGACCTGGGTCAAGCCGGTTGGCCTGCAGGCAACTGGCCGAAAATCCCGTGGCATCAGTTCATAATTCCACTCAAACGTGATCTCAACTCCACCAGCAACGTCAAAAGGGTCAACGTTTCCAACAACACCCTTACGATGACAGAAACCGTTGCTTGCTGCCCATGTCTTAAAACCTATCCGGAGATCGGGTACTTCGGGATTTACAAGAACTGGAACCCATCCGCTGCTGTAAATTTTGGGAATGCTATGATGGCTTTTGGCTTCGTTGTGCTAGGATCTCTCCTCTTTTTGCTCCAATGGAATGAGGTTCTCATGGACTTGCATGGATTTATGCCGGATAACGCTGCCGTCAGTGCAGCAATCAGCAAGCCTCCCATCCGCGCTCAAAGTTGGCATTCCCTGAAGCCGTGGCTTTGGCGGCGTTGCTTGTGCAGACTCTTCATGCTTGTGCTTGGCACCGTTCTTGTGCTGTGTGGACTTCCAGGCAGTATGCTAGCCGTGAAAGATCAATCAGGTCCCGAAGTTCACTTCGAAAATCATAAGTGGGCTGTCATCACGATCACGACATATATCAGCTTTCAGCTTCTCATGAACATGCTTCTATTTCGCTTATGGGGCTCAAAAGTGAGGAAGGATACGGATATTTCGCGGAATCTTGAGCAGAATCAGAATTCTGCTTTCCCTATGAGAAATCTAACTTCGGACAACCCCAGGGTGACTTTTATTCAAATCAGAGAGATTGAGGAGCCCACAGCTGGAGATGCTTGAAAACAACCCTACATAATGAGGACTTTATTGTCTGACGCGTCGAGTCCTTTTTGTGGTAATACTGTCTGACTTTTCTGTTGTTGAGGAGGATAGGGCCTGGCTGTGGCGATATCTCCTAATGCTCCTCGGTGATACCCATATTCGAAAGAGGCACAGAACATGTACACTATTCTTATTTCTTTCCAGTCAATGGAGCTTCTGTTGCTATATTACACTTCGGTTTTCGTGGCCGAGACATATCCTTCCTAGGTATATTTGTATAATGCCACATCTAATCACTTTTCCTCTTTAGAAAAGAGATCCCGCCACATTTCCTTCCAGCCGTAAGCTTTATTTTTGTCTTCTTCATACACGCGCACCGAAGGCCCAGGGCCAAGCGACCCGAATGCGCTGACTGAGGCCCTAACGGGCGAGCTTGGCGCACGAGCTCGCTCTGTTGCTCGTCGTCTAATCTCTTCGGCCAGTTGAGGTGCGACATCCGCAAAACAAGATTTCAACTCGCGGTCGAGATTTGTATACGGCTTTTGAGCAGAGCGAGGAGCTTGAAGATTGTAGGAGCGTGTGATATTGTTCAGCTGTTTGACAGCGAGCTCATGGTAAGATCTTTCGTTGTCCATGTATTGTGGGTCTCGCAACGGAGGCACATGAGGAAGTTCCTCTTTCTTGTTGCTCGGTTTAGATTCAGCATCAACCTTCGAAACAATGCGGCCATCGTTTGTTATTTCCGATACCACAGTCTCATCTGAGCTTGTGGCACTGCTGTCTTGAAGTGCGGCTTCCAGCTTCGCCTTTTCTGATAAACGCACCTCGGCAGCAGCGTAAGCTCTTGCTCGCTGCATCTGGGCTTCCAAGGACCCGCCCTGGCTAGCAATGAGTCTGGAGGCGTGTCTCCTCCACTCGGTCCGTAGACGCTGCCGGAAGCGGCTTATTTCCATAGCAAGTTCCTGCTGCTTTTCGATCCACGGTGGAACAATTTCTTGCTTCTGAATAATCTTGTTCATGAAATATTCCGTGGTGTCGATGAAAGCACTATTAGCATTATGATCCGTCTCGGTATTGACGCCTTTCCCACGACGGATCTTTTCAAACTGCCCTCGCCGTATTGCATCTTCTATCCGTTCGTTCGCCAGTGAAGAAAGGCCCTGGACAGATATGGGCATGGACATCGCGCCGGGCATTAAATTTTCGCGCATCTCATTGCGGATGCCTTCGCGTTCTTCTTCTGTTAAGCCGGGGCCTTTACTCAATGCATAGTTGGACGTCCGTTCCTTCGCCCTGGCGATACGGACCCCGGGAGAGAGCTTCGGCTTCGGGGCAGGCTGAAGATTGATCGGTCGGGGGATTTGGTAGGGGGTTCGTATCGGTTTGCTGGCGTCATCCAGCATTCTAAGTGCTGAGTCTTCTAAACTTTCAATTCCTGTCCATGCAGGCGCTGCTGCAGTCTCTCGTGTGCCTTGGCCTGCGCTAGCCTAGAATGCAAATTAGTCGCCGCATACTTAGCGGTGGGTCAAGTTGTGGCCATACGGGCATGTCAAGGATGGAGTGGGCAATGGGATTTTCGCTTCTGAAAGATGCCGCCTTCACTCGCTCTTCCAATTGTTGCTTTAGGTCCTCTGAGAATCCCGCCTGCTCAATGTTGCGGCGTGCTGAGCTCCCGCCTTCGAGCAGAGCATCCTCTGCCATCTGGGACAAGCGACGTGCCATAGCACCCTCCTCCTTGTCTTCATCTTTATCCCCTGTATCATCGTGGCTTTTCGTTTTCGTTGAGGCAGAAGAGGTGGTGTGTCTACATAGCTGCGCCGGAAACCGTTTGGATGCGGGAGTTACCGTGATTCGCGATGCACATAGCGTCGATCCGAGTTGGGATCTCAAGATATGCTTTCCGGGCATAGCCATCAATAGCGAATAAAGGACCAAATACCTGTACAAATACAGCACAGAAAGACAAGATATTCAATCCAAGTTCGTAAGAAGTGGCAACCCCATCTTCCAAGTTGACGGCGGATCTGCTTATGTCATCAACTTCCGCGGAGTCGAAACTTCCTGTGATTTTGTTGCTGCTCCGTCGCCGGTGTCAGCTTCCCGATCGTTGTCCACGAACCACCTCGCGGCATCTCAATACCTCTCAGCGCGAGCGTCCTCGTCCCATCCTTCATCATGGCTCCCAAGAATGTCACCACCCGCCTTAACCCGCTCCGTTTGAACACCATCAACCACCTCCGTGTTCGCCGGCCGAACCAGAACGAGCAGAACACTTGCGTGACTGTTATGTCCTCGATGTTGAGTATGTTTCATCGCCTACCATTTGAATCGAGCCATTTTTCCCATATCGAATATCGCGCCTCTCCCACAGCCCGTTGCCAATGCGATCGCATATCCCCACAACTTGAATGAACCCGACTGCTAACAACCCCCTCTCATAGACTGCTGGGCTTCGCACGGATACGGCTCCGATGGATGCGCGGCCCTCGAGGCTCAATTGCGCAAGTGCATGGACCAACCGGTACGATCCTTTTACCAGCCCTCCCGATTTCAAATTCTAGATGCAGATCCGTATCCACAGAGCACACTTACTGACCCTATATTTCAAATCCAGAAACCACAAGAGAAGAAGAAGAACACCGTCAACTACCACCTGATGAGAATGTACCCCAAGGTCGTCGGACCCCGCAAGAAGGACGGTGTGCTGGGCTAAATTGCCGCGACAACCGTTCAATGGAGTTTTTGGGATGTTTTTGCGATGAATCCTGCAAGGGCGAAGACTTTGATGTGCACTTCATACGTGTATTTCTGGACTTGGACTCCTTGGATATTGCATGGGAGTTGGTTCGTTTTTTAATCGCACATTTGTATAGTATATAACTACGTCGAGTATGGCATAGCTTTTGAAAATTGATTGTATCATTACTATAGATGTCCTACGTCGATCTATGGGTTTCTACTGAGTCAAACAGCATGGAACTTGAGAATTAGCTTCTCCGCCTTGGGGTGCACGGTATAGGCATCTATGGCTTCGATGTCGGTATCATCAACGATCGTGGTGCGGAAATTGGAGTAGATGGCAGCTGCCACCAATTTCGTTTCTAATATTCTCGTTAGCTTCATTTTATGGATTATCACAGGGTATGCGATATGTTACCTTGCAAGGCGAGATTGCTGCCCACGCACATCCGTCCACCACTTCCAAATGCCCAGAACCAGCGGCGCCTTTCTTCGAGCTCGGCGACCGAGTTCTCTTCCTTCAGCCACCGTTTCGGCTCCCATGATTCTGGGTTGGGAAAGACCTCCGGATTGCGATGTAATGAGTACGCTTGTGCATTGACCCGCGTGTTCGCTGGGATATTATCATACCCCGCCAACGTGCAAGACGGCGCGGGCGTCACTCGCGGCTGGATGCCCGGGATCGGGGCATGAAGACGCAGTGTCTCAGTAACAATAGCTTCCAGAAGAGGCAGGGAGTCAATTGATTTCGCCGAGGGCAACTCGTTGGACTTAGGGAATGAGATTGGTGGGTCGAGAGTCATCAGTTCTTCACGCAGCTTCTCTTGAATCTCCGGGTGCCTTGACATTTGCCAGAACAAATATGTCAAACCCACGGCGCTAGTTTCAAAGCCGGCTGTAAGTTGATCGTACATCTCACAGGCAATCTCATTCCGCTGCTCGACAGGATCTGGTTTGGAAAAACCTGCTTTCAACGCCTGCTTATCGAGACCCTGTTTCAGCTGCTTATATACAATAGGTTCAAACGCTGGATCTGTTGAGTCGATTGAGTCACCAGCTTTGGCGCAGAGATCCAGAGCCCAGGCGTCGAGCCTTGCGTTGGCGGAGTCGCAGTATTTCGGGATAATCCGTAGGCCAATACACTTCATCCACGGAGCCAAATTGGGAGCTTCTTGGTGGTAGAACTCGAATGGCTTGCGGCATAGATACAGGTGTAGCCACTGCTTGCGGAATGCGTGGTCTTGTAAATGGTTTGTCCCGTTCCGTAGACCGAAGAGGTATCCCGAGACAAAGTCGAGAGTAAGTCCCATGTTCAGATCATGAACATCCATGGTTTCATCAGCATCCACTGACTCCTGGATGATTGGCAGGAGACGATCAAAGATTACGGCATCGGAGACTATGCTTAGATGAGGAGATGATTGCAGCGTAGACTTGGAGTAGATGTTGGACATCATCCTCTTCCGAGTGGAGTGGGTCTTGGTGCCGACCATTGTGAACATGCTCACGGTGCTGAGTTCCAGTGTTATTTCTTATCATCTCTTCAGTGGTATTGAAGTAAACTCACTCAAGTGATCCAAAGACACGAGGATACCACTCATGCTTCTCATATCCACCAGTATACACAGACTTGATACCTCCATCAACGCAGTTAACAGAAATCTCCGACGGTCCAAGCCGGACAATCGGACCAAGTCTTTCGTGTGCAGCTTGGATAGTCCGGTTATTTCGCATTCGAAAGCGTTTCCAAAGCATCCATACTGGCGAAATGGGTACACTCCAATGCGCATTGGGGATCTTGGCAAGTGGCGAAACAAAGGCCGGGTAGATAATTCCTTTATATAGCACGACGCCCACGATAAAGCCGGCCACCAGAGACGTGAGTGATATCGCCATTATGATAGTCCTCAAAGCACCCAGTGTAAGACAAGTGGTATAGGTTTCACCCCGCGCTCGTGCGATCTTGTGGTTCTTTTCGGTGGGAACCCACGGGCACTTATCTCTTTCCGCGGGATCCTCGGTTTAGGTAATTGAATCCTACACCCCGCGCGTGGATAGTCACTGCCGGATAAGGGATGAGGTAAAAGATACTTTGCCGATGGAGTGGGACTGTGGCTTTTGCAGTAGGATTGGATGTCCAACCAGATTGTGGATATTACTTTCTCTCCCCACAGGAGGCAGATAAATGTGCGATAAGGACTAAGAAACCCATGACATAACAGGCGATTAGATCTCTTGGATATGAGCTTCTACTTCCGAAAGCATATTCAATTGCATCGTCTTTCTGGATTATATGCGAAGTTTACCTGGCCTTGGACATTCAAGTCGCGTGGATATATTCAAATTGGCTCAATATACATTGAAGGGCAAATTTTGAGTATAAGGAGAGGCCAAAGGATAGGCATAGACAAAATACAATAAAAAAAATTCACTACCCCGCTGAGAATCTCAAGCTTCATAACACTGACCAGCAGGGTCGCTTCTGGCGATAAAGCAAGTAAGTTCACTAGCAGAACGCCTGGGCACTACTATCACATCACCAACGCATCAAAACTTAGTTGAGAAGCTTGGTTAGGACGCCTGGGGCATCGGATGCATCATCGGGGTAGACATAGAAAGCAAGGGCGAGAATTATGTACCTGAGAAACCAATTTAGTTGAAGGGAAAATTTTGGGGGAATTGATGGAATGTACGTACATTCCCAGGCACATGCCACCCTCGAGGTAGTTCGACTTGCCGTCCTGGATCAGCAAAGTAACTACCAGGCCGGAAATGAAGAAAGCGACAGTCTCAAAGGTCTGGAAGTGGAGGGTCATCTCGACGCCCATGATCCAGCCGAGGATGACCAGGAAGGGGGTGACAAAGAGGGCGATCTGCAAACTGCTGCCGATGGCAACTCCAATAGCGAGGTCCATCTTATCCTTGTATGCAACCACAACGGCGGTGACGTGCTCTGCAGCATTACCGACGATCGGGATCAGCACCAGACCAATGAACGTCTTGCTAATGCCGGTCTTCTGCACGATGCTGTCAATACTGCCAACCAAGTAGTCTGCACAGATCGCAACGAGAATTGTAACAACAACAAGAACAATGGACGCAGCCCAAGGGCTGAGAAGACGCTCCTCTTCCTCCTCTCCCTCGGCGCCCGCAGTGTTCTCGGTGTCACTTTCGTTGGTCTCTTCGAACAGGTGGGCGTGGGATCGCAGCTGGAAGTAAAGATACATCACGTAGATGATCAGAAGAATGATCGCAGTGCCGTGCGACAGAATGAGAATGTTGTCTTGGGCGTTTTGCGAGGACTGCGACAGCGCGGCATACAGAGTGGCCGGGATGATCAGCGAGGCGGATGCGACGGCCATCAGAGATGACATAGTGGAGGCCACGGTGGTGTTGAAGGATTGCTCGGAGAAACGGAGGCCGCCAACAAAGAAACAGCATCCTAAGACGAGCAGGATATTGGACAGAATACTTCCCAGCATACTAGCTTGCACCACCCGAATCTGCTTTTCCTTGAGGGCGATGATGCTGACCTATTCAACCAATTGAAGACATCCCATTAGCTTTGTAAATAAAACAACTAAAAGCAAGCAATGGCTCTTACAATCAACTCGACGGCGTTGCCAAAGGTGGCGTTCATCAGACCACCAAGGGCCTGGCCCATGGTGGCTGCCAGCTCCTCTGTGGCAAAGCTCAGGAGGGAAGCAAGAGGAATAATAGCAAAGAAATTGAGGACAAAGATGGCCGTAGAGTCCCATTTGAGACCGCCGGCGATAATACCAAGTGGCACAAAGATGAGAAGGACATTGACGTAGTCACGGACCAGGGTCAACCAGGTCAGACGCACTACATGCAACGGCCAGCGCACCCAGGCACGATTGTCCTTGGGATGATGGTGGTGGTTACCATGGTCCTCATGCTCGTGAGCAGACAAGCCAGAGAGGGACCGATGACCAAGAAGCGAGGTCTGCTCGCCGGGCTCTACAGACCCATTACCGGAGCTCATTCTTCTTCCAGGACCGAAGCTATGGCTTCGAAACTCCTTGCGAAAATGAACGGAAGCTGAAGTGGTCAGTATGAGATGAACAGGGCAGGATGGTCGAAGCCGGGAATGAGCGGAAGAACAGAAGGCACCATCACGTACACATGTTGGGACGATACAGCCAAGCTTTAGGAAAGTGAAAACGCGAGATTGGCGGGGTCTTCCAGCCACAGGATCCGTGGTTCACACGACGTAATCGGTTAATTAGCGGAGAGGATCCGTAGTGTGAATGGCGCGAAAATGAAAATCAAGGGATCCGTGACAAGCACAGCCTCGATGGTTTTCTTTGCTGCAACAGCACACGACCTTGGCACGGAGCTTGGACGCTGATCTCACATCCGCATTCTCCACATTTCATTTGCTCCACTGCGTCATGATTCGCTCCGATCCAGGGCCAAGACGTGCACTGCCACACCAATTACCCAAGAGCAATGCGACAGCAACACTGCAATTGCCGATTGTGTGGAGACATGATCATAGCTCTGTACTCCTCCATTTTAATTTGCAGTTCATCGAGCTACATGTATCCTACACTTACTGTGAAGATGGATAAGTGGAGCATTTCCGCCATATAATGGATTCACCTACTGAGTACAGTACTGTACAGGGTAACAAGCTATAAGAGTACGAGTGGAAATACGTGGCGCACTTATATTGCCACGATCCTGAGGCGGGGTTTTAACCTATGCAGAACTGTAAATGACGCACAAAGTCTATCACTAAATTCAAATTACGCCATCGGGAAATACATTCGTTGTCAATTTAGCTTACCACAACAGTCTATAATATCAAGATAGGCCCCGTGGAAGTACTAATGGACGGCTAATCGCATCCACGATTGAAGACTCAACTGGATATTCCAGTTTGTTGTGCCCCAAATTTCTCCGACAAATCCATCAATCCCATACTTTTCAACATAAACTGTTCCTAATAAAAAAGTAAGCCGGTCCCGTTCTGGAAAACCAGGAGCTTGGAAGTTCCGTACCCATTGCGTGGCCACCTCCGGGTTCCAAGACGCTTTCTTGGCATCTTCTGCATGGCTGCCCACCCATACTTTGCCGGTTGACCCAATTTCAATGTGACCAACGACCTGATTCGCGTATTCCATCACCGGCATTCGAGCGTAAGCGCTATTGCCACGTGACTCCTCAATGGTGGCTTCAATGGGCTTATAGAGCGATGATGGTGGCAGTGCACTATCACCGAAGGCCTGGGAATCGGAGGCGACACCCCCAGTCACGACTGAAAGGACCTTTACTTGGAATGGATGTAGCTCAAGACGAAGAACCTCCGAGAGATGCTCTAATGATCGCTTAGACGCCCCATACACCCCTAGTTTAACCGTCGTCAGTGATACATCGATGAAATTGGACCATTTGGCCCTTACCTGAGTACGGCACAGCATTATGTCCAGCAATCGAGGTGATATTAACCAGCATGCCCCGGTCTCTGATCAAAAGTGGTGCAAATGCTTTTGTAAGAGCAAGCGGACCCCACACATTTGTGTCGAAGGTCTTCTTTGCCGCTTCAATATCGTCATCTAGCAAAGGCATTTGATGAAAGCTGCCTGCGTTATTGATCAGCACTGACAGTGTGCCTCCAGTTGTTTCTGTAACAGCGTTCACAGCAGCATGAACATCCTCGGGGTTGAGAACATCTAATTGCAGCAGATTGAGACTGAAAACCCCTTTGAGATCTGACATTTTCTCGGTGTTTCGGGCTGTCGCAAATACTTGGTAACCTTTTTGCTGGAAGGCGACGGCGAGACCCGAGCCAATGCCGCCATTACTGCAGCCGGTGATGAGAACCGAGCCTTTGCTTCTCATTTTTGTCGATGACCGTCTAGGTGCGGAATGGAGGAAAATTCATACAATAGGTAAAATGAAATCTAATGATGTTTTATTTTTAACAGAAACAAAGCTCTTTATGTCCTTGCCTGCCTAAGTAAATATGGGGGGCACTTGCAACTTTCGGTGCCGAGCTCGTAGAATCTCGGCGCCGAAGGGAGCTGAATGATGACATCGATTCTAGCTTTGACTATCAGCTGAGTTAACAAGGTATCCCCTTGCAACAATTACTGTTTTGCCAAAACCTTGCGTCTTTGCTTAAGCATGTAGGAGTACATCATCACCGAACCTATCGCGAATCAGACATTGCTTGCACGTTCCAAGGAAGAGAGGAGACTAACCAGGCACGTAAAGGCCCAAGAAGAAATAGAAAATGCCCAACACAGCCCAATTGATTGCGACGGTAGTTGCTTTATACATCAACCACCATTCGCTACTGATTCCGATGGGATACAGAATCAAAAAGAGCGAGTATCTAAGCCAGCTCTACGTTAGCACCTCAGAGTGAAACATAAATAAAGTTTCACAAAATAGGTAACCCACCTAGACCATTTTAAAAGCCCCGGAACTGAACACCCAGCTTGCATAATTGCAAAATACAGATAGCGGATTGTGTCTGCCGAAGACCAAGCCAAGAGCATGGCTGCGTACGCCACCGAGGGAGCGGCCACGTCAGGGAATGCATAATTAATAGCCCACACCTGCACGGAACGAGCGAATATCTGTGTGAATGTGGTAAAAACGGGTGAGCGAGTGATATCTGCCATATTGTGTTAGTATTCGCGCGACCGAGGTTAGAATGCTAAGGTAAAGGGGTAGGTACTGAGTGCGGCGTGGAGAATCTCAACGGCAGCAATGGTTTGAGTATATCTCGTCAAAGGTTCCGCAGATTTGTACACTGCTGTGATATCGGGTGACTGGATCCAAGCAGTCACCGTCTTGACCAAGATGGACAGCCATAGAGCGGCACAGGTGGCATTGTACAGCAGAAGATAGGTCCGGCTTATCGAGGATTGAGGCGGAGGTGGGTCTTTGGGTGCCATTTTGGGTTTTGATGATCACAGAGGCTCTGCCTACGTGCAAAAAGCAAAATTGAAAGAATTGATGTTTTGACGTGCCGGGGGTTTGACATGTGAAGATGCTCAGCAAATTTGACATCTTCAGGTTAACCCAATTGGGAAATCTTGGACCCACAGTTCAAGTGCTACGTGATAATGTTTTCTTTGAAGCACAGCGTGCAAGACGTAGAGTAGAGTGGATTCGAATAGACCTATATCTAATACAATATAGCTAAGCTAATAACATGTCATTCTAAGAAATCTTCGAATAATGAAACATCGCTAACCTCCAATGCTACGCAAGACTGCTCAAACGACGACAGTCTCTATCTTCTTTCCCCTGACACTGCGCCATTCAACTCCCAATGCACCCACAATGCTCACACAGCCGATGATCAGTGCTAGCTGAAAGACATGCACTAAAGCGTTGTTGTAGGCTTCAAGCACTCTCGGCAATTGATCTGAAGTCACAATTCCCCGTAAGCCAGTCGCACCCGCATGCACTATCGCCGACGGATCAAGTCCTGACATATTGAGTGCAGTCAGATTTTTTACCAGCTTCGTAGTGAAGATAGTCTGCGCGGCTGTTGTGAAAAGTGCGCCACCAAGCATCTGTAGGAACATGACGACGGCAGTGCCGATGGATGCATCTGCGAGGCTTAGAACAGTCTGAGCGGCCACTCCACCTTGTTGGAATCCGCAACCCGCACCAATACCATATAGGAACATGAAACCAACCCATTTGGCTTGGGATATGTCAACGGTGAAAGTAGTGATAAGTCCAGCGCCTATTGAACAAATGACACTGCCCGCAATAAAGAATGGAGTGTAATAGCCAAGATGGGATGTCAGGGCACCAGACACGATTATGGCGACTACATGGGCGAGAACCAATGGGAGGGAGTCGATCCCTGCGCCGACTGCAGTGGTGCCGCGGATGGCTTGGAACTAGAACAGCCTTGTTAGCAGAATGGGGCATATGGGCACGGCAAAGTCAGCAGACTGAGTACAACTGCTCGTGACTTACCCATATTGGGATATAGTAAATCATAATAAAGAAAGAAGCACCTATGCAGAAACTGAATATTGAGGCGAATGTAATCGAACGTTGCTTGGCAATTCGAATAGGAACTGCTTGAAGTCAGTTTTGTGCCTTCGACCTTGAGACGCTAATGTACCCGTTGCATTTTCACCCAGAGCTATCTGCAGCCCGATGAATATGACGATCCCAATGACGAAGATAACGAAGAGGGCGATGATCCGCCCATTTGACCAGGGATACTGCACGCCACCCCATTCAAGGGCAAGCAATAGGCAAACTATCGATGGCACAAATACCACGGTTCCTAAAGGGTCCAGACTCTTTATTGTTTGTATCCGGGAACGCTTTTGGGCCATGGCTCGTGGAGGTAATTTGAGTAAGGTTAGGATACCTACAACAGTGACTCCACCGATTGGAAGGTTGACATAGAAGCACCAACGCCATGTCGCATGATCAGTAAATGCACCGCCCATCTGTTGAAAGGTCGTGGTTAATGCACTGTAAAGGGACACTAGACAGAGACTACTCAAGCTCGCATACGTACTAAAGGGCCAGCGACAGACGCAATTCCATAAATTCCACCAATCATAGAGAAGAAAATGGGTCTTTTCTTGAGTTCGACAATATGACCCACTGTAATGAGGGCTCCGGTAAAGATCCCAGCACTACCCAGCCCAGCAATGCCTCGTCCAATTATCAACACTGTCGAACTTGGTGCGACACCGCAAATCAATGAGCCAAGCTCAAATATGCACAGGGCCACAAGAAAAACCCATTTGATGTTGAACAGAGTATAGATTTTGCCGTAGAGTAATTGAAATGCTTAAAAACATGGTTAGCTATGCAATAAAAATGACAGAATATGCTAAATTCAATGGATTGATACGCACAACAAGTGGTCAGCAGGTAGGCTGAGGCATACCAGCCTACGTCGTTGAGGTTATGAAATTGATCGGTGATTCGGGGGATGGCAACGGCGATGATCTGTCGGTCATTGTAAGTAAACAGATGAGGGATATAAAGGATCGCAGTAACGCACCGTGTTATCTAGGGCGACGCAAAGCACTGCCAACATCAAGCTGATCGTAATCAGTACCAGCTTTGTACCATAAGGCATGAAATGGTCTTGGTTGGTGTCTCTGGGAGGGCTCGTACTTTCCTCCACCTCTGCATTTGTGGTTTTGGTGGTCATCTCCATCTCATCAAGTTGGAACAGGAAATTCAGGGGAAAATTTGAACGAGGACGAAGTTGTGAGAAAGAAAAGAATTGGTCCGGAGAAGAGAGATGTCACTCTCACTGCTACCACTGTGACACATGACTACGGGGCCCTGGTCAAAATGCGCTCATACTGAAACCTCAGGAAAATGCTGACATGATACAATCTTAAACGGCTTCGTCCGCTTAGCATTATTATCACTTCACTCTACCGGAATTCAACCGAGCTCTTTATTAAATTTGTTGTTAGGATTGGACGAGAGGTGAAGGAGTACTACTGTCTTCAGTCAGTTGGGAAAGCCAAGAGATCTCGAAAGCTGCGAAGTACGTATACCTTTATGTGAATTATTGTGCAAATATGCGAATTTGAAACGTCTATCTAACAGAAAAAAGGTAGGTGTATCTGCTTCTTGCAATGTCGAACCGGAGGAATGTCATGGCTCCGACCAGTGATGGCAGAACCCCAGGTTGAAATTACAGCAAAACGCGAAAAGACTGGTCAAGACTGGTATCCAACTGTAGAAAATCTGCCAGACGACCCAGGTGGTCAATCCCCCAAAACCCTTCTTGAATCCCTTCGGTGTTGACACATTCGAACCACGGCAGTCCAAAGGCTCCAGCATCAAAGGCTCGCTGAGTGTTTTCGAGCAAGGCAGCTTTCACATCCGAGGTCACCAACTATCAAATATTAGCAACATTATTACCGAAGCATCGAAAGCATATATCTATACCGTGTCCTGGATTTTCTTCGTAAGCTCCTGGCCTAGCTCATTCTCAAGAACGGCGAAGAATCGTTCAGGTGAGGCTATTTTAGTGTCCGCCTCAGCCCAGAAAACATAATAGAACTTTTCGATGATAGAAACAAATTTCTCGGGGGCCTCTTTGGCAAGGGCGCACAGTGTTGTCTGGATGTCTATCGTCGAGGCGGGAAATCCCTCGGGCACGGCAGCGGTTATAGGAACCCCAAATCGATGACCCCAATACAGACGCTCACGTTGAATCCACTGTAGCTTGTCTGTATATCTGAATCAGCTCACTGTATCCTTGAAAGCTATAGTTGGTAGAGTCTTACTTTTCACTGCAATTGGTGGAGTATTGTTGCATTTTTGGAATAAGTCACGAAGCAGAACCGGCACGTAGTCGATCTGGCATTTGGTGAAGATGGGGGAGTTCTACCGAATATCAATTAGTATTGTTGATCAGTGTATTCACATATCTCCTAAGTGGGTTTTCAATACCCTGAGAACATGGAACCCAATTTGGCTGAAAGGGCTTCCAATGTCAAAGTAGAGGGTAATGCGAGGAGTAGCCATGATGTGCTGTTTGATTGTTACAAACTTGCAGGTTGTATGATTGTCTTTATAGCAGTAGAGATTGTCATAATTATGCATCAATGTCCGTTTGAGTCATCGTGAGAGTCCCCAACCATCCGAATTATCATTGCCGGGAAGTTTGTTGAGAAAGGAGTGAATGGACGGGTGACGTCCCCACACTTAATCCTCACCCGAAACGCTAATCTACGTCATTCTCAGCCTCAAATCGGACTTTAACAACTTTTATAGGCCTTTCTTCGATCTGTTCAATTCAATGTGCAACATCAAAAGTCGTATGTATTAACAATATTGGCCTACTCTCTAAAATACACGATTTATGATGCAAAACTTCAGCCACGGTCATCAAGGACAACCCTGTACAGGGACTAAACACTACTCCTATTCCTCAAGCCCTTCAAACTTACTAAGAGCCCTCAATCTCTTTCCGGTCGCGAATAGCACCCAGGGTACAGGCAGAAGCGCAATGGCGACGAACCCGAGAAAGGTCGAAGCCCATGAAATATGGAGTTTCGAATACACTGGGGCAATTAGTTTTATGCTGTTTTCAAAATTGAGTGAGGACTTACTCTGAAGTATGAACAGTGGAAATGCTCCCGCAAGCCCATATCTAGCCAGGCTGTTTGCACTCATAGCGCTAGCTACTGTGACGCCGCGATAAGTGTCTACCATGTACTGTGATGTACTAATAAACACACATAAATTGCCCCACGCGAACAGCATAATTGCCACAGTCGGACTAACCCACGAAATGTCAGCTTTGGATGTCCAGCCGAACCAGAATAGACCGGTAGGCAATCCAAAACTGCCGATCATAGCTGGGTACAGACGTAACTCCGGAGGTGCTTGATGTGGTGGATACTTTGCTGACTTCGGACGGTAGAAAAATATGTCGCATAGCAAAACAGTGAAAGCACCGAGGAAACAACCGACGACTATGGCTAAGAATATTAGGCCTGATTTTTCAAGATCAAATTTGTAAATAGTTTCGAACACCAGGGGGACCGCGGCGAAGAATGAGAAAAGAGTGGCAAATTCGCATGCCACATATAAGGAGATGAAAGCCACGATGGGCTCTGTAAAAAGCATTTGGATCGGTCGAATGACAGCCATCGTTACAAAGAAGTGAATCCTCGAAGAAAGTGGCTGTGATGGAGGTAAAGGCAATCCTAGTTCCTTCGCACGCCGGCGTTTCAGAACTTGATGGAAGGTCTCTTGAGCCATGATGGTAGTGATCATAGTGAAGGCTGCGAAGAATAGCAATGTCCACTGTGTCCAACGCCAGTCTTTCCGGACGACAACGAAGCTACCAATGACAGGCCTACGACAGTTAGCAATCTCCTTGGAGGATAGGGTCATGGAACACTAACGCGATGCCAGGACCCAAAAATGGTGTCAATACAAAACAAATCGCTGGAATAGCCCGCTGTGCAGGTCTCCATGTTTCGTTGATAGTCCCCGCAGCAATTGCCAATATCGGCGCAAAACAAAACCCCGCGAGGAACCGCATTACGCAGACTCCTGCAAAGGTATTGCTGAATCCAACTCCCAGGGTGAACAAGCTGCCAACTACAACCGAGCCGACGTATACAGGATAGCGACCGACAGTTTCTGATAGAGGTCCTCCAACCACTGGACCTAGGGCCAGGGCAAATACATAAAGCGAAAGGGGCAAGATTGCAACCGTGCTGCTGACGTTGAATCTCACCATGAACTGGGTGTGCGCTGGTGTCAATATAGATGTTCCAAGAGAGCTGGATATGACGTTAGCGTCATATAACCACTTATCTATCTTATGGTCAGACTAACGTTGTGAATGCAGCGCTTGCGATCATCAAAATTTGTCGAAACTTCAGGTTTGGTGGCCAGTTGTATGGGTTCTTGGGATCATCATCCCAGTTCCATGAAGACTGGTCTGATTGGTCTATGGAGGCATCCTTGTGCTCGTCCAAAACCCCTCTATCAGGTGTTTCTTTACCGGCGGAAGAATCAACAGAGGCAACAGAGGCAGTATCCATCACTTTTGTACCTTCGGAGTCTGACATGGTTACTAAATATGTCTAGGTAACTCACAGGTGGAGGTGGAGGTATCAAGTTCAAGTGCTGCCCCGAGTGTGTAACTCCGAAGTGTTTGAAAATGCATGTTGTCAGATTATTTACGGTTGGTACTTAAATATAAGCATGTAAGCGAAGTACGATGTACGTGGAGGGATCACGCCCGTGCAACATCAGCCCTAGAAGTAATCTTGATCACTAGTCGATCCACGACAGTGGCGCCACCTGCATGTACATGCCCAAGCGTATTTGTTTGGACGCCTGGAAGGGAATTTTGGTCAAGTTATATAGCCAAAGAAGTAGGCAAGGGACGGTCTCGCGTATGTATTTCTGGTGGATATGGAGGCGAGACTTAAAGTGGCCATAATTCCTTGGATTGTTGGCGGATTGATCGTTGCTGAATACAAAGTGACTCCCTGGCTGAAGATGACTGATTTGTCAACAAAAAGTGGTGCGCCTTTTGATTGGCTCATTGAGGCCCACCCGGCTAAAAGGCCAGCAATTGAAAGGTCTGAATTACCGATTATTAAACAAGAGTTTTGTTGAGCGCTTGTTCTTGCTTTGTCTCACGAGAGCGAGTATGTGATTTCCAGAATCCTGGCCGAGATCCTCCGAGATAAATTGCTTTGCGGCTGAGCTGACTCAGTGGTAAGCAGCAGAAGTCCGTGACCCTTGGAAGGAGCCGCGTTTTATTATCGACATCCCATTGGCTACATATTAGAGTCGTTTTCGCACTGTTCGAGATATCGATCAATATTCTCATCTTCTAAAGGTTTCGTTTCCTCAATCAAAGATCGTTATCAATTTTTGTCACACAACCGCGACGCGACGCACAGGAGCACCATTGTAACACCCACGCCACAATACCTGGGGCCAAAACTGCACAGTAAGTACTCTGCAGCGTTGAAGATCACATTATCACATATCACATCGAATTTGGTCATCTGACACGGCTATCATGCCATGGTTCCTGAACATGGACTTTCATACCGTAGAAGCTCCTATTATCCTGTTGATTCCTTATATTAGACACTTCAGTAATGCAGCATTTCCTTCACTCTCAAGTTGAACGCGCCAATGATTTAATTGTCCACTGAGAGCATTATCAGTTATCAACCCCTCATACAGAGTCTCCACTTCACCATAGCGGCATAGATCGACCAATTCAACCCCATTAGGGGATGATCTCCATGTTTTCGAACATTGATTCGAACGTTGAATCGGCATAGCAAGAGAAGTGGCCACTTGTCACAGCCTTGCGCGAAGAGAATCCAATGTGGTATAGTCAGACTTACAATGTCCACAGTATGTTTTGGCCCCCTGCCCCGCCCTCCCGCTGCAAGCCGAGCAATGCTTGCTTCTGTCGGCTGCTATTTCTTTTCGCCATAATCAGTCAAATTGATAAAATGGGTGATATACAGGCCAACCAGGGATATCAGCTAGGGGTTGACGTCGGAGGCACGTTTACAGATGTATACGTTCTTACTCCGCACGGTGAAACCGTTCGAGCTAAAGTCCCGACTACTGGCGAAGACCAGAGTATTGGCATTAAAAACGGGATTGTGAAAGCCCGCAAATTACTTCAAGAGCGATTTGGCTGGTCGGGTAAATTCCAATTCATGCATCATGGCACTACAACTGCCACAAATGCCGTCCTAGAGGGAAAAGGTGCTCGAACTGCACTTATAGTCACAGCGGGGCATAAAGATATTCTGGCATTGCGCCGTTCTCAAATACCTGGTGGTTTAGGAGCATGGTTGCATTTCACGCCACCTGAGCCAATTGTGCCGCTCGAAAGAGTTGTACAGTGCAAGGAGCGCATGTCTGTGCATGGCGAGCCGGTGACTGATGTCGACATTGAGGATTTGCGGCAGAGTCTACGAGAGCTGGCTCATGAAAATCCCGAGGCCGTTGCTATCTCGCTTTTGAATTCTCATAGTAATGACGCACATGAGAAAGTCGTCAAGGAGATAGTCCGTGAAGTACTCGGTGAGGTGGTTGAAATTGTTTGCTCTGCTGAGGTCCTTCCTGAAGTCGGAGAATATGAACGGACTGTGACAACGTGTACCAATACACTTGTGAAGCCTGTGGTTCAAAATTATCTCCGAAACCTCTCCAATGGTCTTGCAGAGCACACTGATACGATCCACGTTCTTAAAAGCGATGGAGGATTGACTAGTCTTGATCTTGCTTCCGAGCTCCCGGTGAATATATTGATGTCAGGGCCTGCTGGTGGTGTTAGAGGAGTGGCGGACGTGGTGACTAGGAGCACACCATACAAGAACCTCATCACCCTTGACATGGGCGGAACATCCACGGACTGTGCTGTGATCTACAAGGGACAGCCTCAATTGCGACGCGAGACGGTTGTCGGACACCTCTCAGTCCGTGCGCCTGCAGTTGATGTCAAGACCGTTGGAGCTGGCGGCGGCTCGATAACATCGTACATGGAACTCACCGAGACCCTCCGGGTGGGTCCCGAAAGTGCAGGCGCACTGCCTGGGCCTGCATGCTATGGAAAGGGTGGGCGACAAGCAACTGTCACAGATGCGAATGTCGTTCTCGGGTACCTTCCGAAGACACTGCTCGGTGGAGAGTTTGAACTAGACGTCAATGCAGCAATTGCGGCTGTTACTGAGATTGCAGATCAGATGAAGCTTCCTGTAACGCAGACTGCAGAGGATATAATCACCATTATCAATGAAACCATGTATGGTGCTCTGAGGCTGGTGTCTGTCGAGCAGGGGTATGATCCTCGAGAGTTTGCTCTTGTGGCGTTTGGAGGTGCCGGTCCTCTCCATGCCAATGCTGTTGGTCAGTTACTTGGCGCTTGGCCTGTCATAATTCCCCCGTCGCCTGGCATTCTCTGCGCACAGGGTGATGTGACCACAAAGCTGCGGCATGAACAGTCTGCCACTTTCATCCACATGGTATCTGAAGTGACGGTGCATCAAGTTCGGATACAATATAAGTCTTTGGAGCAGCAGGGCCGAGAGACTCTCCAGCGATCAGCCAGCGATTCTTGGCCAGTGACCTGGAAACCCCAATATCAAGCCGATCTGAGATATAAGGGTCAAGCTTTGACGATCACTATAGATTTTGATGAGGAGGAGCTCCTCTTGGATACAGCTGAATGGCGTGGAATGCTTCGGGAAAAATTTGACCGCCAGCATCACCAGATGTTCACCTACTGCCTATCCGATTTTGAACTGGAGCTAATGAGACTTGGCGTTGTTTTGGAAGATTCATCCCCAAGCATCGAGATTCCCGAGGTCATTGGATCGATGACAGTCGAACCTCCTCCCGAAGCAAAGATTGGAGAACAAAATATTATTGTGCAGGGCAAAGAGCAGCTCGCCACCCTGTGGGACCGACAGAAAATCACCCAGCGAGGAATGACAGTTCAGGGGCCGTGTATCATCTCGGAAATGGATAGCAACACACTTATCCTGCCTGGCTACTATGGCGAGATTGATAACATTGGCAATGTTCTAATCAATCCCTTGAAAGAAACCCCAGTGGCTGGAACGGATCATACTGCGGAGAAGGCCGCAGAGTTAGTCAAGACGACTCCTGCAATTCCAACTTTGATATCTTCAACTCTTGCATCTATTCGAGGTGAGATGGATACCATGATGCTTCGGTGTAGCATGTCGCCTGCTATTCGCGAACAGCAGGATGAATTCAACGTCATCACCAATGCTGAGGGAAAGATGCTTGTTGGCCAGTTCGGGAGTTTCATCACCGAGTTTCTCGAGATTTGGACAGGCACCATTGAGAAGGGGGATGTGTTCGTGACTAACGACACTTATCAAGTCCAAGGTGCTATCAGCCACCTCAACGATGTAATCGTATTTATGCCCATCTTCCATGAGCATACACTGATCGGATATGCCTCACAATTTGGCCACCTGACAGATGTGGGTGGTATTGTACCCGGGAGTATGTCCATCAATGCCACATCTGTTTTCGATGATGGTGTACAAATTCCTTGCATCAAGTTATACGCTCGAGGCATCATGAACAATGACCTGGTAGAGCTCCTATGCCGCAATTCTCGGCAGCCTGCATGGTATCGCTCGGATCTGACCGCTATTGTGGCGTCGTGTTCTATGGCTGCAACGCGAGTACGCGAGCTGGCGACTCGGTTTGGCCGCGAGGTCTATCTGGCTTCATGCGATGAGCTGTTATACAGAAACCGCAGTGGCTTTGCAAAGATTGTTCAGCGCCAATTTGATGATAAGAAGAGCGTATTCACCGATTTTGTCGACGATGATGGCCACGGCGTTGGTCCGTGGGCACTGCGTTGCTCCATGGAAAAGATTGATGGTGAGCGACTGCGCTTTGATTGGAATGGCAGCTCTCCTCAGAGTCAACACGGCATCAACTTTTATCTTTCTGAAACCATGTTTAAAATGTTCATCGGGTACTATCTCCTTGCAGCAGCCGCACCTGGAACTGTCATCAACGATGGTTTTCATGATCTAATTGATGTGTCCATCCCACAAGGCAGTGTATTGAAACCCGTCAGACCTGCACCTATCTCCTGTCGTACTCACCTCATGGGTCGGACACTAGACATCGTACAAGCACTGATCGGCCAGAAAGACGACGCATACCAAGCTGCAGCTGGCTTCAGCGACTCACCCCATTTTTTCTATTCCGGCTTCAAGCCTACTGGCGAATGGTACCAGCTGTACCAAATTGGATTCGGAGGCGTTCCAGCCCGGCAGGCTGGCGATGGTCCAGATTGCCACTGCCTCTTTCCAGCAATCAAGTCCATCCCCACTGAAAGCATTGAGTTGAATTACCCTCTGCGTATCGAAGCGAATGAAAGTGTTGCCGACAGTGGCGGGCCAGGGTTTTTTCGAGGCGGCAATGCTCAACGAACCTTGTACCGATTTTTAGCCCGGGGAGAGTTCAGTCTGCACGACGACCGATGGTTCACCAAGCCTTGGGGTCTTAAAGGAGGCAAGCCTGGCCAGAGATCTCGGAAGGTGCTTTACCGCTACTCTCAATCGGCAAAGAAGCCGCCTACGGCAATTTTACCGTCAAAATGTGATCACATTCGTGTCGACCCAGGTGATCTTCTCGAGTGGATTACTTGGGGTGGAGGCGGTCTTGGGGACCCTTTAACGCGACCGGCTAACAAAGTCGCACTAGAAGTTCGCCGCAAACTTGTCACGGTAGATGGGGCCCGCAAAGGGTATGGTGTGGTTCTGAGCAGTGACCTCAGTGTTTCTTGGGCCGAGACTGAGGAGCTGCGGGCTCAGATGCGGCTTGAGCAGGCTCAGCTGGAGGAGCTCCCCACGTATGATCGTGGTGGCGATATTGAGGCTCTAAGACAGACATGTCTGCAGGAAACAGGGCTGAAGCCACCGGCCCCTCAATGGGAGACCGATTTGTATGGCCCTCATTGTGCGTTGAAGTACGTGAAGGATTGGTATGAGGAGATGAAGGTTCAGAAAGGGTGGAGACTAGAGTAGAGGCATTCGTGGCTCGTCCAGATGTTTTGAGCGTCCTCGTGGCTGGATCAAGCATGGCACTTGGCTCCACTTCGGTGATTTGACCCTGCTTTGGTACTTATTTTTGGATTTCCAGTTCTAGAATGGTTTTCAAAACTGTAGGGCTTAGCCGATGTTTGCCTCAGGCCTCAATGATCGGCATATATAACGTAATTCACCACCGAGCGGATCATCCCGGTCGGCCGGATCACCCCAACCAAATTATGATAATTAAACCAGTATAATTCAACCAAAACAACGTAATATTAAGTATCTAAGCTATTTAATCAAATTTGGACAATGCGTTCTCTTATGACCCTGGATACCACAATTCGAGCATTTTGGTGGCGCCCTAGATCGTCGTTCTTGTGCTTCTGGTTGACCGGTTGGCTGGTCGAATGGAGCTTTAAATCGAGTATTTCTATCATTTTGAGCTAATTTTCTAAGCTCAGCGACAGAGAGGCCTTCTGGGGCTACTATCTGGAGCTTAGAAAGTGCCTTTTTTTGCTTGATTTTCTCGTGACTAGCGCGTAAGAGCTCGTTTTCTCGAGCTAGAAAAGCCGTTGATTGCATCGTGATTTGGCACGCTTTAAGCACCTGGTCTATAGCGGAATTCACTAGGCTTGGTGGGCTCTTAGAGCGCTGTTTTAAGAGCTTTTTAATCGAAGAAGCTTGCTTCTGGAGCTGCTTATAATTCGATGGCGTCTTAGGCTCCCACGCGCCACTGCTTTGGCTTCCTTGAGATGGTGGTGGTGTAGGTGTCCGGAGCTAGATATCAAGCTTTGAAATAACTCGATCTGGGTTATATGGAACTAAACCAGTTGCCGAGAAGCTATTCTTGGATCGTTTCTGCTTTGAAAGCTTCGATTCGAGCGGTTGGAAAAGCGTCAAGAAAGTCTATCTTATCGATATGGTTCTGACCACGCCGCATCATATCCTCGACGCACTTCCCGTACGCGCGCTTTAAGACCGCAAAATAACCCACGTCGAGCGGTTGTAAAAGATGTGATAAGTGCGCTGGCATGTAGATTGGAATCACATGATTTTGAGAGTAAATTTCGTCGAATTTTGGAGTTAGATGGCTTCTATGACCATCTAGAACTAGAAGTCGATATATCCCCTTTAACCTTAAGAAAGTTGATGGAAGAAAGACCTTTTTAAGCCAGCAAAGTCCAATTTCGTCTAAGGTCCATCTATTTAGACTGCCCTAGAATTACTAGTCGTCTAGAAGCATCAAATTTTTAGCCTAGCCTCTAATAAGTATTTTACCCTTAAAGATAACTATTAGAGGAAGGCTATATCTAGACGCGCCTATACACTCAATCGAGGTCACCTATTCACGATTTCTAGGCTATAAAAGAGAGCGTCGACCATAATATTCTACTCTTATAACGACTTTTGCGGTCGCGGTTAAGCCCATCGCGAAGCCTATCTTATCAAAGTTATAGATATCATCTTGCTAAATACCATACTTAAGGATCGTCTTTTGAACCAGGTCGAACCATTCCATAATGATTCTTGGGTCCTCGCACTTTGCCCGCTCATAATTATAGCGTCTAGAGAACCTTGTATCGAGTTCTGGGTGTCGTTTAACATATTTTGTAACCCAATTTTTGCCGACGGTTTAGATCGGGGTTATTCCACGTGTCGCGAGTAAGAGATTAGCCATTTCTTGCACTATAGAAGGTCGTGGTGCTACTCCACGTATATCCATAGAAATCACCTAATTTTTTTTTAAGCGAATTCTCCTCAATTTCAGTCAATTTAAACGAATTTGCGCGTAATTCGACGCGGTTTTGACGTCCGTGAAGACGCGCGTATAACGTTGTATATGGGATATTGTATATGCATGCTGCTTTGCGAATTGACAAATTTTCCTGCTTTTTGATAGCCTGGATAGCAAGTAAGATATTGCCTTCTTGTTGTGTCAATTTTTGACGATTTTGGGAGCGAATTGGTGGCATGGTGGTTGGTGGAAGAAAGATGGTCTAATTAATTAACGCGTTTTGGTTGGGGTGATCCGGCCGACCGGGATGATCCGCTCGGTGGTGAATTACGTTAGTCTTCCGCTTTTAGTAAGCAGCTGAATGCAGCAGGGATTGGTTGCTGTCAAGGCGATCGACGTATATGCACCTATATAGACAGGATAAAGTCTGCCGGGTGGGGCCTTTCCTATCTAGGCTGCCGCCGCTTTATGAGGGCGCTCATGCTCAGGATCACTGAGTAGACGTCAGTACGGGCTCAGGCTCAGTGATCACGCTCAGTCCTATCACGTGACCGATGACTAATGCTCAGTGATTGCTCAGTCGTGCTCAATGTCGGCTCAGTGAGTGTGCTCAGGCGTACTAGGTGGTGCCTTATTAAGCCTCACGTGAGCACCCTCTGATTTGGCCAGCCAAAATAGACCATACTCAAAATAGACGGACCCAACAGGGGCCATTCATTCCGTGATGGCTACTCCGTCGGTCATGTTTGGGCTGCCCTCGTTTTCTGACTACCCTACCCCACAGTGATTTGCGTCATATCTATCGTGCAGGGAATAAAATGGAAATAGTCATGCACTACGGGGCGATAATGTCAAAGTCTACAATTTCTTGAGGTGGCTCGAGCTCAAAATGTCAGGTACAAAAGGGGATCATGTCCAGCTCTAGATATCTCATGACTCCTTTCGAATTCAGATCGCTTTCCTCGAGCAGTGCCTCCAAACTTAGATCAGGCAGCGTCTTCGATAATGGGCGGACAGCTCTTTTTCTCCGAGCGCGATGAAAAGGCGAAAGAGAAGCGTCGACTCCTTAGAGAGAAGAATGGCTTCGTCCCCGGAGCACACAAGGAGGAAGATTCCATTCGAAACAAAAACAAAAAACTTCCCAAGACAAAGAGGCTCGATTTCAACGATTATTTCCCCTGTTTCCACTGGTGACCAAAACGACGCTGAAAATGGCTCCCCTCTGTATCCAAACCCAGGCCGCCCTCCTTTTTGCCCAGCCTGGTCGAGCGGCTATAAGTTGCTTCGTCTGCCCTCCCCCCCGGAGGTCTTTCAATAAACTTCTCATCCCACCTCCGCTGCCTCGGTCGGCCTCTACACACTTGACTCTTAAGTCTCCTATCACAAAATCCAATCCTTGGCCTTTGTCTCTTTATTCTCCCCATGGCGGCTGTCTCCGTACCTCCAGCTCAGGTTGATGACCATCAGTTCTGGAACGATCCAATTCTTTGCGAGGAAACGCGAGCCAGATTGAAACATTTCCGCAGTCCTGGATGGCTCCCTCCAAACTTCAAGCCAAGAACGCTAATAGGAATCGCCGTGGTCGAACGGTACTGGCGGAAGTGGGTTTGCCCTTGATGAAATGAAAACCTTGTGGTTGGGCACTAACACCGAAATAGATATTGTATTCAATCGAACCAGGACTACGTGAACTATCTTCTGCTGGAAGACCAAGCGATCTACATGAACCTTTTCGACTGGATGTTTAAGACATCAAGAAAGAAAGCACTTCAATCGTATGACGAATACTGGCGCCGCCTTTGTCAATACTTCGAGCTATTCGCCCGTCGCAGTGTTAATGACGATATTCATAAGCAGATGCGACGCGTACGGTTGCTTCTTCTGTTCTGAAGGGGATTGAGCTGACTGGAGCATAGTTTCTCAATGGCGTATTCCCGGCAGAGCGCAAAATTTCCAGACGAACGAAGGATAAGAATACTCTAGATGTGAATGTCTTTTGTGTGATCTATCGGCATCACTGGGTCCATTCGCGGTTTTTTCGTCACGGAAGTATGATCGTCCAATTTGCTACCATCCAACTCTGGTCAGCCATTACCGGGACCCGACCCGGCGTCTTACTTCCACAGAACACCTCTCTACCTGATGAATCCTCTCTGAGCAAGCGCAAACAAAATCCCACTTTTCAGAGTGATCTTCCGAAGCACATCCCCGTAACAGACCTTCCGGACTCGGTCTGTTACCGCTCTTCTACCTGCGCGACCCTCAGAGCAGACGTGACGTTCTTTGTGCGGTGATAGAGTTTCGTAATTTAAAAGGTCGGCCGGAAGGTGCTGATGGGTAAATGTGGTCATAGTTTTAGATGCAGGAGCACCGGATTCACTACTGACAGTCACTGCTCACTGCCAGAACCAAATTTTTCATGCACGGCGATTATCAACTGGTATATTGTCCGATCACTCAAATTATTTCTTTTGCTTTTCGAGATCGAGCGTCTGTTAATACCAAACTTATACCGGAGCTCATTTGGCGGCTCCGAATTCCAAAACGCAGTTCCTCGCTTCCGCTCCGCCGAGGTTCTTAATACGCCCCTCCTTCGGCGGCTTGATCGCACAAAGTGTGACTATGAGCTTCATCCGTCGTTGCCGATGACTTATGAGTCAAGTCGACGAGCACTTAGGGAATTAGGTCGAGATGCTCGATTTGAAGACGATATCGGACATTACAATTCTCGTCGTTGGGCCGCAAATGAAGTCAATCGTGAGTCACCCAGTGCCAAAATTCCGCAAGCCTTACTGCCATTCTCCGGAGTTCTTATTATATTAGATCTGACTAGGAGCGGACAGGGAACTTCACTAGCCAGGAGCGGCGGAGGGTAGATCCGCCTATGTGACGCAAGTCTCTGTCCTAAATAGGCTTAGTTTCAATCATGGATCCTATGTATTGTGCTCCACTACACTCTACAAGTATCCCCGCACATATCTTGATCATCTATCTCCATCTCAAAGATTTCGATCAGTGGTCTCTTCTCTCAGTTCTTCTTTACTTGGACTCTCCTTTAGAATAGCTATCATGTGCTCTTCCAACATGAGTCACCAAGCAGCGCGTGCACAAGAGGAAAGCACGACCGAGATGGAAACTCGTCCCTCCTTCGCGCCCCATCAAATTTCTCAGACTTCTCACCTATCCAACTCTTCACCTTCCACCTCCTATCCCACTATGTCCTCTGGCAACGCCGATTTATCCCAGGCCAATCCTCGATCCCGCCGTGAGGCCCAAAGCTCTGAGTCCAGCAGCTCCAAAGCTGCAACGTCTGTGTGGAGTCAAAAGTCATCCACACCCCAATCTCCGGCTTTATCTCTCCCATCCTCCAATCCCGAGAGTAGTGACCTTGGAATCGATCCCACAACCCTGCTGACCGCTCATATCCTCGACCGACCCTCCTCTCTTGACCAGCTTTGCGACTATCTTGACGTACTCAAAGATGAGCTCGTGTCAGATGACCCTCCTAGCTCCCAATACGTTCTGGTGCAACGGATCCCAGCCGATCTTTTTTTAACGATTGTTGAACACCCTGAACTTCTAAAAGGGGTGCGCGCAACAATTCGCCACCACGAGCACGACGTCCTATATAAGATGTCGTACCACTACCATGAGAAAATCGGCTGTTATTTTGATATCTGGATTAGCAATGCTCTTGGTGATATGGGGTTAAGCATTCTCAACCGTGATTTTTGGCTTGGAGGGGCTGGACGGTCCACTGGTCGCGTGTGCGACAAGCAGGCAGACAAATCGTTTTTCCCTGGAAGGAATCCGGCGCCCGGTACACCTGTACAATGGCCCTCTCTTGTGGTAGAGATTGGGATATCCGAGTCCCTTCCCCAGCTACGGACGGATGCCCAATGGTGGTACTCCAACTCAAACCAGAAAACCCAGCTTGTGGTGCTCATCTCCGCCAATCCCACCACTCACGATGCCGACATCGAGATTTGGACGCAAGTCGTCAACCGAAGAGTTGGAGCTACCACCAGGGGTACCACCAGGGGCGAGAATACTTACGTCCTGGAGCGTACCAAGTCGGCTAGGCTTAGGAATGGAGTGGTGTCTGGTGATGTACTGGAACTTGATTTCCAGACTTTGATGGGGCGGCCGACACGAAACCCCCAAGAAACGAATCTACAGCTTACTCCGATTTGGATACAGAGTATGTGTGAGTAGCGTGCCATTTGGCGTTGTCAAATTGTTGTGCTGTCGCTACAACCTGAATCGAAATCGTATACCTTATCGTCTGTGGTTTCGAAACATTTTATGAGTTTACCTTTGTTAACTAGCTAGCTTAGTTCGATGTTTCCGATGAACAATCTTTATCTCCCATCAAGCTTGTTACAAACTAGTAGCAAGTCCGGCTTTCGCCTGGTTTCTGGGTAAAATTTTCTGGGAGGATCGTCCTAGGTTGTTTTTCCGTCGTCCCTTTAGCCTGACTTTGCGACGCTCCAGGGCTTCCTGGATGCCTAGTCGTTACGGTCTCAACTGACCGACCCGCCAACCCGACCCCCTACGTGACTCCAAGCTCCTCATCTATGGAGAGGCGCCTTCAACTTTCCCGACAGCTTGCACTGCAGTTTCGCAACTACCGAGACGCCAATGATCCCTGGTCGAACGAGTTCGACCCAGAGACCCTCGCTAGGATTGGCGTTATCCTGACCGCAGACAGCCCAGTGCACTTACCCAAATCGGAGGACCTATTCCCAGCTGCCTGGCCGATAGACCGGTCCGTGCTCAATAAGGCCGTGAAGAACTTCCTTCGTCTTACTTCCCACCTTCCTATCACCCCTGCTCCAACCTCCACACCAACTTTCCCTCGCCCTGAAAGGTCACTTGGCCGTTCGTCAACTCGAACGTCAAGCCGGGCGTCTTGTGTCAGGTTCAAGCCAAGCGTCTATTGACCCCCTGCTACAAGCGCCTATTGAAGCGGTTGAGTCGAACCACATTCCTGGCTATGCCTTCCGTTCATGGCGGTACACCACAGCAACCGTCGGACTAACAAACCTAGATATACTCACTACCTACTGCTTGGATTCCGGTTGCGTTATGATGTTGATCGATTCAAAGATGTCCGCATCCGTCCCCTAGGATCCCGCCCCTAGAATTGACTTTCACGGCGTCCCTTGTGCACCCGTCTGGAAAAGGCACTACGCTCTGGTCGGCCTCCAAGCTGCTGCTATCTTTGGTTTTCGAATCGGGGAATCAACAGCTTCACCTTTGCATACAGGGACGGCGAAGTCTCCACCGGTCAACGCCCAGAATTCCGGTGTAGCCATGATCTTAGTGTCGGCATCGGAACTAAGCTGGTCTGTCTCATCGCGGCATCAACCCTCGTCAACATGGATCACGATGGGATTGGAAGCCGAGCCCAGTGGAGCAAGATCATCTCCGATCACTATAGGATTAGCCTACGTGCCTAACTTGGGGGAAACGATAGAGTCGCATACGACCACTTCAGGCTATTCACACACGGCCTAGTGGGGATTGAAGCTTCGCAATATCAAGTTAGCGAAATCAATCATGCTTGTAGAAGGTCTCTTACCCAAGAATTTGTGTGCTTTTTCTGTAATAGAGGTTATATTGATTTGAACCAGTAGAAGAGATGGAAACAAATACGTAGTGGATGACGAACGGAAAGCTGAGCACTTGGTGACGATAAAATGATCAAATTGGAATTTTTTTTTTTTTTTTTTTTTTTTTCTCACGAAGACGGCGTGCGAGGTACACGGCTTTATACCTTTCATCGGACCGATTACGCGTTGTTCAACCTGTAAGCTGAGGTGGACTCGTTCGGAGAAAGTCTCAAGCTCAGGGCAATGCTCCGGCATAATGGCATCTAGACGAGACCTATCTACCAATCGATTCTGTGACTAATGGACCGTGTATGGTACTACTACACGAGAAAATTGAGTGCGCGGTTAGCTGGTGGTCGGGAAAGCTCCAGCCTGTGATATTTGGGGTCTACGATAAGATGGTCAAGTCCTTGCACGAGCACCATGATATGTTTGCCCAATGGCACATATCGTTGAATTTACGGCCAATTTTGCCCTAACTGGTGAATGACAAGTGGACATGTGGATCTATTCCAGAGACCACTCTACGCATCTTTTACACTGGCTGTCCAGGGTAGCAATTGACCGGGCGGCGGGATCAAATAAAATCGTCCAGTTACACACTGCTGTGTTGACCAATATTGTTTTTGCTCATCATCACCGATCAGGAACTAAATATTTTTTGTCTCGTGGTAGCCCCCACAATTGCAAAGATATCATAGCCAGCAGTTGTTGTTAGTATTGTTGTTAGTATGATAATATTGATTTGAAAGGGCATTACTCTCAAATGCAACTGTAGTGGCTCCTAGGAATTGATGTGCCGTGAGCATCAGGATGCTAGGGGCAGTTAAGGAAGCTTCTAGGAGTACTTGTGAAGTTCTAAAGTTCCCAGGAGCAAGAAGAAGAACCAACTCGCTTGTTCCTAGGATACTCCGATGGGCCCCCGGATAAGTGACATCGACCTCTGAAAAGCCATAGCCCTCAGACGCAAGGTTTAGTCCAAGAAAATTTCATGATTCGGTATTCCTTTATGGAGCGCTTCAATGAAACCCTATGGTTCATAAGAGACATCATAGGGCCAAAAGGACCAAGGGCCGCAACGGCACCATACTATAATAGTATCATACAGGATCATACCTATTTCATGTAACTCCTAGATTACAGGTGTTCCAAGTATTGTGGCTTATCTGTCTTAAAGCGGTGGCTGTGCAGGCTAGACAAAGCTCCTGTAATTACCTTACATCGGTAAATAACAAGTAGCTGTATCGAATACGGGCCCAGAACATGACCTAAGCTGGTGACCGAAATGGCCCGGCTATTTATCAATCGAGTCTTAAGGCGTAATGCACTTTCTGCGGATTTTGATTTTCTAAGATTTAATGTGTTACAGAGATAATCTAAGTGTATGGGAGTAGGTTGTCGGGCCTTGTTCATATATCCACCGTAAGGGGATACAAGATGAAGTCTAACTGGTTTTCAATAAGCTCGTTCATTCCTATAAATAGTGCAAAATTAATCTCGATGATGCGGCTTGGGTCCTAGTCTGTAAGAGCCTTAAATCACAATATTCTAAACCTGTCATATGTAATCTAATAGCATTGACCTGGTAAACAAAGATAATATAATAAGATAAATAAAAACTGTAATCTAGCAGCGAGTTGAATGGTGGCATAGCCGCAGAATAGTAAAACTAATAAATATAGTCCCACCTCCCAGCTGGAGGCGAAGCAACCAGGATCGACCGCCAAATTGATGATGCCAGCCTTTCGTTGAGGGGACAACGGTTAAGAGTTCTGGTGACTAACTGCATTGGGTTGGGGCTAGCGTGGTGCATTTTATTGAGGTGAGCTGCTGACTTAGCTCAAGTCGTGCGCAGTGAGTGGATCAGGCTGCTCAGGTGATGCTCAGTGAGCGAAAATTATACTTATATAATACTCAGGGCTATGCTCAGTTTTACTCAGTGAGCAAAAAGCGGCAAGGGGTGAGCACTAAAACGGAAAGGGAAAGCCAAGACTTGTCAGACATTATCCTGTCTATATGCGTTTATCATCTCTTTTTTCTTTCCTTATTCTCCGGCACAGACCTTGGACAGTCAGAAACTCTCGACTGTTGAAGGTGGGATATTAACTCCTATTGCACCCGTCCACGCTGATCAACCCCGCTCCCCGCCCTAAAAAACGCGGCTGTCGTCATCGTCGGCGAATTCGATTTGGTCTCGTCGGACCGGACTTGTTTAAATTGGAGCATCTCCACGCTCGTGCCCGATAACCCTTGGCGTGGCCGGGCACTACTACACCTTGTGCGCGAAAAAAAAAAAAATTGGAGGTGGACTCGCAGTAGGTTTCACTTATCTTGGCAAGTGTGCGCGGCCGGTGGCGGCTTTGTTGACGGAGATAACAGTTCAATCAAATTTATGACTCTTCCTTCTCTTACTCCTCATTTTTCTCAACCTAATCCTCACCCTCGCTGATTCGACAACCCGCCCATATGCCCCTCACTATCCTTTCCCGATCGAACCTGCGCGAGCTCTTGCACTCTCTGACCCGTGACGAGATTCGCAACCTCCAAGCCAATCTTTCCGAAGCGCTACGGGAATACTCCACAGGTTCTCAGGATAAAGGTTGCTCAGCTACCTATCAGCCACAACGAACGGCGATCACACGCCAGAATGGTTGCACCACATTGTTTATGCCTGCCACCACGGGCCAGACTCTAGGCATCAAGATGATTTCTCTCCAGGATGGAGCCAAAGCAGGCTGTGCAATTGAACGGAGTGGCTTTGACGCCGAAGAGAGTGACTCCGGCTCAAGCTCTCGGCGAAGAGCCTCCGCTCGGAACTCAGTAGCCTCAATCTCCTCTGACATGAGCGATGTCTCAGTAGGCTCCTCCCAAGAAGATGGTGGTTCTGTGAGTCCTACGGCCACCAAAGATAGTGGGGGTTATAGCACCGATAGTTCGACTCTTCTCACCGGCTGCGTGAACCAACAACCAGTCATCTCCAAGACTCTTGGCGCTTGGCCCGGAGCGGGGACCCGCGACACCTCACCTCGAGGCAGCGTAACACTCCTCGATGGGGAAAGTCTCCCATTTGCCCTTATCAACGCCCATGAACTCACAGCCTTCCGTACTGCGCTGGCCTCGTTGATGATCTTCAACAAGCGCAAGAAGGTGCGCACCCTGTTGGTCTTTGGAGCTGGCACTCAAGCCTATTGGCATATCCGGCTCGCGTTGACACTTCGCGGCGACGAGATTCATCGCGTATATATTGTGAACCGATCATTTGATCGTGCTGCGAAACTTCTTCGGGACATCTACTTGCCTGAGAACTCGGATTGGCGCCGCGATGTGAAATTCTCGGCCGTGAGCAGCGATTTTGGCGACTATCTTCGCATTTTGAAAGAGCATGTGCGTAAAGCGGATGTCATCTTCTGTTGCACGCCTTCTCTCACTCCGCTTTTCCCGGCTGAGTTCCTCACTTCGCGTGAAGGTCGTCAGAAGGGTCGCCTAATTATCGCCGTCGGGTCGTACAAGGCACACATGGCAGAGCTACACCCTGATATCCTCCGAGATGAGGTCAACGTGACCCCGCCTCACCGGCACTTCCATAAGCACACTCGCCGGAGTGGGGTTGTGGTTGTTGACAGTCTCGACGCGGCCATCAAGGAGGCCGGTGAGGTCATTCAAGCTGGCGTCAAGCCGAAGCAATTAGTCGAATTGGGCGAGCTGTTGATGGTGCGCCACGCCACACTCAATGAGGATGGTCAAAGTGAAGATAAGGGTCTGACGGAGTGGGTAGAGAAGGGTAATGTTATCTTCAAGAGCGTCGGCCTGGGCTTAATGGATCTCGTCACGGGTGGTGATCTAGTACGGCTGGCGAGGGAGCGCAATCTGGGTACTACAGTAGACGACTTTTAGGATATTTGCATTTGATCGTGTTGGGCGCTGTATTATACCCTTTGATACTTTTTGTTCTGTTCGTTCCATTTGGCTGTGAATTCAAGATATACCGATCATCCGAGGATCCTCCTTCCCCGCGTTTGAATCGGCAATTCTCGGTCTGACTTCATTATAATAAGCGGTAAACCAACCTAAACACAATAAAACACGTTTATTCAGAAGAGCACAAAGATAAAAGATGCTTCCCAACGCCACAATCCTCACAAACATCACTCGCAGAACAACAGGAACCATAGCCCACCTCACAATCTCTCGCCCAGCCAAACTAAACGCCCTTAACACCCCTCTCCTTGAACAACTCCCAAAATCTGTCGTATCAATCACATCCCAAAATGCAGACCTCCTCGGCATAGTCCTCACTGGTGTAGGGCCGAAATCCTTCATCGGCGGAGCAGATATATCCGAGATGGCACAGTTAAACTCCCCTCCGGCTGCAGAAGCATTCATCACGAAGGTCCACACGGCATGTAACAGTATCCGCAACTGCCCTGTCCCAGTAATCGGGCGTATCAACGGGTATGCACTCGGTGCAGGGTTGGAAATGGCAGCATCCTGTGATTTGAGGGTTGCAAGCTCAAATGCAGTGTTTGGAATGCCAGAAGTATGTATTCTGCTACTCTATAATTCATAACTACATGATCGCATTGCTAACTGATTTCAGGTTCGAATTGGGATTCCCAGCGTTGTCGAGGCGGCTCTTCTGCCTGGACTTATTGGGTGGGGTCGTACCAGGCAGCTTCTTATGCTTGGGGAGAATATTGATGCTCGAGAAGCGTTCCGGTGGGGTCTTGTGGAGAAGGTTGTCGAACCGGAAGAGCTGGATGAAGCTGTGGAGATTTGGTTGTCTCAGCTAGATAAGAATGGACCCCTTGCTGTGCGAAAGCAGAAATCATTGATGCGGACTTGGGAGAATGTTTCAATGGATGAGGCCATTCAAGCCGGTATTTCTGTGTTTAGCGAGGCTTTTGTTGCCGAGGGAGAGAGAACGGGGCCAGCAAGAATGATGGGGGCTTTTTTCCAGGCTTAGGCTTAGGATGTTCTACTTTATCTCCGAAACAATGATCATTCATGTCAAGTCAAGCATTAGTCGATTAGGCATTTGCTTTTATGTCTATTCCATCAATCTCCAGTCTAAATTGGTAGGAAGAAAGATACAATCAGACTCCAATCCCCGAAACCCAGCCGTAATATACAAGCCACATGATTACCGATACATCAATCAATCCAAGATCCAGAATTCATTATGTGCCCCTTACAGCTTCAGGCGCAGCAGGTTGGAGATCATCTCACGGCCAGTGATGCGAGTCGTCGCCCACAGGGTAGGGAAGTCCAGGGTGCTGGTGAAGGTATCGGCGTAGCCGAAGAAGAGCATAGGAGGGATCCAGCCACGAGCGTACTCGAGCGCGAAGCAGGACGAGTCCATCTTATACTGCTTGACCTGGCCGCGCTGCAGGTGGTGAACGGTACCGGCAGGGTAGGTCTCGGCCTCGAAGGCGCCGGGGACGTAGGCCAATTGGGTTCCAGACAGAATGTTGAAGTAGTCGTCAGCGGTGTGGCGCCCAGTGTGACCCTCGGTACCAATGGAGGTACCGAAGATGATCAGGTACTCAGTGATACCTAGGAAAAGATTGTCAGTCAAAAAGCTCTTCATTGATAGAAATAAAGATGCGCTTCGAGTAGGGTGATGCGCAATTCAGCATTCACGTACTGGCATGGATGATGTACATCGCGCCCATGGCACCACCGGCATTGTTGAAAACCCACTCCTCCTCGGTGCTCAGGTACTTGGGTCCAACCTTCTCCTCCAGCTCGGAAACAATGAAGTTGACGATGGAGCGGGTGTCCTCGCCATGGGTCTTAATGGCGCGCTGCGACAGATCGTGCAGGTGCTCCGGGTCGAAGATGTAGAACTGCTCCAGGCGCGCGTCGAGGTAGCTGTAGACGGCAGTGAACAGGGCCAGGAAGATGGCCAGGAGGCTCAGGTTACGGATGGAGAAGCAGCGGCAGCCGCAGCTGGAGCTGGTAGGCTTCTTGCTGGAGGATTTGGAAGGCATTGGGAGGGACGTTGGGGGGGGAGGTGTAGGAGTTGCGAAAAGTGAAAACCCGAAAATTAAATAGCAAAGTTATCAGCCCCTGGCGAACCCCGGAGTTCCACTGTGGAGCCTGCACTGTCCACAAACAAGAACCAGGGCAAATAGATGCACAATGGAGATGAAGCTGCGTGATTATAGGAAATAGTCAATTTGTTATTCCAACGAGTTATTGATATTTGACCTTTATATAGTTTCGCTTTGGTATCACAAACAACCATGGCTATCGCAGTATGTGCCCGCGGGCCCCGAACTATCCACACGCCATGTCGGATCGCCCCAATCCGAATCATATTTGCGCTGATTGGTCATAGCTCAACAAAGATGATATGACATAAGATTCAATTGGTATACAGCTTAAGAGCCTTAGAATACAATGCAGAGAGCAAACATGGAATTTTTCACGGTCGGCTCAAAGCCGTGTATAGCTGACTAGGTTTCAAGTTCATTGGGTCGTATGCCCAGTTTCCCCTTGCAGTCTGTGTATCTATATTGTCAAATATAGGGGCTAGAATTCTAATTTTATCTTTATTCAGTAATAATTACATTATTTGGAACTTCGAGCAGCGTCTGCCTAACTGACTTATAGCCTCAGGGGTACATCTGGGCAGCAGGGCCATCTCTTTCAAGCGAATAGAATGTGGAAATCTCACTAATCTGGCTGTGTGTTTTGTTTATGCCTCCAGGGCGTTGACTATTACCCGTTTAGTCAATAATCTCGTGTTAATAATATGTTGAAAATATTGGTGCCCAGGTATTGGGGAATGGTCCTATCTCGAAGGACTATCCTTGCGACCCTTTAAAGTCCAATGTTCTCTTGAGATCTTTAAAGAATATAAAGTCTGGGTCCTGTTTCCAGGGCCATTAAAGAGCAAATAACCAATAGAAACTCTATCGAACGGGGACTTTACCTAGTCAACAACTTTATAATTCATCTCAGGGAAAAGGCCCCTCATGCTCTTAGCAACATGTCCAGGTAGCTAATTACATACTTGATCATACTGGAGACCTCGCACTCAGTATATAGCGTGTATCTTGCACATAACAGGAGTTGGAAAGTTTTTTCCCGATGTCAAGTCAACCTGACTTGTTGATCCCAGAACTGTGCTCCGACATAGGCATGCAGCACACCCGAAGATATATCTCTCCGCGTACCCAGCCGACGGCAACCGTCTCTATGGAAAATTTACGTTCATAAAACTGGCTTGCACTGAGGTATGGCTCAGTGACCTCAATGATTTTTGATCTGCTCGGTATTCATATTTAGGCGTTTTTTACCTTTCCTTGGGTTGATCGCAGGTTATACCATATATCGTCCATGACGTGGTGCTGATCATCACCCACTCTAAAACGGGCCTGTCTCCGGACGCGCGCCCACATCGGATATACGCTAACTTTTCACCCTTGTCACCTACGAGCTAAGTCCTAGGATACTCTGGAGTGACAATGCGGGGTGCATATAGAGAGTCTTCAGGAAAATGTGGCTTGAGAATTCGTCATCCGATCTGCCTTGCGGGTAATAAAAACCAAGCTGCGGAAAATTTCAAGGCTGAACCATGGGAGTAGATTTCGGTGGGCAGGAGTCAATTCTTCCAATAGGACAATTTATGCGCTACATATCTCCGTACTATTACCTACAAGGTTGTGCACGTCCTCATGAGATACCTGTCACTCAAGTTGAGAAAGGGGCCTGTAACTCGGGAGCATCGGACCAGGAGCCCCTGATCTCTATATGGATCATAGACGTTGTCTGGAGTGGTCGAAATGTATATTGCTTCTAGAAATACCTCTTGGAACGCTTCTTCGGAGCATCTTCGGATATCCACACTGGGTCGATTTGACCACGTTCTCCGATCCAGCTTGATCCAGTATGATACTCCGCTAAGCGGGCCGGCGCCGTCGTCTCAGATTCACCGTCACCGGAGATCTTCCCCAAATGCAAAGCCTCTCAAACTCAAATATCATCCGCTACACCTTCGGCAAAAGCCCAGTCGTGGAAAATCTTCACGGACCAGGCCGAGGTTGACATCGCGGAATAGTATGAAGCACCGTTAAGAATAAGCCGGTGGAGCTCCGCAGATGACAAGCTGAGACAGGACTGCTCCGTGCTCTATAGGGAACCCACCACGGACGAATTTCCAAAACCATTGTCTCCGAACAATAGTATTTAAGCATGTTGATCGCTGCACTCCATCTCGTTTAAACTTTTAGAATCAAGAGACTGTCCTCGACCACATTCCTCTCATTAGTAGTCATCTCGATACCTTTCACCCACCATGAAGTCTTTCCTTGCGCCATTGTCGTTCCTTTCTCTTGCGCTCGCTGGTCTGAGCAATGCCGCTACCATCCCTACCAAGTCTTTGGATAAGCGTGCCACTTCCACCTGTGACCAGTGGGGTACCATCACCACTGGTAGTTACATTGTCTACAACGACCTCTGGGGCGAAAGCTCTGCCACCAGCGGCTCGCAGTGTGTCGGTGTGAACTCGGTCAGCGGTTCCACCATCTCCTGGTACACTACCTGGACCTGGGCCGGCGGCTCCTCGAGCGTGAAGAGCTTTGCCGATGTCTCGCTGCAGTTCACAGCCAAGACGCTGAAGAGCATTTCCAGCATCGCCTCGACCTGGAAGTGGAGGTAAGCAAAAAAAGGAAATGAAATAGGTCGATATGAGAAGAAGCTAACGACATCCAACAGCTACTCCACCACCTCCATCGTCGCCGATGTCGCTTATGATATGTTCTTGTCTTCCACCGCTGATGGCGATGACGAGTACGAGATCATGGTCTGGCTTGCTGCGCTGGGCGGTGCGGGCCCGATCTCCTCGACCGGCTCTGCCATCGCGACAACTACCATCAATGGCGTGACATTCAAGTTGTACTCTGGTCCCAACGGATCCATGACCGTGTACAGCTTCGTTGCGGAGTCGACTACCACTAGCTTCTCGGGTGATATGCTGGACTTCTTCACCTACCTCATTGATAACCAGGGACTGAGCTCGAGCTTGTACCTGATTGATGTGCAGGCTGGTACTGAGCCGTTCACTGGAAGTGCCACTCTTACTACTTCCGCGTACTCCGTTGCAGTTGTGTAAGCTGTCCGAGGCGCTTAGCTGGAGGCGAGTTAGGGATTGGGGCTTTTTTTCGTATATAGTCATTTGTATAGGAAGATCTGGAATCAATCCTGAATGTGTTGAATAATTGGCCATGGTCGTAGCATAGAGATGAAACCTGTATAGCAGTGCATGCAAAGTTGCACACCTAGCAATCGTTTTTGCAGAAGTGACGCCATTGGCATGGCATAATCCATTGCGTTTCAGCCCCCGGTCGCAACCAGTGGATCCTCATCTTTAAGCGCTGAAACTTGACTTCGTGGTTCCTGAAACCCAGCGCTAAGTCCCTTTGAAACAGACTTCCGTTTCACCATTGTCTTTCACCACCGGTCGCATCATGGCGCATTCTCTCCAGCATCAACAACGAGGCATCTGGAACCTGTAAGCGAGACGCGGTCGCCCCCAAGCTTCAGTTTCCACTTCCCACAGTTCTAATCCATCGCACATTCTCAACCACTGCATTTTGATCTTCCCCTCATTACAGCAAGAACCGACGTCAAATGTAGCATTTGTAGCGGAACCCGACGAGGGCCTTCCCGAGCGCGTATGCATGCTAAGAATAACACGACTCTATCAATAGATTTAGCGTAGCGGTAGGGCTTGGATAAAATTAGGAACAGTGACGTTCAAGTTGCAACAACATGCGGAGATCTGTAAGCGCTCGCGGGGGAAAGGGCGCTTATATAGAGACTGTGCAAAAAGCACCGAAACGGATCTTTTTTTAGACCCCAACACCCTAGTTCGAGGACCGGGAGGTTGCATGCATTGATAGCAGATGCAGTAACGTACCTGGAACTCGGAATTCAGGATCGAATTCTAAAATCGATAAGTCGAGTCCATGCGGGTAATGTGCCACCCCCCGTCCCAGCCCCGATGGAATCCGTGATAATTGACTGTTCTCATGCGAGGCGGCCAGACTATTACACGAAATCCATGGGTCGCGTTCTTCCATATTGGATCAGTCATTTGGCATGTTAACACGCTTCGACCCACCGTGGCGCCGTGTGACAGGGGGTCATTTTGCAAAAATCCTCCGCACGGACACAGGATTGGATGAACCCATTTCGCCAGATTGAAACGCGAACTCGCCACATTATTCCATAGGTTCTGGTTATGCCGTTAATATGCTACACTAGCTTGGCCTCAGCTGCAGACAGGAGATCCTTTGGCCCCCCCCTGGACCTAGGAAAGGGTGTTTTTACCCTTCGGAGTTCAAGTGGGCGCGGGCAAAGGTTGACAGGATTAGGATTCAGAATTCAAGGTTGTCAAATCCAATCCTAGATCGCCCCTCATTCTCTAAGTTTTCTAGGGACGTGTCAGAGGGTGGAGAATCTGACCTGGCATTTCGAACCTTGGATAACTAGGACCTTCCCCCGCGTCTTGGACAGGAGGAACTTGAGACGGTCGCGAGTTTCAAAGTATATCGAATGAGGAGGCTGGACTTTGAAGCTGGATAAGACTCCACAACTGTTGTTCTTTTCTTGGTTGTGGTGGGTCCCCCGGTTGATCTCCTCGCAGTTCTACAGCTGGATTGGCGATCGCCCCCTCAATCACTAGGATCTTTTTCTGTTCTGTTACAGGAGCCAGCGCTTGTAGAAATTACCTATTCTAGGAAGACTCCAACTAGGGAATTAGTGGAGGGTCAACGTACGAGACGAGCAAAAGCACGAATAAATCAATTCCCTGAATGAATCTAGGGATGGATTGGGCACTAGGTACATCTCGTAATGCATAATCCCCACTACATTCCATAGGGGAAAGTCTCAGCCAAGGTTCATCTCAGATCCAACTATGCATCCCCTGTACACTCTGACTGGCTCTGGGTCCTTGCAGGTCCTCCAGCCGCCTGGTCCTTTCTGGCTCCCCTGATGGCGCATACCGGAGCTATATCTACTCCCAGATTCCCACTCGGATTCTTCACGGGATTCATCCACATGCTCAACGTCGTCACCCTCCTTTTGACATCCCTATAATTATTCCATTTAATCGTTATAATCTCTCCTTTCCCTGCAGGTTGCCAAACTATTGATTCAATTTGAACCAACTCATAAATTGTGGACTTTGTCTCTCCTGATAAAATTCTCCGCTTCGACAGGTCTCAAACTTCACCTCAGTTAGGGCTATCGATAAGGGTTGACACGACAACCTCATCCTTGCTGCATTCTTTTTAACTGCCACGACTTCGCAAATTTCCATCCTGCTGGTCAGGAATTCGGTCATCTCATTTGCTTTTGATTGCTTTGTTTCCCACAAAGCCATTTGTCCGTCCAAGCACGAACAAAGCCTTTCATTTTAAGTGAAGCTACTCTAACGCACTTCATTCACTTGTCTTCACTTTGTGCTTGCTTCACCCTCAACACTTCAGGCTATTTATTAGCTTCGACTTGCCCCTCTACCCACATCATGCAGAACAACACCTCAGCAACGATGGCTCTCAACCGGGCTGCCCTCGATGAATTCGTTACCCAGCGAGTCACTCGGGAGATGGTTAGCTATTTGGCTCAACAAGCGTCACAAGTGATTCGGTGCGAAGCCCATGTGACCAACTCTGTCAGCCAGCATGGCCAACCGACACCCCCTGCAACACCTCCCATGGATCCAGAAGATCCCTCTCTGCCCCCATTGCCCTCTACTGAAGTCTTCATTGCCTCTCTCGTTGCTCGGTCGCAGGTGCAAGTGCCCACACTCATGAGCTCCCTGGTGTACCTTGGCCGTCTGCGTGCTCGCCTGCCCCCCGTCGCCAAGGGCATGCGCTGCACTGTGCACCGGATCTTCCTCGCCTCGCTGATCCTCTCCGCCAAGAACCTTAACGACTCGAGTCCCAAGAATAAGCACTGGGCTCGGTACACAGCGGTCAAGGGTTACGAAGGATTCGGCTTCTCACTACCCGAGGTGAACTTGATGGAACGTCAGCTGCTCTTCCTGCTGGATTGGGACACCCGTGTGACCGAGGAGGATCTGTTCACATACATGGAGCCCTTCCTCGCTCCCATTCGTCAACGCCGGGAGATTCAACTGCGCGAGCAAAAGGCCCAGGAGGAGCATCAGCGCAAGCAACAGCAGCACCGTGAATGGTATGCCTCTTTGCTCACCAGCATCCATGATATCTCTACTCACACTCGTTCCAGGCGTCGTCTGCATGTTTCGGCGGATCTGCTGGCCAGCCGCCTTCGTCGTCAAAAGCTGGAGGCTAGAGTTGACGGTCGTCGGGTTCCTGATAACTCTCTTCGTCGTCTCCCGAGCCATGTCTCTTGCCCCAGCATCCACACCACCCAATCTCCGCAGTTCGCTGCCGAGTCCGATCGCTACAACCCATATACCCGTCACCGAACATCGCCTCACAGGCCCGCTCGATCGATCTCTCCCCCATCCATCCGTGATGTTCCCGGCCTCTCTCATACCGAGACTTTCAACTCCCTCTGCTCTCGTTCGTCCAGCGTCGCCCCCAGCTCCCGCGGTACTCCAGGAAGCATTAGCACCGTTTCGTCCCATGGGAATGATGATTTTGCTATCTCCGACTCGAACAGCAGCCCTTCCGCCTCTCTGACCTACAGCTACGTCAATGTTGGCGCCATGGACTCTAAGCAACCTTTCGAACCAGTCCGCCAATCCAGCAAGAAGATGAAAGTCCACGGTCACTCCGGCGGCTTCGTTGCCCGCTTCCTCGCCTCCGCCACAGGCTCCTATGGCCGCATCGGTCGGCCACACGCTTAAATCGAGCTGGTCTCGAATCGTGACTGGCGCCAATCTAATACCCCCTGCATCTTGCAATTTCCACCATGCTCTTCCTTTCGTCCATTTATCTCCCCATCTCACATCTACATTTTTATTTCTGCTTGGCTAAAAGCATTTCACCCGTTGATACGTCTTGACAATACCCTTCATTTCCCAGCTCAAATTTGTCACCTCTTTCATCCATTAGATATGCCACTCTCTTTACTTCTTTCACCCGCTACGCTACACTGCATTCAGGCACGGCGTTTTGGTTACTGGTCATTGGTACGGTTCGGTCTGGCCGGTCTACGGGTTTTCCTTTCTTGAATCATTTTCTGGGGGTCGGTTGGGATGATGGAATGTTCATTAGACGCCTGTGTCATGTATCTACTGGATGTATTTACCCTTTTTTCATTTCAATGTTCTACCCAATCCCTGCGTTGGACGTACAGTGCAACGTACTTAATCAATGAATATCCTGAATTTGAAACATCCGATCCCTATGCGTAACCGCTACAGTGTGTACATGTACAAGTAACTGTACATTCCTTGCTTCCGTCTCCGTCCCGCAAATATCTCCGCAACTCAATATGGCAGACTCGAGGCAACTGGTCGTGTTTCAACGGTCCTGCAAGGGTAAGGCTATGCCCCACATACCTTACCCTCCGGTCCACCGGTCCGGCGGCGAAACCTTTTATTACCCGTTGCTCATTACAGATTTCTTTTTATTGCCTAGGCGATCGGTAGGTATCCAAGACATGCACATAAAAATTCAATAGTTAGATCTTCAATCGTGGAAGTCGGGCTAGTTGTCTATGTAAATAGAGTAAGACAAATGGAGCGCCCCGCCACAATGCCCCTAGCACGAGCGTATAGAGTTGCATCTGGTGGTGTCGCGTAAGTAAAAATGGATACCTTGCTTTGGATCGCTGAACTGGAATCTGCTTACAGATAGCAATGGATCGACGCTGGTCGCTTTCAATACGGTCGTCATCCACCGAGTGATGGGTGAGACGGAGATGAGATCCATGATTGAAGGAGGTCTGGAATGTGCGGATGTGCGGTGTGTCGCAGATCGTTTAAGTACGGTGTAGTCTAGCCCGTGTAGTGTTGTAGAAAAGAGTATGATAGATAGAATATCCACTCGATCCTTGAACGTGTGGAAGCGAACATTATGTAGTCAGATCACGGAATGATCGCTATCACATTAATTGGGCTTACTGTTTCCAAGGCTATCTCACCTCGTAACGAACCCTGTAAGCCCTCAACTCAAATTCGTGACCGTCAAATCCGGATGCCTTAGGGGAACCAGCCCGTTTCAGCAATATGAGCAGCGCCCGCGCAAGAGATTCCTTAATAGGAAGAGTAATCAGTGCTATGGGGCCAAATCAAAGGAATTGAATAAGCGTGATATGATCTCTCGCTCCGTTCAACAATGATCGGACTCCGGACTCCGAGTAGTCGCACGGACTTTGGGTTTGCGACGAAATTTCGAGGTGCATTTCTAAATAGGGTTTGAACCCATTTTTGGTCGATCGTGCGGTTGCCACAAGGGTTGGAGCTGGACCAGTGGGGCTACAATTTTGGTGTGGGGGATGGGGGCGGTTGTGTGTGGAGCTTGGGTACTTGTGCTGGAAGAAGATGGTTGGAAGCATGTAAGGAAACTGTGGAGGGTAAGTTTCTGAATATTGAGACCGTTCGCAGCCTGTTCGTTCGTCTGAATGTACTTTTGAAGAGTGATTTTGCAGGGTTGACAATGTCTTAGACCGGGGGTGGTCGACCGTTGATCTATGTGACGGGTCATATATCTCGGCCCGGAACAAGCTAGTAACTCCTAACTCCCGAAGTCTTACCAGAACGCGGCATTTATTGGAAAATTTATAGATCTAAAGTAAGACATGGGATAGAGGTTAATCATGATAAAGGACCGTGGTAAAGAAGAGGGGACAGCACGACTGGCTACGTCATAGTGGATATATCAGGGCCAATAAAAGGTTTCAATACTAACCTGATATTGTGCCAAATCTCGCCCTTCTCGATGGATTGAATCGTAAGTATACAAATATTTTTCTGTATAGATGTCTAAGAGCCGTCCTTAGAATAGATTAGCAGTGAAAGGAGCTGTCATGAGGTAAATCATTCTGACAATGGTCATTTGTAGATGAAAGCAATATTCAATCATCACTTAGCGTGGTATCAAACCCCACAAATAATCAGCCCCTCATCGCGGACAGTCTAATGCTGCAGAATAGTGAAAACTCATTCAACCCACCTCGACCCGTGTATAACGTCCAATATAGTCATGGCTCAGATCGCGATACTCACGGGTGGCTGTAAGAAACACCCCCACAACATGAAGAATATCAAAAGAGCCCCAAATGAGGTCCCTAACATCACATAGCAAGCGGCATAGGCCTCGACGTCGCCCAAAGACTCAACAGCACCGCAAACTGGAAAGTCCACATAATCGGCAGCAACAAACAACGCGGTGAAACCGCAGCATCCAGACTCAACAATGCGACCTTCCACCAAGCAGACATAACCAACTACCAACAACAAGCAGCCGTCTTCGACAAAATTTTCGCCGAACACGGTCGTGTGGACTTTGTGTTTGCAAATGCCGGCATCGGACAGGACCCCGGGGCTTTCTTTTCGACACATGAGACTGGGATCCCGCCGGAGCCTAATATCGAGGCACTTGTGGATACTAATTTCAACGGCGCTATTCACACGAGCTACCTGGCGATGCACTATTTCCGACGATCTCCACCGGAGAGTAGGGGTGGAAGACATCTTATTCTTACGTCGAGTATTGGGGGATTCTATCCTTGTGTTCCTACCCCGATCTATTCGGCGACGAAACGTATGTATCCTTTACCTTCATTCTAAGTTTTCTTGGTACTATTTGCTGATACTGTGGCAGATGGGCTGGTGGGATTTACGCGCTCCATTGGGAAGAAGCTTGCGGAGGAAGGTGTTAAAGTGAACGCTATCTGTCCAGGTGTAGTCGAAACATCTTTGTTGACGCCTGAACTGAAAGCTATTTTTGGGAAAAGCCTTGTTCCAATTTCAAATGTCACTGACGTGGTAATGGGAATCCTGTCTGGCAATGAGGTGGTTGATTCGAAGGGTGTGATTGTTTCCGGCGAAGACTTGCATTCGCGGACCATTTTGATTTCTGGAAAGAATCATTACTTTGTTGAAATGCCGGGGATTTATGATGAGGAGTCTCGGATTACTCTGGAGGCGATGATGGGTTGATGATGTGTCAATGTGGAAGGACGTCAAATGTATCATCCGAGTCTCAGGGGCTTTAGAATGGATCATATCAATTTGGAGGCTGAGTGAATGATCGTTGCTAGATAGTGGCAAGATTTGAATAGAGAACTGTGTCTTAGAGTGCAATCGTATAATTTCATATAACTAATCATGCTTTGATGTGCGAGACCTAAATCGACACTTTAACCCATGCTGCTTTGCAAACCAGAATGTCTCAACTTTCCATTCAGGATGTTCAGATGCCCATTCGATTTCGAAATGGCGAATAAGCTGTGGAATCAATTTCCCCATCTCCATTATAGAAATGTTCTTTCCAATGCATGTGCGAGACCCATATCCAAACTACTAGATGTCAGTCCCGACTTCTTAAATTGAAGCTCCAGGGAACCTTACCGTCATGAGATGCCGGTCCATACGTTTCACGTCCTCTTCACTAGACTCCAGCCACCTTTCAGGTCGAAAGTCTGCCGCATCGTCTCCAAAAATAGACTTGTCATGGTGAATAACAGCTGGGTTGATTCCGACAATGGTTCCCGCCTCTAGATGGACTCCACAGAGTACAGCTCCACCTTCGGGAATCATACGTTCGAGGGGGAATGATACTCCGGGATGACATCGCATTGCTTCTTTCATCACCACTTGTCTATGGCAAGTCAGCTTTCCTCAATCAAATACTCTCATGGGGTCAGTGGGTGGCTCACAAATAGGGGAGCTCCAGGCATTCAGCGTAAGTGATATAATCGGATAGTCGTCCTGTCGCATCAGCTTGATCTATCTCTTTTTGTAGCTTTTGATAGACTGGTTCGTTTTGGACGAGGAAGTAGATAATAGCACGAAGGGAGATTGCCGTCGTATCGCTTCCGGCGAGCCTGTCAGGTGTCAACAATTTTCAGATTCACACGTAGGATTTTCTGGACTAACAAGTTATTGCTAAGATGGTTCATGATATCGCGGTTAGACATCGGTTTTCCCTTTATCTCTTCACTTCTGAGCCATGCCAGGAAGTCTGGCCGATCATTATGCTGCTGCGCGGATTGTCGATCGTAGTCATCAATGCAGTCTTGAGTGATCTGAATAAGGTTAGACTTATGACCTTCATAAAGTAAAGGGGCACTCGCCTGGACCATAGTTCGAAGAGGATTAGGAACAATATGAAATGGCTGAGCAGCCAAGAATTTGCCAACCCAAGGATCCCCAAGCGTCCAAGAATGAAGCCAGGGAATCTGGCCAGCAACCCCTCCATAGCGTAGTCCAGCCTCCAGCCCACCAATCATACCCTGTACATCCTCCCGCTTTTCCATGAAGCCAAAACGGCGTTGAAATGTAATTGCTCCGATAACATCGAACGCATACCACTGGAGCCAGGCACCCAGGTCAATCGGCTGCCCTTCCAAGTCTCTCATTGCATCGATGAAGATCCTGGTACATTCATCCGCGAACGGCTCAAGCGATTTGATAGATGACATAGAGAATTTCTGAGCAACTGGTCTCCGTAATGCCTGATGGGCGACTGGGTCACGCACTGTGAACAAACTAGGCATTACTTTGTCCTCGAAGAAAGGGCTGAAGACATCATAGAATGCGGACTAATATCATGTCAGCTTTGGTGGTCTGTTAATGCTCTTGAAATATACCTTTAAGAACTTGCTTCCTATTCCGTATATAATGGGAAGTGTGTTAGGATCAGAGATGTCGACAGTGTTCGGTCCAGTACGGACAATCGGACCATATTCTTCGTGCAGGCTCCGGTAAAATATCGGGGCGTCTCCTTTGGAGATTTTCCATGCGCGATAAAAAGGGGTGAACCTAGCGATATTTGGTCCTGGGAGAGACCTCAGACCTGGTTTCAAGGCAATGAAAATATATTTGATTGAGAAGAGAAAGATTGTCACAAGAATGGCTGGCCAAATGTTGCCCTGTAAGTGGCGCTCTGCCTCTGATAGAATCCCCATGGCGTGGATTTTTTTAAACGGAGAGTCCCACAATATGCGTAAAACTCTGCCCTCTTGTGCGGAAATGATACGCTTATATTTACGTTCTGAAATAAGGATTCCTCTCCATCCCCACAGAATAGCAACGGGCAAGCAAGATTATGGGGTAGATCCCACCTCCAAGGATCTACAGGCCCTAGAAGGTGGGATCTATGAAATACGTAGATGAAAGTGAGGGGTAGAGTATTCTAGCAAAGGGGATCTTAGCCAAATGACGATACTAATGTATAATTTCCTTGGCTTCAAATCCATGCCATACTGCAGAGCTCATTCAATAACAGTGATCATATTGGATAGCAACGATTTAGCTACAATGATAAATCTACGTGCCCATGTACCCCAGGACTAGAGAGCTGGCCGGAATTGAGACATCAGCCCCTTGGCATTCTTAGACAGTATTTTCTGCGCCGTTCCCGATCCAAAGCTCTCCTCGAGATTATCGTCCAATCTTTTGGCCAAAGCCCCAACAGCAGGAGCCGGGGTGTATGGATAGTCACTCCCATACACAAGTCTAGATGTATCGACAGCCCGCAGCATTCCATGAATCTGGTCCGGGAAAGGAACACCAGCGATATCAATATAGAAACGAGTCTGCAGCACGTTCTTGATTTCCTTCTCTGTTACGGCGTTCCCACCTAGGAACTTGGAAAATTCCGCAATACGTGATATGATTGGCGGTAATGTCGCTCCACAGTGGCATATCAAGAAAGTGATTCCTGGGCACCTAGTCACTGTTCCAGAAGTGATAAGACTGGCGATGGAGCGGGTGGTATCGAACATGAATTCCATCAAGGGGTTGGGTACTCCTGGGTTCGGAGTTACCCGGATGACAGATTCAGTTTCCGGGCTCTGTATGTGGCAGCTAGTCGGATGGAAAAAGACGGTTGCTTTTCTTTCGCTGAGTTTGTCGAACACTCCTGCGAACCTTGGGTCTCCGGGGTAGATGCCGTGGGAATTGGTCAAGATTTGGAAACCTACGGCACCGAGGTGGTCAAGGGCGTAGTCGATCTCGGCAAGAGAGCCTTCGACATCGGGCAGTGGAAGGGATGCGAAGAAAATGAAGTGTTCGCTGTGCTCGGAGCAAACCTTTGACATGTCCTCGTTGATTCGGCGGGTCAGAGACCGGGCCTCTTCGTCATTCCCCGGAGTCAGATGTGTGCCTGGTGACGACATGCTGAGAACTGATTTTGTGATGTTGAGCTTTTTCATCAGCTCAATGTGGGAAAGGGCATCCCAATCCTGGGAAAATTAGCATATCTTCTCTTGATCTCCGAGACTTCTGGCTGATGGCTCACCGGAATCGCTGGCATTCCGTCGGGATGGCCTCTTCCTGCGAAGTCATTCTCGAGACAGTACTCGCGATAGGAGGCCGGTACGCAGTGTGCGTGAAGATCAATCTTCTCCATGTTGAATTGTCGATTCCAATACCTGCGAAGCTATTGTGGTAGGTGGTTTACATTGACACGACACAACCATTTGTACCTTTCTGCCAAAATGTGGAGGGGCCAATGGATGTCCCCGCATTGAGTGACTGCCGTGGTGGGGCTTATAGAACCACAGAATTCGATCCACGGATTATTTGCTGATTAAAATACATGTGCCTCGCCTTTAATATTGTATGGCATCCCGACTAGTGCTCTTGGACTTTGAGTCGCTATATCCATCACAGCCAAGAGTCCAAGATCCACTTGCTTATCGATTAACCAATGATGTCAAACCATCTTCCGTGGTTTGGCTCCACCTACCCAGTTGACAACGGATTTGAACACTTTAATGACAGGATGATTGACTAGTGGAAGCTTCTATTTGCAAGGCTCGCCTGGTTCAACTTGAAAGACTGCACCCAGAGGCAGGCATTTTTCGAACCTTGAAATGGGCAACCAACCCCTTACAGTTTTCTTCTACTTGCGCTGATGGTAAACTAATACTAGACGTGCTACTCCTAGTTCTAGTATGTTTTTATTTTGTTTTTGATTTTTTCATATTACTCCTCAACAAGGCGAGCGAAGACCATCTTGTTATTGTTTGTGACCTGGTGAGTAGCATTCTCGATGACCGTTTTATCGAGAATAGCGAGATACGGGATAATCTTGACCGCCATGGATAAAGTGATGCCACACGAGTCAGCTGATGCGTCACCATAATTCCCAATCCAATGCCCACGTCATGAGGGTCTGAAAGGTCAGTCAGCAACTTTCAGCTGCGGTGGGCCTCTATCTCCCCGGGTTCCCCGAGATGAACCTCAGATCGGCGAATCCTTTCTTGATTGGGTCGTACGACACCGATCTGCACAGATCGTACATCTGTAAATTTCTTCATCCCTGAACTACTACAGATTTATCTTGGCTTCCACGTACAAAGCATGTTCGATATGTACTTTCCAAGGAATTCGAGGAGTAGAGTTTAGACTTATTAGCTACATAGACCGATAGTTTCAGCACCGAGGACGGAATACCTTCCCCTGATATTTACATTGCAGGCATCATGAAGGCTGGATCTTTGCAGTGACATTTCTTACGGAAAGTCTTGAGACTTGATCCCAAGCCACAGCTATGCTAAGGTTTGACTTTCACTGTGCCTACCGGATAACTTTCCCAGTCTTTACCTCTCATGGCCTCAATTTTGCCCTCCACGACGTGAGAAGCCTTACAGATAAGCATTTCCCTCGTACTACCTACCTCAATGTACTTCTCGCATAGCGGTCTGGATCATACATCAAATAATGCCTCGTAAAGGTTTGCGACACTCACATCATGGATGTCTCCAATGCAAGCGAAGAGGTGTCAAGGTATGTATATCATGAATCGACGAAAACGGAGGGCCTTTGGGCGGACTCAATTGACGTTGAATTCAGTGTGATGAGAAGAGACCAACATGCGTGAAGTGTGAGCGCCGCCTAGATTCCTGCCGCTACACTGCCTCCGGCCCTTGGCTGTGGACAGAACCCGCCGTTGCCGGACACAACTCCACAAAGTACTCAGAAGTCGTACTCAGCCCGAGACCATCAACACAGATGAGTCGTGGAATTGGAATCGAAGTTTCACCCATCTCCACCAATCTCTCCACTGGACCCCTAGACCAGTCATCTCTAAGGCTACTACGAAACTGGACGATAGGTACTGCCGCCACTATATCTAGAAACGATACAGATCGTCGAATATGGCAGATTGGAATTCCCCGCAGGGCTTTATCTAATCCGAGCCTATTGCATGGCGCTTCTGCGGTTTCGGCAATTCATCTTGCACTTATCCATGCAAAGAACGTTGAGCGCGAGCAACTCATCAAAGTCGCTGAACACCATCAAAGCGAAGCAATCACCTTATTGGCCCGTCTCATGGAGACGAATCCTCAGGCTCAGGACATCGAGAATTTCTTCCTTTCCAGCCTATTGATCGGCTTCGCTTTTGCCTTTTCTTTACCAAATCACGGATCATCTGATCCCCTGGAGGAAATGATTCGGATTATCTGGCTTGTAAAATCAATGATGAAGTACTCAGTACCTATACTAACAGGCATAAAGTCCAACGAAATGAGTCAACTGACTCATGTTGAAGAACCTAGTCCTTGTCTATTAGGGCCTTCTTACTCAGCCATCTCTGCTCTATACGCACTCAATAACACTCATACAAAGAGCCAAGAGAATCATCAAGCTTTCCGCAAGGCCATCAATCTTTTAGAAGGTCCTTTTGCTAAGATAGACAGTGGTGCGGAGCTTACTTCAAAGGCCGTCATGTGCATGTGTGAAATATCTTCTCAATTCTGTTCTTTATTGCAGCAACGCCATCCTCTTGCGTTGGTTGTTTTCGCGCATTACTGCGTTATACTTCACCATTTAAGACGGCTTTGGTGGATTGCATCTTGGGGTCAGCGTGTGCTCACTTTTATCGACAGAACTATGAGTCCTGACTGGAAGCACTCTATGGAGTGGGCCCTCAATGCAACGAGACTTTGAGAATTTCGTTTCATTGGAGCTCTTCAAAGATCTCAATTTGTGATCCAACTTCTTATTCACCGTGACCTTGTATACCAGATACAGCTTGCCGGAAGCTCATCGCCCTAAAATCCCGGCATGCCATTCAAATAGGTGACGAATCCCAAGTCTTTCATGCTCCTGTTGGGACAGTTCTGCTGCGTCATCGGAGTACTCGCTCAGTGAAGGCCTATGCGCACGTCTTGGTGCAGAGTGACGACCAAATGTTCTAGAGTGGGGGCATATTACGAGTCCTGGTCTACACGATCGAGGTCGTAAAGCCGAAAATTGATACCATTGCGCAATACTAGCTAGCGGTATCTGTTAGTTTCAAGACTCTAACAATATAATAACCCAATGTCAGCACTATCCTATCCAGTCAAAGTTTAGATAGGGCTAGTCGCGAATCAAGTATTTTACGCCATAAGAAAAACGTAACCTATCAGTACTATATAGTATGTAGTCCACTCATAAATGTCCTGGAGTTAATTGATTGGTTAACAGATTAGAATCTGAGGTCTAGCCTAGTAGGTATATGAGGGTGATTTCCCTTTTGCTGAGAGGGGAACCGATAGCATTTCCAGCTCCGATTTAGTTGTTCGGACATTGACTGGGTTTCGAGAACCACCGCACCTGAAGAAAAAGAGGGTTCAGGACAAGTTGTTTCCAATGACCATCATGTCGACAATTCTCCCAACCCATACCCTCTGCCCACCGACGATAGCTACCAGGTTGAACCGGCCTCTTCTAACAGATAAACACCAAGACCTTTCCTTTGTCGGACTTTATTCCGCTGGGGCTTGTGATAATGAACCATGACTAGATGATAGGCTAGAATTGGCCACCAACCAACGAGACCCACAAGCCAGATAAGCGGGGGTGGTGAGAGTGGAGGAGAGTTTCTTCTGTCAACAATGCCAAGCCGGCCTGTTTCGACGCTTTTGATTCGATCGACTACTATCGCTGATCTTTGTTACCCCACATCCCTTATTGATCTAGATAACACGGTCGCCAGCGTCTCCGCACGTCCATGCGTTGAGTATACTTATAACCATGGATCACCTCGCATGGCCAAGGCAACGTGCCCCTTGAGGAGCTTTGAACCTTGCCCCTATTTCCCCAGCTTGAACCCGGCATGATGGACGAACAGGATCGGGATGAGACCTTTTGGGCTCCTGGAACGGTCGCTTTGGAAGATAGTAGGTTGCAATTGGCTCTGTAGATAGGCCGAGACTGACCCGTCTAGTCAATCGTACCAGAGACCAAATCATTCTTTTTCCGACCCCCTCGGACGATCCCAATGATCCTCTCAATTGGTCGACAGCTCGCAAAGCCTTGAATTTCACACTCGTCAGCTTTTTTGTGCTATGGACGTTTGTACAACTGGATATCGGGTTTACGGCGTGGGGACCAATGGAAACAGAATTGGGCTTCTCGGTGGACATCTTGAACGCTGGAGCGGCTGTCAATTATGGCGGTCTTGCCATTGGATGTTTCTTTTTCATTCCTTTGGTCCACAAATATGGTCGCCGGCCGATCTATATTTTTAGCGTTGCCCTCCAGCTTGCATCCTGCATCTGGCAAGCAAAGATGACGACTGTGGGTGGTTTTATTGGTTCCAACCTCATCTCTGGCCTGGGGGGTGCAATTAGCGAGATCGTTGTCCAGATTACCGTTGCGGATCTCTTTTTCGTTCACCAGCATGCAACTATGAACGGGTGGTTCGTCATTTTCCAGTCCGCAGGTGCTTTTCTAGGGCCCGTTGCTTCCGGATACATTGTCGATTCTCAGGGGTGGCGATGGATGTGGTGGTGGTGTGTCATCTTTTTCGGGGTGACTTTGATCTGCGTCATGTTCCTCTTTGAGGAATCAAAGTATGTTCCTGTTATACACGGTCAACCAGTCATTTCGCAGCCCCGGCTGGCTCAACAGGAGTTGAACCAAGACTCCAAGGACACCAAGCAGGCCGACGACGATGCCCTGGCGTCTAACCCGGGCATCGCTCGCACGGTGACAATCAATCCAGACATCAGCCTCAAATCATATCGCGAGCGCATGGCCTGGCTCACGGTCACATCAGAGTCTATGTGGCCTCATTTCTACCAGCCGATCGTGACGTTGTTTACCTTCCCAGCAGTAGCATATGCTGCTCTCACGTATGGCTCTACACTGGCCTGGTTTGCGATTATGACTTCGCTCCAGGCTTCATATATGCTCTATCCCCCTTACAACTTTAATGCGATCGGCGTTGGTCTTATGAATGTGGCACCTTTTGTAGGAGCCATGTTGGGTTTCCCAGTGGGTGGCTGGTTGAGCGATAAATCTATTCTCTGGCTTTCTAAGAAAAATGGCGGTATCTATGAGCCAGAGATGCGTCTCTGGCTTGCTTTGCCTTGTGCGATCCTTATTCCCGGGTCGATATTGATGTTTGGGCTGGGCCTTGCCCATGTTCGTATTCCAATTCCTTCGTGTCTTTTTTTGCAGCGGGCTAACATATCCCAGGGCGTACAATGGTCTCTGCTCGCGGTTGGATTTGGACTCTTCGGATTTGCTTTCTCCGCCATTAGTGGCATCGCGCTGTCATATCTTATGGATTGCTATCAAGATGTGAGAACCTTCTTACATGAAAGACTTTTATCCAGTTTAATACTAATACTTTCATGCAGATTATCGGTAACGCTCTAGTGGGTGTGATCTTTATGCGCAACATCATTTCTGTCATTGTGCTCTTCGTGTTGACTCCATGGGTCAATGGCATGGGTATGCAAAACCTTCACATTCTTTGCGCCTTCTTGGCCTTTGGAATCTATCTTATTCCTATTCCTCTTTTACTTTGGGGAAAGAAAGCAAGGGTCTATACTGCTGCATCTTATAGGAAGATGGCCGAGAAACAAGTTACCCACCGTGCGGTATAGCCCGTTGTGAGTGCATTTCATTCTCTTCTATGGGTATTGCAACAGATAAAAACACACAATACTATAATTCTCCAACCTATTTACAAGTACCTGCGCTTTTCGACATATACTTCCCCATCTCGAACCAATAGAACTGGGCTCCAGAGTCTCGAGCCTTCCAGATTGAAGTCAATGAGCCTTTGAACTTGATCTGTGCTTGTTTTGAAAAAGTGATGATTTCCAAGCTTCGAGTCAAGGCGCGCTCTCTTTGCTCTTCGCCCACCACCTCGAAACATGCCGTAAGATATGCGAGGGCAGTACATGGCACAGATCGCCCTGTAAGCTGAATGACAGAACTGAATTGATATTTGATAGATTGAGACAATATTTGTGCCTCAGAATCACGTTGTCCAAACGGAAATCTTAACCGATGAATAATTAGCAAAGCACTCAATTGCAATATCTTGGCCTGTGCCAACAATGCCACGACCTCGGCCTGAGTAAACCTCTCGAGAAAGTCTACAGGGGTCGACGGATGCCATTGATCCACAGCAGCATGTATTTCATTTAACCGAACCATGACTTCGGACCGATTTTCCCCTGGGCCACATCGGAGGAGATTCCCCATTTCACAAATGTCGAAAAAGTGACCAAATAACGGGTAGCTCAGACCAAGATAGCGATCGACAGTGATCCCCCGACGATGGGTATCAATCTTCCAAGACGGAAGCTTGCATTTGAGCAAACATTCAAATGTTTCCGTACAGACAAGACACATCAATAGGTCCATCATCGGCGATTCAAAATCAATCAAGTTCTGAGCTTGCGATTTGATCAGAGTCAACGTGTAATGCGCGATAAGGTAATGCTGTCCATTTTCAACATGCATCGCAAATGTAATCATCGCCACGCTGAGAACGAGTATCGTCGTTAAATCTCTTTCGTCACATAGTTGGAACGATCGAAGGGAGGATACAGCTAAAGCCGCACGTTTATGGCCGATGTCGGAGGCTTTTTTGGATCTTTCCGTGGATTGGTCTCCAAATAGAACCGCCGCGCATGCTACTGAAGCGTTTCTCAGCTCAGGTGTAGGTTGGATAAGATTTTGGATAAAGGAAATATGATGTGATTCGTGAAAACTTGGACCGACTAGGAATTTATCAAGTGGTGAAGGTGTGTTGGTATCTTCCTTTTTCATGAGATTTAAGAAATGTCTTTCCCAATGATCCAGGTCAGAGAAAAGGACTGGGTTGCTGCCTAGCCCGGCATTGTATGGTGAGGGATATTGTGTCGAGAGATCAAAGTTACTTGTGGTGAACTGTGGTAGTGTGTAGGATAACTTCCGAGTGCCTCGCGGCTTTCGCCCCGCCTTTGCAGTAGTTCGTATTGTTTGACAGGCTTGGCCCAGTCGAGAACATCTTTGACAAGGTGCAGTGCTACTGGTACGTCGACACTTCTCCTTCAGCGTGTGACACTGGTCGCAAGCTCTTTTGGTTGGGCAGCTAGTCGGCATGGTGTTACGAATATCACCATAAATCTCCACGGCTTTGAAGGATTCATATAAGCATGAGTTAGATGCATATGACAAAACGTGTCAGCAGTTTAGATTGAGATGATAATGCGGAGGCCTGATAAGGCTCGGGTGGACTTGACATTCACGGTTAGACTCGGATCCGACTTTTGCGGGGAAGAGATAAGGTCAGATGACCATGTTCATTGATGCAGATTAATCTCGGAATACCATTGCAATTTCTGTTTAAGTACTTATGACAACATGCAACATGCCTTGCTACTAAGATATTCTCAACCTATTCATATAAGTCTGCATGATCGCGCTTGATAGCATCGGCGCCTTTCTCGGCTACCATGTAAACGGAATTCTGGATTCGACAGTCGGGGATCACAGGAATCACGGAAGCATCAATAACCCGCAGGTTCTTAATTCCATGAACCTTAAGATTGGGGTCCACCACACCCTGCTGGATATTCTTGGATAATCGTGTAGTTCCACATGGGTGGAACGAAGTCTGGCAACGATCCAAGACAGTCCTCTTCATCAGATCGTCGTCGTGAAGTGGCATCTCCCAGGGATACTCATCCACGATGATATCCTTGAATCCATCTCCATTTTTAAGGACATCGTAGCTAAATCTAATACCCTCGCGGACAGCGATGATATCAAGATCATTGTTGAAGTAATTCAAGTTGATATTCGCTTGCTGAAGCGGGTCGGCACTGTGGAGGGTCACCTCTCCAGGCTCGGACACAGGGCGAACTAGATCGACCATCACAGTGACGTAGTTTCCCTTATTTGGAGTTGGGTAGTGCCACTGGAACGCACTACCAAAGAGACAGACGAAGTCGAGTTCGAAATGGGGCTGGTCGTAGGGGCAGAATGGATCCTTGTTTCCATTTGCCGCCTTTGCTTCCCGGTACTCAGGGCATTTTTCTAAGTACTTGTCGATGCGAGGGAATCCAATCAACTCGAGGAACCCAGATCCCATTGGGCCCCCATAGCTGCCGTCGTGATAAGCCTGGAGAGCTTTTTTGTGATGCGGCGTTCCCTTATGAAGGACATAATCATCCATGCCGTAGCCATCCTTGACGCGAAGAACGAAGGGAACACCCGGGTGATCCAAGAGGTGTTGACCGACATGGCGCGAGTCAACGATCACAGGAATATTGTGCTTCTTCAACTCTGCTGCAGGTCCAATGCCGCTGAGCATCAACAGTTTGGGACTCTCAAAGACACCCTCCGCGACGATGACTTCACGAGTGGCATATAGTTTCAGTTCCTGTCCAGAAGGAAGGATCACAACCACGCCCTTACATGTGTGACCTTCGTCGATAATGAGGTTTTTCGAATGAGCCTCGCCTAGGATGGTGATATTGGGCTTGTCAGCAACACAAAGGAAACTTCCCGACCGTCGGCCCTGATAAATCGAATTCACACTGTACGCGAGACCATTCAATTGACCATCGAAGACGTTCTCCGTGACCGGCTGACCGGTGGACTTCCACGCCTGGGTAAGAAGATCACGGAAAGGCTGCATCTCAGGGATGAGGGCGGAGTGAGCGATAGGAATTGGTCCAGATGTGCCAATCTTCTTCAGATCCTCTGAATACGCTTTTTCATCGTCGTGATAAGTGGCGCTCTTCCGCAGATACGGGAGAAGAGGATCCCAAGTCCACTCTTTCCCTCCAAACTCCTCCCACATATCATATGTGCCTTTGGACCCAGGGACCCAGCTAAAATAGTTCAGAGATGAACTACCACCAAGAGCCTTCCCGCGGGTATTGGGCTTCTCGATACGCTCATAATCGTCTCGCTTGACCATGGTGGTCTTGTAAGCCCAGTCGTACTTGCTGTTGCGGAGGTTCATAGCCTCGCAGGGCGTTCTGATTTCTTCAATGTCTTTGGCGTTGGCAACACCGGCTTCGACAACTAGAATTCTGGCATTGGGACACTCCGCCAAGCGGCCAGCGACAAGGTTGCCGGCGGTGCCACCACCAACGATGATGAAATCAAATTCACTATTGTCCGGGACAACCATGATGAAAAACTGAAAGGTTGAATCAGTTTGAATGTCTGAATGTCTGAATGTCTTGTTTGGATCACAACAGCATGGACATTCAGCACCCCTTGGCTCTTTATATGTGTAATCCCAATAGAATTTCGGGAAGACCGGGATCATGCGATGTTGAACAATAATTCGTCTTGGAATTACCCCTTTGGCACCTAGGCGTCATTGATTCAGATACGCACTCGAGGGACAAATTTTGAAAAGGTAACACATATATTGAGAAGGAAGAGTCATTGATTATGCAGTCTTCATAGAGTTCGATACGAGTTGAAGTCATCGTTTTCGCCATGGAACGTCTATACCGGGGTTTGTTCCTCTATGTTGCGCGGCCTGTGACACGAGTGTTATCTCTAATCCCAAACATCCAATAAAACACATGAATCATCTGTTCATCGTTGCAGGCAAAACTCTAGTGGTCAAATTTAGAATACGAGAGATGCGTCGTCCCGGACCACTAAGTATAACCGTGCTGGCGTTTTGCCCGAACCATGTGCCTAGCTAAAGCCTGCCTTAGGCTTAGTTCAGATGATAAGAGAAGACAGAGTTCTCATTGGAAACCCTCATATCTTTACTCTAAAACAAATGGTTGCCGGTAAAGTTTTCTTTGTTGGTCAGTTTAATCAGCGTCAAGACCTTGGAGCTGGGATGTCTTAAAACTTTGCTATGTAATACAGACCGAGCTATAGACCTTTGTGGGTCCAGACAGAAAAAGGAATCGACAGATCTGGTAGTGGTATTCACCAATAGCATCACCCGTCGCCACAGCGGAGAGCTTTGTTTGTTTAGACGTTTAAGCGCGGCAAAACGACATCACCTCATTGGAGTGAACAGAATGTTTTGATGTTGCCGTCTACCCGAAAAATGCCTCGTAGATTCGTATCTGATATCCAATTTTGGGGCATCGGACTCCACAAATGTGTCATCTAGTGGTGACCTTCGATACGAACGACGATGGAATGGGGGTCAATTGCGGCCAAACTCTCGCTGTCGTGCAAATATCACTTGAGAGTGAAGGAGAGTGTAAGTGTAATACTGGTGGAGCCTTACCCAATCCAGAACCACGAGGTAGACAAGTGGTGATACACTTTAAACTCTATATAACTCAGCTTTGGAAACTCAGCTCAAGTGTGATACCAGCCTACCTCCGAAAATACACTCTTACTACCAGAAATATCATTCAACATGGCAGACTACTACACATTAGCGGAAGGTAGGAATCCTTCCGATCCAGATCTTCCTTGAGCTTGACTATATATAGGCTGTCCATTCGCAAGCAGCAGTACAGCTGTTCAGCTACGTAACGGGCAAGGGGGTGGACTTGGGTTGCTTGAAGATACCCAGCTCATTGAGACTCTGGCCCATTTTTCGCGTGAGAGGATTCCGGAGAGGCATGTTTCCTGATCAATCAATTGATAGCCTTAGTCAGAGGGAAAGAGATCTAACGATTGATTAGAGTCGTTCATTCCAAAGCTTCCGGGTAATCCGGCTATGATGGTTATTCCTTGGGTTTCAATTGCTGACATTTATGTAGAGCCTATGGCGAATTTGAGGCTACCCGCGATTGTTCCGACTTTACGTCCGCTAGTTTCCTCAACAAGGTCGGGAAGAAGACCCCAGTGCTGCAGCGGGTGTCAACGGTTGGCCCTGAAGCGGGCTCTGCCGATACTTCTCGTGATGTCCACGGATGGGCGATGAAGTTTTATACTGATGAGGGCAATATGGACTGGGTTTTCAACAACACAGTATGTGTGTCAGTCTCTAGCGTCGTGATGTTAAATTGACTTTTGAATTTCTCTTCTACAGCCAGTTTTCTTTATTCGTGATCCAATCAAGTTCCCGTCCCTCAACCGATCTCACAAACGGCATCCTCGGACTCATCTTCCAGATGCAAACATGGTGAGTCAGTTCAGTCTCAGGACATGGTAGCCAATCTAATGAGCAAACAGTTTTGGGAGTATGTGTTCTATGGGTTCTAATTTTCAAACTCCATTCTCATACAATCTAGCTTCCACGTCGGTAATCCAGAGGGTATGCATGAACTGCTACATCTATTCAGTGATCGCGGTACTCCAAAGTCTATCCGGCACATGAATGCATATAGTGGGCATACATATAAGTTCACCAAACCGGTAAAATCCAATCTTTTTTACTAGGGAATCTTGTTACTCCGTCTAATTTTATCTAGGACGGGTCATTCAAGTATGCCAAAATCCATGTCAAAACGCAACTAGGAGTGGAGAATTTCACCAAGGAAGAGGCCACCAAAATAGCCGGCGAAAATCCGGATTATCTCATTCAGGACATGTTTGAAGCCATTGAGAGGGGTGACTTTCCCGTGTGGAATGTCTATGTTCAACTGATGACTCCCGACGAGGCTAAGAATTATCGATGGAATATCTTCGATATGACCAAGGTTTGGCCACATAAGGATTTCCCTCTGCTGCAAATCGGACGCCTTACGATGAACCGTAATGTAAGTGGCATCATTTTCTTTCGCACCTGTCATTCTGCTTGGTTCTAATGAGAATAGCCAAATAATTACTTCGCGGACATTGAACAAGCCGCATTTTCACCGTCTACAATGGTGCCAGGATTTGCTGCATCGGCTGATCCTGGTAAGTGGATACGCTTATCTATGTCTATATATGTATGAAACAAACTTAGGTACAGTTCTGCAAGCCCGACTGTTTGCATATCCCGATGCTGCGCGTTATCGGATTGGCGTCAATTACCAGCAACTCCCGACCAATGCAGCCAAAGCCCCTGTCTATTGCCCTTTCCAAAGGGATGGTGCGATGAGATTCGACGGAAACTACGGCGCTGATCCTAATTACGTCAGCTCGTCCCTTCAGCCAACCAAGTTCTACCCAGCCGTGAAAAAGACGGATCCTGCAGCACTGAGTCTACACACTGAACATGAGAAGTGGGTGGGCGAGGTGGTAAGTTACGCGAGCCATGTCACTGATGAGGACTTTATCCAACCCGCAGCATTGTGGGAGGTTATTGGTCGGGAGCCCGGTCACCACGATCGGTGTATTGGGAATATCGTTGCTCATTTGAAGGGCGTGAAGAGCCATGAATTACGCAGAGCTGTTTATGGTGTGTGTTCCTCGTCAAGTATCAGGGGTACACAATGAAGGGATTCTTCATTGCATATACTAACCTGCAATCAGGACTTTTCTCTCGTATCAACAAAAGTCTGGGATTGATGGTGCAGGAACGTACGGAAGAGGCAGTTCAATCCCCCTGATACAACAGCACTTAATTTACACTTGATAGGTAAAAGATAGTCTTGCAGATTATGCAGATAATATTCAAGACGGAATTATCACCCTCGGGTATAAAAATCGGAAGTTTGTGAGCTACTAATTCCAAATTTGGCTTTCATAGGTTGAATCGGAAATGGCGATATAGGTAGAAATAATAAACAAGAAAAAAAAATGATTCCGTTCGACGAAGGCGATACAATTCGCCACTGAGCAGCCGCTCACTGATTCCGTGTGATACCTTGTTACAAATTGCATCCCTTCTCATCATGATATCTGTTCATGATTCGTTTACGGCGGACAAAATCCCCCAAAATAAGTTCCAATCACCAGTCATGATCTCATGGATTCAGTGAAACATGACGGGTCAATTGCGCTTGGGTACCGCGAGATATGAGCGACATGATTCAACCGTCGAGCATATGTGGGATGCACGACCTTTCCCACGAGCCAAAAAAAACGAAAGGAGTTATGATCTCCCATCGTAAAGTTTTGTTCTGTCCATAGATCCGAGAGGTATCTCGAACCAGCCAAGGCCTTAGCGATCGGACCAAGCTTCGTGCTTTGGCTCTTTTCTGAAATTTCGAGATAAGCGAATCCATGTGCTGTTCAGGCATGAAGCGGTGTGCACGATTCAAGTAGTCGACACGTTCTGGTCAAACGCCCCACGTGGATTCGCAAGCATCTGGCTCATGTCGCATCCCCGTAGCACATCCGTAGCCGATTTTGGATGTTTTGGTCCAGTCGTGACACCACGGCAAGCATCGGGGAAGGATGTTCCAGCAATGAAAGGCGGAAGTGCCGCAATCGAGGTGGCTGCATAAAGACAATCAATTGCCCCTTTGGCGCATCTTACCGCTGTCATTGATTGCGGTGGTGGATATGAATGGTTCGTGGGTCCAGGGTGGCCCCTGCTGCCTTGGTTACACAACATGAAGTTCCCCTCACCGTGACCTGCACACTGCTGCATCAGTGCATTTCGGGTGTCGAGGCTCGACTTTCATAGTTGCTACAATCTGTGCTTGCATTGCATTTCGGGGCGCTTGCGCAGCTATTTATTCTTCAGTGCGACCCACTGGAAGCTTCTTCAAACATGGGTCCCCAGCGTCGACGTACAGTGTCCGCTTCCAAGCTCCGAGAAAGCTCAATCTTTCGAACAAAGAGATCTGGACTAATTTCAGACTTGCAAAATGATATGGGAGTATTATAACGGCAAAATCCTGTTTGTCACTGGTGGGACGGGAGTCATAGGCACTGCGCTCCTTTATCGTCTCTTGACCCAATCCGCGCCAAAAAGGGTCTATGTGTTGAGCCGCGGTGGTTACTCGTGAGTGACAAAAGCCAGCAGGGATGGCAAGTGCAACACTGACATAGAACATTAGAAATGCAAAGGCAAAATGGTCCAGCTTGATGCCTGCTCACTTTGCCAAGGTCCTTTACGATAGCAAATGTATGACCGTCATGGATGGTGAACTGGGAGACACGGCAACAATGGATCTATCCGATGAGGACCTGCAAATGCTGAAAAGAACGGTACACATCATTATCCACGCTGGTGCCACTATGGAGGTCACAAACTCGCTCCGCGAGCTATCATACAAAATCATCGCGCCAACCCTGTGTTTGACTCAATATGCATTGAAATTCGCCAACCTGGAACGATTCGTGTTTCTTTCGACAGCATATGCCAATGCCCACCTGTGGAAAACCAGCAAATCTTCCGACGTTCAGGTCGAGGAGAGGGTGTACCCCCTGGGAGACGAAAGCGAGGATCTACCTTATGCGACAGCCCCGGAAATATGGAAACAAGTACAGAAGACGGGTTCATCAGACGAGTACGACGCACATGACTTTCCCTGGCCCTTTGCCTATGCCAAACACCTTGCCGAGCGGCTAGCTCTTGAGAAAGCCGCCCAGAAAAACGCAATGGATAAGATTCTTATCATTCGCCCTTCGGTCGTTGGCCCAGCTGATAAATTACCTTTCCCGGGTTTCACAACCTCAAAAACGACCCCGTCTACTGCCTGTGCTGCTGCATACGCACTACACCCGGGTCGGAAGATAATGCTATCCTCACGCTGCCCGAACCCAGACCAAGAGGTTACCATCGATGAAGTCCCCGTGGACGTCGTCGCAGATCGACTACTTGTGCACGTAGCCCTGGGCTCGAGCGGATGTGTCCATGCCGTCAGTGGGGAGAAGGGCAGACTTCGGATTGAGGACTGGTGGAGTGCGTTCAAAAATGAGCGTCGACTTCCTTGGAATGTGAAACCTGTTTGGACGTCTGAAGATTGGCACTCTACGAATCTGCATCATATGGCGCGGGATTTCAAAATCATCGGGACTTCGTTTGCGTTTTCCGATGATAAGACCGATGCACTGGCGGAGAAGATTAGTGCGGAAGAAAGCGACAAACTTCTCCTTTATGCAGATCGGTCGAAGCCGTATCATCATACTATAGTACATCAACGGCATCATATTCATAATGCGGCGAGGTCTTTGGCTAAAAAGACGGGATGGCCCATTTGTTCGGTGCGATTACTTTGTCGGAAGGGTCAATCTCCGCTGCAGATGAACCAACCGAATGAGAAGGCTGTAAAATGAAGCAACGGAGGAGAGATCTTGAAAAGTAATGATATATCGTCGAAGACTTGGTAAAATGCTTCTAATGTCCATCTGTTCAATGTTACCTCGGAGTCTTTTCCTTAGCAGGACTTGACTTTTAAAATGTTCATAACTATCTTTCATAATCAATGTTTGGATTCGTTTTCAAGTATATGCAGAAATTGAATACTATTTCTAACATAATCGATCTATGGCCGTAATCGGGATACTCCAGTTGGCCGCGGAGCGGGTCCACACGCGGGGAAAAATAAATTCTTTTTTTTTTTGCCCCTCAATACTTCCTTATCACCTTGAACCAAACCTCGAACCCTCACTCACCAACGGCCCACCATGCCTCCATCAACATGCTTTAACTGCAAGACGGCGCGCGCCGTAATCATCCGACCGAAAAACCGCCACAAGCTCTGCCGCGAATGCTTCATCCAGATCTTCGAACTCGAAGTCCACGAAACAATCACAAGCGCAAACCTATTCTTCCGCGGCGAGCGAATCGCAATCGGAGCCAGCGGCGGCAAAGACAGTACCGTTCTAGCTGCGGTACTGAAGACTCTTAACGAGCGACATGACTACGGACTCGATCTCAGTCTACTCTCTATCGATGAGGGTATTCGCGGATATCGCGATGATAGTCTCGAGACTGTGAAGCGCAATGCAGTACAATACGAGATGCCTTTGGAGATCGTCGGATACGGCGAGCTATACGGGTGGACTATGGATCAGGTGGTGGAACAAGTGGGCAAGAAGGGAAACTGCACGTACTGTGGCGTGTTCCGCCGACAGGCTCTTGATCGCGGTGCGGCGCGATTGGGTATCAACCACGTTGTAACGGGACATAATGCGGATGACGTTGCCGAAACGGTCATGATGAATCTGCTGCGCGGTGATCTACCCCGATTATCGCGTGGAACAAGCATCGTCACTGAGTCTGGAGCTTCAGATATCAAGCGCAGTAAGCCGCTGAAGTACGCTTATGAGAAAGAGATTGTTCTCTACGCGCACCATCGTCAGCTGGACTATTTTAGTACCGAGTGCATTTATTCGCCTGAGGCATTCCGCGGAAGTGCGCGCACCCTGATTAAAGACTTGGAGAAGATCCGACCGAGCTCGATTCTGGATATTGTCAAGAGTGGTGAGGATATGGCTGCTCTCGTGCCCTCGCAGGTCCGGGGAGCCGGGAAGTGCAAGTCTTCTGCGCCTGCTGAGGATGAGGCGGCTGGTGGTTGTGGAAGTCAGAATGGCCGGTCTAGCGGTGGAGAGATGGCTGCCATGGAGCACCAACTTGCTGCGAATGAGACTGCCGAGTCCCGCGAGACGGAGATTCGGATCCCGAGGAAGGGCGTCGAGGCGAAGAAGATCAAGCCTCAGACTTTGCAGTATTGTGAACAGTGTGGTTATATCTCAAGTCAGCGCATCTGTAAGGCGTGTACGCTTTTGGATGGATTGAATCGTAATCGTCCCAAGACTGCGATCGAAGTTGGTTTGGAGGATGAGGAGGGCAGCTCAACGTTGGCGAGACAGATGGAGCGCACTCAGCTGACCAACAGCTGATTGGTATTACGAAGACATACAATATACAACATCTGTCATCCGCCGTCTTATCTGGTGAAGCCTGCTTCTGATACAGGCAAAGGCATATTCCCAGAACTCCAATCAGGCTGCTCTTCCAAGAGATTCTGAGAAAATCAGACTTGCACGACACAAGCTCTGACTTCTGAGCTGAAGTACTACTCAGCAAGCCCACGCCAGTCGCTTTCGAGTCAGAAAAGCTTCATTCAAAGGCATCTCATGAGCTATAAAATTAGCTCCGAAAGCTATACTCTCCCGAACCAAAGGAGAAATTCTGAATGTCTACGATACATACAATAGTTAGACAATTCCAGATAGAAAGAAATATCCATGTTACAAGTTCTCTATATTTTGTACAGGTGATCAAGAAGTAGTATACAAATCCTGCCAATCAAGGCACATCACACTTCAGTATATCGCAATCATCCACTCAATGCCAATCCAAGATTCTTCCAGGTGACGATTCCACTGTCGTCACCACCCGATCTGATCCCGATCCAGTTTCAATGTAGTCAATCCGAGAAGCAGGTCCCCAATATCCAATCAAGCCCAGTGCGAAGGTGTAGCATAGCACAGCGGATTTCGAATATCAAATCTTTGGACGACACAGACAGGTCAAGGCTAAATAGCCAGCCTTCAGATCAAATTACTCACCCTTCCCCTTCCCCTCAGCCTCATACAACGAAGGAACATCGAGTCCAACTCTTCTAGCCGTAAGTCTGACCCTCTCCTCCTCATCCATACCCATACCGGGATTATATCTCTCAAGCAACTCAACATATGTCCGCTGCGCGCGAGCATACTTAGCCAGCTGCTCAGCTTCCTGGAAGCGCAAAGTAGCCTCTTCTGCGGAAGTGGGAAGTGAGAATGGAACGGGCGGACTTGAGGAGGAGCTTTCTGTGGAGGTGGCGGAACTGGGTGTTGTTGCTGGGTTGGGACTTCCGGTTGTGGAGGGTGTTTGTTCTTGGGAGCGGAAGAGCTGGCGGAGGCGTTGGTGGAGGGGGGAGGGGGAGTTGAGGGTGCGGCTTCTCGCGGGGATTTCGCGGAGAAGAGAGCGGTAGGCTGTCCGCATTTGGGAGGTGTTTGATGTCATTTTTGTGGGTTGGGTGGTGTTTTGGAAGTTGGGATGTTGGCGAGATCTTATCTGCGGTTTTTGGCGGATCGCGATGGATGGAGGTTGCACGTGACTTGGCTGGAAGTATTGAGGCAATAGCACACCCGGCACGAATTATTGGCAGAATGAAGTTTTTTCTGCTTTGGTACTACATGTGCAATGTTTGATGACTGATAAATCCTTTTAATAAAATCTACCACAGGTAGATATTGTCATCCGCACCGCGGCTGTTGATCATGACTACATACCACATCAACGTGCTCCTATGTACAAAGTGTTTGGCGGAGCTTCGCCATTGAATCACCGCCCCGAGCTTCATCATTCATGCCATGGAACAATCCAGCAAAGCATGCAAGCAAAAAACAGAGATAGAACAGGACAGGAAATTGCAGAACGCAGTATATATCAATCATAGAAGCGTATCAACGTGAGGAGGATATGGTGGACAGAGGTTAAAGCAAGGTACGCGAGCAAGGGTGTTGTAGCAGGCCACGGGAATATTGGCATGCTTCTTTGGTTTGTAATCGGCATTTAGGCACGTAGCCAGCCAAACTTTTTTCGTACGGGCTCGCCGCTAGTGGATGGCTCGATTTGCAAGCTGCGAGCATACAGATCCTAATTCTGTTAGTTTGAGATTAAGATGAGGAAAGCAGGCGTATCTTACCTCTTCATCACCGGAGAGCTTGCAGTCGAGAATCAGTCGTTCGATATCTTCGAATTTCTGAGCTTGAGGATGGGGTGTCTTTTGGCTTCGCTGAATACCAAGGACGGCCTCACCCATGACCTCAAACTTCTTCCAGTTGATCCGGGACTTGTTTTCACCGACAAAGGTCTTATTTCCTTCTTCTGCAGAGACCAGATCGCGGCGGTGTAATGGCAAGAAAGGAATCCTCTCGGAGAATGAGTTCTCCCACGCTAACCGGTAGGCGAAGTGGCTGCGCTGGGTGCTCATAAGGATAACGAGCCGCATGAATTCTTTTTGCGTCTGGACCGGGATCAATTCCCGGGTCTGTGTCAATCGATGGACAGGTGTGCCATTGATGGCGGCAATCACAGCACCGAGAGCGTTATAGTTGTTTTGACGACGGAGTTTCTGTATACAAGTTAGTGTCTGAGATTAGCGGGTAGTAAATTTGGATACTCACCACTGCGATATTCATGAATTTTTCAAGACACCTTGCCCGGTGCTTGGGTTTGTCACGAAGTATGATCATACTTGCCACGAAGAACGCCAGATGATTGAATTGTTTGATCATCCGGTTGACGTTGGCCAAGCTCTTGATCTTGTCCTTGTCAACGCCAGAGATACTCACATGGCGCACAAGATCACGTGGACGGAATGAGTTGTACATGACCCAATCGATACGCGTAAGCTGACGGGCAAATTCTTCATCTGGTGTCTCCATGAATTGCCGCCATTGAACTTTTGTGAGCGGATGTCGAGGGTGCAGTTCCAGACGGAGCGCTTCCTTTTGCGCGGCCTCCAAGGTCAGAACAGTGAATGATTGGTTGAGGGTACTGGATGGTTTGTCGGTATTAGATGAGATGGAAAGGGTTCCTGAGAGGCGAGAGGTTGAGTCATGCGGTCCATCACTGAGATCCAAGGCGCTCATGCTATAAATCGGGTCTTCTTCCTCTTCTCCTTCATCTTCATCGTATGTGCCAGTCAGAAATGGTGCTGGCGAGCTCCGACCAGAGTTATCAAAAAAAGTCTCCGTGAGGCTGGAGTCATCAATGTCTCCGTCTCGGAATGCCCAGCCGATGTCGTCGTCATCGGCATTCGTGTCAAGGAATGATCCAATTTCCTTCGCAGCGAACATGTAAAAATGACTCTTTTCGAGTGTAGTGACAAATTCATTGACCCGTTTGCGAGTCTTAGGGTAAGCAAAGTCACCGGGGTAATCTGAAGCCCATTGGGCCATGACGTTCAGTAATCGCAGCTGATCGGCCATGCGGGCCAGTTGATCTGCATTGCTGGTTTCGTTTTTGTCGAATCGGCCAATCAAGGCATTGAGAAGGGTTGCGGGAGCAGCGAATTTGCGATAGAGGCAGAGAAAAATGGTGACGAACTTGCCGTCCTGTTTTGACATGGGCAAGGCGACGAGACGGTCGACTAAGTCATCAAACGACAATCCCGCCTCGGCGCTGCAATTGCTCTCGCTACTCGGCTTAGGCCGCACGACACTAGTCGGACTCAATGGGGCTTCATCCATCTCGTCCTCCATATTCAAAAAGCTATTAAAGGCGTCCGGGTCTCCACTATGCCGCCAGGCAGTTTGTATACGTTGTGAGAAGCTGGGTTGTGATTCTTGGTTTGGAATATCTCCCTGTGCTGATGGTCGGCGGGTATTCATCCGCGCCTCTGGAGGAGATTGCGGTCGCACCGGCTGGGAATTACTTCGGGCATTTCGTGCAAAACTTGGAGCATTCTGTTGCGCCAGATTGGAGCGCGGGGCTAGGTCGGTGGGCAGACAATCACCATTCCCATCGACACTTGGGTTCGAAACCGACGGTATCGAGCCGCCAGCGGCTCCCGTTAACACGGCGGTTGGGGTTTCGGAATTGGCTCGAGTATGGTGCCAATCGAGGGGTGGGGTGGGTTGGAAGGACTTGGTCGTTGTTCGCGGCGGGGGAGGGACGGAAGGCGCAGGATTATTATTAGGGTGGTCAGACGAAGCGAGGTCTGGGCAAAGTGGGAAAAAATGGCAGAACTGAATTAGCTCAAGTGTACCAAAGAGCGGACAACGCCACAAATCTCTCCAAAGTCTCTTCTGCTCAGGATTCCCTCGTTTGGGGCTCCTCTGTCGATCGGTGGACTCTGGACAGGAGAGTGAAAAAAGGGTAGCGAAATGCTAGTACCGTGACCCACTTTGGAGCATTCACCCATGGGGGGTCATGGCTCACTAACAATTCCGTTTGATCCATTGTTGCCGAGAGGACAAAGAGAGAAGACCGAACGAATCAAAAATAAAAATAAAAAAGACTCACCTGCTCGGAAGGAAATTACGGCCCGCAGAACAAGAGCAATGCACATTTGCTGGGATCGGGGCGACTCGGGCGAGGTCCGGTAGGTCTCGTGTCGCTCATGGATAGCACCCAGGTCACTGTCCTCCGGGCGCAGATCACACTTGCAGGCAACCAACAGGAATGGCAATGGGGATGCATCAAGCGAGTCTAAATACACCAAAATGGTCAACTCAAACCCCAGCAAATCGGAGTGGGCGGTCCATGCTTTACCCCAGGATTACGGGGCGATGTATGGGGTAACCTGCCCGGCGATGGAGGGTTATATCGGGGGATTTCGTGTGCAAAGACCATCAACCTACCTACGAGTTCAATTGTTTCGGCGAATTTGTCCGGTTGAGTTGCATCATGCAGCACCAACACTCCGTCAATGGTCGGAGGAGAAGAGTCCTTTCCCAGATGTGGCCAGAGAATGTTCTTTTCCTGATCGAATTGAACCTTCTTCAAATCGATTTCCAACAAGCGCACAGTGTAGATGGACCCATCCAATGACATCTTCTTCTTGGTCAAGATGGAGGAGGGCGTGCTTTTCATATCCAAGGCGCATTTTATAAAGCTCGTCTTGCCAGCATTGAACAATCCCACAACAGCAATAGTCACTTCGGGGAGACTGGCCTTGGGTTCCTACAGAGAATCGACTACCGTTAGTAATCTAATGATTCTTCTTGGTTGCAGTTATAATTCTGCATGGCCTATCAAATCCGCGGGGTCTCGGGACACACCTCATCACCTTGCCCTTGCCGGGAGCGAGATCGCTTAGGCGTGTGATTGCTCGGCACCTCGTCTTCCTCCAATGTCTGACCAAGTTTTGCTGCAGACCCCTGTCTTCGAACCGAATCCAGTTTGTAAAGTCCTCCTGATGGGGCCGAGGCTGTACGGCCACCCATACCCGGACGTTGTAAAGCTGCCGCGGACGTTGGCATTGCTTGTGCTCTGTCGCTGGAAGCCCGCTCATGACGGGGCGGTTGGGAAGCCATGGCGTCCGGTTAATGGCGGATATAATGCGTGGGCGACGAAGTAACCAATTGCGACAGCGCAGGTGATCTTTATTGTGTTTGTTCGAGGAGCCCGCACTGCAGCGTATCCATTATTGCCGTAGAACAGATCAGATTCGGTCACGGGGCGAGGTACCCATTTGGCGTAACAAGGCAATGGAAGGCGAATGCTACTACACGTCGTAGAGGATTTCAACTACACTCAATAGCTAGTTAGACCTAATTGAACGATCTGGGGGGTATATGAGCGGGGGGGGGGAAGCTTCCTTCATAACTCACCGGAGTTATCCAAACAGCAACGAAATGGAACCGTGGAACGGACAAGCCCAACCTTAAGAGGAAAAAAGAAAGGGTAATCCAAAGAAAAGGTGAATGTTCTTTATAAACAAGAAATCCAAAAATGTATGGACAGATCACAGTGGAGGATTTACAATTATTTTTTTCTCGGGAACCGAATTCTCCTTTCCCATTGGAGTCAGGGAAGTGCCGTAGTGGCCCGTTCTCCAGATCGCAAGCCCACAGTTCAGTTCCCATCTGAACTCGAGCCATCCGAGCCTTTCCATTCGTCGAGTCACATTCTGAGCTGAGCTGAAACCCCATATCCATTATTCCATAGCTGCGATATGGAGTATGGGCTACCAAGATCGACGCAGAACTGTCCCTCGTGGCGCCGCCACCCAACATGAAAATATTAAATTGACAGGATGCCAGGATACTCGCTTACGAAACCAAGACAATAAAATACTAGCATCACGTCCAATGGTGCCAGAAATTGTGGTCTCTACTGGGGAGCGGAGAAACCGCAAGTCCAATGATGCTGCAGAAGTGGTGATACGTAGTGGGATTCGTTCAATGTGACAGCTAATCCACAAACTGCACCAAGCCTACACCTCCAGGCTTCTCACTGTGCATAACAACGAGATCGGCAGCTCTAGCTCAGCCCTCTTATTCGAAAACTGTTTCCGAGGCTGACGAGACACACGGGGTTCAACAGGTCGACTTTTGGGTATGCCCCGTGCAAGATGCCTGAAACTGCCGGATATCCGCCCCCAATCCTATTTTATTCTTGCTGAATTTGTGGTCTTCATCCCCAAGTGTACTGGTCTGTTAAGGCCTAGCCGCATCCGGGCTCCGCTCTGGAGGGGGCATGGTTTGGTTGGGCCCGCTAAGGATGCGCTATAATGGCGCTTGTTCAACCCACCGGGACCCGGCACTTCGGTTGCGCGACTGGTCTTGGCTCGATCATCCCCGTTGGGTCTTTGTAAATCAATAGTGGCGCGCAATATGGCAAGTACTAAAGCTAACGGCTTTGACAGAGTCTCTACCATACACACAAAGAGAAATAACTGAAGATTGAATTCGTGGTGGGTCCCACATTTCATTGTCCCGCAATGATGCTATATAGATCCCGCTACGGAGGAGATGCTTCCGAGGCTCATAATTACAGTCTGCCGAGATGATTCGACTGCAGTTAGGCCGAGTTTGGCATCTGAGTACTCGGGCTATTATTGACCAAGGCGAGGAATTGCATAAACGCCTCGGCTGTGACACCTGTCTCTGTCCCTTCCTCGCAATCCTGTCTTAACTTCCGTACCTTGCCGAGAGCACGGTTGAACCCTTTCTCTGCAGTCCATGGTCCCCGGCTACGACGTGTAGGTCCTTTTCCTCCCCGGCCATAGGGACGTCCTCTGGTCGGTGGGGTGTACCACTCGACCCATTCGTCTTCCTGTGCCGCTTGGTATATATCGTGCAGCTGCGTACGTAGCTGAGGGTAGCGCTGGAGGAGATCTTGGAGCTCGGATGATGCAGCACTAGCATTGCCAGCTGCAGTGGACGCTTTAGGTTGGGCTTGTATATCCCCCGTATTTGGGGCAGTTTCACCGTTGACCGGGGGTGAAGGGTTGGTGGCTGATGTCCCGGTCGGTTCCTCGATCGATGGCTGCGGCTTAGGAGCGCAATATATCTTATGAGACTGGGTACATGCAAGCGAGCAGCTGTTTCGGAGCGAATTAGCAAATGAAACCCAGGGGTACATTGAATAGCGGAGTTGTACCTCATGAGCCCGCATGCTGGACAACGGTATTTCGAGGGTTCCGAAGAACACACCTCGCAGGAACCAGGCATTTTATTGGGTAAACCAGGATCCGGTATTAAATACGGTGCCCACCATACTTGGCACGTCGATGCGCCGAGGTTCAAGGTTCAAGAGAAGTTCCTGCCTGAAGCAAACATCTTAAAAAAAATAAGGATAAGAAAAATGAGATAACGGAGCTCCGATTGCTGCCTCAGGCCACAAGACCCGCTCCATCCTATTTGTGGAGCTTACACGTGATAGCGACATCGCATGAATCCCAGCGAGGTTTCCAGAGCTTTAACCTATATTATTTTCGGCAACGACAATTTTCGGTTCTGATCGCCAGATCTTGAGACTCGGAGCTGATGTGTGACATCTCTCCAGGGCTGATCTCCCGCGTCGGCCCGGCTCGAGGTTGATGGATCCATCAATCCACATCAAAAATGGGTGGCGTTCCGTATGGATCTAAAGGCTGCAATACATGCCGCCGACGGAAGGTCAAGGTATTGTCAAAAATCCCCCAGGCAGGGGGTAGTGCCCAATTTACAGAGCATCCAATCCTGACCCCTGTTTAGTGCGATGAGAGTAAGCCGGAGTGCATACGGTGCCTGAAGAATGGCCACGTCTGTACCGGGTATGAGAGGAAACATGTTTTCATTCACAACTCAACTGACAGGAAGGTTCTGGCTCAGCGGCCTCGAGAGCGACCCCAGGAAACAGTTGTCAAAAAAGCAGCAGTGGCATCATGCCCGGTCAAAGTGGATCCTGATATTCCCCGCTTCAATGTCAACGTACAAGTTAGGACGCAAGTCGTGGCGAAGTTTATTGATCTGTATGCACCATCGGCGCTAGTATGGGATGCCAAGTCGGAGTCAAGTATGCACCTGCAGGATACCTTTCCAATCTTCATTGGGAGAAGTCCGGTCCTTGATAAGGCTGTAACAGCGCTGAGCTCTGCCTTTCTGGCCAAGCGGAACCAAGATCACCAGTTGTTATCTTACAGCACACGGCTCTATGGAGAATCTTTGCAAATCGTGCATCAAAAGATTCAGACCGGGCGTCATTGCAGTCAGGATTTCTTATTTGCTACAGTCATTTTTCAATTGTACGAGGTATGCGTATTCCTGGCAGCCAGATACGTTCTGGGAAAATATGCTGAATAGAGTATAGTTAATCAATGCTTCGCCACTGGGTTTCAGAGCATGGCTGGCTCATGTTCAGGGAAGCAATGCGATTCTGTCCCAATATACCAGTTCCAGCCCGTCGTCGGTGACAGATCATCTTTTTTGGCGTCAATTGAAATTCGCCACCGTATGATCAATTCTCAAATGGGGTCACTGAACAGAATGACTGACGTGGTTGATAGATCTGTAATGCTGTTGGGAGACGCAAGTCGGTCTATTCGTACAGTCCCTTCTGGCGACATACATCTCTGGATAATCCATGGCGGGAACCGATAGATGAGATTCAAGACTTTCTCATTGAATGTTCCGCCCTCATGGAACAAGTTGACAACTTGATACAAGGAGGACATCCAGACTTGCAGGATGATATACGTATCGGTGAGCGCTTATGCCACAGTTGTCTAACACTGAAAGATAGGCTTGACACCGGATTCGGTGAGATGCAAGCGAAATTGGGCATACCTTTTTCTTCTCCTGATCAAAGGTCCTTCTGGAGTGAACTGGACGATTCCATACCAAGCGATCTATTTCCTGATGTTATCGAATATCCCTCCATCAGCTGTGCGCAGACACACTTACTCTGGTGGACAACGTTTATTTTGATCTATCCATTGATTGACCAGTTATTCGTCTTTCTGGGTCGACCTCGCAGCAATGTCTCCTTTACTTTGTGGACAGTCCCAACATCATCTTCACCAACAGATGTCCCATCCTTTTCAAGAAGAGCTGGGCTTCCAGATAATCTCCTTGAGGTTGCTGATCATTACGCAAGCTTAATCTGCCGCTCAGTGAAGTTTCTTGTGCAGCCTAGAACAAAGGGCATGGGTGCTCAGGTTATACTTGCTCCATTTAGTCAAGCCACCCAGTTCTACCATAGCCAGGAAGCCACCGATAAGCACCGATGGTGTCAAGCAGTGTTCATGGTCCTTCCCCGATTAGGCTTTGGAATTGCCCCGTTTATGAAAGATATCATCTGGCCTAAATATGAAGCTGCCACAAAAAAGAGTCCTACCACTTCACCTCAGTCCCAAGGTGATGAGTCGGAAGCTGGGAATTTGAAGAGGAGGGAATCGGTTCCTTATTCTACGAGCGATAGTGGTCAGTCTGGAGATTTATAATCGTTTTTGATATGGCTAATAAACTCAACCCTTTTTCTAAAGTCAACAAGACTTCAAAGACATGAGTCCACAGACAAAAATAGATAAAGCACAGTGTGTCCACAGGGTACAAAGTATAAGTGTAGCTCAGAAAGAAGTTGATTAGCGAATGCTTGTTAAATACCTATTTTGATCACTTTCAAACATGAGCCCTGCTGCAGTAGTAGTTTGTCCCGACTTCCGAGTTTCGGCAAATTCTGGTTGCAACGCCTTCTCTCTCATTGGCCAGGACATACCCAATTTGTAATCCGCAGATCACATGACACATTCATTGCGTCAGAGTCCCGGCCGCGGAGTTTCTCAACTTTTTAAACAGTATCTCCATTGCCCATATTGTTATTTTGGCCTGGTAAATCTTCCAAAATGTCAGTCAGCTCAACATCCACAACCATGATTCGACGCGCGCTTTCCAGCGCCCGGGTCTCAAACTCTTTCTCCAAGTCCATCAGACCCGCCGTCTTCAGTCCCTGCAGGAACGTATCGAGCGCTGCTCGCCTGCCCACCATCACAGCCTCAGAGACTCGCCGCCGGCCAACACTAAGACCAAACCAGCAGCCCGTGGCCGCGACCGGTGTGAATGGACCTTCGCCGACGAGCAAGCGCACAATCTTCATTCAGACCGAAAACACTCCCAACCCTGATGTATGTTCCATTCACGTATACACCATTCAATAAGCAGATTTCTAACCCAAGACAGGCCTTGAAATTCATTCCCAACCACGCCGTCCTTCCTGAGGACTTCCCCACCACCTTCCTTGAATACCTAACCCCCCGCTCCACTCTCGCCCCTCCATACCCATCTCCCCTGGCTGCAAAGCTCCTGGACGTTGACGGCGTCACCTCTGTTTTCTACGGATCAGACTTTATTACCGTCACTAAGGCTGGTGACGCGAACTGGGCGCACATCAAGCCTGAGGTTTTCAGCCTGATCACACAGACCGTTACCTCGGGGGAGACCATTGTGTCAGTCGTTGAGGGCACCGGTGAAGCGGGTCAAGAGGTCGAGGAGGATTCGCTCGCCTACAATGAAGACGATGATGAGGTTGTCAGCATGATTAAGGAGCTTCTGGAGACGCGGATCCGTCCTGCCATCCAGGAAGATGGAGGCGACATTGAGTTGCGTGGGTTCGAGAACGGCATTGTCATGTTGAAGCTGCGTGGAGCGTGCCGCACTTGTGATTCGAGCACGGTCACGTTGAAGAATGGCATTGAGTCTATGCTGATGCATTACGTGAGTTTCCCTGGGTTGGAATTGTATACTTTTGGCAGGTTACTAATGTTTTACGTGTTACAGATCGAGGAGGTCAAGGGTGTGGAGCAAGTTCAGGATCAGGAGGAGATTATCTCCATGCATGAGTTTGCCAAGTTTGAGGAGAAGCTGCGACAGCAGAAGGGTGCGGGAGCTACGGCCTCTGCTCCTTTGGACTCTGCCCCGTAAATTGGGTCTGTGGCTTGAACTGTACTATATTCACCATACCACTCTGTTGAGGTTCCTATAGATAATCAAAATTCGAGGTGCAAGTGAGCGCGACTTTGGTTTCATAATAGCGGGGTAGCTGCAAGCTGATATCACCATGGCCATTGCCTAGACCTGGTCCATTTCTTACAAATTGGGAAAAGCATTAGGTCCAGGGATCTTTGATACTAGACCCACCGTCATTTGCAAAAGTAATTGGAGGGAATCCACCCGGAAGACTATCTCCCGGTATACTTTTTATAGCGGCTCTGAAGATCAGAACCTAAGTCCGCGAGAGATGGTGGTGACCACGCCAATCATCCACTAGTTCAAATGTCCTGGAGGGTTAGAAAAGGCTAGGCATGGAGAGAGAGTTCTATACATCTTACATGTGCCAGGAGTTAGTGATTGCGGGGTATGACGGATGATCTCCCATGGTTAAGATTAATGACCCCCTCTTTGTATATCTGGATCTGAAATCATTGATTCATAAACTACCTCGGATTGTCTTTGTTCGAGACCCTGCGAATGTATCTTGGTCGACCGAGATATCTGGTTCATGACCAGAAATTCTTGTTTGTGGAGTTGTGTATGCAGCACCCCACCATACGTCAACCATGTCAAATGAGCCGTGCAGGACAACCCGGAGGCCCGGAGCGCCCGGTGATTCGTGCCCAGGCCCTAGGCCGTGTTCCTTTGAATTTACATTCCCTGCTTAACTTTGAGACTCCTTGCACCTGTATCACGCATGATTTCTCGTACGACGTGCGACCGTTAAAGCCATATCTACAAGGACATGTCCATCGTACCGAGACGGAAACCTAAAGAATCCAACAAGTAAGGAGATCGGGAGGTACCGAATGATAGCGGGGGAGTTAATGCAGGTGAGCTCTCCCCGCAAAAAAAAAAAAAAGAAGGATCAGCCCCTCTTGGTCCAGGGACTCCATTCCGTTCCCCACATCTTTCCTCGTAAACTTGGACTGGACAATGATCCGGGGGAAAGCAAATCAACCATCTGGACCCCCGCAAATGTGCAACCTCTGGGGCCGTGCGAGGCTAGCTGCTCTCTTTTCTGATTGAATGCACGGGTAGCAATGTGGGCTGACAGGGCCTGCAGGGCGGCTTTAATGGAGTCGCTCGCTTCATAAACCAGTTAGAAGTGCCAAACGATGGTCGGCTTCAACCTCCTAATTTCCAGACCCGCACCACCTAGATCGGTTAGAAGAGTGGCTGGGGGAGAGTAGAACCAGTGAAAAGATGTATAATGTATCACTGCGTAGAATCATCCGTGATGGTCCGTGTCCCCTGAACGGGGCGACGTTGCCAATTCCGGTTCCCCCTCTTATACTGTATAGCATACGACCTTCTGTAAACCTTTCCCCCCTTTTCTTCAATTTCTCTTACATTTGCGAAGAGATCATCTATCCACTCAAATTCCCCTCAACCATGCATCACTCTTGAGGGGATTTGGTTGATCCACAACGTCATCCCGAGGTGGTCACGCTACCCCAGCTCCCTTAAAAACCTCCCGAGCGCATTTCCACCCTTCAAACCCGGGGTGGCGATCATTACGATCATTACCATCACAAACTGAACCCCCCCTCCCCGCCCCAATTTTGACACCCGCGCATCCCTTACCTGACCTCCCGCTCCCTGACGGCACTCGTTGAATTCCATTCCCCGGTCGCGGTGCTCGTGTGGAGACACTGAACGCGGAGTGATTCTGACGAGACCCACGATCTTCTTCACGGCGCTTCTGTTCTTCCAAATAGAATTCTTGAAGATCCCTTAGACTTGGTGAGTCGCGGGTCTTTCTTCCGGAATTCTGCGCGCGCGATCTGATATTTATCCTCGAGACTTCGTGCAACAGATACGATTACGATCACGCCCACTTGCTGCTTTTACCTCATTGACACTTGTTTTCGGCTTCCGACTTCCATCAGGCGTCTCGCGGGATTCACACGGGTCCAAAGTAGACGCATCCTAGATTATCTTTCTGCTAGGTACGTTGCTCACAAGAGCGCTTTCCTTTTTGTCACTTGTCGTGCCGCATCCCCTACCGGTCGTCACCATCATTCCATCCCCACTCCCACTTTCACCTTGGGGCGCATTATCGAGACGAATTCCCGGTGCCATTGAGGCCCTTCACTTTACACTGCGCATGTATTGCTGTCGAGGTCCTCCCGCTTTTGTCATAATGAGCCTCAGTCATGCCACACTCAACACGTGCCCCGCGCATCGTGGCCTGTTTCTGCACGGCTCACCGTTGCGATTATAATTTATTCTTTGTTACCCCTGGATAGCTGACATGTTCTTCGCAGTGTTGCACATAGCGCATTCAGTCAGCCATCCATCGTCTCTGAAAGATCGAGATTACCTCCTTCCCTTCGAATTCCAATCTCGTCGAGCGCGTGGAAACAAAGACTGGTGCTTTGTCGCGTGTCCATCAAAATTCAAGAGTACTTCTTTACAGTACAGCTTAGTTTCTCCCTACACACAGATACCACAGGTCAGCAATTTCTTTGTCTTGGGGCCTCGCTTGTCTGCAACAAAAGCCTATTGAGGGGTTTTGTGTTCGATACTTTGGCATTGCATACACCGTGATGAACTATATGGGCTGACACCAGTACAATATCAATTCAGACGTCATGGCCGCGCCATCCCACAAACAAAATTTGACCATTCAATCCAGCACGCCACCGGCACCGGCGACTGCTAGGCTTGAGAAGAGCCACCCGGGAGTGCGGCGATCTACCCCGGATTCCGAGGCCCTCGCTTCGTCGGATGATGATGGAGACCATGCAGGCGTCACACAGAATATGATTTCGTCCCCAATAAAGCCTCGACGTCGAACATCATGGCTCAACGAGGTTCCACTCTCAGTGCAAAGGAAACACTCTCTTCCTGGTGGCCCCCTCTCCTCTGCACCCTCTAACCCCACAAGCCCCGCGACTGATCAAGCGCCTTGGGCTACAAATCCCAGTCCGGGCATCGGTGGTTCATTCAACTGGAATCAATCCACAGGCAGTTCATTCCCCTGGGGAACGGGTATATGGAACACGGATTCCCGTAAGGAACCACCGTCACGTCTCGCAGAGATGGTCCCTTCCCCGACCATGACCAACCCCGCACCTTCTATGGGTGATGAAATGCTCAGCCCAATCACCCGCACCATCTCCGGCGAATCGGCCATTCCATTTTCCATTCCGCTGCATCCCACCCTTAAGACATACCGTTCCCAGTCGTACTCCGTTGGACAAATGGATCCCGAGCATCTCGGAATGATGGCCAAGGTTGGAGCTGGAGCTGGAGCTGGCAGTCAATATCCGAGCAGCCGTGCTCGAGCTCCCGGACAGACCTCAGTTAGCCAGCAACGTGGACAGCGGCCCAGTGTTCTGGGTGAATTGGGACATGACTCTGCCATGCTTGGTCGTGTTCGCGAAGACGACGATGGTGATGAGATTGTGAACAGTGCCGAGGGAGATAGCTACTCAGCAAGCCAGGCCAGGCAAATCGAACAGCTGGCGCGTGAAAACGCACTTCTCCGTCAAGCAGCAGCTGCAGGCCAACTAGACAGCCGATACCGGGATCGTGCACCCTCATCTGCCTCGACAGGTGGTGCTCACCCACTTCATCGTATTCGAGGCGGTGTTCCCGAGGAAGATCTCGCGGGCGAGGACCTTGGGGAATTACGGGACATTTCCGGTTATGGACAAATGCGCAGCAACGGCAGGCGACGATTTTCTGAGCACTCGGCCAATTTGGAACAACAGTTTTCCTCATTTGCCACTCCTCCTTTGGAGAACCGGGCGCTGGAAAATGTGCGCAAGGCTCATTGGCAGACATCGCTTGGTTTCGGGGGTATTCCTGAAGCTCCTCAGAGCCGTCGCCACTCCTTTGCTGACATCTCCCTGCGCCATGACTCTGTTGGCTCGATTGACTCCCACAATACTGCTACACCTCGTGCTCTTGGAGATCGGAATGATGGATATGGCAACGCCAGTGATGGATATGGAAACGTCAACGACTTCCCCGGTGCCTTGCAGCAACAATACTACGCCCGTGAGCAGACCTTGCGCGGCGATGGATCCTCTGGTATTCCTGCAGCTCTCAACCAATACGCGATGTCCGGTGCCTATGGTCGCCAACCCCCAGCGTTGTCTCATGCCCACCAGAACCAGCTTCTCTACATTGTCACATTCAAATGCCATCGTGCGGACGTTTTCTACATCCAAGAGGATACTGGCCTCCAAGTCAAGGCTGGCGATCTTGTGATTGTGGAGGCAGACCGAGGAACAGATCTGGGTACCGTGCAGCATGCGAATGTGTCTCTTCAAAGAGCACGGGAGCTTAAGCAGCAGTACGCTGAGGAGCACTACAAGTGGCTCATGATGTTCTCCCGCCAGGGTATCCTTGAAGGTGGCTCTAGTGTAGCCAGCGCTGGCTCAAACGCTCGAGGCGCTGCCGAAGGAATGGGCCCGCATGCGCATGGCGTTCAAGAGACATCTACCGAGATCAAGCCTAAGCTCATCAAGCGCCTTGCTCAAAATCATGAGATTTTGACGTTACGTGACAAGGAAGGAAATGAGGCCAAAGCCAAACGTGTCTGCCTGCAAAAGGTTGCTGAACATCGACTCAACATGGAAATCTTGGATGCCGAGTTCCAGATGTAAGTTTATCTTCCCGGTTAGCTATGAGCGCCGAGACTGACCATGATACAGGGACTGGAAGAAACTTACATTCTACTACTTCGCGGATTCCTATATCAACTTCAACTCACTGGTCACGGATCTGTTTAAAATTTACAAGACCAGAATTTGGATGTCCGCCATCAACCCTGCTTCATTCGTGACGCCACCGCCTGCTGGCCTGCCTGGACCAAGTGGAATGGCCAACCCACTATACAGCCAAGATGCGCCTCATGGAGATCGGCGTCACCAGCAGGAACGGCCTTACGGAGGACGAGATGCAGATGCTGGGCGCGAAATGGCAAACCCCGTGGGCATGCTCCGTACTGCCTTCACGGACACTTACCAACCATTTGCCCCGTCATCCCGGCAGGTCGATGCAGGACAGCCGGACCCTTTCGCCCCATACTCTCCCACTAGCTACGGAGCGTTGGAGACTGGTTTCTCCGACTACCCTCCTGGTAGTGGACCCAGCACCCGCATTCACCCAGCACAGGGTGAATGGGTTGGCCGGTTCCAAGGCCTTTCGCTCAACTCCTAAATTCCCACACCTCTGTACAATTCGAATGCCTTCGACTTTCCCTCCCCGGTTTTCTGGTTTCTGGTTTTCTGCAACGTTTTCTGCAACGAAAGAGATTCACCCGTTAGACCTGCTCCATGATTTGTTTTTGTTCTTTGTCGTTCTTGTTTTTCATGCGAGTTTACGCGAAAGAATGTTTCTAGTCCACGGTTCGGAGATTTATTTTTCATTCTTTGACCCTGTACTACCTTGTTCAAGCTAGAATTCATACCCCAAGGTTGTTATGAACAGCCTCACAGTCGTTACCATATTTCTTGTTCTGTGTTTTCCTGGTCGTTTCGTTCGCTTTATTCTAATAGACTCGTCTCTTACGACCAAACAAATTATGTCGATATTAAGGCTGTTTGCGCTGCGTGCGTCATTTCAGTCAATTGCAAATCTTATCCCAATTCATTCCAAGTTTATTGAAGCTTCTTCTTCTCCAGCGAGATTTTTTTATTCTTTCCTTTTGAGATTGAAGTTTCTTCTAGGTATGGAGGCATGCTGTAATGCTTCCGTATATATTCTGATGTTTGTCTTCGACATTGGTACTCAGCGGAATCTCGAACTTGGATCTAATTATGCTTGATCTTATTCTATTACTTGATTTGGCTGGGTATGGGGTTTGTGCTATACAAATTGTGGAAAACGATCACGGGGCCAAAGCTAATGGGTCAACTGGTCTGAAACTGGACCGCGAATACTCGATTCCTATAGTTATTTTGACCGCATCTATTTCATCGGCACGTTTCCCCCTCTTGCTCAAATACTCGATGTACTCATTGTAGTAAGTTTGATGGCAAATGCGTATGAACAACCAATCATGATAATGAGCCACTGTCATAGTGAGAAGCTCAATTTGATTCATCGATTAATTCCACTGTATCCACTGTGGAGCCATGGCTTGAACTCGGAGATCTCCTCTCCCATTTCATCGCGAGGACTCTGAATATGGCTTACTTGAGGCCATTCGAGTTGGTAGTTCTTGAAACATGCATCCGCATGGACACTGCAAATCCGTATATTCTGAAAACTTTGAAGTGCAAAGAACTCAAGCAAACTTATCATGCTTCCCCTTAACCTTAACATCTAACATAACCTCATGGAAATCACCCTCCCTCCTCGCCCTCCTCAACCTCTTAACCTCCTCCGCCTCCAACTTCCTCCCCACAATTCCCTCCAGCTCTTTCTGACTAATCTTCTCATAAGCCTTCGACTCCTTCGACGCCCGAAGTCGCGGCTTGAACCTGGCTTGCATACGTATATGCACACCAGTATCAAACGAGATATTCTCTGCATCACCACGGATCTCCACACCAGCAGACGCTTTGGCATTCTCTTTCACAGTGAGAAATGTCTCCGCGTCACCGCCGCGAGTCTGGAGATAGAATGTCCCAGGGATATCGGGGGACGGTATCACGATGAAGGATTCGTAGTGTCCAACCGCCGACGCGGTTGCCGTGAAGAGACCATGATTATCGCAGCCGAGGTACCTGAACACATTAGTGACGAACAACAATCCAGCTCGAAGGAAGACATACTTTCCATGATGCCCCTTAAAACTAAACCCATCCGTGCCTGCAACCTTCGTGACAACCCAAACCTGCCTGACATCATGCGGCTCCGCTGTCGCGGCATCCCCCTCGACTAGATTCTCCAGCTCACTTGCGAAAACCACACCGTTCGGGTCACTGGCCACGCAAGTGGGTTTATCAGATGGTAGGACTAGCACGATTGGACCGCCCAGATCGGTCGGCGCGTCGGCTGAGACCCAGCTTGTGTCGTCGGGTGGGTTTTCGTCTTCATTGTCGTGGTCTGCGGTGGTTTTGCGGGTTTTTGTGCTTGTGCCGTCGGTGTCTTCGGTGCGGGTTTTGCGTTTTTTAGGCTTGTCGCCTTTGAATGTGAGGGGCTTTACCATTTTGTCTGTGGTCGTGGTTGTTCTTGGGTGATGGGGTCGAGATTCGCTGAAAGTTAAGCTGCGGGCTTATCGTTATCGGGAGTGGGTCCAAGGTTTATGAGCACGAGCTCCACCACTTGCTAATATGCACACGCATAATTCCTTGATCATTGTAGATTTCTTGACAAGGAGCTTGGAAATATAAGAGTGTGACTTCAAAGCTAGACCATCTGTGGTCTAGGGAGCTGGAGACCTAGAGAGGCCCCTTAATATTAGAAGGGGGGTTACAGCTTGGAATATAATATTGGATAATGATCTAATTCCAGTAAGTCTACAATATATACTGCGATATCTATATGGCTAGTTGGTGTTGATCTTCAGAGTCGTAGTAAGAGGTAGCTTCCGACTCGAAGAACCGACATAAATCTTATACTTTCCACTCTGCAGCTGCCACTTCTGCGCTGTAACGTCCCAAGTACTGAGATCACGACGGTTCAGCGAGAAGGAAACCTCGGTAGACCGACCAGCCGCAATCTTAACCTTGTCGAACCCACGAAGTTGTCGCACAGGACCACCGGGGATGCCAACGTAGAGCTGGGCAACCTCTGCGCCGGCTTTGCTTCCAGTGTTCTTGATCGTAGCAGTAACATTGACAATGTTATCCCATAGATCGACCTGGCCACCTTGCTCAATGACACCACTGGGATAGGCAGCGATACCATCCTGCACAGCAGATACCTTGAGCCCAGAGTATGCGAACGTGGTGTACGAAAGACCGAAGCCGAATTCATAGCGTGGTGTGATATTCTTCGCGTCAAACCACTTGTAGTCCGTAAGCACGCCCTCGGTGAAGTTGGACTGCGGGAACAGCTCGAAAGGCTTGTCTGCGTAGCTGTGCCAGTAGGCCGGGTAGTCGGATTCATTCTTGCCCACTGTGTACGGGAGCCTTCCACTGAAGTTGTCATCCCCATAGAGCAGGGAAGCGATAGCGCGACCGGAGTCTTGGCCGGGGAGATGCGCGAATACAATTGCAGTCACATTGGGGTTCTCTGCGAACGATTCCACCATACGGGTGCCGGCATTGTGGATGATAACGATTGTGTTGGGGCAGGTCTTTGCAACCTTGGCTACGAGGGCATCGGAGTAGCTATCGTATGTTCCGGAGCGGTCGAGTCCCTCGGTAGCAAAGGCATTGATGAACACCAGACAGGCATCTGATGCCTCCATCGCACTGAGCAATTCCGGGTTTTTACCGGTATCCCACATGACGACGGTGTTGTCCTCGTATGCGCGCTGCTGGAGGGCGTCGAGAGGGGCGCTGAGGTATGGACCTGCATTGGCACCGGAACCACCTCCAACACTGAGAGTACCGTTGAAGGCAACTTGGTAGTCATACGGCTCGTCGATGAAATCGGAGGTCTCAGCCAATCCGTCTAAGTAAGACATGACTGGCTCATAGCCCATCTCCCAGGCGTCCGTCGCGAGGACATTGTTAGGCATGTATTGAGATGGAGCGGTAGCATCCCATCCAAAAACAGAGAGTAGCTTCGGCGACTTCAGCGGCAGAGTGTTGTTCACGTTCTTCACGAGAACATGGCCTTCCACCGCACCTTCAAAAAGCGTAGGCTTGGCCTCTTTAGTGAGGGCATTGACAATCTTATGGGGTGCACTGATGTTGTAAGGCATTCCAACTCCAAGTGAAGGGTAGTTCGGAGAGTCCTGGCCCATCTGGTACCACGTTGCGATAATCCTGTGTTGAGATCAGCAAATCCGAACTCGTAGTGAGAGAAGCTTATGGACAGTACCTTGTTGCCATGTCGTCCAGGCGAGAGAGCGGAACACTACCGTTCTTGATGGCTTCGGTGAAGTTGGTTCCCCAGAAGCTCAAGCCAGTGGGCATGCCCATGTCCAGACCAGCCAGTGCAGCACCCACGCCAGAGTGCTGGCCATACCAATCCGTCACGACAAAGCCATTGAAGCCCAGTTCTGTCTTGAGTAGACCGTTGAGTGTCTTGCTGTTTTGGCAGGCGTAGGAGTTATTGATACGGTTGTATGAGCACCTATATCCCATTAGCCACTTCCTTGGAAGAATTGTAGACGTGGACTAACATGATGTTTCCAGCACCGGCTTTCAATGCATCTTGGAATGGCCATAGGTATGCTTCGTGCATTGTCTTGTCATCGATGTTGCTGGAGACGGACTCCACAGTTTGGTTATCCGAGTTGGTAGTAGGGTTGCGGTATAATTCTTGTTCGTAGCCGATAAAGTGCTATAAGGAAACTTCCGGTCAGTCATGTTTCCCTTTCTGAGGATCTTCACACTTCCAACAAACTCACCTTGACACTTGAGATCACACCCTGTCCTTGCATGCCCTCAACGGTCTGTGCCGCAAGTACACCACTCAGGTATGGGTCGCTAGCGGCGCCTAAATTTTGTTAGATACATAATCCAGTTCCTTGTGATCATACATACCTTCCCAGTTTCTTCCGTTCGTAGTGGTTCTTCCCATTGGCGCAACAACGGGACCCAAAGCAATATTGACACCCTTTGTCCGGAACTCGCCTGCCATATGCCACCCACGGTCGTGAGCAAGGGATTTGTTCCAGCTAACAATTAATGTCAGTGATGATCGACGGTAAGATTTTTTTTTTCTTCTCACCTAGCACCAACATGGATTCCACTTGGGTAGCTGTTCACGAAATCCGCCATGCGAACTCCATTGCCCGCATCCTGAAGACACAAGCCTGGGAAGCCAAGACGTTCAATAGCGCCAATGACTCCAACACAGCTCGTGCTAGTCGAGTCGATTCCGAAAGTTAGGTTGTTCTAGGGATCAGTTAGTTTTGTTCCGATGCACTGTAAATAATTTTGTTTACCTTCTCCTCCAATGTCATCTGCGCAACCAAAGCGGTGGCTTTCTTATAGGCTGCGGCCCAATCACCACTTCCAGTGCCATTTGCTATACCACATTAGCCCCATGACAGCATAAAAAAGAGGGAAAAGAGGGAGAGCATACGTGACGGGTATACAGCCGGAGAATCTCCATAGAAGTAAGTATCGGAAGTAATATCGCTTCCAGCGTGACCAAGTCCACAAAGGGACAAGACGGCCAAAGTCAGGCCAATCTTTTCTAAGAACATTGCGCTCGCAGTCACAGCTGTCTTCACAGAATTCTTCGACGCGTCCACTGGCGAGGGGAATTGACTCGGGCAAAGACCGGCGTACCTCTTATATGTGCGACTTACCCCATCATCCTCGCAACAAAACAGCATTTCGGCCTGCTCACCGGTAATTCTGGTGATCTCATCCCGTGAGATCCGGTCAGGTTATGTGATCTCCAGGTCATATTTCCTATTCTGATCACTTTTTCTTGGCCCGATGTGTAGTGCTTCTCCACAGCAGCCTGAATGGGAGTCTAGTAGAGGGCGAACCCCGCATACGTGCCCATATAGAGCCTGTTGCCCGTGGGGTGATGTCCATGGCTTGCTATGCGTGGGGCTTAGTTCATCGGCGGTGACGTTGTTTCGGTTAGAGGATGGGTAAACTTCGGGCAAAGTAAGCCGTGTTGCGGCCTGAAGCTCGGAGATTGTGGAGCTCCAATTCTTGGTATTCATTGGCATTGACTCCCTGGTGGTGGGGGATGGTACTAGTTTAAACTTTTCCAGGACTAATGTGCCTCATCTAATCTACATCGGAAGAGAGCCAGGTGGTCAAGCATTGTCCGTCTTTCAGCCAACACAAACAAGCATGCGGGAGAGGGAAAGGCGCGGGCATTTATCGGGTGAGCAAGCCACTAGTCCGGAAAATCTTTAGTCTGGTCAGGCCGTGCGAGACCGTCCGAGATGTGGAGGACATAAGCCGAGTGCACACATTTCCAAGGTTGTTGTGTGGGGAGAATGTGGGGCCCCATGCGATTAAATCCGGGGTTGCAGGGATACAGAGTACAAATTAAAAATCGTCATCGCCGGAATTAAGAGATGAATGAAAGGAAACTCATCTCCTAGTTTTGCGTAAGAAAGATCGACACACATGTCTGTGCCCTCATAGATGTAACATTCTGGCGGAAGCCCACCGAGGTTTGTCAAAGCTTAGCAAGATCCCCGCTTATTATTACCCCGAGCACAAAGAAGTCCGAGTTTCTGGGCCCATATCTGTGGCACTTTGTGGGTTGCCAAGCCAGCCTGTGGGATTAGCAGTCTAGGGCCGGAGAAGGAGCTATGTAGTGCCGATATCCGAGAGGGACTGGCCTTGGTGTCGGGATGAGCAGTGGTGCTAACGCCTCCCTGGCCAAGGTTGATCCTGGCCTACGTCAGTCCACGACATCAATCTAATCTGAACTCCTCTATAACCAAAGCACAATGAGCATATGGTATTTTCAATGAAAGAGCCAATACAAAGCAAAGATCCATGAAAAGAATGTACGGTGCAATTCCAGGGTCTACTCCTGATCTATCCAAGTACAGAAAGTGAAGCCAGTCAAGTTATATCCGAGCCGCTCATATTCCTTCAGTGCAAGTTCGAGGAATCCAGTATACCATTTTGCTCGACTTCCAGGCTCATGGGAGTTCCAAGACCAGACTGGTGTGAATGGGCTCTTGCTGAGGACATCCTAGCAGATTCGTGGTTTGCTATGCATTTCCGGGCACATGTTGCTCCCACGGATGCAGTCATTAGCGGAGAAGAGTGGGGGCAGATGGTCATACTGCATAAGGTTTTCATGGGCGCATACAAATCAGAGCCTCTCACTCTCGTGATCTACGATATCGGGAATTATAATCTCTAGGTTTGAGACATGTCACAAATCTCAGTCGTCGCATCCAGGAATCCGCGTGTATACTAAGTTTGGACTTCGTTTTTGCATGCAACTTCGAACCCTCGAATAAGCTGGCTGAAGGAATCTTTAGTCTGCCTTGATAATTGTTTAATGTCACCGAGGTCTGCTTTTGGCATTAGTCAAGTTAGTAGGCTTAAGCATCTAGCTACTGCTAGAGGATCTTTTTGAAGAGTGAGAGAGTTCAGGCACATGATACTGGTTGATCGATTTCTTGTGGTACCAATCACCAGCATGGCTGGGGGTATTGCTTGTACTTCCAAATCTCAATGACTCTTGCAATGCTGCTACATGTACCATGTACCCTGTCAGCGCGCGACGTGCGGGTCAAGTCTAAGTCATCAACCTCACATCGGCGAATTAGAGAAAAGTTTCGAGTCAAGAGCGGATATCTCGAATCCGATTGGGTTGAGATGAAATCAGATGCCGTTTCTCCCAATGGAGAAATAATCTCTCCTTGAAAGCGTACATCTTCTGCCATGGAAGAGCTCGCGGCATACGAATCTTTAGATCAAGCTGCAACTTGATCCACAATACCCGATAGGACCTCCAATGACATGCTGACTTTCCAAGAGAACGAGACCAGCTAAGTACTGATTCTCTTGAGAGCCTTGTCATTCCTAGCCTCCCCAGCCGGAGTCTCGAATCCTAAAAATGGAATCGTCCTGTAGCCAGCCGCCACAGGCATGCATTAAGTCATCGTTCATGTGATATTGGAAAAGTGACTCCCACTTATTTGAAAGTTGTCTTGACGTCCATCAGAAGTGCTTGTTGGGTTATCTAGCTGAACTTGGAAGCTATAGGATACTAGCTCGAGGCAAAAGCAAGCGTTTACAAGATGACCGGGGAGAGAAAGCTGTATACAATGATTATAGGCATATCCTATATAGTCAAGTAGCATGCTAAAGTCTAAGTATAATTGGAACCGCTCTCAGGCGATACCACTATCCCATTGGATCAAGACGATGATTGTAATACCATCCACCGGCGCCCAGTAGAGTCCTTGGAAGCCCGGTATTGTTCATTTAAACTCCACGGAACTTCGCTAGAGAACAAATACAGGCTGGGAGCGATCGCCCAGATTGACAGCTGATCTGAACCCGGACTGGAGAATACTGAGAACGGGAATACCCGGCAGAGACTCCGTTGCGTGTCGCGAACAATAATGAATGTGATCCGTCAAGTCACAAGGAATATGATCTAGACAGGGGTTTCATTTTGAATCCAATATTTTGGGGGTGAATCACGGTAATGCACAAGGCTGTAGACAAGGATAACTTGTACACATACGTTCCATGGTTGTGCAAGTACGGCTAAAAACTCTGCAAAGTGGATCAAGACTTGTTGACTGAAATTTGTAGAACCCGCTACACCCGAGGACACCGCCTATGTGATACTGCCCAATCGCCATGTTTATCTGTGTTTACTTACCCTGAGGCTATCCTGACGCCGAGCATCCCATGGGGCTGAACACCTTGGGAACCCTGAGAATCCGTTCTAGATTCGCAAGATCCACTCCTTGGTTCTGTACTGAGCTAACGTATCCGTACGCGGTACAAAACCCTCGGAGTCTCGGATCCGCCCCGACGGTCATAAAACTGCATGTGGAGATTGCGTACAGTGGTGGGACCATCACTAACGCTCGAAAGGGCTTGCCACGAGCTAAGCACGAGATGCACCTATCACATTGCATTCTGCTTGTTCGGGTCAGCCCGAACAGTGTCGATACCACGCTAAAAGAATGTCTTTAGAGACATTTCGATGCGCCTAGCGTCCCTACTGGAAAAGACCAAATTTTCTGCTCTGCCCAAGGTTCTGCTAGGCAAGCCTCAAATCCCCACCCGCACTAATCGGGCGGATTAGCTCGCCTTTTATTAGATACACAAGCAATGGATCCCACTTAAGTACCCGCTCAAGCACCCTTCGCGATGCCTTCGATCGGTCCCTTTTTTTCAAACCTAGACCCATAGGCTCCTGCTGCCTCTCATTCTACTCTTGAGATGGCTGTGGTGCTCTCATTACTAGTCCAGGCCGTTCTCGTGGCAATTCCGATTGGTGGCAGCTTAGGGGTACTGTTCGGGATCGACGCTTACCGATCAAATCACGGACAGGCTGCGCTATTCAGCGGAGATACTGACGGTAATGGAAGCGGAGGATCGACGGGTTCTGGCGGCAGTAGCGCCACCAACAATGGGGTTAATCACTCTATCTACTGCCAGCTATCCTACGGCATTACACCATCCACTACAGGGGAGCAGTTCACATGTGAGTTCGCGGAGGAGTGGGCAAGTGACAATTGGCTGACTCAGGAATCTAGTAAACCCTAATCAATGGGGTGTGACGGACAGCACTTCAGGTGCCCTCTGTATGAATGTGAGCACTCAATTGCACAAATATGTTTGATCGCATCCTGAATGTGCTACTAATTCATATCACCAGGTCACCACATTCAACAATGAGACCTATCCCACGAAAACGACCGCTCCCGAATTCTCCATCACATGGCAATTCGACCCCGGCCCAGAAACCGCACCAGTGCATGCGTTCCCCAATATTATGGTCGACGATGTTCTCCCTATAGCGCTAGACAAGATGACGAAGATCGCAATGGATTTCCGGTGGACATACGGTGTCGGCGATACCCCCGTGGAAAATACAAACACATCCGACCTGACCGCCAACTCGGTCAACGTGAACGTCGCGGTCGATATGTTCTTTGACAGCGACAAAACGGCCGCTCAGAACAGCACCAAAGCTAAGTACGAGGTGATGGTGTGGTTTGCACGAATTGGCGACGCTACCCAGCCGAACGGCAATCAGACTTCGACTTCGAGGAAAGTGGGCGATACAACGTTTGACCTGTGGTCTGGTACAAATGACGTGAATCAGAATGTCCTCACTTGGGTGGCCTCCGAGGTAACCGGGACGTTTAACGGTGATCTCTATCCTCTTATCACTGATCTATACGAACTCAGTGGTGATGACTACCCATCTAGCACAGACTACATGGGCATCTTCAGCTATGGCTCTGAGGTATTCTCATCGGACAAGAATGTCACTTTCTGGTCGCCAAAATTGTCAATAGACATCCAGAAATAAGCCTCTGGGTCTGAAAACACATTTATGTTATTATATGATATAGTAAAGCAAACCAAAGGAATGTACTTATATGAAATCGAGTGTATGATTCTCATTTTAATCTGGCTATGCCTTTGCATTGAAACCCGTGGACTGACCAATTGCATTGATGTCTCTACTACAAGCAGACACAACATTTAGGCAGCAATAGGCAAAATCGAGAAACACCAGGATTGTAGCCTGGCGATTGTATTGAAGCTGTATACACGTCTTCAAGACTAAGTAAACAGCTCATATAGCACCTGCAAGTGCGTCCAAGAGCAATCTAAAAATTTGAGATGCAAATCCAAACCGAAAACAGAAAAAAAAAAGACGACAGAAAGGTCCTGGAAAGCTTCGTCGGCTGCTAAGGATCCGTGTGGCCCACCAGTGGGCATAACGTCCAGCGTCGTCGGTTGTAAATAATCAGAGTCCAACAATTGCAGGATATGGAGGGAGACGGATATCATTTCAAGCCAAATCCTTCACTGTTCAAGACTGCATCCCAGAGCAGCTTCTGAAGCTTTTCGCGTGTACCATATCGGTACAGGCTCAGTGTGTTAAAACAGGTTCGTGCAGTAGGGTATCGGGAAGAGTCATCGCCCAGACAAGCCAGTCGAATGGTCAGACTCGTGGCTCCCATGGCGGGGATGCGGTCACTACCGGTAATGAATGACAGGATCTTCCGTTGCGATGGGGGCGGGGCAGCCTCGAAAAAGTCCCAGAACCACTGGACCACAGGGATTGACTCGGGACGGTGGTGAGACCAGTTATCGTAAGTGGCTACCGCACGCAGGGAGGTCACATCGAGTGGCTCGTCAGAACCGCGCACAAGTAATTCAATTTCCTCTGGTCTGAATAGCGACAAGGCATTGCCGCCGCAGACTGTGAAAAATCCCCGTTTGAACGGTTCGTACTGCCGAGCTACCGCGGTGTCCAGAAGATAGTACACATACGCATCCACAAACTCGTGCCGATTTGCGTTTGTGACGGGTCGCTTCTCGCCTCCTGTGCAAAGAGGCACGCTGACTATCTCTCCGTACCGATCCGTCTGAGCAACAAAGTCATAGCAAAATGTTTCGGCAACATCTCCGTCGTATTCCAAAAGCATGCGGAGTCCTTTAGCGAGTGCTGGTCGGTACTCGGCAAGATCATCCAATGTGCACTTGAATTTCGATCGTTGGGAGGTTGCCGTCTGCGGAGTAGTGTTTTGTGGTGCCGAGGCCAACAGCTTTCTAAAAGCGAAGGGTGGCAAGTCAATGTCGAGAATGGTGGAGTTGTAAATGGCAAGTCCTAGCAAAACCCCAACCAAGAAAAATTGCTCAGATGACTCAAAGCAGAATGGGTTGAAGTAGCAATACTTAGAATCGTCGTCGTATATGAAGAGTCCTGTAGGGGGTCAGATACGTCAACCAAACACAATTCATATTTACTGACCATGGTGCGGGTCGAAAACCTCGCGGACAAGCAAGAGGAACCATTCTTTGCGCAGGCCTCCAGCGTCGATCCCTTCCTCTCCAACGAACTCGATTCGAAGGCCCTTCTTGATCTCCTCCTGGCCTGTGCCCACAACTTCGCTGACACCACGAAGACTATCTTCAACAAGGCATTCTCGCCGCACCTTCAAAACAAGATACTGGCTGACCGCTCGGTGGTTAAGAATGCTGTTGAAAAAGGCTTCACGGGCTTTCAGCTCCATCTGACGACGTGCATCATGCTCGAGAATATGAATTTTTGCCCAAATGCTGAGGAAGAAAGGGTATTGGCAAAAGGAAAACTTTGAGCCTCGAGATTCCCAGTTCTCAAAGTCTGCCACAAGATCTGAATAATCCAGCAAGGTATTGTAGAACGAGCTTATCGGAACCACATAATCTTGGATATATCTAGAGCCATTGGCAGAGTCATTTGGACGTGTCCGAGCGTCTGAGCCCGTATCGGGCTTGCGCGGCGCTTGGGAGATATTTGCCGTAAACAGCAAAGACATGATCCTTGCCGCTGATCTAATCTGCCAGTCTTCAGCGTAGACAATAGGAGATTCCTGCTTCTTGGGAGGTGGCTTGCTGGGATGACGACGGTTTATAGCAGCATGCAGCTCAGCAGGCGTATTTCCAGACGCACTTGCAAAACTTGGAATCAATTCATTTCCATCTTTGGGGTTTTCACTGCGCTTGCGACCATGTTGGCGCGTCAAGCGATACGTAACGAATCCACCAACCAACTCCACCAAACGTTCAAATTGACCTGGTGGGTAACGCGCGAACCAGGACACAAAGTAGTGGTGACAATCATTGGGCATGTTGGACAGTAGACCAAGAATTCGCTTCAGTGGCCCATAGTGATGGTTGGAGCTTCCAGAGCGAGCAACCGGTGCAGAAGCGTCTTTCCTGGAAAACTTTCCATCTCTGGTTGTTGATTGGGGGGCATCTCTTGGATGAGATGGACGCCGTTCATCCCGGTGTGATGATTGAATCATTTTTGATGAAGCGTAGCCCATTGGATTTGACAATAGAGGATTTGCCAACAAGATAAATAGAAACCGAGTGTCTTCTGGCTTTTTCAAGATCTTCCGAGGGCGCTTCAGAAGATTCTCGGTAGCTTTCATCAATGTTCGCTGGAGGTGCAATCGAGATTCAGTAATATCTTTTTCAATAACAGACAGGTCAACCGATTCCCATCTCTTATACCTGGCCAGGTCTGTACCAGGACGTGCTGATAGGTCAGGCTTTCTGGCTGCCCACCGCTCAGACCAAGAGCTTCCTGCAGTCAGAACCAGCTGATACCACTGATTGGCTTCAGTCCAGTTGATACGGGGACTTCGAGATGACACTGAACGAGACTTATGCGGGGTTTTTTCTTTAGCATTTATAGGGACTTGTCCCTCAGCCTCGGCCCACTCCGTCATCCACCAAGTTGAATTCTCTGCAACATCACCCAAGAGAAGGGTTTTTGCATCGGGTTCGAATACAGGGGCATTGACAGCCGGGTCGGGTACGCTTTTGGGGTCAATCTTCACACGGGGAGGATTTCCACTGCTAGCAGACCGCATGGACGGCTGATAGACGGGAAACGACGCATTGAGAGCTTCACAACCTTTGAAAGCCGCAATAATGTAGTTTTCAAGCCGCTTGAAAACTACTGGCTGGTTCTCGCGATCCTTTTCCTCGGTATCTTTAGACTGCACCGTCGCCTGAGGTCGCTGGTCTCCCTTCAAACCATTCTGCAAATCAGATTTGGCACGATTCCGGATCGGCATCTCCTTCCCTTCCCATGGGATAGCATGTGGTTTCAGGAGATTGGAGTTCTCCTTTGTCCCATGAGATTGACCTCGCTCAGTTGATGTGGACGTGCTCCGGCTACGAGGATCTCGTGGGGTTGAAAGCTGTCCAGGAATATGGCCACGGTCCGGCACCATGGAAGTCGGTTGGCCATTTGCTGGGCGATCCCTGCCTACGCGCTTGTCGTCCGGGGTCGCTCCTGAACGGGGTCCATCGAGCAGGGTCTGGAAGTATGAAGCAATACATCCGTCAATAATACGCCTGGTATGGCTGATTGACAAAGGCGCATCTTCGATTAATTAGCAAATTTCGGACAAAAAAGAGTTCCATGGTGAATTACCTGGCCTTGGCTCATGCGGTAGAGGTAGCGGTGAGAGCTGGGACTCAGGCGGGTCTGGGGGCAGTGGTTTATGTAGCCGACCTTCCAGTTTTGAAGAAGCTGAGTCCTTGACGTTCTTTGAAGGCTCCACATCAAGGTCGGTGACCATCAAACAGGAAGTGCAGCGGTAGACTTGCAGGTGCCGTGGCCAGCGCACAGTCGAGTTGCAGGTCGAGCATTTCCCCTCCGCAAGATCACTTCCTGGCCCTCCCTTAGGTACATCCTTGCGGGGACTTGTTGCGAGGGACTTGGCGGGGTATGTGGCCTCGTCGGAGTCCGAATCCGAGTTCCAGGCGATATTTTTGGGCGCAGTCTTGCCACGCTTCTTTACAAGACCACTGAATGGAGAAGTAAATGGGTGACTGATCGAGCGGTTGTGCCCGCGGCGGTACGGGCTTGTGGGCGAGTTGCCATTCATTGAAGGCATTGTTCGGTCATTCTGAGGCTGAGATGGGTATCGTAGAGTAGTGTCAGAGGTAAAGAGTGAGGGAGGGTTCGAGGCAGTGAAGCTGGAGTCCGAGGTTGGTGGAATCGGTGAATTACGTCCGGACCGGGATGGCATAAGGGTGCATTTGTTCCAGTTGATCTTGGTGGAATGTTCGGGATGGATCAGGCCAGGTAGTAAGCTAAATGGTGGAGCTTGGGCCTCGTGCTGAACGCATACAACTTGTTCGTGGGGAAGTTCACGATAACGACGGACAGAGAACGGAAGAGGTAACTTCCTTTTTCTCGAGCTTGACTGTTCCTAGGCTGCCAGCAGCTGACAGAGATCTTGTCAATTCAAAGTTGAGACCAAAAACAAGAACAAAGGATTGAAACGAAAAGCAGAGAAAGGTGTATTGTTCATAGTCCCTGGACGGATTGGGAAAGCGGGCTAAGAGTGAACTGGGAAGGCGCGGGCACCGGTGGAGTGCCTCAGGCGGCAACCGTCCTTACTATTTTTGGCTTGGGGCAACGCAATCCAAGTGGGCTGATCCAGTGATCTACCCTAAGTGATTTTTTAGTTCTTATCGAGTACATTTTTAGACTGCAATTGATAAGGATTATGCTAAACAAACCCATATTTTTCAGTTCGGGTGGGGTACGCATGAGATTGCCCCAGAGGACGCGGCCACCCGGCGATTCTACTGTAATACAACATACGAGGACCAGGTGAAATTACAACCACCATGCTACCAATGGTAGTTCTACAAGACCGTAGCGGCATGGAGTTGAACCAGTCATACTTCGTTAATCAAGGGGGAATTCAACATAAAACAAAATGGCTTTTTGGCTAAAAACAGAGCCTTCCGGTCTGCATTAAACTCGGGCCCATGGCAGATGATACTGCTCGGGTGAGAAATGTTTGAAAAGATAACCACATGCAGCCAATATTTTCCAGCCTATACCACAGTGCATTAGCGCACTTAACGGTAACGCCAGTAGCTCTGGGTGTTCTGGAGCTTCCAGGTGTGGCGACGGCCAGCCTTGGTGTTGTTGTAGCGGTGACCCTTGTTGATACCACGGGACTTCTTGCCGGTGGCAGTGAGACCACGAGCCTCGCGGTGCTAAGAAAAAAATTTTCATCAGTATGGCTATTCCGTGGAAAAAAGGTTTGTCGGGCTAGGAATCTCACCTTGTGGACGGGGTTGCAGATCCAGTTGATGCGGGCATCACGGCGGATAGCCTTGTGCTGGGGGTCGACGAGGATGACCTCGAAGTACTTGTAGGTCGAGTCCTGGTTGATCCAGTAGGAGTTGAGGACGCGCAAGTTGGCGCAGCGGCGACCGACACGCTCCTCAGCGGTGGCGCGGAGGGCACGCTGGTACTTGAGCTGGTTGATACCGTGGTTGGTGGGCTTGCCGTAGGTGGCACCCTTGGGGGCAGGGCGCTTGCGGCCACCGCGGCGGACACGGACACGGTAAACGACGTAACCCTGCTTGGCCTTGTAACCCAGACGGCGAGCCTTGTCGGGGCGAGAGGGGCGGGAAGCACGGTGGATGACGTTCAGCTGGCGAAGCTATATTGATGCACTCTCAGCAAAGTTCAACGAGTGTATAGCAAGACACACGAGACAAAAAGTCTCTTGCGTGCCACAACCATTTCCGCCGCAGGTTCGTTTCGAGCCACCAATACCAAAATTCAGGCATTTCCTATGGCTGTACGCAGACGAGCGCTCGGCGGGAATGTTAGGCAATCGAGGGTCGGGGGATTTATCTCACCTCCCAGCAGCGAACGCGGAGCAAGAACCGAATAACATCGGACTGCTTCTTCTTCTGGATCTCTTCGACGTACTTGAGGGCACCCATCTGGACAATTGCGAGCGGTTAGAATTGGATGATAGAATGTCGTTCGTGGTGGTGAAAATCATACCTTGTCGGCTTCGTCGTCGGTTGTCGTTTGTCGCAACTGCAAAGAAAAGTTCAAGAGAGAAGAGAAGAGGATTGTGTGTGGGACGCTAGTGATTAACCGAGTGTCAGTGATTAGCCAACCACGTTTGTGTGACCCACTTATTGCCAACCCTGGATCTGATGCCTCAGGTATCTAGGCTCGGGTTTCTTCCGGATTGGTTTCAGATTTGAGTGTAAACCTACCAGACGGCAACCTTGGCCTTGGAGTTGTGGAAGAAATAACCGTTAGAAAAATAAGAATCTATGAACAATATGTCACTCATCAATCAATGCAATATAATGTACAAAACTTAGAATAACCTGACAAATGCTCTCCATGCAATTGACATATGCACCTGACACCCTTCTTTCCTGTAGTCATAGGAAGGATATAAAGACACTAAAAAGACAAAGGGTACAAAACACGCTCATGACTCCAAAAACTTCGATATTTACGAATGCTTGTAGGTTTTGGAAGGTTCATAAGGAATCATGATGACCTCATCCACTGCGTCGTGAGGCATGGTCTTGACGAACCATATCGTTCGTCACTGAGATTTCAAGGGAATCCAGCGGCAACACACTCTTTTTACACAGTGGGCACAGGCTGCTGTTTTCCATGAGAAATGGGTCGATACATCCGGGGTCGAATATGTGACCACAAGGCAGTTCACGGACGGTGGACGATCCAACAACGAAATCATCGAGACAAATTGCACAGGTCGTCTGGGTGTGGCTCAGTCGATAACGATTGGGAGTAGAGCTAGATGAAGTGGACTGGTCATCTGTCACCGGGTTTATTACCGCAGCCTGAGGCTTTCGGATCCCAGTGGGCGTTTGAGGGGTCGGTTCGTGTTCTTCTGGTATCGGTGAGGGAGTCTTGCTTCGGGGGTCGACCTCAGCTACTTCTGCTTCCACTTCATTCTTTGAGTCTGTGGTTGATACATTCGGGTATGTATAAAGAGGCATTTTTTCCACAAGCTCTCCAGGCACTTTGAGCTGATTTAGTGCCAGGTGTTCAATGTCCACTTCGCCTGATTCGATTCGTTGGCGTAGTACCTCTCGTCGTCTTCGTTGCATCATGCGATACAGGACGACAAGAATTAGGGTTAGGCCGAATATTGTTCCCAGAATTGCGAGCACAAAGCTCCAAAGGCTCGGTGACGAGGCGGCTGCTTTGTCTGTGTCTAGTTAGCATTGACGATGTAGTTCGAACCAATTACAACTTACCCGCATCAAGCATTGTGAAGAGTCGTGTATCTGACTTCCGCGCCGGGTTTGATGAGGTATCGAAAGCGTTATTGGTTTTATTGTGGCTGGTCCCGTCTGAGAATGTTGCGAGTTCGTTCATCAGGGTCACCCCAGCTGGGCCTGGCACGGCATATATAGGATAATTGTTATCAATCATCCACTGATCGTCATCATGCAGGCTCCATTGATCCGAACTGGGTGGCGGCGGTATTCCAGACTCGTTATTGGAGGGCTGGAAGAATACGAGTGCATTGGTGCCTGCTTCTCGGGAGGCGGCCAGAAAGGATTGAGTACACTCCGGGGAAACCCATGGTGCCAGTCCAATAACGGGATAGCCGAACTCCGAAACATCCTTATGACGGGTCACGTCTTCTGGAATGAATGGGCCCGTGATCTCATTGCATGGGTCGCGGGGTGACAGATCTGGCACAAATAGCAGACCGGACAAATGGCCAGAATCTGGAAGCCCATGGTGGGAGAGCATTTGAACGGTCCGGTCCAGAACGAAACGAAACCCAACATTCTCCTATTTCCATGTGGTCGTGTGAGTATGAAATTTTGGAACATTCCAGGAATAAGGCTAGGGTTGTCCAATGACTTACATTGACTGAAGAGGAGGAGTTAGAGGCGCTGCCAGGGCCCGCGAATAGCGTGGCAACGGTGCCCTTGGAGTCCGGGGTCTCCGTGCGAGACATGGCTGTAGCAGATTGGGGCTTGGTATGCTGGGGTTTCGGCTACAGGGCTAGCAGAATAACATTGTTCACAAAGCAGTTGAATCACAGCCTTTACGTATCTTGCTCGAAGGTTGAAATATGAAGTGGAAGAGAAGGTCAAATGAGATGGAAATGGTTAATATTTTACTCATTTACCTAGGTACGCTTTACATCATGATTTTGAACGATCCCGGCGATTTCAGGCCCAACATGACCGTGGTCGCTAATTCTAAATCGGTAACGGCTACAGGAATGTAAGGGTAAATCCAAGGCCAGGGCCAGGGCCAGCACAAGAATGTGGGATAGATCCAAGCCGCGGGGCAGGCAATCTACTTCATAATATGCAAAAAACATGATTCCTCAAAGTAATTCATGAGAAATTGGTGCAAACACCCTGAAACAGGAAATGGCATCATTGTTGGTGAAGTATATAGCCCTAGATACCCCGGATTTGGCTGGCCGGTTGCGGAAGCCGCGTGCAGTATTGATCGGCAATTCCGCCACCTGTAATATTTCTGTGTTTTTTTCTACCATTAGATGATGTATTTTTATCAAGCATTGAAATACTATGCACATTGGCTTGATTTTCTTACCATGGTGCGGTCACTGGGGCGTACAATTGTCATGTATTTGGGTACAGATATATCTTGTATCTACAAGCCCCGCTGGAGCGTGAAATATTTATAGTACTCCAAAGCCTTCTGGGCAGATATTCAAGAAGACACATGGCGGCTGCCAAGTGCAATTTGGAATATGTTGAGCTTATTTTATATACGGAGAATAGGACTCAGCATCATTAGCAGATGCTTAAACCATAAACCTTGGAAGTTCCTTAGCATTTTCTGCCTCGTTGCTTAGTGCCATGTCAATTGCTAGACTGCGGCTTAGTGAGAAACCTAGAAACCTCCAACCTATCTTCACCGCCCATCCTACCGCCTCACGTGCCATAGTCTTTGATCACGTGTAAGTATCTCCAGATCTAGGCACGGCGTCTCACAGCTTTAAGTGCTTCATCTCGAATCATCAGAACCATCTTGCCAGTAGCTTTCTTGACTTCACTGTACCAGCTGGAGCCCAACCTGATATTTTGACGCTGGACCTGGCCAGAATGTGGCTCCCGATTACCATTAACATCTAAGAATCCCTCAACCAACTCGCGAACCGACTCCCCAACCGACTCCTAATTCCCTCCCGCCCTCGAGAAAGAACTCTATTTAGTACGCTATAATGCCATCAGCATACAAGAGCAAAGGCAAAGGCCGCGATGCGCGTCAGTCGCGTAGTCGCAATACCACCCCGTCCAACGCCGGCGGTGCGCCAGTCGTATCGCTCCCAAGCTACCTGGAGAATGACGTGACAAAGCTCATTGACGTGGCCAATGGCCAGTATACGGAACTGCTTGAACTAGTTGCAGCTCCAAATATCCCCGACTCCAAGACGTTGGAAACCCTTGTGGAGCATCTCAACAATCTTAGTGATATGGCAGATACCCGCGGAGAGGTCTTCAATGCGGGGATGAGGGAGATGTCACAGAAGCGAAAGGAAGTAATGGAGGACCAGGAGCTGAGCCATGAAGTGGCAGACCGTGCAAAGCTGAAGCGCGAGACGGAGGATGATGACGATCCGATCCACAAAGGAAAGGTGAAGAAGCGCAAAGACCGGTCAAGCATCAAGGAGGAACGACCTTTAAATCACGGAGCTCATGAACTTAGCCGCCAGGATGGCGCAGAAACGAAAGTTGAAGGTGGTAAGTTAACCAACAACCCTCTCCAAGGCTCCGACACTTTTGTTGTGAGCCTCCACCTCCACTTCCCACAGTTACTCCACCTTCCATCTTTCTTTCTCAAACCCCATCCGCCCCAAACAGCGAATTGACAAATTACAGCGGCATCCCCAGTATCGAAGCAGTCGAAAACCGCGGCCTCCGACGGGAGTTCTTCCCTTTCTCCTCCCTCCATGTTGTCTCCAAACGGCGCCACTACCGGAAATGATGGCGTTGAAGCGCCTGAGTCCCCCGATTCCGATTCGAGCGAAACATCTCACCAGCCCGAGCCCCAGCCGGCTGTGCCAAATGTTCAAGTGTTTGGAAGCAATCCGTTGAAATTCGATGACCCGACGATCTACCACATTCGAGATATTCTCCCCGGCATGAGCGATGACGAGAAGAAGGAAATCTACAGCGTTGCTCATTTTCCCAAAAGTGATCTTTCTCATATGTTGGGTGGTGTCCCACCGGACAAGGACTTTAGCAATGCGAAGCCCACCAACCAAGTCAGTGCCAATACCTTCCAGGCCTACATTGAACCTTATGTTCGGCCTCTCATGGAGGAGGACATTGCTTGGCTACGGGAACGTGGAGATCGCGTGACGCCTTTCATCAACCCGCGCCGAGGAAAGAGATCCTACCGTCAGGTCTGGGCCGAGGAGGACGGTGTAGCCTATGACCAGAACCAGGATGACAAAGACCAATTTCCGTTGAACCAAGGCCGCGGTGGTATTGAACAATTGACCGATGATAAACTTGAGAGCAACGAGGTTTCGATCGGACCGCTGCTTAGTCGCCTCTGTTCTCTCTTGCGCTATGAGCATCGTACTCTTCCCGAGGACAAAGACTGCGCGAACTCGACCAACGGTGATTCAACTGGACTACCAGGGCCCGGCGGGGATGCAATGGATTTAGATCAGCCGGCCAATGGGTCTGGGACAGATATGGAGACCAAGCCTGACAGTAAAACCCTCCCGCCCGCAACCGCCTTCCGCGATGCCAATCCAAATGAATTCAAAACATCAGTTGCCAAACTCGATCATGCCCAGCTCGATGAGCGCGCAAAGGCCGAGTTGCGATATATTGGGTTCCTAGGGCCTGAAGATAACCCAGACTACGACGCCCACTATGACGACGAAGTGGCTGAGCGCCTGCGTCTTCTTCAAGGCGAGCTGAAAAAGCAAATCGTCACCAACAACGCGCGCAAAGCCCGCATCCTCAAGATCGCCCAGGATCACATGGCTCTTCTCGAATTCACGACTATTCAAGATGACCTCGACTCTCAGGTCCAGCAGGCTTACCTTAAACGTACCCGTACTATGGGTAAGAGTAAGAAGGGTGCTCAGGCCAAGCACCGGCCCGGCGGTGCGGGCGGTGGCAGCCATATTGCTGCGGGTGTCTCACGCCCCGCTGTTGGGGATGCAGCGAAGATCGTTATGGACCGTCGCAAGCGCTGGAATGACGCTTTCCTGCCTATCTTCGAGGATATCAAGACTACCATCCCGTCAGAGGGAGAGACGATCTTCGATCCCGCCACCATGGCTGAATATGAGAAAGCCGAGCTGGAGAATTGGGAGGAGGAGTAGTTCCAAGGTTGTCTTTGTGCACCCTTCCCCAATTTCTCCATCTTTCTATCCCTTACCTCCACATATGTGCTTCTTTTGCTTCCTCTTGATCATATGTTTCAACATGGCTCCTATTACCATGTACTCCTTTTTGTTCTCGCATGATACAACACGACCGGAATGATGGGTTGGCGCGGCGTTTATCGGTTTCTTTTATTCTTTTGGCTGTCAGTGTCGAAGATAGCTGTCCTACGGTCCCATCCTCGATTGCGATGAGATGAATTGATTGTCATTTGGTTCCTCATTATGGCGGCGGCATCTTGACTTCTTACCTGCCATGTCGTGTATCTACCCTATTCATAGAACGTATGAACTAGAATCCTGTATGGCTCCTTCACACTTCATTCTTCGTAAGATAAGGCAAATTGTAGCTGGTATATGGCCCCAGGACTCCCAGTGCATAGGATATAGGTGACATGCGCCTTCCAAATAGTCATCATGATGATCAACATCAGCTTACCTGATATACAAACTAAGGGTATCTAAACTCAAAACACTCTCCAGCACTTGAGAGAATATCACCGATGAATAATAACCACCTCTCCTGGAAACCTCTTCAACCTCGCCGTCAACTCCCGCTCACTAATCTCCAACTCCGTACAAATCTGATCAAAACAGTGTGTCCCATCAAGATATCGTCCAAACAATCTCTCGTCAATCCCATCCTCTTCATCCTCCTCGAACAACCCAGTCAATGGCGCATTCCCAGCAATTCTCACATTCCCACTCCGACTCCCACTGTGAAAGCTAGAAGTCCGCTCATGTGAGCCCTCCTGTCTACTTCCGACGGCGGAGGAGATGGGCGCCTCTTCACCAATGCTAGATGCATAGGGTGTATTATTGCCCGTCGTAGTACGCGAAGAAGGCCCGGTGGATAAATGCGCAGGTGTATTCGGCGCCCCTGTCCCTGGAGCTGTTCCACCTGGAACGAGCGGAGAAGGGTTGCGTGGTGCAGGCGCAGGCTGACCTGTTGCACAAGCATACTTGTGCACACGGTATAAAAAGCCCTTAATCACGCCAAATGTGATAAATCGTCTTATATCGATGTTTGCTAGTTCGCGGCTATGTTGTGCGTACCATTGCTTGATACTTTGGCCCTGCTTGAGCGCAGCATAGAGCTCAATTATACCCACTCCATCGACGACAGGTGGTCCTTGTGGGATACTTGGGTTTATTGTTTCAGGGCTGTGCGGTTTCTCTTCTGGGTCACCTAGTAACGGCCAGATCTCTTCTGCGTCGAAGCGGGATTCATCGCGGGATAGGCTGGTTGCTGGGTCTGTGATTGGGCTGGCGAGGGGCATTCCGCCGATCATGGTGTTTGCGCTGCCGTTGCTTGTTGCGGCGATGGCAGCCGTTGTTGGAGGGAGGGAAGAGGGTGGTCCCAAGGGACTATGTGGTGCGAATCGAGTATTTACGTAGCGGGCACATTCAAGTTGCATTGCTTCGTCTGAAGCGATGGTGCCGTTGAATTGGGCTGTGGGTGCGTAGATGGCTGAGAAAGAGAAAATGTCGAGGAGGAAGACACAACCGTAGTAGAGAAGATGGCGGATTGCGCGACAGGTGAGAGAGAAGTCGGTGTCAGCGAGAATAGAGATGATACGGATGCTGTTGACACCGTTGATGTGTGGAACGACCTGGGAGTAATAGTGAGCAGGGGTGTCTCTATATGTGGCGGGGACATCATACTCTTTGCATGGTCAAGTCCCAATTCTCGTCCATGAAGGCTTGATACCGTACTGTGAAGAGCGGGACGTACCATGCCTTGACAGCCGGCGGGGAAGGGTATATTGGGAAGAGCTTTATGTTCAAAGTGTTGAGCTCGTCTGTTTCAATCATCAGTTGCCATCGCAGCCAAATTGTCAATCGACAAACATACCAATGGGAATCATGCACTCGCAATAATTATTGAGATCCTCCATCAGCATCTCGCAGAGACTGTATACTTTCCCCTCGCCGTTTTTTGAAAAGTCGCGCGACAAGAAACCGCTCTGCTCTTCTAGGGCGTGCATCAAGTCGGCCAGCTTTCGCACCACGCTTTTGTATGTGCTAAAATCATCATCTTCGGACAATACGAGGCAAAAATTGAAGATGAACTCATTGCGATCATAGCGAGCAGATTTCATGCAGATGGGATAGCCCAGGATGCGGTATCCATTTGTGCATACCTGAAGCAGATTTCCGCAGAGCTCCTGGCGAGGAATCACGAAGAAAGAGACGTCGGAGAAGGTCAGGAAGAGGGGTTGCGTCGGTGCGGTGGAAGAGGGAACGATGGCCCCGTCGGGAACTTGGTGGACGACCTTGGGACCTTGGGGAAAGCATTGTTAGCACGATAGTGTAATCAAGAGCACATCTTGCCTACCCTCTTGCGTATCGAATTTGCTGTAGAAGATTGCCTTGATCATAGTGGAGCTTGTGGGCGCGAAGCCCGGGGTAGCGCCGTGGCTGGCAGTAAAGATAGAACACTCGCAGCCACCGCAGAGCTAGCAGCTGGTTCCCTCTACTGTGGAACAAAAGCGCGCGACAGGGCGGAGTTACGATCGACGCGTGAAGTTGGAGATGCGGGAGTCGGAGTCGACGCTTATCGGCGGGTCCAGCTCCACTCAACCCAAATGTCTACAACTACATAAATCCAATCATCTTGAGATTAGACTATGGGTTTAAGTTTTGTGTATGCAATTGCAAGGCCAAAGGAATCCGATAAGCAAAAGAACATCAAGTTTAATTCAAATGAGCAACGGAATGCACTAGCAAAGCCGAGGGTATTACGTCGAAAGAATATGAGCCATTGCCCGCAGTGAAAGATCTATGCGTCGAGTTTGATCTTAGGCCCCGCAGCGCATATCGAGACGGGCAATAAGAATCTTCGATTTGGAACCAGTCCTCCTCGAAATGGTGCAGTGTGAAGTGCTGAGGCTAAGAAAGCGAGAAAACAAAGAAAGAAAAAAAAAGCGCCGAATATGCATGATCATCTTGTCTTTTGGGAAAGAATTGCGCGAGCAAATCTGGGAGTTCATCGTGCTGTCCCGGAAACGTGGCTCGAAGATTGAGGAATTACGGGATTTGAGGCAAACAGGTTGGCAGTCGAGTATAGGAATGTTTCTGCAGACAGCGTTGTCGGCAAGGGTCCCTCGTCGACGTGAACCTCATGTCGGAGTGCAGATGTTGGTACCTCGGGGATGAAGCTCAAGGGCTGCGTGGATCGAATGGCATGGACCATATCCCCGTAGCCTCCCCTTTCCCCGGCCTCCTTCAACCATTGCTCCCAGTCCTCATCCAGAGGCACATCAGCTCCCTCGTCGCGCGCGGCCATGGCTGCCAGCAGTCGATGGTTCAATGCCCAGCCGCAGCTCTCTATTTCATCGTCGCTAGAGTCTTCCTCGATGAGTTCCTGCGTCGCGTAGTCCGACATAACACTGGAGCTTCGGGTATCGCTCGCGCGCACCGTGTCATCGCTACCGGTCTCAATGAATTGATCGTGATCGTCTTCTGGCCCGCAGAAGTCATCATGTATCGTAATCGAGGGTGGTCGTGTTGGTGACGCAGGCTGGATCAAATGGCCCGTTGTGTCCCGCACTGTGACCCCTTCCTCCGACTCATATCGCGCCCGCGCGAACTTGGTGCCTTCCCAGCAACATAGCTCCAAGATTTCTTCCCTGGTCAGCCTCAATTCGTTGAAAGTCCTAAAGAGCCGCTTGTGCCATGGGAAACGACCCAGTCGCATGCGATGAGGGCCATAAGTATAGTCCAGCCCTGGATATTGGGCTTCAATGCAATCCAGGGGGCCATAGAAGGTGTTGGTCTCCACCCGAACTTCAGGAACTAGGTGCTTAGCCACATGAGCTGCAAAGGATTGCGGATCATGGGAACTTGGGTGGGGGAAAGTCGTGTTGTACACAACCTGAGCGACCGAGGGTTTACGCATGTTGGGGATAGGGAGGAGAGACGGTTTGGAGGAGAACAGGAAAAAAATGAACGCAAGGGTTTGGGAAATGGAGGGGGAGCGCTTGGAAGGCGCCTCAGCCACTGAGATGGATGAAAGGGAAGAGAGATGAGACTCCCGCAGTGGGGAAATGTCTAAACGCGGGACAATAAACAGTTCATTGACGTTTCAATGTTATTAGGAAGAACCCAAGTAAGATGCCCGTGGTGAACTTAGAAGAAAAAGAAAAGAGAAGGAGAGAAAAGGAAAGGAAAGAAAAGGGTGAAGGCTAATAAGCATGGGATCGTGTCACTGTGAGTTAATGTGATGTGTTGTTCCTGCACGAACAGCTGGTTCTACTCAACTCCACTTCTTACCTTCGCTTGAGCCACTTCTGCTCCGATGTCGACGTTTGATGGAATTGTCCAAGGTTTGCTCATCCTGAATCTCTATATTCTACTTTACTAAATTCCTTGCAGAGTTCCCGGAGATCCAGAGTATGTATCCCTGTACGCCTGATCAGGATCTTTCAGCTGAAACCATGCAGTCGATTACTTCCGGAAGAACCCTGAGAGACCAGCGCCGCTAGCCTGCTTTCTAAGCCATGTCCACAGCGATCATTTACAGGGCCTCGAGTCCTTTCGGGCTCCCTTCATTTATTGCTCCCCTGCAACTCGAGAAGTGAGTCTTTGTTCCATGTCTTGGCAACCCAGCTCGAGTACTAATGGCAGTGTATAGCTGCTGCTGCGCATTGAAAAGTATCCACATCGCATGAACTTCCAAAAGGGTATCTTAGAGTCAAGGCGACTGCACTACAAGCATCTAGGAAAACTCCTGGTTAGTCAATCTCAACTATGAAACAAGGAAGATCTCAGCTCACTCCAGTCAGCGCCCGATCCCGCTGAATACACCCACCGAGATTGAACTCACCCCGAAAAAGCATGTCCGGGTCACTCTGTTCGATGCGAATCACTGCCCAGGGGCTGTCATGTTTCTCATCGAGGGGGCCGGGAAGGCCATCCTCTATACGGGGGATATCCGAGGTCAGCACTTTCCTCATTGGATCTATCAGAAAATTAACATTTGACAGCGGAACAATGGTGGACCAATGCCCTGGTGCGACATCCGGTTCTCATTCCATATACCCTGTCTCGGAAGCGACTGGACAAGGTATACCTGGACACAACTTTTGCCGGTGCATCTAACCCGCTCCGGGAATTCCCATCCAAAGCCGATGGGCTCGCGGAGCTTCTTCAAAAGGTAGAGGCCTATCCGGAGGAAACAGTTTTTTTTTTTCGCTCATGGACGTTCGGTTATGAGGACGTATGGCTCGCATTGTCTACCGCATTACATACAAAGGTAAACCCGACATACATTCTGAATTCCGAAAATATTTACTCATCATTGACCAGGTTCATCTGGATCGATATCAGATGGGTCTTTATCGGGCTCTCTTGGATGCGCCCGGGGGCGTTAATGAAGCTCCTGGACTTTGCGGCTTTCGGTTGGGCAATGGATCTGTGGAAGGTTGCTTGAGTGACAATGAATCCAGCAGGATTCACAGCTGTGAGCCGGGGGTATCGTGCAAGGTTGCTCAGGATTTGAACACAGTCTATATCACACCCATCGTAAATCGCACCATTGATGGGGTGGAAATCCCCGAGGTTGGGGCTGGTGGCGGCGGTGGCGATTTGTATCAAGTCCATGAGCTAGAGCTACCAGACGAATCTGCTCTGGCAGGCTTGGAGAAACTCTGTGCTCAGCATATCCCCAACCAGGAGGTATTATCACAAACTCGAGATGCACTTTCGAAGGCATTCCGGTCAAGCAAAAAAGCCCTGTCACTTGACGAATACGGTGTTCAGGAAGACGAAATTTCTCTGGAGCAGCTAGTGACGAAGCTCAGCCGGGGCAATGCTCAGGTCACGAAATCCAATCTACCAAACACTATTGTGAGTCTGATTCATTCCCAAACTCGACCTCTACTGATCCTGTCAGCGATTTCCATATTCTCGGCATTCATCGTACTCTGAGCTGTGTGCACTCGTTGCCGCGTTCAGACCCAGGGATATTCACCCCTGCACAGTAGACCCCTCCACTTGGTCTGAAAATGTCTCCATCAGGAGCCTTTTTGGTCATTTATGCTCTGGGGAGGATTTCATGCATGATACTTACATGCGTGAGACGCTCGACTTGCAGTACGACGAGGAGCACCATGCAAGAAAACGGGCCCGGTATGACTTAGCCTCAACCCAATCAACAGAATCCAGCGAGGACGAAGAAATCCCCTCGGGCACTAACGAACGACAACACGCTGAATCTTCAATCATGCGCACATTACCAGACAGATTCCATGTCAAAAATGAGGAAATCCGACGGGCACACCGCTACTTACTTCAATACGCCGACCCGGAACTATTGCAAATCGGCCCTCTCCCCTCTTCAGTTCTAACAAATGAGGGGGAAGATGATTTAAGCACTACCGGTAACTCAGGACCAGACGTAATGAATCCGCACCAGCCTACTCACACAGACTCCTTCAGCAACAATGATGGAGCTAATTCCCCACTGCCGGATAGCCAATCACGCTCCCAGATACAAGAAAGTCAACAAACTGATAGCTTCACGCTCCCAATCTCTGAATCTGCACTTGCTCCCTCTTCTCCCATAAATGCAGATACTGCTCTTCTTGCCGAAGAGTCTTCTCCGGATCGAGGAGAGCCAGCCTCCCAATCTGGATCCGGATCTGGACTAAGAGCAAGCGCCGGTCGACAACGAATCATGTCGCGCCTGCGTACCCGTATTTCGGCGTATCTCGCAGCTCAAGACGGGTCATATTCAGCGTGGGAGGATCACTCGCTCGTTTCAGCAGGGTCTAATCATGCTGAGGAAGAGACGGAGTTGTGACCGAGCATGGGATAGCAAGTGATTAGTTGCAGGGGACGCGGGATGGCCTGATCATTTCCATTTTCGTTGATATCCTCTCTTTGGTCTTTTATTTTCGAATCTTTATTAAAAGCGTCTTTTGTCTTCTACTACCTATACTAATAAGCTCAGTCGGTAGCTTTAGCTATGATACGACTAAAGCTGCGAGATTTATACCCCAGTCACTTATTTGATCGTTTCTTGTCTCACTGCGATTTAGAATACTCTCCTGCATGTCGGGAAGAACCCTGATAACCCCACCGGGGTATTTTCTAGCGTGGGGTCCTATGGCGCATTTGCATCGGAGAATTAATACGTGGTACGCTGCGGCGAAGTCCGCCGAGTGCCCCGGTGGGGTCGAGTTGGCCGGGCGTAACCCGCCGTATCTCGCGAATACCTTAGTTGTGAAGGGAAAAAATGCAAGTTTATGCCTTGTCATGGATATTATGAGTTTAGATGAGGATTGAAATCCAGACAGAGAGATAAGATATATAGAAAAGTCATCACTTTCGTTCGTAGCTAAGCTACCTAAGCTAGCTACATTATGCATAAACAACCCGCGTACACACTCTTCGCTATGACAACATGACAGACATGAACAAAATAGAAGCAGGAGCAGAGTAGGAACATAACACGACACAACACTAACTCCTGGGATAATAGCAAACGCTCGAAGGAGGTATATAACCGAGACAATGCTGATGGTGAATTCGGAGACAGACCAATGGAAAAAAGGGGGTAATAGATAAATGAAAAGCCGAAAAGAAGAGAAAAGAAGAAGCAGGTGTGAGAATGCTCATCTAGAAGATGTAGTAGGCCTGTGTCAAGGGTAATTCGGTCGCAGGTTCAGCGTCACAGAGCATATCGTCTGCTTCGACAGTCTAGAAGTAGCATTAGTATATAAAAAGGAATGAACCAGGAAACCAGAGAAACAACTTACATAACTCTCCGGATCAACCTTCATCTTAGGCATGGTGTCATTAAACTTCATATCTTTCTTTCCAACGGTTCGGCATCCCTTCACGGCTTCGATTCGTTTCTTAAGACCATATGTCTGGACAATACCTTCATCGATAGAAGCTTGAGAAACGAACATGATCGACGTGCTAGGAACCCGGGCACCAAACATTGGTCGCATGATCATCGGCTCAATGGTCGGAATCGAGGCGTTAGGGTCACCCATCTCTGCCATGACAATCATACCACTCTTAAGAACCTGCACAGGCTTCGTACCAAAATTTCTTGGGTTCCAGAGGACCAGATCGGCAATCTTGCCCACTTCCACACTACCGATCAGATGGCCCATACCCTGTGCTAGGGCAGGGTTGATGGTGTACTTGCTAATGTAACGCTTCACGCGGAAGTTGTCATTGTTGGTACCGGCGTCTTGGGGGAGGGGACCGCGCTGGGTCTTGTTCTTGTGCGCGGTGTGCCAGGTACGCAGGATGACCTCGCCGCAGCGGCCCATGGCTTGCGAGTCGGAGGACATCATACTGATGGCGCCAAGATCGTGGAGAACGTCTTCGGCGGCGATGGTCTCGGCGCGGATACGACTCTCGGCAAACGCGACGTCTTCGGGGATGTTCTTCGACAGGTGGTGGCAGACCATCAGCATATCGAGGTGCTCGTCCAATGTGTTCAGTGTGAAAGGGCGGGTCGGGTTGGTACTGCTGGGCAGGACATAAGGGTGCTCGACGACACTGATGATGTCGGGTGCGTGACCACCACCAGCACCCTCAGTGTGGTATGTGTGAATAGTGCGGCCCTTGAAGGCTTCAACGGTCTGCTCGACGAATCCGGACTCATTCAGAGTGTCGGTGTGGATCATGCACTGCACGTCATACTCATCGCAGAGTGTCAGGCAGTTGTCGATGGCAGCGGGTGTGGAACCCCAATCCTCGTGCAGCTTGAGACCGGCAGCACCCGCCTTAATCTGCTCCTCGATGCTGATCCGTCCGCAGTCATTACCCTTGCCCGTAATACCAATGTTGATGGGCAGGCTATCGCACGCCTGCATCATCTGGCGCAAGTGGTTCGGACCCGGTGTGCAAGTAGTCGCGTTCGATCCAGTACTGGGGCCAGTACCACCACCCAGGAAAGTAGTAATTCCTGAAGCCAAAGCCTCGTCCACCTGCTGTGGGCAGATCAAATGGATGTGCGTATCGAAACCACCAGCGGTGACGATCTTGTTCTCACCGGCAATGACATCGGTGGAAGCACCAACCACCAAATCGGGATGCACACCATCCATCACATCCGGGTTACCGGCCTTTCCAATTCCAACAATCATACCATCCTTGATTCCAATATCAGCCTTGAAGATACCGGTCCAATCGATGATAAGCGCATTCGTGATAACTGTGTCTACGCACTCAGAGGCCGAGCGTCCTGATGCCTGACCCATCCCGTCACGAACCGTCTTACCACCACCGAAAGTACACTCGTCTCCGTGGCTGGTCATATCATTCTCAACCTCCACCCACAAGTCGGTCAAACCGAGGCGCACCAAGTCTCCAGTTGTCGGGCCAAACATACGAGAGTACGCCTCCCGTTCCATTGAGAACCCAGTGATCAACGCGCTATCGGCCATTGGCTCGGGGACGTGCGCGAATCCAGCAACCTGCAGCTTTGTCACAATCTCATCGGCGCGGCTGAGATCAACGGGCCCGTTCGCCAAGAAGTTGCCTCCACGGATAATCTTGTTACCAGCAATTTCCACCAATGTAACAGTCTTGGTATCACCAGGTTCGAACCGAATGGAGGTTCCGGCGGCAATGTCCAACCGAAATCCATATGATCGAACGCGATCAAAGTGTAGTTGCGGGTTCGTTTCAACAAAGTGGTAGTGCGATCCAACCTATTCCCCAAATTGTCAGTCCCCACTCATGCTGAAGAAAAGGAGGGCGGGGGAGATGCATGTCCACCACGCATAAACATACCTGGATTGGTCGATCACCCTTGCTCATAACCTTGAGCTTAATCCGCTTCCGTCCATCATTCAGATGCACCCGCGCGTTCTTCACAGGGATGACCGCGCCAGGCATCTTCTCCGGCAAGAAATCACTAGGATCCGGGTCCGGGAAGGCCTCGGCGGCGGGAACGGGTAGGAAGCTTCCATACAGCGCACGCTCGAGGTCACCCTCATCACTACTGATGGGGTGATGTACGGTGACCAGGTAGGTACCTGATGGGAAAGTTCCTTCGACCTGAAGCTCAACGAGGGTAGCAACAACGGAAGGGAGGACATGACGGCGACCCAGCATGGTCTTTCCGATGGACATCAGATCGGCGACAGAATAATGGCCATCGCGAATAAGCTAATCAATTCATGATGATCTATTAGTCTTGTTTCAAATTGGCAAATTGGCAAATTGCAATGCCATTGGCTGTTGGATTTGTATTGTATGATCCGACAGAGGGGGAATTGGAAAAAAAGTGGGGAAATCGTACCTCGTGCAGGACGGATGAGATCAAGGCCTGCAGCACAAAAGATTAGCGTCGGATACTTCCACATCATATTGGTATTTTGCTATTTTTGAGTATTTTAGGAAGTACATACCACTGATTCGGCATGGTTAAGTCGAACGCCCCGGGCCAGACGCCGTTGGGCCAGGAACCCGAGGTTTGAGATGGTGAGCTTGTCAAGCTATAACCGGATGTCAGTGGAAGGGATCATTGGAGACCATTTTCAAGATGCTTGGCAAAGTAGTACCTCCTTCGGAACAAGCTGCATAGCGCAGGTGGAACCCGAACCTCTTGCTTGGCAGGATGAGGGGACAGGAGAAAAGTTTGACTCCTGATATCAAGATCCCCAGAAGGTTGAGAGAAGACAGAATGTGGGGGACGCGGTATATTTCAAGTCGAATGCCGTGTTGGTGACCTCCGATAACGATGATAAGAGCCAAAACGCTGGCCGATTGGATCCCTACATTCCCCCGTTTTAGTCACGGTTTTGCTAATGGATTTCTGTCAGGACCCAGAGGACCCATTCGGCAGGTTCTTATGAATAATAGTATTGAACATTCGAAATGTTTAATTACTTTTCGATATTAGAATTGCCTGGACTCTGGTAGGTTCATACACTATTTTGACATAACCCTACACGCACTTTTTTCCCAATCGCCCCGCAAAACAAATTTTCGGCAAGTTATAGTGGATTATGCCTATTCCGTACACGTCAAGAAAATTAAAAGAATAATATATGAATTGAAAATTTTGCTGAAAGTAGGAAGAAAAATATTTAAGCCTCGCTCTTGCGCTTCCTGCCCTTGCCCTTGGGAGTCTTGGTCTCTGCAGCGGGAGTCTCTTTAGCCGCGGGCTCCGCCTTTTTGCTGCGGGATCCTCTCTTAGGAGGCGAGGCCTGCTTCACAGCCGACTCGGGAACTTCCTTCTTGGAATCACTGCCACGGCGGCGCTTGGTGCTGCGGGGGAGTCTTCTCCTTGGGAGGAGGTTGAGCGGGAGACGGGGAGGACTCGCGGGATTCTTCTTCCTCATCTTCATCTTCGGAGGAGGAAGAAGAAGTCTCATTATCAGAAGCCTCCTTGGGAGCATCAGCAAAGTCAGCCTGCAGCTGGGTAGCAGCAGGGTCCTGGTCCTCTTCGTTCTTGCCGGCCTTGTACGCGGCCATGTCAGCCTTGTACTTCTCATAGTTTTGTGAGTACAGCTCCTTCCAGATCTATTCGAATGTTAGTCATATGTTTTTAGATTTCCTATCAAGTGAAATGAAATTTGGTTTCTCACCTCCTTCTGCGAAGCAGGCATCTCCTGCCAGCGACGTGTGCCCTCATCAGCAACATCTTTAGGCTTGGCAACATCGCCCAGGTCCGCGGCGATCTTTGCGCGGTTGCTCTGCATGTACAGGAAGTATGGGGTCAGGGCACGCTTGGGTGCATTGGGGTCCACGGGCGCACGCTTGCGCTTCTTGGTGCCAGCCTCAGACTTGGCGCCAGGGCTGCTGGGCCGTTCAAAGTTGCTTAGGTTCAAGCCGGCGGGCACAGCAGGGATGTCAATGGTGGCAGGGCCACCGGTAGCGACACTGTTGGCATGTTCCAGGTAGGCTTTGCTCAGGTCGGCAATGTAAGCTTGGATGGTCATCAACCGCATGAGCACCTATTGGATTGTTAGTGCTGTAATTTTTTTACAATGACATGGTCTCTAGACAAGACGAAACGTGTCACATGGGTATGCTATAGTAAGGTGACACGCATGTAAGAAAGTGAATGGGGGAAAGGCCCTGTCCAGTGTTGGAAGGCAGAATCACACGCGCATGATGTCATGACTGTTGAGAGTGTTGACGCGCAACAGATAAATTAATTATCCGATGATTTTCGAGTACATCAACGCATCGCGATAAATACTTCATGGTTGAAAGAAACAGTCAGGTGCGATAATGCAGGTCAAAAACTTTTGTTGATATGCGACGCGTCGTGGGAAGCGCGAAGTGGATGCATCGGAACATAACAAAGAAGAAAAAAAAGAAATCGAGAAAAAATGAAGAATTGAAAAGATAGCAACGCGAATAATCAGGTGAGAGGGGAAACATACCGCATCCTTAGAAGCATTCAGCTCGTTGAGATTAACTTCAACAGTAGCCTGTTCGGCCTTAGAATCGGAGGGAGACATGGTGATAGGTGATGCCGAGAGTGAGAAGGGGGGAAGGGAAAAAAAGAATTTGGGGGGGGGGAAAGCCTGAAGGAATAGGGGGGCTGAGGGGGTGGGAACGAGGGCTACTAAATAACGCAGGGCTCAAACTTCCTTAAGCCCCCGGCATGTTCGGCCTGTCGCTGCTTTAGGCTTAGGGGGCCTTGCTTCTTGGGAGCTCGGGGCTCAGGCTGGTGTCGCCTCACCTGGTCATGCAGTAACCCGGGCATTGGCTCTAGGCTTGTGACATACCGAACCTACCCATTTGGTTGACTATCCTACATTTATACGTTTTCCACTTATTTAAAGACCTGAATGGATAATAAGTGCTTGATCTATGTGCAATGATTCTTGACACAATATTTGTGAAAGTTGTTCCAAGCGCTCCCCAATGATATATTTCGGTACCCGTCTACCCTCCCCAATGTGCGATGGCTCTGGTTAAACCCTGGCCCCGGGCGGCCAAGGTCGCAGAATAAACCTTGTAACCGGAGGTACCTAGGTATATATACATTGGAGGATTTTGACAATTATTACCCCAAGCGAATTTCATGACATTATGAGAAAAGAAGATATTCCGAAGTATATTTCTAGACCGAAGATGAGAATTCTAAGCAGACAAGTGCAGCTCAGTTAGGAGATACTGCAAGAACAACGCTGATAACGGGAAACACATCAATGTATACAGCTATCGCATGTGATTATGCGCTGGTTCAAAAAATCTACAAGTTATCTAGAACTTGAAAACCTGCTCCTTGTTGTAGCCAAGCTCCTTCAGGATACCCTCGAGCTCGCCTTGGTCCTGGGGGCTGACCTTGGCACCAGAGATGGCCTTGTACAGGCCAGGCGGGCCACAGACGAAGAGCTTGATGTTCTCCTCCTTGGGCTCAGGCAGAACGGTCTTCAACAGCTCCTTGTTAATGAAGCCCTTACCACCGACCCAATCCTTGGGGGGCTGGTCGAGGACGTAGAAGGCGCGGAAGCGCTGGGGGTAGGTGTTCTCCAGCTCTTCGAGCTCCTTCTTCAGTAGGATATCTTCCTCCTTGACATTACCGAAGACCAGGGTAACCTTAGTGCGGTCATCAGGGTTCTTGAAGATATGACGGGCCAGCTGGTACATTGGGGTGATACCAGTACCACCAGCAATCAAAGCGATGTGGTTGTGCTTGTTGGACTCCCAGGGGTACTTGACGATGGGGCCCTTGAAGGCCAGTCTCTGGTCAACAGCCAGGGAGTGGATATGCTCTGACATGGGTCCATTGGGGTAGACCTTGACGACAAGCTCAAGGTAGCCGGGCTGTTCTAAGAGAAGAGTCAGCGTGGGTAAACAATAGCAATGCAGGAATCATACCTTCATCACTGGTCGGGGTGTAGGGGCGAATAGTGAACTTCTCCTTGCCCTCGGGCTTGAAGCGGGTCAACAGAGCAGCTATTATCTGGGGTCAGCACGGAAGTCTTATTGACAGAGATATGAGAAAAGTACTGACAGGCAACGGGAAGACCACCGACAGCCTCCTTATCCTCAAACTCAAAGCGAATCTTCTTAGTGTTGTGGCTCAGGTTCTCAATGGCCCCGACCTTTAGGTCCACCCAGTCCTGGCCGTTGAAGACCTTGGGGCGCTCCTGGGGCTCAGCAACAGCAGAGTTGCTGTAGCGGTAAACCCCAGCGCCGAGACCAGCAAGACCAACCGCAACGTAGATGGGAGTCAAGTTAGACTTCTTAGGAGGAGGGGGAGGAGGGGTGGCCTCGGCAGCCTTGGGAGCAGCCTCCGCGGAGTACTTGCGGATGCTCTGGAAACAGACGGTTAGTTTCGCACGGGTCAAGCAGAAAACTTCTGACGAACCTGCTTCAGGGGCTGCGCACAGCGGAAAGCCTGGCGAGCGAACATATTGGCAGATTAATTGAGGTAATATATGGTTCAATGAAAGGAAGGGGGAGTGTAAGGAGAGTGAAGGTTAAAAGAGGGAAGAAATCGGATGCGGAAAGCGGACAGCGTTGCTCGGCTCCCCAACACATGACGCAATTGGGGTTCCTGCAGTGCTGGGATTAACGATATTTAGCCATATTGCGTAACCGCACATTGGTGGAGACCAAGGTACCCAATTTTCTGAGTAAACCCGAGCTTTTCTGGTTTGCTTAGAAGAATATATCCGAAATACGACACACAGGCTGTTGCGGTTGGCCCGGCGCGGAGGGGGCTTCGGGTACGGGCTCAGGCACGCCCGAATCCCCGACGGATTACTGTTGTGGCGCCCCGGAATGATAGCCAGGCCCGTAGGATCACTCTGCGCCTACTTCTCTATCGGCTTAGTTCTAGCTAAGACCATGAGTGAATCTAGATCTGCGGCCCGTCACACTATCTTTAGCACTGAATAAAATAGCACAGACCATCTGAACTCGAGAGTACCTGGTTCATATTTTGTTCCCTGTGAAGACTATAGGAATTGGAACAGTTCTGAATTACACTCTGATTGTCCACTATGTCTCCATAGCGACAACCAAATATCTTGTCTATCTTTGTAGATTATTCCAGCGGAAAATCTAAGATCAATGCAGAAGGTCTACAAAGGACAGATGCAGAACGTGAACCCGATATTTTTGAAATTTAACCTCAGATGCCACTATACGGGGCTAGAGACATCTCCCCATTACTGGGTACAAACAGGCCGTAGCCGCGCGGCCAATATCTTTCATGCATGCTATGGCCGTAACGCAGTTATTCATCCACACTCCTTTCCCAAACCCAAAAACATCACATTTAAGCAAAGGTAGAGGGGCGAGAGTAGGCAAACAGCTTCTTGCCAGGGTTGGCAGAGCGGTGGGGCAGGGGGAACTTGACGTTCTTGCTGAGGAGCTGCTTGATGTAGGGGCGACGGATGCTGTCGGCATCGGTGATCTCAACGACCTTGAGGACCTGTGGGGTTGTTAGAAAAGATGCGCAAGAACTAGGAGTGATTCGAAACGTACGTGGATGGAACCGAAGCGGGCACGGTGACGGGCAGCCATGTCCTGGTAAAGGGCATCGACGGCGTCGGTGCGGCTCATCTCGCGGAACTCCTTGTACATGTTGTGGGTACCGGAGCGCGAGTCGTAGCGGAGCCAGATACCGAAGTTCTTGACCTTGAGGGGGCGCTTCTCGGCGATCTAAAAAGAAATCAGCAGTTGTTCCCTTGGTTCTGGGGGAAGAATTTTATACATACCACGTTCAAGCTGACGATCTCACCGTTGGCCTTCTTCAGCTTGCGGAGCTGAGCAAGGAAGTACCAGAACCGGGACTTAGCGACAACGGTGTTGGGCGCAAAGATGCGCATGCGGTACAGCTTGGGCGTGGGGTTCGCCTCGGTGGGCAGGTGACGCCCGATAACCTGGTACTCAGTAAGACGCCCTGTGGTGAATTCGTCAGTCATGACTCTTGGAATTGTGTGCGCTCAGCAATTCTCCTCGGACGGTATAGCGATTTGCGATGGTGGTTGGCGATTATTCCTGCAGGCGACGAGGGGGAGGTTGGTTTGGTCGTTGTTGAAAATTTCAAGATCGGTACTCCAGCGGATCTTTCTCGTTGAATTCCTGTCGACCCCATCAAATAAATCCTCCGCAATGATGTCGCCAATCCATCGAATGTTTTTCTTATTGTTTCGAGACCCTTTGTGTCATTGTTGAAAAGATTGCCGCTCCGCCTGATATATCGTCGAACCGATCGCACACACCGTAACCATCTCGAGAAGAATGCTGGAAAATCGAAAAAAGTGACACGTACCCATCTGGAAAATAGAATGTTAGCAATGACTTCGTCGGGGGTGAATATGGGGGTGTACTGACTGTGATTGTCGCTGTGGTGGTTGAGTCGTTAGTGTGCCGGGGAAGAGGAAATCAGGAAGTGTGTTGCATTGTGCTTAGGGCTATCGCCCTTCGGTTAAGCGAGTGGATCACATCGGATTCGTACTAGTCCCAGATAGGAAGTACTGTAACGGGGTTCATTCAGCCACAGTCTCCCGCCACATTCACTGCACCGCCACAGCCTCCCCACTCCAAAGAGATGACTAAGCCACGGTTGGAATCGTGACTTTGGTGAAGCTCATCCAGTGTTACTTGATACGCGATACAATACGTTCCACGACTTTCTTCTTTGTTCAATTATCCTAGAAGGAGGGGCAGCGCTCATCATGAGCACCCTTGCAGCTGAATTTCGAAACGCCTACATCCATGGGTCGGGTCCTGGTCTCGCGGCAGTATTCACTCCAATTGCGACTACGAATAGCCCTCATCGCTTGAGCTCGTTCTACGAATTCACTAATGCCCAATACCTCACACAAGACCTCGCTTCCTCCTTATTTCACGGGAAAGGCCTGAAGGTATCGAAAGCCGAACAAAATGCTTGGGTCAATGTTTTTGCCGCGTACTGGGAGGCAGTGGGGGAGGTTTTGAAGTGCGAAGATCGTCATTCCGAGGCTAGCGCAGCGGCTTTGTTCAAAGCCTGGAAGAAGGTTGCCATGGCACTTAACAAAGGATATACGGACGCCAATATTCCTGCCTGGACACTGCCGTGCATGTACACCGTCGGCAAGTTCTTACGCACCTTTGCGATCAAGGCCGACAACGAGGCAGCCTCCCAGAGTTCGACCGCATTTGGAGTCTTGGATGATGTAGCTGCTGATGTTGAGAAGAATGCCTACTTGGAAGATGGAGCTCGAATAATCAATCGCATGTTTACCTTATGTCTGACAGACCGGTGAGTATTGGCTACCAATGGTGATGGGTTTGGGCGCTAATAAGATATAGTGCTCCTATTGAAGACTCTCGGAAGTGGGGGATCTATAATATCACCAGTCTACTATTCAAGACTTACTTCAAGGTTTGTACATGTACCCTAGTACCGCTAGTCGTCCTTTAACTGGGTCTAGATCAACTCGGTTGGCCTCACCAAGAATCTGCTGCGTGCGATCAATGCCCAGTCGCATGAACTACCGCCATTGGAATCGTTTCCAAAGTCTCATATCGTCACATTTGAATACTACATCGGTGTCATTCACTTCCTCGATGAAAATTACACGGAGGTCTGTGGGGTACTTCGGTGATGAGATGCGTTCAGCTGGTTAACATTCTGCAGGCTGAAAAACATCTGTCTACTGCTTGGCGCATGTGTCACCGGCAAGCGCTTAAAAATTGCGAGTAAGTTGATCTAGATGATCTTGTTTAGTCCCTACTCACCGACCTAATAGGCTGATTCTCATGTATTTGATCCCCTGCCATTTGGTAACGACTCATACACTCCCCAGCCAACAACTCCTTGCTCCCTTCCCACAACTCGAGTTGTTCTTCCGCCCTCTATCGAATTGCATTCGGAAAGGCGACCTTGTGGGCTTTGACGCAGCCATGGCCGCTGGTGAAGAGGAGTTTGTGAAAAGACGCATTTATTTGCCTCTAGAGCGGGGGCGTGACATTGCCCTTCGCAATCTGTTCCGAAAGGTCTTCATCGCTGGTGGCTTTGAAGAGCCCAAAGAGGGCCAGCCGCCTATTCGACGAACCCGGGTACCCGTCGTCGAATTTGCCGCTGCATTGCGGATCGGGACCCACGCAACGGGTCGGTCCCGAGTTGATATCGATGAGGTGGAGTGTTTACTCTCCAACCTTATCTACAAGGTTCGTGCTAGCTCAAGATCTTGATGGATCGTGCTTACTGACAACTACCAAAGGGTCTCATGAAGGGCTACATTGCCCGCGAGAGAGGCTTTGTCGTGCTAAGCAAGAACAATGCCGCCTTCCCCGGAACTGGGGTCTAAGGTAGGCGAAAAAACCGAATATGCCACACTAATACTACATATGTTCTTGTCAGTTAAGGCATAGCAAAGGCTGCAAGATGAATGAGCAGCAAACCCGAGTTGCATTGGTCTGGTACCAACTATTATTACGAGCTACTATGAATAAGAGTTTGCATAGAACAAAACACTTAACAGCCTTCAATTTGCCTCATTCTCGAACCTGCATTATTGGTACATGGGTATAAAATACAAAAACACACCTGCGAAGTACAGCTAAAAAAGAAACCCAGCAAATACCACCCCAGCCCAAGAGTACATTGTCGTCCTTGTCTCCAACTCGCCCAGGTCGTAGTCAATACACCTTTAATCAAATATTATAAAAGAGAAAACCAGCCAAAATACCAGCCTCAATCACTCTTTTGCTGCAGCAGAACTACAAACCGACAAAGCCGGGAAAACATCATCCTAAAACTCGTTAGCCACAGTGTCCAATCACCAAGCAACGAGTATTCAACCAAGCTCGGCAGCATATAGATAGGGAACATACCATATGATTACACATAGCAACAAACAAATCAAAAAACAGCTTCCCGCCTCTTTCCATCTCCATCTGCATAGTTCCACTACGCTTAAACGTCCCCCGACACCGAATAATCAGTGCAAGGTAATGCGCCCGCAGCTTCGATTCTGTATCGGGCGTATTCGCATATGCGTACCGCGCACTCGCAAGGATAGTATTGACCGTGATACCGGAATGCAGACCCTGCTTGCGGAGCGCTAGTCGTTGGAGAGCAGGAAGATTGAATTTCTCGGCAGCACAGCTGAAATTGAGAATTAGTTTTTGAGTTGCGTGCGTGATTGAATCTGGGACTTACTATACCGCCGTATCCCGCAAAATCACTTCACCAGCTCCGGCGTGGAACAGAGTTGCGCCTGCGCTTGTTGCTTCGTCGTTGTCTTTATCACTTTCGTCTCCTTCCTCGAGTTCCCATGTCCTGCGTCGCGCGTTGTGGCGCAATCGGGGGTAATAATCGCCTTTGTAGAGGTACTCTAGGACGCAGGAGAAGACTTCGGGTTGTTCATCAGGGAGATTGACTCGTTTACCTGGGGATTGGATGTGTGGCTGTGAGCGGGAGGGTGGGGATGGGGTTTGCGATTGACAGCGCTCGGCGAAGAAGGGCGATGCGGAGAGGATAGCTTCGTGTGCTGCGAAGAGACGTTTCTCTGCGCCGACGTGGATGAGGACGATGGGAGATGTTGATGGGGTCGGGGAACTGTTTGATTGTCATGTTAAATTAAGGGATTGGAACACGCAGATGATCATATTGCTGAATCCAATGCTAAGAAATGGGGAAAAGTACTTACGATACGTCTGGTGGACACGCCGGCCTTCGCCGCGAGTCTATCTCTATGCGCCTGGAGCTGCTGGAGCTGGAACTATCTCTGATATTCCGTCTCGGTCTGCTCATGGACGCCTTCGTCGCTCGATAGCGTGTGAAGGCGTCCGAAGGAGTCTGGGGATTTCTTTTGGAGAGCATATTGCGGAAATAAGATTTGATTCTAATGGGACAGCTGTATTGAACGAAGACCGTATGATGCGCCAGCCTGATTCAAAGGCAGAATTTGAATCAGGGGCTACAAGCTCTATTTATACGCGAGCACAACTTACCCGGGTAATTCCCCTGGGCAAATTTGTAAACCTGGACTTGGTCACGAATGTACATGACGGGATCTGGACGGGGAAGTTGTGACTTAAATATGGGTCTGACAGGGCCAATATTACCCGAATTGGAGCTTTCAGGACGTTCCGACGCGTCATGACGGGGTTCAAACGCGTAAAAGGGGAGTGGGGAGTCACCAAATGAGCGCGTGGTCACGGGATGACGAGGGCCAATGAGGAGGTGATTTGCTGGTGAAAGTGGAGACGTGGGAAATTAGTGAAATCTGAATAGACCAGTCCAATTACTGTTCCCCTATTCCAGTTTTCATGTTTGAGGGATTATCTACGTGGTGAGAAAGGTCGTGTGACAGTCTATGAGTGACTAGGCGGATTTTGTTGACTCAACGTATGAATCATAAGTTGAGCTGAGAATACATGTGGAAGGCGGTATGTTATACCCTTCGTCTCTTCAAATGGACCTGACACAACACCTTCCAAGGTTGCGCTTTGAAACGGGAAGATGCAGGAATATGTACGGAGTACACAGACTAACTCGGTCTCTCACATTCGAGTAGAGTTCCACTCTGCAGCTGAAGACAGGGTTCTACGACAATTGGTTCGGAGGCTCAAAGTATAAAAACGGGTGGTATTCTTTCTTCTGAGGTATCTATGCCTTCAGAAAAGACGCCCAGGTATGTGTGGTAAAGCACACCTGGGTGAGGTTATCCACGCCCGTACAGCTAACCCTGAAGTCAGCCTGTAATTATTGTGTATGCAAGCCTTAGTAGCCCCTTGTCGTAAATGAGCCCCTAACCACGATCTAGATGAAGAATAAGTACGTAGAAATGGGACAACATATGATGCTTATTTGAGGTCAGTTGATACTATTGAGCCACAAAAAGATTGATACGTTGATCAAGATGACCGACACGATATAAAATGAATGACATTCAAGCTTGAGGCCACTAACCCCATTTTCACTCAATGATACCCATTTCCCTGCTATCGAGGTCAAATCTCAATTTCAGGACAGAGGTCGGTTCTTCAGTTTCAAAGAGCGTAGGGGCTGGCTTCACCGACTTGAGGTACGCCCAGATTCTAGAATATGCCAGACACCAGTAATGCGATGGCGAGGGAAATGATGGCGCACATCAATAAGAGTAAGACGACGGCACAAATAGTAGCCGCCTTCTCCCGCTTCTCGCAGATAGTAAGGGAAGATACTTGGGCCTCAAAATCTCCAGTTATCTTGAACCGCCATTGCCTGCCGAGGTATGCAGGTTCAGGCAATGAAATCTTCATGTGCATAGTGTCTTTCATTATTGAAAATATTGCTGTCGGGTGAATTGTGATGTTAACTGAAAAGCACAGAGTGGAAGAGAAAACAATGAGAAGAAAGGGAGGGGTGAGTGAGGTATACTTGGACTTAAACCCCTAATTAGTATTAGTATCAAGAAAAGTGATATACATATTGGAGATCATGATCGCTAAGTTAGTCTTAGTCCTTATGGGCGGCGACTATTTTAGCCAACTCTGATCAACGGTTATCACTACCCGTCATTACCCTGTGGACCGATCATCGCGCTAGTCTTCCTGAGTATATGGTCCCTACTGCTGAGCTCTTTGCTGAACTCGCCACCTACGGCCGCAAAACCTACACTTGGCACTCCTATTCCGTCAATGACGTGTGCTATGGGCTGGGCCCTGCTTCTTTAAATTGGGTGATGAAATTGCAGAGTGATGACAAACACCGTCCGCTGCCGTGATGCAGGAAAGCTGCGCGGTTTTTTATCCACTCTCTTGTTGTATGTAATTCTCTAGTACAACCGACGCAACGAAATGATAATCACAATCATTTTATCAATTAATCCCGACCCAGTTCTAATATCAGATACATCAAACGCCTACGCCGTGAGCAACAGGGTAAGTGGTCACCATAAGAGCATCTGAAACAATGGCCCCCCACAAACCCTGGTCCTACCGCGGTTGCTTATGTGCGAGCACAAATCTCAGTCTTCTCAAAGGATACATGACAACGCCAGCAGCTGGCAATTTAAATGTGCCTGTCTTTATCGCAAGCTTTCAGCGAGGCCATCATTCTAAATATATATATGGAGCTAGGATTGATGCGCTATGCAAAGGCCAAGGTGTGTAGGCTATGAGCTACGGTTAGGACCATAGATAAAAAAAAAATACAGTAAGTCATTTCCACTTTAACGCCTATCCCTAAACGCTAGTGACATATCAAAGAGAATTTCCGGACACCTGGCGCCGCTGACATCAAAACAATATCGAGACCTTCAAAGTCCGCTACAGGAATATCTTTCGGGCATCCTTGGGGTGACTCTCATTGGGGCAGTAGGGACACTTGAAACGGTTGCTCTTGCTGAGTCTGTGAAGGGACTCCTCGGCGATGACATGCCCGCATGGCATCATCATGGGTGGGTTCTCGTCAGTCGCTTGTTCCTTTGAGACAGGGCAGACGAAGATTGAATGGAAGAGGTACGAGGGTGGCAATGGGATTTCGACCTAGGCACATGTAAGTACGAGAGTTATGGTGATAAGATGGAAGAGGGCGCACGTACTGGAAGCTCATTCTCACTGGTCCACTCGGTGCGCTTGGCCTTCATGATAGTCTGTAACTTCAGAAGCGTGGGGAGCGCAATGGCACCAGCGGTGGCAGCCACATAGAGCGGGGAGTCAGCAGACAATCCCAACAGGGAGCAAAACTCGCGAGTAAAGAACTGGGCCACATCATCCCAAGCAGAGGGATTGTTGAAAATGGTCGAGTATGGTGAGCCCTGGAGGTTCGGGCAGAAGGCCATGGCACCCATCAGTTGCTGAACCTCCCGCAGGTAACGGGGCATGAAAGCTTGGAATTCCTGTTGGGCATACCGGACGGCCGCCTGCCAGTTGCGAACGTCTTGCGCGTGGGACTTGCCGTGGAAAAGCCACACAAACTGCAGGCGAGACAATTCAAACTCTAGATTGCTTCCACGGGCCTCAAGAGCTTCACGGTTCTCTCGAGACCATTCAATTGCGGGAAGGAGATTCTTTTTTTCTTTCATTTCGTGGAGAATGTAGTACATGGAAGCAAACTGTTTCCGGATTTCGCTGGAGGGGACCTCATCGATGTCAAGTAGACTAGGAGCAGGTTTGGGGGAGAGGGGGGATGAATCGGGATTATCCATGGCCTTTTGGTCTGCAATCTCAGCAAGAAAGGTTGCGGCAACCGAAAATTGCCCTTCACGGAGGAGGTGCATTGCAATCGCACGGTTGATTAAATTCTCTTGTTGCGAGAGAGCGTCATGTTCTGTGGTAGGGAGGGGTCGATCTTTGAATAGCTGAGAGAACAAGTTTGGATGTATTAGAGTGGGAAGTTTGCGATGCTTGAGCTGAAATGCATTACCTTATCGAGAGACTTGGTGTACTTGTTCAAGCCGCTGTGGGTTTCCTTCAGATTGTCATTGATGGAGTCAAATGACGACTTAACCGGGTTCTGAAGTTTAGCCAGGGTAATAGCTGCTTGGTTTGGATCTACAAAGAGGGTCAGTTCACGGTCAGCCCAGCGACAATATGCGAGTCGTAGACTCTCATGGATGCTACATGGGCATGCGGAACTAACCAGAAGCTATAGTGTCCCGGGCTGACTGAAGTAACTCGATCGTGGAATCCACACTTTTTAGGCCGTGAGAAGCCTTCAACCTCTTCAGAAGCCTGTCATGCTCCTTTTGCACAAGCTCCATGATGTTTGATGGGTGGGTACTCAATGCGGAGTTGAGTGAGATTACCGCCCGAATCCAGCGGAGGCCATATGCAAGTTGAGATCGGAGGGGCTTGCTTAAGATGCAGTTTTAAAGCCCCAGATATCCAAATTTTATAGCACGCGTGTTCCTGGTGCAGGTCCAGGGAAGTAGAACAATAACCAGTTGAGAAGCGATCACGAGAGTGGGACGTTGGTGATGTTGGATCATTTCCGGGTGATCGACGCCATAGGCACGTGACCCGATCGAGCAGTCGACTGATGCTGTTTACAGCGGGGTGATACGGGCCCCTGGGTAACTCACTGCATTGAAAGATGCAGAATGGTTCCACTTAAAATTTTATGTGCTACATACATGCCGTGAACACCCAGTTACAAAGCTGAGAGTCATGCTTCATACTGTTCGTAAATGAGAGACGGAGCTTCAAAGGCACTAGTCCTAGTTAGGAAAGCACCCGCCAGGGATGAGTCATTCACCCCACTTGCTCCAATCACATGCAAGGCTGCAGCCTTGGCCCCCACTCTCGCTTACGCTAGCGCGAGTCCCCCCTGGGTATAAATATTTCTCCTTCCTCTTCTCCTTTCCCCTTCTTTTTCTTTTCTTCTTCATCCTAGTGCACGGGTTTTACACGCGTCAGTGAGGAGACATCCGAGACCGTGTTTTTGCTAGTTGAAAACTACCAAATTGACCTCTCCTTCTGGTCCTCCGGGATCGGAAGGGAATTTTTGAAAAATTAAGATACCTCCAACCTCCTTGGTTAATCCATCGAGCGTTTTTACTCGCAGCCTCTTCGAAGGCTTCTGCGTTGGACTGTTCGCATTTCTGCAACGTCCAGTTCTGAGTATTGTCTGGTCTTTTCACTACTGCTTGTCACCCATGCTGGTGGCCTGTAGAGAAGAGATTTACCTCATATCCTTTGTTTGTAGAATGTTGGCACGCGAATACGCGTTATGCCACCGCACTTTAGCTTTGTGTGCTTCTAGCTTAGCACTTATCTTTGATGAAGCTTTCTCCTAGTTGCAGTACAGTAGAAATACAGACCATTTAGTTATATATGCAGCTGGTCCCTGAGTTAAAAACCAAAATCCCTGGTTTGGTGGACGCCTGATGTCGATCTTCACCGCCCACTCAGTGACGTCGCTCATTCTGCAGGCTTGGGGAGTTTAATCTACACTTGATAATTGTCTCAGTTTCCAGTAATTTTTGGTGGTAATTGCTGTCTTTCTATTTAACTGGAACATGCCTCCAGTGCTGTTCCTACCTTCTATTCTCTTTGTGTTTTCTTGACTCTACTCAAATTCAAACACTCGGCGGCGCCTCCCTGACCTGGGCCGAGGCGTGGCGCCGGAGCTGGTGTAATCAATGGTCCTCTCCATCATATTCACTATCTGTTCTCTCGGGCTTTCTCCTCGAGATTCTGCGTCTCATACTAACCGACAGCCGTCATGTCAGCCAACGCAGCCGGTACGCCGGCGCCAGACCGTCGAGACTCCGCGAAGGTCGCCGACGGCCTCAGAGGAAGCCCCGCCTCCCACACGAACGGTCACGAACAAGTAGTACGCCAGGGCCACCAGAGACTGGTCTTCACTGACCCCGTTGCCCTGCGATACCTCGAAGAAGACCCCTCCACCGACGTCCTCCACCGCCGCTCCACCCTGCAAGGTTATGAAATCTATATTGTCGAACAATGGGCCTGCTCTCGGGTGCATCCGACCTTTGTTATTTCAACCTATACTGGAGACCCATCGCATACAGTCATTGTTGGGGTACTCAGCGTACCAACAGATGAAACCACATGGTCACCTCGCCTGCGGATGTACTTTGACGCTGTCAAGCAATACCATGCTCGACAGAAGGAGACCCCTCTCGGCACAGTCATGGTCACAGACTTGGGGACTTTTCCATCGGCCCTTACTGTCATTCCAGTCCCACAAGGCGATGTCAAGAAACACCGGGAGGATTTCATTGTGAACGAGGACTTGAAGCGATTGGGTTGCGCTGGACGGGCAGGCCTCAAACTCCAGTCTCCATTACCGGCCACAGAAGCAAAGTTCCATCAACTTTACCGAACAAATGAGCGGGTTCCTCTTTATAATGCGGTAATAGAGTTGGTAAAGCAGTGTCAAATTGCCTTGATGGTGTTTGACAAACTAGCGCCGGAATATGTGGACGGTCTCCTGTGCGATGTGACCGAAGCAGCAATTAGTGACTGGTGGGCTGATATCGGGTCAGAACTGTATAACATTGAACCAAGTGATGGTATGCTGGGACCAACCACCGTGTCTGCCCTCCTCGGAACACTGCTTGGTGCTCGAAATCGACTCCATGCATATGGAGCTCCTGTGGGGAAGGACGCCTTTGATATCGACAACCTGAAACGGGGTATCAGTGGTTTCCAGAAATCTCAGAAAATGAGTCGAACAAGGAGGCTAGATCGGCGAACCTTAGATCGGTTACATCGCGCTACGGCTAAGGCTGCTAATGCGGAAGGGTGGACCGATGCTGTCAAATCAACGATGGCCGAGCTCAGTGGTCAAGGTGGTGAGATGGTCATGGGGATGGTTCGTGGACGTGAGAAGGGTGGAATTGCAGACATTGAAACACTTGACATCGATACCTTTATCCAGTGCTGTTACGGATCAAGAGCAAAGTGGCTGTGGCTGGGAAAACTCCGCAAGAGCGGTCATGATGACTCGTTCACGCGTGCCCCAACGTCGGACATGATGTTTACCACAGATGACCAGGGCGGCTATGTTTGGACAAGTCGGAAGAAGCACTCTGGAGAGGACTTGCACGCGGAACGAGTGACCTCTAGCCTTGAACGACAGTGGAAGCCGTCGGAAATGCTAGCCGCCGAAGAAAAAGAACACCGGAAGAAGGGTGTTAGCGGAAGGGTGTCGGATGCTCGGGCTGGCCTGGGCCGTTTCAAGGACGCAGTGGGCTTGCCTGGTCTGCGATCTCATCACCACAAACATTCCCGTGACGGCTCGGAACTAATGCATGATATTGCGTATCGCCCATCCATAGACAGTGATACTGAGCCCTCAATCACCAAAACAAGAACCACCACTGGTCTGACATCTGACTCAAAGGTTGACGGAGAGTTGGAATATCGACCTGAGGATGACCAGAGCCAACCATCCGCTCGGGCGGAATCAGTGCCCGATATCAAGCCCCCAGAGATTCACATCGAGTCTGCGCCTACAGACACAGAGCCAGAATTGCAGACGCAGCAACAAGATCACCTTCCGGTTCCAACAACCCTCCCCGGGGTGGAAGAAGAATCGGATCTAGAGCGCACTGCAACACGGTCTACCGCCGCATCAAGCGAGCCGGGAGACCCAGAAGACCCAAGGCCAAATTTAGCTTTGATGTCTCTCCGGCGAGCCCAAAGCTGCGAAGAGCTCCGAAGTAGTGAAATCGACCCCCGGCGCTGTGATGAACGATGCCCGAGGCATCTTTCCTTTAGTAATGTGGAAGAAGTGATCCACGCATCCAAGCCACTGGTTGAACAGCCGAGAGTCGATAACTGGGCCACTTTGGAAGAAGCCATTGCCCAAGAAGACATCCTGGCATCCGATGCTCGTATCTTCAGCTCCCGAATATTGCATTTGGCTGAGCATACTGCTCCTTGGGTCGAGCGTCAAGTGGATTCTGTGGATGGCCTTAATACCACACTCTATGATCAACACGAAGAGTTGAATTCAGTCTACATTGATCGGTTTGGTGACTACCAAAAGCTTCGAGAAAGATCCAGCGATCTCTTGACCGATGAGAGTTCCTATTTGAATGACAGTGTTAAGCGCGTCGAGCTACTTGGCGCTAAACTGGACTACGAGCTTCATGTCCTCGAATCTAAAGTCGAGGATATGGAGGAAGGATTGACCGACTTTGAGCGACATATTGTCAACGTGGAAACCCGTGTTAAAGCTCTGCTTCAAGGCGAGGAAGAGCATAGCGTCTCCTGGATGACATGGTTTCAACGATCTTTCGGCTTCGCGGGGTCCGTAGGTTCCTCTGGCTCGTGAACCTTTCTCACGCGAACACGCCTGTATAATCATAATTTTCTTCCTGTTGGAAATTCTCCTGTGTTTCCATTTTTTTTCGCTATTGTACATAGATAGATTGGCGTTCCTCGCCTTATCCAAATGTGATGATATAAACGTGTCCCATCACGAAACAGAAACAAATCGATCCTCGATAGAGAAATGGTACTCGTTGCAGTAGCCAGTCTGCTCTCTAGATGATAGGTTCTCAGAGGGGGACTCCGATTCGTTGTCTAATTCCTCCTCCCGCGCGTCAAGTTGTAAAGCTATGTCACTTTACATGCCGAAAGCCTGCTGCTTCTGAGCGGCATCACCCTGCATCTTCTCGCTAACCTTGATGTTGACGTCGAAGAACTTGGAGACACAACGGTCGAGGCAGACGGACTCGCCCTTGTTCAGGTCACCCTCACGGTAGTCGACGGGGACACACTTCTTGGTGCAGGACTCGTTCAAACTAGTGACCATCCTGCATTAGCGCATGGTCGAAGTGTATATCATAGAAGACAATTCCTCACCGGTTGAACATGTCAGAGATCATCTCGACTTCGGTCTCGGCCTGAGCGAGCTTCATCTCCGAGGACATCTTGGGCTGACCGCCGAAAAGGAAAGACATGGTGAATGTGATGTGGTTTGATAGAGGTTAACTGATAAAGGCGCAATTGATTAGTACATGCTGGCCCAAATTATGAATGAACATGGTGCATACCTTGATAGAATGGATGATGGTTGGTTGTCAGGGTCGATGCGGACCGGAAGTTGTCGAGTTTGGAAGCTTGGGCCACCTAGTCTTGTCCGCCCGAGTTTTTCCACTTTTCCCGTTTCTTCGCTATTTTTTTTTTCTTTCTTCTTCCTCTCTCTCAACCACGCAATGTGAACTGTGAATTGTTCGCAATGCAATCAATTCGCTCAAGGGCTTTGTCCCGCAGTTTGGAGGGTCTACGCTTCAGGTAAGAAAGACTTTAATCTCTTTTATTTTTTCTCTCGTTACCTTCTATGATGATATGTACCCTTCTGCTTCAGAACCGCTGCAGTTGATACTCTCACGAGTATATGAACGCACGGACATTATAACTGATCTACTATCCTACTCTTGTTTCTTGCATTGCAATTATCATGGGAATTTTAACTGACTCCCTTCAAGTGCAGGACGCCTCCAACAAACCCGTATTCAGCCCCTCATACGGGTTCGACTAACACAGGAGACCATCCGGAATGCTAGCTCTGCTTCATCTCCTGAAAAGTCTTTCCAGGAACGAGTACAGGGGATCAAGTCTGCCCATGCGGACCCATATCCCCGGCTTGCAGTGGACGCCCGTACTATGAGCTGCAAGGAATTCCGCTCACGGTACGACGGGTTAGCCAACGATGATTCTGTAGAAGACACAGTCGTCATCTCTGGTAGGTTGCGTCTGTTGTTCTTGGCCTAAGGCCTCTTCATTGTCCTTGTACTTAGATTAGATTAGGTAGAATACGTACCTACAGACTCGCAGGGAGCAAATTATCTTTTTTCGATATCGTGCAAGATGGCCATAAAGTCCAAGTGATGTGCAACAAGGGCCAGCTCCAAGGCATCGAGAGCAGCCAATTTAAAACCTTTAATCGACTCCTTCGTCGTGGTGATGCATTCAGTATGTATCTGATCGAGTCTGAGCTTGTATAGAACTTTCCCACTAACTGCTGTTTCATTTCAGCTGTAACTGGCACTCCGCACCGTACCAGTCGTGGCGAGCTTACTATCAAAGCTACTCAATTGCCTCAGCTGCTTGCGCCATGTCTGCATGATGTTCCGGTTCATGATAATTCGCATGAAACCTCGCCTTATCCCCGCCATGTCCAATTTCTGGCCGATCCCGCAGCCGCGGATATCATTCGAACTAGATCAGCTCTGACTCAGTATTTGCGTCAATTTTTCGTTGATCGCTCTTTTATGGAAGTCAGCACCCCTATCATTGGCGCCGTGGCTGGTGGTGCTATTGCCCGTCCATTCATCACTTCTGGCACGGAGTTCCCAGAGCGCCAGCTGTCTTTGCGCATTGCGCCAGAATTATGGCTGAAGCGGCTCATCGTCGGTGGGTTCGACCGAGTATTCGAGATCGGACCATCATTCCGTAACGAAGGTACGTCCAGCTGTGATATCGTGAGCAAGAAAATAAAGACTGATAGTTTCAGGAATTGACAAAACACATAATCCCGAGTTCACTACCTGCGAATTCTACCACGCCTACGCCAACCTAGAAGACCTGATGCGCATCACCGAAGAACTACTGTCCGGCATGGCCGCTCACATCCAATCCCTCAAGACCAGTCTCCAACCCACCCAGATCAACTTTACCGCGCCTTTCAAGCGCATCGACTTTATCACCGGCATCGAGGACGCCATCAACCAAAAACTTCCCGACCTAAACTCCCCCGACGCCCTTGACCAAATCCGCACCCTTTTCCAGACTCTTTCCCTCCCCCTCCCCGAAAACGCAACCCTCCCCCGCCTCCTAGACGAACTCTGCAGTGTCTACGTCGAACCCCAATGCGTTGACCCAACATTCATCATCAATCCTCCTGAATGTCTCTCCCCGCTTTCGAAATCATTCATACACCCCACAACCGGCCAATGTGTCGCTGCACGCGGAGAACTGTTCGTCCAAGGGAAGGAGTTGGTTAATACCTATGAGGAGGAGAACTCGCCGTTCGAACAACGCCGTAAATTCGAGGACCAACTGCGGTTTAGTCATGCGGCTGGTGAGCCCGGCGAGATAGATGAGACTTATCTCGAAGCGCTAGAATGGGGACTCCCCGCGACAGGAGGATGGGGATGTGGTATTGATCGCCTTGTTATGCTTTTTACAGGTGCGAAGCGTATTGGTGATGTCTTGGCTTTTGGAAATTTGAGGACTGTCACGAGACGGTCTGGATCTAACGAGGCATAAGATACCTTTACCTGGCATAACATTCGTATGTCTCCTAGATATCTTGTACGATAGACTTAATTCATGTACCAACATCTACTCTACTTCATTCGCATAGTCCTAATCACTCGAGTTCGACGTGCATGTAGTGTAAACTCACCCGCTTTATCAAGCCGTCGCTAGCCGTCTTATCGGCCGCACCCGTTAACCCAATTGTTGAAGCGGGGAAAAACATGACACATTTTGTTACTTCAACAACATGGCTGTCAACAAGACACCAGTAGCCCAAGCGGTTACTGTAAGCCTCAAGGACCTCGAGGATGGTGAGCATCGCCTTGGAAATGTATCTAGCCGTTACACGATCACTAATTGGGAACAGGCACCGTCTCCTTCGACACCCTCACAGAAGCCTTTGGTCCATCCTCCCTAGGAATCATCGTCGTGAAAGATCTTCCAGAAAAGTTTGTGCAGCTGCGCACACAAGTCCTCTCAAATGCATCTTACCTAGCAGCTCTCCCGCCCAAGGAACTAGGTACGCAGTATAACCGCCGAAGTCAATAAGTACCGTTACTAACAAATCCAGAATGCCTCGAAAGCCCTGAATCAAAGTACCTAGTTGGCTGGTCCTGCGGCAAAGAAACACTCAAATCAGGCCACTTCGACACGCTGAAGGGCTCCTACTACGTCAACTGCGCTTTCTACCAAGACCCAAACCTTGATAGCGCCCCAGCAGATGGATTTCCCGATCTACCGCAGTACACGGCACCTAATATCTGGCCTTCGCCGGAACATCTACCTACTTTCAGACCTAGCATCGAAAGTCTCTGCTCTCTAATCATCCAGACCGCGGGACTGGTCGCGCGAGCATGTGATCGCTACGCTGAGGCAAATATCGAGGATTACAAGCCCGGGTATCTGCAGCGTGTTGTCGAGACGAGCCTTACCACCAAAGCAAGACTTCTGCATTACTTTCCTTCCAACGAAGAGACAGTATCTGCGGAGGAAGAAAACGATAAAGACGACGATGACTGGTGCGCTACGCATATCGATCATGGCTGTCTGACAGGTCTTACATCTGCTATGTTCCTCGACGAAGCAGCTACACCCCCGACACTCGAATCTGCATCATCTTCTCTTCCTGAACTTACGGTTTCTCCGGATCCCTCTGCGGGACTGTATATCCGTTCTCGAGCGGGCGAGGTCGTCAAAGTTAACATTCCCAAGGACTGTCTTGCTTTCCAGACTGGTGAGGCGCTTCAACTCATCACGCAGGGCAAATTCCGAGCTGTGCCGCATTTTGTGAAAGGGGCGAAGTGTGGAGAGGGACGGATTGCTAGGAATACGTTGGCGGTGTTTACGCAGCCGAATCTGGGGGAGGAGGTTGAGGCTGGTTTGACTTTCGCGGAGTTTGCGAGGGCGGTTGTGCAGAAGAACTACTAGTTCTAGGAGTATAAGAGAATAAAAGAGTGCAGCAGGTGGATGGATTGATTTGTAACGGTAAGAAGAGAGTAACGAGTAATTTAGGTCCGTGAGAAGCCAGTGAATACGATTTGATAGGCACTACTGTAAAGGCCATGTTGATATACGGAAAGCGAAGCTAAGAGTATCGCGTCTCTCGACGCACAAGTCCTAATTCTAGTGACTCCTTCAAAAGATTCAGGTCCCAAGTATTCAAGGTGGACTTTGAAGACGGCGGAATAATATCTTAAAAGATAATTTATTTTCTTTTCCATAGAAAGGCTGTACGAGAGAGCAGAATGAAACATTGATTATTTTGAGGAACAATCACGAAGCCGAGGAGGTACTACTGGACGGAGAACCGCTTTCAGTCCATGTTCAACCCAAAATCTGGCCTTGACTCATACATGTAAAATTGAAAACTTTCATACTCGAATGCAATGGACCTGGCGAAAATGCACCTCCATATTGTCCCTCCGGCTAAAGGACTTGTTGCACGACTGGCACTTGAACGAATGCGGATCTATATGCTGCGTGTTGACGTGCCGTTTCAGAGTACCCTTCGATTTGAATAGCTTTTGGCAATTCGCCCACTTGCACATCAAGGATCTGGGGGTTTTGTTAGCATATAAGAAACTAGATATATGTCTAGACATATGAACGAGAGATTTGAATCCAGGCATTATAAGCAAATTACATCTTGAATGACTTACTCGATCTGATGGGGTTGACCATAGGTGTTTGGTGAGCCCCTTGGGGGTTCAGCGGGCCGTACTTGACCATCACCATTGCATGCTGAGCACGGAGGGCAGAGCGCGTGGGCATCAGATTATCCCGACTAAGATCATCGCGCATCGTAATGTGCTGGTGTTCGTTGCGCTCTATTGGATCATTATTGTCGTGGAGAAAATCGAGTGAATTGGAACCAAGTAAATCAAAAGAAGGTTGAGAAAAGAGGCTCTGTGCCAAGGGCAATTCAGAATAGTAGATAGAAAAAGGTGTGGAGCCTATAGGCTGAGATGTTGATGCACGAGGTTCGAGCGCTGTTGAGCGACTAGCCGTTTTATCGGAGGGAACATGACGCCAATGGCCTGATGGGATGGTACACAGCGGCAAGTCCATCTTAGGCTATAGACAAAGACTTAATAGTTTGGTATTACAAAAAATAATTACTACAGCATCTGGGAGGAGAATTGACATTTATATACAGTCGGATAGATCGCTTAGTGGCTTAGACCGAGGAATATGTATGTCCAGTGGGCCGATCACTTGATTGGCGGTAATACAATCGGTGCAACCTCCTTACTCTCACCCCCACTGCACTTAGGACACAAGTACGACGATCACGTGAACACCTAAGGGGTCCAGTCCACGAGTTCTCGTCAATTTACGACCCGTGCGCAGCAAGACGGTCGAGGAATCCTTGTGACTCCAGAAGACCCAGAAGACGGAGAGGATTCTGGACACTTAAGAGAGGAGTTGCTCCCTAAAGATATATACACCTGAAAATACTAATAATATGTACGCCGTCCATCTGGAGAGGGAGCATTAACAGTGCACATGCGGCTGCCTCAGGTTGGAATTGTGCATTGCAATGTTTTGAACATGGTTGGTTGGAGTCCGCCACATATCTCGATACAGCTCTCTGGAACTTTGATCCCCATTAGGGTCGTTATTCGTTCCTGAAGACTCTAATGAGTGCGTTCGTCTAGGTTTCGGCATACCTGCTTGTCGTATGCTCCTTTGCCCATGTATAATGGAAATCCGATCATCCAAATGTCTTCATTCATTAAACTAGAGACCTTGAACTCGAATCCAATGAACGCGGCGTACATGCTCCTCCATGTTATCCTTACGGCTAAAGAACCTGTCGCACGACTGATCTGGACACTTGAATGAACGCGGAGCTACATGCTGCGTGTTGATGTGCCGCATCAAAGCGCCCTTCGATTGGAATGGGGGCTTTCGGCAATTCTCCCATTTGCATACTAGAGAACTGGAAATTTCGTTAGTATATTATATTACAACTTTATTTAAAATGGCTTACTCGATCCTCTCGGGACGGCCGCGAGTGTTTGGCAGACCACTTGGGGTCCCGGTTTTCCATGGCTGACCACCGTCGCATGCCGAGCATGGAGGAATAGGGTGTTTTGGCATTATGGTACTCCCACGCAGATCATCGCGCATCGTAATGTGCTGGTATTCGTTGCGCATAGGACGGAAGGACTCAATATGATCTTGACAGGCGTGGCGAACATCTAGGGGATTGGAACCAAGTATATCATAAAAGGGTTGAACTAAGAGGTTCTGTGGAAAGAGCTCGTCTGACGAGCAGGTAGAAAAAGAAGTTGAGTCTATAAGCTGAGGGATTGATGAACGAGACTCGGGCGCTGTTGAATGACTAGCGAAGGGAACATTGCTCCAATGGTTTGACGAGATATCGTATGAGGACCAGTCCATGTTAGGCTAGCGATAAAGTTCTGGTAGTTACTTTTGTATTGAATCACATTGAAGAAAAAAAAGAATGAAAAAAACGACGTCTAGGAGGAGAATCGTCATTTATATCTACTGGAAAGCTAACACGGATGTTAGATGGGGAGGTTTACTACACACGTATGCATACCTGTACACTTGCAGGTGCTTTAGTGCTACTGCAAGTAGGGGCTCTATTGGATCGCCACTCGCCACAGTACCCCTAACCATGCTATACGGGACGCATACTGACAGTAACAAGTGGAGTCGATGCAAAGCACTGCCAATGGGCGCTTGTAAACCGTATTTATTTATCTTGGTCCACTTTTTTTTGCCCCGACTCTCCAATAATTTCGCGCAAAATGTTCCCAGACCGCCCTGACCACACTTTTCACCCTAGGCTTACACACGAACGCGTAGAATGAACCTGCAGTATGTACGTACAATCTGTATTTCTGGCCCGAAACGTGTTTAGTATGTATTATATAAAAAACTCTAATCGTTGTTGTTTGAGTATACGGTATTGGAAGTTTCAGTACATCACCGCACGAGTCAAGCCCGAGTCAAGCCTGCAAGATTGTCCAATAGATCTGCCAATTGCTGCAGTATGACATCCCGGGATCTTTGCAGTAATGCCGTACTGTTCATGTGGTTTTGATTACCAACGTGGACAGGGTATCGATACCCAGAAAATGCAGACGATGCAGAAGACGAAGAAAATCCTTGCTGGCAGTACGACCTCTATGCGACGAGGGGGTAAACTCAGGGCGTATGCAGCCGCGTAAGGTTGAAGGGTTGCATGACGTGCATTCCAATAGGTTGATATCTGCCACATATTATAATACAACTAGCTGGGGCCTTGATACTTCCATTGGATTAATATTGTACATTAGGGTCGTTACTCGTTCCTTAAGACTCTAATGTCGAGTCTTATCTAGATAAGATGTAGCGATTTTGGCTTGATCGGCCATAATTCGAAATCTTTCCATCCGCATATCAATATCTCTTGCCCAGAGCATCCGACTCAAACATTGCGAGGATCATAGTCTCCGCCCTCACTTTCTTCCGTGCCACCGCGATACAGGACCGGGGCAGTCAGTTCTCCCTCCGAGAGATCCTTCTCAGATGAACTCGTCTCATCCTCGTCCTCAGCCATCATATCAACCTCCACCGCATCACTGGAACTAGAGCCAGAGCGTACACCCAGCCCAGTACTGACAAGCTTACTTGTCTTCCCCACTTCCCCAAACTTGATCTTTGGAGGCCGCCCAACTTTCCGAGGTAGCGCAGCTTTTTTGATATCTATGTCTGAATAGGGTCCATGGAGCATTCGCAAGATACGTTGCCATCGCTGGGGGTTCTCGCGTTGCACCGCCCCAACGCCGACGTCGACACCATTGACCGAGGCTAGGCCCAGGGTCTCCACACGATTATCGCCCCAAAACCAGTCGAAACCCTTTGGCATCCGAACATCCACTTCGCTTGAGTACCGACGTCCATTCATAATTCCATGGAGGTCGTAATCAAGCCTTTTACCCCCAAAGTGCAGGGTTGTTGCTTCGGGCTCGTAGCACCGGCCCAGAATCATTGGCGGAGAAACGACGCATGTGCGTCCACCAGCAACGCGATACCAGTCACCGTAGGTGCTCATTCCGATCTGGCAGAACGCATTGGCAGTTTCGTCGATGGACAATTTCTGAAGAGGGTCTTTGTCGAAGGGCATATCGCGGCTGAGACGATTGGCATCGCGCGTATACACTTTCCCTGAGATGTAAGGGAGACATCGGGTTGCGAGGAGAGGATCTTTTGGATCATCGTGGCATTCTTCAAGTCCAAGCCAGATCTTTTCAATGACCATCACGTCTACGGGGTCATGCTCACTGTGGAGAACATTGCCGCTATCCTCCATTTGTTCCTGCCTCAGGCCGAAGGGCTTCAGGCGCACAGTGTCTTTGACAGCAAGGAGTTCTGGCCCGATGAAAATGCCTTGACTGTAGACCCGGGCGTTGGGCCAGGTTCCTTTGAAGTGGGTATGAAAGAGGAGACTCCATGAGGCCATGGTTGTCATGGCATATTCGATGGAAGGATGGAGTTTCTCACGTGGGATCCCATGCAGAAATCTCTCATAAGAACCGAATGGTTTGATACATTTCAGTGGGACATAGTTGTACTGCGACGAATAAGCCTTGTCCTCATCGTTGAGAGGATCTGGGACCGTTTCGACTCGGAATCCCCAGTAGGAGATAGATGGGTTTAATTTGTCTGTTAACTGGACGATGTCCAGGAAACTTGTTGCTTCTTCTGGGGTTTGGGTGACGATACCAGCACGCCATTCTGGGGCGATCCAAGCGTCATTTTTGCGCATCATATAGCATTTGGCATCGCTGTTCCACACAAGCGGACCCTCGAGCTCATGGGTCCAAAGGACGACCTCCCCTCGACGTGGAATAAACGCTGCCTGAAGCTGTAGTCGGACGAAGTAATCGGCCAGCCATTCATGGGTCAAGGCCCAGTCCATATTGAGAGGATGATGGATCTCTTCGTCAATAGAGCCGGTCCTCTTCAGCTTCGCAATATGTATCTTCCAGTAATCGGGACCTTCATCATCTTGGGGCATGTCCGGTAGTCTGTCAACATTCACTTGTGTTCGTTTGACACTTGACCTGACACTTCCATCTGTAGTTGCTGCTGCCGTACTTCCCGCTGCCAAGGCCCTGGCAGCTTCCATTTCAGCCTTTGTGCGGCCTGAAGAATGTTAGAAACAAAGATGACTATGCGATAATGTTTGACTTACGCTTTCGAGGCTGACCTCCTTTTGCAGAAGCAGGCTTTTTACAAATGAAACATTCACAAGGCTTTTGTCTTCCACTCATCAACCAATAAAAATGTGGAAAGAATCTCACACGAGACTGGTAATAGGTGCCGCTCGGGTGTCCATACAGGAAGGCATCCCGCTAAGACAAAAAGTTAGAGAAAGGGTTCCAACAAATGAGAACATCAAGGCTCACAAATCTAGGGTCGGATCCTCGGGGCCGATCAAAAATTGCATAGCCCTCGGGCATTGAGTCAAGGGTATACCCAACACCTGGATGAGATTAGTCAATAGATTGCACAAGTATTGATATGTAAGATAGAGCGGGAGGTGTAAAGGCATGATAACGAATGAATCACCAGAAGCCAACAAGCGGCATTCGAAGGCTTTCAATGCAAGCCCCAACAATATGAAGTATGCAATTGAAATCAAACTTACTTTCTTCTAGAGCACCGGTCTCTTTGACCCACATTTCAGCAAGGGCCGCTCTCCATCTCGAGTCATCAATCTTAGTGTATTCAAAGCGTGCACCTGGAACACCTGGTTTAGGCCAACGATTTGCGTCTCCATCACTTAAAAGGGGATCCACAGGAATGACCACCAGGTTCGGGTCATCTGAGTCGTCGTTTGACATCTTGGGATATTTTGAACAGGAAACAGCTTGAGACGGCAAGTTGGGGGGCTGGGACGCCCCGGTGTTTGAAGGAATAGTTCAAGTGGTTTACTAGATGATGAAATTACAAGACTCAAGGTCCGGTTGCTTTTGGAATATTGGAGTAATCAATGCGTGACAGGTGAGAGACGAATGTTGATCCATTGACAAGTAGTCACGTGGTGATAAGAGGGGGTCAAAGGGGAATAATCTTTGTTGATGCGAGGTGGTCCAGTTCACAAGGTCACGAGTTCACGTTGGCAACTTGTTGATGTTTGTGGCAACTTTGAACGCAACTTGCTTAGTTTGGAACAGATGGATCAGATGGTGTGGCTTTTGAGGGGAAAGGTAACACAGCGCCTCTCTAAACACCCGGGAATAGCAAGGAAACCACGAACACCGATCTAAGTCTTTTCGCCTAGATTGAAGATGCATGTTGTACGGTCTCTTTTACCTTTTCTATAAGCTTGGAAACATGGAACGTGGCGATGTTTTCTCTAGCGCCTCTTCACGGGTGGTATTATATGCAGTAGAACAAACCTTGTGGAGATGAGCGCATGGGGAAAGCTCCTGCCGGCAGTACTTCGGAAATACCAGGTTCATGGGAAATTACTACGTCGCACTAGGTAGACATTAAGTACAATGAAGTACTGATGTGAACAAATCTATTTTTACTCTTGCATGACTTCCTTGATATGTACTCCGTATTCCCTATCACATCGTGCTCTCCGAAGCACACATTCAATTCAGTTATCACACGGGGATTGGTTCTTTCAGGCTAATTTCCCGCCAATAATAAATCATAACCCGCAGGTCTTTTCCCCCTGGAATTTGTATTTTCTTCACTTGCAAGCCAAAAAAAAAGGGGGCATGTGGCTACTGAACCGCTCAGATCCGATCGCCTTGGATGGATCACCATGAATTCCTGCAGTTCTTTTGGTCCAGGCCCTGCACTAGTTATTCATCCAATACTGGGACTGGAGTTGTGAGCGTCAAGTGGGCAACCAGAAATGAGGGGGATCCACCTGAACACTAAACCCAACTAAGCCGGGAGTAGAGCGTAGCCGCCGAGGGCTTGAGTAGTGGTGAAGTAGTGTGAATCGAGGTGAAAAAGAAAAACACTGGCCGAGTCCCCTCACGTGACATCGACTCCTCTTTCTCGACTGCCACTCCATGCTGGTCCCTTACTCGTCAAGATAAATCCTCAAGATTCAGTGCCCTTGCAAAGACATCTTTATCAAGTATTATTTTGCTATTCTGTGGGCTGGGGATCCGTCAGCCTTGGCGCAGTCCCTGAACGTGGTTGGTTCGACTTGGGGGCCAAAGGCGGTACGTGCGAACCTGAGCTTCCTTCCCCCCAAAGCAAAGGGCCCTGGGCGCTTGCTGATCCAGGAGGCGTGTTGACATCTTTCCCAGTTGCCGCGCTCTCTGCACTGTTGGAGGAGCTCTCCGCCCTCTATTCTTGATCAAGCTCATCTTCTCCTTTTTTGTGCTCTCTGGGTCTCGGTGACCCTCGCTCCCTAAGCCAAACCCCCGATGCGTGGAGCGAGCACGGGGCAAGATCCCTCTCCTCAAGCTCCCGATTCCGCGGGCACGGCGCTCATGAATCCCTCGGAGAATCCGGAGGCCTCTGGTGAGTCCCTGCGTAGACCATTCAAAATGCGCCTTCCCTTTGAAATCCCCCGGTCGCTGATGTTGTGCTCCTCAGGCCCGGAATCGACCCCGAATCAGAAGGTCTCCGACGCCGCTGATATCCAGCAGTCGACCCCAGGCGCGTCCGCTCAGCAAGTCTCCTCCTCAGTCGCCTCCGCCTCGAATCCGCCAGAGGTCGAAGGGGCCGACGCGCCGAAGAAGCGTAGTCTGTTGATCCCAATTCCGTCGCGCCGGTCCTCGAAGACGGATAAACAGTCAACGGAAAAGACCGAGGAATCAGCGCCGGAGGCGCCCGCTCGTCGAGGCTCCAAGGTCAGCATCCTCAAGGTGCACAGGGATCGTAGCCGGGCGAGTAGCAGACGGTCACGACGGGCGCAGGAAGTGGCAAATGTGGAAAAATCCCCAGAGTCAGCCACCCCAACTACCCCGGAAATGAATGGCCCTCCACGATCCCAGAAGAAGAGCAAGTTTCTGGCGTTTCTGAGTTGTTGCTCCTCACCTGGTGTGGATGGTGACGATGATGCGGTTCCTGCAAAGAAGTCCACAAAACAAGCGCCTACTTCGAACCGACTACCGACTCCTGACAAGGCAGAAGCTCACGCCGGGGACTCAAGTACTGCTGAGTCGAGAGATCCTGCTTACTTTGACAACGAGAAAGCCAATTTGACCGTCAACGACGAACCCAAGAAAGAAGACGAAATTGTCGCCCAGCCTATGGCCGATGCGCCTGGCGAGGGCACTTCCACTGGGGTCAGCCAACCCGAGGTCTCCGAAATTGCGAAAGAACATGAATCCACGAAGCCTGGCAAGGCCAATGGTGCTGTGCCTGAATCAAAGGCCGATGCTCCTCCATCCGAGGAGGCCAAGCCGACAGAAGAACCCCCAGCCGATGAATCCATGCCCAAGCAACCTGTGAATGGCGAAATCGAAGATCACTCGCACCAAGAGGACGTTGTTCACCAAGCTTCCCAAACGACCGTCGCATTGCCTCCCCCTCCGCCCCCGCCAATGCTTCCTGATGTACCCTCAGCGCCAGAAAGAGAGGATCAGCAGTGGCTGCTCCCGCCGATTGTGCCAACCCTCCAGGGTCGAAAATGTCTTGTCCTAGATCTCGATGAAACATTAGTTCACAGTAGTTTCAAGGTAAGAGCCTCATTCAATCCTGTTTGAACCCCGCTTATTGTTATTGTTTTCAGGTTCTTGAACGTGCCGATTTCACTATTCCTGTCGAGATTGAGGGACAGTATCACAATATCTATGTCATCAAGCGGCCCGGCGTGGATGAATTCATGAAACGGGTTGGTGAGTTGTACGAGGTAGTAGTCTTTACGGCATCGGTTTCGAAGGTGAGTTTGATGATCTTTGTCGCGACAGGTGATAATCACTGATCAAATTTGCAGTACGGTGATCCATTGCTAGACCAGCTTGATATTCATGATGTGGTACACCATCGGTTATTCCGAGAGAGTTGCTACAATCACCAAGGGAACTACGTGAAGGTTGGTGTTTACCCCTCGATCAACATGTACAAACGCACACTCACAATGATCCATAGGACCTTTCTCAAGTTGGCCGTGACCTCCGTGAAACGATCATCATTGACAACTCTCCTACTTCGTATATCTTCCATCCTCAACACGCGATACCCATCAGCAGCTGGTTCTCTGACGCACACGACAATGAACTGCTTGACCTAATTCCCGTTCTCGAGGATCTTGCTGGGGCTCAGGTCCAAGATGTCAGCATGGTCCTGGACATCACTCTGTGAATGTCTTGTCTGGAGATCTTTCTAACGCCCGAGATTCCCCCTTTGAGCGCACCGTTCCCTATGTTTGAAAATTTTTTTGTTGCGAGAAAAGCTTTTACTTCCCAGCATTTCCCTATCTCTTCGCATTTACCCTTAGTTCCCTGTCCCATTACATTGCCGCTTCGCTTCTTGACGCGACCATGGACCTAGATGGGAACTGGTTCCCTACCGGGCCATGGCTCATCTGATGCATTCGTCGTTTCTATTGTTCTGAATAGCCTTTCATAACCCCCGGCATCTATATTCTTTATTTGCCTTGCTTTCCCTTCGGCATTGTGTCCTTATCTGACATTGCTCCGAGCGAGCCTTCTTTCCTAGTCCTGTCGATTATTCCCTGTCATGCCCTGGTCTTCCCGATCTCCCCTTGTCGTTATTCTATCCTTAGTCCGCATTCTCCGATGCATTCTGCAGGCGTCTGTTGGTTCTCAATGTTGCCGCTGTATCCCCCCCTATGCGTATTTGTTTTGTCTTTTTGCGCCTCGCTACTCTGTCGACCGGGTCCAGCCATCACCACGGGTGTGGTAGGTCAGATTCTTTCTTGATTTTCATCAAACTGTGGAGACACTTCCAGGCTGTTAATGCGTCTCTTGACCCTGCCACCGCGTGCCAAGCTTGCGTTCCATTGCTGGATTGATTCCCCGCATGCAATGTTTGACTATCTGATCGGCTGCGGCATTCTAGTATATAGTCTTCGACATGTTTCAAATAATACATATAGCGTGGCGCACTGTGATAGCGTGATTCCTTTTGTAGACTTATGCTAGAGAACTTGTCAAATCAATTGTGGTTGGTCTTATCAGCACGATCTCATGATTTCGTCGGATCCATCGCGCTGCATTAGGTTGATGTAGTAAGCAACCAAAATGCAAGCAAACCAATATTAGACCATGCTCAAATCATTTATTGCGAGTTCAAATTAACTTACTCCCAGACTGATTCACGTTCCCAGCCCTTTGGCGTATTCTATCCAGGCGCCTGTGACCCCTCACGAGTCATCAAAAAAAAAGCTCCCCGCAATCCCGCTTCCACCGCCCGCCACCTCGCGCCATCATCTTCCTCACAACCCCCTCCCATCATGAAGAACAAAGAAGGCTGGGACGGAAAATTACGCATGGAGCCCCCGAAAGCTGTCATCACGAATCCAGAGGCTTTGGAGGATTCGGATTACTCCGATCCTGAGGCCCCACCTGTGGACGAGATTGATGCCGATGAAGGTGACGATTTAGACTCAGAATTGCGCATGGAGCTAGTGGGCTAATAAGGTGCAGATCTTTTGGAGGGCGAGGATGTGAATGTCGAGGTATGATTTCAATCAAGCTCGGAGTTCCTTTGAACAAGGATGCTGACTTGTTTCTTTGCTAGGATATCGATCTTGTCCATTGTCGCATATCTTCGATTGCTGCGCTGCACTTGGAACGGTTTAACAAGCTCCAGGTAACTCCATCCTTCCTCTTCATCTTTCATATTCGGGTTCTATGCACGGACAACACTTCACAATGAGTGATGCACCGCGCGAACTGTCGCGGTAACCTCGTCAAGATTCATGGCAGCTGGCTAACGGAGTGAGCACTAGAGACTATGCCTGCGCCAGAACCAAATATCGCGCGTCGACTTCCCGTCCAATGTCGCCGCTACCCTTACCGAGCTTGACCTTTATGACAACCTTATCTCCCATCTCAAGGGTCTGGATGAGTTCCACGACTTGACCAGCTTGGATTTCAGTTTCAACAAGCTTAAGCATATTAAGAATATTTCACACCTTGTGAAGCTTACCGAGCTGTTTTTCGTGCAGAATAAGATATCCAAGATCGAAGGGTTAGAAGGTCTGACCGCTCTACGGAACTTGGAGCTGGGCGCAAATCGGATCAGAGTGAGTATCCTCCCACACTTGAACAGAGGATCGGAGTACAAAGGCTAACTTGACGTAGGAAATCGAAAATCTCGAAACCCTTTCTGCATTGGAAGAATTATGGCTAGGAAAGAATAAGATCACCGAGATGAAAAACCTCGACAGTCTCTCTAACCTTCGCATTATCTCCATCCAATCCAACCGCCTCACAAGCATCACTGGCCTCTCCGCTCTCCCCAATCTCGAAGAGATCTATCTTTCTCACAACGCTATCACTGATCTGTCCGGTCTGGAGTCAAACACTACGCTGCGTATCCTGGACTTCTCGAATAACCAGGTCACCCACCTTGAGCACCTCTCCACGCTGAAGAACCTTGAAGAGCTCTGGGGATCCAATAACAAGCTTGTCAGTTTTGAGGAGGTTGAGCGTGAACTGAAAGACAAGGAGAAGCTGGAGACTGTCTACTTTGAAGGCAATCCTTTGCAGTTGAATGGGCCTGCCGTCTATCGCAATAAGGTGCGGTTGGCGTTGCCACAGGTTACTCAGATCGATGCGAGTATGTATTCCTCCCTTCAGATTCACTCTTCGAATGCTAACTATGCCCTGTAGCTTACGTACGGGTCTGAGCCTTGACCGCTGTATTGATTATCTGATCGGTGGTTCTGTCGCATGATCGGCTCAAGTAGAGAAAGCCTAATAATAAACGAAACTAGGTTTTATGCCCATGTGATTCTTTGTAGACTAGTGGACGGAATTAAGATATCCCATCGTGATATACACAATACCCAAGTCTTGCTTTAGAAGACAATTGCCTTAAATTATTTGTTCAGCCTATATACATGATATTTTGCCCTCCACAATATGTACACGGAGGGATCGTTCTGCGGCTCATCGGCAATTCTCCTGTGTTAGAGCCACAGACAAGCATTGCATGGTATGACCATCACAAACTTGTGTGCTGAAGAGAAGACGCGCCAAGAGACGGGTAATCTCAAAGGTTCCTCTTCTCCTTCCAAGAGAAAAGAAGGGAGCGAATGTAGATCTCAACCCTAGACCTCTCAAACCCTATGGACCCCCTCCTTATCAGACTTAGGCGGTCCACCCTCTTCCTCAATCCCTCGCTCTCTCCAAATGTCCATTATACTCCCTGTCCCAAGCGCCGATTTAGTGCCGTGAACCTTCAACGGCGTATATGAATCAACTTTCCCCTTCCGACTCAGCAACACATCTCCTAACGCCTTAAGCGGGACACCGGTTTGCGGACTGTTCATGTCTTTGTATATGGGATCTTCCGTGTCCGGGTAGAAGGTCGAGAAATAGTGGTTGCGTCGAATTGCATTCTCATGCTTGTGGCGCGATGGCTCAATTATGCATTTTATTGTTCCGGTGGCAACATCGTCAAATATAGGGTCGTGCGTTTTGTATTGTTTTGTCGGTGAGGAGGTCTTGGGATCTGAGGATTGCGACGTAGATGTAGAGTCGAGGGTTACTGTCATTGGCGAGGAAGCAATTGCGCGCTGCGCGGCGTCGGGCGACTCGAAAATGGCGACGATTGGACGGTGCTTATTTGTTGATTTATTGGAGAGATCATACTGGGAGGTCAAGGTTAGAGTCGGTTCTAGATCTTGGGTTGCGCGCGTGACGTTTCGCGGCGCGGCATGTTCTCACCTTGAGGTTGCGGAATGTGGTCACTTCGCCGAATTTTTGGAGCGCGGCTAGGATTTGTCGAGTCTCGCCGATTTTCCGAGGACTAGGGATCATTTGAATGTGTACTTGTGTCGAGGCTAGGCGCCCTAGGGCAGCTGGGGACGTCATCTTGGGTGTTGGAGAGAAAAAGTGTCGGGAGTGCGGAGATGGTTGAGTTGCGGTCCGCTCTTGGCGCGGTATAGTCCATGGTCCCTGGCAACAAATGTGCAAAATGCTCACCCTGGTTTGATGACCTTGAAAATCATGGTGAGCGAATGTCCACTGTTTTCTAACTTGTAATTTGCCTAGTAAAAAATTGGGCACGTCAGGTCCTCAGGTTTGAAGCAACCATAGCTTTGCGACTCCAGTTGCCAAATATGGCAAGTTATCGTCGATCGAATCTATGAGCATTGCCATGCTTTTAATTCCACTTCTCACCCGTCTAGCTTGAACCCACACGCTGTTGAATTTCCATCTCCCATACACTCTTTACTGTCACCACTCCAAGTCTCAAAGACACTCAGTGCCCCCCACAAGAACCTTCGGAGCTCTACCACTGCTGGTGATCACCCAACGACAGGATGTGATTATCTGATGCGAAGCTCAATTTTGTTACCTTGAGTAATAATGCAAAGGAAATTATCTTCCAAGGTCAGTTAAGCTGTGCAAATGGAATGAACTGTTGAGATAACAAGTGGTCATCCGGTGCAGAATAGCTGGATCATGTATACAGGCTATGGCTGCACCATCTCTAAAGCAAGATTGAGTATTCAGTATGCAGCCTCTCCGCTGCAGTGAGCTGCATAATTTGACTTCGCAGTGCTTATCGGATCGGGCCATTGCTTAGCCTGAAGCTTAACACGGCACGTGGGGGCCAAAGTCCCACACCGTTAGATAAGGCTGAGTCGGATCTCGAGCCATCTGCTCTTCTCCAGTCGCGTCGCATTTGCCCACTTCTACATCCGAGGTGGTACCACTCACTGGTTCTTGCTAGTGTTAATCAGGGTGTGGGCATCATGACCTACTGCGGGAAGCTTTCCAGTAGCTGTGCGCCCTGTCGCACAGGCAGGCGTCAAGTACGTGAAAGTGCACAGCCCTGCACTGAATCATGAATGGTAATAACTAAATGATAATTCAGTGTGACAAGAAGAAGCCGGGATGTGGTCAATGTGCCCGAAGAGGCGAAATATGTACTGGATATCCAGACCCCCAGGCCGTGCGGTTTCGGAATGAGACTACTCATGTCATTGAGAGATCCAGGTCAAAGTGGAAGAAAGCTCGAGAGCTACAAAACCAACGGCATTCAGATCAGGATAGGCCCGGGCTGTTCAATGACTCAATACAAGGCCAGCATCTTGAAACGCCGAGTACAATGCATGAAACACTGGACTTCTTGTGCCGGGGCCTGTCTTCAGAAACAGACAGCATGTCGCATTTGGTACCACGAACTGCTACCACACCCTCGTCTGAATGTTCCATGCCATCTCCTCGGTATTCATTACCGGATTCCATGGATAACCTCGGAGCAAACTACTTCATATCAACTGTCATCACACCTCGCACCGAGGGCTCGTCGCGAGGATACTATGAATACATTCCGGACCTTTTCCTCAGAGAGCAAAACTCTGAGGCCATGCTATCAGCAGTGTCGGCGGTGGGACTTGCTGCAATGAGTAATATCAATCATTCCCCAAAGTGGCTCCATCATTCTCAAGCCCAATATGCCAATGCGGTAAAGCTAGTCAACCGCTCTCTGCAATCGGCTGAGGAAGCCCGTCGGGACAGTACTCTCGTGGCAGTTTCGGTGTTGTGCCTATATGATCAAATCGCCCACAATAGTGACAGCAGGCTGGATACATGGGCTCACCATGCAAAAGGAGCGGCCAGCATCCTTGCCGTACGTGGCGTGGACCAAATGACCACTCCTTTGGGCATACGGATGTTTTCTCAGGTTATGGCAGACATGCTACTTGCTTGTCTCCATCAGCGGCTGTCAATGCCAATACATATGGTAGTCCTGCGAGAAGTGCTGACCCACTCAGGGTACGTCGATCCAAATCATCTTGCATGGCAACTGAATGGGGTTGGAATTGAATGCCTCAACCTTCTGGCCACTTGCCAATCACTCCCGTTAGTTGTGCTTATGGACCAAGCGCTACGCATAGACAAACAATTTCAACGTCTCCTCGATTCATTGTTATCACAGGGCCACTATATCACAATTCACGATTCAACCGCCGACCCTTCTCAGGTCTACAACCAACGTTTTGATATCTATCGTGAGCCGCAAAGCGTCAAAATCTGGGATGGCGGTCGAGCATTTCGCAGCTTACTCCATCAAACACTGCAAGAAAGACTAGTACAGGCTTTTGCAGACCGCCCTTCCGAGGTGGTCCATCCCCGTTTCACGCAACAGCTACAATCATCACTTGAGATTATGCTGCAGATGCGGGACGACATTCTGGCTAGCATGCCTCAATTACTTGGACAACTCCCGCCAATCAATCTGGAGACTGTTCCATTTCCCACGGAAGATATGGCCATTTTCACCAATGCTCGGGTTCCTGGAGGTAGCCATTTGCCTGTCTGGTTCCTTTATGTAATTGCCCAATCACCCGTGGCGCGGAAATCAGATCGTAAGTGGATCTTGAATCAGATGGATGCAATTTGGAGGGAGAAGGGGATTTTCATAGCCTGGGATCTTGCGGGGAAAATCAAGAAATTAGCCTCTGGGATCTCTAAGGTCTCAGATTAATCATATGTGCCTGATTTAAGATCATTTTCAAGAATGTTACTTGTACACTAGGAATTGGATTACATGGCACTTGAACTTGGAATATCTTTACCTAGAGATGTACGAAAATTATCTACTCTATTCCAATAACTGATAGGAGCTCTTAAAGTGGTTTGAAGTCAAAGGTATTCGTGAAAATCCGTGTCATTATTCTGTTTATCATATAGCATCACGAAAGCCAGATGGAACCCCTCCGGCAAGACTCAATCATTCCCATGAACGAGTTTGATCCCTTAGAAGATAGGGATGTCAAGGCCGTACTACCAAGCAAGTTAGCAAAAATTTCCAACCAGAATGAAGCAACGGAGATACTCACAGCAACGGGGTCGTTGAAGCGCAGACCCTTATCCAAAGCAGCAATAGCCTCAATCTCACCAGCCTCCAAGTCAAAGTCATTGACCTGCAAGTTCTGAGCCAAACGAGTGGGGCTGTTACTCTTAGGAATAACTGCAATGTTTCTCTGGGTAGCCCAACGCAGCAGAATCTGTGCAGGAGTACGTCCGTACTTCTCGGCAAGACCCTTAATAACAGGATGTTCAAACAAAGGAGGGGTACCATGGGCATCCTTCAAATCCAACTCCAAGAAGCTGAGGGGACCGAAGGAGGAGTAAGCAGTAACAGCAAGACCCTGCTTCTGTGCGTAATCCACCAACCGGGTCTGGGTAAGGTAGGGGTGGTGCTCGATCTGCAAGGTAGCAGGACGAACACGGGCATAGCGGAGCAGATCCATAAGCAGCTGAGCGCTGAAGTTGCTCACGCCGATGCTGCGGGCAAGCTTCTTATCGGTCAGAGACTCCATGGCGGTCCAGGTCTCCTGGATGGAGGCCTTGCCAAGCTCGACCTTGCCGTCGGCCTGGGTCCAGCTGGGAGGGTAGCGGACTGAGGGGTCGAGGTATTTCAGGGCGATGGGGAAGTGCACGATGTACAGATCGAAGTAGTCGACGTTCCAGTCTGCGAGCTGCTTGCGGCAGATGGGCTCGACCTGCTCGCCGTCGTGGAAGCTGTTCCAGAGCTTGGAGACGATGAAGAGGTCCTCACGCTTGACGAGACCGTCCTTGATGGCGCGGGTGACACCTTGACCGCACTCGACCTCGTTGCCGTAGTCTTTTGGGAGATTAGGTCAGTTTTTGCGCGTTTGCAGAGTAGGAGAATAGAATGCTTACCGCAGGCACCATCGAACAGGCGGTAACCAGCCTTAATGGCGTTGTAGACCTGGTCTGCGCAGGTATCGTTGTTCACCTTCCACAGACCGAAGCCCACGAGGGGCATCTCAAAGCCGCTGTTCAGCTTAACGGTGGGGGTAGTCATTGTGAGGGAATTGGAGGAGAATATCTGCGGAAGATTTAGCTCCTGGCGCAATGCTTTTAGATCAAATGACACGTCAATACTCCGGTGGCACTTACGGAAAATCGGGGGAGCACAATTCAGAAAAGAATCTCCGGAGCAAAGGACACTTATAGGAATTGCAAAGCCGGCCGTGGAATCTTTTAATCCGGCGGCGTGGACAGGCTAAATGCGGGACAACCTCGTATAGAGTCCGGGGTCCCACCTACATCCCGCCGGCTAATAGCGGTTAAAAGGCACACTTTATCCAATATACAGAAGGAAAAGTTAGATTAAATATGGAAGAGAATCGAATCGGACACGGGACTTGAAGGCCCGATTTCTGAAACACTCCTCCCCGATAGTTCACTCCGGGCCTCCACATATCAAGAGTTGGAAAAGGAAAGGCAGGAAATAGCAAAGGTATAAGAGTACATGGAACCGCTCCAGAATAAGATTATCATTACCAATAGAATTTTTGTTTTTTGATGGTTTGGGTCATTAAACTGCATCCACAGTCCCATCATCTGCGTAGGAAGTATGCGCATGTTCGGGGCCTGCCCCGTGCATACCAGGACCATTGGACATGCGGCCAACGAGCTTGTCCATCAAGTCTTCCGGTATGCCATCAAAATGATGCGGTTGCTGCGACTCACGCGAGACGGGGCCTTGGTGCTCCGAGTATGGAATGTGGTGATATCCACCAGCGCTCACATCTCCCGGGATAGAGGTAGAATGGGCTCCCCAGGAAGCTTGGGCGTGGCCAAGATCTTCTAGGGATTGAGAGCCCGACGTAAAGAAACCGTTTAGCACATTGTGGTTGTTGTTGTCGTGAAGACTAACACCGTGCTGTTGAGATGGCATGTAATGGCCAGTATCGTGGCCAATGTTGTAGCCAAGAGAAGGGTGAGAGAGCGGGAGGTCGTGCATGTTCATCATTACAGGCCCCCCGCTGGTGATGCTAAGACTGGTGGGTTGAGATGTCTCCGGGGCAAGGCTGGTGGCGAAGGAATCCAGCACGGAGGTGGCGGCCGTCTTGTCACCGAGGCCATCTTCAGCTTTCGAGATAGAGCTCATAAAATCGATTTGACCGGAGGAATTAAACATATTAGCCACGTTGTCGTGGGACGATTGGTACATAGGCCATTGTGAGTGGGATTGACTTTGGTGAATCAGGTCATGGGGTTGCGGTGTCTGATAGACGCTCTGAGAGGGTTTGTTGAGAAGGATGGAATCCAGAGAGAGGGGAGGAAGATCGACACCAACACTAGTAGCTGGCCGAGGGCTATTAGTTTGAGTGCGATCCGGGGGCGGGATAAGCCGGCGCCAGGTAGTTGTGCCGACCTCACCAGGTCGTGTTTGGCGGAATTTCCAGACCAAGATAGCCATTCGCTCGCTCTCATCCTGTTGTCCATGACCCTGAAATTGGTTGGAGAGGCGTCTGGAACTGGATGGCATAGCGCGAATCTCCTGTACTGCAGACAGAGAGCGTAGGTAGCGCCGAGTACGTTCATCAGTGGAAAGAATGGATTCTGGCTGAGCGGAATCTTCCGCAATGCGCTTGTCCTGGGTTAACTCAGTGAAGAGCTTCGCCCACCATTGCGATTCGAAGAGAGGCTTGACCTTGGTAGATTGAGGTTTCGGGAGAGGGTGGAATGTCTCCCATTTCTCTCGTCCGGCCTCGTATAGACGCGTACTACAGGTCCAATCTTCCATCTGGCCTATCATGAACACATCACCAGCTGTAGGGTGGGCAAAGTCAAGATCTAATTGAATACCAAGACGAGACCCAGGAGGAGGAAAATCAGACATGAGCTGCAAGTTGACTTCAAGCATGATGATGTCACAGTCGAGAGAGCCTTCATCGATAATAGATGATAGCTCAGGGAATGAGGATCGCCAGCCATTCACATTTTCCAAGGGCATCGGAGGAGCAGGGTGGTGCAGATCGCCTTGCAGGCGGGTGTATGCATGCAGAGAATTGTCGACTCGGTTAGGCTGCTGAGGCGTGCTGACCCACATGTCAAAGCTAAAACCATGGATGTTCTTGGTCCCTGTTTCTTGCATGTTTGATCCCAGAGTGTAGTGAGGTGGCGGTAGGTCTCCTGCGTATGATTGTATTGAACGCATGGGATCGTGGTACTGTGTTGAGGCTCCGTAGTGACTCGACGCGCCATGGTCGATCGAGGCTCTCCATTTCGGTGTGGAGGTTTGAGAATGTCCACTTGATCGCTCTGCAGACTGTTCACGGACAAGTCGCTCCCCTGAAGCTCTTGTTAATGTCTGGCACTTTGGCTTATGACTACTCGTATACTAGAACTCACAGTCTGGGTCCCCTTTCAGAAACGAGTCGAGTACTTGAAGGTGACTCGAAACCTGCTTACGAGTTCGACGCTTGCCAGTCAACTTGAAGATATACTCGGCAATCAACTCATTTCGGCCGTATGACTTTCCCCGTTCAGACCACTTGCGGCGACCCATAGGAGGGTTTGCCTCGAGAGCTGTACTCAAGTGTTAGTTTCTTTAATGCCAATAAGAATGGGTTCAATTCTTACCTTGCTGGAAAGCATCCTCCAATTCGTCAGACCACACTGGCTCTCCGTCCTTGCCAGTGTCCCGTCGAGGACGGGCCCGATACTCTAAGTACTTCTGCGACTTGAGGTAGCTTCGACCCCGTCGAGGAGCCACATTGGGCCCCACTGAATGGAGTCGGCGAAGCTTCCGCGCATGAAGCCGAGCAGCTACTTGCTGATGGTGGTGGAGATTGGGGGCGGCGACTTGGTGATGGACAGGAGGATGGGGATACTTGTAAGCCATCTGCTGAAGATGATCATCCCGGCCAGCGACATCGTGAGTCAAGACATCAGAATATGACTGAACGTTACCAGAGGTGTTCTGCAAAGCCCTGTCTGAATGAGCCCCCACGGGATCAATGGACGGCTGGTTCTGAGGCACAAGGCACTCTTGTTGCCAGTCAGCAGCCATGGAGCGGACCAAGGACGGGCTTCTCGAAAAGAATGACAGATTCCAACGAGGAGGGGGAGTTGAGAGGCACCGTCAAATGCTTCCTGCCTGGCAAAGAACGCAGCACAGTCACAAACACAGCGACCCAAGAACGCAAATGTCTGAAGAGAATGTCAGAACCTGGGAAAGAGAATGTGAGAGCGAGCAGGAAGGTGTTTATAGGGAACCATAACTCCCCTAGGAGAGGGGTGCTGTAGTCCCAGTAGCAACATTGTTCCGACAGGTTTGCTTTGCCTGCACCACGACCCTCGAACGCCAGCTCCATACTCCTACGCAGGTCCCAGACCCTAGGCCTTCGCGTCCAGACACTGTGTGGGGAGCAAAGGACGGGCGCCAGCCGTCCTTGCCGCGACAAATCAGGAGTCAAGAAAGGGCCTGATATGAAGGAAGTGCTGCCGAAGCAAGGGATGCTGCAGCAGCACGATCCAGTGACGAACGAGTCGGAGATTTTGTACAGCCCGAGGTGACCTTGAGGCAGCATCACTTGGGCTCATGTTGACAATCATCGACAATAATCAGTGGCGATTACAGGTCCGTAGGAATGTTGGATGTCCAACGGCGTCGCTGATTGCTCGAGTTGAGGAATGTTCAACCACCGACGACCACCACAACCCCCACTGGAATGTAGGTCAAGCTGATCTTTAAAATTAATCAACAAATAAACACAGCAGATAACGCATTCAGAAAATAATCCATGGTTCAATAACTGGGGGTGGGATCTTGCGGTTGGAAAGGAGTTCGTAGTACATTAGGGTTGGTTAGGGTTAAGAGAACCTAGGATAGGGACGAACATGGATGAAATGCAAAATGCACGAGCGCTGCACGTATGGTGCATTGACAGCCGCAGGAACGTGTTCGGGGTATCTCTTTTACTATCTCGTAGGTAATCAACAAAAAATGGCTGCAAGTAATCGTACATCGTTTTTCCCCTGAACGCAAGGGGTGGTTATCGGCCAATGGACTCGACGCCCTTCTTGCAGGGAGAAGGAGACTTAGCACCTTCATGCTTCGTCGTTCTCCTGGGCCCCTACAGTGAATTTTTTGCGTCCCCCGCCCGTAAGCTGTTGGATCTTGACCCTGTCCGCCTGTTGACCCATCTTCTTCTCTATCTTCTCGATCTCCTCCTCGGCATCGACAGCCTCCTCGTTCACGAATTCCAGGACCAAGCGGCGGCCAAGGAGATGCGTGTTTTTCAACGCGTCCATGGCATTTTCCGCTTCGCGAGCACTGATGAAATCCGCGAAACCGAAACCGCGAGCAGTCCGGTCGAACTTTTGAGGCACACGGACCGAGCGCAATTGGCCGTACGCTCCAAATAGAGAACGAATTTCCTTCTTGGTGGCCTGGAATGGCAAGTTCTTGATGATGATCTTGGTCCGTCTCGCCGCAATCTTCTTGGCCGTATCTTCCCGTCTCCGCTCCTCCGCAGCATCGTTGCCCTTGTGGGAGGCGCGGATGACAAGTTCGTGCCCATCTAACTTGTAGCCATCCATGGCGGCCAGTGCTGCTTGGGCCTGATCTTTGGTCCTGAACTCTGCAAAACCGAAACCCATGCTGAGGGTTTGTCCAGGTTTCTTTGGATCGGGCTTGGTCTTGATGCGGCCAGTGACAAAACCTTCCAACGGCTTGAATGCCTGCAGGAATCCCTCGTTGGTAGTCGAGAAGCTCAAGTTCTTCACGAAGAGAGTTGACGTGACGCTGGGTCCCTCGGCCTCGTCTGCGGCAAAAGTATCAGAGGTAGAGAATCCCTGACCCTTGCCTCGCACCTCCGGAGCAGCAACATGAGCACTGACTGTGCCATCAAACAAGTTCTTTGGAGCCTTTTCTAAGAAGAGAATCGACTCACCCACCTTTCGGTAGGCAAGACCCTTGAACGCCTTCTGCGCTTCGTCGGGCCTTCCAAACTCAACAATGGCAATGGTGCCACTGGGTGGCATCAGCAGCCGAATGATTGTGCCATAAGGCTCAAACAGCGACCTGAGATCACTAGACTTCACGCCATAAGAAAAGTTCTTCACCAAGATCGCTGTGTTGCCTCGTTCACGCTCCTTGAAAGCATCAATGTTGACTCCGTTCGAGGCAAAGTAAGCCTTTGTCTCTTGAATAACATGTGTCTCAGCATGTGCCTGCTTCACAGCAGCTTCAGACGAGGTTGGATCCAACAGCTCTGCCTTGGTAACACCGAGTCTCTCAGCCACGGATGACATTACGGCATCAGTCTATATCATAATTAGCATATGTAGTCCAACTTATCGCCCTAAAGGAACAACTAACGTTCATGTAAAGGGAATTCCAGCTGAATGAGGAAGACCCAGACTCCATTTTACGTTTGATCTGCTTTTGCTTCTTCAAGGGAAGCTTTGAAAGCTCATATTCGTCAATCTTGTAACTCTTCTTAGCTGCAGCCGGGAGAATATGCAAGAGGCGACCCTGGAAATGCTTTCCATCAAGGGTGCGATAGGCATCTACGGCAGCATCCGCATCATGATACTGCACATAGGCGAAGCCCTTGCTGGTCTCAGTCCGAGTGTCAAAAGCAACATGAATCTATATTCCATTAGTACTTGATCGAAGTAAAAAATTTGTGTAACAAGTCTTGTGCATGGAATGTGGTGTGTTGCTCTTTTCAGATAATCAAGAAGCATCTACTAAAATCTCTTGCCTGGTGACATCATTTGCGCTTGGCATAAGATGTCCCTATCAGGACAGTCATCATACGAGCACACCGCCGGCATTCGTTCTGTAAAAGAACGTGCTGGCATAGTGGAAGGAGGTGATAGGGAGAGAATGGAACCAAGAACTAACCTCTTCAGTTTTGCCGAATGGAGAAAATAAAGGGTGAAGGTCCGCTTCTTTCAGATCGTAGGAGAGATTTCTCAAAAACAGACGAGCAGAATCGCGAATGAGCTCGATGTTTTTAGCCTGCTCAGGCGAAATTTCAGTTTCCTTCTCTTCCTCATCTGCGGGTTCATCGACTGTCTCATCAACATTAGTGACGGGCTCGGGCTCGGGCTGAGATGTGATCTGCTCGATGGCGGCACTACGGGATTCATCCATGGGAGAACTCCGAGACTCGACCGGTTTGTCGACCTTTCGCTCTTCAAACTCGGCCTGCTCATCCTCGTCCAGAAGACCTAATAGACGGCTTGTCTTCGACCGCAGCCAGTCCATATCAGATGCAGGGGCAGCCTCTTCTTCACCCTGGCCATCCTGTGCCGATGTATCCTCATTCCTATCCACTTCACTATGCTCAACGGCCATCGGTTCAGGTTCAGGTTCCTGGGTACTAGCAACGGGTAGGGACTCTTCTATCCGGGCCTTCTTAGGCTGGGAAGGCACTTCCTCTGCCACACTGTTGTCTTGGGTAGGTTGGTTAATAACCGGTGTAGAATCTGCGGATGGGGCAGCCATAGTATCATCATTTGCCCATGTTCGGGTCTTGCCTGACTGCATCAAAGTCATGTACTCTTTGAGCTTAGGATCTTGTGCCTTTTCAGCTTCCCTCTTGCGCTTCTTGAGTGCACCCTCCGCGGAGTTATCCACATCACGGTTACGTGTCGGATGGACAGGCTTGGAATCAATCTACAATAAACCTTGTCAGTCTCAAGACCAACTGAACTGGTCAGCGTGCACGAAAGCAAAAAAGCAAAGAAAGGATGATAGGAAAAAAGTAATTAACAACGCAAACATTCACATACCGGTCGAGCAATATCTACCGTGATTTTAGACATTTTCAAGTAAGTCCGGTTGAAATATTTCACGGCTTCTTGAGCTGTTTCATTGCTTTTGAAGCCGACGAAACCCATGCGGCGTTTAGGCAAGACATGGGCATCTGTAACTTGAAAGCGTGTGGAAAAATGATTGCGAAGCTGATCATTGGAGCAAGTGGGCGGAAGCCCACTGACAAACACTCGAGTATTTTCCATCTTGAAGTGTTGTAGCTGGAAAAGCCCCGAGTAAGTGTGAAGTAAAAGTACTTGCAGCAAATTTTTTTTTTCTGGCTTTCATAGCATGTGGGGCGGTGAATAAAGCGGTCCTATTTGTTGCACCGGCAATATGGCCAATTGAGGTGAAAGCGGTCAACCCTATCGTCGACGCGCCCTCTTCGATTGCACCGCTGCACTCTCCAATTCCTCGCGCTTGCTCACGCTGACAACCCTATTACCTTCGAACCCGCCGCCCTTAGAGATCCTACCTCTCGCGATTATGACTACTGAAAAGAAAGAAAAGATGGAGGGTGGGTCTTGCTGCCAGCCAAAAGTTATCATGACGCTAACCCATGTACAGCGCAGGTCAAGTCGGTTGACATGGTAGGATAGCTGGCATCTTATACTTATGAATTGGGATCTGATACTTTTTTTTAGACTGAGGATATGCAGCGGGAAGCTATTGATCTCGGTATGGGACTCTGATCCTTCGACGGAATGAATTGCGACTGATTTTCCCAGCTATCGAGGCCATGGAGAAATACCACATTGAGAAGGTATGGACAACCCTTCTACTCTTCGTCAAGCTTTTGCATCATATGCTAATCAATTGTAGGATATCGCGCAGTACATTAAGAAAGAGGTCCGACCCCGCCATTCTAGCCGACCTACCCCTCCTCCTTTCGACACTAACAACCCGTCTAGTTTGACTCCCGAAAGGGTGCTACCTGGCACTGTGTTGTCGGGCGCAACTTTGGTAGCTTCGTCACCCATGGTCAGTACTAACCGCTCCACTGTCTCGAATTGATACTTATTCCTTCTACAGAGACGAAACACTTCATCTACTTCTACCTGGGCCACTGTGCCATCCTCCTCTTCAAGACCCAGTAATCGAGCGGATACAGCATAAATTTGTGGCATCGATGATTGGGGGCTCTATCTAAGGGTCGAAGTCTACAAAATATTTTGAACAGCGATCTTTTTTTTCCGTTATGTCTTGCTGGACTTTGATGCCAGGCTACTTCGACTTGTATGCAAATAATCGCCGCATTGTGTAAACAGGCTTTTCTGAATATTCAAGAAAATTTCTTTGAAGTTCTAAGATCTATATTAGAAGCATAGTTAGGGTAACGTAGTCAAGCTTCCTGGGTGCAAAGAACAATATATATTGTTGACAGTACCTGATCATCAGATGGACCTCACGTGCTCCCTGCCAAGGAGCCAAGCCACAACTTAAGCCGCTGCCTTCAGGTCTGTTGACGTCGGCTCCCTTTCTCCCTCTCTTCCTCAATCAACAACATCATGGCGCTCTGTATTCCAATTACTTGTGGCACCCACGGTAAGCTATGACTTCGGTTATGAACCTTTGGCGACGCCGGTGTGGGGGCCGGTGCCTTTGGCTGGTCCCGGGCGTTTAGCCTGTGGACTACCCGCCCCATCTAGATTGCGGAACGCTAACCAGGATTACAGAGTTCACCTCGATGCTCGAGGGGTATGAAAATGTCCGCGCTTACTGCTACAATTGTATGCTGCCTGTTTTTGCACGAACTGTCATAATGTGAGCCTCGCTGATATTATTTAGGCCGAAACTGGAATGGACATTGCATCACCCGTTGGTATGTGGCTGAGCACCTCGATTTGTGGGAAGCCTAGCTAACAACCATGGAAATAATTTAGGCCGTTCTTCACTGTTTGCTTCGTTGTATGTTTTTAAAGTCTCATGTTCAGGCTTAAACTCTGCGATAATCTTGGAATATTGCTAATGTTTTCACTTAGCCGATAATTCCTCTGTCAACTCACAAGTACAAGGTACGTCATTATGCCTCAAGACTACATCTTTTCTGGATGATTTTTGATGGATACCAGGTGGTCAGCTGGTTGGTATAATGTACTAACGAATCTTTTTAGGAGGTTTTGTGCTACACCTGTCGCTTTTCGCAGGATCTTCGGTAAGATACACTCCACCAAGCACAAGTGCCGATGACCCAAGTGCTAACAAACCCAAGCGATCGAACTGACATTACGCCTGATACTCGACCGCCAGTAATGCCAAATTATCAGTGGGGCCCTCCAGGCCCGCAACAGCCTCCTCAAGCTCACGGAGCTTCAGGGCCTCTGGCCGAAGCTCAGAAAGGCCAACCGCCACCGCAGCATCAAGGGCCAGTTGACTATAAGTGAGCACAAAATTTTTCAAGCCGTGTTTTATGGGGTTGCTACCCTTCAAAACAATTTGATTCGGGGAGCTTTCGGCGCTAAGCACTTGATTTTTCAACCTTTTCAACCTTTTTGTATCGTTTGTTTTTGTTTGGTTTTTTGAGTCAGTTATTATCCAATCCATGAATCTTGTCTATCCAGGCGGAAGAATATGTTTTGAAAGAATGATATATGAGATTTATAATATAAATCGTATTAACTACTAGGTAACCGGATAATAGGGGTATAGAAAGACATATCCGACCCAAACAAAAACCAAAGTGGTGCCAGCCCAAATTTTCCAAACATCATATACAATCATCAAATTCTAAGCAGAGGACTCGGCCTCCTTAGCCTTCTCCCCAACAGCCTCCGTCGGGGTCGCAACCCCAGAAGCCTGCATCTCATCAGCCTTCCTTCCCCGGTAAACAGCCGGCCTTGTACCCATAGCATCATAAGCCATCATCCGCACAACGCGCACAATACTTTCGCGTCCCTCATAGAGCGGGAAAATGACGACACCAAACAGTGTGCAGAATAGCCACAGGATACCGACAACAACCCAGCCGGTGAAGAACTTCTTGCTGAAAACATACGAAGTACCGTACATCGGGATCGGCCAGAGGATCAGCATAGCGAAGGCCATAAAGATGGTCAATGTGCGGGAGTAGAGAGCGGCTTTGTTGAGTTTGCGGATTTCATCTTCGTTCTCAGTCTCACTAGGTCCTGCCTCGCCAGGGACGAGCTCAATGTCGATGTGTGCATCTGCAGCAACTTCCGAGTCGTCCACTTTGCGGATTTGGCGCATGGACTCGTAGTCGTAGTTTTGAGAACCGAAGATCAGGGTAAGAATAGGGGAGATGACAACCGGACTGAGGAGAGCGGCAACGTTACCCGCTAGCATGGGGTAGTTGTCACCAGTGGTAGTCACAGTCAGAGTACCGTATTGCTTCTGTGCAGTAACCAGCCAAGCAATCAGAGAAACAGCCAATCCAAGCGGAGGAGACACAGCAGCTGCAATCCAGTTCTGGCCCTTCCAGAGCAATGTCATAGCACCGGGGAACACGGCAGAAGAGATAATAACACCCATGAGTAGGTATAGGTAACCCATGCCGATACCGGCGTAGTAGAGACCTGTTGCGAAGCTAGCCATGATAATGGAGTAGACGATACAGGACATGTGCGAGATCCAGACGAGGCGCTTGCCCTTGGCTTGCGGGTTGATGTAGGCCTGGTAGATGTCGTAGGTGAAGATCGACGACACGGCGATGAGCTGTGCTGAGAAGGCGGATGTCACGGCCATGAAGATCATGAGGGTAGTTGCGACTGCGCCGCTGTATCCAAGAAGCTTGACAGCAGCGAAGGGAAGGACGAGACCGGCTGTGACATCGTCGCTGCTTAGGCGAGCATTGCCTTCCAAAGCGAGAGCTGAGATACCCAGGGTGGTAGCGCAGAGCCAGGGGATAGCGAACCAGCAGAGGCCACCAATAACGTAGCCAGGGAATGCGTGGACGGGGCTTGCGGCAATAGCTGTTTAAAGTTAGTTTCTTCTTCTTTTGATTGAACAGCTGGTTTTCTTGAAAACTGACCCTTGTTGTAGTAACCGTTGTCGAGGAAGACAGTTCCAAAGTTACCGATCAAGTTGATGATCCAGAAAATACCACCCTCCTTTGATCGCATAGTCAGGTAGCTACCCTCGGCGTTACCCTCAACAGGGTGCTGCTTCGCAGCTGTAACCAAGGCATCATAGACTTTCCCAGGCGAGCCCAGCTCAGCGTTGGTTGCATAGGCTGAGAACGCGAAGAGGAAGATGACAACCAGAATAACAACAGTGTGCATATAATCGGTAATGAAAGTCGCCTTGATACCACCGAAAAGTGTGTACAGAACAACACCGATAGGAAGCAGGTAGCAAGCGGCGGTAGTCGAGACTCCAGTCAAGGATGTCATGACTGCCGATCCACCAGTCAACAGCATAGCCGTGACGAGAATGTTGGTCATCAGGCAGAAGACGATGAAGACGACGTGAACAGTGGTACCGTAGCGTGCACGAATGACTTCGAGGAAAGTGTGCGCATTGGGGGCTCGTCTCTTCAGCTCAATGGCAATCGTTGCGAAAAGGAGAATCTGAACTGTTGCACCAGAAGCATAGAAGAATGGACCTGAGACGCCATATTTGTAGGCCACTGCCGAAGATTGGAGGAGCGTTGCTGCCCATGTCCAACTGCTTACTACTGCAGCAGCGACAAGACCAGACTTGACAGAGCGGCCTGCTGTTGAGAACATTTCGGAAGTTTGGACCTCATTTTGGTATCTATTGAATATTGGAATTAGTATAAGACATACAATTAAGGTTGTTCCAACCGGGACGTACCGCTTTAGGGCCCAGGTAATAAAGATCATGAGAAGGGCAAAGGCAAACCCAAGACCCAGGATAATACCATATCCGAATCCCTGGGACAAGGGCGCCGTGAAGCTAACCGTGCCAGAAGACATGGCTAAGGATCAGTCGAACTGATCAAGTAGATAGCAACGATGTGCAAAAGAAAAAAAAAAAAATGAAAGGTAGGGCTCAATGTATGACGTCGAATAAGTGAACTAGAACTCAATTCAAAGGGGATAATGAACTAAGCCCTGATAATGGGGTTGTCACAAGTCAAGTAGTCTGGTTAATGTGAAATGCATCCAAATGTGAACCTGGGGCAACGCATTGATATAAGTATGGCAACACAAGAGCCCATTCACAAGGTTCTCCGACCTCGCACAATTAACCCCGGGAGTTGACCCTTGAGCTTAGATAGGAACCCGCAATCCACAATCGAAGTTCAGATAAGAGTCGCATTGGCTCTCGTAATGCCATTCGCAGTGACCAGTCTCGCCAATGATAGGGCTTAGATCGGCGCTCCTGGCGGTACACCATATGAATAATGAAGGGATCCAGCCCCGCCACCCCGCTGGCACATTATCGAATGGAGACACGGATTGAAAATTAAATGACAATCAACGGTACCATGCACCCCATGCGCAAGGAACGGGCTATCGACGAGAACTGGTTGATTCTCGTGGGCTTATCAGGTTGGAAGTAAACAGGTGATGTGATTGGTTGAGAGATCGACAAGATAAGAGCTTCCGGTTCTGAATCGTGCATTCGGGTGGAGTCTGGGGTGAGATGGAGCCTTCCTTTTCTTTTTTTTTCTGCCTTTTCTCTCGGGAGACTCCGCTATTACAGGCTGATAAAGGCTTTTACGCGTAGAATCCGTGATAGGTTTACTCGATACGTTATTGTCATGCCCGCGGGTGATGTCGATATACATGAGCCTAAAGTGTAGTAGTCCACCCCACAGCTCAGGATGCAGGGCTTTCTAATTGAACATGATTTTGGGTAATCGGCAAATGTTATGGTCTTTAACTGATCGTAGTTAGCTCTACATATTCGTCTTCTCTTTCATTTTTCGGGATTTTGCCATGTGCAGTAGCCTATCTCGGATGGGCTAGATCTTTAAAGCTAAAAATCTATATAAATTTCCCATGGTTGCGGACGTTTACGGTTGGGTCTCCTTCGCCCCATGAATCCACCAGAGCCGCGCATTTAATTACCGTTAATGCTGACCTTCCCTCAGGCAAAATGGGTCATAAAAGGGATTGGATGAACGAATCCCGGGAGAACGTACCACCGAGAGTATTATGAATATCTTGGGTTATAGGTATTTGCTGCTCCATTCGAAATTACCTATTATCAATATTGGATAACAAAATTCCGCGACAACTCTTCAAAAAAGCCGGTCCTGAAGGTCTGTCGCCTAATCCTTTAATCGGCTGGTACTCAAGTGACTATCTACATGACAAGGGCAGCGCATAGAAAATTGATGCACCAACCGCCTGTAGGTATCGGCAACTTGGAACCCAGATTTCCAAGTATAGCCAAGGATAGTAGACGTAACAATACGGCTTAACACGGCAAGCCCTACAATTGCAAAGCGAATACACCAGATGCAAGATCTTAAAGACCGAGTCAATTCAAATTCAATGCGAGACAGTGAACACATTTAGCTCGGATATGGTACACAGCCTCGGACTACATCACTGCCAAGACAGCCCATCGTACAAGCTCGCCGGCTTCCTCCAGCGCATGCAATCGCAGGGAAGGAAGCAGCAAGGTTGCAGGACAGATGCCATGAACAGAGACAGCCCAGCCGATCGACCTACACAGCGGATAGGTCTAGGATGCTCATTTGCAGCACCCACAAAAACGAAAAACACCACACATGAGAGAAAAGCTTTGAGTTAAAAAACAGGATTCACACCAGTAGCCAAACGGAGGGTCCTGGCTGCTTTTAAGTGCAGCGGAAAGGATCAAATGTCACGGGGTATAGGAGAAAGGGTTGAGGTGGAAGGAGGGAAGATTGGAGGTGGGACACAATCCATGTGCATGTCGAGGATAAAATTGGACATGCCATCGATTGCGCGTTAAAAGTATAGTCGATGGAATTGCTTATGCGGCGAACTTGCGAGTGATCTTGGCGATGACTGGATAACGCACAAACGAATCAGCAACTCATTCAAAGCAAACAAGGAATCTTTTGCATTCCAAAGAAAGACACAAAGCTTACCGTGCAGGCCAACGACCGAGAAAATGAAGCCCAGACTCAGGACCAGGACAACAACGGGATCGACACGCAGACCGGGGCTCTCATCGGTGTAGAGCTTGAGCATAGTACCGGAGGAACCACCAGCACCAGCGGAGCGAGTAGAGCTGGGACGAGCATTGCGAAGAGACTCCTTGTGGTCGGCAGCAGCACGGCGACGCATAGCAGCACGGGGACCACCGGGGGCAGAGGGCGACGAGGGACGGCTGACAGAGGAGCCGGAGGCGACAGCGCCGGCAGCGCCAGCGGACTTGGACTCGGCGCCAGACTCAGCGCCGGAGGTGAGAGGGGAACCAGGACGAGGGGAGGCCTGGATTCATGGTTGATTAGAGATGGTGATCAAGTGCGATCATTGGGGTATTGGGAAGAAAGGAGGTTTGGTGGGTAGGCATGAGGGAGCATTGGATGGAGATCGAGCTGCTATCTCAGCAATTGGGGAGCTGGATTAGCTTACCATGATGATTATTTAGGTGTGAATGATAGAACGAAAGAATGAAGGAAAAGGAAAGAAGGGGTTCGGGGAAGAGCGAGGTTTGCGGAGTTGAATTGAGGCCACGATCACGGTTTCCTGATTGATACTAGTCATTGTATCGGTATGGTAACAACAGCACTCAACTAGATAAATTACAGTATTCAATACAACGAGCCCACCAATGAGAAGGAAATTAGCTTGGAGGCCGGGGTAGTGCTTATGAGCTGTTCAAAGCTCCAGAGTTTACGTTATTCAAATCAATTATACATCATTATTTATTGATTTCATTATATTAGACACATTGATTTCTTGATATCCTAGACTTAACCAGGGTCGTGGAAAAGCGCCTAAGGCATGGGACTGTCGTAAATGACATAGATGAAAGAACTCCTCTGGGAATCATATCCAGATAACGCCATCGGTGCACTCGTGAAAGGATATGTAAAGCAGGGTGGAGTCACACAAATTTTGGACCAAAGCCTGACATGGCATTGGGAGAAGAACAAAAAGGAAGGTCGCTGGTGAGGTATCATAGGGCCCGAATAATCAAACACATGGGCTTCAAAAAAAAAAAAAAAAAAAAAAAATTGGTAAAACGCTTATCCAACAATCATGGATGGAAAGAAGTGGTACGATAACGCTCGTGATTCCAAGTTCGGGAGAGATCAGTCAATCATCATGCGAGATGGGATTGCGCTGCCAGCCAAGTTGGATGAAAGCTCGGTGGTCTTCTCCTCAGGTTTGACCTTCTTCTTGCTGATGTGCGGTTTTAGACCGCGATGGAAGTTGTTTACGCACATGCAAGCATTAATAATGGTGATCACAATCAGGATGAGCGTGATGACGGCGAAAAATGTCATTGAGGGACGAGCCGGGAGATAGTCGATGTAGGTTGCTTGGGCGTACATGCGGAAGAGCTTGAAGACGAAGTAGGCCATAGCGGCAAAGAACAGCAGCTAGATGAATAGTCAGATGCCGAGCTAATGCATTCTCAAGTTCGATTGACTTACAATGATGACGATCATGCCGCTAGTCGATTCTCGACGAACAAACCAAGCACCGAAGGCAAGGATAATGATGGTCACGGGAACAGCGACGATGGTGAGGTAGAACTCGGCATTATGGCTGGAGGACGACACGACAACAAGGAACTGTACGGTGAAGCCGAGGAAGAAGAAGAAATCAAACTTCAGAAGGGCGATGTAGATCTAAAGAAAGTTAGTTGCGTTCAACTCAGTAAAGGGATCCCAAATGTCCTACCTGATAAGTCAGATAACGGCGCTTCATGCGCAAATCAGCACTAATGTGCTTGTAGATTGTCCAGGCAAATTCGTCATACAACTTCCATGCCACAAAAGTCATCAACACAGTGCCTAATGCGACAATGCATGGAATTATAATGAGAAACGGCTCTGACTCCACCCAAACAAGATCATCAATCTTATGCATTAGGTGCAAGTTGTTGACCGCGTTTCGGATTTGCTGCACCTGGACCGCGCCATAGATCAACAGACCCACGTTGCACAAGCAAAGGCCGATAACCTGAATGGTGTTCTTTGCTTGCAAGGCATCATACACCAAGACCAGCTCGTAAAGGAAGCCGAAACTGTACAGCGCGAGGAAAGTTGGGATTGTTTTGGACGAAGGACTGTCGTTGGCCACTTCCTGGACTTGGAAATTGACGAAGATGTAACTGCAGGCCGTTAGTTAGGAAAGGAAAACCAGGTTATGATTTCGGGGCTTCATACATCTCCAGGGCGAGTGTTACGAGAGTTTGGATAAAAGTTACAACGGCGAAAGACCAGGTCCACGTCGTGTTTGGAATGTACATCTTGCGGTTGCGCGTGGCAGCGACTGGGGCGACATTCGTATAACCTTCCCGGGCGCGGAACCCAGGACCCTGGCGAAAAGACGGATCAAACGAAGTTCCACCTAGGAGAGAAGCGCGCGACCCATGAGATAGCACCTTGCCGAAATCCGACGCGGTGCTCGGCTCCGCGGAATGCTTTGGGGAAGACACTGTGGCGGCGTTGACCTCCTGACGGAGGGTTTCACTTATTTAAGGGGGGGAGAGCTGCAGGTGGAAGGGAAAGGACTGCCGGTCCCCGATACGTGGGAGCCTCGAAACACCGGAATGCTCGTGTGTCGTGAGTGGCTTGGCGGGTTGCACAAGTGACCGGGGGTTGCAGGTAACGAAAGGGGGGGGGGAGCGAGGCTGGGCGAACTAGATTCGAGGTCGTGGGAACATCGGAGGAGCACTGCGCAAAGCCCGTGATTGTGAACGTGAAGATAAACGAGTGTTTTGAAGAGCGAACGAGCGGTCTCCAATTTTTTTTTTTTCACGAAGTGGCTTTCGGGTTCTTTTGGGTCTGGCGGGGCGAAGCCTGGTCGGATCAGCGTTACAGGCAGCAAGATGTACAGTCAGGACCCTTTCCAAATCTGTACTCTTTAAGGCTGAATTAGGGGGTGAATTAATGAGAGAAGAATAACGGTTAAAGAGAAAAGAGAAAGATCTTCAAAGCTCATAAAAGAAAGGGTCAAGGGGTGGGATTATCCGGGGTTCACTAGTCTACGCATATCTTCGACCACATACCGGCTCGGCGCGGCTACAGTATTTGGGGGCTGACACATTCTAGTAGAAATGGACTCGTTCTCGAATGTCTAGTTAACACCCCTGAATTGGGAAAAGGATGAATCAACATGGTTCATGTGGGGCAAATTTTGGACCCAAAGATGCAGGTCAGGTACAACCAAACCCTGCCGTGGTCTCGAATTGTCGGTGGATGCTTGAATGCCTGTGTTCCTCTGATCGATTCCACTTGCCATGATACGTATGTCTTTCTGCATGAATGGAGTCCCCCAATGCATGTTCCTCCGACTACGCTGTTAACGTTTTGCGGACTCAGCCTTATCCACTCATCCGAAACCGTGAAACAAGACGTTAGGGATCACGGCACACGACTGGTCCACTGTTGTTGCTGCTCCTCCCGCAAGAATTCGGCACTCAAGGGGCTGTGGCTCGTTTCCCCGTGGACCCCCAACCGTGGTGGCTGGGGTTTCCAAACCAGACTGGATTAGCCGCATTCCAGTGGCTGTGGTCAGTCGGATAAGCCACGCTGCGGCCTTCAGCCCCATTATATCATAGTGTCACACACTGTTTATGATATGGAGTCGTATTCTCGGATACGAGACTATTCCTAGAATTCGAGCTCCGAACTTGACAACTGGATATTCCCAGGTCGTCTCTGCCAAGACGATATTTCTCCGCTAATTCGCAATAGGCTCACGAGGAAAGCCACCATTATTCGTCATCCTCCTGACTATGGGGTAACCTTAGATACAGTGGCCACGAATTGTGTACGACTAGCCTGTCTGGTGTGGTTATGTTACAAAATGGCTATTCGTCACTAATTTGATACTCAATTAGCGTAAGCCCATACCCATTGTGATAGAATAGGCGCGCCCCTATAGGCTAGAGGTCAATTAAGTGCTTAGAGCTACATTAAAAAAAAAAAACTTTGAATTTCCCGCGAGCTGGAAAGCCTTGCGTCATATCTTCAACGTGAACTAGGTAGGAAGACTGATTCAAACTTCAAGAGAATCATATCGCAGGACTAACGTTCCATTGCAAGCACAAATGTGCTAAGCGGGTAGTCTTCGCCATAAGGCACTTGACCATGGGCGGTCCTTACCAGCATATTATTGTCCTCTCAGCAAGAGCAGGTGTGACTCGGTTACTCCACCAGACAGACCACATTCTAAAGCAACAGATTATTGACAAGCATATTGGGTCGTGCCCCCTTTGCATGAAGATTCGGCCTACATAGCTGTTGATGAGAGTTTCCTTCCGAGGTCGCCCCGGTCCGTAAATTTGAAATTTGGGTTAGTTGTTGACTGGAAGACACCTGACATAATTGAGGAAAGAATGGACACCTGGAGGAGCTTCCTTAAATCTGACAGTCGCCGCGAGGACCTCGGTATCTTATGAAATCCAAGTTGGCGAGAGTGAAAATTTGGATCTGAGCCACGAGTATATTTTGACTTTGACACCAATCAGACATGGTCAAGTGAACTTGATCGTCAACCTTTAAGAAAGCTTTAAAACACGTCAGGGGTGAATCCTTCCATCATTCGTGCCCCTTGCCGCTCTAGTACAACGCCGTATCCATGGATCCAACCTGTTCGATGGTCAGTGGAACGATGACGGAGACACATAGAGAAAGACCAAGATGGGTATCGCGGGAGGCGATGTCTTGAATTGATAAACATATGGCTAGTTCGCATATCTTCATTCGCTCCTTTGTCACTCTTAATTGAACCTAAGATAATGCAACCTGCAGGAATAAGAGACTGAGGGGAATCCGTCATGTGATAACCATGGAAAGCGACACCCTATGTGATACCTTTCGCATGGTAATCGATCAGTGACCGCCACAGCTGCAGTCTTGCCCCGAGCCGCAGGTGCGATTCTCTGGCAAGGGAACAATATACTTGTAAGCTAGTTGTACTCAGGTAGCCCGGTAGCGGGTGAACGGATTCGAATTGTGGACCAAGATCATTTTCTGAAGAGGGGAATTACAAAGGCGCATTCATCCATCATGTATATATTTCAAGAATCATTTGTGATTGAGAGAAATGAATTTTCGGAAGGACCGAGTCAGACTGGTTGGGCCTGGCCAGCCTCGGCGATGACGGGCGACTTTGCAAATCCTGCGATTTTACCAAGCATAGCAAGGTATCAGCAAAGAGAAGCAAGTTCTGATGATTTTGTGGCAAAAGGATAGAAAAATCGTATATTTGCAGAGGTTGCGCCAATGGTATAACTTTTACTAAGTCATAGCCTGGACACTGAGAAGAACCATCCTTATCTCCCACATACTGGCCTTATATTCGAGAACAGCAGATAAGCGGAAAAGCAGGGATACGGCATTGTATCACGGAGCACCGATTCTTCCGACGTTCTCTAGTTTCATCTCTTCAGGTTTCCCTTTTAGTACCAAGTGCCAAATGTTATCGCTTAACTCTAAGCCACTGCCCGTTCACCTTCCCCGCACCAACCCGTTCGCGCCTGATACCGACTAACTAGTTGATCGGCAATTTGTCCATCGAGATTGATCACGATGGTAGGACTGCGCCTATCTAATGATTCGGAGTCCGCGGGCTCAATCATGTCCCCTGTTATAAATATGCCTTGAAGTGGACAGGGTATTGACTGATAACTACATACACAACCGTTTGAAAGCTATTCTTCAAGTTTTTCACCCCGAGAATACGAATACATTTCTTATTGATTTCGCCATGCTGTCGCTGTGGGTAGGAGCTGTTATTTTGCTTGGATACTTCCTGGGCAGTGGATTCTTGTCACCCACATCCAAGGTGCCAGGTCCATGGTACACCCGATTTACAAGCCTGTGGATCAAATACCAGGAATTTACAGCAAACAGAAGGGAGTCAATCCATATGCTTCATAGTATTTATGGGCCTGTTGTCCGTCTGGGTCCCAATGAGATCTCTTTCACCAGTCTTGATGCTATCAAGGAGATCTACGCCTCAGGAGGAAGTGGCTATGATAAGACCGAATTCTATACTCTCTTCAGACAGTTCAAAATTAGGTAAGTCATGCCTATTGCTTACTTTAAGACCTTTGCTGACGACTAAAAAGAACGATGTTTTCGACTTTGAATAAGGATGAGGTAATGACATTCTTGAATTTTCCATGGATCATAGTTAACATCTGTAAAGCACAGCAAAAGGAAACGCATTTTCGCGGACCGATATGCGATGACCAACATTATGAAGGAAGGGCCACTGGCGGCTATTCAAGAGCGGGCAATGGCATTTGTTTCTCACTGCACTGAAGCTGGCAAGAAGAGTGTCGACATCTATGTAGGTCTTCTAATTCCACAAGCATCCAAGCTTCGCTAATCTGGATCCAGGTACTGCTCCATTGCTATGCTGTCGATTGTGTTACTTATTTCATGTTCAGCCCTGGTGGACTTAAGTCCCTCAACATCCCAAAAGACTTTGAGATCATGGAGGAACTAACCTACCATCAAAGTCTCCAAAGTAAGTACTTTCTCGCCTTAGAATGAAACTCATCGATCTGACAAAGCTAAAGAAAGCCTAATCGCTTACTACTTTCCATCTTGGGAACCCTACTTCCCCAAATTCCTCCACCCAAGAAGCTCTCCGAAATCAAACCAATATGTGCTGGACATGGTAGCCCAATCCAAAGTCGAAAACTATACACTTCTCGAAAAGCTCAAACGTAAGGAATTAAATCTCGAATTCATGCAGGCAGCAGCAGAATGCAAAGATCATATGGCTGCCGGAATCGACACAACGGGCGACGGACTCTGCCTACTAATGTGGGAACTATCTCAACCGCAAAACCTACAATTCCAACAAAAGCTACGAACTGAACTCGTCTCGGCGCCTTCCGATGCCCCACTCGATAGCCTTATCTACCTCGATGCCGTCATTAAAGAGGCACTACGCTGTTTCCCACCGATACCTATGTCTTTACCTCGGTATGTGCCTGAGGGCGGGCGGATAATCGATGGGTATCTTATTCCTGCCCATGCAATTGTCAGTGTGCAGCCGTATACGGTGCATCGTGTAAACGGGGAAGTGTTCCCCGAACCGGATCGGTTTTTGCCAGATCGATGGCTGGCAGAAGAGGGGGCCGTGGAGAGGAATAGGCATTTCTTTGCTTTTGCGACTGGTGGACGAGGATGTATTGGGAAAAAGTAGGACCTCGTGATGAAATTCTAGGGGATCATTTGCTAACTTCATGATAGTCTTGCGCTGGTGGAGATGAAAATTTTACTCCGGGAGGTGTATTCTCGGTTCCAGACTACGGTTGCATCGGATATGGATGGATGTATGAAGTTGGATGACCAGATAATCTCTGCGAGGCCTAAGAGTCAGACGTGTAAACTGGTATTTACACATGTGGACCAGATCTAGGTCTTTGGGAGCGGGGTATTCTCGGTTAGACCAGCATAAAGACAAACACGAGATAATTTTTGGTGGTTGAATCATGCCTATACGTAAGATTAGCTTGTATAAAATAAAAACAAATTTATCAAGAGACTTGATCCAAAATGGATGCTCCAGCCGATGCGGGGTGAGGGGAACGATAAGGCGGAAGCGATCACTCTGATAGGCCGTTTCTCCTACATCTCCCCTTGTTTACTTTAACCGTGTAGTTCCTGCCTTTCTTAGTATACGGAGCTTTGAAACTGCCGACCAGTCCGACTTTCCGATTCCCGAGACTGGTTATACTGGCTCACGCACCTCCCCGCAGAGTACCGCAGCTCAACACCTACAGGGAAATACCGACACACATCACAATGGCAGAAGATACCCGGGCGGTCTCATCATGTCGCTTTTCGACACGAATCTCGCTACGATGGCTTCCAGAGCCAGCCCATGAGACAACTGACACAATTGTCATGTCCGTAAAGGACTGGTATCTCGATCTACGAATGGACAAACAAACCCAGAAAATCGACTGGGCAATTGCCGGTCAGAGAATCGTCGAAAGTCAAGAACCACGTATGTCCACGCTATCCATCTTTTCCACATGCTGATGCTCACTTCCCAAGTCCGGGTATCTTTCACCCACGAACTAGACTCGCATGACGCATTCGAGAGCGTAGACTGTGGCACCTTTGTCTCACTCCCTAATGGGGATGACCTGGAGACGGGCTCTATGCCTCGTCCTGATCTTCCTGGTGCACCAGATACGGAATATGAAGAGGTGTGGAGAGAATTACCGTTCCGGCAAGGACCGGAGGGGAAGGGCAAGGGTATTTCGTGGGTCCTCGAGTCTGACGATGGTGATCTCGGTGAGCAGGAGGGAGAGGTCACGGTGGTGAAGACGTTCTTGGGACGGATCTGGGGCACTTATTTGGCCTTACAGCAGAAGCAGGTTCATGCTCGGCGCAAGGATGCATCGGGGGGGTGGGTCGTGAGTAAAACCGGGGCTGCGGCCAGTGCTCGAAGGGAAGAATGGGTGGGCTCTGGGTGGGAGGAACGATATGTGGTCGGAGTTGCTGGTGATGAGCTCGCCTCGATGATGACCGGGATAGCCGGCGAAGGAAAGGGGTCGTGGAGGGTGTGTGGGGAGCGGGTTGTTGTTCATGGAATGACATATATTGTCCGAGCATTCGAGGAGATCTAGAAGTGAAGATCTGCTCTGTGTGTTATTAATAGATCTAATTCGGCTCGTCGAGACTCGGCCCCTTGCGATCATCATTTCGGGGAATCAGCCTTGTGCCTTACTCCGGACTCTGTAAATACATGTACAACCCTGTTCCGATTGACGTAAACAATGGAATCGGACCATCCTCCATTTGGATGCAATGTGTTTCATCGCCACAATTCACGTGCCGAGATGGTGAGGAAACGGAGCAAGCCACGACTGAGAAGATGGGCTAACAAGACCCAGCAGTGGGTTTGGTGGGTTTCAGCTCACCATGTAAGTTATCACCGTATCATGCATACGACGCCAAAATCCAAACGGGCCAATGAGAGCTCACTGGACGGAAGAATTGATTGAGATTGATTGAAAATTCCAATTTTAGGCCGCTAAATTACGCACTGTAAAGCTAGCAGACCGATAGTGTCGGTACCTCATCTCCCGTTCGAATTCGTCTCCACTTTCTTTCTCCAGCAGTACGTAAACACTTTTTTCTTGTCAATCACAATATTTACCAGAGATCTGTAGCTCATTTACAACTCTTGTTTACTCCATGGCCTCTAGCCACAATGCGATCTGATGTGGGAGCTGCATCTGTCTCCACCCCTATTCGATCTCTCTCTTCGAGGACCCGCTCCAGCGTTGCCTTTGCGAAATCGGCCTTTTCCCCCCACAATAACGGTCAATATGTTGAACTTGATGACTTTGGCGTCGCGACCAGTCCAATTGAAAACGAGGTGAATCATGATCATGATCGCTATGTCTCGCCGCCCAAACGTCGCAGCAAAATATACATCCCGCACACCTTGTGGACACGTCTTTTCGCTATCACGGGAATTATTGAGACACTAGGCACTGTTGGCATTGAGAGGTAAGTAGGCCTTTGCGAATCGATTGCACGTAAAATACCCAACCTAATATATTCTTTCTGTAGTTGGATCTTCATTAGCATCTCAAAACATTTCGACGACACTGGCGAGGAAGATGCGACGCTGCGCCTTCGGTCTTTCCTGGGTCTTTACATTTTCGCCTTATTTTATGAGCTTGCGCTGAGTTATGACGCGCTGCGACGAAAGAATACCTTCCAATTGATCGGCCTTTGCATTTGTAACCTGGGCTTGCTGGTCTATGGTATTATTCAGACGAAGGAGGTTAAGGATACGCTTTCCAGCCTGAGCGGGAGCACCGTCAACGCGGATCACCTTTGGGTGCAATACCGGATTGCCTTGATCCTAGTACCAGTGGTCCTAGGAGTTGGCACTATCTGTATGTCAGTTGTGACGTGGAAACTGCGCGCCGAATTCTCTTGGACTATTTACAAGAGTATCAGTGCAGATTTGCAGATGAGTTGGCGATATACGACATATCAGGTTGGTAGTACCTATAGCTTCTATACAGGATCTAGCTAACATCCATGGATTCCACAGGTATATATTGCGCTCTTGAAATTCGATTTCTTTTTCATTTTTGGTACGCAGCTTCAAGTGTTGCTCGCCCTGAAAGATTACACCGACGAGGAGTTCATCATCGAAGCGGCTATGATACCCATTGCCATCGTCAGCCTAATGCTAGCTGCTCGCTTCTGCCGACTAGAAAAGACTAAGTCTCTAGTCTGTGTGATGGTAAGAAAACAAGCTAATCTTGGGAGTTTCTAGCTCTTGTACTAACATATTGATAGCTTCTCTTTATTGTGCTCATTGCCACTTTTGTCCTCACTGTGTTGAGAGTGTTCAGCGGCAAAGATAGCGGCCAGTTGACCAGCTACCGAGTTTCCTTGACCTTATTCGCCACATTGGCAATCCTCCTTCTGGCCGGCACGATCGTTAATTCTGTGATGTGCATTTGTAATTTCAGAAAAGGACTCAAGGAGCACATCAACAATGCCAGAAAGCAGACGCCGGCTGCAGATCCGGAAAATGCCTGGACGGAAGACACGAAATCACGATTTGTATTAAATTAAAGATAGGATATGAACAAAATGTATTTATGGATGTACAAGATGCAAAGGGGTATGGTCAATTGGTTTATCGAATTTGGACTTCCTGAAATACTGAGCCCGGTGGCCAAGACCTGGTCTTCAGTAGCTCCAGTGCCCAGCATTGGCAGTCTCAATTATGGCTCAACTCACCTGGGCATACAGGGGCGTGAGGAAATTCTACAAGTCACGACGCAGTGGTTTCAATGGAGCCCTTCAATTAAGGATTTGAAGCTTAAAAGGCCCTACCGCTAGAATGGCCCACGGTTGAGCGCGGTTAGCTGATGACAGGTCGAAACTGATCCTGATCAGGCAAGGAGCTATGGCAGGAGACCCCCATCGATTCGAACAATTCCTAAATCCATAAAGGCATGCCAAACAGAACATATTAATCAAAACAATCAAACCACCTGGGCATATGATTCGTGAGCTTAATTGCTCACCATCCCAAAGCGGAAACATGCGGCAAAAAACTAGCTCCTCGCTTGACTCAATATTTAACCCACCAAACCTCGACTTCCCTTTCTTCTTCTCCAGGCGCCACCCCCATCAATGCTGCGTTTCTTTGCTACACACGACAGGGAAACCTGTCCTCGGCCCCGTCCGAGACCCTCGCAAATGAGAAATTCGGAGGAATCTTCAACTACCAACCCGCTTCCGATTCGCGCAAGTGAAAAGGAAGTCGGTACTGCCCGTGAGGGCCTGGTGTGAACTCACCTGCACTCGGCATCAGAAACATCGGGGCCACCCGGCTTTTGCCGGTCACTGGTTTTCCCCTTGGGAGAGTCGGTGCGAAGATTGTGCCTGATAACACTTTAGTGCAATACGCAGCATGCTGTTCTTTCCATGTGAGAGACGGTATAATTCGATTCCGATTATTCAGATGGGGGTGGCGCTTCCTCTTTTTTTCCTCTTGTGAGTTGCTTCTTTTTGTTTTACCCACTTACACTTGATTGTGTGCCTGGCTTTTGTGTGCTGGGTGTGGGAGTTGAGAGGAATGGGTTTTTTGGTGACTTTGCTAATTTGTGAGGTTTTGGCTTCGTTCTCGAAGTTTTAGGGGGTGTTAGATTATGGGCATTGGGAATTGTTACATTTGTTGAAGGGCTGGAGCAGATGGTTTGAAAAATCTGGTTGTGGAGGGATAATATGCTGCACTTTGCTGGCAAGCTTGGATCGTAACTAGATGGAGCTTTCAACTCAGTGATATACCATTTGGCTTTTGAATTTATTTTCTACTCTTCGATTTTTAAGATCATGTAATTGGAGTTTTGAGCTCAATATACCTTCGTTCGGCGCTCGAGTGGAATTGAAGAAATAATCATGTAATATTTGGAACTTTATCATCCCTTCTATTCCGGGATAAATTGCATAAAAACAAATCATTGCCTCCGTCAGGCGTCAGGTACTCTCCATTATCATAGGGGGGATCATTTTGTATTGCCTAATTAGGCCACTACTCCTCGTCGCCGATCTGTGAATGACAATTAGTATCGCCAGAAGTGAAGAAGACTAGGGTCGAAATACCTTAGGGGCCAGGTAGAACCGCAAGTGGCCACTGCCCAGACCGTACTCAACCAGGAGGGGCACCTCCTGCGATAGGTGCAGGGTTACCGAGGTGGACAGGTTGGAGGCCTTGCAGAAGTTGACAAGGTACTTAAGAGAGAAGGTCAAAGCGACGGGTTCGGACAAGGAGATGGAAGTGTTCTGCTCGGGCTTGTCGACGTTGGTGTGCTGACGGATGGTAACAGAGCCGTTACCAATGTCACCCTGGCAAGAAAACTTGACACCCTCCTTGGAAGCCTCAATCACGACTAGAAGGAATTAGCGGTGCAAATCAAGACCACACAGGACTATCTGCTTACCAGACTCAGACAGAGCGTTCAAATCACGGCAAATACGCTGGAACTCGCCTGAGGGCATCGTCACGGTGGCAGCATATTCGGTCTCGGGAATAGCCAGGTGCTCCTGGTCAATGTCCATAAGTTTGATATCATACTCGCTAAGACGGTCGGTCTCGGCACTCTCGAACATCAGGTTGACAGCATCGGGCGAGTCTTCGGCCTTCAAGGTGAGGATATCTTCATTTTGGGCGGCGCGCAGGACCTTGGTCAAGGAGCCAAGGTTGATACCAAGAGCGATATTACGGTCGCAGCGGTACGGCGAGAAACCCTCTGCACGGAGCAACATGGAGACCAGGGCAACGTGGGAGTTGTCCATGGCCTGGAGGGCGATGCCGGAGTCATTGCAGTCGAAGTTGCAGTCCTGGACAAGGTCCTTGATGGCGTCGACAACCTGTAGACGTCATCGTTAGAGGCCGATCAGGGGATAGGATATAATGTGGTTGCCGGCTGAGACGTACCCGCTTCAGGAGGGAAGCCTGCTCAAGTCGTGCTTCAAGCACTGATCCATTGAGTTAGTTTGGCTGTTTCGCGTACCGGTCAGAGGAAGGCATTGTGGACTCACTTTTGGCGAGGGGTATGTGGTATGTGTGGGTATAGAAAAAGTAGAGAGCTTATAGTAAAGCGAGATGGAAGAGTGTGAGATTAATGACGTGAGGAATTGGAAGAAGATATGGACACAAGTCTGATGAAGACAAAAGTAGGCAGAAGAGACAGGAATATAAAGAGAAATCGCGTTCGAGGGTTTAGAGTGGGGAAAGATACGCGTGAGCGCGTTTTTGGCGATATGCCCTAGTTAGGCTAGACTGCTGCCCCAGGCCACAAGGTGTCTTACTTACAGGGCTGCGAAGACTAAGGGTTCAGGACTGACATACACTCTTTGAATATTCTCTCATTGTTACTAGAATATTGATAGAAGCTATTTTGTACAAGGAAAAAAAGAAAAAGGAAATGGAAGGTGGAACAAGTAAAGAAAATCCAGCGAATGGTCGAGAACCCAGCTCCGGGTGATGATACAAATGAGAAAGGCTATGACCCCAAAAGACAAAAAAAAAGCACAAAGTCCCTGGAAACACCATTTTCGCCGGTTCCTTCTATTTACATTAGGGGTATCAAATATTCCACGGCAAACCTTCTTAAATACTGGTCACCCGTTTGGAATGGTTATTTCGCGGTCGTTGCTGAATGACCATCTCCAATTCCTTAAGCATGTTGGTATTGGCATCTACCTTCTCCCGAGCAATGGCTTGCCGGACTCGATCTTCTCGAACACGTGCCAGGCGCTCATCTCGAGTGAGTGAAGCGCGTTTATTTCTGGATGCGGGAAGGACGACTGCCTCGAAAATCTCCTCGTCGTCGAAGCTGTGTGTCAGGTCGGGTCGAGCCTCTCCAGTCAAGGCTTTAAGGGCGTCGGTGGGGCTGCCCTCAACCGCAGTGGTACCTCCAAGGCTAGGGGTGGGTGACATGGGTAGGATGGTGCTTGAGGGCCGTGTGTAGTCTGTAGCATGGAGACGATCTTGACTGTTCACAATCGCAGCTTTACCCACTTCCCATTCCTCCAGCAAGGATCGGATGTCACTGCCGATTAAGTCATATTGGGAGAGAAGATTTGATTCAAATTCACTGGTGTTGGAACGTTCGAGATTGGCGTTCGTCTCCTCGCCAATGATATGCATTTTGGCATGCAAGGCACGAACTCCTTGAGATAGGGAGTTCAATCTCCGAACTTGCGCGCGCAGGTGATCCTTGCTTGGGGAAGCGGAAGGCAACGGTGAAGGTGGAATTGGGGCATCCCCTGTAAACAATCAATTGAGGTCTTTGGATACATCGAAACAAACCCAGGGACACTTACTGTCTTCCTCATTCAAGATACTGGCCATCTTGCTCATACTCGTCCCGGTGACCGCCGCAAGCTCCCGCATCTCTTCCACGGCAGAGCTCCACCGCGCAATATCAGATCCACCGCCGTCAGCGCTGAGTGCTAATAAACAGCACAGTACACTTTTTCTTGCCGTATAAAGCTTCCCAAATAGATCTCTTAAGGAGCGTAGAGAGTACTGGTCATCCAAGTTCCGTTGTGACAATGTCAGCTCAATATTTTCGAGGTCCTCCAACGCAATATCATAAATATCGTAATATTTGGCTAGATTGGCATTATCCGTTAGAGGACGCAGCGTATTTTGAGATCGAACATATCGTTCGAGCATCGACCAAAAGCATTCTGAAACTGCTCTGCGAAGACGCAGACAACGGCGAGTCTGGACCTGATCTTCAAGTCGACTGATCGGGGGCAGGGGCGTGCTTCTATAAAGACGTTAGTTGGTTGTTGTCTTTTCAGGGTACAATGAAATCTCACATCCGATAGCCTCTGGAAACAAGCTCCACCTCCTGTATGAAAACCACCGAAGCCGAAGCAGCCGAATCGAAGCCCTGGGCGTTTCCAATAAATGTACCTGCAGCCTCGACCGCCTGGTGCCGCAGATATTTAAGCCATTGCCTCTTAGCGAAAGCATAAAATACGACCCCTAGAATGGGAACAAGTATTAAGAGGATCCCCACTCTTCTAGTATTGAATCCAGACCCAGTCCGTGACCGGCCCCAATGGAGCAACCAGGCGATGGAGAACGAAGTTGTGGCTGTGACAATGGCACCTTGAAGTCCGAATGTTGTAGAGAGGGATGGAAGATCTGATGGTTGCGAAGCTGACAATACATCTGCGGCAGAGGTGTAGGACGGTGCGCTGTGTTCGTTTAATAATTGCGATGCGACGATAACGTATCCAAATTGCTCTAGAAACCGCTCGTTATCTCCTCGTCCGATGCGTGCGTTCAAAGCGGACTGTAACACAGGTATCATTAGCAGTGCACTTCCCTCGGCGTTCAATCCCTAGCTTACAGAGCAAGCACCGTATAATTTCCCAACAACCGCACCCTGTCGAGTGTTTCGTAGGTCGAGAGGCTTGGGTAGCTTATTCCGAACTCGTTCCTGAAATCGCGAGGCACCCCGAGGAGCAAAGTCAGAGGAAGGATGATCCCCCTCGTCTTCCGTGTGTGTGTCACCAACTGGCCAGCTTTCCTCTGGTTCACCTTCTCCTGTGACCGATTTGTGAGTTTTGGCGACAAGCGAGTATGGCAGCGTATAACACGAACCTTGAAGGTAGTCGGCCAAAGGCGAATTCTCATAGACAAGTGACTCCATGACCGAAGATCATTCCGTGGCGCGAAGCGAGGAATGGGGGCGGATACGGGCGGTTTCACGAAATGGCCGAGGGAGGAGGTTGTGCGGGAAGGTGGTTATAAGGCTAGGCGCGCGCCTGTCATATCGTAGGAACACGGCACTCTCAGCAGTTGTAGTTATCGAAATCATACAAGGGGTGTTCCCAGGGTTCGAGACGAGAAACACGGCCACGTATCAAAGCAGTGGTCTGGGGAAAGGAGAGGTCACGAGAGTTTAATTTAAGGACCCACTCGCCTCCTTTTTACAATGACATCGGCATGCACATACATGCTAACCCGAGATAGTACCTGCATTTCGCGATTATGATTGGCCCGTTCTATATTAAAATGATATGCAAAACATTTGACCAGAATTGTGTCATTCACTGGGGCTATATGCACTTTTGGACCCTCCAACTTCGAACCTTGGCGCTTGCAACTAGACCACCTGAGCTGTCTCTAGTCTTATCACAGGTCCTAACGTGGAGCTGGGACTCGACTTCCTCTCCCATTCTGTCCCTTCATTAGCCAATGCCAATGGTCAAGGTGTTTTTAGCAGTAGTGGCCAGTCTTAGAATTATGCATATCTGTCAATGGTATATCTACTGGAGAAGTCTTCATCATTCTCCGTAGCTCGCCCGCTGCATCCGGTTTTACAATATCAAAGCGCTTTGTTTTCGTTAGATTGACATGATCAACGCGAGTTTCAGAGCTTTTTGAGCACCTGTGGCGCCAATATTGGATGCTCTAGCCTTAGCTTCCCTCAACCTAACCGAAGAATTTCCCTCTCTTGTAATATCCAGTGACAATGATGCTACTGTGATAATTGAATTGACCCCAACTATTGAGAGCGAGATCCAGGATCTAAGGTATCGGATTTTGAATATCATTTAAGATAAACTATCTCTACAATATCTTTCATCGAAGACCTCTGACAACTTGTGGCACACGAGACCAGGTTATCCACAATAAGAGTGCTTTTTAGTCTTCACCACCGCAGTACCCGCACCCTCGTCCGGGACTCCTCCTCGAGTACAGCCTGGTCGCCTGCGCGACTCGTTACCATAAGAGAAGTCGGGTGCAGAACAGTACCAAGCCCGTACAACGCTTCATCCCGTTTTGGATACAGAAAATGGTTACTAGGCTACGTCCAGCTTGTCAGACACGGGGAGCAGTCCACTTCATCATCAGGTCTGTCGTGCTCGACACTGCTGATGCCCAGGCCTGGGGATCTGGTGGACTGTGCCGAAAGTTTTTAGAGGCACCACCGCGATATGGCGCCCACTGCTGGATGTTCAGGCTCAGCGACCGTGAATTGGAAAATGATGCTCTTGATCTATACGCCCTAGTGGGCACAGCCACTAATAAGAGTCGCTGCCGTACTACCTAATGCGGTATTAGAGGATCTGAAGAGTCAACAGCTCCTGTCGTGGATCGATCACAGCGGCGAGTCTCATCACATGATGCTGCCCCGCGATGCTGACATAAGCAGCAGTTGCCCTAGACAACGCGTCCTGTCAATAGTAACCGTAATTAGATGTACATATCTCAGGTACAACGTGGACGCGAACGTGGCGCGTGGCATATCAATCTGCTTTCAGCGCGTTTTAAATATCTTTTGTTTTTTTCTGTCCTCACAATTACTGCTTGCCATATTCGACCACACCGCCTCTCTAGGACGACAAGCTGCAAGGGAGAAAGGCTATTGTTGTTGCCACTTCAATCACACAGCTTGCCCATGCCCATACCTATGCGCCGTTAACCATCCTATACTCAGCCGTGGGTCCAACGTCAAAATGTCTGGAATCCTCGGCAGCGCCATTACTCCATGTCCATCGAGATCGAGGCTCACCGGCTACGGAGATCACAGTGGCAGCGATACGTTTGACAGTTTGATTGATGGCGACACAGAATGCGAGAATACGGGACAGGTTGACTTTACTACCGAAATACGTATGCCGACAATGAGTGGGGTGCGGCCTCGACGTGCTAATCGAGCGGGCTCTGGGTTCCAAATCCATGACGAGGGAACAGAGAAGCCACCCGGGCCTGCTGAGAAAAGGCAGAGACCGAATGGAACAAGACTACCTTCCGACCGCAAATCGTCTTTGCTTGCCCAGCCTGCGCAAAGATTTCGCCCCAAGGTCGGATTTGCTCCAAAACAATCCCAGACTGTGAATGTGAAATATGAGACGGAAACCCAGCGAAGACCTGAACAACTCGACTCGAATCCTAAGGCGCAACCTTCCCGTAGGACGGACTCAGCCGCAAAAGAGATAACAGAAAGCCAACCCGATTATAGTCTCAAGAAAAATGTGCGACGGAACACTCTTTACATCCCACCAGGGGACGCAACCGTGCCTAGCGTATTCATGGGACTGTTCAGTCCTTTGAAGAAACAACCAGGTACGACTCAGTCGCAAATTATGCATGACACACAAATCAACTCCCTTGAGGAGCGGATGGCACATCGTCAGGCTAGAAAGTCATTGGCTGTAGGTGCACGAAAGGCCCCGCTGCAACCTAGTAGAAAAATTGCGCAGGAAGCTGCATCGAGAATGGATGTGGCCGGCAAAAACGGAGGAAAAGAGAATATACCTCCTGGCACGCTATTCGGCATTGAGAAAAAGACCGATGTTCAAACTAAGCCGCTCATCAAACCTCGAATCAGCACCATGTCATCCTCGAAACCAAATCCTACTTCTCACACTGTTCGATCGGCTGAACTTGCTCCAGTGGCTCCCAAACAGCCTCTTCCAAAGCGGAGTGTACTAGGAGAAAAGCAGAATAACACGAAGCGTCCCGCAGCGTCCAGTGGTCAAAATACGATGGCTAAGTCAAGAGGGCCACCCCAAAGTGCATCACTCAACGCTCGCGCGTCAGCACTTTCCGATCACCGCAGTCGGCCTGGGTCAAATCCTGCTTCAAGTCTTCATTCTGCAACTTTGAAACTAAAAGAGCTCAATCATGAACATCCAAAGCTGAGCGAGGATATACAAAAGCCTGCACTTTATGAAGATGATTGGCTCTCACACCAGGAGACTGTGATTACTCAATTGGTCAATGCTTTGTTCGAGTGCTCTATTAGTGATTTGACTTTTCATGATCAAGATTGCCTTCGGTTGGAGCTTCTCGAAATTTACCATACCGATAACTTTATTCAGCTGTACAAAAGGCTACAAGCTTCATTGTCTTGCGGTGCCCTCAGCATTCCCAAGCATGCGCTTGCTCGCAGCAGCCGCCTCAGACAAGACGTTGGCCTTCGCCGCAAGTTCCTTGATATCTGGATTCACTCATACGATCTCCATATCTTGGCTGCTGCTGCGGAGACAGTCATTGGTCGAAAGGTCTGCAATGATATTGACTTGTCCCAGAAAACGATGAAAGCTGAGACTAGTGCAAGGTGCACAAAAGCCATTGTTCGCAAGCTGGAAAACTTCCTGTGCACTTTCCTGCTGCGCAACGAAGACCTCGATCAGTCCTTGCTGCATGCCAACGAGATCTCTACAGAAGCCCAGGCCAAGGTATATCGTCGCACTGTGCTCCGATGCATCATGCTGGTTGCCCTCCTAGACCACGCAAAACAGTTTTTGGGCCCCAGTCTTCCCCGTCGGCTTTTTGTGCCCTCTTCTCCTCTGAAATCTTCAATTGATGTACTTCAAGCACTGACACGAGTGTTGTTGCCATCTTGTGGTGATATTTCGAAGCCATTGAGTCACCTCGGTTGCCACTTATCTTACCATCAACATCAGCTACTTGAGTACAACTACCAAATGGACAATATTGCTGTGGATCTCAGAGATGGCATCCGGCTTACTCGAATCGTCGAACTACTTTTCATTACTCCGAGCCACACTCGACGTGACACTGGAGATCAGACTGGAGTTACCTTGAACACTGGTGAGGCTCTTTCTCTACTTGGCGACCATGCAGATGTTCCTCTTTCGAAGCATCTCAAGTACCCAAGTATCAGCCGCGCAGCCAAAGTCTTCAATGTCCAGCTAGCTCTATCTGCTTTGGAATCTGTCAAGGGCTCCAGTGCAATCGTGGACAAGGTGCGAGCTGAGGATATAGTTGACGGGTATCGTGAAAAGACAATTGCTCTCTTGTGGGCTCTCGTTGGAAAACGGGGCTTATCAGGTCTTGTCGATTGGGATGATATCAATACAGAGATTTCCCGGTTAAGACGCAAAGCTCTTTTGCAGTTTGGCCAGAAGCAAGTAAAATACGAAGCTTGGTTTACTGGTGAACAATTCAGTGATGTTGATCAACATGAACAACTTCTTCGTCACTGGGCTGGGCTCTTGGCTGGTCTGAAAGGTCTTCAGATTAACAACTTGTCAACCAGTTTTGCCAATGAACGGATCTACGAAAGTATTGTCGACGAATATGAGCCCTACATTACCGGCAACCAAGACTTGCAAGCAAACGGGCGATCTGCTTCCATGTCTTTGGAGAAACGCCTCGGGCTACTAGGCTGCAGCTCGCAATTTGCACACCTTGTCTCTCCTAGTTCAAGATCTTCGCATGTGCTCAGTCCAGACTTTACACTCGGTGCACTCACCTTTCTTTGCTCCCGACTGCTTTCGAGCTCAAAGCGTGCTCGCGCCGCGACTGTCTTGCAACGTGCATGGCGAGCACGCCTGGAAGACCGCGCTTGCGTACGCCGCATGATGGCAAAGAACCTTGCCACGCATTGCGCCGCCGTTGTCCAGACCAGAAATAAAATCATGTGGGCAAAGGATGTGATCATTCGATGGTGGAGACAGGTCAGATCTCGAAACCTGGAAACTGCCGCGCGGCCTCGGTCTTTGCACAAGTCTGGTCATAGGATCGCCGGCGTCCTGTGATATCAGATCTTCTTCCCCACATATTAACCTCGCCACCTGACGACGATCACGGTGAACTCGCCCATTGACATCATGATATTACGAAAGCGTTGAAACGTTTATTTCCTTTTTCTTGTGCATTATTCATGGAGTTTGTTGTGTATGATCAGACACCGGGGTGTTCGGTTTTGAGTCGATCATTTTATTTCATTGCAGCACAATACCCTCGTTGTACACTGTACAGCCCGTCATTCGTTTACTGACTTTCCATGAGTTCTTATCCCAAGTATGAATCAATTATCATTGCAACTTTTCTGGAGCACTTAGAATATGTGTAGGCAAAGAAACTTGATTCAAACTTTGACATTGATTGATTGGTAGTGGTATATGAAAATATAATGTTTTCTGGTAACCTCGGCCGCGTAGTAAAGTAAACTCGATCAACAAGCTTAGTAACCGCAGGACTACTGTAGGTAGACGGTCTGACAATCCCAATTCCAGTCATATGATTTCGTGTTGTATAGGTGTTTGTCATATTTACCAGCCGCCGCCGCCGTGCTATGAGGATATTAGCAATTGTTAAAATCATTGCCAGTTCAAACTGAATACATACGTGGCCGCCAGGGCCGCCAGGGCCTCCGTGTCCTCCTGGACCACCGCCGTGGCCACCGCCAGGTCCCCCAGGACCTCCATGAGGACCACCTTCATGGGGACCACCAGGACCACCGGGGCCTCCGGGACCTCCTTGGGGACCACCGTGGGGACCACCCTCATGAGGACCACCATGGCCTCCGGGGCCTCCTTGGGGACCACCAGGACCTCCGTGAGGACCACCCTCATGACCTCCGGGGCCTCCCTGGGAACCGCCAGGGCCTCCGTGGTGATCGTGGTGGTGGCTGAAAAGACCCATTGTGATATGTATGTATGTGTATGGAGCGGTCGTGGATAGATAGGTAGATAGAAGGAGAATTCGATTGATGTAATGAAGCTTGGAGATGATAGCTACCAGAATGCGGGGTGTAGCTCGTTTATATACGAGTGCCAAGATTCCAAGGATAAGTCTCAGAGCTTCAATGGCTACGTGGATGAATCATGATCGTCATGATCCTCTTTCTAAAACGTACCCTGCCCAGGTGGCTCCTGGGTGGCGTGGTTACTCAAATCGAGGATGTGCCAAGCCACACTTAGCACTCTTTCAGATTAGATGTTCAATAGGCTTGATGCCAAGAGCCCCTGGTGCTGAAAAGGCAATGGTTGCCTAGACTGAGCAGACTATTTAGGCGGAGTTTTTGGACTTGGACTTCGGGCTATATGTTTTGCCTGTCTTTTATGTGGCTATTGCAGATCATCAATTTTAAGGTTAAACGGCAACCCTAACCTCTACACCCGCTGGAAGACCACGCAATTCTCCTAGAATAACAAAAAAACTTCATTCAAACGTGAAGCCTACACATGATCATAAAATCATAATCCCCCGGTGTGCAATTATGTCCACGCAAGCGCCCAACAAGCGGCGAATCCGGCACAGCCCTACCCGCTAAATTAGCTTGGCACTCCACTCGATATCAAACGTGGCGCTGACTTACGCGTCCCGAATAGCCACAGAAACTATCGAAACTAGTGATGCCATTGACGACAAAATAATATTCCGGCAAGTCCTCATACCTATGTACAATAATGCAATTGAGGCTGCCTAGGGTGTAGATTTAAAAGAATCGTTGAAAACCCCAATCTCTTTGTCTGTGATATTCTCCCCAGAAAGATCTTCTTCACATCTCCACAATGTTTGGAACAATTAAGAGCTGGTTCCAGGGGGCTGAACCTATTAATGAGAATAAGTGGGACGCCAACACCGTCACCATGCAACAACCCAATAGCCCTGCTGCTCCTTCAATGAGCCAGACCGTCACTGAACAGCCGGTACGCTTATCTCTATGCTAATCTCTGATATCATCGATCGACAATCGTGGAACTAATTTAGATCACAGGGTGGCGTTGAATCCATGGGTGTGCACATGCGGGGTGGTGATGGTGGCGATATTTGCTGTGGAATGTGAGTACCAGAAATCCCCCGATGCCAAATCTACATGAGGTTCTGATGTGAATTTGTATAGCTGTGCTGGTCTCTGCTGCTTTGAGTGCTGTGAGTGCTGCTGCGGAGACTGTTGTGGTCCGGATGGACCTCCAGGAGGTCCCCCTGGCGGACCCGGTTTCGGCCCTGGCCCTTGATCGAGAGGCTTGTTTAGATATAACGCTTGAAGATGTATTTTTACTGTTCAATTACCCTTATAGATGTGCTTGTATCATTCCTCACTTTAGAAAATTCTCGGAGTATTCAAGGTTCCAATTGTAACTTGATATTGCTGTCAGTCCCTAGGGTCGACCACCAGACTCTCGGGTTTGTAAAAGTGCAATACTTACTGCGCGAGAATAGTAATCTTGCTTTTTCTCACCTACAGAGCATCATTCTGTCTGTGCTTCGATACTAAACACTTGGTCACTATCTTGACCCAAAAAATCAAAGTTCTCCGGCTGCCTAGGCGCGAGACTGGCGTCTTTGTCTGGGTTGACCTTTTCTACAGCTGGTGATGTCTTATACCCGAGCAACGCCCTACTTCATGAAAAAAGGGTCATTCAGTACCCTTTCCACACAACTCTCTTCAATGCCAACATGAATTTCCCTCCTGCCATTCGGCAATACCGGTATCACTACCTAACTTTTCCGTTTATACAGCCAACGGATGGTGTTTGCACGACTTCAATGCGACCCAGCAATGAGCCCCAATTTCAAAGTTGATCCATGAGCTCAGACTACAATTGAATCCTGGAAAATCAAGGAAAGCCGTCAGATATGGCCGATCAATACTTCAAAACGCTGACATTGAAAATTTTTTAATGTTCATTTCCCACCATCCTGACGACACAGAGCCTAAATAACGACAGTTCATACCTGTAGACTACTCGAAGAGCTGCAGATTTTGGACAGGACTGTTCTTCTTGAGATTTGCCTATTCGAAATTGAGTGAGAATTCTGCAGCTCTATTGACGTAGAATCTTAAGATAATGGCTAGTCGTTTCATTTGCTGCGTTTTCAAAGTCGGAACTAGCCTAGGCTGGTGTCGAATTGAATGAGAAGCCAAACGAAAAATATCATATCAATAAAGGACTAGGCCAAGGGAATTCCTCCATTGGAAGCTACAAGAGTGCCTGAAATGAACTTGCCCTTCATAATGTAGATGTATGCCTCTGCCACATCTCCAGGGCTGCCGACTGTTCCAGTCAGAGTGTTATCCCGAAACCTCTTCAGAACTACTACATCGAGGTTGTTCCCAAATCCGTATGAACTACTCCGGGTGATATATTATTCACACGTAGGGGCTTGAGGTCCTGCGCTAAGCCTCACACAAGACCCTCAATTGCAGTTGCATTGTCAGCCATGACAGACAACCAGCGCGAGGCTTACGAGCATTCGACCCACCAGTCACCTTGAAACAGTTTTCGGGCGATCTATTCATGTACTGGGGGAGACTCTTGGTCAGGATCAGTGGTGCAAGATGAGTAATTAAAAATATAATAACTAATTCGATGCTGTATACATCAGTTGGATCAACATATATAATATGAAAATAAGATTTTACTAGATTCTTTCAGATAAAGAACAATAGTTATTATAAGACATATCAACTTAGTAAGATAGAAGATACCTATGTTAAGATTTCCAACTTATTTGTTTTTGATAAGCGTCCATAACGTCCATAACCTTCTTGGTATGACCTTCGAGTTATGTATATATTTGCTGGTCTATTCCGTATTTCTATCTTTGGTAATTCTCAAGCAACCCTTTCCACACTTTGTGTCTACGCAGAAGTTCTATCCAACCCTTTAAAGTTGATTTGATCTGAAGTTGAGTGGAGATTTCAGGTGTCAATGGAACATATCTTAATTCAAGCATTCCTCGATTCTTCATCTTGAACGAGGCGAATTTCATCAAGAAGCTCTCGTCCACCGCCGTCCTCAAGGCATTTTGCAAGCAACTTCCCAAGCGCCTCCGCTTCATCATCACTGGTCACATTGGCAACTGCGCTCTTCGAAATTTGGCTTGAGCCATGGGGATGAATGATGGTGCCTTCAAGGCGCAGACGACCACCGGGGACAGATTTGCTATCTTCGTTCTCCATTGTGGAGCTGACGGCAACCGGAGAGGAGCATCCTCCCTGCAGACTACGCAGTAGTGATCGCTCTGCCACACAGATCCACCGCGTGAGAGGATCTTCAATGGCTTGCACGACCTTCAAGGTCTGAGTGTCATTTTCACGAATCTCGATTCCCAAAGCCCCTTGCCCGATGGCGTAGGGAAACTCGGATGGAGATAAGCGCTTCGTGATGCGACTAGTCATGTTGATCCGGTTCAAGCCAGCCGTTGCGATGATGATAGCTGAGAAAGGCCCCTCTGGGTCATCGAGCTTCCGCAGTCGAGTATCACTGAGAAATTCAGCTTATTTGGTTTACAATGGAATGGGAGTTCATATCAAGGGAGAGGTTCTCACATGTTTCCGCGACATTCCTGCACTTTCAAATGAGGATACTTCCATCTGAGCAGTGCCTTCCGTCGAGTGGAGCTAGTACCAACCACCGACCCAGCAGGCAAATGGTCTAGATCGGTATACCGTTCTCGCAAGCTCTCCTTGACCACAAGGGCATCGGTAGGGTCTTCGCGGTGGACAATCGCACCTAGGACACAATCCTTTGGGAGCTGTGTCGGCATGTCCTTCAGGCAATTCACGAGCAGGTCTAGCTCGCCAGCGCAGAGCTTGGCCTCCATCTCCTCCGTCCAAATATTCTTGGCCGCATCGGAGGGGCCCCCGAATTTCAGGAACGGACTAGTTTTATCCACGTCTCCGCTGACGGAGATGGTTTGCCATGGAAATTTAATCTGGGGGTGAGCACTGGACAAGGCTTTGGAGACGCGCTCGGCTTGAACCAATGCTAATTTGGAATTCCGAGTTCCAATTATTAGCTCTTGGCCACGTGAAGTACTGTCTGTCATGGTTGAAGTGTCGGAGTCGAGTATGTGTATTTCAAGTGGTGGGAAAGGTGGGAGGGGAGGTCTGTGGATGGCGCTATCGCTGTTAGCCTAACTGATTACTATCGGTAAGACCCTGGCGATGGGCCCACACCTTGACTCAGTGCTAGGACTTAGTGGTCCTTCATTTCGAGGATGTGAAAACGAGCCCCTTGCAATCGCTTCGACACCTTCTACTGAAGCGATTTTCTCTGGACCGTACCCAAGCAACTACCCCACACAACCGAGCAAAATTGATGCTATGTCACAAGCAAGCACCTTCCAATAGAGATCTCACGATCCTTGTTTCATTTGTTCCACATATTTGGTTCGCGAACGATGAAAAATGACTCTCCAAGATGCCACGTGGCTTGATCAAAGCAATGTATCTTGGACTACGATTTCTACTTGAGGAGTATAGTAGAATTTTTACCTGAGATTGTTGATCGAGTTCATTCGGCATCGATTGTTTCGAGCTCTAGTGAAGGCACATGATAGTAGGGGGCTCAGAGGACGGTGAAATGCTAGATCTATCTTAACTTTGACCAACATCGTTCTCTCAAGAGTGGCTAGTGAGAGGGAGAGTGGTTCCTCATCAACACAAACAACACTTCTGTCAGTAAGATATGCACGTAAGCATCTGATTCGTCCAAGTCTGAAACGCTTCCTTTCATGTCCACGAGGAATGTCCAGTGGAATGTCGGGGCTGAGAATTGAGTTTCAATGGAAGGGATATAGTTCATGCTTCTTTCAAGTGTGATCGTTCACACTTGCTATGTTTCCTTTAGCTGACATTATTGATTTGATGACAGCCGCATGTCTGCACGTAGATTACAGCACATCCTAGTTAGTGAGATGGCACCCTTGCAAGGAGCCAATGACGTTCTGGCTCACCATGAGAAGTTGCTTAGGAGTGATCAACTTTCCAGTATGCTGCTTCGACAATTGAAGTTGGCAAATGTGAGAGGATATGCCATATTTGTTGTTACTGGTTCTAACCTCCAAAGCTACCTTATGCCGTTTCAAAATCCCAATCAGCCCTCTTCTTCTGTCAAATGTGGAAAGTATTATCACCGGTAAAGGCGGAGGTCCCACTGGACGAGATTATAGATAAATGTACCGGTCGTATTGAAGAAGCGAGTAGCGTACGATCTGAGCAGGATGCACTCAATGTAATCAACTCATGCTTGAGCCTAAAAAGCCAAGCAGAATCATGGAAATTTCAACCCAATGCAACATATTCCAATGCTCTTTACACGTTAGCCTCCGGTAAGTTCGAGTTCTTGTTTGTTGATATAGGAGACGCTTACATGCTCAATTGGAATGCACTGCTGATGATATACTCTATTTAATGTGGATTTGAGCGACGAAAAAACATTTCAACAGAATCATCAAATTCGAACAGTCCCGGGCGTGGCGATATCAATAATGAGACAATCATTGGCACGTTCTTCAACGATGCCCTGTTTTACGCTGACCAGATCTGCCGTGGCGTTGGCTTCTTTGTCCAACCACACATGCACATTCTCGGTGGGCATACTGTGCTCCTCTGCTCCTCCCTATGACGATATTCTCTCAGTTTTTCCACGAAAATGGATTGCATGGTCGGTACGAGTGGTGTCAGGGCCTTTTTACTAGTCTGGAAACTATGAGATTGAGGATAACCGGTCTTTTGCGAGCCACTCCGTGGCTCGCATGTAAGTCTGTTGATCCTCAGAGAATCGAGGAGGGGGTCTCCGTAGAGATTAGTGTTATAGTACTCCCGAATGACAGCAGTGATCAGCTTCGATACTCACATAATTTCACATAATTGATTGAGATGGCCATCTAGATATATATCTAGGTCGCGATATGGTTTACATACGTCCCAGTGATTGCGAGAGTTCTAGTAATGCACTCTGATGGGCGTGAAGCCCCAATCCTATCACAGATCCCATCAGGACGGGGGACATATCTTCTGATGAATGTGATCAACACGGCCACAATGAGAAACGGAATCGATCGAGCTCACCTGCGAAAGGAAACCACTCACGCGAGGCCAAGGCTCATACTCGAAGAACTACCTCAGAAAAACTACTACGCCCATCAAGCCGAGCACCAGCTCTGACGAGCTCATACAAAAAGCCAAGGCTCCTGACGCCATTATTCACGAGCCTTACGAGTGCAGTCCAAGCGGGCCAATATGGATCTTCGAAATTATCCTACTGCCGAGCTGTTCCAGTCACTACTCGAGCTATCCTAGCTCTTATGATCGGGTTGCCCTTATTTGTACAAGATTATCGAGAAAACAACCAGTGTCTTTCTATTTGCGATCGGACGGCGATTATCGTCTGTGTCACTGTGTGGCAAAGGAGAAGTCATCCAGTCGATACAATTCCTAAGTCCCAATCAGGGGACGAGAGGGAATCTTAGGATGGTTCTGGATAATAAAAAGCAGCGGTGAGATGTGGTTTCATCTGTGCGGAAAATATAGATGCAATAATAGATCGGTATATTAATTGTGACATCAGCGGGAAGGCTCATAACACTCCCTGCATACATATCCCGGGCCTAAATGCCTCACCCTTTCCCCAGACCGCTGAAACGTACCTATCCGAGCCCTATGTAAATCGTCATGCTAGGAGGCCCCAACACGCCAAGGATATGAGTGGTAGCCAGGCGAATAAGAAAACGACGGATCCAAGACCACTGGTTGAACGCCGTATTCAGTATTCCGACCCAAGGCTACACAATCAGTTCCTTCTGCGAGACTCCTGCACCAGACTGGAGCGTTTCAAGATGTAAAAAATGACAATTGTCGAGATCTGATATGCTCGATAGATACTAATATCCACAAATGGTAGCGACGACCAAATACAGTAAAGCCCCACGCCATGACTACGTTTCAGCCCCATCGGTGGCCACTTCACTACGGAAACGGAAATGATATCACACATGATATCACGGGTTTCTTCTTCACGCCACCACAACTAGAATGCACTGTATCCGACATCCTAGCTGATCATCGTTGCTCAGGCGATAACGATAACGTGGTCCCACATATTATTCAGATGACGGGGCTTCCAGAATAAGAACAGATGACATCTGCCCCCACCATGGTCGTGATGGCGATCATCACCCCTGTGCGCGTACGTGATGAAGATCCATAACTAATACCACTCCGGTCTCATCCGATGTATGATGGTGAGTGTACACTGTTTGTGCTGCTGCGGGGATACGGCGTTGTTATTGGTAAATGGTTGCCGTCCCGGTGACCAGGTGGCTGCGGGCCAACCATGTTTTGTTCCCAGGTCGATCAGCGATCTGTGTTTAAGATGTTCATGTTCCAAGGGCCAAAGCCCAATTTTACTTGTTTGATGGTTGACTGGTTCCTTGTGTACCGGTACATGCCCAAGTGGGTGTCATGTTACATGTATCAGGGTTCCAAGTCTTTTAAACTTTTGTTTCGGCTTGATCGTGCCGAGCTTGTATCCATGGATGGAGTTAGTGCCAATAAAGACTGTCGCAAGGATTCGATGCAGGGATTGAATATTAACATGGAAAATATATCCGTAACCTTTCATAGAGCTGTACTCAGGCTGGGCGCAAGAACCGGCATTGCCGACCATCGAAGCTGAATCGAAGCTGAAAACCTATTCTCAGCGTCGAGGTGTTTATACCTGTTGGGGCACATCTACACATCTAGGCAGCCCGCCTGAGCACCGGTGCCGGTGCCATTATTGGTGCGATGAACACAACGCAGACGTAAACATCGGGCGCAGCACCCCAAAGCTGCAGCGATCCTGCGCAGATCGAGGGCTAAAATCCGCGATCACTCCCAAGACAAAGCTGCAGCAATCCGTATCCCGTTACAAGAACGGGGTAGCATCTGGAGCAGTACGGAGTAAGCAGAGCAGCACAAACCCGACCGCAATATATTACTCGATCGGTCCGTACCGAATCCTAGCCAAGCCTGTAACCTGTAGCCGGTCGATCCCGGGGGCCGAGTATCATCGCACTGCCAATGCAAGGCTTCAACTCAATCCGCCCGATTTCTTCTCTCACCGGAGTTGTGTAACATCTTGGCGCCAACCCCAATAGTCCTCATGATAGTTCCTGTGCTGCCAAGACCCTCCCTTTTATGCGCGCAGGCAGAGTCGGATCGCCCATGATCGCCCTTGGCGCAGGACCATTTGCAATCGCACTGCCGAGCCTCAGGCGCGGTCGTGGATGTCGTTGAATTGGATTGAGGCATTGCTTGGCGCCGAGAGTGTCCTTACGTAGGTTCAAATTGGGCATTTGCACATTGCCCCTGAAACTTTCTCGAGGAGTAAATTAGGAGTCGATCTGGAAGGATCAAGGGGGTAAGCCAAGACCAAGAACTGGTGTTCGTCCACTTTCTTCACCCCAGAATATCATTGTGGAGCTGGAGCTGGAGCTTATTGTTCCACCCCCTCGTTTTTGTGGTTTTGTTGTTCTTTTTTGGTTCGGGGTTGGGTCTGACACCACCCTCGAATTGCGTCGGGCGTATTCTGAAGCATGCTTTGTTTGGCTGCAGAGGGCTTGGCGGTCCGAATTATTGATTCGCGCCAAGCATTGTTCCGGAAATTTGTTCGGCCTGTTTCTGTGTTGTCCTTCTCCTGACTTCTTGGCTTGATTTGAGTCCCTTTATGATCGAAGCATGGGTGTTTGTTTCAGGGAATTCTTGGCAGATGTTCCAAAATTGGATTGGTTCAAGATACGTTAGTGTGAACTGGGTATTTTATCGTGGAATGGTGTGTCATTTCGCTGACTGTACTCTGTAAGATAGAGTCCGGGAAGATTTCACGATCCAGCTTACATGTACATAGGCTGTACCTTTGACAGGTACAACCCCCCCGAGGTATAGGTATCATTCGCCACGGTAATCCTGTGGCAATGGCGATGGTTAAGAGCGAGTATATGCTCGTGTTGGTACCTGAGAAAATATTTGGAATAGTGAATTCAACGTTTCAACCGAATCCCAATAATAGATCGTGGTTACGTGGAAAAAGGTTGGCTTATGGCCACTGCAGCGCCGAGAAAGCGGGCAATTTGGATCCCGTGTCTCGCGAATGGTATCACCAACACAAGTACGAGCATTGGACTTTTGCCTTTCCGAGACTAAGTTGGGGTATTGGAGAAACTAGGAACAGCCAACTCCGCGATAACGATAAAGGAATTGGCAATCTCATTGCAAATCAAGGACTGAGTCACGGAAAAACAGAAAGTCCCTAAGCCAAGCGAGACAACCGCTGTCAAATGATGATTGCCATGGAACTAAGGTCAAGCCCAGGTAGCTCAGCTTCAACCCAGCTTAACCGCATCCGGTGCTCGTCGCAGCGTAAGTGGAGAGCGGTTAAAATGCCTCATATTAAAGAACGCCAATCCATGACCACAGTAGTGTGCCAATTCAACCGCACGATCCCCAAATACGTTCAAAGTTCGTCTCCACTTCCCCGGTTGATGCTGCCGGTCAACAGTTGCCTTGTTTATGCAGTATGCTCTCAGGATCGCGGACATCGTTCCGCTCGTGCCAGTCCTACAGTAGCGCCGCCTCCATCTGCACAGTTCACACCTTATTGCGCTACACAGCAGGTTTAGTCTACGTTGTGGATCCGTAGGACGGCTTGCTCGTCGAATCCCCCATGAGCGGATGCTGAATACGGGCCCGTTCTGGTGCCACGAGAGCAACACTGGGGCATTGTGAATCCACGACTTCAGGTGGGGGGCGATAGGAGATCTTGGCCCCTGCTTTTTTTCGTTGGTGGCTTTTTCTTCCCTTTGACGGAGTCACCGGGTGAATACAGAATGGAAATCGCCCGAGTAAGATTGTTCCCAAATTATGTGGAGTGCATTACGGGATTGTTATGTACTGCTAATGTACTGTACCCCGGCATACTAACCGAGTGCGATGTAGCAAAACAAAATGACCGGCTTCAGCCCGCCGGACCTACTCCAATGAGAATGGCTCACACGCGGAGGAGCAAAAGGCCCGATCGACAATCTCGTGGCACGGTCCTAAATTCACCGGACCCTCAAGTGATTTGATTGCCCTCGCGAAACCTTCTACTCCAAAATGGAGTTGAGAAATCGCATCGCAACGTGGGCCATCCCAGTGGCATCGCCGTTCCGTTGACAACAAGCTTTCGTCCGTGATTCCAAACCTGTCTGCACGGCTGCACCTTTTAACCGGTTCATGGGCGAAACCCTGCAGCTCAGTGAGCTTCCGCTCTGCTTACAGGGGGGATGCCTGCTCGCGACCGATGTGCTGCAGTGTGGGGTTACGATCCGAGGATTCGCGAAGCTTGTCCGATCTAACCGCTGAAGTGTTTTGAAACTGCAGCTTTTTTTATCCTTTGATCCAGGGTTTTGGTTCATATTTACCACTTTTGGCTTCCCTGCATTATGACTGGCTTGGAAGCAATACGGATGATTCTTTTAGTTTCTCTCGAGTACTTATCCATTGTTACTGGGACCACAGGTTTTCGGGGAGGACCCGAGTTGCAATCACGACTGACCGCTCCTCTCTACCCAACGTGGGCGTCCTTGTCAGCAAGCTCCTTTGCAAGCGATTGGTGCCTTTGCCCAATAAAACAAAGACTATGAGTGGTCTTTTTCCAAGGTCCATGTCTTGCTTCCTTTGAAGAATTTTTCGCCCTACAGTGGGGATTGAGGTACACGTTTCACCGCAGGTCGGGGGTACAGGGTAGGATAAGGAGGGTTTTAGTTTTCCTTTTGACCACGCGACTTCTTATGCCAGTTAGGTAGCTGGTACATAGGTACCTGAAGCCGAAGTACCTTGCCTCTTGAGCATGACGAATCCACACCAAAATTAGATCAATGCCCTTGGGTTGGGCTCATAGTAGATCAATAAAGAATGATGCTGCCTTTCACAAACTTGGCAAGCTTTGGGCAGGCAGTGCATTGAGGATCATACACTTTGAGCACAGCCGTATACCAAGACTGATCTACCCGGACGTACAGGAGGTACAACTTTGCTATGTGGGGGATGTGCCAGATTGAGGGTCAAGTATGTGCTGTACATCCATCAAAGGATAGGATTACTCTGTAGGGGAGACTAGTCTCCATATGTTCACAGTTGAGATCCACTCTGAACCCGACCACCCGTTCATTTACGTCAGAAGGTCCTGGAAGTGTATCCGCATCGAGGGTGCAAAGACTACCCCGGACAATTTCCATATTGAAATCCAAGCATTCCAATGGACTAAAGCAGCTGCCAAGTGGTGAGAGAGATTTGCACAAAGCGCGCAGAGCGCGTTTATAGTTTGAGAAGTGTTTGGCTTCGGTTCAGGTTCGTTACTATTACCTGGTTGGTTCTAGTGGACACGGTGCAGACTAGGGCCACTCTAGGGTTTGACCAAGAGGGTTCAGGCACAGGTACGAGGACTGCGATACCGGTCGATACGGATCGGCGCCGAGAGCGGTAGCTGTGACGTGGGGATAATGATACCGTACGTGGATGAAACCATCGATTTCAAGGGTTGACTGTTTTTGGGGGAATTTGGTATGGGAGAATTTGGTGACTGAGCGAGGATTAATAGGAATCATAACCAAGAGTAAGATCATATAATATTTGATACTATTTCTCATTGAAATCTCATCTATAGGTTGAATGTACGATGTAGTATTGGGTATGATACGGTAAGACGGCAGGTTTTTTTGAGCGGTGGCCCTGATCTGGTTTAGTAGCAACAAAATCCCTCATAGTGATCCAAGCGGTTGACCAGCAACTCGACACACAATAGTCAGCCGCTCCACCTTTAGACGGAAATCAAAATGAAACCAATTGTGCCATGGATGAAAGAATTAAAGGCGTCTATAGAGAAATTTGAAACTTGTTCAAACGGTGAAAAATCTGAGAAACACTGTATTATTTTGTACTAGGTAATAATTATCATCCTGTTACTGTAGTGACTATGTACTATTTCGAGGTGCAGGTAACTGCATAGGTGGGTCTGTAGAATCAGAGTGGAAGGAGTGTACAGTGGCGGGAAAGGGAAAAAGAAATTTTCTTTTTTCGATTTTTCGATTTTTTTTTTTAATAAAAAACCCAAATTCACCACGCTAAGCCTAAGCCGATCGTGCCGCCCATCGTCACTCTCCCACCCTACTTCATTCCCCCCTCTCCACTACTATACTATACTCATTTTCTCTCTATTCTCCCCTCTTCATTTTACTCTTCTTTCTCTTTTCATCCAACATTGCTTTTTCCTATCCATATCCAACGCGCCCAACGCCGGAGGAAATCTCTTGGCGAGCCAAGGACTATTCGTGCCACCCAACAGCATCATTGAAGTCGCTATTCGTGAAAGACAATTATCGTTCTTGGCAGTTTGATCTTCGTCACCTACTACATCTGACGCCTCCAAACATGCCCTGTATATCATGACAAGCTGTCCTGCGTGGGACTGAGTGTTCTTCTCCATCCGGGTCGATCTTACTTCGTGATCGATATCGAGAGAGCATCTAACTTTTGAATTATCTGAATTTTTCTGGTGAACCTCGCGCCACTGCGGACACTGCTTCGAATGTTTTCTCTGTCTTGGGATTGATACGACATGGCTCAATCTCGTGGAGATCGATTCTCTTTTCACAACCTCTTGAAGATGCTTCTTACGCCCAGCTCTTCCAACCAAGCGACACACGACGAGGCCGACATGGCTGAGGACTTGGACGAACCCCCTGATCAACATGTTTTGCACGCCACCCCGATGAACGACGATATGGTCTTGACTCGGCCGACCATGGTCGACCGGAAGGAATCGCTGCTCACTCGCGCCTTGAAGAGCAGCCCGGAAATGTCGCCTCTCGAACAGCACCATCCCTCTATGCACGACTCTGCCTACTCCTATCGCTCCTACCCGCACAGCAACATCTCTGGAATCTCCACCGCCGAGCTGACCAGCGATGGCGGTCTCACAAGCCCCTCCCTCTCCAACACCCCGAGTCCGCCACTCCCTCCGCAGATGATGGGCAAAGCTGCCATGGCCGGCAAGAAGGATTTAAATCAACGCGTAAAGGTGGTCGATACGAACGAGAACTCCGTCGAGGCCAACCTTGGACGTAAGCGTTGTATCAGCTTCGCCTGTGGCAAGGCTAAGGAGTCAGCCCAGCCTAAGGCTCCCTCGCCTGAGAAGACACAGACGACTACGCCTCAATCTCAAAAAGATGCGCTTGAACCTCCGAAGCGCAAATCGACTCTTACTTTCGTCTGCCCGAGCCGTCAGTCTGTTATTCAAAGAGAACGCTCGCCGGGTCGCAAGTCTGCGTTCCGGAACCGATGCCGTGGTTCTCCTGCCCCTGCTATTCGCAAGACTTCTTCCTCCGCCCAGGCCTCTGAAGAGATTAAGGCGCCTGCGACGGATTCGCCCAAGGGTGTTCCGACAAGCGGTCTAGGCAAGTTTGAGGAATCTGAGGCCACTCGGTTCCATGAGTTTGCTAGTGCCGTGGAAGACGATGACGAGTGGGTGAAGAAGGAAACTGAGTTTACCGAGAAGATCACCTTGAACGACTGCATGAAGAAGGAGAACGCTATTCGCCGCCTCGCTGAAGAAGCCGATCAGGAAGATGAAGACGACGAGGAGGATGACATCGAGGATCTCGCCGACGATGACTCAACTGTTCACGATTTCTCTTCCGATGACGGTAATGAGTCAGACAACGAGGCGGGCTTTGCGGATTCGGATGAGAGCGATGACGATGGTTCGGACTACGAATTCTGGGCCCCCTCTGCTGCTACATCCGAAACCAATGTTCCCGCTATCGACATCTTCCCTCCGATCTTGGAACGTCGGGCTTCGAATACCTCCTTCGACTCCATGACCGACGATCACCCAAAGTGGCTGCCGGCGCCTGTGCAGAAGATTGGCGGACGCCGTGGCGTAACCAAGCCAATCAAGATGCGACCCGGTACCCCTAATCTGCCTGACAGCACCGATTTCGTCTGTGGCACTTTGGATGAGGATCGTCCTCTCGAGGCTGCTTACAAGTCGTGCCTCGAACAGCGCCGCATTTCTAAGCATGTCCCGATCCCGCAAGACATCGACCCCAGCTTCCCCACCAGCGACCCCGAGGCTGAAGAAGACCTCGAGGATCTCTCTGAGGATGAAGAGGCATCTAATGCTGAGCCAGTCCGCGGCCGGACAGAAGGCCCGACTCGTTCTCCTCCACGACACTCACCCAAGCGCATGATGTCCCCGCCCCCTCCTCGTACTGGTCGTGCCTCTCCTAAGCGCCTCAAGTCCCCGCCTCCCCGTGCGCGAGCCAAATCCCCCTCGCCGAAGAAGTGGAAGGAGATGCCGGTTTTGGAGTCGCCTAGCGGTCTCAATATCAGCCACCTGGTTCAGCATCGCCAGCCTTTGGTGCGCACCAAGTCGTTGCCTCGTACACCAAACCCATTCTTTGCTACCGACCAGTCACATCGGTGGCACGGAATCCCACCTCTCTCCGAGTCTCCAGAGGATGAACACTTCCGCGCTCGTGAGGTATTACACACACGTGGCCCCATCGACATTGTCGAGGGCCTCGAAAAGAAACGCCAGAAACGAAAAGAAAAGTTCTGGCGTCAACATTGCCGCAAGCAAGCCGCTAAGGGACAAACAACCCAGCGGAAGACTCCCGGCAAGGGAGCCAAACGGATGAAGGAGCTTGGCCTCGAAGTTGCTGAGAGGTGCAGAGCTTATGGTGTCGCTGAAGACACCCAGCTCGTCCTATCTGTTTAGGCTTTCCCGTACATTCAAGGACTTGATTGTCCTCCCCATACCCTATTTCGAATTGTACATAATACTTTTCACCCCTTCGCTTGGTCTGTGATCCGAGTCCTTCGCTGATACATACTTTTAACCAACTTCCGGTCATCCATTTGACTTTCTTTTCTACTTCCCTTTTCTCTTTTCTTTTTTTACCTCAGCCTTTTCTAATATCCTGGGGAGGATCAGTCCTTGCATTCTTTCTTTACCGATCATATGTTTCTCTCTGGGGGGTTCTTCTGTCCTTTTTGAGTTTGCATGGTTGCGGTGCTTATACCCCTTATCTGAATTTGCTGCATTGTGGATAAAGCGAATTGGGTTCAATGAACAATAGATATATAACAAATAACAACAATAAATACTACAACCATCTCCTGAAAAATCTTAGAGGCATCATACTACTGGTGTCAATTGCCTTATCTTTGCTGATTCTCAAGTTCTAACTCGTTTTCGTCAAGTCCGCCACAGTCGGTGCCTTGTTGCCTTAGGCACCAAGATTTGGACGATCCCGAAAACAACATCAACCTGTCTTCTCTTCTCTTCCCCCTCCATCCACCTCGTCGCCCTCTCGTCTGCGATACCGTGCATTCGCATTCTTCGATCTGATAGTATTACACATACCTCACATTTCTCCAGTTTCGCCATGTGGATTATCAACTGGTGTAAGTGCTCCCCCGACCCCGACCCTCGGCCCAACACGTATCCGCATCCAAGCATCGGCAAGAACAAAGTCAAGAGAGAAGAACCCGCTTCACTGGACGGTAGTTACGGCTCGGAAGAGCTAGATAGAGCTCTTTAATGTCGTGATAGAAAAGGAGGGCCTGGCTCGCTGGATTCGAAATGCCGCGGTCCCTGTGCGGCTTGTGATTCGGGTCCTTTAATTTCAGCTTTACTGATGTGATATCTTGCTTTGTTTATAGTCTACGATGTGCTCGCCTCTCTTGGCCTGCTGAACAAGCATGCCAAGCTTCTTTTCCTCGGTTTGGACAATGCCGGAAAGACCACCCTGCTCCACATGTTGAAGGTAAGTCGGTCGTGTGACAATAGAACTGCGCCGATTGGGAATGGAATGAAAATAGCTTTAGAGCTTGATACCGGGGGCTGGGAGGACATTTGGAATGGTTGATTGAGACAAAACGGCTTGGAACATTGGACACTCCCTCGGCGCGGGATCTCGGCATATGGCATGACGATGGCTAACAGGGTTATTTCCCGACGGATAGAACGATCGTGTTGCTGTCCTCTCACCGACTGCGCACCCCACCTCTGAGGAGCTGGCTATCGGCAACAACCGTTTCACTACCTTCGACCTGGGTGGTCACCAGCAAGGTGAGTCAAGCACCTCTGACCCGCGGAACCATTTCCGGGGGTTTCCTAGTCTTGTGGAGCAGCTCCGCTGATTGATGCTCTCTATCTAGCTCGCCGTCTGTGGAAGGACTATTTCCCTGAGGTCAGCGGTATCGTCTTCCTTGTCGATGCTAAGGACTACGAGCGTTTCCCCGAGTCTAAGGCTGAGCTTGACGCTCTTCTCGCCATGGAGGATCTCGCCAAGGTTCCCTTCCTTGTCCTCGGAAACAAGATCGATCACCCTGATGCTGTGAGCGAGGATGAGTTGCGCCACCAGCTTGGTTTGTACCAGACCACCGGCAAGGGCAAGGTTCCCCTCGAGGGCATCCGGCCCATTGAGCTGTTCATGTGCAGTGTTGTCATGAGACAGGGTGAGTGTCGTCTCCATCACCGTCATGTTTTGGATTTCCTGTGCTAATATACCCGATTAGGTTACGGCGAGGGTATCCGCTGGCTGTCCCAGTACGTTTAAAGCGCTTCACTTTAAACATATCCCACACCCTTCACCCCACCCATCTCTCGCCCATTTGGCCCCCATTTTCCTCTGTTTCTCTTCCATTGAATCTGGACAGGATAGAAGGATAATGGCCCAACTCACACCACAACCCCATCCCCTCCCCAAATAATCACCCACGCCACAATACCTTTAGATAGCTACCATAATGGTATCTACCACCCTTCAACACGTTTAACGTCTTGATGTCCTTTTGACTCTACTTGTACCCCACTCAGTGCATGTCCTTTGGCTCAATCTCAGCCTTTATATCGTCCCCATTCATGTTTTGCTCCCACTTTCGTGTTTACACTGCTGCCAGTTAGCCGGTGACTTTGCTTTTTTTTTCTCTATACGATAGTTCTAAAATAGTGGATGGTTATTCTATATCATAGAATTGGCTCGTGTCTTGCATAGACTAAGGTAACTGTAGTCAATATTACAATCAAATTGTCTTGAGTAAAGATTTAGATGAGGTTGGCGACAACTCACGAGTGCCCAATCTAGCTATACCTAAGCCCGAGAATATTGGTATTATACACAGTGTATACACAGGTGTGTATAACCTACCACCACCTAGGACATGAGTTACCTTGAAAAGCGAGATGATGTCGTACTTGCAGCGTAGATCATGGCTCAGCAGAAAAGTCAAATGTTGAGGGTTGCATGGAGGGGAAACATTTGAATGGGGGGCTTCTGCCTCTTCTAGAAATGATAGGTCCTAGCACTCAACCAATTAAGAAGTATGTACTTTTGAACAATGCATTTCATAGGACTGTGCTTATGCTGTGAGTAATATTCAGGTCGCGTCCCAAAAGTTAGGAAATCTTGTATCTAGGTGAATAGTCTAAACTTGTTCTGATGTCTGAAATTGAACTCGAGATAGTAGAGGAATACTGTAGATATGAACACTGGCTATGTAGGAGGTTGTCAAGTCTGCAGGATAATGTACTTCACCAATAGTCATGGAGCACTCCGGAGTCAACGCACCAATCATACAAACTACTACGTGCTGTCCTGGAGTGGACGGACGTAGGTGGCAAAGAGATCATGTTATGGTAAAGAACCTTGGGAAAAAGGGGGATTCTACAGGTCCCAACGTTACATAGACCCTGGTCACGAGATATACTAATTCGCCATCATGAAGGTCGTTGTCTTTTGGATTTCCTTGTCATCTGATTAATGCAGATTACACTTGATATCTGCTTGATTTGATGTTGTACGTTTTGAGAAAAGCGGGGACATGTAGTAAGTCTCAGGATCTTACATTTGCGCATTGGATTGCAATCACTATCGCTCTGTTTTAACACATGACATTAGATCCATGATCTCAGCTGAAGGTGTTCAAAGTGCATTCTTATGCTTGCCTATCTTGGCTGATATCAACCTGGTCGGGGAGATAGAGATCAAGCTTCCAAATCTTCATGTAAACCGTGAATGTAGGAAATAACCGCGGAAAGCGTATTGGTCTATGCAGTAACTTACAGAGTTTCGCTTCATGGCCAGTCCATGTCTTACTTTTGGGGTCTAAAATGGCTCCCCGAGCGACATATCAGAGGAAAGAAATACCAAAGCCATATTCAATCAATCCCTTTGAGAGGTTCGTCAATCAGAGCTATGTTTCTTTCTCTCAGCGTCTGCCCAGGTGGCCATGCTAGGAAGCTGGGGAATGAGGACTGGAAGCGTGAAAGACGGATGATTGTCATCGCCGCAAGAAGCCATGGACAGTCTCAAAGACCCAAAGAGGAAACGACGGCTACGGGATGCCTAAATAGTATTACTGTAGCCTTGGTTACTAGGCATGGACCTATGCACTAAATGCGAGGATCAGCCCGTGGAAAGATGGAGAGTCAGCTATAACAAATCTGTAACCATTCCGTAGCCGGGATCTTATGATGTACAGATGTACATGGAGACTTCAATACATTTCACAATTAGGTTGAATGGGTGTACGTTGCGAAAAGGTTCACTAGCAATAATCGACCTCTCCTGCCTTCAGGACTAGTACCAAAGCCAAGCTAGATAGAGATACATAGTATCCCCAGCTAGGTAAGTAGGATGATAATAACCAAACATAGCCTCGGTTCACCTCCAGTGATTTCTTCAAAGATTCCAGAAGGGGTAAACTAATGCCCTTGACAGGTTAGATAACTTCGTTATATCCAATATCACTCGTTCCTATACTTTGAAATACATGGGTTGAACTGAAAGAGGGGAACTTAAGGACCTCTCGGCGTGATTGGCTACGGGAAACCAATGATTTCCCAACATAACTGACCTGGACGTAGGTGGCGTCCAATGAAAGGCGTTTGGGGCTATGACGCGCTTTTGTTCCTGACCATTCGACTAGGGCTGACTGCACGGGAACGAATACGGATTTATATACGTTCTTATCGAAAGACCATAATCTCGCGACAAAAAGAATGCAGCTCCTATTATCAAGCGAGTCTAAGATCTGGGTCTAAGACCTGTCCGGTACGCACTTGTAAGACACCTAGGTGGAGAACATGGATCAATTGAATTCAGAACACAAGACCAATAAACAGCAACAAGATAAGAATAAGATAGACCAGGTTTCCCAACCCCCTTTCCAGGATGCCGAGATACACATTCCATCCAGATGGTAAGAAACTAAGCGGGAAGCGAAAATAAAAAGTAAAATGGGGGCAAAGAAAGGGGAAAAAAAAACAGGTCAAGAGTTCCGCTCCGGAAGTAACAAAGGTCGCGCGAGTCGGCCAGGAATGATAGAGACGGGTTTTCGCATGTCGCACGGGGCGCGTCCGGGAGTCGAGAGAGGGGAGGGATTCACAGGGTTATCACGGAGGTTGAGGAGCGGGAGTAGGGTGTATTGGTATGGGCTGCCCCGGGGTGAATGAGGGTTCCTCGGTCGTTCATCGCTTCGTGGGTCTGCGGAGGTCGTAGGAAGGGTGATTGAGGGTCATATGGCGATGGGGTTTTCTGTCAATGCGTTGAAATGGCTTATCTCCGCCCGAACCTGCTGCACACGGGGAAGCTCGTATCGAATTCTTTATTTCTTCTTTTGCTTTCGCTGTGGGGTGTTGGGTCCGCCGGAGCTCATGCTACCGTAAACGTACTTTTGTTTCTTTTCGGCTGGTTTCAGGATCTAGAAAAAAAAGCAAGAAATATCAGTATTGGGTGTTATGTCCGATAATGGGAAGGAAGGGAAAAAATCACTCACCTGGAACGAGCAGAGCAGGCTTTCGTCGACACTCATCATTGCACCCGCATTGTCGAATTCACCACAGTAGTTGGGTGCGCTGAATAGCGTGACCAACTGGCGCTTGGAGAAGAACTCGTAACCGTCCTCAACAACTTGATGCGCACGACATATCAAGTCCATATCGTGTTTCTGTAGGAAGCGTGAAACCACATCGGGTCCGAATGTGAACGAAACACCGCGGTCATTTTCGCTCCAGCCAGTGATATCCTTATCGGGATCGGACCACAGGAGATCGCACAGAAGGCCGCAGTCGGGAATCTATTGTAGTCAGCGAATTTGGCTCTCAGCCGGAGGAGCTCTGACACCAATTTCTGGCCACTTTCTTTGAGTCCAACACAACCGCACGTGCCAGGAAATCCAACCCAGAAAGAAAAAAAGAAACTTACATCGGTGGGGCGCATGACACGGCGGATTTGCTCCATCGAGTTCAGATCGGGGCTCAGACCACCGTGCATGGTGAAAATCTTTTCATCAATGATGGCGGCAATAGGCAGACAGTTGAAGCAATCGGTAAAAGTCTTCCACAACTTGATGTTGTAGCGGCGCTTGCACTCGTCGTAGAATCCATAGATACGGTTGATAGAAGCGCACTCGTGGTTACCACGCAGAATGAAGAAGTTCTCGGGGTATTTGATCTTGTAGGCGAGCAGGAGGCAGATGGTCTCGAGCGACTGCTTGCCACGATCGACGTAATCACCGAGGAACAGATAGTTGGCCTCCGGAGGGAATCCACCGTACTCGAAAAGGCGCAAAAGATCGTAGTATTGACCGTGGATATCACCGCAAATCTAAATAAGAGCCCAACGCGTCAATAAACGGGTTGCCCATGGGGATGGAATGCTGGAGTAGAAGCCACAAACCTTGATGGGAGCTTCAAGCTCCAGGAGAATAGGCTGAGAGATGAAAATCTCACGGGCCTTGGTGCAGAGGAAACGAATCTCCGACTCGAGCAGCTGAACCTGCTTGCCCGGCCGACTGCCCCTCACCTCCAGCAGCCGGTCGATAATGGAGTCCAAGTCCACTTCCTGGTCGGCCATATCGGGCGGCCCCTAAAGAAACAGAGAAAAGGAAAAGAAAAAAAAAACACCAAGCGAACCGGAAAAAGCACGCACGGGGGAAGGGATGGCTTCCTGAGCGGGTGAAGTCTTGATGACGCGGTGGTTATTTTCTATTATTGACACACAGATTAGCGATCAGTCTAAGAAAGACAATGGAGGCAGCCCGATCCTCATATCCCGAACCAGCGCCAACCAGGACAAGCGCGTTCCCGATGACGAGATTTTTTTTCACCAGGCGAAGTTTTTTTTCCAGTTCGATCCACCCCCTTGGTGGAAACAAGAACCGACGGGCAAAGAAAGGCAGACGTACTGAAAAGGCGCTCAATGAGACCAAAGACTCAGGGATCTAAAGGCCCTTGCGGCCGCGAGGTGTTGGAAAGACTTGGTCTGGCTGTAATGCCGGGAGACGATGTCGGCAAAGCGCTCCAACAGAAAATTCTATGTATCACTGAACAAAGAGAACCAGGTGGATAAAACCGGTTGTTCGGCGCCTCGAGTCGAGTGGAAAGAAACCACGAGGGTTTGGATTCGAGGGGATAGGAGGGGGAAGAATCGGAAGCGACGAAGTTTTCCGAAAGAGAAAGTGAAAGAAAGAGTTCAATCAGGTGAGAAAGAGAATGAAGTTCTCTCACAAGAGCAGATGCGAAAACTTTGGACGCGATGAAATCAAGTCTCGACGGGATGAGGAGAGGAGAATCTTGCACAGGGAGAGAAAGCGGGAAGGCAAGTGTGTTTGCAGTTGTTTGGCTTTGCGATCAACGCCATAACTATTTATATACCATTTTTCTTCTTATAACTTCATCGTTGATGTAGACTGTGATTTTTGATTCTACTGTTGGTTCTTTTACTTGCAAGCTCTCATTTTCGATGTTCTTGATGTTCGTGGAAATTTTTTCCTATTTTTGTTTGCCACCATTCCGGTCTCGCCGTGGAGGGGCTGCCTTGCCGCCGGTCGAGACCCATCGTATAAATAGCTAACAAAGTACTGTGTACGTACAGGGTCTCAGCGTCATGCCTCAATGCGATAGTAGAAACACCCAATATATACTCCAGATATACTCCAGACTATAACAATATAACAATACAACACTAGAGCCATAATGTCATTGTTCCCCAGCACAGTCCCGGATGTCCTGCAAGTCCACCTGGGTTACCTAATTACGACCGAATTAGGTACTTTACGATGCAGCAGACTCTAGGTGAAGGTCTAAGCTGGAAAAGGATGAGGGTTTGAAAATGTAATTGAGTTTGTGAACTGGCTTATCGCATCATGCCACATACCCATCATGAACAGAGGTATTCGCAAAACATGCCTAAGAGGCATAGAACGGAAACAAGAGGGGAATAAGAATGCGTAACCGAAACATCAAAGCAGAATCATGCCACCAACGCCGACTAGCCCATGAGAAAACAAAGCAGTAAAAAGCATAAAGTACACGCGCTCTAGAACTCGGTCTTTCACAATAGTCTCCGAAAAGACGGTAAAAAAGTGCCGCAGGGTCATTTTGGTTGAAAACATGCTGGAAATCCAAGTGGAGGGCGCAAAAAAAAAAAAAAAAAGAAATCGACAAGAACAAAAAAGACGGCCGTAAATGATCATACATCCAACCCACCATATCTCATTAGTCATGTAAACGCCATAAACGATGCAAAGGGGAGCCGCTCAGATGGCATGCTCAGAGAATATCGATTCAAAATTGTGACAGGTGATGTTGTTGATTAGTCTTAAGGCCCAAGTCGGAGGACTCAAAGGTCGATGAAGGGAATCGATGTTTGTGAAGTAATGGCAAATGAGGAGGGGTCCTCAAATTTGTCTTCGAGGATATGAATTTATCCACCCAACGAATGGCCGGCGCTCAAAATGGCATGGCTATTAGTTCGGATGGGTGTAGCTGGAAGAGGGTGATCAAGGCCGGGTCTAGCCAAATGGGCCGCAAGCTCATTCTGTGGACTGTCCCAGGGGTGGTCCCCCAAAACTGTAAGCCAGTTTTGACCTACATCCTGACGGAGAGCTTCCAGCTGCTGGCGGCAGAGCTCTTGGTCCAAGACCCAGTCTTGAGAAGGGTTAGGTTGCGCTGCAGTCGCTTGCAAGAGAGGAGGACTGGAGGAATTTCCCTGCCTTGGAAGGCCCAGGAGGCTGGAAGATCCGGACTGTGCGGCACTGTCCTGCTTCCACTGATCATGCGGAACCACGAAAGATGATTGGGTCGGCGCATGGATTTGCTGGGTGGGAGAAATTGGAGGAACTGCGGGGCCTGGATTACCTAGACCATCCGTAGTAAAAGGGTTATCTGTTGATAGATCAACGATTCGGCGTCGCTGAGTCTTCTTTCGACGATTGGTTCCATCCATGTCATGCGGTACAACAGTCTTCGCTGGCAACGGTGGCTCAGCCTCATCATTAGGAATTTTGGGCAACGGCTTTCCCTGGATGGCCGTAGCAGTAGGTTTCTGCACTACAGGCACTTCATCAGCTGCACTGGAGCGCACCACGGGAGCCGCGTCAGGCTCTGCGACTCGGTCAACAAGTTGCTTGCGCTCGGTGTAGCCAGGTCCACGGCCATCAATAATGATGTCCTCGGAATAGCCAGGAGTGCGACGGAAAAGATTCATGATCACTACACGGTAATTGGAGTGGGTCTTGACGAACGGGTTGCCGGACACCCAGATCTCCCGTATCTCAGGGAGACTGGTCAGGCGCGCCATTTCCGTCGGGTCCATGAGGTTGTTGTCCCGAAGGTCCAACCTCTCCAGAGACAGGAGTCGCTCAATGCCAGCCAAGGAACGAAGTCGGTTACCGCGAAGGTTCAGGGCGGTGATGGCTGGGAGAGGGTTTCGGGAAAGAGAATGCATCGACTCAATCATGCAGTGAGACAGATTCAGAGCGCGCAGTGACATGAGGGAGGCCAAGCTATCAGGGATTTCAGTGAGAAGATTGGACGAAAGGTCCAGGGAATTCAAAGTATTGGCCACCGGGGCAAGGCTCTCCACAGAAATGGAAGTCAAGGAATTCTCTGGAACGCCAAGGTGACGCAGGAACCGCCACTTTGTTGGGGGGAGGACACCCGGCAACAAGGTCGAAGAGCTTCCAGCCCGGCCACCACCAGATGTATCACTGGAGTTGGAACTTCCCGAGCCAGTGCGTCGGATGCGGGCCGACTGACCTCGACGGTGACCGTGCTTGGTTGTGGGACGCTGCGGCGAAATGCTCTCTGCCCTCACACGGCGGACCTTTGTGCCCTCGGACCCGGCTCGAATCATCGGAACTGACTTGGGGCTGGTGCTGCTTGCAAGTGCCGTGTCAGCAACAGGGGAACCGGGAGCAGAGAGGGAAGTATGATCCGAAGCGTGGACGGGCTGTGTACTGGAACTGTTGTTCCACCCAAGTGGTGGGGACTGTTGCGACTTTGCAGAGCGCCGACGACGCTTGTCCATGTCGTCCAGCACAATTCTTGTCAGAAGATCCGCCGGGTCATCCAGGTGAGCCCGCTTGATCGACAGGGTGCGCAGCTGCTCCGATAATCGGTCCCAGCCGTAGAAAGAACGATAATCTATATCAATGATCTCTAAAGCACTCAGGTTTTTGAAGGAATGGAGTGGCACAGCTGTGTCGAAGGGAAACTCTTCATAACCGCGGATCAAACACGCACGGTGATCCGGAGCCAAGCGTAGACAGGGAATTTTAGTGAAAGCAGAATAAAGATACTTCAGGTCCCCCTCCAAGGCCAGCTGGGCCCTCTCGGACTTGGAGGCCGAGTCCTTGGATCCGAGGCCGAATGAGGACCAGAGGCCACTCATGCCAGACATAACGCTACGCACGCTGGATACAGAGTGGATGGAAGCCCCATCGCCGCCCTTGGAACGCTGAGGCTTGTTCAAGAAGGAAACATAGGATTGAGAGACCTCGGTATGGATGTTCTCTAGCCGGACATTCATGGGCCCCACGGCAATAGATAGGTCTTCGAAGCGGGATAGGAGGTAGAAGAGGTGGTGAGGAGTGAGCGTCAATTTAGCGGGCTTGATGTTTTGTGATGCGAATCTCAATGCCCCAAAGGAGAGGGCAGAGGCTAATGAAGTGGAAGAGAAGGCACCCGCTGTGGTCGTCGCGCCGGTGGGCGACTGTGGGGTTCCGGCATTGGACTGGCGCCGCAGTTGCAAAGCGTTGGCAAGCGCCTTTTCGTGTGTGCGGACGAAGCTTGCCAGGTTCTAGAAGTAAAATGATGTCTCAGTAACCACGCGAATCTCTCATGTTGATGTTGTACAAAAGTGGGTCAGAAAAAAAAGACGCCAAAAAAAACCTCTCACCTTTATGAAGATTTGCCCATCTTCAGTGTTCAGCTTCTCCATGGTGGGGATGAGGAGGGAATTGTGTTCAAAGGAGATCTTCGCCTGAAGAACTCAGAAGATTCAACAGATGCTACAAGGGACGGTCGACATTGTGCTGTTGCGACCAGAGAAGGATTGTCGCCTAGGCGATGCGAGGAGTTAGCGCGGGCGGACCAGCAAGGTGGAGAGGTCAGGGGAAGGGGTTTACCTGTAATGAGTGAACAGACTTGATAGATCAAATTCGAGATCTCAAGTCTAAGTATGTTTGGTTTTTTTTTCCCCTTGGAGATGAAGGAGGAAAGAAGGAGAAGAGGAAGGGAAAATGGTGACACGGGGTAACCGCTAAATAAGACTTGTCTGATGATCGCAAAGATAAACCATACATGTACCATTATCAAACAAAAAAAAAAAAAAAAAAAAATTTAAAATATTCCGCCTAAACCTTGGAACCATAGAATTATAAAAATTCTAATTATCATTCTTATTATGATTTGATTTGATTTGATCTGATTTGATTTCCCAATTTAATCTTTCCCCATCACATACGAGGTTGACTTCCCATCACTTCAAAAGGACCTTAACATACATACACGATAACGATGCGAACAATACGAAAGGCAAAAGACCGAAATTACACCATAAGATACCTCCAA